CGTTTAGTTTTTTAGACATCAGAAACATCAGAGTCTAAAGGTCTGCTGAGAAACATTCACACTGAGAAAGAGATTGATGTTTGACGATGTTTGATGAATTTTTCATCTTTAAATCGAATAAACTGGTCTTTGCTTTTCTGACGTATACTTTATTGATTCTGGTAAATTATAAACAAATATATTTTTTTTCACTTATCATCCTGTTAACTCAACTCTACCTGCTGTGAAGAATTTCTTACAGCTGCTTCCACTCGCTCCGTGGGTGGCGCTATGAGATTAACAAAGAACAACAAGCACAGCTGTCACAGGCTAATGAGAGTAAACAAGGTATCACTGCTGTGGATGTTTTTCACAGAATTTATTCTTGTTTTATTATCCTCATAACTGTTTGACTTTATTTTATTATTTTATGACTTTTCCCATTTTGGTGGTGTCAGCAGCTCAGTGTAATGTCTGCAAATCTGACTCTCAGGTCACTATTTTGCCCCGTTGTGATTTTTTTCTCAGAATGAACTTCCAATGTGTCAGACAGAGCAGCTAATAAACCACAGAAGAAGAGCGTGTGATGGACAGGCAGTGGGTGTTACGTAACAAACTTCCTCTAAATGTACTGTGATCAAAGAGTCCTCCCTTTTTTCTGCTGCAGGCCGAGAGGATCGTGTCATTTCTCCTCCCACACTCATATTACCAACTATGTACGTATGTATCCTCTGGCAGCAGCTGTATATTCCTGCCAGTTTCAGCCTGCAGCCATGTGTTTCTAAACTCTGGTTGCTCTTTGTCTCCTGTTGTGTAAGAGCTGCAGCCCACACCGAGCAGAAAACCAGAAAAGGAGAAAAGGAGAGGAGTGAATAAGAGGACAAGTAAAGGAGAGGAGTGAACAAGGAAACCAAATGTTCAAAGGAACAAAGACAAGGAAGACTTCACTAAGATAAACTCTGAAAACATTAGTGAACCCTGGAGTACAGTTTTTGGAGTTTGAAGGTCAAATGTTATCCAAAGTTAGGACTGCAGGAAGGCAAACTTAGCAGCAGGACTCTTCTACTACAGAGCCATGCTGTTGTAATACCTGCTAAAATAAAGGTCTTCCCTTAAAAAGTCTTTGTCTAGATGGCAGCATATGTTGCTCCTAAACCTGTAGATACTGTTCAGCATTAATGGAGTCTTCACAGATGTGTCCATGACATGGGCTCTGATTATCCCCGTACCATTAGGGATGCTGTCTTTGAACTGTGCCTTGGTAACAAGCTCACTGGTTCCTACCCCCTGCACAAGGTGCAGTGTCCATGATTTCCACAAAGAAAGCACAATTGTGATTCCTCAAACCACAGGACCATCCAGTATTTGTTTTGGTCCTTGTCCCTTCTGTACAGAGATTTAGATTCTCTGAACCTTTTGATGATATTATGTTCTGTAGATGATGAAATCCACTAATTCTTTCACGTTTTACACTCAGGGGCATTATTTTGAAACTGTTGAACTAAGTTATGTTACTAACCTGTTGGGATTTAACCTTATCTGATAGAGGTGTTCATTTAGCTGTTTTTTTATGCTGTATTTTTTTAAACTTTACAGTGAGCATCTATTTTTCATGACCTATAACTTCTCAGTTTCCACAGTGTTCACTAGAGTTGATGTAATCTGAAGTCTGTGCTTACATAGCACATTGGTAACATACATGTCACCATGTTCTTCTCCCTTTTTTCCTTTTTCTAAATTTTTTCTTAATTATTACATTTATTGAAGTTCTTAATATTACGATCTTTATTTTTATAACTGCATTTTTGCACTCTTTGTCTGTGATGCTACTGTGACAAAAAAAATTTCCCCCGTGGGGGATCAATAAAGGAATATTCTATTCTATAAAGGAAACAGATTCGATATGCAGATGATGATGATTTATATTTGTGCACACATCATGAGTCGCTGTTTCACTGAGTTGTTAAGTGTTTTAAGTGATAATCTTCTGGGTTTTTGTTTGTTTGTTTGTTTTAACATCCAGCCTCCCTTTAATTTAGTCTTTGGATTCACAGATATTCCTGGTCCTCCTCTGGAGGCGGGGCAGGATTTCCTCCTCTCTGACAGCTTCACATGCTCTCATCTCTTTCCCAGCTAAAAAAAAAACTCTCTCCTGCTCTAATAACAGCCTAAATCCCACAGGAGCACAGAGGCTGAGATTTCTCCTTCTCTGAACATCTGGTTCCCAGCCATGATTCATGAGCGTCTCCCTTCCCCTCCTCCCCCTCAGCCGTGGTCAGGGATAGTATCAGGTTTTGTGGGAAGGGGAAAAAGTCTCTGGTGTCAGTTGCAGCCTCATGGAAAGTTCTCCTGCAGGCCAGGAGTAGGATATGTTTAGATGGTGGTTGAGGAGAATGAGGGGGAGAAGGGGTGGTGCATTTTTTTCTTTTTTTTTTAAAGGGGATGTTTAAGTCATCACTCAGCCAAAAAAGAGAGAGAGATCTTGATGGATGAATAAGGGGCTATAAAAGGACAGATTAGGGGAAATGTTGAAGTTTTTTTTTTTTGTAATTTCTAACAACTTCAAGCTGTGCAGCATTTCTGAATATAGATTTGGGTTATTATCATTCATTAAAACTAACGAAATGACAAAAACTGCAATTGAAAAATCATCGTCATTAACTGAAATAAATAAAAACTATAATTAAAAGAAAAAATGATAACTAATTGAAATTGTATTGTTTGTTTACAAAACTAACTAAAATGTATTATAATTATAACCAAAAATCCCTCAGTTTTCAATTTTGTCAATTTGTTTACTGAAGTACAACCAAACCACATGCCCTCACCTTGAACCAACACTATAACAAAATTTTAAGGTGGTTTCTTGCAGAAAATCATCCATAGTTCAAGTTTTCTTGGAGCGATCTTACTCAAACTTGGTGAGGACTGCCAGCACTTTGTCCTGAATGCACATCTTAAAGTTTCTGAATTTCACAGGAAATTTTACTCAAATCTGTAGGATATTCATTTGCATAAGTACCACAACGGTAAGGGCCATCATGATAAAACAGGTGCTAAGTTGCACTAAAAAAGGATTTAAAAAAATAAATTGCTAAGGCAACTTTTAACAGCGTTGTGACCAAAACCTGCTTGTTGTTTCTTGTGGTTTTATAAAAAAAAAAAAAAACATGATATTTGTTTGACAAATGATACAAGCTCCAGTCAAAGACCGATACTGTCAATACTTTTTTAAAAACTGTTTGGAAAAGGGATAAAATAATTTGCAGGAACAGAGCACAATGGGGATGGACTCACTTTTGGAGACAGCCTCTAGTGGACCCTGGAGGAACTGCAATTTTAGCATTGACTCTACCCATCAACTCAAGAAGTTTCTATTAAATCTTTTTTTCTTCTACAGTGTGAATCAAAATGGAGATATTTAGTGTTACATGTACTCTGCTTCGGGGTCACAGCCCCTGTATGTTGTTTTTGAATATATAACAGCAGCTCTTCACAGTCATCAGACCATTGCACACATTCATGTGTTTTACTTTAAGTGGATCCTTACTGAACCAGGCAAACAGACTGCAGCAGCTTTTTCCTCCTGCAGAGAGAAAAACCCAAAGTGAGGAAGAGGAGGAACGCCAAGCTTCCACTGTGGTCGACCTACTTTCACCAGGAGCCAACCTCCATTGAGCGGAAAAAAGCAAAATAGAAAAAAAAAATGTGGAAACTGATCCTCAAACAGCTCAGAGAGAGTCTGAGTTCAGAGAAACTTGAAAGTGGGATTTAAATTGCTCTAAATGTGGAGGTTTGAGAGTTCTGAAGCTTCTCTGGAGAGTGTTTGTGCATGTTTTATTTTCTCCTCATACTGAGATCCTCCTGATTCCAGCTTAGTTTTTAACTTAGGAGTCTGAGAATAAGGTAAATCAAATCTGTTTTTCATACTCATATTAAAACTTTGAATCCACTTTTTAAAAAAAACTCCAAGAAGAGTCAAAATTCTTGCTGTAGGATACTACTAAAGTAATTATAGTTTGTAAAATCAAAACCAAACATTGATGTAAAATCTACATTTCTACACTGAAAACACTAAAAGTTAATGAATGGATAAAATCTTGTAAAAAAACAGCAGCAACATAGGCTAATCACTGTCTAAGATTTACCACTTTATCCCTCATTACATGACCATATTATACTTTTAATGCAACCACATTATAATTTTAATGCTGCAATTTTACTTTATTTTTGTGGTGGTGGGGTTCTTAACAAGGGAACTTGACTATTTATCATGAAACCTGCTTCAAATACTATAATTAACAATAAAAATAGGACCCTTAACTGATTAATATGGAGGACATCTGGAGGAGTCAAGACCAAGCAGCAAACTTGAGTACAAAAATCTGCAGTTACTGGAGTGTCCACTAGAGGCTGTCTCCAAAAGTAAGTAAATCCCCATAGAACCCCATGTTAAAATATCAGACTTTAAAGCAGGAATAAACATATTTACAGTCTGGTTTGTACAAGACTGTAAATATGTTTATTGGGCAGTGGTGTCGTGTACATGATACCTACGAGAAAAGTACACTAATTTCCATATACCAACTTGAAAATGTGCAAAGATACATAGCAATGAAATTTTGACTGACAGTTCACAGCTATTTGCGGTAACTTGTTACTTTTAAAATTCTATATCGTCTTCACCAATAAGGAAATTTTACAGGACCTGTCATTCAGAACGTTTTATCTAATAGCAGGCAAATTTAATCCAATACCGTTCCTGAGAACCTATTAAGCACATGGCGTACAGTATTCCGGCGTGCCGCACAAGTATTACTGTTATTTTGCAGCTGATGCACTTGTCAGTTTCCCACCCAAATCCCCTGCTCTGTAAATGGCAAGTGAACTTGCACCCATCTGAGCGCCCCGGGATGAAAAACCTGGTCTAAAGTTGAATAAGTACTTTCCTGATTTTAAGGGGGATACCCACTTCAAAAAATTATACTACACCACTGAATTTGCGACTCTGTGGTTCTTTGTTTGTCAAACTGTGCAAGGGTTCTCTTACATTACAACTCATCTGTTTTTAAGAAATTGAGGTTAAAAGTTATGTTTCATTTGGGTCAAGGCCGGTATGACCTCCAGGCAGGTACGTTGTCACCTCTTTCTTATTTATAAACCCCTGGTTGGAGTCAGCATTTCTGATATGGGGACCATCATAGTAGGACGTCTTCAGGAACTCCAGTCGTGTCTTTTGTAGCCTCTGGTCAGGACACAGTGGTCTTCATTAAATGTGACATCAGGACAAATGGACTCTCTTTTTTAGACCAGAGGGGGTTAAATATAGAGTCACTACACAAACCCTGTCACCCTGCTCTCTAGGGGGCACAGGGGGTTGCTGGGTAGACTTGTTGGTTATTCTTATCCAAAGACACAGCAGCAGCGTATAGACTAGCTTCATCTATGTCCCAAACACCTGCTTGTGTTAACCCCCACCTGCTTCAACTATATCCAAGCAGCTTTTTTTGGATACAGGAAGTTATATTTAAACATCTGAACCCTGACCCAGTGAAACATAAGAACCCCTTTACCCTTTACTAACACACGCACGCACACACACATTTCTTCTTGTGTGCCAGAGTGAGAACCCTCTCTGACATTTTCGTCCCGAGCATGAACCCAGTTCTAAAGGAGTGGTGTGTAATTTCACTTGAGCACATCTTTAAGTTTCAGCAAATATCTTGTGCACAGAAAAGTGATACTAAAATAAACATTGTCCAAAACAGGGAGCCCATTCATCTTTTTGCGGGGAGTCTCAGTTTTATTTTTAACGCTTTACTGTTCCCATATAACAGAAGGAAAAATGCTTTAAATGAAGTCCAAATAAATGCTTAATTCATGACATATACAGAGGAGTACTTATTTGTCTGTTTGGCAGTCTACCTGCGTATAAGGAATTCCAGAGCCTGAGGCTGGGAGAGCAGTAGCAAAGACCGCCAGGGTTCAGGACAGAGCAGAATCAGTGACAAGGATCAGCTGATGTACTGTGATATGAAACTGACTTTGTGGCCTACCTGGACTAGAGCCATGTTTAATTTGTCAAACTGAAAGGGTGGTACTGAGATCGTCCATGTTCTCTACCTGCCAAAAAGGTGACTGTGTACAAATGTTTAAAAAAGACTGAAGCCACAATCATCCTCCATCCCTCCCTTTTTCAGAAACACCCTCTTATGCCTGAACCATCGTCAGTTTTAAAATGGATCCTTGTCTGTAAAAACAATGTCCCTGCTTTAAAAAATGTCTTCATATGTCTTTCAGTCCATTTATCCTTCAGATGAGTCAACACTGTCCACAAACGGTGAATGATATTTTTCACCATCCGATGGCTGTTAAAGATATTCCTGCATAAATTTAAATTATGGTCAAACACACTGTAACACTAAGTTAGACACCCCCACGAGAGAAGAATGTTGCCGACTGCTTGCTGCCCTAGTTATACCAACTTCAGCAATGGTGGCACGATAGTAATACACAGTGGTCTATGTCTCCACGCACAAACCTCAACCAAAAAGCCACTTGTAGCCACAAATAATGTTCAGAACAGCACCTAACTTCATCAACAGTACATATAGGGTCCCAGCCACAGCAATAGCCACCAAACATCTTTTTAGTTTTGCCTTATTTCTTTAGCAAAGAGACTAAACACAACTCACCTACTCTCTTACAGCAGCTGCTTGTTAGCGAGGGAGCCCTGACGAGTCCATCACTGAGTGCAGTGGATCATTTCCATGAAGTAATAATCATCATAATAATCATTTTGCACTGCAGACGCAGTAGTTCTTCTGCCTTAGCGTCTTGTTCTGATTGCATTTCCATGAAGAAATGATCATAAATGTTCTTCCTTGAGCTGCGAAACTCTGCTGCACACCGTGATGGATGCATTAGGGCTCCCCCACAAACAAGCGGCTGCTAGGGAGAGTGAGTGAGTTGTGTTTAGAATCCAGGCAAAGCTAAAAAGATGTTTGGTGGCTAGTGCAATGGCTGGGACCCTCTATGTACTGTTGATGAAGTTAGGTGCTGTTCCGAACATTATTTGTGGCTACAAGTGGCTTTTTTGTTAAGATTTGCACGTGGAGACGTAGACCACTGTGTATTGCTGGTCGTTGCTGAGGTTGGTATAACTAGGGAAGCAAGCAGTAGGCAACATTCATCTCTCAAGGGGGTGTCTAACTCGGTGTTATGGTGTGTTTGACCATAACTTAAATTTACACCGGAATATCCCTTTAAGTCTTAAAAAGGAATTACAAACAGCCTTTGGTATAGAAAATGAAAAACATAAGAGTCCCCTGAAACAGAAGTTGGTGTTGGGGTTGAAATATATGAAAAATAGAGAGAAAAATGTGAAATGAAGTCTCGTCCTGTGGTGGATTCTCTGGTGCCAATTTTTTTTTATCCTCACCTAAAATGTTTTCCAGACTTCCTGCAGTAAACACAGGTTGTTTACTTATTTGGCGCTCTGCCCTACTTTAAAATCATAAAGAAGAAGCTAATTTATCTCTGCTTTTTTAAACCAGGCCTGTGTCAAACGCCCTCAGCCTCAATTTGTCCCCATTTTAAAGCTCGGCTGCTGAAAGAGTAAACACATATCAATGAATAAATGAGCATACATGTACAATAAAACATGAAAGAAGCAAAGAGAAGCTGTGACTTTGTTTAAACTGCAGTGGAGGAGGAGAAGAAGGAGGTGCTGTGTTCACTGTGGTCATCATGAGAACTTTATACCTTCAACCTTTGGGCTCCTGTGACGATGCTGATCCAACAGAGCATCAGCAGACATTTCTCAGAGGATGAGAGTTATTTTCAGCATGTATGTTTCATCTTTTTGTTATTTGCATGTCAACCAACCTCCAGTGTATGTTCCTGCCTCTCTCAGAGGCCCCAGTAACACCACACCTGTGTGTGGCGTACCTGTGTTATGATGCACAGAATCTTTGTTTATTGATTCTCACAGTTTTCAGATCTTTCAGCTTTGTAAAAGAAATTATTTACAGGGAGATTTATGTTGATATGTCTGTTTAAGTTTTTAAACTTACCTGCTCCTGTGTACAAGTCAGCTTCTGGGTCCCCACCTTACGCGGTGTTGTGTGTTTATTATCAGTTAAACTGTTTTTGTCATCAATAGATTTAACCTCTTTTAACAGAGAATTTTGTCCGTTTTTTTAATGTATTCCAATTTTTTGAATTATTAGTAACTTTCAACTTTTTTTCTCAGGGGTGAATTTTGACAAATTTCTCAATAAATCGGAACATTTTTTTCTTGTCCATGAGTTTTATTTCTTTTTACTGGCTGAATAATTTAAACCTTTTCTTCTGAATAATATTTTTAACTTTATTCACAGTAGTAAAATTAAAACATTCTAAATTACAACTTTTTGTCAAATTTGTAATGCTTTTGAATTTCAAATTCTTTGAATTTTTATAGATGAAATTTAACTTTTGTTTCAAAAAAGGATTCAATCATTTCTTTCATTAATAAGTTTTATTGACATTGGGATTTAACATCTATTGACAGCAATTTTTTACATTCCCTTAAAAAAGGTCACCCTTTTATCTTGTTCATGAATTTGACTCTTTTCTGATTGAGTTCAACTTTTTTAACTCCAAGAATTTCAAATCTTTTGTCCTAAATTTCAACTTTTTTCTGGACGGGAAATTTTAATGTTTTTCTGAATGAACTTTCTTTCAAATCAGTAATTTTCACTTTTTTCTCCTCAAGAATGGGACTTTGATTTCACAAAATTTCAACCATTGCCAATGAATTTAAGTTTTTTAAACTTACATGTAAATTTTTTACTTTATCTTTAAGCAGTTCTGTTTTTTTATGGACCTGCTCTCTCTGTCTTGCACATTGGGTTAAACTATGCACATACATCCTCAGTAACGACTGTCACTGAAAACCAGAGAAACCTGACCTGTGCTCATGTAAACCTGCCTGTGAGTCAGTTATACTTAGACTGGGGTGGTCAGAGCTGCTCCAACCCTCTGCTGCTACACAACACGTTCTCGGCTCAGGTTTCCTCGCCGCTCAGTTTAGCACAAACGATATCAGGAGAAGTGGATGGCAAAGGGCAATGATTAATGGCGAGGATCAGGTGTCGCTGAAGGATGGCTCAACGTGACACTACAATGACCCGGGGGACAGCGCCAGGGAATGCCAAGGATGGAAACCCAATCAGGAGCAGGGACGACACCAACACATTGACTAAGCAGAGATGTTTGGCCGCCTGTCGCTAAGAGACGAACTTCAGATTTATCAAGTGTGATGTCTGGATATAACAGGATATTTGAAGGTCAAAGGTCATTCATAATCAGTAACTTTAAATAAGTGGAGTTCGGTTTTCTTCTTTTTTTTTTCTCATTTCAGCACTTTCTCTGCAGTTTAGAAATAAATCATCAAGAATAATATGATTTAAAGACATTATACAGACACAGACACAAAGAGGGAAAAAAGACCAAGCACAATAAAACAATAATATTACAAAGACATGATGGTCAAGGTGGACAGTTAAATCAGTGGACAGGACTGAGAGGGGCTCAATATACATTCAGTTACACAGATAGACACAGTGGCGGCATCATTGATTACAAGAGCAGTTCAACTCCAGGTAAGACGACAGACTCTTAGAGTTCCTGGGGATTAAATTGATCTAATATATAGAGGCAGATGATTCTAATCACCAGGCGCTCGTCCTAATTTTTTTTCATTCTATTTGAAATTTTTAAATTTATGAGGGGAGTGCCATTGATACTCGTAACAGCTGCAGGATTGGATATGAGTTTCTTTTTGGTACCAAATATCATTATGTGTGACTTTGTTTTGCTAGGCAGCACTTTGATGAAAGACAATTGTGTAAAACAATTAGTCTGGAGAGGTTGTTGGATTTACAAAAAATCAGATTTGGATTAGAAAAGCCATAACAATTTTCATAGCAAATACCGAGCCAACATTTGGAGGGGAAGCTACTGGTTATCATGTCATTAGTTTATGTTTTAGTTAGGTTCATCTTCCCTATGTCAAAGTGTGGGCTGCTGTCACAGTAACATTATTCAGTCATGCTCTTAAGCTCAGACTCGTTAAAAGTCGCGCCAGATTTTGATCCTGTTTTAATAGATGAGTGAGGGTCTCTTTTATTCACTTTCATGAGTCTGATTATCATTAATAACCTAACATACCGAGCACCGAGATGTGGAGACACATAATCATCAGTTTGCAGTTTCCTGGACGGTCTTGGAGATCTGACGGTGGAGGAGGATCAGACCAGGATTTCCCCTTGAACGTCTAATCCTTTATTCTAATCTGATACCATGAAAACTGCTGCTCTCAGCCATCAGTCGGAACTGCAGCTCCCCACACGCACGCACAGGTCTTTGTGTGTGTGTGTGTGTGTGTGTGTGTGTGTGTGTATGTGTGTGTGTGTGATTCCTGGAAACATCCCGCTGTGCCCGATCAGGAGTTGAGTGTCAGACAGCTCAGCAGGTTGAACTGTGGGTTTATCCGTTTGTCCTCTCGGTGTCCAGGGTTATTTAACACTGAAGCTGGCAGAGACTCTCCAGGACCTGAAAATAAACATAATCCACAAATGTAAAACCCAATTCCTGACTCTGCAGTTGAGGGAGGTGATGCAGCAGGTGGAACAGAAGCTAAGGTACCTAAAGACAGAGAGCACACCTCCCTTGTATTATCTAAAAGTAGTCTGGATGGTAGAACTTTCAGGAATCAGGTCCCTCTCCTCTGGAATCATTTACCAGTCAAGGTGTGGGGCGCAGCCACCCTCTCTACCTTTAAGAGTGAGCTTAAAACTTTCCTCAATGATTAAATTTGTTGTTAGAGATGGTTCAGGCCTGGACCTGCACTTAGTTATGCTGCTATAGGCCTAGACAACCAGGGGTACTGGCACATTGAACACCTTTACCTCCTTCTCCATCCTCTTTCTGTCTGTGTCAATAACTTTGAATCATCATGTCCCATTAGAGTCACTAATACACAGTCTTTCCTGGGAGTCCCTGAGCTCCATCATGCTGTAGGTTCCTCTGGATCGCTGCTGCAAACGTCCTGCTAATTATTATTATTATTATTTTACATTATTATTTTATATTTATTTATGCAGCAGGTTCCCTATCAATCACTAAAGATATCAGTGTTTGATTTTGGAGAATTTTCTGGTCTTTATGTTCCTCTGTGTAACCCAAGTCTCAACCTGACAACGGTAACTTTAGCGTTAAAAACAAAAGTGTAATCTTTGAAATGGGAACAGACCGGAACTGTCAGGGTTGGTGTTATATCAGAGTCTGTGATTGAAGCAGCAATTATCTTACTGAAACAAACATTACATTACAAAAAAAAAAGTTTACCTCAAGTATATTTTATTAAGTATTCTGAAGTTCATTTTAGAATACTTCCCAAAGTATACTTTGTACACTGATACAAACATACTTCCAGTGTACTTACAAGTAAACTTCTTGGGACTAAATTGGCCTAATTTAGTGTATTAAAGTACACTTGAAGCATACTTTAAAGTAAACTTCTTGGTATACTATTTTTTTGCTAGTAATGAACTTCTAGTCCTCTTTTTAATTTATGAAAGTACACTCTGAAGCATACCTTTAACCCATTTAAACCAGGACAGCATGTAAGCATTTCAACCTTCTAAGCCGGGGGCGCTCATGCACATTTCTACCCGTCAAGCAGGGAGCGCAGATACATCATTTCGTAACATTCTGTAGTTTTTCAATAATTTCTGGAGCTGTGGCGAATCAAATCACCATTCCCATCTGCCTCTAATAGGCGAATAAAGCCTATAAATACAATAACAATGTAAACCTGTAAGGGACAAAAACAAGAACATTTAGTAGATGAAGTTTGACTCGTGAGGAATACGTTGCTGTTTGTATCAAGCTGCAGGATAAAGAAATCTACAGGAACACTTTCAGACTTTGTGCATCTGTCCGTCATGTATAAAATGAAGTCAAAGTCAAGCTGTTTGCTCCACCCTTTTTTGCCAGGCGGCCAATCAGCGGGTGGGGGCCTGGACTCTTGTAGATGTAGCTGATGCTTCTGCAGGGCAATCAGATAAAGAGTGTCACCCTGAAAACAACCGTCACCCTCCCCTTCCAGACCCGCAGCAACACCCCTATTTACACGCAAACAGCTAGTACAGAGCCCGGAGATGACGTTTTCTTTACCCTTACACACACACACACACACACACACACACACACATTTTACATATTCAGCACACACCTAATCATCAGCTGAAACCGAAGTGTGACAATCACCCCGCAGGTGTTTTTCACAGCTGCCAAGAGCTGTACCATAAATAAACATGGCGACAAATATGACACTCACACACACACACTCTCAGGCATACCCACACACACACTCTCAGACACAAACACTGCCGCCTGAGGTCATGTGGGAGTCTGCTGACTTGAGAAGATCACCAGAAATGCAGAACTGAAAGGTTCATTCAATTTTTTTTCCTTGTCGAGTGAGAGAGGCAAACAGTCAAATCTCAGGGGTCAAAGGTCAAAGTTTAAATATGTTTGTACTATAAACTGTCAGATACTGGATGTAGGTAAGACAGTTTTGAAACTGGAAGTTCTGCATTTCAAGCAACACCATCTTGTTTTGAGGTTAAAGGAGAATATATTTACACAAAAGAAGAATCTGGACCATCCAGAGTGAGATGACCTTTCAGAAGATTGATTGTGTGTCAATTCAAATAAGATAGCAGACTCCAATGTTGCAAAGGGAGGAATTTTCAAATGAAGTATTTGGTTTTAAAAAGCTAAAGCTGTATTTTTACTGTAACTTTACAGATTTCATTCTTTACCTTATCCTCATGTTGGCATTGTTATTTGCATCATGTGATTTACGCTCAAAAAACTCTCCCATCATCTCAGATTAGAGTCTTTGAAACGATAAAGTTTCACAGCCATTAGGAATAACCAATCGGAGCCCAGTACTTCTAGTCAATCAGAGGCGAAGGAGGGCAGGACCTTCCCCTACTATCCTACAAAAAAAAAAAAAAAAAATAGCATCCTAGAACCCAGCATTCTGGAACCCAAGAACCCATCCTACCTAACATAAGTGACGATAGCAAGGAAAAACTTCACTGTAACAGGCAGAAACCATAAGCAGGACCAGACTCATGTTGCACAGCTACCTGCTGCTGCTGAGCTGGGGGGGAAACATGGAGAGAGAGAGGGACAGAGGAAGTGAGGGAGTGGGCAGCAGGGAAAGAGGCAGAGAGAGAGAGAGAGAGAAGAGACAGGGGACAAGTTTTGAGTCTACTCTTAAAAGTTGAGAGGGTGTCTGCCGCCTTAAACCTCGATCGGTAAATAATTTCAAAATCCAGCCGTGTGTTTTTTTCATTCATATTTCATTCTGTCTCCTTTTGTCCTTCATATTCCAGAAACTAGCATTCCAGAATAAAGCTTTCTGGAACCCATATTTTCAGAGCCCTCCCTCTATGTTGTAATGCTGTAAAGTCATTGTCGAGGAGTTCACCATTTCTTTCTTCATAATGGTGGCTAATTGAATAGGTCAACATGCTTTTTTGACCTTAAATCTGACCAGAAGATTTGATAAGAGACAAAAATTACCAGCAACAGAGAGGGGTGTCACTTTTATGCCCATATAAGGTGATTTATTAAGAGCAGATGTCATGATTTTGTTCATTTGTTCATTCTAGCTCTCTTGTCTTTTTTTTATCTCCTCCCTCCATCACAGACATCTCATGCTGCCAAATCTCTGTGTTTCTGCTTGGAAAGATAAGAGACTTACTTTGCCAGCAGCCCCCCCCTCTTTAAGCAACACTCTAATCGCCTTCTCCATCTTTCTTTCCCCCATCCTTTCATACATCTTTCCCCACTTCACATCACTGACAGGCTTTCAAAACCTTGAAACTGAACATTGATCATAAGTGGAGGATTCAGTCAATAATCTTTTGACATCGGCAGAATAGGTTAACCAGGGCAACCACATGAAGAAAGGTTCAACAGACTTAGAGACGCTCAAAATGAATCCAGGAGGTCAAGGCTATCCCGACAGACTCAAAAGTGCCAAAGGCCTGTTATAGCGATGAAGAATACAGTAGAAAAACCACAAGCTGATTTTCAAACAAAAGCTGGACACTGAAAATTACGTTGAAAGCAGAACTTCATACCTTACTCATTGTTTAAGCCTGTAATTCAATTTGAACATTTTAAATAGATGTTTCAATGGACGTTGTTGAACCAGAAGACCCATTTCTGGACTTGAAGTGAAATACTGTCCCATTCTTGCCTGATAGAGGATTTCAGCTGTTCAGCAGTTTAGGGTCTTCTTTGATCTGTTTTTGGTGTCATTATGCTCCAAATGTTTTCAATGGGTGACAGGTCAGGACTACAGGCAGATCAGTTTAGCAGCAGGACTCTTCTACTACAGAGCCATGCTGATGCTGCAGAATGTGGTTCATCATAGTCTTGCTAAAATATGAAGGTCTTCCCTGAAAAAGCCTTTGTCTGGATTGCAGCAGATGTTACTCCTAAACCTGTAGATATTGTTCTGCATTAATGGGGTCTTCACAGATGTGGACCACCATGAATTCTGGCTTAAAACCAGGGGCTGATAACAAGCCAGGTGGACCCCCTACTCTTCAGAGGGTAGGCTGAAGCTTCCATGGTTTCAAAAAAGAAGGTCAGATGGTATACAATAGTATACAATGGTTTTTGGAAGGGATTTGGAGCCCATGCGGTGATTTCCACTACAGAGTCCTGTCTATTTTTAATTTTAATGCCTGTGGGCCTAAGATCAGGACCATCCAGTATTGGTTTTGGTCTAAAAATGTAAAAGCTGCAAAAATATTATTGAAAAAAGGTTAAAATCAGTAATGATGTTAAAAAAAACCTTGTATCTTAACATAAAGAGACTCTAGTTACCAGATTAAGACTTTGAACAACCATAGGCACCCAAAAAATGTTTCTTTTCTCTGCCTGAATATTTAATTTTGGACAAGTTTAGGATTTTTTTTAATTTGAATAACAGAAAAAAGTCTGTTTGGACGAATCACCACTCTGATCTGTTTAAGTGTGACTTTGACAGACACCCTTTTTTTCTGAGCTTCACCTCATGTGGGTTAAAGCTTAGCATCACTTTATTTGAGTCACTTCATTTTCTCTCTCACTTTTCCCTCTCCCAATTTCTCTCTCCAAACTTGATGGCCTACTTTTCCTGCGCTTTGAAAAATTGTCTTTGGTGAGGGTTGGATGAAAGTTGTCGATGGGGAGAGTGGGGGAGCGCTGGGCAGAGGAAGCGAGTGAAGGCTTGCCCCTTTATCTTCCTGCCCAGACCTCCATCATGTCTGGCTCTCCCTCCCTGGTTCTATCTCTTCCTCTCCGTCTCTCTCTCTGTTTCTCGTGTTGTGAGATTACTCATCAGCATAAATTCTTACATCTAGCATGAAAAACAACGGCTGGTTTTATGTGACAGACGGCTCGGAAAGTGCCATGAAACATTTTGAACACAAACAGACTCTTTGAAGCCTCTGCAGATCTGCTGGGAAATATTCAGACACAAAAAAATTTGTTAAGTAAGTAATTAGGAGTGTGTGCTGTCGACCCAGTCTGTGAATTAAAAGACAGTAAACTGATCAATAACAATGTTGAATGTCCATAATAAACCCATATGGCCCATAAGATGAGATACACGGATGGCAGTGTGATCTTTATGTGTATTATCGTTTCATGGACCTGCAACCTGAAGCTGTTCATTCATGAATATCTTCATAAAGGCTCAGAGCAAGCTCAGAACAGCAGCCAATGTACCAACAGTAATTGTAAGCTAACGTAGCAAAATGGAGAGTTGGTGGGCACCAAAAGCTAGCCTCAGGTGTATTCTGTTATTTGTCGGGTCCTCTAATATGACTGCAAAGCTCTGTTAAAGATAGCACTGTGTCAAGCTGCATCTTACTATCTATCAATAAAAAAACAGCCAAGATGTTTTCTGTCGAGGCATATTTCTTTGAGGTTTGTTCAGTGAGAACAAAGCTGTGTAAAAAGTATCACCCCCAACTGTGTCTTACTTTATCAGTGAAAAAGCAGCTGAACTGGAACGTTTAAGGCAGGACTTGATAAGCGTCTTATCAAGTGGCTTTTTGAATGTTGTTGGGAGGGGTGAAGACCAATGCAAACAAACGCAAAGACAGAAAAGCACCAAAATATGCTGAGACATAAAAACAAAACAATCAAATGCAGAGGTTAAAAAGTGATTCAGTTTCTGTTACAGCAGTATGTTTGTGAGTGGGAGGATATAATCTGGGTGTTATTCCCACAGTCTTGGCTTTTATGTCTTTACATGGTCGGCTCTGATTGTTGAAACAGTCTGAGTCTGAGGTGACAATGTTGGTACCAGCAAAAAAACCGACACCAACTGTGGCCAGCATGTTGTTGTTCACAACAAACAGCGTGTCCACATTTTTAATTGGTTAATTTTTTGATTACAGTCGTACCCATTTCATGGTTTAACTGTGTCTAAAATATGACTTTGTTGTTCTGGATCATGTTTATATCTGTTGTTTTCATTTTTATACTTGAAGACAAAAAACAGAAGACAAAGAGACCAACAGCAGTAGCTCACACACATACACACACACACACACACACACACACACCTGTGGCCTGCCTCTGAGGACACAGCTGGCTGTCTTCACCTTCTGACACCCTCCCACCATCCTCCACACACACACACACACACACACACACACACACACATACACACACACACACACACACACCTCCTCCTCCTCCTTCGTCCTTCATCAGTCCTCACGTTTGTTCCCCCGCTGCTGGCTGGCTAAGGCAGCTGTCACCATGGTTACCAGCCAGGATCACACCCAATTGTGAGACGGATGTGGCGCCTGAGGATGGAGGAGGAAGGGTGAAAAGGAGGAGGAGGAAAGTGTACAGTATCTGAGGAAGAAAGGATGATTGAGCTGTAGTGGAAGTCTTGCAGAGGTCAGCAGAAAAAGACACAAATGCTGACAGTGTGACCTTTGACCTGTTCCATCCTGAAGATGCACCAACAGGCTGAAACCTGGTGATTTAAACTCACATTCATTCATGAGCAACATCAAACTAGGCTCAGGACACACATGAGTTTAGATGCACTAAATCAAAGAAAAGAGAGCTGGGACTAAACTGAACAAAGTCAGGCTCAGCTGTTTCCTCACCTCTTTCTGGAGTCCTCAGACAGAGATGAAGTCGTATCTCTGTCCTGTTCCAAATGACTGAACAAACTCAGATCTTTTCCAAACACAAAGCAGCCACCTCACTGCGAATTCAGTGTTGTTTCCTTGACAACGAGGCTGTAAATTGTGTTTTTCAGCTCATCCCCAACTGATCAGCTGAGTCTGTATTTACCTGACGCTGAGTAGCCTCCATCCTCAGATTAGATCATCAGCAGGAACAACACGTCCCTGAAAGAAGAAGGATGAAGAATTAAACTCCACTCCCAAAGAAAAGAAAGGTTATCTAGACAGATGACCTTTGACCCCATGAGTGGACTCTCCTGGTGTCTCTAAACAAAACAAAATCAAAATGGCAGCTGTGTTTTGTTTCTGATCCCCGCGGAGAGAAAACATCTCTGAGGCGAGCAGCATGGATCACATTCAAACATCTCACTGTTTACTTGGCTCAGTTTGCTGGAGATCTCCCATGAGCCTCTGCTTCTCTAAAAATCCCAGAGCAGTCAACACATAGCGGCTGGGGTCTAACAATACCAAAGAAGTTAGGATGTTGAAATGATGATGAAAAAACAATTGAGATGGTTTGCATAACATTGTAAGTCCTAATTTGATCAGAAAAGTACAAAAAACAAGATTATGTAAAGACTGTAAACCATCAAAATCTGTTTTTATCAACATAATACACAGTGCCCTGGTGGTTTTGGAGTATTGGTTGTGAAAATATACGATATCCTGCAATATCAAAAATCCTGTTTTGTCCTTTGGAAGTCTCTCATAAACGTGACGTAAAAATTATAAGCCAATTTCTCACTCCGTCAAGAGGAACTTAGATTAAGATGTGATGTTTAATTGCTTTTGAAACACCCTGATAACAGGACATGTGACCTCAGAGAGCAACACTTCGCCTCTTTATCAGTCCTGAAGTCAAGGTGAACAGCAGCTCTGCCTGTTTAAACTCCAGAGGCATCAATCAGACTGATGACGGCCACGCTCTCAGCCCATCCAGACCTCCAACAGAAGGCTGCAGCAGCCGGGTCGTAAACCTGCCAGCAGCCGAGCGCTCCCACGGCGCCAACACATCACCCGGTTTAAATCCTCCGCCGTTTAAACTGGAACTGTTTGGGCCTGGAGCTGCAGCAGAGCCACTTTGTGTCCATCAGATTTATGAGCTCGTTTGATTTTGATGAAGAGCAGGACGGCCAGAGGACGACACAAACCCGCCGCTCTGTAATTCAACTCTGCTCTGACAACCAATCAGCTTCTACAATCAGAGCAGGACGACCACTTTTTCCAAACAGTTAACCATCATTCAGAGCCAGAAAAAGTTCAGGAAAGTCTTTTTATGTGTGACGTCTGCAGGAATATTTATGTTGACATTTCTGTCCTTGTCCAGCTCTCCTTTCAAAGTTTTGACAACACATCTTCAGAGGTAGATAAGGCAACTGTCATCCAAAATCTCAGTTAATCGTCAATCTGTTAACAAAGACGCCAACAATGACGTTAAATTAAAATTCTGTTCATAATCCAGTATAACCCAAATACACAAGACCCATACAGATCCACAGAGGACCTGAAATCCTTAGGGACTATTTGATTTTTCTCAGGTTGTTTGTGATCCAATGTACAATATCAGAACAAGATTTGAGAGGATCACAGAGATAGGAATAAGCAGAGAGGACCAAGGAAAGAGGGTGGAGCAGAAAGGAACCAGGAGAGAGGATCGAGGAGAGAGGAACGTGGACTGAGGAACGAATTTTGAGTGATACAGAAGTGCAGACTCTTGACCCAGTCTTTTGTCTGTCTAACATGCATGTTGTCATCTGACTTTGTGCAAAATTCCTGTTTATCGGAGACAAAATAACGTTTGTGTTTAAAGGAGGAAATAATTAGCATAACTGAAAAAAAGTAACTAATGACAGACCATTAATAACTTTTATATTTTATTAATACAGTCCAAAATCCCATGGATAACATTATTTTCTTGTCTTAGATATCTTGTTAGACATTTCTTCTGTAAAATGTGTGTGTGTGTGTGTGTGTTGGATGCACACACAGAGCAGTCTGTTTGTTCAGATGCAGGGTAACAGTGATAGAGGAAGTGAAAGAACGACTGGATACCTCACAACGCCAACCTGCAACTATTACCTTCTGACACCCAGCAGTGTGTACGTGTGCGTGCGTGTTTGTCTGTGTGTGTGTGTGTGTGTGTGTTTGAATGTGACAGCAGGTAATATGTGGGTGGCATTCCCAAAGAAAAGAGGCACGTCTCCATGTTTTGGTGTGGAGTTGGTTAAAGTGTTTTTAAAACCTGTCATGGTGTGTTCAGGATCACTCTGGACATCTGGTTATTAAAGCCGAGAGAGTTCTTTACAAGCAATGCAAAACAAACACACAGGAATGATAAAAGTATAACTGTATTACTTTTTTTAAAATGTTATTTTGCTCACAAACAATCTAAAGCAATGTTTAAAAAGGCAGACACTCGGCTGGGCAGCTGTAACAAGGTTGTTATTGTTCAGACTCATGAATCTGCAGATTTCTGACATGTAGGGTCGTAAAGCTGACAGATGTGGTTCATAGAGGACGATGAAACTGAAGCTGATGAATGAGATGTGGTGAAGGTGAATGGCTGCTCAGGCCACAGAATAAAACTAACTTCACTGCCAGATAGTGGCAAGGGGGGCAAAGATAAAGGTCTCCATGTGTTTTTATTGCTGGCTTTCCTGAACCAGGTAATTTCACTGTCTCGCTGCCCTGCAACAGACATAAATGTAGCCCGTAAGTCTTAATGAGATGCTCAAAGAGCTTGAATAAGGTGAATTGGGGGTTTAGTGGCTGTGAAGGAGCGCGGAGCAGAGTCACATGTGATGTTATAGCTGATTGATGTAAATGAAGGAAAGATAGAGGAAAGTAAGGACAGAAAGAACCGGGTGCTTAAATTCTGCAGCTGTATCGGAGGCCCCCGCACCCCTGCAGTGAGTCTTGTACTTGGGGTAAACCTCTTGAAAAAGCAAACACTGGTGTGGACGTAGAGGACGGTCACGTCTTCCTGTGATTGACTCCTCCAGGAAAAACATTCTGCAGCGACCTCCTGCAGAGTCCGGGCTGTGAACCTGCACTGCTCTGCAGGCTGCTGACACCCCTTTGTCTACACAACACAACACAACACAACGACCAAAATATAATGTGTTAATCACAAGCATTCTCATGCAAAGAATGAAATGCACTTAAAAATATGCTGCAGGGCAAACAATGTCTCTGTTTGTTGGTGCTGATCATACATATTTAAATGAGCTATTTTGCATTTATTTGGGGCAAAATGTTCAGTACCAAAAACTATCTGCACAAGGAGAAATGTGCTGCAAAACCTCCAAAACAGATGTAGCTTTTTACTGCATGTTTTTTTCATCTGCAGTGCACTACTGTGTGAAGAGCAAAGTGCTGCAAATACGAAGACAGAAAAAAGCTGCAAATCCAGATACAAGCAAAAAACTACTTTGACTTTCATCGAAGAAGGTGGAAGAACCTGTGCAGTTTCATCTTCTCTATGGGTCATAACAAACTTTAACTTTGTTAACTTTGCACAAAACACATGCCCTAAAGGTCCCCCATGATGAAAAAATCTGCTTTTGGGTGGTTTTCTACCAATACTATGCATTTCCCCGAAGCCAACTTCCTGAAACTTCCTGAAGAGTCCTCCTGTATGTGATCGACAATTTACCAAGATTACCCGTCCACACAGAGGACTCAGATACTCTTCAGAAAAGGATTAATGCTATTGAGCTTACTAGTAATTATGATCATTAATCTGTGGTTAAAATAAGACCCTGGATGTTGCAGAAAGATATGAAGACCAGAAAGCTGACTGACTCACAGGTCGAGTGGATTTTACCACATCATATGATTTTACTTTAAAAGCTTTTATTGTTTATGTAACAATATAACGTTGTACAGTACAGGGTTGACTCAAATAATCACTAAGCACTGAATCTTACATGATTTGTTTCAGATGTACCCTAAGTGGAATAGTCCTGTTTAATCAGAGCATTAAAGTATCTCTTCAGCTTTCTGCCATTACAGTTAATGCTAACGTGCAATCTCCCTGCTAAAGTAAGAAACACCAATCTGAGTTGTATCAAAGTAAAACTTCTTTAACCAGCAGTGAATCTGTTGCTTTTAAACGTGATAGTATCCTGATACAAATGTCGGCTGTGTTGCTGCCGGCTGTCTTCTCACATGCTGTGAGCGAATGAGGAAGCAGAGGTCTGAATAAACTGATTAAAATGATCTTTAGTCAGAAGAAACATTAAAGGGATGGAAAAGAAACATCAAATGAGAAAACACCAGAGTCACGCCGGATTTATCCTGCCAAGCATGTCGGCATCAAAAGGCTTTTATTTTGTTGAGACGTGTTGGGGCTGTGTAGTTCTGCCAGAAGAGCCTCCAGCAGAGAGAGCAGAGCGTTCAGTTCGGTTTGCATCAGAGTTTCATCAGGTGTTTCCAAAGCAACACAAAAATCTGAGCGTTAAACACACAGGATCCCTAAAACATGTAAAAACCTGCAGCTTAATTCAATCTTACACTTTTTTTTTAAACTAATGCATTCATATAAAGCAGCTTTTCAAATTTAGAGTTTAAGAGTGCTAATTTTCTCGCTGTGAAAAACTGCTAATGACAGATAATAATCATTACAATCATTCTATTATACAGATCAATCTGCTGATAGAGTGGTTTGATCAAATCTAAAAAAAATCTAATTTCTGTCTAAACCTCTACTAATTTTTCTGTTGTTTGTTTCTACATATTTTTTAGAGCTTTGTGTCTCTTTTTAGTTGTTTTGTCTCAGTAAAGTTTGTGGTCTCTAATTTTACTGGTTTCTGTCATTTTTGTCTCTTTTTTATTTCCCCTCTTCTCTTTTCTCTTCTTCTTCTTTTTTTTTTTTTTTGTCTTTTTCTGTTGTATGTCTCAGTCTTTTTGTGTGTTTTTCTTTTGTTTATCTTTGTTGTTGTTTTGTGTTTGTTGTGCTTCTTTGTTTCTCTTTTTTGTTTTCAGTCTCTCCATAGTTTTTTTGTGTTTCTTTTTGCATTAACTTTTGTAGTTTGTTTTCTTTTTGGGTTTTCTGAACTGCGACTGTAATTTATTGACTTTTTTATTTGATCAGTGTAATTTGTTGTTTGCTTTATGTTTTTTTTCTGTTGTTTTGTATCTCTCTGTTTGTCATTTTGTGATTTTTGTGAGTTTTTCCTCTTCATTTATTTTAATACTTACCATTTTTGATTTTTTTGTGTGTGTGCGTGTGTCTTTCTTTCTCACTCTCTTTGTAGTTGTTTTGTTTCTCTTTTTGAGTCTCTTTGTTGTCTCTTCTCTTGGCCCCTATCCTTTCTGTCCTGCCGCAAAAAAGAGGAGGTCGTTTGTTTGTTTTTTCTTTTGTTTTTGTCTCAAGTCTTTTGTCTCGTATATTTATTATGTATTTTTTCCTCTGGTACCTTTTTTATTTTAAGGGCCTTATATCTGAATGTAAGTTTTTGGTCTTTCTTCGTAATTTTATGAGTTTATTTCATGTGTTTTGTCTATTTGTGTAATTTGTGGTTGGTTTGTATTTCATTGTTTTGTCTGTTAAGAACAAAAATTATAGCACATAACATCTTTTGCTTTTATTCCCTGAAGTGAGGATTCTTTAACCTTACAGTGACATTTATTCTGTTAAACTTCCTCTTGTCTTTAGAGCCGTTTCATGCTGCTTTGCAGTGGTTGTGTAAGTCCTCTGTGTTTCTGCGGTCAGATTGCAAAGTGTGTAACACGTCTCCACCACAGACAGCAGAGACGTTTGCTGTTGCAGAACAACACAGAGTGACCTCAACTACGGGGTTAATGTGGTCATGAGATCAAGAGAAACAACGGGAAAATCCTCCAACTGTCCAACTTGAACTAACGTCATCCAGCTACCTTAAAAATCCTCTCACTTCTTCGCTCCCACTCTCACTTCCTGTGGGTAAAAGTCCTCCATACAGCTTTGCATTTATCATTACACTAAGTGATTAGTGTGGATGTGTTACTGAACATCTCTCTACTAATGCTGCATGTGGTACAAGGGGAGCTAATTTATCTAAAATATTGTCCAAAAACCTGTGGTGACTTCCACAACATGGTCTTGTCTGTTTTCAATGTGGAGATATCCTTAAATACATATAAAAAAACAGAATACAGTAACTTATACAATCTTTTATTATCAGCACAGGCAATAGCAAACAGGTGGCCCCTTCACATTAGATTCAATGCCAGTTGCTGCTGGTCTACCTGAATCTGGTGTGGGATGCCAAAGGCTTCTTTACAGTAGTTGAGCTTTACTTTGCTGTTGAGCTCAGAACATCACCTACCCTCCAGCAGGTAAACTAGGTGAGTTTATGTTGATGAACAATTAGCAACAGAAGGTGGTTCATCCAGAAACAGGTTTTTGTGTTCTAATAAAAGTTGAAATTTCCCCCTTCAACATTTTTGTTCCACATCCACCTGATGTAATGATCATCTTTGCCCTTAACGACATCAGCTGACCTAAGGCGTTGAAAACAAAGCTAACGGGCACTTCCTCTTCAGCAGCAGTGAACTTGGCTGTCTGTCACGCTGTGGTTACAGAGGGAAAAAAAAAAACATAACAGACCTCTGTCTCACTTCCTGTAGTAAAACGGTCATCTGCTCAAGAACAACCAAAACAGGAAGTGAGTGGAGTGTGACAGTATGACGAAGCGTTTTTATTTATCCGGTAACACGTGAGAAAAGCTGTCTGTGGTTTGCTGCAGCAGCAATGTGCTAGAAACTGTGGCTCTGAGGCTACGAGGACATTTATTTCTAAAGTGTGCAATTTAAGACAACTTTGTGAAGGGCGTTGTTTCAGTTCTCATTTTTTAAGGTCTTCTTTTTCATTCCTGAATGTATTTGTACCGATTAAACATTTTGACCTCTTTTAGGTTTGCCTGGGACACTGCCTGAGTAAATCTGCAGAATGTGCAAACTCTATAAAAACTTTGATTTCCTCAATTCTTGATAGAAAAACTAGACCCAGTCAGGGGTGTTACTTTTTACACAGCTTTGTTGTCATAAAATGGCCCCTAAATTATGCTTTGATGGTAAACATCCAAGGCTAGCCGTTAGCGCTAACTTCATGTTGCTATCGATGATGAATATTTTTGACTGTGGCTGTTAAGGAACACGTGACCACTTTGGTGCATTGGTAAGAGTGCATGAATACCAGGATGTTATTGTCAAAATGTTTATTGATAATGGTTTGATTATAACTCAGAATGTGTGTGTTTCAGTGCACAAGCTTAACAGCGCTGACAGCCTTAGCCTTATTTATACTAACCATAGACTGTATAAACTATGGACAACTTGGCTCAGCCTTCCGCCACTACACAGATTTAAAGCCAAATTGCTCTCGGTATTTCCTGGATTTTCTCCACTTCCTGGAACCACCACTCTCTCAGTAACATATGCATTCCACCACTTATGCAGTAGCATTTTATGCATTTGGCAGGAGAGTCACAGGGAGTCACTATGATGACGCTCAGCTCAAACAGTGTATCCTCCAGGTGAGCTACGCAATCTTCGTACACCCATAGGCTGTATCAAGTGTTAATCATAGAAAACATGAACCCCCTCATAACTTTTAAAAATTGAGCTGTACAGTAAAAATAGGACATGTCAACATCGCAACCAGGAAGGAGAAAATTTTTTTTTTCTTTGTAATAAATTTCGAAAGTTCGCTCACAGCTCCATAGGGATTGCTGGTGGAGGCGGGATTTATGACCTATACTGCAGCCCGTCACCAAAGGGTGCTGTTCTTGCCGTGGCTTCACCCAGCGAGGAGGCAGATGGTGTCTATTCTATATATAAAGTCTATGGTACAAACAGTATGCCTAAAGACACCCATAGTTAGCCTGGAAGTTTAATGACTAATTAACTTGTCATATAGGTTATGTTTAAAAGGGTTAACAACAATCTGTGCCTCTCATACATTTTAAATGTTTTAACTTTATTGTAACTATTTTTACAGCAGTGAACAGTGAGGAAATTTTTAATTATTGTCTGTTACCTTTTTGATACTACATATAGTGTTTTTCAGCTCTTATAACTGTAACAGCACCACCCAGACTTCTTGATTTATGGTGCTTTATCAGCTTGAAAAATCAAGCATTTCCTCGTGTTTTCTGCAAAGGAAATGCAATTCTTCCTGTTATCATCAGTTGTGAGCTGTTCACAGTCAGCTGGGGTCATCAGTCGAGCCACTGTCTAAGTTGTCTGGCATGCTCTTTAACCTGTCAGCATGATGCTCGGCTTGTTGGACTGACGTATTGGTTAATTGATTGATTGGCGGATTGATCTGGGGGTCTGTGTCAGCATGTTGGGATGCTGTATGTTGTTGTGAAACATAAACAGGGCGTGTATTCACCTGATCGTCAAACATGGGGCTAATGAGGCCAAAGATTTACACGTCTTTCTCTGCTCTGCTGAGACAGCAGCCAAACTGGCTCGCACGGGCCTCTGTGACCCCCCCCCCCCCCCCCCCCCCCCCACACACACACACACACACACATACACACACATATTACACTAACATGTACAGTGTGCTGTAAATATAGATCAATTGAGGAAGGTTTTGAAATCTAATTAAGAGAGAGTTTCGTGTTTACAGATCTGAGTTTAGAGCTGCTGTGGTGAAATAGGCCAACACATCCGTCTTGTTACCTTTAAGGGACTTGTTTTTGTTTGACAGGCTCGGATTGTTATTGAGTCAGGAGCACTTTCATCAAAGAGTATTTATCATCTGCATGTAATAAGTTATACATAGCAGTGTGGCTCTGTTCTTACAGCTCAATGCACATCCTCATGTGTATGTGAAATGCTAAAGCCTGATACAGGGAGAGAGTACCTCCCCCCATGTGCACACTGAACAAAATTTCCCCCTAGAATAAATAAAGTATTCTGAGTCTGATTCTGACTCTGGTTCTGATGATTATAAAAGCCCAGGCAAGTAGAGCTGCAGCAAAGGCTCCATGTCTCTATTCTAAGAGCTCCCTGCCCTTCCATGTGTGTATGTGGAATGCTAAAGTCTGAAGCAGGGAGAGCACACGCCTCCTCTATTTTATGGTGTATACATCAATAGCTGTGGAAGGAAGAGCAGCAGCAAAGACTCAGTGAGATGACCTTGGTGAACTGGGGTGGAGGCTAGAACCAATGTGTTCGCTGCTACTCAAACTGCTCTAGCCACCCTGCTGTTCCTGCTTCCTCTGCAAACCGCTTTGCAACCGGCCTCCACCCCAGCGCCTCTTTTTTATGTTGTGAGGGGAGGTGTGCTCTCCCCACCTCAGGGCCTTGGCTTTGTACTTTTGTTGGTGATACCATCATTTGACAAATACACCTGTTCGACGAGGCCCTGACTTCCTGCTGCTCAGAGCTGACCCATGACTTTACAGGTTAACCGGCTCATGTTAGTTAGCATCTTGAAAGCCAGGGTTTCTTTGAAAATAGTGACCCTGTCAGCTGGTGACATTTATCCTAATGTGAGACGGACATTTGCCCTTACTTTGCCCTCATTGCAGAAAGAAACTCCAGATAGACAGCCATAGATAGCCAACAGAGAGGGCTAACTCGGACTTTAGCTGACTAACTCTGTAAATAAGTATGGATATTTTTGATTGAGTATGTTTTCATGGATTGGTTGTATTTATTTGTCCACTTCGAGTTAAAAACACACAATTGTAAAGCCTAAAGAAGAGTCTAGAGCGGTTTACTGTGTTTTGAATACATCCTTTTTAAACTTGGTATCCATATTTGACCTTCCAGAGAGTCAGATTGCAGCCCTGGATGGCCCTAGAGTGTGAAATAGTCCTCTTGGTCACTATAAAGACACCCATTTCCTGCATAAACAGTGTAAATGATGACATTTGGCTGGCTTTAGCTTGAGAGCACACGGATGAACACACCTGTTACCTCGTAAAGACCCACCAGCCCGTTCAACCCTTAAAATCCTGAGTATGAACACATGGCTTTGAGATTACATGTTTCTATCTCTGTAAATATTTGCTCCAGCAGCTCAGTGTCAGTATTTTGTCGGAGCCTCTGCGACATGAATGAAGAGTCCTCTGAGAGAAAAGTTTCTTGCGTCCTGACAAGCAGCTGTCAATGCAGCGAGGTCTTAATGTGATAAAAATCTGTCTGCAGGCTGAGACACGCCGGCCTTAGTGAAGATTGTGGCAGCTCGGGTCGATATGTGACGATCGGCTGGAGTTTTCTTTGAAGTCTGCGGACAGCCACAGCATGCTAATCTCTGATTTCAAACTTTCCACATCTCTGTCTGACACTCCATGACGATATCAGGGTAGACTTCATCTGACAGCCTCAAACCCTCAGTGCTCATCCCGGCATCTCTAACGAACAGTTTATCTTTTGGATCAGTGTTTGTTTGGGGTTCAGATTTGGTCCAAGTGTGTGTCTGCTGCCCTCGTCATCAAACTCCTCAGTTACACTTTTATAGTTTAACCATCCAACAAAGCCTGAAAGTGAAAAACAAAGTACAGTGGAGCCTCATTCAGAATTGGATCTCTGCAGGAGTTTTTGAACTCTTAAGACTTTCAGTCAATGTGTTGGTAATATTTCAAGTTTCCTCCTCAGTTTTCACAGACAAGACCGACTGATCTGGAACCATCCAAAGTGCCCCCACAGAATAAAACTGAGCAGCAACTTTCTGAGCAGAAAATAAAGAAATTTGTGCCAAAAGAAGTGCCAAAAACTGCAGGTCTCTAAGTGTCCACAAGAGGCTGGCTGTGAAAGAAAGAAATCCCCCATTAGATCCCATATTGAAACACAGATTTTTTCCTGGAAAAAAAAAATACATATAAAAAACGTCTCCGGTTGGAAAAAAACAGTTTTTGGTTTGTAGCTAAATTTTTCATTTATACACACTGTTCAAGGTGAGTTCAGTCTGAGTTATACTTCTGCACTGACTCTGTGCAGCAGCTTTTGTCATAGCCCTGTACCTATTAAAAGACTACGCAGGAAACCTGGAACATGAGGTAAAGTGACGAGCAGAACTCATGTTGCAGACTAGTGTTTTGTATCAAAGAAAGACAGAGTCACTCCAACACACAGGCCTGTTGTGTTATTGAAGACTTTTTAAAGACTGCTGAGACTTAAGTTCTCTCTTTTTGCACGCTCACACATCTGAAAAGCCAAGGACGAACGTCTCTCTCTGAACAGCTCAGCGTTGAAACTTGTCTGTAAATGTCAAGATGAATGTGTCCTCAGCACAGCAAAAAGGAAAAACGATGAAAAGGAGTGACAAGCTCTTTAGTTCTTTAAATCAGTCTTCTTAAAGAGTAAAGAGAAGAAAAGGCAGCCACAGGGACTCAGCTGGAGCTCCAGTCTTCACAGAAATCCATTAACAGAGGAGCAAAAGCAGATCTGTCCTGCTGAGTTATATCCCAGTTAGTGACTTTCTGACATTATCAGTTGGTTAACTGGATTCCAGCTATGTAATCTGTCAGTATTATCATTATTAACCTCAACAAATTTACTCTACAGATCTATATGAGATTCACCATAGTTCTTTGCTGGAGGAATGATAACACATTTGAAATGTCACATATTTACATTAAGAGTGATGCTTTAGTGCCTTCTGTCAGGTGTCCCAAATTGCCATACTCAATCTGGCCGTATGGGAGTCTAACCTGCAATTTCCACCGCATCTGGAATGGCTACAAAAAGGCTGTATCCGCCGAACGTAGCTGAGCGTAACCATTCAAGTTACTGCGTCAATTTCCACCGGCTTCGTTCCATTCTGCTGCGGATCGCTGGACTCCACAGCTGATCGCAAGAGTTCTATTTTTTCCGGACGCCGGAGCATGCCGGATAGATTCAGCACAGATTAACCTGTGCTGGAGAGGAAGTCAGGCACAGTCACAAAATAAAACATCCGGCTTCTTTTCAAAATAAAACACTTTGTGTTTCAGGTGGATTATATTTCAATGCAAACTGGCAGAGATGAACAAGTGAAAGGTTTTCAGACAGAATTTCACCCTGATGACACCATGGATGATGACATGCTGATTTTATAAGTCTAGAAGTAAATTTCCACCTCTGGAAGGACACAGTCTACTGCTTATATGGTTAGCCTATATGGCTAAAGACAACTTGTTATCGCTGATTGCACGTGAATCCGTGGGAGTGCCCTCTAAAGACCTGACAGTGCTTTGTTATTTTTCAACTCCTTTTCCTCCAGAATATGATGCTGGTAAAACATTTTCATATCAGAGTCCATGAAACAAAGTATTATTTCTGTATATTTAAGTGAACTGACCCTTAAACAAGAAAAAAACAGAGTTATGGAAACACAAGGGTTTATTAAGGTTTAGAAACCCCCCCATATGACTTTGTAAAAGTCCCATAGTGTTCATTCTTCTTGTTTCGTGACTGGCTCACGGTCTGTGTTGATGTCTGACTCCCGCACACATCTGGGACCCGTTTGTTGGAGCTTGTGTTTGTTTACAGCGGTTGAAAAATGGCCGCCGATCTTTGATACCTCCACGCAGTGTGTTGATCAGTGATGTATATACACATTAAGCAAGGCCTCAGGAACATTTCACTGTTTGAGTTATTTGATTATAGCAGCTTTTATAAATCACAGATGCAGCCAGAACCACCCACGTTTAACATATATTTCCACTGCAGCCATGACTGATTCATACCAGGCATATGTTCATCAGCTGTGCACACATTCATGGAGCCAGTGGAATATGATTTTACAGAAATCCTGCATGACCAGGAAAAATAAAATTGTCTTTTTATACAAAAAAATAGGGCGACCACATGTTTTGGTTTGATGCATCTTGTAAATTTCTAAAATTTATCTGTAATTTGGTCTTTTTTGAGAGGCTCTATTTTCATCTATGAGGGTGCAGATGGATGCTGAGGCAGAAAAACCCCACAAGGGAAAAACACGAGGCTTCCAGGAGAACACCAGTAAACTAAATATATGATCTGTAATTTAGAGGAGGCATCTGTTCAAGTGTCAAAGACGCAGTTACAGCAGCATATTTCTGGGTGCAGGGAGGCTGCACAAAAATATTGTTCCTGCCTAAAGGTATAAAGGGCCTTAACCTACATTGACTACTCAGCTTCATACAACCCTTTTATGCTGTTCAAACTTCCTTGAGGTGATATGTGCACTTTGAGCTTGTTACTATTGGGTCATCCCCCACTTGACCCAATACGCTGCATACCAAAACAATACTCATGTGCATTGATAAGAGGCTACTGAACTGTCTCTTCACAGCTCTGATCTTTCCATACACTGTCTTCATCTCTTTTCACACTCCTTCTTCTTCAGTCAAGGTTTTGTTCACCGACCAGCTTCTTATAAACCATTTATGCTGTTTGACTGATGGGTAAAGGTTGGATTTGCAAACCGTAGGGCATACTCAGAATACTTAAGTGACTTTGAGTCATAAAAGAGGTATATGCATGAAAGAGAAAAACAACTCTCAACAGCATTTTGTAGGTACGTTCAACCAAGTTCGAGAAACTGGATTTCATGCAATTTTGGCTCGACTAACATGCACAACTACACAAGACCCTGGATCTGTGTGATGACAGTGTTTCAAATGTTTAAAATTAAGCAAAAAAGACGGTGACACTTTCATAGGTTAGCTTTTCACAAACAGCCTGAGACGAGAAATATTGGAGGATAATAAAAAATGTTACCGTCATTTAGCAGTTTGGGCTTTTTTACTAAACAAACCTTCTTTGTTTATCCTTGTTTTTTCAAATTAAAGCCACATAAAGACCACAGGTATCAAATTTTCCTGTTTGAGCTCCCATAGTAAAATCTGATTGAACAGAACTTTATCCTGCTTTTGTTCTGCTGGAATCAGATTTACTGCAAGAGCTGCAGACTAGTTACTGCGGTGACTGTGTGTTTATGTGTGTGTAGCTATTGTGTGGTTTGGCTGTGTCTTTTGTGTGTCCATGTGTGTAGCAGGGGAATAACATTCCTCAGTATTGCCACAGCGATGATAAATGCAGTTCAGACAGTACACATGACATCCGGTGAGCGGCCAGCCAGCGGTCAATAATAAGCGGGGTGGAGGCCGAGGAAGAACTCTCTGGATGTTTCTCAGACTTTTCAGGACAAAAAACCAACAAGGTTTTAAAAAATACCGTGATACTTGAGGTTATAGACAAAGATCCAAATCCAGACCAAAGGTTAAACATTTAATTGGGACCTAATGGTGACCTGAAATCTCCCTCTGCTGGTATCTATCAGCAGAAGCTGGGAGGTCATATAAGGAGGCTGAGCTCTCCTGGTCAGTTTGGTTTACACCTTCAATTGGTTTTCTTCCCATTGGATTAAATATTTTAAGAGAATTCTAAGTTCTTAACGTAATCCATAATCATCTACTGTTAGTCTACGGGGTTTTATAATGTCCAGAGTAAGTGCAGCCTAAATCGTACCAGGAGATTTTAGAGAAATTCCTGCTTCCCTCTGCAGAGAAGCTTTATGGAGATACAGATTTCCTTATCCAGCAGGACTCAGCACCTGCCCACAGCACCAAAACTACCACCAAATGGTTTGTAAACTGTGATATCACTGTGCTTCAGTGAGGAAAATTACCTGATCAGAAACTTGTCATATATGATACATATGTGATATATTTGTCAAAATACGAGACACCAAACCCAAATATACAAACCAAAGGCCACTGTAAGGCAGGATTGACACCTGCCCACAGAGCCAAAACTATCACTGAAAACTCCCTCTACATGGCTAAAATAAGGCTGTTTACAGCTGAGGTCAGAGGAGTTCAAAAGCTTATTCTCTGTGTCCTTACTGACCCTGGGAGATCACATGACCTGCACCGCCACCACCATCAGCACACTGCTAAGATCCAATGATCAATCACCATACTGCAGCACTGTGTTTCTGTAAACACAGGCATGAATAACACCTCCCAGGTGGGCTGTTAGTCACATGTAGAAATGTGGTCGTGCCAGGGACACAGACAGACTCAGTGCTGGTTAACTGGGGTCGGGGGGTCCAGAGGTGAGAGTACAATAAGAGCTTGTTTGCAGAGGGTGTGGGGGGCTGTGATCCATTCATGTTGAGGGTTAGATAAAGAAGTTATTATGCACCAAGTATCAACACGCCGAGTGATTCGTACTCACTTGGACCAATGCCAAACGTCCACATGGCAAACTCATGTCCCTGGTGTTACTGTGGATCAGGCTGTGATTGTGTGTAGAGATCACATCAAACAAGACAGGTACTCTGGATACTGCTCCGCTGTTGGCTGCAGAAATCCTTGGTCTGCACTACAGAAAAAGTTTGAACATCAGGATTCCCTGATTTTGTCATTTATTGTTTTAGCTTTATGTTATCTCTGCCCAAGTTTCAAATGTCTGAATCAGCATGACAACAGCTGTTGGAGTGCGTATGCTTCCTGCTGCTTCATATTTGTTCAATATATCTTTACTGTGATACCAGCTTACCAGGTTACCTAGTGACTTGCTGTGCTAAAACTTGAAGATTTATTCCTTCCTCACCAAATACTTGCAGCAACGCTTTGCAAATTGCAATCAGAAACAATTAACACATAATTAATGCTGAGGGCATGATATTTGCACCCCTGTTACGCCTTTTCTGCAGCATGTATTGCTCTGAAGTGTAATGGTGTGGCTCGTCATTCAGCCTCTGATCCTCCATTTGAGGTTGTAACAGAGGGCGAACAAGGGAAAGACAGTGGGATGTATAGCGTCAGAGGCAGCAGGGCGGGGGCAGGCAATGTGTGTGCATGACTGTGCGTGTATGTGGGGGCTCCAACTGAGAGCTAACAAGCTTCTGCAACAGCGTGATGCAATGTGAAATCACACACTGGGGGGTAACAACATCATGACGTTTCGAGGTGCAGACTGTAATGTTGTGTTCACACCACATGCAAATGAAATAATTTGCACAAGTAGAACGTATAAAATGTTTATGTAAAGATGTGATTTTTGTTGGACAAATTGCTCAAATTTGTCTATGCAAGGATGCAAATTTGAAGCACTGCTCACTTTATTCACAAGAGTGTAAAAATGTGAAACTCCGACCAATCACTTGCAAGAAGCCAAGTAGCCAACTCACCTATAGCCGCTTAGCATGGAGACCCCTTGATGGTGTATGTGAAAACTAGACTGGTGGAAAGTTCATTTAAATGAGGAAAATGAAAATAGAAGACAAACTATGGGGACTGACTCAGTTTTGCCTGCTAGAAGCACATACAAACACACGTAAGCGCGCACACAGACACAGACACACACACACACACACACACACACACACACACACACACACACACACACACACACACACACACACACACACTTTAAAGCAACATGATATATATTAAGTCAGTGCAATGATTGGGATAAGAGAGAGAGAGAGAGAGAGAGAGAGAGAGAGAGAGAGAGAGAGAGTGTGTGTGTGTGTGTGTGTGTGTGTGTGTGTGTGCGTGCGTGCTACTCCCTTCAGACAGTGTCTCTGTGGGGTTTCCTGAGTCTGAAGGCAGAAGGCAGCAGGTGAGGAGATTCTGCTCGGTAACCCGTCGTCATGGAAAAGCCTCCCTGCTCTGTGATTGGTGGAGAGCTGCAGCTGGAGGTGTGTGAGGGTATCATCCGTCAGACGGACCAGGTGGTCAACCGTGTTACATAACAGCCCTCTGTTCTCACTCAGGCTCATTAAGAAGAGGCTTTTTTAACACGTTGATCATCACAAAAATCAAGACCCTGGCCCACACACTCTTTATTTAAACACTGAACATTGTGGGATGAATATTAACTGACGAGTTGTTACTTAAAAACAGGCACCATCCAAAAGTTAAAATGAATTTGTCAGAAATCGTTTCTCGGAGAGTATTTTCCTTGTTGACAGTCTATGTATTGTCCCTCTGGTAGCTCTGTAGGATTAGCAGAAAAACTGCATACTTATTTCTGATTGGAGCCTTTGAAAAACATCCTAATTTCAGCCTGTGTCTGAAACACTTCATTTCAGCAAATGGCATTTCAGAACACTTTAAAGACCTCCAGAACCAAGCACTCTAAAACACAGCTTTCTAGAACTCAGCATTCTAGATCTCAACATTCAAAACACAGCATTCTGGAAAACAGAATTCTAGAACTAAGCATTCTAGATCTCAACATTCATAACACAGAATTCTGGAAAACAGAATTCTAGAACTAAACATTCTAGATCTCAACATTCAAAACACAGCTTTCTAGAACACAGCTTTCTAGAACTAAGCATTCTAGATCTCAACATTCAAAACACAGCTTTCTAGAACACAGCTTTCTAGAACTAAGCATTCTAGATCTCAACATTCAAAACACAGCATTCTGAAGCACAGAATTCTAGATCTCAACATTCAAAACACAGCATTCTAGAGCACAGAATTCTAGAACTCAGCATTCTAGATCTTAACATTCAAAACACAGCATTCTAGAACACAGAATTCCAGAACTGAGCATTCTAGATCTCAACATTCAAAACACAGCTTTCTAGAACACAGAATTCTAGAAGCCAGCATTCTAGATCTCAACATTTAAAACACAGCATTCTAGAAGACAGAATTCTAAAATAAAGCATTCTAGATCTCAACATTCAAAACACAGCACTCCAGAACACAAAGATCTAGAACTAAGCATTTTAGATCTCAACATTCAAAACACAGCTTTCTAGAACACAGCTTTCTAGAACTAAGCATTCTAGATCTCAACATTCAAAACACAGCTTTCTAGAACACAGCTTTCTAGAACTAAGCATTCTAGATCTCAACATTCAAAACACAGCTTTCTAGAACACAGAATTCTAAAACTAAGCATTCTAGATCTCAACATTCAAAACACAGCTTTCTAGAACACAGCTTTCTAGAACTAAGCATTCTAGATCTCAACATTCAAAACACAGCTTTCTAGAACACAGAATTCTAGAAGCCAGTATTTTAGATCGCAACATTGAAAACACAGCATTCTAGAGCACAGAATTCTAGAACTCAACATTTAAAACACAGCATTTTGGAAAACAGAATTCTAGAACTTAGCATTCTAGATCTCAACATTCAAAACACAGCATTCTGGAAAGCAAAATTCTAGATCTAAGCATTCTAGATCTTAACATTCAAAACCGCATTCAGGAAAACAAAATTCTGGAACTAAGCATTCTAGATCTCACCATTCAAAACACAGCATTCTAGAACACAGAATTCTAGAACGAAGCATTCTAGATCTCAACATTCAAAACACAGCATCTTAGAACACAGAATTCTAGAACTAAGCATTCTAGATCTTAACATTCAAAACACAGCATTCTAGAACACAGAATTCCAGAACTGAGCATTCTAGATCTCAACATTCAAAACACAGCTTTCTAGAACACAGAATTCTAGAAGCCAGCATTCTAGATCTCAACATTCAAAACACAGCTTTCTAGAACACAGAATTCTAGAAGCCAGCATTTTAGATCGCAACATTGAAAACACAGCATTCTAGAGCACAGAATTCTAGAACTCAACATTTAAAACACAGCATTTTGGAAAACAGAATTCTAGAACTTAGCATTCTAGATCTTAACATTCAAAACACAGCATTCTGGAAAGCAAAATTCTAGATCTAAGCATTCTAGATCTTAAAATTCAAAACAGCATTCAGGAAAAACAAAATTCTGGAACTAAGCATTCTAGATCTCAACATTCAAAACACAGCATTCTAGAACACAGAATTCTAGAACGAAGCATTCTAGATCTCAACATTCAAAACACAGCATTCTAGAACACAGAATTGTAGATCTAAGCATTCCAGAACTCAACATTCCAGAACCCCATTTTTCAGATAAGGCTTGTTCTGAAAGAGCCATAAACTGTATATACTATAGACAACTTGGTACCACCTTCCGCCAGTATACTGATTTGAAGCCAAAAAGCTCTCAGTAATTCCACATTTTCTCTCCATTTCCTGAAACCAACATTGCGCAGTAGCATTGTACGCACTCCACCACTTGAGCAGTTGCATTGTGCACATTCGGCAGGAGAGTCGCTGGGAGTCGCTGTGATGACGCTCGGCTCAAACAGCGTATCCCCTGGGTGAGTTATGCAATCTTTGTACACCCATAGGCTGTATCAAGTGTCAATCATAGAAAACTTGAACCCCCTAATAACTTTTAAAAATGGAGCTGTACTAAAAAAAGAGGACTTGAGCACAAAGCAGTCTTACAGTGGCTACATGTCAACATCACAAGCAGGGGGGAGAAAAATTATATTCTGTGTAATAAATTTCTAAAGTTTGTCCACAGCCACATAAGCTTTGCTGGAGGAGGCAGGATTTATAACCTATACTGCAGCCCGTCACCAGAGGGTGCTGTTGTCAGAGTGGCTTCACCTAGCTATGCGGCAGATGAGCTGCAGATAAGACCAGCTAGTATGAGCTGCAGATAAGTTCAGCTGGTCCATTGGGCTGAGCTTGACTTCATGGCCTGTCTAGTTTAACTCTTGCTCACTTGATGGACTATTGGACGAACAAAATCCATGGTATATACACCCACAGTGCAGCCAATCTGTCCATCAAAATACATACAATGCATCCCTTTGGTTTGGGGTCAACTCTGAGTACTTTTTATTACATCATTTTGTAAAAAACTCAATTTCTCTTTGTCCCTTGTCCTCCTCATCCTCCTCTTTGTCCTCTAGAGTTGACCAGGAAGCCTCTTATACAATTACTGCCAGTGGAGAGCCATAATTTCATTCTTCGTCTCTCTCGGTAGGTGGGTAGATGAGAATATAAGCGGGTGCTGCACCTGGAGAATACATAATGGATCAGAAAATGTGGGATAAAAATAGCCGAGGATGAAGAGAGAGGGAGGGAGGACACATGACTCCATCCTCCTCCTGCAGAGAGGCCTGTGGTTTACATTTGAACCTCTTGTTGTTCTGGGAGGGCGGCGGATGGTGGTGGAGGGTTTTTTCTCCTTGGCAGACATCACACTGAACCTGGCGCAGGCTTCTTCCAGCTCCTGATTGAAGTCAGATGTTTGGCTCAGTTGGTGGCTCTTCCTCTGTTATTCAATTCAGCTCTGATGAATAAGTGGTTTCAGTGTTTTATAACGAACAAGGGATGTGGACTTAGGCGTTCTTCGAAAGCTGAGATCTTACAATGTGCACACAGAATATATTGTGTAACAATCGTTTAAAGATAAAATGAGAAGAAGAGAGAAAAAGATGTTTGCATATCTGTTTGAGGTGTCTTGTCATATGGTCAAAAATCTTCAGAATGTTATTCACTTGTGTTAGCCAGGGTTGATTTTAAAAATGGCTAGATGGTGCATTCTGGTTATAAATCAAAGTTAGTCTGTTAAGGAGCTCTGACAAATAAAGGACTGAGTCATCGGTGTAATATTGATCACCAACAGCAATGTCTTTCACCAGTAGGTGGGGCTATGATTTAGAGTCTTAACCTTCTTTTTAACACTTTTATCAAAAGGCAGTATGACTTTGGCAAGAAGGTATGTGTATAAGAGTTCAGGCTGGGACCGTCATCAAACATGTGAAATTTGAAGCAAAGTCATGGCATGATACATATGTCCAGCAAAAAACATGTATGGTCCACTGGTCTGCCAGGTCTTAAACCAAATACAATGCACTTTTTACATTTTGGTATCCAAGATGCACATTTTTGAGGGATTGGTTTTTAAAAGAAAAATTTTAAACTAAATTATTAAAAACATTTAAAAATATTTAAAACGAAAACCTGAATCCTGTTAACACCTCTGTCCATCTTTCTCTCTTCCCCGTCAAACCTCAAATCTGTTTGCTTTGATGTGCTGTCCTCATTAGCCTGCCCAGATCAGCACACACTCACATTTAACAGAGTTTTAACCATCACCAAAGACGGGAGATTGGCTAACATCCAAGGGATTGAATAAAAATCTGAGCATCCTTTCTGCCAGAAACCACAACTACCAGTCAGCGTAGAAATCAAATTCTTCTTCTCTCTTTCATAGATCTCTGCAGACCAAACACAGTCCAAGAATCACACTTGGATGGGCTGGAAAGGTTTCAGCTGTAAAGCAGGAGCTTTTAGTCATTCTGACAGACCTCCCAAATCATCCAAATCTCTGTCCCTCCCTCCCCTGCCTCTCCCCCTATTTATGAATAGTTAACTCCAGGGTTTGGAGGTTTTTTGTGTGAGAACTCAAAGCATTCCTCTTTCTGGCTTGTATTAAAAACAGGACAGAGCTGTGTAACAGGAGAAAAGAGAGTTGCAGTCACTGAAGCTCCTCTATGGAGCCAAAATCAAAAACAAACACCTCCTCTGTTAGCCATCACGGCTGGCTAACATCCTGGACTCTTTGTCCTCTGAAGACCGGTGACTGTTCCCTCAGAAATCTGAAAAAACCTGCAGCAGCTTAGAGTAAAGAAATTTGACCCAAGACAGGAACTAAGAACTGATCAAGTAGAATCCATCTGTGCAGGCTCTACAGACCACAAAGCAGCAAAAAGAAAGCAGGTGGACACATTTTGACCTTGACCTGCAATTTTTTAATGTCATCTGTATAATATTATTCCCCACTGTAACTCATTTACTCAGGTCCAATGATGGAACAGTTCATTACAATCAGTTTATCTACATGTTGTTCAGATAAAATCTATTCATTGCGTGAGGCATACCCTCACCTAGGCTAGCGAAGAGGACAAACGTTTGTCAATATCCCTTCTAAAGCTGATGTTAGCTTTGTATTCAATTTTGTTGACCAAAACTTTTGGCCTGTTTAAAATTAAATAATCAGATTTTTGACACCAGGGCCCAGGGTACTTTCAGCTTCTGGATGTGGAGGCCAGGCTGTGATCGGCAGTGGAATCTTGGCTGAGTTTGGTTCCCTGAGCCGATCAGCTCAGACAATCAGAGGACTTATTACGGAATCCCTGTTGGCAGGCTGAGGAGTAAAGCTGCTTTTTGAGGCCACAGGTGCCGTCTGGTGGATCTTAAAGGGTCAGAGGTCACTGTGTCATGCTGTCATGAGAGGCGTGTGACTCTAGACGGACAGATTACGACATGCAGGAGGGGATTTAAAGACTGAGCTTTCCCTTGGTCAGCAGAAGTCATTCAGGAGAAGAAAACCTGGTGTGTGATGGACATGACTGCTCCTGCTTTGAGTGTTCTTGGAAACTTTCCCTCCCCTGTATGGCTGATTGAATCACAGATACAAGCCCTGAGACATGCTTGTTTTTCCAGTCCTCTGGCAGGACTGTTGCAGCTTAAGGTCCTGGTCTTGTTGGAAACTGTAAGAAGGAAGGACTGTAGAGGTGATGGACTGATGGAGGTTTTCCGATCAGGTAGCCGCAGGTGTTTCCATCACCTCAGATTACCTGACCTATATATCAGCCGTGGCTTAAGACGATGTAAGAACACAGAGTCTCTGTACTCTCGCTAAGAGTCTTCCCCCACCATGACCTTTAAAGACAGGAATCCCTCGACAGCAGGCGGGTAAACAAACATGTCAATGTACTTAAGTTCCTCTGAGCTCTTTTCATAGCAACAACATTCATTCAGATGTTCAGCTAAGCTGCTCCTGACCGAAGAAAGCCATTAGCAAGGTCCTTCATGGTCAGGGAAGGCGGATGTCCCAGTCATTAAAGGCTAATACTGGTATTTTTAAACCTAAGCCTTGTTGTCATACACTCAGTTGTGTAAATAATCAACAGCTCCAAACAATGTGAGAAGATTACTAAGTCTGGAATACAGGCTACAATGGCTGCAACCCAATCCTCTGTGCCAGTTTAGAGACCCTCCACTAAAAAAAAAAACCAATGGTTTTAGTTTTTGTCCCTGTCCTTGCCACCCTGACTTTATCCAAAATTTTACTTCTGGCCCCTTATATAAAAATCTGAACAAAGTCTTGCAAATGAGTGGGACAGTGTCTCTATTCAACATTATTTGTACTGGGTGGAGTTCCAAACAACCTGACTTTAGCCAAATGTTTTTTCAGCCCCTTAATGAAAGTTTGTGCAAAGTCAGGTTTAGCTGATGTGATAAGTATGTCAATGTTTAAAAAACTGAGTTGGGAAAGTGAGTGACATTTTGACATCAAATACATTTTCAGACACCCTTAATTTGTCCAAAATTGTTCTCGATGTGACCAATTAAATTTTTTGCAAATTTAGGGTGATCTGATGGAATAAGTGTGCTGGGGTCTGAAAAGTTTTTGCCAGCTTGGGTTGGGGCAGTGGCATAATTCCCACTGTGTGGATTTTCACAACAAAACTTAACCCAAAATGTTCTCAACCACCTTGGAGAAATCTGTGTAATGTCAGGGTGAGCCCATGACAGTTGGTAAATCCCAGAAAAATATATAGCAAGAGAGTTAGCGGAGACATGACTGGATCTGAGTCAAGCTTAGCTCTCTGTCTTGTTATTCTGGATTTTGGAATTGTCCTTGTACTTGTCATAGTGATATAAACATAGAAACAGTCCCTATTACTCACCCTTGAGACAAAAACAAAAGGCTGGTCCAGAAAATTTCAGGACTTTATTACCCCTGAAATTGACCAGAGTTTTTGTGTAAAAGAGGCATGTATTTCATTATTTCTGCTCAATCTAATGTTCGGCCAAACAAAAAAAAAAGGCTGATGGTTTCATCAAATATTTTTTCTCATAACTGCAGGCAGCTTTACAGTGTTGTGCAATCTGTTGTGCATCTGGAAGACAAAATGTTCTCTGGACATATTCCAGACAGACAGTCTTCAGAAACCAGGGCTAACTTTTCACATCCTCTCCTCTTAACCTTTGTTGTCACCAAAGATCCACGAATGTGACTCCTAAACCATCCATATTTTTAAAAAGATTAAAGAATACCTTCAGATTTCAGAGGATAACTGTGATGGTGGTCATGTTAGTGACTCCAATGGTTCACAGCATTGTGTGTTTGGCCAGTGTCCTGCTGGAAAAATGCTGCTTTCAAGGAAATAAGCTGCTGACAGTAGCCCTGGATGAACTCATATATTCTAACCTTAATGATCAAAGAGAAACAGAGAAATTTCTCCCGTTCAAAGTCATAAAATAGGGAATTTTTATAGTTCCTCAAGTGAAGTCTTTCAATATTTCATTTTGTCCAGAATCAACTCAAAATCAAGAGGTTTGTTTTCAAACATTTAAACAGAAAAACAGAAAGATGTGATGATTTCAGATCCCTCAAACTAATCCTTTCTGCTTTCTGGGGTCTGGTTTCATTCACTACTGTTCGGTTCAGTTTGCTATGTTAACCCTGATTTTGCTGGAAGTGTTATGGCTGCTAGTGATCGACAGGCATGTAAACAGATATTTCAGACCACAGCATGAGCAGGAGAACACATCAGGGTTTCTCCATAATCTCAGCCAAAAATACACCAAAAACAGATCAACTAGAGACTTAATTCACTCTGTATCTCTTTGGTCTTTGTCACAAGCATAAATATATACCAAGATGGAACTTCCAGAATGCTCCAGAAGGGCCTTATAACTGAACGATTTTCCACCCAGACCACTTTTACAGACTTAAAGTACGATGAGCAGGCCTGCATATTGTGGCACCGATTATTAGACACCAGAACAGGTGGTTTTACTTATAGGGGGAGTTTTGCCAATACGGTGTGTACATTATCATACATGGTTCTTGCCATAATTAGGACTAAATGTGTTTGTAAAGTAATAACAGTGAGGTTCATTTTTAGGTGTGTCCTTGTTCCTATAGCTGCATAAAAATCCAGACCTAACACTTATGAGTGTGTGAAGGAAGCACATTAATCTGTCTGCATGTCTGATTAGATGATTGTGTCTGCTTGCATTATTAACGTAAAACCCTCAGTTGGGGAATTGTCTCATGTTGCACATGATTTGGCAGTTGAAACTCTCTGCAACTGCAGGTGGTGACACAGTCTGGGTGTAGGCACAGCATGTGTCTGATCATGTAATACACAACCCACACCATGCATCACATCATCACATGAAAGTGACGGAGGATCTCCAGTTCCAGGATTACTCAGTTCCTACTCAAGCAGAGAAAAATGTGTAACTGATGAAACCTAGGTCACTTGGTGGACCAGAAGAGAAAGATTAATACATAAAGAAAAATGTGATAATGTTGCTGTTCCAGGACCTCCAGTGCAATCATTGAGACATAAGGGTCTCACGTGGGCTACAAAGACAAAGAACAAGACTAATACTCAGGGTTCCAAAGTCCTGTCAAGGTCCCAGAGTCTGAAGGACGATCTGAGAGGCCCAGAATCCAATGTGCTTTAGGTCCAGTGTAAAGTTTGTACAGCACAATGTGTCGCATGTCCGTGTATAAGACGTGCTCTATAAATAAAGTTTTGATTGATTGGTTGATTGGTTGATTGAATGATTGAATGATTGAATGATTGAATGATTGATTGAATGAAGCCAGTTCAAAAGTACACAAACTGCAGTTCCTCAAATGGCCACTTGAGGCAAGCTCCAAAGGGATTCATCCTCCATGGGGTACCATGTCAAAAGGTTCAACTACAAAAAAAGGTCACAGTCTATTTAAAAAAATCTCTTTGAGCCAGGGATTGATGCTGCAGCTGGTTCAGATTATTCAAAAGCAAAAACAGGATACATGTTGACTTGTAATTTAATGAACTGGGTGATGCATTTGTGAAGATTTCATCAGATCAAACAAGGCAAGAACAAAAACATTGATTTCCCTCCCAAATGTGTTGGGCACATCTCTGTTATCATTGCCATGTGCTTCACTAAGGTCAAAGGTCACAGATATGTCAGCAGACTACCATGGCAGGATCCAATTAGCCTGAGAAGTCAGCTCAGTTGTGTGGGAGAGAGTCTGTTTCATCCCAGAGGATTGTGGGTCAAAGGGAGAAACAGAATCAGGTGGTTGTGGGAGAATTAGACAGACTTTAGCAACTTTTTCCTCAAACAATTGCTCATGAAAGGTTGATAGTCAAGCCACAATTTCAGAGTATGTTGTCATAAAACACCCAGGCCTGCCCTCTATTGCAAAAATACCCACACATATCTACTGTCCTATGTACCAAAAGGGGACCATCTCTCAAAATGGCCAAACGTGGACCCTAATTCATAGTCAGTCTTGCATTAATTGGACAAATGGATAACTTTTTGTGTTTTGTTCTTGCTTAAACTCATCATGTAACATTATGATTCAGCCCTTATTGCAAAAAAAGAACCCACAGCATATTGTGCTATGCTACCAAAATCTTTGAATTTCCCTTTGAAGTAACACTTGCGGCTGACCTCCAATAAGTCCCGTGACAGCTCAACTGTCCACTCTTTGTTAGAGTTTAATAAAGCTCAGCTCTATTGATGAAGTGAACACACACGCATTAAGCTTCTTGTTCTCAGGGTAAATCTAGGTGAGAGGTCACGAGGTTATGAGGTTAAATTTTACATTCCTCAGCAGCAGTGAGGGATTCAACAAACAAACACGCACGCACGCAGTGAACCACTGGCTGATATGGACTGTAGGACTTGGTGCAACACTGAAGACATACTGAGTTCCACAAAAGTAAGTTAGTACAGAGAAAGAAGAAGAATCCGAACTCTGCTTTTAGATGGTAAAATGGATCACAGACAACTTCAGAGAGATTGTATGGCTTTAAGCAGGAAGTTGAACAGCATGGATGCATCTCTAGGAAGTCAGGTGGCAAATAAAACCTCAACAGACAAGAAAAGGGCGTAAAAAAGGTGAAACTTCCAGAGATGAATTTCCATTTACTTTCTGTTGTCTGTTATCAGTCAGGGAGTGGTGAAATTACCGTCATTTGCCAAACCGCTAAAGTTTACAGCAATTACAACCTGAAACACATGATAACATATGATGGTAATATTTGAGTCTACAGGCTTGAAACACACACACAGCTTTGAAGAGTTTCCTTCTGACCTGTTGGTATTGGTGTTTTCATCGACTCGCTCCATTATGTGGGTTCATACAGCTTTGGTCCTCTTTGTTTCTGCAGCCTCAGCCATGCTAACGTTCCTCAGAGGAGACTTCACGCAGAGAGTGGCCATCTGTGGAGAGCGGGACACTGCCAAAGCACACACACACACACACACACACACACACACACACACACACACACACACACACAACCATAACAACAGGCTGCAAGATAGCTAAATACTCAAACTACATAGAGGATAGGGTCTGTATGAGCTGGGACCTGCTGAAATAATGGTACAGAAAGCAATTAAAGCCATCTAAAGCCCCTGAAATTAAGCCCTCCTCATAAATTAAAATTAACACATGTTTTTTAGGAAATCCCCTTCCCCAGAGGAGCACCCCTTCGTTTATCTGTAGTGAGTCTCGTTTTCTCTGTAAATAGTCCCTCAGAGGCCTTACTCTTGCTTCCTTAAGCAGTATGAACCGGAAACAGAAAATAATGTTCTTGTGATTTTCTCCTCATGAACAGGTCTTCAGTTTGCTAAAATAACATCATGGTGCAGATCAGTAAAAGGTCAAAAGTCAAGCTTTGTCAGGCCTGTCCTCAAGAGGAGAATACTACTAAATGTTTGTTGGACAGAGGTCAGATCCATCATTTCTGATGCATTCAGGCAAGTCAGGACATCAAAAAGCTGAACGTCTTTAGTGACTCAGCATCAGTTAGATTAGTGCCTTAGTGTAAATGTTTGATCTCAAACAGATTGTTAGTTGACTGTTGTGCAGATATCTCTTTATACAGAAAAAGAAATCATCTTCAGAGTACCAGCCGTGGGAGCTGAGATGTCATTGTGATGGATTGTGTTCCACCTGCTTTTGCTCTCCATAAAGAGTGGTTTCCTGCAGATACCTGCTGACATCCGTTTGGTCAATATTCCTCAGACTTACAGCAGAAACCAGAACCCCTCAAAGTTATACTGAGAGTAAACAGAGCTTCTCTGGCTTGTTGCATCACTCTTGCAGAGGACGAGAAAGTCATGCTCTCCAAAGATGCTGCAGGATGTTTGGTTCAAACTCCCAAGGTGTGTGTGTGTGTGTGTGTGTGTGTGTGTGTGTGTGTGTGTGTGTGTGTGTGTGTGTGTGTGCGTGTGTGTGTGCGCACGCATTTCATTCATGAACCTGGAGGAGTGGCTGACTTATTTTTCCTTTACAGCTTCAAACCTCTAAATATCAAAACCTCACAGCTGTCTGAATACATACTCTGACAACACACACACAGCCAGCACTGTGTGTGTGTGTTATACAGTAACAGACGGTGTGTATTCTCACTGAGACAGTGTGTGTTTTTGAAGATGCAGTGGTGGACCAACAGCTACCCCTACGGATATAGAAGGAAACTGCAGGCATTGTCAGCCTGTTGTGCCCATAATGATATTGAGGGCATATTCTGGTCTCAGTGTGTGTGTTTGTGAAGCTGAGCTGATGACTGAGAGGAAACCACTGCTATATATGTACAGCTAAATATATATACATATATATATATATATATATATATATATATATATACATAGAAAGAGGCACAAGAGGCACTAATCATGGCGGCACAAGAACAGGCCTTGAGCAGCAAAGCAATAGAGGCCCAGATCTACCATACCAGATCTGGACCAGGCAAGATCCCAGGTGCAGGCTGTGCAAAAAGGGCCCTGAAACGTATATATATATATATGTATAAATATATATGCTAAGAAAATATATTCCATCATATACAAAAATATATTATGTCACATAATATTTCATTATTAAAAACAATTATTTTTTAAATGATGCACATAAATATTATTTATCTCTAATAATGAGATAAGTTTTAACATTAATTCTTGGACTATTTTGAACTAGATTTAGAGTTAAGAAAATATGCAAAATATACTTTGTTGTTATTGACGTTTCACATAAAGTTCAGGATTATTTACATTTTTTAGATTCTTAGTTTGCTAACACACTTAACAATTTTCACTCCTTTAACAGCCCTCTATACTGAAGCGTCAACAAAATATCGACTTTTTAAAGCTCCTGCAAAGAACTTTTTGTGTGTGTCAATTTTGAGCCCAATTCACATACTTTTGTAGTGTTTTCTGAAAAAAAAAACATAATTATTTTTGAAAATGCAGCTCTGACAGTAAAATGTATCATTTATTTTGAATTACTTATGTGGGGGGAAAAAAATATGTTTCTTTGGCCGCTTGGCTAACACCTACCCTCTCACACAAGTTTCAGGCAGTAAAACTTGCAGTAAAAATTTAGTCAGTCGTGTTGTGAGTGTTCTCATTTGCTTTTGTATATAACAATAAGGCATGTGTATTTCATTCTATTTCAAAAATGTCAACAACAAAAAATAAAAATCTCCTGACAGGAGATTTAAAATGACATATCCCGTCGACGATACATCATATTTTATTGAGCAAGTATTCAGTAAATTTAACTATGTTTTTTTTTATCATTCAACGTAAAATAAGTAAGGTATTGTATGCATAAAATGTGTGAAAATTGAACGTCCCTTGGGTGTGTTAAAGACGTTTGTTTTAGTTTATTTTTGCTGTTTTAGTCAGGCACTGTACGGACGCCGTCATTCTGTCAAACGTTGGGGGCCTTTGTGGTCCTTCAGCCCTGAGCTGCTCCGACAGTCTCCTGCTGGTAGCTTATCGCCGGTGAACACCGCTCAATTTACCGTCAATCCTGCTCAAACGGTTCGGGTCCCGGGAGTGATGATGGGCGGAAGGACCAGCGCGTTGGCCGCGGGGGTGTGCGGGGCTCTGTTTGTCGGATACTGCATCTACTTCGACAGGAAAAGACGGAGTGACCCCAACTTCAAGAACAGGCTGCGGGAGCGTGAGTGTTGACCTCTTCTCCCTCCTCCTTCAGCGGGCCTTCGGGCTCCGATCCGGTCCGGTCCGGTGGGGTTCGGTTCTGCTGGGCTCGGTTCCGTTCGGATTGGCGTGTCAGTCAACGTTGTGACCGTTTTTGACGGCTAAAATGCCCTGCGGTGCCTCTCCATGCGACTCATACTGGCTAGTTTTTTTTAACGCTTTAATAACAAAACCCCTTTAGATTTTACGCAAAGTGAAGTTTTATCCTCAAAATAACGATCTAACATGCTCAACAGAGTCAGTTTGGGACGTTAATAAGAATCCGCAGAGTATTCAGGTTAATTCGGCTTAAAGTAGATCAAATAATTAGCCACCTTTTCAGGACAGAGCCATGATTGTAAGTCATATGTTTTTCCTCCACAAAGTTTCAATGTGTGCTCATTTTTTATTGATCTTCGATCTTCAGAAACAGATCTTGGAAGTCATTTAGTTTCTGCATATAGCATTGAAAATGGATGAACTATTTATCTGTGATTCTCAGGATGTTGGGCGACATTATGGGGCGTTATAACAGTTCCAGGTCCACATCTCTACATATCTGTAAACTACTAAATGATAAAATAGGCTGATGCCTTATTTCCCCCTTTTGCCTCAGTGCAGCAGGTTGACACTGACGTGCTGTCTCTCTGTGAAATGTAACCTGTTGGCTGACTGTTTTTGTGTTATTGTTGGCCTGGTAGGTTATTTAATATGTAAGGCTTCTTGGGTCTTCAGTCTGATCATAGTTTAGTGGTCTGTAGTCTTTACAGCCTGGAACCTAAAACAGGACTGGAGGAGTTTTTCTCAGATTTTCTGGAATTTCTCAAATAATCATGTCAGCCCTTCATTTATATCCTGGCTTGTTTGTTTGTTAGTTAATTGATTTGTCTGTGATGTTTGTCTGATGTCTCCTCACAGTGCCTCCAAAACGTCATTTATTTCTGAACACACTCAGCATGATGTTTGTCCATTTGCCTGTGGGTTGGTTGTTTTGTTAGTCATTCATGTACTTTTTTGGTCCAATTTTGGTCCAGTTTATTTCTTTCTCCCCTTCCCTTTTCTTTTTTTTTTTTTGTCTTTACTTCCTCGTCATGCACTGCCAAGATAACAGCTACTCTTCCTGGGATACACAATTACCTGCCTACCCTAAACACTGTAAACACTTGAAGTTTGTAGTTTTATGAGGCCTATTTCCTTCAACTGTATTTGGCTGATCAGCTTTTTTATGTGTGTAATTTTAGTTCAGCAGGTAAACTTTGGTATCTGATGGTTTGCTCGTGTCTATTTTGTGTTTTCGATACAGGGAGGAGAAAGCAGAAGGTTGCCAAAGAGAGGGCGGGCCTTGCAAAGGTAAACACATTGTCATCATCATAATGATAAAATGTATTAACATAGCACTTTTCAAAACAGGGTCAAAAAGTGTTTTACAAATCACTGTAGAGATGAAACAAACTAATAAGTATAAAAGAGATTCATGGTGGTGCTTGTACTTAGTGTGACATTTTAATAAGTTCACAAGAGTTTAGTTTATTGTGAGAGAACTGATTATGTTCAGAAACTGTGACTCCAGAGGAAACAGAAATAAAATGTAGAAATCAGTGTGAGCAGCTGTACGATCTGCTTTCTGTATCTGAATGTTTTTTTTTTTTTTGTACTTCAGCTTCCAGACCTGAAGGATGCTGAGGCAGTACAGAAGTTCTTCCTGGAGGAGATCCAGCTAGGAGAGGAGCTGCTGGCTCAGGGTAATTTTTCAGCATTAGATTTAAAAGGTTAAGTAGTGTAAGTAAGAAGAAATTACAGGCAGACAAGAGCTACTCAAATTGATGAGCAGATCCCTGTGAGGAACAAAGTAAGCCCAACGTTTACCAGAATTCATCTGTAGTGACTGCTTTCCTTAACAAAAGTCGCTGTGGTTTAGGTGCGCTTGGATCTGTGACTCACTAATTCATTCAGTCCGCTTGAGTGTTAAAGGTGATTTATTGTTCAAAAGTAGAAAAAAAAAAAAAAAACTTAAAATCTAACACTGATCCAGGTCCAAACTTTTGCCTTTATATGAAAAGCTGATATGATAGAAATGAGGATAGAAGAATAAGTGAAAAACAGTCAACAGAAAATTATCAGAGCTCACTAAACTCCATTGTCTCTGACTACACCAGTGTTTTTAAATAACCCACCAAACGTCCCAAAACCACACCCCTCAGTGTCGATCCATGTAAGTGACATATCTGTAAGAAATCATACCCTCAACAAATATGTTTTGGCTCCTACACATCATTTGTCATTTAAAATCAAGAAACATGACTCTGTAGCATGGCAACAGTGGAGGAGGTTTCCAGAGGGCTTGGTTCTAGAATGCTTTGAAGTGTCTTAAAGAGACAGTAGCTGAAATGACACGTTTCAGACTGAGGCTGAAAAGAAGGTTTCCAAAGACAATTACAGAAAAAGAGTTTGTTTTTCTTTAGCTGTAAATCATTTAGCAAAGCTATCAGAGGAACAAAATGAACCCTTTCCTTAAACTTAAACTGGTTTCTGTGAAGACTAAATCTTTTCTCTGTCTTCTGCGCTAAAGGAGACTATGAGAAAGGTGTGGACCACCTGACCAATGCCATAGCGGTGTGTGGTCAGCCCCAGCAGCTGCTGCAGGTGTTGCAACAGACTCTGCCGCCTCCTGTCTTCCAGATGCTGCTCACCAAACTGCCCACCATCAGCCAGGTGAGACAATCAGACACCTGAACTCTCCTAACACTGTCTGCATGATCAGCTTGTCTTCATCCCCCTGTCTATTTCCGACATGCTCTTGACACTCTGCTCTCTGCCCTGCAGCGTATCGTGAGTGCACAGAGTCTGAGCGAGGATGATATAGAATAAGAAGATTGAACCCAGACCCTCTTCAGGCTCGTCTTTGTCGTCCTTCTCTCCACATGGACTCCACCTTTCATTATGACCTGCCAACACCTCGGCCTCCATCACTCTGGCCGATGTCTGTCACTCCCCATCAGAGCGTCCTCCAGGACCTTCACTTTTTATTCCTGGTTGATCCATAACAGTAGTCTTTGTTTTTTACTTAAATTACCCGTTTTTGGGGTATCAAGTGTATCTTGACCGTGAACCCATGAAGAAAACCAAACCCTGTCCCTGTTCCACTATAACTTAGTCTGTGCTAACTGGACTAGGTATCATTGAAACATGAATCAGCTTCTTCTCTCAGGGTGGCGTCGCACACATCCTGACAGCGTCACGCACCAGGTTTACACTGTCTGCCATGTTTGTACTAGTCTTCATCGTGGTTCTTGTAATATCAGAGGTAGAAAGTTACAGAAACTGGAGTTTCGTCACTGCTCAGATGCTTCAGAGTATTTATTGTTTTGTTATCAGTTGTCCTTCTGTTCCAGACTTGGAAACACTTTTTAAAAAGTGATCAAATGTTTTCTTCATCATAAAGAGGAAAAACCTCTTTAGGGAAAAAACAAATAAAAATGGCAAAAACCATGGCGTCCTCATTTGACTTATTTTCAAAGTCTCTGATGGTCCAGCAGATATCACGGTGGTTCTTTGGCCTCTTTTATGATAAAAGTAGTTGGGCTGCTGTACATATTAGCATAGAGTCAGTACCTGTAATTTAATTCAGGTTTAGAGGTTTGGGAATTTGAGCTGTATCTTTGATACAACTGAACACCTCTTTCATGTCCTTGGATGCTATTGGTCGATCCTAGCTATCTGAGGCCTGTCTGACTCCTCCCCTCCTTTCTGGTCCCTTAAGCTATATTTCCTAAACGAACAAGAAAATGTTACTGAAGGAATAAAAGAAGTAAAACCATTTTCTCACAAACTTCAAAATAATCAGAGGTCATGGCTCAGTCCACTTGTTAAATGGGAGTGTTAAAAAAATCTGAATATTGTTAGAAAGTTCAATATTTTTGATTAACCCTCAGTAACAACAGATCTATCAGTTCTGTGGAAAATTATCATTTCCTGCCATCTTTGACAAAAATGTAGTCTTTTTATTATAATCACAATATTTTTAGCGAACAGGAGCGACAGCAGGTAACAGTTCAGTCCCTCAAAGCAGCAGTGAGAGGGTAAAGAGCTGGGGTCTAACCTGGTTAGTTCAAAACACTTTTGTACATGTGAGAGAAAACACGAATTTATTACACTTTTACAAACAGCTCATGCGCCGAAGGAAGGTTCGGGGTTCAGTTAAGGAAACAATATCCTGGTCTTCTGTAGATCCCCATAAACTTGCTTTCTGGATCTGAGTTGTTGGTATGTTCAGAGCAGAGAGCGTCATCGCCGAGTCCTCAGACAGCTTCACTTCCTCAGATGTGGACAGATTTTTTAGGCTTTAGTTTCTTCTTCAGTCCTTTCTTTTTGGACTTTTTGTTTGGATTCGTCATCTCTCCTTTGAATGAGCCTGGGCTTTTTGTCGCCCTCTGCTGGTTTCCGGGGAACTTTCTTGAAGGTTTAAAGCCTCCTCGACCGCCTCCTTGCTCCCTTCCTGAGCCCCTCATTTGGCTCCTCATCGGGCCCTTAGCGGGGCCTTTCCCGGCCCTCCCTGTGTTCCCTTTACTGTCAGTTTTCTTCAGTTTCTCCTTTTTCACAGACCTCTTCACCCGGATAGATCTGCCCTCCAGTTTGCTGCCGTCCAGCTCCAACGCCAGCTGAACTGAGTCAGCGTTCTGCGACAACAAAACACAGACTGTTAGAAAACCCACTCCAGTCATTGAAGCAGGTGCATTTTTCCAATTTTTGATTGTGTCTCTTAGTGCTGGACGATAATTCGATAACAATATATATCGATCGATAGACGTGTGGTGCGATAGAAAAAAAACGGGTCGATAAAAAGTTCGATAGAAAAACACAGTTTCCCTTTCTTTTTCATCATAGCCTATCATGTAGCTTTTACTACAGTCATTACTTCCTCCCACCCAATCACAAACGCAGACCCAGGTACGCTACGGCACCAAGCCCAGCCCCTATCAAACCACAACAGACAGCACGTGTATTAGATAAAATGATACAGCAAGGAGAAGCGGAGGACATTGTCCCGAAAAAAGGTTTCAGTAGTTCACCAGCATGGCAATGTTTTGGTTTTTAGAAGTCTGACAAAAAGCGAACAGCGGTCGTTTGCAAAATTTGCAGAGAATTAGTAAAAACCAAGTCTGGTAACACAACCAACTTGTTTTACCATCTAAACCGATCGCACCCGCAGGAGTACGAGCTGTGTCGGCCGCGCCGCGGCTCCACGTCATCGTCGGAGGAATCCTCTGGAACCGCTGCCAGCACCAGCATAAAGCATGTGAAGCAGACCAAACTGGACTTCGTTTCTTGCCAAAATACGACAGAGCGTCCGAGCGGCATAAGGACATCACCCATGCAGTAACATGCTCCATAGCGAGGGACATACTGCCAATAACTACCGTTGAAAAGCCTGGCTTCGACCAGCTTCTAGCCACTCTCCACCCGCGATATGAAGAGCCCGGCCGCAAGTATTTCTCAAACACAGCGCTTCAGGCATGAAAATGGGTCAGGGGTTGAAAAGGTGTGAAGGGTGCGGAGGAAATACGTTCCGGTGTTGTGCTGTAGAATGCACCCCTGCATCCCGTCCACTCATTAGCTTCTTAAAATGGAAGAAAATGAGCTCATATTTTACAAAGACGCGAGTATTTGGATCATGGCTACTAGCAGGGGGTGCATTCGGCAGGGGTGCATTCTACGACACAACACCGGCGTGGATAAGTCCTGCTTCTCGTGCTTAGTTTGTGTATTAAGTCAATCACATGATAATTAAAAAAAAATAAATCTCCCGACCCCGGGAGAAATATTTCAGTGTCCAGACACCAGGCTGTGGGCAGTTTCCCACACAGTTAAAACTGGTAGTATGCTATTCCCACCTAAAGCTATTCTGTTTATTTATATATTTGTTTGTTTTGTTTATTTTCATCAAAAGACTATTTAAATATTTATTTATCAGATTTTCTGGTCACTTTAGTCTTTATGTTTGTCAGTATTTACTGACGTCACTCAGGCCACTTAAGTTGATTTCTTTTTTTTTTTTAGTTCTTTTTAAAAAAAACTTTCAGTTGTGGTAAAATAAAAAAGGTGGTTGAATAAAGGTTTGTATTTGAATTCAGTGCTTGTGTGTTCTTTATTAAAAGTAGGTCATTAAGCAATAGTATAAAACATCCAGGGCTGCAATTAAAATATATGTTAAATAATTATAATAATTATATCGATAAATATCGATATCGATCAATATGATTTATTTTTTATCGATATGCTTTTTTTCTATATCGTCCAGGCCTAGTGTCTCTATTTTTTATGTTTTTATGAACTTCCTATGAACGCATCTACATTATTCAGCTTCTAACGGAGAGCCCAGCATGTGAACACCAGCTCAAACTCAGAACATTTAGGCCAGATTCAGTTGAACAGTCGTAAACATGACAGAGAAAATTGATCACGTACCACATCCTCCAGGTGTGAGTTTGATTTAATGCAATTTCAGTCAGACTGAGACAATACATTGATTTTTTATATCTGTACTGAGACCCTGAAGTCTCTAAAAACAGGGAACAGGTTTCAAAGTACAGGACCGACGCGCTCAGGTTAGCTCCATCTTTGCAAACTTCCTGATTTAGCAGCTCTTACTTCTTCTGCCTGGGTAGTTTTGAATCACAATTTTCAGGAAAGAGAGATCCTGAACAGGACTAAAAGCACCAAAATAAGCAGGACTCCAGTCCTCCTACCTGAAAGAGGACGTAGCCAAATCCTTTCCCCATTCCAGAGTTCTTGTCCCGCACCAGCCTCACACCCTCCACTGTACCACACTCCTCGAAGTGCTGCCGAAACGCCAGTTCATTTATTTCTGAACACACAGAGCAGGTTCATGTCAGCACAAAGTAGCGAATATTTAGACTTCATCATCATCAACATGGCATATGAGAACAACTCACCAAACGACAGGTTCCCCACAAAAACCGAGCGTTTGTGATTGTGCTGGAGGACGAACAGAAAGGTCAGTATTGTCTGTGTAGGCGGGTCTTAAACTGGTAAGGTTAAAGGGTAAAAGCTCACCGAGGAGTTGTCGGTCACTCTGTCCACTCGGATGTGATAGTCCTTCTCGATCTCTGTGCCATTCCTGCCAAACAGACCAACAGAGGACAAGCTTGTTATACATTCAGACTTCTTTTCTGTGTCTCATCGCTGAGCGAGTGTCTGACCTCTCTAGTGCCCTGGTCACCCCCTCCTCGTCTTTGAACACGATGTAGGCATTCATGCTCTGCTTCTTGGGATGAGATTTGCGTCTGTGGAGGAAAGAGAATTCTTGTTCAGAACAGAGAAGATCTGATTTCCACACGTCTGTAAACTCCAGAAAAGAAACACTCACTGGATGACGGCCACTTTACGGGACATTGAGGGATCTTCTCTGACCTTCAGGAAAAAAAAAAAAAAACGTCATGTGACTGATTTAAAGCTCCTGTCAGGAGTTTTTAGGTTGTTTGGAAACATAATTAGATGGATACATAAGCATTTTTATGACCTCCAAAAGCAAACTGAGAAAATTCTGAAACTGTCTGCAGTTTAAAGAGTGAGTCCATCTTTCAGAAAACTTTACCAAAGAGCGGAAACGGATGGACTCGATGGATCCCTTTTCCTTGAAGAAGGTCTGGAGGGTCTGAAAGATAAAAACCCAGAGATGAAGATTTTTTTCCCCTTTTAATAAGAAATTAACAACAAAAAAAGAAGGAAAGGGAACTTAAAAATCTTAAGTGAAGGCAGAGAGAAAACATTGTAAACCTCTGCTTTGCGGGGCGCATAAACCAGACACAGAGAGTTCATTAGGAGGTTTAAATCTGATCCAAGCCTCTTTATTATTTCAGGGTTTCTCTGTTTTTTCTCAATATGTAAGATAATTTTACAGGAATTATCAACAAAAACGAGAAAAAGTTCTCACAGAAACAAAAATGTTCTTTTTTTAAAAACTATCAGATAAGTTTTAATAGTAATAAAATTGTACAGGTACTTCTGGATAAAGATATTTTCTCAGAATTCAGAGAAAAGGTGCTGGAAAATTAAAACCCTGATGTTTTCCTTAACTCAAAGTCAAAACTTGACCTGAAAACCTTCAATCATACAAATGAAGAGGAAGAACATCACTCTTTTTTTCTGAGCAGATCGCAAATGAAGAAGCTGATTCTTTACTTCTTGTTCATCATTTTCCTGTTTGACGTTATTGTTGTTTGACAATCACCTTCTTAGTGCAGCCAATGGGCAGGTTTCCCACAAACACCGTCCTCTTACTCCTGACCTTCTCCTCCTCCTTAAATGCCCTCTTCTTCTGCCTTTTCATCACCCACTGCTCCACATCGTTCTCCTCAGGAGCTTTCCTTTTCTTCTTTTTCTCCTTATTTGCCTTCTCCTGACCTTGTTCATCCTCGTCTGCCTTCTGTAAACCGCTCTCCCTGAAAAAAGATGGATAAGAGAGGAGATAGGTGAGAGGAGGGGAATCTCTCAGAGAAGGAAGGGAGAGATTCAGAAAAAGAAGCAGCAGCTCTTTGGATGCCTCACCTGTCCTCCAGCTTCTCCTCAGCTTCTGATTTCAACTTGAGCGATTTCTTCTTCTTCTCCTTTTCACCTTGCTGACCTTTGACTTCCAGAGTTTCTGTCTGCTGCTCATTTTCTTTTGCACTCTTCTGTACAGGCTGCCAGAATGACAACAGAGACTGACTAATGTATCAAACACGGACAATCTGGTACTGAAAACAGTCCAAAAGTGTCAATTCTGTCTTGAAAAAATTGAAGTTTGGATGTTTTGGACTTACCTTAGGCACAGGCTGAAATAGCAGCGGTGCAGCCGGTGCAGCTGTGCTGAATAAAGATGACAGCGATGATCCAGAGGCTCCTGAGAACAAACTTCCTGACACCTGACCCACCACATAGTCAGATGACTGCTGCTCAGGTGTTGGCTCTCCGCTGAGGACAGAAACACTGCAGTTACAGCACTGACTGAACCTGGGAAGGAAACATCCTTCCTTTATGAGCTTCTTCACACTTGTGTTGTGTCGTTCATGAACGATTCGTTCAAAAGAACCGAATCCTTTAAGTGAATGAACTGACCCTTTGTTTCTCACTATAGCTGAAGTGAGAAACAGCATTGCCAGGCCAGCAGCTGACGAACAAAGAACCACATGCACCAACGCCTGAATCACTTGGTGAACGAATCAGACATTGAACTACACTCTTTGGAATCAATTTTTGTCAAATAAAACTTTGCATACAACAGGACAGGACACAGCATGTATCAAGTAGTGCATTAAACCCACAGCATCCTATCATTGCAGCAGTTTGCGAGGGAACAGTGCATGTTCAGTTTGAATTCTTCTAAATGTTCAGTGAACGAATCACACACTGAGCCCAATTTACTGAGCAGACCTGATAAATAGCATACCATTGGACAGTACACTTAATACATCATGACTTTTGCCAAAGCAATATAGCCAAACACTCTCGTCTCCTGGTCCCAGAAACTATGAGTTGAACTGAATCCTGAACCGTTCAGGTGTGTATCAGTCCACCAGGTTGTGGTCGCAGGCCTCTCCCGCCAAGCTTTAAGTGATTCGGTGATTTGGTGAACGAATCTTTTGAACAAATCTTTTTAGTGAACTGATCCTAGTGATTCAGTATATCTAAAAGAACTGCCGTGCCCATCACTACTTCACACTGTCCCCCCCCACCTCCCTAAAAATTACGACCAGAAGATTAGACTGACCTTCAAAGCTCTTCATGGTTAATAGTTATATTATATCTGACATTATAATATTATACACTGAGCTCTGGATGAATGATCCTGGGTAGCCGATATTTACAGACTCTTATTTAAAAATGATGCATATTTTTGACCGTGTTTTTCTCACTCTTCACTTTGTTTTCTCTATATTTCTGTCTCTCAAGCTATTATCATGGTTGAGGGTCTTTGTCCTGGATTTTGTCTGCAGGGCTACAGCTTTAACCAGCCTGTTTAAAAGTAACCCCAGAGTGGCCGCAGGTTATCTTTACATTAACTACTGGAGGATAAAGCTGTAAACAAACCTCTGTTTCAGTTTCTTCTTCATTGTTTCTTTTAGATGGTTCGGTCGTTAAATGGAAACGGTCAGTTCTGTTTACCTTATCAACAAATAAACTATAAAATGAACTCGAGGATTTGCATTATTCTACAAAACTTCACCGAATCTCATGATCGCAGCAGTACGTCCACACGTTTTCCTCAACGGAACACACGTCCAGCGGCAAGCTGTTTCCCGCAGAAACACGGTCTCACCGGCAGAAAGGTTCCCCTTCGTTTTTCGTGAATTATGTTGATTCACTTTGAGGAAAAAAGGGGTTTTTCTGGCTGGATATCGTATGAAATTATCGGAAAATAAAAATACATTAACATTTCCCCTTTTAATTGTTGAATACCTGTTTTACTGCGGAAATGAAGATTCAGTGCAACCTGGAAATGTGTCCGTCCTGGTTAAGTGGGGCAGGGAGATGTTTTGGTCAAGGAGGTTTCTGGAGTATAGAGCTGAAGTCGTTCAAAAGCTGATATAACAAGTAATTACACATTCATTTATTCATTTTATGTTAGTATGTGTTTCTTTTTACATCTCTGTGATAACTCCATGTAAAAGTGGGACAGTGGTTGTTCGTTAGAGGAAATGTTGAAAGGTTTTCATGTGGGACTTAAATGTGGTTTGTCTCATGACAGCAGGCTGAGATGGGAACGGATCCCACGGAGCCAGAGGTGCCGGGGGACGCGGTTGGCAGGCGGGTGTCCTGTGACGGGGAGCGGGCTACAGTGCGGTATGTCGGCCCGGTTCCACCGACAGCAGGTAAAGTCCTCATGTCAGCATCTGTTCTTCTAGCCTGGCTGGGCCATCCTGTTGCGTGAATCACTTGCCGTGGGAAGGAACGGCAAGTGATTCAAGCAGCATGATGGCCCAGCCAGGCTACTGTTCTTGTGCTACTGTCTTTTTGCTAATAAACACAAAAAACTGCGTTATTCCCACATTTGGCTTCAGGGGCGTGTCTTACCAATGTTTGGGTCGCTGAGCAGGGGTAGCGAACCATGCAGGGGTGGCCTAATACTAAAGATTATACTGAATATACTTCCTCCCTCTGTCTCTGCTCTTGATACATCTGTTGTAATTACTAGCTCATAAGTAGTAAGGTAATTTCTCAGTTTTTTTAAAGGAGACATTTTATACTCATTTTCACCTGTCAGTCTGGAACACCTACAGATAAATTCCCTACTTATCTCACACTAGTGTCTGTAATGACCCTAAGTGTAACACTCTTAAGTCTTTGTCTGAATCATTAGATTTTGGCTGCCTATCCACTAAAAGAAAATTAGATGTAACATGTAGAGTGTTACTTTTTACACAGCTGTGTGGTCATGAAACAACTGGACAATTGTGTCTTCACAGAAAATGTCTAAGGCTAGCTCTCACAGCCCATTTAGTGCATGATCTAGACTTAGTATAGTGCATATAGCTGCCTCTATAATGTCCTGGCCAACAGACAAGTCTAGGGAAGTGACAAGTGGAAAAAAAGACTGGTGAAACAGACTTTGCATGATTTTATAGCTTCTAGTAACACAGCTTGTGGATGTCACTTTTTACACAGCTTTGTAGTCATGAAACCGCCCCAAACCGTCGGGCCCTTTACTGCACTGGTATCCTGGGTTGTCAGCCTCATTTTTTAACAACTACAACTGAGACTGTAAACACTGACAGCGACTTCAATTGTGTTTGGTGTATTTTAATCATGTGTTCAGGGCTTTGGCTTGGCGTGGAGTGGGATAACCCAGAGAGGGGCAAACATGACGGCAGCCATAACGGAGTCCAGTATTTCACATGCAGGTGACTCACAGTTTATAAATTACCCATTTTGATAATTTGGGGTTTGTTTATTTGATAAATTTCCATTAATATTTAAATTTAAGATTTTTTTTTATAAGATAGTATCCTAAGATCAAGAGAAGAATAAATTTGAGCATATTATGGAAAGATAACAGTCTGCAGGTCCTTTTGTTGTTATATAGATATTAAATAAAAATTGTTGTTTTCTGGTATTTCTGTACACTTTTAAAGGATTCGCTTTGAAAATATGCAAAATTGCAGTAAAATATTTATTTTGCTCCTCTGTGGTCAGACATGCTAAAGGAGGATCCCTTGTGCGTCCGGCAAAGGTGAGCTTTGGTGTGGACTACGTGGCAGCGGTGAAGCGGCAGTACTGCGGGGACTGCGACACAGAGAAAGAGTATATCGATGGGGAGGGGCTAAGCAAGAAGCTCAGGTAGGATGGTGTCATCAGAATGATCCATATAGGAGGAGAAGTCAGGTGTGTCTGTTCTGTTTTTTGTTTTGTTTACCTTTATTCAGAGAGAAATCAACAGCAGAAAGAGCAGAAAACTGAGAATTGATCCAGGGCTGCCTGCTGGAGGATCATAGCCTCTGTGCATTAGACACAGGACTCTACACTTTACCAAATGAACCTAATGCTGCTTTTTTACACATCTAAATTCTGCAGGATGCACACAGCCCTGGTTGATACAAATACAGGGTCAAACTATAGATCAGCTTTAATTTCACGGCGAACTGTTTGAGGATTATTACAGGAAGACGTTTTTTATCAGCTGTTTAAATCATCCTCTCTAAGCTGAAGTGAGTCTTTAGAATATTTTTTTAGAAGACATTAAACTCTGGGTTTTAGTATTTTCAAATCTGGGTCTTTTGTCTAAAATATTTCGGAACTGAAATGCAGAAGGACAGAAGGTTCTGCCACAGATATCTTCCTTTTCTTTCGGTCCAGTTGGCCTCTCCTCTGGCTTGTTTGTTTGTATTGTTGTATATGTTTAATGTTTTTCATGTTTTTTAATGTTTTTTTTTTTTTTTTTGTCAACACAATATCGTGTCAAGGGCATTGAACTCTAGTATCCTGTATTGTCTCTCTGCAGTTTGGACATGCTTTTTTCAGTGTTGCTGTGTGACAGTGGAGTAAACGGGCCCGGGCCAGAGGGAGAAATCCGGAAAATGACGCCACGTATCCTTCAATGGATCCATCAAGGCTGTAAAAACCGACCCCTCCTTTATGGAGCTGAGGATTGTAGTTTTTTATCAGTGACTGTTAGTGGTTTTTGAAAACTGTAAGAGACTGTGCTTGTTGGGAAAAGTTAGGCGTTGTAGGCAAGGAAAGCGAAATGGAGATGAATTGCAGTGAGATGAAGGGTCTTGTTTTGTCCTCTTATATGTTGGTGATTGGAGATCGTGGTCAAAGGTTGGCGACTGTTGAACTGTTGATGTTTCTGGTTCTTGTTGGGGGTTGAAGTTTAAAGATGTAGTTTTTAGTTTCAGGAGAAAATAAGTAACAGTTTGTGACAGCAGTTAAATGTTGGCGTGTTGTTAAACTTGACGCCAAAGGTCAGAGGTGAAATGGTTGGACCTGTCTAAGACTCTGGTGTCCTGCTGGGAGGACGTCTCATCCATCACCAAACAGCTGGATCACCTCGAGGGACTACAGCTCAGGTACATGGTCCTCTGATCACCTTTGAGTGTGTGTGTGTGTGTGTGTGTGTGTGTGTGTGTGTGTGTGTGTGTGTGTGTGTGTGTGTATGTGTGACCTTCTTTAGTCTGTTGAATCTCCCCCTTGTCGTTCAACAGCTCAAACAGACTTCAGCTGCTTTCCGAGCCCTCATCTCACCATGAAGCCTTCAGCAAACTGAAAACCCTCGTCCTCAACAGCTGTGACCTCACCTGGCCTCAGGTACGCCAACATAACCCTCAGAGAAATACACAGATCTCATGTATTTTTGTTTCTCGATTAAAAAAAAAGGAAAAAACTCTTCCTTTACAATTTCTTGAAACGAAAAGTGTCACCTCGTGTTGAAGAGTTTTGTTTTGTTTTCTTTTAAGTGTAAATTTTCTTGTAAATTATTTGTTACGTTTTACTGATAATTGTCCGATTTTCTCTCAACTTTAATCCCTTCAGATCCTGTACTGCGCCCCCATGTGGCCACAGCTGGAAACCCTGAGTGTGGAAGAAAACAACATCACAGAGCTGCAGAGGTGAAGCTGCTGACTGATGTTTGACAGAGTTTTGATGTACATGTTTGATTGACTTTTGTATGTGTCTTTGTGTGTTTGTTTGTTTGTTTAAAGGCCGGATGGAGTCCTGCAGACACTCAAGAGTCTCAGTCTTTCTGGAAACGTTCTCGATAAGGACAGTGTGTTGAGTGTAGCTGCTCTATCCAGGTAAAACACGCTGATACACACCTGCGCAGGTGATTCATGCCTTTAGGGTCAAGGTTTACCTTTGTAAGTTCTGATACTGATACCCAATCAGTACCAAACCAATCCAATTCGAGCCTTGAATGAAGAGCCTTTGTTCTGAGACTAAAAATGAGGTTTTTGTGAAATCAGGATTTTTTTTTTTAATCTTTGTAAACCAGATGATACAAATGAAGAAATGATACAAATGAAAATATTTTCATGAACTTTTTATTATTTATTGATTACACAAACATTTTAGTCCAATAATTTTCTTTCTTTAATTCAGTCAGTCAGTCAAAACCTGGATAATTTAGTCCGGACTCTCCCAAAATGCAATGCCGCTGAAAATATCGAGAAAATAAAACTTAAATCTTTGTGTTTCCAGACAAGTCAGCCACACTCACCCGACAAATCCAGAAAATATGTCTCTTGAAGATGATACTCTTAAGACTTATTTTCACTTTTCACAGTTAAATCTCCTGAAATAAACTCAGATTTATTGTTCGGTTGCAGGCTAGAGGAGCTGAACTTGTCAAAGACTGCACTGTCAGACCTTCAGTTTCCCGACTCCTCTCCTGGTAAAAATATCAAACACTTTAACAGCCGTTTTAACTGATCACACTGTTTAACATGTGAACACCAAAGTTAGAGTGTTTTTCTTCCACAGGATCTCTGACAGCCATGTTCCCTGCTCTGAAGACTCTGTACCTGGACCACAACAACATCACAGAGGTCAGTGTGGATTTCTGCTCAAAATCTGCTTTAAAACTGGCTGAGAAATCAGAAGCAAATCTGTGAAGAGAGAAGACAGGGTGGTTGGGGAGAGGGTGAACCCTTGCTGGGTTAGATTGGATTGTTCCTCCTCATCCAGACCCACTGCACAGTGTTCTCCGGCTTGTTTCAGAAAATAAAGGCGGTATAAATTCTGTCTCTCCGTGTCTCTCAGTGGCGGGTCGTGGACGAGTTGGCGAAGTTGCCCAGCCTGGTTAAGCTGTCTTGTCTCAGAAACGGTCTGGTGAGCAAAGATGGGAACCCTCGAACAGTAACCCAACTGCTTATCGCCAGATTGGGACGGCTGGTCTTCCTCAATCGTTGTCAGGTGAGCTGGACCTCTGTATGCAGGTGTGTGTGTGTGTGTTTGTGTGTGCCCATGCCCATGCAGACCTGTTGCCATGGTTTCTCTTAGATCCACCCTGATGAGAGGAAGGGGGCTGAGCTTGACTATCTAAAGATGTTTGGGGAGGAGTTTCTAAAGGCCGGAGGGGAAAATCAGGTGGACAGCCAGTTCACGTGTCAGCACCCTCGATACATGAGCCTCGTGAAAAGTGAGTCACTTAAAGAGAGTCCTGTCATTTTTTTGTCATTAGTACCAAAACGCTTCATTTTGGCTTCTTTCACACTGATACAAAGTTACTTTACTTTATTCAGGTTTAAAGCCATGAAAAGACTTTAAAGTTATCCCCTTAATAAAGCCACGCTGTCCTATTCTTTCAGAGTACGGAGCTCCAGAGGAAGGTGAGCTGAAGAAGCCGGAGTCATTTGCTTTAAAGAATCAGCTGTTGAGTAAGTCCCCCCCTTTCGTGCTTTCTGTCCTCTGATCGACTCATAAATAAGGCTGTGATAAACATACTGTAAGACTAGGGACAGAGATCAACTTTCTGGCTTTGGTGCATACAGCTCAAATTAACAAACTCCAGACTTAAGGTGCAGTATGGTTATGAGCAGCAGGTCAGAGTAGAGTCAGCAGCAGAGTTACAAATCAAGCCTGTGTATATTTACCACTGTCCTGTCAGTGCTGATGTCAGAAAAGTAGTCTTTTACAGTCTGAGCTTCATAATGTGCCCTCTGAGGGATCTTCTAAAAACACCTGTGGAGTAGAGACAAATATATTTACACTAACGCTCATGATGCAGCCAGACAAGTATGTGAAAGTGAAATATCATGTCATGTAAGTGCTGATTTTCCACATCTCTGATTAACAGAGGTCAGGTTTGTGTTTCCTGATGACCCTGAACGGAAGCCCATCGAGAAGAAACTTCCAAGTGAGAAACTCAACTGTTGGTTTATAACTTGTGACAAAACTAAAAAAAGTTTTCAACTCTTCACTCTGTCAGTCTGGGACATCTAGAGAGAACTTTTGCAGAATTTTCAGCTCAAAAAACTCCCGATTTGGCGCCTGTGAAAACTCTACTTTCAGCCTCTGCCTGAAATGCTGGTTGTTTTTTTTACTGGTAGAAGGTTCGACACCATTTGGGGTGTTACTTTTTACACTGCGTTGAATTCATCCAATGGTGTTTTTACAGAAAATAAATTAAGGCTAGCTCGCCACTAGTTCCCAGTCATTTGTTAGCTCTTGTTCTTTTAGCTGCTGTTACAGTGTTAACCTGTGGCTCGGAGCTGTCATAAACATTATATATCTTTAATAAAATACAGATCAGATTATTGTCTGTCCGTTGAAATTTCCTGATTGGAGGATGGAGGGAAAAATTGAACAAAGCAAGGATTTTTGACTGTATTAAAGAGTGTGTGTTTTTTTCACCTGCAGCTTCCATGGTGGTTCAGAAGGTAAAAGGGCTTCTGTACAGACTGCTAAAGATCCCTGCAGTGGATCTGAAGCTCACCTACACCAGTCCAAAGGTAACACCAGTCCTGCTCTGTGTGAAAGCTCCTGTTTAAATAAAGTTGAGTTGATATGGAAAAGTCATGAATACTGTTAAAGTGAAGCTCCTTTTTTTCTCAGATGGAGGGGACAGAGTTTGAGCTCGACAGCGAACTGAAGTCTCTGCACTTTTACTCCATCGAGGATGGAGACCAGGTATTGGTTCGCTGGTAATGAAGTCTCTGCATTAATGGTGCAAAAGAACCAACTCGGTCCACAGCAGAGCCAGAACAGAGATTGAATGTGGTCTAATTTGAGCCACACTGAGAGCCAGAAACAGACTGGACATTTTAGGACTGGATCTGAGTTTGAGATAATAAGACGAGGACTTTGAAAAGACTCCGACCAGATCTGTCCGCTTCAGTTACCATCAGGACAACTTTTAAAAAAATCAGCAAAGATGGAAAATGCAGGAGCACCAATAAAGTTTAGAAATACACACTCTGTGAATGTCTTTCTTTACATTAATTTGAATTTATCCAGTAACATTTACGAGGGCGATTGTCATGATAAACTGAGTGAGCTCCACTGAATTAAGAAGTGTTTAATCGAGTGTATTAAAGGGCGATAGTTTGATCAATTCTTACGGTTTATTCCGTATGTGAGGTAAAGATAAACAGAGCAGTAGAAGTGATGATGGTGTTTGGTAAAACATTTAACAGTCCAAGTTTGAATTTTAGTTTCGTGCAGGTTTCAGATTTAAATGAAGGAATAAACTACATGTGTATGAAGTGTTCAAACACATTAACCACTAGAGGGCAGCAAAGTCCAAATATATCAGGACTACAGACAGAACAAATTTACTGAGCAGTCAGGCTTTAAATAAGAACTTTATTGATCCCCGAAGGGAAATTCAATTGTCTGTAGTCTCATTTGTCATGTCTCAAAAAGTCATCTACTATTTATGGAAGAATTATAAAGTCTGATGGCTGTTAGTACAAAAGATCTTCTGAATCTTTCTGTCGTGCAGCGAAGAGAGAGGAGCCGTCCTCCACCATTGGCCCTTTGGTCCATTAAGGTGTTATTAAGTTCATGATCCATGTTCTTTAGAATAATCTCCACCTTCCTCAGTGTAGATCTCTCCACCACATCCTCCACTGAGTCTAACTTGAGTCCAACCACAGAGCCAGCCTTTTTCACCAGTTTGTTCAGACGTCTTACATCTTTGTGTTTGATGCTTCCTCTCCAGCACAATGCAGCGTATAGAACAGAACACTGTAGACACCACAGACTGATAAAACATCTGCAGCATCTTTCTACAGATGTCCATTGATTATAGTCTTCTCAAGCAAAAGAGGGGGCTCTACCCCTTTTTGTAGATGAAGTTTACATTCTGAGACCTAGATATTTATACAATTTATACACTTCAGTTTCAGCCTAAAGGTTCAAGTGAACTGTCCAGGGGTCAGAGACCTATCTGACCCTCTCCCAAACAAATGATCTAAAACTGCGAAACATAAAGTATTTAACACTTTGAATGAAGGTAAAGTCATCTTAAAGTCTCAGTCCATAGACATTATGGACCTAAACAGAAAAAACTGTTATTGAAAGAAAGTGCTAAAGTACTAATGCAGTTGTGAAAAATTTGAAGAAATATTTAAAATGTTTTAAATTACAATCGTATAAGCTTGACTTGAGCTGCCACTGTTAAATGCTCAAAACAATATGGTGAAAATCTCTGCGTAGCATCATTGGATACCATGTACAGTATTTATTTCTAATAGGTCTTTACTTCTTAGATGTTTTATTTTGTCATTTTTTTTGCAACGTGAAATTTACAGCTATAACTATCCCATGATATCTGTGTAGGTTCTCATTTATCTAGGTCATCCAAGGCTGATTCCAAAGGGGAAACTGGACTTGATTGAAGTTCTTAAAGTTTCCCCTCGTCTCTGATCGGCTTCATATTTTATGAGCTTAAGATTTCATAATGCAGGTATTATAAAAAGAAAAGACAGAACAGATTCTGTACATTAAAAAAGGTTTTATTGAGGCTGTACAGGTAATGTTCCCTCTTTGGATGATGTTCAGTACAGGCATACAGTACTTCATGTTCACAGACCTTAAAGTGATGAGATCAGTTTGCAGATGCTGCACAACACAAAAGTGTATTCCATTAACATGAGACATTGCAATGTCGGTGATTGCAACCCTCTCTGAAAGATGTATTTAAAACATGTTAAAATTTAAAAAAAAATGTGATCAAACACTGTCATAGAGGGTGACATGTTGCTGTTGTGAAGCCCTGCTGGACTGATCCCTGTCCTCCCTGATGTGGTTTCAGTCTCTGAAAAACCTGAGCTGATTCTGCAGACATTATACTGACCTACCTGTTATCCACTTGACCAATTCACCTACAAGCCTGAGGATGCACTTTCCATGAAATCTATTTTCTTACAAATGAAGCCATTTGAAAATATTTGAAGGTTTTCTCTCACATGCCCTTTGGCACCACCTGTGGTAGTATGTAGAAACTGAAGGCACCTTCCAGATTTTCACTTACAGTCAGCCATTGATTCTTTTGTGTTTCTTTTACTTTCACTTCACTTTCAGTTTATACTGTCAACTTCATCCACTTTGCATCACTAAGCTAGCCTTGGTACTTTTTTTTTGTCATGCAGTTCCAACACCCAGTACTTACTACCCACAGACATCCATATCTGAGGACTAGAAAGTGGGTCAAACTGTTTTTATAAAACAGTTCTTTGCTGTCCCTTTATTTTGGCCGAGAAAGGACAAAATTACAAATTATTGACCAAGTTATTGTATTAAATAATTTTAAGCCGATCATCACCAGAAAAGTTTTCATTGTAAGAATAAAATTTACATGGAAAGGTGCCTCAACCCACCAAACATGAGCCTAGAACCGCTCGTCTTCACAGCTATCACCATCTTCATTATCAGGTAGATCTGAGGCTAACATCAGCAAAATTACAATATCAGAATGTTGTCTGCATAGAAGGTAATTATATACAAGTATATATAAAAAAAATACACTGAAAGTTTTAGCACAAACTGAATAAATCTTATTTTTAGCCCTTTTTAAACTCTTAAATCAGACCAGGGACCAGGATCAGTCGCTGGTTTAGTGGTTCTATTAGTGGTACAACTGCAAAAATAATGAGTACATAGATGGTGAAAAACTAAATGTAAATGTTACCAAACAACATCACTAGAACAAAAATAATTTCAGATGAAAACTTCATAGATAACATATCCCTTGAAAAGTTCAATATAATCTGATTATATGTTTCTTAGCCTCATCAATCTTTGGTCTGGGTATAAATCACCTTATCATTCATGGGCAGTGGTTTAAAAAAGACATTCCTCATCAGAATAACCATGCAGTCATTTAAAGAGCTGTCAACATCCAGGGTTATCATTATGAACGTGGGTACGTACAAACGTTTGAAGCCAGCTTTAAGATGATCAGTAAGAAAATTTGCATGAGAAAAGACTCAAAATTCTAAATCTTTAAGGATTAGAATTACTGGTGTATCCCAAAAAATGGCCTGTCTTAAAGGAATATTTCAGTGACACTTAGCCACAACAGTAACCTTGATTAACTCAAAAACAGTGTTATCATTGTGGATGTTTACGAAATGATCGTAGTCGTGAAGGTTTTGGCTGCCAGCAGTAATGCCAATGATTGTTGCTAATCTTCAGGCCTCGGCCCAGGTTTGACACTTAAGAAAGGGTCCTTTGGTCAGATCTGTGAATTATTAGTTTAGAAATACCTGAATAATCTTTGAAGGCACAAAAGGCTTCCCCAGGCCCTCTGGGACCTTTCTCACATGTATTAGGTGTTTTAAAGGACTACTGGAGTTCTGATTGTTCTCGCGGTTATCTTTCAGAACAGATCTATAAGAAACAAATACAGTTTCACTCAAAGAATACAACATAAAGCTCACTGTTTGGTATCTTTTCAGAAAATCTGCTGTCATTAATATAAATCTCTGTATGAGCATCATTTGTCTTTCAGATTACAAACACTACAAACTCTTAATAAATTCAACACTGACAGAATGAGTGTTAATGACCTCTGTACGGATAAAAACATAAACACAGTGACATCTGAACAGCTTTAAGGGCCAAAAACCCCCAAAACTCAAAAATGATCGCAGAAATTTTCAGTTCAAGTAAGGAAAGTAGAAAACACATAAAGTCAGTTAAGTGTGTTTTTTTTTTTCGTTTTTGCCACTCTGCTGATTTCACAGATTTCTCTCCTCACAGCTGCCTGCTGAACCGTCCGGACAACGACAGGTGAAACCGCCAAGCCGTGGCAGACAGAGATGAGAGCAGCCACCGTTATTAGAGCAGTAGTTATAGGCTGACAAGACAGAAAAAAAAGAGAGTGAGGAGGATATTAACAGCCATGTGTTCGTGTAAAGGATCAAATGTTCTGATCATTTCATATTTAATAAAATATGTGCAAAGTTTCACAAAATATTAGTGTGCAATTGTGTATTTGCATATTTTTCTGTTAAACTTTTCATGTGCAAAATAATGACATATTTTTTTGAGTTACAATATGATGTCTAAAATTTCTGTTTAAAATATTGTGCAGCATTAACATGCACCATATGAGTGTTATGACATATTCCCTAAATTTTTCAAGTTTTTATGTACAATAATTAAGCTGCTCATCGCTTATGGACCAAGATTTAAATCTGTATAGTTAATGAAAATTAGTTTTTATGTGCAATTTATTCACAAATTTAAAGTGCAAAGATTCTTTTGTTAAAGGTCCCCTATTATAAAGAATCCACTTTGGGTGGTTTTCGACCAATAATATGCATCCCCTCAAAGCCGACGTGCATATTTTTCGTGTGCAATAACTGATATGCAAATTTTTTCTTGGTCCCATAATGTACATAAAAGTACACAGTATTTTTGGACCAGGTTTGTAGACTGAAGCAAAATGTAAAAGATTTACAGCAGCTCTTAGACTGCAGCAGAAAAAAACATACATTTTAGTCTGAGATCCAAACAGCCTGAAAATTCTTTCATGCCGTCTGCTGTAACGTGTTTGTTATCAGATCGGACTGTTGACTGAACACAATCTTCAAGACTCGATCGCTGAACGTATTGCCAAGTCAAACTGAAACATTAAGTTTCAGACTGCAGTCTCAGGAACACAACAGATCGTCCATCATCAGAAACCAGCAGGTGGACTTATACCGTCTGCTGTAAAGCTCAGGGCTCTGAGCCAGATGTAAGGCTCGTTATCCACCGCTGGCTCCCCCGAGGTCACTTCGCCTGCAGTTCCCACGCTTATATCCCTCTACATGCTATATGTGCCTGGAACCAATTACAGCGGTCACTGAGTGCATTAAACAGCTCTGCTGACTCCTCAGAGCTGCTCAGTGTCCTGGTCCTCATATGTGAGGAGCCAAATGATTTTATCAGGATGCTCTGCAGGAAGTTTGGACTCTTCACTTAGTCAAAGCTGCTCCAAGTCAACAGCATCTTTTCTTGGCTCACAGGGACATTTTTGTAGCTGGTGCAGTCAAAAAACAAAGTAAAGGTGCATGCGTAGAGTCAGGTACAATAACCACCAAAATAATGTCCCTCTAGAGGACTTCAAACCTGTAGGACCTTCACTTATTCATAACCTGCTGCTTGACAACTTGATGTTGCAATTTCCATTTTTCAGCTCTTTTTACTAACACATTGTCGTACACAATCCTCTCATTGCTCAATGATTGTTGCATAATCTTTTGGACGATAATAGGTTAGTGAGAAACTATTTAAATCTGTTAGGAGTTGAGGACCTACATGCAGGTTTAGCTGTCTGTGAAATACTTTCAAAAGTCATCAGACAAACCCGACTTTGAAATGCTTAGGGACTGTCAGGCTGATATAGAAAAGTTATAAATGTAAGTGCTTTTGAATATTCACCTAAAAATCTCAATAACACAGGATTTTACTTGACCTGCTGCTGAGCGTTGACATGGCCTTTCAGAAGCTGTGACTGGCAGCTAGAAATGGATATGGTCTTTCAAAAGCTGTGATTAGCATGAAAAAGGTAAAATGTTTAATTACAACTGTTAAATGACAACCTGATCCCTTGTTCTGTTGTATTGTTTTTAAATTCAATAATAATTTCCATTTAAAAACATGTAAGCTAAACGTTTAAAGTATAAAACATACTTAATACATTTGCACTGTTGTTTGTCCACATACCGGTAGTTCAGGCAGTTTTCCACTTATTGGTCTACTTTACCTGTTCAGACTGACCATTAACGCAGTTGTTAACTATATAAAGTACGGTTAAAAATGTAAACAAAGAAGGTTTTGTTTGAAGCTTGGTATTTTTGAGGCCACATTCAGCATGGCTGAGGCATTCAGAGTCTTCACAACCCAGAGTAATAATAAGCCCCTGACAGACAACCTTATAGTGTGTTAATAAACTCAAATTTTAGAGTAAAAATTCCGCTCTCTGGTTTCTTGATGGTCTCTGTTTCTCTGGTTGAACCCTACCTTGTGGACACTGTGTTGACGTGGTGGTGATGCCGTAAAGCCTGGAGCGTTTCTGAGGCAGAAACTCATCCGTCTCTTTCTCTGCGTGACGATCCACACTGATCACTGCCTCCCTGAAACAGATCAACAATTAAAAAGAAACCTTCAACAGAGAGCACACAGGGATGTCTGATGGTCAAACAAATACTGCTGTTTAACTTAAACACGACAATTTCAGTCTAACAGAGCTCAGAGTGCTGACAGGAAGTTTGTTTCAGTTCTCTCAGACTCTCAGCATGTTAATAAACACAAAAGGGACTCGTAGAATACTGGCCCTTGGTCTGAAAATAACTTCAACTAAAACTAGCAAATTTTCATCTTTTTAGGTTAAAAAAATAGACAACTGTTGAGATGTTGTCAAAATAGACAACTGAGCTAGACCCATCAGTACTCAACATTTCAACCTTTAAACTGGAAAAATTAAATTTGCTGAAACCGGTTCAGCGCACTGATGCTGATGATGGGTGTGAGTTGGTGTGCGAGTCTGTTACCTCCTCCAGTCAGTGTAGTAAAGGTTTCTTCCAAAAGAGACCAGAGCGAATGGGTACTGGATCCCTTCGACGATCTGCCTCCTCAGTCGCCGGTGAGGATCCATACACTCCACCTTACGAGTGCCTGTAGGCAGACCAATCAGTCAGTCAGCATGCAGGCGAGCCAGCAACAAACCAACCCACCAATCAATAACTCAGAAAACCAATTCACCAACCAACCAACTGAAAATCCATCAAGTAACCAACAAAGAAACAAAAACCAAACAAGTAAGCAAACAAAGAATTTACCAACCAACCTTGATATAAACAAACCAACCAACCAACCAACCAACCAACCAACCAACCAACCAACCAACCAACCAACCAACCAACCAACCAACCAACCAACCAACCAATTCACCAACAAATTAATCAGCTGACCAACCCACCAGCTTTCCAAATCTCCAACCCCCCCAAACTACTAACCAAACAACTATATCAAATCAAATCAAACTTTATTTATAAAGCCCTTTTCACAAAAAAAGATGTAACACAAAGTGCTTTACAGTCTGTTTAAAAACCAAAAACTATCCCAGCCCCCCCCACCCCACCCACACACATGCGCACACACATGCCAACGCACCCACACATACACACACCAAGATAATGGACATGAGGCTGAGTACAGATGAACCAGTTCAGAGAGCGCCATCAGAGGAGCTGTCAGCACCAGGAGCAGAGAGCCGCCTGCTGCCACAGGACACCGACACAGGGCCAGTGGAGGGATGTGGCACACACCAACCTCCACCAGGAACCCCGTGACCGGCCCCTGCAGCCACAACCGACCACCGCTCCCAGTGCTGAGGGCTCCTTCAGAGAAAACACTGGGGGTCCTAAAAATGATAAAAGGATAAAAACAAGTAAAAACTGAAATATGAATACAACACAAACCTAAAATAAACCTAGGCCAACTAGAATAAATGAAGATAAAACAAATAGATATTGATTAAAAGCTAAGCTAAAAAGGTCAACTAAACTTTAAAGCTACCGACAACAAACCAATAAATCAACACATCGACTAATCAACCAATCACTTAACACACCAACCAACAAATCTGCAAAACAACTACCAATTCTTTGACTGACCAACTTACCACCCAACAGTCAATCCATTAAGCAACCAAACAAGCGACTAACCAAAAAAACATTCAACTCTCCAACCAGCCATTCATTTAACAACAAGCAGACACATGACTGTATCCAGATCTACATTGTTCTGTGTGATTGGTCCAGTTTAAATATCTCACCTGCGTCAGCCCAGCACAGCTGCTGGTTGTCAGGGTCAAAGGTCAGACCGTTTGGAAGCCCTAGGTCATCTTTTACCAAAACTTCCCTGTCTGTCCCATCCATGTTGGACATCTCAATCTTAGGCCCGTCTCTGTTCCAGTCTGCCCAGAAGATTCGGCTGCATCAGGACAGAAACAGTCAGTTCAAACCTCTGAGACCAGGATCACCACTGACGCTGCTATTTGGGTTAGAAAATATTTATTCTGTGACACTCACCCATACGCTGAGTTGGTGACAATGGGTCGAGGGTTGACCAGATCTGTGTCAAACAAGACTCGCCTCTGGCTTCCATCCAGTTTGGAAACCTCCACAGTGTCTCTCATGGAGTCAGTCCAGAAGAGGAGACGAGCCACATGATCAATGGCGATGCCTTCAGGACTCTGCAGTTCTAGGGAAGGACAGTAGAGACACACAAAAGACTCAGAACAATAGGGAAAGGTAGAGCGTGGAAGTTTGGAGAAGTTTGGAGCTTGATGATGAGTTTAGGCTGAGGATGGTAAAGCCACAGGCGAATTTGAGGTCTGAGGTTTGGTAATCCAGATTATGGGCTCTATTTTCATGCCTCGCCGGTGACGTGTTGGGTCCGCCGCGCCGACAAGGCGTTCCAAAGCACAATTTGGTATTTTGGTGAGCTGCGCAGCCCAGCGTAAGTATGAGTTGCGTAAGTCATAGGGAGGGAGGAGAGGAGGCGTGGAGTGGGTTTAATATAGCCGAGACCTGTATTGACCAATCACATAAGCTCCTCTCGCCTTTAAATCCGCCACCGGCGACGCGTATTACAATTTTTGTGAAGTAGTCAAAGAGATCAAGAGATGTCTGATGACAGCAATGCCACACGATGGCGACAGAAGGCAGCCCCTCAACAAGTGTCACTGTAAGCGCTGCATTGGGCGTCCTCCATACTGTCTCATATTAGCACAGGTGGATTTGGTGTGTGTAAGGTTGGACCCACTGGTAAGACAAACACCCTTTTCCACAAATAAAGACACTCACATAAGGTTGCATATATTTAAACCTCACTTGACAAAGGTGGGTTGTGCGCACAGATCACATCATAAATTCCAATAAAAAAAATCTGAACCATCTGTGCGTAAATGACTCATCGCGCTCCGTGGCCTGGCTCTTTCTTTCATAGATGTTGGCATATAAAATAAATTTGGCCCACAAAACTGAATATTATAATATTCGTACGTGGGCCTAACTCCAGATTGAATTTTTACAGAATCTTAATGATGTGAGAAAATCAGATAAACAAGTAATTTTGAGTGAAAGGTTCTTTTATTTTATTTTATTTCATTTTATTTTCTTTTATTTTACTTTATTGCTCAAATTGTAGAAGTAAATAACTCATCTGATCACTTAAATAAATCATCTGGTCAGCCGTGCCACCGCTGCAGCAGCAGGACGGAGAGAGGACACGGAGACACGTCAGGTGTTGTGCCGTTGAATGCACCCCTGACGGGAGTTGAAAGCACATAAATAGTGCCCTATGTGGTGTCTGAGCATGCTCTGTAAAGAAGACTGGAGCGTTACTTCTTCTTGTCCTCTGTCCCTTGCTAAAGTGACTCTGAATCTGTCTGCAAGTGTCTGTTCTACCTTTAGTGATCACTGGTCTGACGTCTCCTCCGCTCAGTTTGGCTCTGCTGATGGCTGGCCCAGTGATGTCTGTCCAGTAAACCATCTTCTCCACACAGTCGTATGCCAAAGCGATCACCACACGGTCCTGAGAGGAGGAGGAGACAGACACGGTCATTCATCTGGAGACATTTTCAAAAAGTCTTTGTATGAAATCATCAGACACTGAGACAGAGAGGAGAAGACATTTCTGATGGTGAAATCTGACTCACAACAATCAGAGGATTGTTTCAGTGCAGCCAGAGACGTTCATCTCCATTCATGATACACAATGATGCAGTGTAAGTATGCTGCTTATGTAATATTTTGACTTACGAGGACCAGATGATGCCAGCAGGAAAAACTGTGGAGTGAGAGTTTGTGACATCTTTAAGAAACTCACCAGGTTTCAAACTTAATAGTGTGATTTTTCCCAAAGAATAATGTAGGTTTCTACCTCATTTCTACACATCTGATGGTGTGAACAGGAAAAGTTGGCCTGAACAATGTGGGAGGAATATTCAGTGTGGAAAAACATTGTTCAGTGTTGGGGTAACAATAGCTGTTTGAAACCATAAATGTTATACCTTGACCTCCAGCTAGCGGGTAAAACTGGTGTTCAGCAAGAAATATTTGACAGAAAACACTTCTGACTTCAGTGATGTTTTAGAGAAAACTTGTGATGTGACAAAGACAACATTAGGATTAAGGGCCTGTGTCCACTCTCAGGGTCAACTGTTTCCGTCCCCTCAGCTGTAAAAAGTTTAACTTTTGGAGCCTCAGATCTTTATGTGGCACCCTTCAGGTTGTTCCAAAGCTGAGACTAAAGTCTAAATCTAAGGAAGATTGTTCTCTACTTTTGAACAACCCTGACTACATAAGGACTTTGGCATAACCTCCATGCTAATCAAGTTATTATTATTATTTTAATGATTATATATTTGTGCAGCTTCACTCACAAGGTTGGAAAACAGTATCAGAGTACCTAACAGACCACAGAACTCAGCCCTGAAAGCTCATTTCAAGTGCAAACCAGGTGTTACTTAAACTTTCTGAATAAAGGGAAACTCTGATTCTTACAGGGACATGAAGCAGAGGTTTGGCCTCCTCCTTTTTAAAGTTATATCCATCCAGAGGAACATGTTCAATCCTTCCGCTCTGAGCGAACAGCATGTATGTTCCCGGAGTAACAGGGTGGATATCAGGCCGAGGGGTCGGACCAACAGGAGCAGGAGTTACAGCCTGGTTGATACCTGGTCAAACAAGGAAAGTTAATGTTTATATCAAACAAACATCACTGATGCAGTGTAATCAGTATGACAGGGTTCATAACTGGCCCACTTACAGAGAGGGGTGTTGCCGGGTCCAGTGCGGGTGTTGGGGATCTCCTGGCCATTGGCGTCTACACACCAGCACTGTCCAATGCTGCCGTGACACTGCGTGGACTCGTACGCTCCGTGTTGGTCACACTGGGGGACGTACTGACCAACAGCTGGACGAGGGCGGAAGAAAGAAAAGATCCCGGTGGAGGTGGCTGCCTGGGCAGTCTCTCTGTGACGCTCGCACTGCGTCTTCTCTCGTTCTGAGAAAAAAAAATAACAGTCAGAGTGAGACATCCACAGTCTACAACATGAGGATCTCTGCTTTGGGAGAACCTGGACCACGTTTTAAAATCAGGCCTCAATTTTGGCCTGATTATGAATCAGTCTCTACAGACCTCTATCTTTTTACTTATTCAGTCAGTCGCCCTGGTCTCTGAGCATGAAAGGATGGGATAAGGACCATGTAAACACCATCGACCTTCACATTCCCAGCAGACCATTTTCAGTTTCACTGTAAATACTAAACTACAAAGAGGCCTCAGTCTGGCTTATGTCATATGTAATGGCTCATAAAGAGGATGATTTCCTTTAAAGGAGAACAACTTTAAAAGTGATTGGTTGCTGAATGGAGGTCTGATCTATTATTCCTGATGCACTCAGAGAAGTCAGGAAATCTAAACGCTGATTGTCTTTGTTTACTCATCATCAGTCAGCGTCTCAGTGTGGATGTTTGATCTGAAACTAATTGTTAGCTGACCTTCATGCAGATATCTGTAATACAGAGAAATAAATCTTCCTCAGATTACCAGCCATGGCAGCTGGGTGTCATTATTTGTGGATTGTGTTCCTCCTGCTTTTGCTCCCCATACAGACTCTTTGGAAATAAGTCCCATTCTTAAAAATCTAGGCCTTGCACAGATTTGACATTTTGCTGTAAGTCTGTAAAGATATGAGCAGAATAATCAGGAAACACTTCCATGTAGTACACTCAACGTTAATGTAACTTTAGAAATACTCTGCCCAGCAGTTCTTTTAACGTCGTTTTTGTTAAACTCCATCTTGTGTCTTCCTCCTCGTGAAGATATTTTTAAACGTGGCAGCTGCAGACAGGGGCGTGCGTGTGCTGCGGAGAAAACTACAGATTAAAGACGAGCTGGAGCCTCTTCATCTCTGCGGTCACATTTAGGGGCCCCAGTGACATCTGGAAGAGCCTCCTCACACTCTTATCCTCAAGGGTATCAGCAAGACAGCCACAAAACAGCCATAACACTCGACAATCAGACAGTAGTGTGCCCTCACAGGCCAACAACCAGAGATAAAGCATGAATAGCAGAAAGACCCCTCAGAGACAGAAAGAAAGGGGTTAAAAAGACAACATGCAGACAAAAGGAAACAGAGCAGCTTACAGTATGAGACGCTGTGACAAGTTATGACAGGGGACAGAAAGATTACAGCTTTCAGAGGCCAACAGGTCATAAAAAAGGACAAAAATATGGGAAAACTTTGGTGTGGAGGAGCGAGCTGTAATTAGCGCACAGCTCCTGACACCTGGAAGCACTGGAGGAGTCTGCAGGTTTGGGGCAACGCCAAAACACCAACACACAACAACTCCAACAAAACAGACAAGAAATTTCACCTGCTGTCAGCCAATCAGGAGACAGCATGAAACTTCAGACCAATCAAGTCAGGAGGGAGATAAATACATCCTTAACCTGACAGAAGAGGCTTTATTTTTCAACTTTAAATGAAGCAACAACAACTTTATCGTTTCAAAACGTCCCTAAATGATCTAAAGCTACACTAAGAACCATTAAAAATAGTTGGCAGTTGGCTTTCAGTGAGTTTTTCGTGTGTATTTTTAAATCAAGTTATAATACAAGTTAAGACGTATAAGAAAGCAAGACAACAAGAGAAGTAAAACTAAAGTAAAAGATTCTTTAAAACACAACAACAGGAGTTACCCCAGATTCTGAAATTGAAGTCCCAAAAATCTCAGTACCTAGAGTGTCCGCCAGGCAGTCTTCAAATGTGAGCTGATTGTTATGGAGTCCCATGTTACATAAATATCCCACCTGCTTACATTACGATAAAAAATGATCAAACAGGCAGCTATAGACAGCTACAACTATGATACAACCCTAACACGTCAACTTGGTGTTTCAACTTCACACAGTGGTCTACCATCTCATAACACTTAATGACCAGTTCATTTAGTTTTTCAGTAGATTAGGATGTGAAATTTAGTACTGTTCAACTGTGGTTAAAGAGGATATCAAATAATATTCAAATCAAACTGCAGAGCTTATTCAAACCATAATAAGTTCTTTTTTGAGTGAGTTTAACGCTATCGTCAGCTTAGAGCTTAACACACAATATTCCAAGGGAAAACAAAGGGAGGTCATTAACTAAAATAGAAAAAGTAGTGGGTTGAGAGTTGAGCCTTAAAGGGATATTCCGGCGTAATATTAGTTTAGGGTCAAACAAATCTGTAATACCGAATTAGACACCCCCTCGAGAAATGAATGTTGCTGACCGCTTGCTCTTCTAGTTCTAGTAACTAAAGTAACGACTAAAGAGACTAAACACAACTCACCTACTCTTTTCCAGTTTGTAGTGAGACCTTGGACCAATCCATTACGGACTGCTGCGGGGTGACGCAGCTCAAGGAAGAACATTTATGATCATTACTTTATAATTTCCTTGAAGTAATAATCATCATATTAATCATTTTGCACTGCAGATGGGGTAGTTATTCTGCCTTAGTGTCTTGGTCTGATTGCATTTCCATAAAGAAATGATCATAAATGTTCTTCCTTGAGCTGTGTCACCCCGCTGTAGTCAATGATGGACTAGTCCGAGGTCTTGCTACAAACAGGCAGCTGCTGGAAGAGAGTAGGTGAGTTGTGTTTGGTCTCTTTGCTAAAGAAATTAGGCAAATTTAAAAAGATGTTTGGTGGCTGGGACCCTATAAGTACAGTTGATGAAGTTAGGTGCTGTTCTGAGTATTATTTGTGGTTATAGAGTGGCTTTTTGGTTGAGGTTTGTGTGGTTCCATAGACCGATGTGTATTGCTATCGTGCGGTCGTTACTAAAGTTGGTGTAACTAGAGGAGCAAGCAGCCGGCAACATTCATCTCTCGAGGGGGTGTTTAACTCAGCGTTACAGTACGTTTGACCCTGAATTAATTTTACACCGGAATATCCTTTTAAGGCACGCCTTGTTGAATTACTGCACAGGCCACAAAAACACCCATTAATGGAGCTTTAAATAACACTTTCTCCTCTTTAATGGAGGACATGGTTTGCTCCAAAAGTGCATCATGTTAGTGCCTGCTGTAGAAGGATTCTTTACACCAGAGGAAGGTGAAAGCACTTTCTGAACTCAGTCGATCGATGAAGCCCAGAGGAGTGAGGTCCCTGCACTGACTCTCTATTTCATCTCTCATTTCTTTGTTATTAACCCTGATCAGATCTGATGCCGTAGAGTCAACGCTGCCTCTAACATGGACTTCTGCAGTGCGTCATCCAGTGTGTGTTGAGTCTAACATGGATCTGTTTACACTCTGATCTCCTCACTAACATCCTTCAGAGCTCCGTGCCCCTGAACACTCCCCTGCACGTCCTTCAGCTGATTTATGCTCCTCAGAATAATATTTACACTCAGCAGAGTTTACACAGCCTTCATTTGTCTCTGGAACGTCTGACATGAAAAGTAAAACAAACATTCTTTTTATGAAGCTTTTTGTAAATGAAGAGATTTTTACAAGGACCACACTGCTGCTTTTATGACTTTTCAAACACAAACATTTCACCACAGTTCTCCCTCAACATTTTGGTCGATTTGTCTAAAAATCAGGCAGGGAACCAATTAACACTTTATCTATCTTCACACAGTTGTCAAAGAGCACGTGAGTCACCCACCTGAGGATGTCCGGCTGCACTGGAAGCCGTCACCATGAAAACCAGGATTGCACTGGCAAGTGAAGGAGCCCTCTGTGTTGGTGCAGGAGGCCTCGCGATGGCATCGATTGTGTGTACACTCGTCCACATCTAAAACAGAGAGAGAAGATTTCAGTATCCTGTTCTTGTCTTTAGAATGATTCTGCAGACAAACATTTTTAGTCGTTCTGTTCGGTGCTGCTATCCCTGATTGCACCAGTCACAAACCAAAGACATCAGCCCCTGAAATGCTCATATATGGTAAGTTTCCCCAAGTACATTAACACACTTGTGCCAATTTTTAATATAAAAATAATAGGGGCTGACAGCTTTTATTTGATCTAGTTACTTTTATAGGATTAGTCGCTGAGAATGAACTCTTTAATATTCTCTCTATCCTCTGACTCCCTTATGTAAAACTTATTACATATGTGAAGACATCAGAAAGTTTGATCCTGATGTTTCCATCCTCTCATCTGAGCTACAGAGACAGAGTGGATAAGAAGCACATATGAGAAATGAGATGCACAGCTGTAAGGCAGGGTTCTGTATTTCCTGAGCAGGTGCAAACATTTCCTGTCTCTGAGGCCCATGGTGCAGACCTACAGAGTGCTACAACAAAAACAGTAAAAATCTGGTCCTATGCTGCTGCTGTTTCAGATTTATGCTCATAGCATGAAGCTTGATTCTTGTCCAGCTCAAAAACCCAGTGCACTGATCACTCTGTTCCTCCATTATGTCATGCTGCTGCTCCACACTCCCACACGGATCATTTCACCGAGAAGCTGGAGAGATTCACAAGCACAAAGAAGCGTTATGTCCCCCTATGAATCCTACAGGGCTGTAGATTTGTTACCATTATCTGAGGGAAAAAAACAAAATCTCCTTTAGCTCCTTCAGTCTGATTAACCCTTGTAATAAGTTTTAAAGTTCGAAACAAAATTCAAATTTGGACTTTTCCTGCAGCTTCAAACTGCCTCTAAACAAAAATGGAGACCTTAAACAATGACTGCATCTCTGATTATTGCCAACTAAAGACAACCTGACACAGTATCATGTAACAGTATGCATTATCAGTCCAAGGTCTGCCTGTAAAACCCAAACACTCACCCCTGCACACCCGACCGTCACCCACAAACCCAGGCAGGCAGGAGCAGATGTAGGCGGAGCCTCCAGTGTAGCTGCACTGAGCTCGTGTGGGATCATCACAGTCATGGCTTCCTCTACGGCAGTGATCAACAGGTCCTCCCTGCTCTGCAAGATTAGACAGAATATTGAAGCTGCTGTGGAGGAGAGCAATGGAGCTCAAGGCGAAGAACAAAATATTAGATGGAGGTCAAAGGGAAAGTTACACATTTGAGAGGATAACGATAACAAAGGAGACAGCTAAAGAGTAAAGATGAAGGTCAAGGGGACATAAATTTAAAGAATGGCAATGATGAGGTAGGTAAAGGTCTGGGGTGATGGATTTGATGGTGGTCAAGAAAAGATCAAAAGTATAAGATCAAGGTCAAGTAGACATGCAAATGTACAAGAAGGTTGAGGGGACAGAAAAAAGTTAAGGATGAAGGTCAAGGGGGCAGGCAAAAGTTTAGGATGGAGGTAAAGGGGTCAGACAACAGGATGGAGGTCAAAGGTTCAAGAAAAAGTATAGGATGGGGTTAAGGGGGACAGACAGAAGTTAAGGATGGAGGTCAAGGGGACAGGCAAAAGTTTAGGAAGGCAGTCAAGAGATTTGTTGAAAGTCACTGACGGAAGTCCAAGGTTTCAATGAAAGTAAAGAATTGAGTTGAAGGATTGTGGCTCAGGTGGACAAATGAAACTAAAGGGGATGGAGGTCACAGGAGGCAGAAACTGAAAGATTGAGGTTGCTGGGACCCACAAAGTATTAAAATAAGAGTTTAAAGGTGAGTAAAGGTAATGCATGGAGGTTTAGAGAACTGATGGGAGTCCAAGGAAATCAATGAAAGGGCAGATTTTAAAGACAGAGAGTTCAAATCAGCAATACAGATTTGAATCCTGAAATCTATGATTTATTTTTCATTTAAAGAGTGAGTCTAACCAGGAAAGTGTACAGTCAACACAACATCAGCACTCATTACTAGCAGTCATCAGAATTAGTTTTGGGGCCTTTAGTGCCTTTTTTTCACAGGAACTTCTGTTTCACCAAGATTTTTATATGTAGATTTTGCTGCTTCACAAGAACAACATCAGTTTAACATTATTTCACCTACAGAAGTCCCGTTCAAAAACCCATGACTTCAAGTGTTTCGGGGGCCAACAGAATGTCTGATATTCCAGCAACCACACAGCTGCCAACACTTGCAGAAACACACCAAAACACACACTAACTTACCAATGCAGGTCCTCCCATCACTTGCAAACACGTAGCCGGTCAAGCACTCACAGCGGAAAGTTCCAGGTTGATTACTGCAGACGGCATTCAGCCCACAGATATTATATGTCTCTCTGCACTCGTCAGTATCTGCAAAAAAGTATGAGGCTGATGATCTACTCTAGTGCATATTTTTACATCTAAAAACCGTAAAGTCTGAAATTGCTTCAATTTAACAGTTAAATTATAGACATCTTTGAATTTGACTTTTCCCAAATGAAGGACTACATCTGCTGGATACTCAAATCCCTCCCTGAAACAGTTTCATTATTTGCACTGAAGTATCTTCTTAAAGATCATTATTCAGAGAGGAACACCTGTAAAACTTCTCCAAGTATAACTCAACATATTAATCGCATTCATGTGTTGATGTGTGAGTATGCAGAGCTTTATCAACCTTGGCAGTAGCGTCCGTCTCCAGTGAAGCCATTGGTGCATTCACAGGTAAACTGGAGGCCTTCACCTGGTCGGCACATGGCGTTGATGTCGCAGCCGTGTCTGCCAGTGAAACAGGGGTTCTGCTCTGGAAGACTGCCTGTAGAGACACATTAGACAAAAGTTTAAAATCAGCGCTCTGATCTGTTCAAAGGATGACTGAGAGTTATTAACAGTGCTGAGCTCAGGTTTATTTTCACAAATAAAAACAAATCAATCTGAAATCATTTTACTTTCTCTCAAATGAACCAGCATTTGGGGTGAAAACCTCATCTCTTTTTTGTGTTTCTAGATCAGTTTATTAGCTGTAACACCGGCAGAAATGTCATTCCTATCATTATCAGCTGTCCTGACATGCTTAGTTTGTAGTTTTGCACAGCTGGAGAACCTCAAGTCTTTCCAGTGTTTGAGATTTCCCTTCACAGTCGAGAAAAAGTCGTTATCTTTTTTTTCCCATCATGCAGCTGAGGCTCGAGCTCCATGTTTGAAGTTTTCTCCAGACCTCCACCTCACAGGAAACACGACCCAGATGTTCCCCTTTCTGCAGCTGAGTCCTGTTTGTTTGTGTAACTCTGAGCCCCAGAGCATCCCATCAACAGCCCCCACCTGCCCTTTTACCTTTAACCCCTCTTTCATTGGACTAAAAAAAAGGTCCTCATGACGCCCTTCCCCCACTCCCCTCCCTGCTGTGTTCTGGATGTTGGTATCTGGTCGACCTTCACCCCCTGCCATCGGGCCTAAAACCTCTCTGGTTGCAGCTGAGGAAATACAGCCGGGCTCAGATTACTGTTTATCTTCTTCTGATGTTCACTGCAAACATCGCCGGGGCACTAAAGTGTCGGAGGCATGTTTCAGTGCATTCCTCTGGTTAATAACACACATCTTTTTGCTCCGACTGACCCTGACAGACGACCTGCAGACCCTGACATCTCTATAGGGACAACATGAACAATGCATGACATGTTATAAACCATCACTTCTCTGATTTAAGATCAAACTCTGCCACGCTTCCGCTGATCATGGAGGGGGGGATGAATTTAGGGGCAGTCTGTTATCTTCATGCTAAATAATGTACCTTGTTGATTTGGGAGTTTTTGACTTTTGTAAAAATGGACAAAATCTAATCAAATCAATAATTAAGAGAATTTGTGTTGCACTATTTTTTGTTTGAAATTGAGAGAATTTGTTGATTTCAGAGGCCGATAGGCCGAATTTTTCTCAACATCAGAACTCACTGTGGACTGAGCCGATCTTGTTGCTCATAGCATAGCGGATCAGGTCATTTTCTGAATCGAACATTACAAAGATCTGGTCCACGCTGAGCTGCTGGGTGGATGGCGCCGCCCTGGTGGCCTCATCGTGCGGGCAGCTCTGGAAGGTGACGGTCTGACGCCACTGGTAGCTTCTGGTCTGGGCAGAACCGTCAGGGGAGGAGATGGTGTAGTCACGGTTTGAGGAGGAAGTGATCACTGATGGTGGAGAAGCAAACTTTGATGTCATCATAACATTGGCCTTATAAGGGCATAAAGGTACTTCCTGCTGTGTACTGATCTACAAAAGTCCTCATAACTGAGCCGAATCTTGTCCTTACAGTTCCTGTCGTATTGGTAGATCTCCTTATACGGGTTAATCTGGACAGTGGATCCCAGTGGAATAGTGGGCAGGCGTCCCTCCAGCTCAGTGCTCACCACCAAGTGGTCGTGTTCGTCGATTCCCTTAAACTGCTGCTTAATGCTCAGACGCTCATTACCAGGATAGAAGATCACCTCGGCCTGTCGGGAAAACACACCACCTGCAGAGAGAAGGAATGAGGTCTTTAATCTTTATGGGTACTGATACATTTATCGATGCCACCATCAAATCTTTTGTAGTCTTGTCTAATCGACTTAATGCTCATGCTAGCAGCTAGCTCTATGTTTTGATGTTTTGTTGTCTGTTATGACCAGATCTATGTCAGAACTTCACATGTGTTGGTCTCTTCGAATGCTGACCAACTGAAGCTTGAACACTGATAACTAATGTTAGAAACCCTCTAAAACAGCTGTGGGACAGCGTGATCCCACAGGAAGCCGGCTGCCGTGTGAGTACGGTCAGTTGCATTGACATTCTAAGTTAAATACTGAGATGGGGCAGCTAATACCTGACTAATCTGATACAAATATGTCCACTCACCAACGACACTGAAGCCGTTCTGGTGTCCAGGCTGCTCCAGAGCGAAGGCCCACCCGATGACCCCACCCAGCGAGGACAGGAGCTGCAGGGAGGGACCCAGGCTCTTGGGGATGTTACTGATGGCCACATAGGCCCGTCCATCATTGGCAACCACATATGAGTGTAAGTCATTGTTATTGAGCTCAACGGGTGACGGAGAGTTCCCAACAAATACTCGTCCGTTTACCTTTCCATTCATTCTCTGTGGTTTCCCTGTAAAAAAATATTTGATCTGTCAGGCAGTTTAGGAGAACCTGAAGGATCAAACAGGTGGTTCTTCAAAGACAATAATCCCAACCAAAGATAGTTATAGTCATCAAATACTCATCTCTGTTCATACAAAGTTTCCAATAAGACCTTTAAAATGTTGGCATTCCCATTTACATCCACTAGTGTCACTTCACTCTGAACCTCCGCACTCAGGTGGATGTTTCTTTACAGATTCATGAGCTTTACTTTTGAGAAGCATCAATTAACTGTTTTAATGTCATGTCACTAAGGTCAAAGAAAACTTGCACTGCCTATCAGATCCATGGAGTTTTATACCATTCAGGGTTCTCACCTTCTGCCACACAGTCCTTGCCGTTACCGTAGAAACCAGGCCTACAGTGGCAGCAGTACCCGCTGCTGTAGTCCCGACAGTCAGCAAAAGCTGAGCACTTGTGCCTGTTGTTTGCACATGTCTCCAAATTGTAGGCAAACACTGTGGAAAGAAAAAAGCAAACAAAAGCCGATCACCCTCAGGTAAGAGACAGTGAAACTTAACGAATATGCCAAACCCCTCCTTCATGCTCTCCAACTGGAGCTCTGGGACTGACCATTCACATTCAGATCTTCGTCTTCATCCACCACTACAATCTGGGGCTGGTGTGGTTGGGAATAAGGTGGCACTGGTTGGACTGGTTCAGGATATCTAGGCCGGACTGGGGTATATCTAGGATCAGGGTATTCAGTTCTGCGCTGGTCAGGGTATCTTGGCTCAGGCCGGTCTGGGTATCTTGGCTGGGCCCTCTCAGGGACGGTGTACACTGGTGTAACTGATTCAGGTTCAGGGTATTCTGGCTCAAACTGGTCTGGTTCTTCATAGTATGGCTCTTCTGTCTCAGGTTCAGCATATCCAGCTGTGGTGGTCTCTGATTCTGGGTACCTGGGTCGGTTCTCAGATGGAGTCTCAGATGGTGAAACAGTCAAAGGAGGTTTTGTGGCGCCCTCCTCCTCAGAAACCATTCCCGGTGTGATGGAGACAAAGATTGGAGAGGAGCCAATCTCATAGACCAAAACCCCGTACTGTCCTGAGGTGGTTTTTCTGGGTGGATAAAGGAAAGAAGGAAAATAAGAACCAATGACCAATGCCCAACATGTCAGCACTCTGTGCAGGAGGTATTCTGCCTGATGTTTGTATGACGGGAGGAGGTGGAAATACCTCCTCAGCTGTGTATTCACATACAGTCCAATCTACCAATGCACTCTTAAACCCTTCATACAGAGAGTACTGGGAATGACGATGTCTCCCCGATGGCCTGACAATTTGATTTTATACAGTTCTATAATCACAGGTTCAACTTACATGCAGGAGTTTCTCAAGCCAAGACCTAAGGAAAATCCCTAAACCCAACAGGAAGTCCACAGATTTTAGAAAAATTTTACATCAAATTTACAGAGTGCATATCTTACGGATTATGCCTACAGATTTTTGTCTGATCAAGTCCTACAGAGGTTAGTAAAGTGCACACACTGAAGATAAAAACTTCTCAAAGAATTGTCACCATGGCAACTCTTCAAACTGGTGTCCAGCCATGAAACATGAAGTCATTCTAACTCCTTTATACAGTGTTCAATCCATTCAATATTTCATATATATGATCAAGGTCTGCCCTTGTTTTTGTCTTCATGCTCAGGTCACCACTAGTCATAGCGCCACCATCTGGGAATACAGAGCACTAACTTCCACACAGACAACGCAATCCCTACCAAATGTTACAGGTTTGGTTTTAACAGTTTTGTTTGGTAAAACAGACTTACACAGGGTAACATAGGAGCTAAAAAGAGTGAACTAACCCTCTATTATTTACAGATTTGAATGAATGTGCGATAAACTATTCCTTTGCATTAAATTTTAAAAAACATTGTTTATTGCTTCTTATTGCTGGCGTGGTTGGCTAATGATTTGAATTGCTGTAAATACCAGATACTGAATAAGAAATCCAACGCCTGCTTTTAAAGATAACCTGTTGAGGTCCACACCACCAGCCGCAAAATAAAGATTTCAGATTCATACTCTGTTAGTTCCCTGATGGATGTCTCGTCTTCTTCAGTGATCTGGAAGTACGTCCCCTGTTTGGTGCTCCAGATCCATCCTGGTACAAGTCCTTCATTGAAGCCAGCCTCTAAGAGCTTTCTCTCGCCCCCCACTGTAGTGGAGACGTACTGCAGGTGGTGTCTGGGGTACAGAAGGATGGCACAGGAAGACGACTCCATAGTCACCACAACCAGCTGGAAAGTGTTTCTCTGGAAATAACAAGGAAACACAACAGACTGAAAATCTTAGTTTAGATATATACGGTATCTTATTATGTCAGGGCTGGAGTAGGTAAGATGTGCCATAACCAACAGCACTGATTTACACTGCACCAATTGAGACTGAACTTTTTGAGTATTTTTGCAGCATCTTTGGTCAGTATTGCACTTTGTATACGGTCCTGGTATACTCCAGATATTGGTGACTGTTCAGAGAGATTAATATATGGACTCAACTGACTGTGAACAAGTTAAAGTGGCTGCCAAGTTTCTCAAAAACAAGTTATTGTACTTATTTAAAGGAACTTATCGGCAGTACAGCTCATGTGCAGGATACTGTTGCGCTGTCTGTAAACATATGCACAGTTTTTTGCTAAGATCATTGAGGTTGAAAATGTGTGCAGCACGCAAGTCCAAGACAACCTACCCAAAGAGTCAATGAAGTGTATCATACCTTACCCTAAAATGTTTATTATTGTTACTGCAATGAATTGCACACTGTAAATAAATGACTTTGCAGCAGAGGATACTTTAGGGAGACCAGAGTTTGGCGAGGAGCAGACGATGAAATGATTGTGGGAGTTGACTCAGCGGTTGTATATCAGGAAGAGTTATGGACCAGCTGTTGGAATCTGTGCGACTAACAAAGACCAGCGTAATGTAAACTGCAGGGAGGATAGCAGGACCAGCTGCAGAATCTATACATTATGATAAAGAATGAGCTGCACTGAGATGGAAACCTAAAAAATGAGGTGCTGTACCACGGTGTTCTTTCTGCTCATTACATAAGTCTTTCATAATGTTGTACAAGAGAAAACAAAGAGAAACATGCGGCACTTTATCCTCAAGAGCATCGACTTTAATTTAGTGTAATTGTTAGAACAATCTGAGTTGATCAGGACTGATGTTGATACGAAAAGAAGTCTGGCATGCAGAGAAACCTTTACATATTGGAACAATTTAGAGTGACGTAACAACATAAACACCGTTTTACTGCTTGTTTTGAAGCTGCTGAACATGCTCAAAAGAGGTTTGTTTTGTTCTTGTCAGGTTCTTGTCAGGACTCAGCCTCCTCGTCTGGGACATTTATAGCACCTGGTGGTAATTGGACATGGATCTGTGACATTAAACTTCAGCCTGTGGTCGACAGTAAAGTGGCTCAGATACAGGACTGCTTAAAATGATTACAGCTCTCAGCTTTTGTAATATCTTAAGAGTTAACAACGATTTCCCTGCTGCAGTCTTTACCAGTTCATCAAGAAGTTGTTAAGACCAAAAAATATTTTGTACTCAGTTGTAACCATGTTCATTTCTGATGTTAAGTTGGACAATTTAATAGGAAGCCTAAAGGAGATTAACGGCATTTAGGAGAAAACCTCCAGTGGATGGTCTTGGAACTGCATTCTCTTCAGTTTTGGCTTTATGTTGTCATTTACGAGTTTTTTGTGGGTGAAAAACTCTTCAGATCTTTCCCCATCAGTGATAAGAATAAGAACTTTTATCAGATGTATTTTGAACTACTTGATTGTTGAAAACACTCAGTTACAGTCATTACAGCCTGTTTTGGGGTGGTGGGAGGAAACCAGACTTAAAGAAAATTAATCAACCAAAAGTAAAAGTTGTCCTCTATAAACCCTCTAATGAGCAAAAAAACATGCATTTTTACCACAAATTAGTAAACCCCTCTGTCCAAAAGTGTACTACAAATCTAATCTTCTTCTGACTGATTTCAAAATAAAAAAAGTCCCTTACCTTAGCATCTAGTCCATCCCCTCGTCCAGACATCCCCCTGGCAGCCATATTCTCCCAAGTGACGATAAAGGTGCTGGTGGGGTCCACTCCTTGGTCTCTGGGGAAAGCTTGTTTGATGTGTTCAGCGGCTCGGCTCAGCACCTCTGGGCTGCTATCCGTCCTATAGAAGACCCTCCCCTGACCGTCACTGTTGTCTAGGTCTCCAAGCAGGGGTGCAATCATTTTGAAACTGGAGGGCATCTTTCCCAGGTACTGCTCCTCAGGTGGAGGTTCTTCCGTGGACACAAACCCATTTGTGTTGATCTGAGGGGAGAGGGAGGAACAGTTTGTTTGTTACTGACAGCTCAGAATTAAACTACATGTACAGAACTGATAGGTATTTCCCTCTGAAAAAAGGAGGATTGTCTTATTTTCCAGCAAAAAAAAATATCAGCTTAAAGCTGAAAGTCAATAACAGTGATGCTCAATTTAACCATAAAGCGAGCATACCCCTAGTGACTGAGGCCTGCTGTCACTTACAACCACAGCAGCAGAGGGATGGAGGACGGAGAGACACAGTGATCATCCAGAAAAAAAATGACAAAAAAGAAGGCAGAGTTATTCAATGACTGAGGCTGGGATTTGATGCTGATTTCAAGGAAGAAATCATAAACAGGGACTAAACACTAATCAGTAACTGTTTTCGATTTGGGGATGTTGACATTGTTCTATAGCCACAGCAGTGACGACGTTGCCTGCAAATGTAATTTCAGATTTTTTAGTCAGCTCTCTGAGCCTGAACATGAGCTTATATCGAATATTTTGAAATGCAGCCATATCAATCAGCTTGATTGATGATGCAATAACATATAGGCTAACCATAAATTAAAATACTTTTGTAATTATTTGAACTTTCTTGGTTTCTGAGATTTCTCAATTTTGTGAGTCCAACGTTAGTGTGCTTAGTTTGTGTTGTTTTTTTGTTTTTAAATAAATTTTGCAACAACCTCCCACATCCCAGCTACACCCTTGCACCTACATACTAACTGACATGTAAAGCACATTATCTAAGTCTTACCTTTCTCTAGTTATGAGATTTTATTTCAGCAGGATTATAATCACTTAAGTCTTAATAAACTCTTAAAAAAATCTGTTAGCCTCAGCTTGTGTTGTTGTAGGTCCTCCTGGAGCCCATTATTAATAAGAGATTACCTAAAAGATTAATGTGGTTGCTAAAACAGACTTGTGGATTATAGGGGATTATTTTAATAAGTTTGAGAGGAAATCCCGTATATAGACTGGGCTGTATTTGGCTCACCCTGTGAACAGGCCATGAAGGATACAAGAAATAAAAAGTAGATGGGAGTATAAATATGATTTGTTTGTATCAAATCTTGGCGTTTCAGTAGGAGTGGGTAGTTATTGTCCAGCCTTACAGACTGGAGTAACTCCAGTAAAAACCAGTCTGAGATCCTCCTACAGCTCAACTCTCCTCAGCAGCTCTTCTCGCTTTGTCAACCCACAGGAATTCCTCACAATAACTTCCCATTCAGTCAGAAGAAAAGGATCTTTTTAACCTCATTAACTCAAAGCTGCCTTGTACTGAATGCCTGCGAATGCCACAGTTACTGTCTGAGTCCAGAACACCATGGAGTGTGAGCAGGAAGGGTAATGTTTGCATCTGCAGTTCAGGAGTTAATTCTGTTATTTTAACAGAGAACAGAGTAGGGGATTTCTTCAGGGTAACAAAAGCGCTGTGAATAAAAGAGAGTGCAGAGTAGGTGGGCTTGTCTGTTCTAATCTTGCTCAATTTGTGTTACAAGATGTGAACCACTTTGTGTCAACTCTAAGTTTAAAAAAGAGAAAATGATGAGGAGTTCCTCAGGGCTCTATTCTCAGGCCTCTTTTATTCAACATCTAGCTCTTTATCTGTCTACCTGCCCTAAGAGGCTTGAGACTTAAACTGGATTTTGAAAGGGACATGTGCCTATCTTTGCCAGTGAAAGCCAATGAAAATCAAAGATCCACTATCCCCAAACATCAAAATGTTGTGTAAAGGTCCAGTTTCTTGTCAGTTCATTCAGTCATGAAAAGAGCTTTGATCAGCTGATTAACTCTGAGGTTTACTGAGCTTTATTCTTATTCTCACCCTCTGGTTCAGCACACACAACAACAATCATGGAGAAGACTGCTGACCAGCATTACACCTCAGACGGTCCTTGCTGAAAAGTCTGGCTGTACACAGAAGTCAGTATGGAAAGAGATTCGTAGGAAGTTGACTGGAAGGAAATGAGGGAGGAACATGAGACCAAGCAACAGGGACAAGAGCAATCTTGAGAGGATTGACAAGCAGAGCAGATTCAAGAACTTAGGAAGGATTCACAAGGACTGGACTGAGGCTGACGTCAGTGCATCAAGAGCCACTACATGCTGTCAAGACCCTCCTGAACCAGAAACAATGAAATAAGAGTCTCACCTGAACTAAGAAGACAAAGAACTGGACTATTGATCAGTGGCCAAAGTCCTATCTCCTGCTCTTATTTGGATATCAATGTACCAGAGTCTGCAGGAAGATCTGAGAGGCTCACAGGACAAGGTTGTGGGAAGTGTCAGAGTCAACACAGCCTTAAGTCCACCGGGAGATTTTAGAGACCTTTATGCTTCCATCTGCTGAGAAGCTTTATGGAAATATTGATTTCCTTTACCAGCAGGACCTGGCACCTGCTCACAGTGCCACAGTTATCAGAAACTGGTTTACTGACCATAATATGACTTTGCTTGATTGTCCAGCCAACTGGCCTGACCTGAACCCCACAGAGGATCTCTGAAGTATCATCAAGAGGATGATGAGAGACACCAGGGCAACAAAACAGATGAGTTGAAGGAGTTATCAGAGACCTGGACCATCATAACACCACAGCAGAGACACAGACTGATCACTTCCCTGACACGACACACTGATGCAGTAATTCATCCAAAGGGATCCCAGACCAATTATACCAAGTATATAATTTATACTGAAGGTAAAAATGAACAGAATTTTCCAGGTCAACATTTCTATATCATAAATTCATCTTTTGTATCTGTGTTTTGTGATATTCTGATGTTTTCAGATAGTTGAGTTTTGATTTTCATGAGCTGTGAGCCGTAATCATCAAGATTAAAACAAAAAAAAAACCATGTGGTTTATCATCCAAACAGATGCCAGTAAGTTAGATATATTAGTAAGCAACCAGCAGCAGAGGTCAAAGGTCAGAGCCTGAACACAATTAGAAAGAAATATCTGAGAGCTAGATAGAAAAGGAGATGAAAGGGGAGGCGTCCTGCCCGACTGCCTCTGAAAAAAAGTCTGCAGGGTTTAAGCGCAGACTTCCTCCAGAGAGACACATGAATGACAGCGGCATGACACTCGAGAGTCATTACAGAGGGGACACAGGAAGTCTGTTGTCTGGCCAAAACAAGCTAACAGCTAGTCTGAAACCTGGAAGACTTAGGCAGACTTAGCAGCAGAAGGATTTGGTCCCAGGACTCACAGATAGCTCATGAAATTATGCAGATACCAGTTCAAAATATAAAGCATGTCTGCAAAACATCCAGAGTCTCCCTTCAGTTTAAGGGTACAGTGAGGAGAAATGGCAGCACTTTGCCATATCTTGCAACCAGTTTCCAAAAAGGCCCCCTTGCTCACCCCAACTGTTAGTGAAGCTATGTTGGCCTACAAGGACAAAAAGCTCTTGTGATACATGATAAATGTGTCGAGTTTTTCCATCAAAAATGTCAAGAAAGTTCTCTTGCATACAAAAGCAACCCCTTTCTTCTTTCTTTCCATCTTCCTGCTAGGGTATTTCAGGCAGCCACTCACTAAATAAATAAATACACTTTTAACTATTTTGTCCCTTTCTGTCCTGCCATAGCAAAGCAACAAAAGCTGTTCCAATAAATGCAGATAAATATCACACTTTATCTTACACTGAGATTTTCCCCATTCAAGAGGCTAAAAAGTCAACTCAAGCATAAAGCTTTAACTTCACAAAGGATCTCATTGTTACCCACACAAAAAGCAACCATTTACCAGGTTTAATGACCGATATATCACTCTCAGAAACTAGAAACAGCTTTTGAACAACCCTATTTAAAGCCAGTAGCCTTTGAAAAAAAAGCTAATTTTAGGTTCTGTCAGAGGAGTTTGTTGGTGTTGAGAAGAGTTATTTTACATAAGTTCCAGACTTCGAACAGCAGATATCTTAGGCGTTGGCCTAAGATGTACTTCCTAAAGTACAAAGATCTATGTAATCATAGATCTTTGCACTTATGTCTGATTTGCTCTCATGAGACTAAGAACCCAAATACTTTCTGCATGTGCATTCCTAATCCTCTCCTGCACAGTAACAGTAAATATACATGAGGTTTTGTAAGGTCTACATGTTTCCCGCAGCATATTTGTGTAATAATATATGTTCTGTTAAAGGACCCGCAGCAGAGAAGCCCTTACATCACACATGTCCGACCCCTGAGATCATCGTTATCAGTGTGAGAACAGAGTGGGGAGGAAACACCCTGAGCGCTGCCATCTGGTTTTGGAGGACAGATGTCTCAAATCTATATGTTCCAGATGTGCCAGCCTTGCAAAGATGCTATGCTTCCCGTCGAGGACGGAGAGTACCGGAAAAACCTCCACAGCAGCAGCAGTTGAAACTGGAGCCCAGCCAGAGGTTCTGCCTTTACAGTCCTCTCAGCTGGGCTTCCAAAGCTGACATCACTTTGGATGTATAAGAAAAGGCTGGAGGAGTTACAGTAAGACTGATAATTACTGGGGAGGCACACACCTACAGGATGCCACTATGGACTGAGGACTCAAGAGGACCAATTAGAGCTTCACACTGTGGGAAAATCCCACAAAGGAGACGCAGACCAACAGTGACAGCTGTCAGTCTGACATTTTCTTCTCAAAGTCTTCATGATTACAAACCAAAGCCTCCAAACCAACAGAACTAACAATTTCAGTGCAAAGAGATGACCAATTTTCGGCCACTTCCAGGAACTTTAATTCTGGCCAACTAGTTTGCCTGCAGGTCCAAAACAAACACTCAGAAAAAAAGCCAAAATCAACGTCTTCATACAAAGTGTGGCTAACATTAGCAGAGCTAGCACCACCAGTATTCAGTCCTCTCTGTTCCAAGTGAGTCCTGATATGCCAGTGTAACCAGACACAACCCATATGAAACTTCATTTCCATGGTATAGACCAGCCCATGTCATGACATGTAAGGGTAGATTGATAGATTAGATTAAGATTAGAATAGATTGGTCGGTTCATAACATCCTTTACATAAACACGTGATTCCACAAGACACGAGAGTTACAGGTCTGCCTGATTAATTTCTTTAGGTTTTGTGCCAGTGTGGTGGTTGATACAAGTGGAACTGATTTGTATAAATCAGGTTAAACTTCTGCATTTGCCAAAAAAAGGTGTCATATGGTGGACTTCATGAGCAAAAACATGGGAGCTGCTGATCTACTTCTGCCATAATCTGAAGGTTTTTTTGTGCCATTTTTAACATTTTAAAATGTGTTACAAAACTTCACAGCTGTCTTGACAGCCATCAGCCTCTACCAACAAAAATTGTAGTTTACCTTCAGGACATGGGAGATGCTGGTCTGCCTGTGCACAGTTTGGTTTGATTGATTTTGTTTAAGTTATGGCGGTTTTCTTAGTCAGGATCCAGCGCTACTGTAGAGCATTACAATGACTCCAAGAACCTAACCCCCAAACGCGAAGGTAGACCAATATCTCCTTCCATGTAGAGTGACTGTTGGCTGTTTTTACAAATAGTCTAGTGGTATCAAAAGACGTATATTTATGTACAACTTTAGACATTTGCATAGTACTGACATTGGGCTGCTGGGGTCTCACTGTGGGACTAAATTGTTGGACAGAAAGATTCAACTTGGAGACCAAACGGCGTCACAGCTTGTGGGGTAAAAGCAACAGGACAGCAGCCTCCATATATTTCCTGTCCTGCATGTGTACACAACCCCCGGGTGAAAATTGTTCACTGATTTATTCCCAAACAACAAACTTAATGTACACGTCCGCTCAGGGTTACACAAGTCCTGCCTGCAGTGCCTGAAACATGGAGGTGACCGGAGCGAGACGTTCATCATGTCCCAACAGCTTCCTGTAGAGACCCTGAGAGCTCTGTGTGGTCTGCAGCCTGTTGTTTTAATGGGGGGAGGGACAAATGGTGAAGTGACTGAGACAGAGGAGAGAAAACACTCCAGAAGTGGATGTATCAGTTTGATGACGAGGCTCAGCAGCTTGAGCAAATCATGTCAGGGGTAACAAAGAAGAGGAAGGGAGATGGTCGTCCACAGAAGTTCATGGATGTACCAGTTTAAAGAATTACCTTCAGTCTGGTTTGCAGGCTTATGGGAGGTTAGAATATACTTCACTTACTTGTACTAACATGGAACTACATCATGAATGCAATGGCACTAAAAGGCCGACTTCAGCCACATCTCTATCCTGTTTCTAGGTTGACCAAAAATTAGGTTGGGTTACACCAATATGGCAAATCTTGTTTTTGGGCATCATAATTTCTTCTTAGAAACCAATTGAAGACATCACCAAGACTAGAGACTATGCTAGCAGGGTGTCTCAGCTGAAAAGATGGTAGACAATGTAAAATGTTTCAGTAAGTAGATCCATGAGAACTTTGTAGAGTTTAATCCTGGTAAATATGGTCTGCAAAAAGTCACAGATTATGGCTCAGTGCTAAACTGAGAAGTTTTCCCACATAAACAGTGTGTGTGATAAAAACCTTTGATTGGTGGGTGATGTAAACCCAGAGATGGGGCAGGATTAGTCTTTAAGGGGCCATAGGGCCACATTTGTTGAGCCTCTATTGTCCGTCCACCTTAACCCCCCTTGTTTAAATGTCAGTACATGTGACCCCTCACCTCCAGGTCACACACCCCAGATACTTGTCCCAGGTACTTTAACCACTTTAAAGTATCACTGTGACCACACCAGTTACTTTGTGCAAACTGGGAAATGCATGGAACATATCGAGATAATACAATAAATCTTAATCTGAATTGGGGAACAGGAAACAAGCACCACACATTAGGTAATTATGCAGGACCCACCTCTGGAGATAATCTAACCCCTGGGGTCTTGGGGGGCCCATGACGCCAGAGGTAGGCAGTTGCCCAAGTTGCCTTTTTTGTAAGATAAAGTTATGTAATAACTTTAACGTCCAATAGAATCACTTCACCTGAACTCAGTTTAAGTGACAAAAACAGGGTCAACATCTCAAAAACAGTTTTAGAAAGTTTAAAACCTGGTGTGGACACTGCAATCTGGATTAGGTGTCACATGACCTGAGGAATGCATTCAGTGTGTGTGTGTGTGTGTGTGTGTGTGTGTGTGTGTGTTTGTGTGTGGACCTGATGAAAGGCTTATCTGCGTTGGCTTTTAATTGACTCACATTCCTGCCTCTGTTCACTCATTCACAGAGCGTCAAACACTTCTGAACAAACAACAAACCAGCAGCTCCGCCTGCCTGTTTACACTGAAAAAGAACACTTAGAAAGCACTTAACGACAGATTTGAAGGGCTTCAACTCGACTTTGTTTTTTTCCTTTTTCATGCAGCTTACACTTCTAATCCACAACATTTATCTAAAAGTTCAAATTTTGTGATGGCAAAAGGGAAAGGATCCATTTTAGAATTTGATATATAAGTGAAAGAATCAATTCATTAAAATGTAGGGGGGAGGGCAGCACAGGGTAATCCACAACATCATATGATACTTGATATGATACATTGCAGAAGTAAGTTTTTTTGTAGAAATTTGAACCTAATACAAAATTTAAAAAGACTTCATATTTCAAGAAAAACATCCCAATGCTTCAGGAATTTCGATCACAGAATAATTGTCAATACAATGCATTATACAATATATGCTATATAATAAATGATATGATTGAGTATGGTTATATGATATGAAAGGATATAAATCAGTAGAATTATACGACAGTCAGGATGATGTGACAAGAAATTTTTGGAGTTACAATTGTGATATAATAACATGATATGAAACATTATTGAGCAGTATGATAATGATTTATGATCATGATATATGCAATCTGATAGTTGTAATGATCATGCTTATGCTATGGTTATGATGTGATAATGACAACAAAACTATATGATATGAAATGATATAATATGATGTAATATGACAATGGGACATAACACTGCAGGATATGACACCATACAATAAAGCACAATATCATACCATACTGCACAATGTGCCATGATAGGATATGATACAATCCAATATTATAGCTGAATTTAAAGTTCAATTTGAGCAGCTGTGATGAAGTATTTTCAGAGCTTAATGTTAGTAATTGTAGTCCACCAAATGATCTGGATAAACTTCTCACCAGTCAACCACAAAGTAACAAATTCAGAAACACTAAAGAAAAGTGTGTGATGCGATTGAGAGCCAATAGAATACCTTATCAGGTGTAAACAAACAGAAACAGAGAGCAGACAGAGAGCTCCAGACAAGATACTTTGAAAAGTTAAAATGATCAAAAGTGCTTTTCACACATTTACTGCTTACAAGTTCTGGAAAATTACTGCACCTTACATTTTCCAGACTTTTACCAAACACATATCCAAACAATCAGGAGGACATCACAATTTTTTTTCACAAGTTGAAAAAAGTCTTGAAAAAATGGGGATTAACAAATTGACTGTTGGCATTCACAAGTACAGCCCATTCTGAAAAATTCGGGGAGTTTTCAGGAGTGCTGTGAATGTGGGAATAAGGCTTATTTAAGCTGCTAATATTTCCCTGCATGGAATCTGCTTGATCATGGCCACCTGCCCTGCATCCATGCCTGAAAATGATGTAAGCCAGCATTTCTGATCATATGGGGATCATCACAGTCTATGTCATGGGTAGCTTCCACATCTGTGAAGACTCCATTAATGCTGAGCAATATCTACAGGTTTAGGAGCAACATCTGCTGCCATCCAGACAATGACTAATTCAGGGAAGACCTTCATATTTCAGCAAGACAATGATAAACCACATTCAGCAGCGATTAAAGCAACATGTCTCTGTAGCAGAAGAGTCATGCTGATAAAATGACCTGCCTGCAGTCCTGACCTGTCACCCACTGAAAATATTTGGAGCATCATGAAACTGATAGCAGAACAAAGGAGACCCTGAAAATTTAAGCAGCTGAAATCTTCATTCAAGCAAGAATTGGACAGCATTTCACTTTTAGACTCCAGAAACTGGTCTCCTGGGCTTTGCAAAATTTGCATGAACGGCATAAACTCTTTATAATATCTTTATATGTGATGAAGCCGCTAAGGCACCTGGACATTAGAGTTAAGGTGTCACTCAGTAACCCCCATCATGAGTCAACAAACAGACATGATCAATCAATCATGACACCTTGATCAATAATTAATGATAAAAGAAACACTCAAAAACATTCGTCAAACAGTCGTCCATGAAATGCCAAAATCCAATCAAATGAAGTCCACCATTCTTTCTGTTTTGTTTTTTTTATTTAAAAACTCTGGTGAGGAACTGTTGGCTTTTGTCAATTTAGACACCAGAGCAGGATTTGCCCATCCTTTTCTTTAGGTAGTGTCTTCTGACACTTACAATTCATGTTACTGTGTAAATCTTAAAAACAGGACCCCCTTACACCAGTTTTAGGCACTGAAAATTACAGTGTTAAAAACATCAGATGCTTTTGTTTGCTAAGCCTATTGAAAAAAAACCCACATAGTAGCTTTAATCTACAAATTGCTCCTCATACTATACATCATCTTAAACTATCTATACACTGTAAAACTTAAGCCTCATTTTACAAGGAAATTTTAATTTATAATATTTGTTTGTTCTGATGAACTAAGAGGAAAGACTGAGAACAGGAGTCCATTTACATGCTCAAACTCAAGACCTCTCTTATTCGATGGGTGTTCCTTTGTGAGACTTTTAGAGAGGTTATTTGGGCTGACTTTGAGTGCTTCAAATCCAATGCAGTTCGATTTTTTTACAGCCAAAACCAGGTTTCTGTTTTAACCTTTTTTTCGGTTGTAATTTAGTTCTGATTCTTTAGCACTTGACTAACTTTGATGAATGGACATCATGGTTAATTTGGTCCCTCTTTTCACTGATAACTCGCCCAAACTTGGATGTTTCACTTACATAAACTTTGTCGAAGGTGTTGCTGAAGAAGAACAGGGTTTCGTTCAGATGTAGTTCGGCGCTGGAGTCCGAGCCAGGCGGCAGCTGCTGGTCTCCGACTTCTTCTCCAAACTCGAACAGCTCCTCCAGCTCCAGAGCCCGGGTCAGGACACTCAGGCTCAGCAAGCACGTCCAGAACCAGCTCCAGCTCCGGGGACTCATCTTCACTGTAACGCTGCACAGACACTCGGACCTGCAGCCGGGGTCTCAGATTAACGAAGCCGAGGAGGAGGCGAGCACAGCCGGACACGAGAAACTGATACAGCGGTGCACAGTGGCGGAGTGACGGACCGCAGGAGGCGGGGGGAAGGATGAATGGATGGAGCAGCGGGAGTATCTGCACGAGGGGGTCCTGACTTCCGGTTAATTTTTCTAAAATAAAGTTTTGTAACCGAAAAAAGGTGTCAACTTTATTCGAAACCGCCTACCGCACACATCTACCGAGCGCAGTACGCAGTACATAACACATACTGTGTACTCCAAAGTGTCTACTACCTCAGACAGGAGTATACAGTATGGCTGCTATTTTGCAGTCTGCTTATTGACTGTAAGTGTTATTATGTAGGGGAGACCGGGGCTTGTTGTCACATGGGTAAGTTGTCACATTGCAATTATCTTTGCCACCTCTTTGCCACCAGAGGGCGCAACTGAAAACTGAAATACTAGTTTTATTCCTTTACATAGTCAGGGGTCATGTCCTGTCTGAGAAGAGAGGAGCACATTGTGAGCCGAGATAAGCGCCAATTAACCATTTTGCACAACCCAAAATAAAAAAATAACAAGTTTACATATTTTAAAATAAGCTTCTTCCAGATAAAAATCCTAGCAGTGATAAACATGGACTTGTTAGAGGAGAGATTAAGACATCCTGTCATACCTCAGTCATTGTTCTGTTTTAACCTAACTTAAAGCTAGAACTAGAATAAGCAGACATGGTAGTTTGGGGCAATATGTCTCAGTCATTTTGGGGTTAGTTGTCACATGTTTAAAATTGATTAAAATTAACATAGAGAGTTCTGCTTATCAGCAGTTGTCATATTGAAATTTCAACTTTATTTTTACAGAAAAGAGTGGTTTAAAGGAGAGGAGAAAGCAAAAAGACATGGTCAGGAATTTTAAAAGAAAAACAGAACGTGGCAGTGCAGTGCCTACTGTGATGCTAAGGGCAGTCAGACAGGTGACCCTAGCTAATAAATCATTCTGGAGTGCAATAAAGTACTTTGATGTCAACAACCATACCATGGCTCGGGACTGCAAAACATTCACCCCAGCCGAAATACAGAGTCAGACAGATCTTCAAACGCCAGAGCATGTTGCATAATATTTTATGTTAACGTTTGACCAACAACTTTTTTTAGCTCAATGATAAACATTTCCTGTGCCTGACTTAGATGTTCACTGAGAGCAATAATAATTTTGTCCTTGTTTTATTAGCTGCAAAATCCACTATGACATCTTACCCCATGTAGTGAGACAACTTACCCGATAGTGGGGCCTCATGTCACATGTTCACACTCTCTATTTGATTGCTTATAACTCTGCACTTACACAAGATATGAAAATGACATAAATACAAAATATATAGGCTACCTGAGACTTTGGTCTTTCATCTGGTACACAATTTGTTTATATATGATGTATTGATTCCAGGGACCTTATACACACATGGAAACAAGCAACAGGTGAGATTCTTAAGTAAATAACAAAGGAGGGAAACAAAGGAAGTAAAACTAGACTTGATACAAAGGGACTGACTACTTCAAAGTAAAACAGGAAAAACTGAACATACTGAAAGAAACCAAACAGTGGAAAACACAAGAACAGGAACAACAGGGAACAGAAACACCAAAAAATACACAGAAAATATAAACTAAATTTAAAATCAGGATAAAACATAACAAACAAAATATTACATGACATAGCCTGAGCACATTTCAGAAAATACTTAAGTATGCACTGAGCTACACCAGCGCCAAATTTGGCACTTTTAGACAAAAGTGAACGAAAATATCCCTAAAGCCCCCCACTACATGCCTGCCTAAGTGCTTCATGTTCGTATATCATGCAGCTGGACTTTTGGATGCATGTATCAGACCAAACTGTTTTTGAGTCAGGCTGTAAATGTGTTTATTTTTGCTCAGGCTTTTAGAGCTCTTTGTGTTCGTGGTTTGTATTGCTTCTGCAGCCAGCCTCAAGCGGGACCTTGGAGTACTGTACTTTTTAGCACTTGAACATCAGCTTCATTTCTCAAGACAGGAGGTTGTACTTGGTGTACAGGTACATGGTCCTTCATCACTCAAGTAAAAATGGACTTTAATATTGGGGACATTGTCTTAATAGTTGACCCATCAGCTCCTCAAGGACTGGTAAAAATCAGAGGATGACTTTGGGCCTGCTGGGTGGCGTTCAGAGGTGACTTTGAAATCATGCAGATAACTCAGAAAGAGAGGCTCGATGGCCAGTCGAAACGATTTCAAAAATGGCTTCGTGAAATTAAAGAAAAATCTATTAAAGGCTTAATCTTGAATTGCTATGTGCACAAAAAGTTGAAGGTTTAAAACTTGAACTAAGACAATGCTGAAGAAAATTCAATGTGAATGAACACGTGGCATAAAACTTCGAAGATTAAGAAAAAAAGACTAAGTAGTTCAAGCTAAGAGAAAACAAAGAGGGGGAACACAGAAGAGCGTGAGCAGAAGAGAGTGAAGAAGCGTAAGAGTGTAGGAGAGTAAGAGCACCCCCAAGTTACTGGTTTTGTCTCCTTCACACTGGGAGTGTCTCTGGTGTGTGTAAGGCGAAAGAGGAGGGATCGTGGGGTTTCCAACTGCAGAGGAGACTTCTTGGCTCCCTGATTATTTGATCTAACTTGTACTTTTGGCTGGTAAAAGAGTCAGATCTGATACTCACTCACTATGATTAATATCCTTGAATGCTTGATTTCATGATAAATGATTTGATACTAAACACATATGAATGAAATGTAGGATCACATCAAACATTCTCATTATGTTTCAAGTATCACATTGAACATGCTAAATTACTCTGAAATGAAACAGATAGTAACACATAGAAACTGTGAACAACAAAAGAGTAAATACATGTGAATGAACTTCATCATGATTAATAATGGATTCTATATGCTAACATTCAGATTATTCAATGACATTATAACCTAATGGTTAAAAATACTAAATAAATGACTAAAATATAAACCGACATTTCTAAACCATTTCTGTGACTTAGAGTAAAGTTATGATTCATTATTAATAAATCTAACTCTTAATGAAACAGTCTGAAAAGCTGTTAGTCTAAAGAAACTAAAGAATAAGGATTTATTCTGTCAGAGTGATAACTTGACTTCTGGAGCACATAGAAAAATGGGACACATCTCATTTTAACACAAATTTCATGATTAGACAGATCAGTACATTGCTGAATGCATAAGATGTCATGATCCGTCATTTGTATTCTTTCTCAAAGGAATGCAGTTTTTATCAGAACATGGTTGAGCAGGGTTTTACGACTGAGGTCTGGAGGTCAGTGTCCTGCTCCTCAGACCTTTCCTTGGTTTACCATCATAAAGTTCACACACTTTATGATGGTAAATCTCAAATGGGAGGCCTGAGTTGAAGCGTTAATGTTTATATTTAAATAGTCAGTGATGGAGTCAGTTTGAAAGGTAATAAAGACTCTCTCTCTGTTCTCCGAATTGACCAATCGTGAAGAGCCAGAGGTTTAGGTAAACTAGCCTGGCTGAGCCATCCTGTTGCGTGAATCACTTGACATTCCTTCCCACAACAGCCTGGACTTCGGCCCATAGGGAGCATGTATTCCCGATCAGAAAATAACCGGGCCAATCGGAGACCGTGTTTCCACTGTTACCCAGACAACAGGGAAAGGCAGCCCCTGATTGGTCCATGTACTACTGTAACCAATCACCGTAACCAAGCATCTGACATCATCACAGATGCTTGGTTACGGTGATTGGTTACAGTAGTCTGTCTATTAAGGAAAGTAGCCACCCCATTCATTTTTGACACTATACAAAAATCATTATTTTGCTTTGATCTAATGCTTAGGGTCAAGCTTAAAATTATTAATAGGTCTAAACTCTTTGCAATGCCTTGGAAATTGTTTGGAACTTGACCTCTAACTTTTCTTGCTTTTTGTTCACTTAGGTTTTAGAGTGTTAGAAGACTGTGATTGATAGGGTTTTCTCCAAGTGCTTTGGTTTCCCCCACCGTTGATTTTTAATCAAAAAAAAAAAAAAGGGAGAGAAGAAGACAGCCTCCACGTGGCCTCCCCCGCAAGTAGCCAAAGAGTAGTTTGCCCTTTACGCGAAACCAATGTCTTCAAAATGTCACAACCACAGCCGACCCCCCCCCCCCCACACACACACACACACACACACACACATCATATAAACATCAGAAAGGAATCATGCATGTCAGAATTAGTTGAATTAGACCTATTGCACCAGGTTTTTACGCCATTTGGAAATATACAAATTAGGGGTCTAGACACACCCAAAAATAAAAAAGAGCATTCCAACACATTTCTAATTGTCAAAACACATGAAATAGACACCAAGTTTACATTTGTAACTCATCTGTTTCAAATGTTAGAGACAAAAGCTATTACAAGTGGCGGCCATATTGGATCAGCCGCTGTGGCGACCCCAAAGGTCACCGGCGCAGGCGCCGTAGCTAAATCATTTAACTGCATCATCCTGCCTTCCTTTTGTAAACTACACCAATATCTAAGAAACAGCCCTGCATAATGCTAGAAATCGTCTCAAATAAACAGTTTCAACTTTGGAAGTGAAAATATCTTTTTCTACTTCTCAGGAAACTCAGCAGACTTTCTTCTTTAAAAAGAGCTGTCATTTTTTTATATTGCATTTCCATACATGAAACAACCACTACCTTTATTTATGCATGTTGTTAATTATAGGCTGAGTTTTTAGTTTTAGACAGCTGCTGGATGCTGTGGCTCTCGTCAGCTCCTCAGTTACTCACTAATCTGTAAATGACTTTGTCGCTCTCTGTGGTTTTTCCAAATTTTAGGACTGTTTAGGTCTTATAATAAGGTATAAAAGTGTTATGACTGTTATTATTACTAAAACATTTTTTCACAGACACAAAGATACATGCATGCATACACAACCAAATCTATATCTTGAATATATTTCAATACCATAATAAAATGAGGTGAAAAATCTCTTCAGAACATCAACAGCAGAAGATATATAAATATATAACTTTACTGAAGATGATTTATGATAATCCAGATTTTGAAGAATCTCACATTTTATCCTAATTTAAATTTTTATATGTATAATAAGTTTCATTTGAAGATAGTAATACTTAGGAGTTTATAAAAAGGTTCTTTACACTCAACAATTGTTTATATGCATTTTGCCATGATGTCAAAGAACAGGTTTCAATCATCCTGAAACCAATAAATAACAGTAAAAGTTGACTAAGGTCACCTGCTGCCAAAAGTAATGCCAGAACAGGATATATATATAAAAAAAAAAAGCCAAATGTCCTCCTCACCGAATCAAGATCTACAGCTGTTGACATCAGTTTTTTGCATATACTTCCTCACATACTTTGCACAGTGATGGTGTGTATGATGGGAGTCGTTCTGAATATGAACATGAGGAGTTCAGTGGGTTCATCAGAAGCAGCAGCAGCAGACTCTGCAGAACAGGAAGACAAATGTTCACTGAATCCCCTCAACTGCAATATTTATGTTCTATCGTTTTGGTCCTGACAGTGCAGCAGGAAAGCTCGTGAAAAACGGAGGTAGGTGGAGAGAGGAGAGCAGGGAGAAGAGCAGGAGGAGGCAAGAGAGGAGATTTGACTGATAATAATGTCAACCATAAAGCAGTGTCTCTCTCTCTAAAGCCGCCAGTCTCCATTAAAATAACAGTTATTTTAGTTCACAGAGCCCTGTATCCAGTGGTCTGTTGCTCACACAGTTGCTCAGTTGTTGATGTAATTTTGGTTCTCAATTGCTAAGATCTCTCATAGATCTTCTTCCCTAGTCTGATTGCATTTCCATGAAGAAATTATCATAAATGTTCTTCCTTGAGCTGCATCACCCCACTGCAATCGGTGATGGAGTTGTCTGAGCTCTCTCTACAACCAAGCGGCTGCTGGAAGAAAATGGGCGAGTTGTGTTTAGTCTCTTTGCTAAAGGAAACCAGGCAAAGCTAAAACAATGTTTGGTGGCTAGTACTATGGCTAGGACCCTATATGTACTGTCGATGACGTTAGGTGCTGTTCTGAGTATTATTTGTGGCTATAAAGTGGCGTTTTGTAGCATGTGACCTATCAGACCACTGTGTATTGCGTATACAGTTGGTATAACTAGAGAAGCAAGCAGTCGGCAACATTCATCTCTCGATCGGGCGTCCAAAACTTGGTGTTAAGGTGTGTTTAACCATAACTCAATTTTACGTCAGGATATCCCTTTGAATTAGAAATGTTTTCAATGTGGTTTGGTTACTTCAAAGAAAGTGATCCAGCTGTAATGTAATCGGATATTAAAAATAACAAACTGAGCCTGTCAGGGACAAAAACAAGAACTTAATGTAGACATACTTTCAGGATGTTGCAGTCAGTGCAGCCTGTCTTGCAGCTGCAGGCTGAAGGAATCCTCCAGAGTTATTTCACTTTTTAAAGCTTTGAAACTGAAATATCTAATACTAAAAGTCAGGTCTTTCAAAAACCTAAACAACACCATGAGCAGAGTGCTATAGTAAATGTGCTCAGTTGCATAACAGCAGAAACATGCATCACCTTAACGCCTTTATATATTCAATTTAAACACAGTTGTATTGTGTCATCTGATGGATGCTCTGTAAAAGAAACAAAATGTGCTCCAGGAGGACTTATTAAAAGCTGTGTTATGGGGTACAACCCGATCTGACACAAATATCCCCAGCCTTTGATTCATCATACTCTCTGGTTAAAACTGACGTTGTCTCACAGCTCAGCACGAACAAACAGGAGCTCAGTGATAGTAAAGATGGGGCTGCACGAGCGTGTCTTTGTCGTCAGAGTGTGAGGCTGAGCTGCACAGCGTCCTCGATTATCTAACAGCCCGCATGTTACGTAAAAGCAGAGAAGGGAGACTGCAGCAGGGGAGGAGGAGGAGATGGATATTAGGGTTGATATAATCCATAGGCAAACAGGAGGGGTGTAAAGCCATGACTTTATTTGTAAAATATTTTTAATACTGCAGTGACTGATGCGAAACATATAAAACAATATATGATTTGAAGTCCAAAACCATTTACTCTGTAATACAACATTAAAAATTTAGATTTTGTAAAAATTGTATAAACTGCATTAAAGCCAAGCATCCTGGAGAAAATGCATTGTGCACCACATAGTTGGGAAATGAAAAGGCTGACTCTGTTTTTTTGCATCCTTTCTCACAGAATGCCCCGCCCACAACAACATCTGATTGGCTTGATGTCATGATCATGTGATGTCATTGCTGAAAATGTAACTGGTTGACTGTTCACTCCTGTATGGTGGTTGAACAGTTTCCATCAAAAATTAGCCAAAGGCCTTTAGGTTAAGTTTCATGTTTGAGTTTGTGAAGTTCAAAATTTCAAAAATGGGCAGAAGTTTTCTGAATTTCACCTTCAATAAAATATCAGTTCATATATTTCAGTATTTGTACTGACATCTACTGTATGAATATTAGTATTAATATCTGTTTTTGTCTTATTAACTACTTAAAATAAGAGGCCTGACATTTAGACATTTTGACGGATGATATCAAACATATTTGGAAAAGAAAACTGAGTATTATTGACAGAGGAACTTTATCTTTGGTAGGAGCAATAATGAGTGTCACTAGCAATAAATTAAACCTGTTTAACAGGAAAAATTAAAAAGTTAAACAAGGAAAATTGTTTTTTTTTACAGGGAAAGCTGCAGATATTTTTTAAAAGAAAATTAAACACTTTTGACAGTAAAAGTTAAACATTTAAACTGGGTGATTTAAACAGTTTTTAAAGGGAGAATGAATGATTGTACAGGGAACATTGAACTTTTTACAGGGAACGTTGAACATTTTTGACAGCGACATGCACCTGTTTCACCTTTTTAGATTTATGTCCTTTCTAGTGTGTCCTGTCACATCTACATATGGCGCAAGTTCCTAGACTGTCAGGCCAGTTAATCCCCTTTCGTGTGTTTCCAACAGGGACATCTCTGCACAGTGACTTAACTCTATAAACTGAGCAAGATCACAAACAGAAGAGTCACTCTGAGTAAAAAGTGAATTAAGGGGAAATGTTGAGAGTAATTATTTAATTTCAAACAGCTCGACTCTGTTTTCTGAATAAGAAAATATAGCTTTTTTCTTATTATCAAGGAAATCTACAAAACAGAAAATTTCAATCGAAGACAACAGTTTTTACCGTAAGATTAAAAATTACTGCAGTTATTTTAATATCAAATTTCAGACACAATCCCTCTCCAGTTTTAGGACGATAATAAAACCGCATTAGTCGAAGGAGCCTGTGTGATGCTGCTGTGACGGAGTGTGTGTGTGTGTGTGTGTGTGTGTGTGTGTGTGTGTGTGTGTGTGTGTGTGTGTGTGTGTGTGTGTGTGTGTGTGATCTGGGTGGGCCCACACATCCTTGCTCACTCCTCTCTCCTTCTAGATCCATCTCTCCACCTCCCTCTCAGCTCTGCAGCATCCCTCCTCCTGCTCGGCCAACCACATGCAGGGGATATGATCACATGACCCACAGCCTCCAATAGCTCCGCACCAGGCACCGGCAAAGAGAGGGGAGTTGCCTCTCCTTACCCTCTCCTCCTCCTCCTCCCTCTGGTCTATCTCTGTGCGTCAGACGGAGCGTTTGGAGGAGAGTCGATGGATGTAAAGGATCTGTCTATCTAGCTTGTACACGTTTCCTTTTCTTCCTCACCTGGAGGTGTGCTGCTCCATCTTTAACCTCCACACCCTCTCTCCTTCTCCTCCTCTGGGATGAACGGGGAGGTGATGGAGGGGAGCCCGGCTCAGGAGCAGCAGCACGCCGGTAACAGCTCCCACCTCCCTCCCCCTCCCACCATTACGCCGGCCATCCCTCCCTACGTGAAGCTGGGCCTGACCATTGCCTACACCATCTTCTACTCACTGCTCTTTGCCTTCGTCTACGCCCAGCTCTGGCTGGTGCTGCGATACCGACACAAGCGTTTCAGCTACCAGACGGCCTTCCTCTTCCTGTGTCTGCTGTGGGCCGCCCTGCGTGCCCTCCTGTTCTCCTTCTACTTCAGAGACTGTGTCACCGCCAATGCGCTCGGACCCTTCGCCTTCTGGCTGCTCTACTGCTTCCCTGTCTGCCTGCAGTTCTTCACACTCAGCCTCATGAACCTCTACTGTGCACAGGTGAGGCTGGGGGGCTGATTCTGGTTCCTGTTGTACAGGAACTGGTTACACTGGGAGCACAATGTTCTTTAAGGCCTTGCAGAGCAACTCTTACTTCTCCCCTGCAGAGAGGTAAAGGTGCACTGCTGGGTGTCTTAGTGTATTGTAACATCTCTGATGGTGGCACCACATGTGCACCAGAGCACATGTCTGACCACACCCACCTGTTATTCCATAATCAACCAGAGGGGGCAATGGTTCTTTTGGGCAGTGATTATTATGTTGTGCAAACTGAGAAACTTTGCATTCGAGATCTAAATTCCTACAGCTCTGATGGACAGTTTGTGAAGACTTGCAAATGTGCCAAAAAAAGGAACCCTGGTGAGATTAAATCAGCCACAAAATAAAGGTTGCTACTTTGTCCACAGGTGGTGCCAAAATCCACACAGACAGAAAATTCCTTACAGGAGCTTTAAAGAGAATATGACAGTTTGACTTTCTTCACAATAACGAAATTCACTCATTCTTTCACATTGTACACTCAGGAATATTATTCTGAAACTGTTGAACTATTTGCTCACTCAGTCTCTCACAGAGTGGTGAACCTCTGCCCATTTCTCCTTCTGAGAGACTCAGCCTCTCTGGATGTCCTTTGTATACACAGTCATGTTATAAATTAACCTCATTGGTATGAGATGAAATTGGGGTTGTGGTCTGGGTGGTCGGGCCCACAAAGTCAAAAGAGGATCCTGGTAATCCTGTCTTCTAAATGAAGGTATTAAAAGCCCAAAAACAGTCACTGAAAATGAAGTCTAACTCAGTTACATTTACCACTGTAGGTCATTATTGGGATAAAATTGCACCAAAATGAAACAGATGAAGCATAAAACAGTATTTTCAGAGGATGTTGGATATTTCATCAGTTATTTTGGGAGTTATCGATGCAGCAGCTGCCTCTTACTGTCACTCATTCATGCTCAGCAGCTGGTGGATTTAGAAAATCAAGCAGAAATGATGAGTATTCAGGGAAAGAAATCTGCCTCTTCACCGGCATCTTTACACGCTGAGAGCTGAGATGACGCAGGGCTTCATTTATCAATGAGTGTCTCTTCAGTCAGGAAGACGAACCAATCATATCAAGTGCTGCAACTTTGCGCTGATACCAAGCAGGGCAGTCCTTCTGCTCTTAAGTTGTGGTACTGGTGGTATGCCGGGGACCAGTTTTTATCAAAGAGCAGCATTTTTTTACCCGGATAAAGGTGATTACAAGTTTACGAGTTTGATAACAGAGAGAAAAATTAGTGCCTTTATGGCATTAACAGGGGAAGGATCATTTAAAATAGAATTCAAAGTCAGTACAAAAAGCATAATCAGTCCTCTCTTCATTACAGGTCTACTTCAAGGCAAAGTCCAAGTACTCACCTGCACTGCACAAGTACAGGTAAATCCTTCAGCTAACTCGCAGACGACTCAGACTGTCAAATGGGATCCTCTAAATTAAAGCACTTGTGTGAATATATCACAGTTTAAGAGCATATCTCTCTCCGTCTCTTTACCTCCAGACTTCCTCTGTACCTGGTCTTCTTGGCTGTCAGTCTCCTCTTCCTGGTGGTCAATCTGGTCTGCGCCCTGCTGGTCAAAATGACCACTGCTGATGTCAAGACCATTGTCCTGGTGAGGGTCACCATAAACGACAGCCTGTTTGTCCTCTGTGCTGTTTCCTTGTCCGTCTGCCTCTACAAAGTGGCCAAGATGTCACTGGCGAACATCTACCTGGAGTCAAAGGTAGGTCCAGTCTGCTGCTGTTTGACCAGTGATACAACAATGAAAGCCAACTGTTTTACCCGTTAAATATGGGATATTATTTAGTGTTACAACAACAACAACAACAACAACAACAACAGTGAAAGCATACCGTGAAAACATTTAAAGAGAGTAAATTGTAAAATAAAAACTTAAATTTTCACTGATTGTGCTCTTACACTTGGTTATCCAGAAGAGACAAGCTGTAACAGTCAAACTTTTGAAAGATAGCACCATCAAACTGAAATAATCCTTTAATTCGACCTTTTATGACTTTAAAATAAACTTCAAGTCCAACTCAAACAAAATGATTGAGATCAGTCTCAAACAGTCTATCCTGGTGAGTCTTTATCCTTTAAAATCCAGGAAAACATGAAGAGTCAGAATCCAGCCCAAACTCAAGAGAAAAAGAAAAAAAAGCAGTTTGAAAGAAGAGAGTAAAAGATAATATAAAAGCTGATAAATCAGATCAAACAAGTTGAATCAGCTGTATATTGATGAATAATGACTTTTGCACTCAGGGGACATCCGTGTGTCAGGTGACTCTGATCGGCATCACAGTGGTGTTGCTGTACTCATCTCGGGCGTGTTACAACCTGGTGGTCCTCGCCCTCACTGACATTGAGACCATCAACTCCTTCGACTATGACTGGTACAACGTCTCTGACCAGGTATGGTCACCTTCACACTTTCAAAACTGACTCATATGGACTATTTTCATGTGTCCTGACCTTCGACCTGTCTTTATTCCTCCAGGCGGACCTTCGGTCTTCACTCGGGGATGCCGGTTACATTGTGTTCGGTGTGATTCTGTTTATCTGGGAGCTTCTGCCCACCTCGCTGGTGGTCTTCTTCTTCAGGGTCAGACGGCCACCACAGGAACGGGTTAGTCACATCTTTGTGGTCTTGGTTTTCCCCCTCTGGCTTCTGGTTTCATCCTGTCTCATTTTTTAGTTTATAACCAGAAAAAGAGAGTATAAGCATGTCTTAAAGTGCTCTGAGACAGAACTGAATCTAATGATCCTCTTGATGAGGAGGAAAATTCCTCACTGAGCCTGAATCTGTTGTGTCCACTTAATCTGCAGACATGGACATCTTGTCTAACTATAAAGTCATCTGAATTTAGGACCTTTGGTTTGTCACTACTTTATAAATCTGATGCCTCCAGCTTTGTGGGCAACTAAAATTAACTTTTTGGTCACTTCATCATCACAGAATATCTTTCTTTAAACTCTGTTTTTTAAACATTTTGATAAACGTTTATAATTGTATTTCATTTTAACACCACCATTAATATTATTTTTTTAACATCTTTCATTTTATTCATCTTTTATTTTATTTATCTTTTTTATTTTTTTTATTAGTACATTTAATACAGTTATTATTCCATTATTATTTGCATTCTTATTATTGTTGTTGTTCTTATTACTCTTTAGTATTTTGAATTATAATTGTTATTAGTATGGTTGTTTTGTTATTTCTATTATTTAAATCATTGGGGGTTTTTTTTGTTTCTTGAAAAACTGAATAATAACAAAAAAATATTAATTGATGTTAATGAAATCACGTACACAACAAGAATTATTATACTTGAATTATAATCATTTTAAAGAAGAAAAAAAGGTCACTTCCAGTGTAAATTTTACGTCTTTTAGGAAACCGAAGGCTTTTGAACAGCAGTTGCACTGACTGATGTCATTATTACAAAACCTTTATTCACATCTTCTCTGTTTCCTCCTCAGAGCTCTGTCGGGATACCAAACCACGTCCTCTCTTCCAGGGGGTATTTCTTTGACAACCCGCGCCGCTATGACAGTGATGATGACCTGGCATGGAGCATCCCTCCCCAGAATGCATCAGCAAGGTATAAGTTGAAGTCAGATAAGTTGATAATTAACATCTTTATTCGAACAGCCAAAACAACAGCATGGAGGACTTTTTTTTACTATTTATAGTGTTATCAGTGGTTGTTAAATTGTGGTTATGAAGGTTTTAGCCAAAATTAAGTTACATATGTCATTTTTAAGGGCTTGTCTTTTGCAGAGCTTCATAAGCTCAATTGCAATTCACCTCTGAGTCATGGGCAGAGATAGCCTTGCTCTGCACACTTCACTTGTCTTCACGCTAAGTTTGTAGCCTAACATTGCTGGTGCAGCAAAAGTGGTAGGTAATATAGGAGCTATTCAGCTCTCGGACACTACAGCATTGCAATCCGCTACCGCACACACTTGTTCCATGATGGTCCTCTCTACTTTCAGCAGTCTGGCTCGAGAGCAGGGCTCCGGGGGCGGAGCTTGGAGTTGTGACATAGGAAATCTCACTGTGTCTGAACCTGCCGTTTGAATCTGCTAGAGGTTCATGGCGATTTGAATGCAGAAATACCTAGAAATGCAATGTTGCACTTATTTTCTCATGATGTGTCCTCTGGCATTAGAAAAATACCACATGAACATAAAGACAACAAGAAAAACATGATTTTCATCAGAGTGGGTCTTTAATTGTCCTGCATCTCCATGATCAACTACTACTGGGAATACAAGGATTTATTTTTACCTTTTTCACTAAATGAGATTTTTTGAAGGCCTAATAATGCCTAGAAACTCATAATTATCCACTTCTACATCAGGCATGAGTGACATTTACGCACTTTAATAGTCTTGGAAAAATTTGGAGAAAAGCCCATAGCACCCCCTAAAATGTTCCCCTCAGTTGGGTGAATTTCTCCCACATGCTTAAATTCATCCACTTTAATTTCCTCTCTGAAGGTTGAAAACTGCCACCAACCTTACCTAAGAATAAACTCCTGAAAACATATCCTGTCCTCAGATATTTCAAAAGTCAATGAAGGACATGTTTTTAATGTAAATTAGATCCTGTGCACACTGTCCAGCACATTTTCCAGACCTGACTGTACTAAGCGGACTTATTTTCTGTTATCTGCTGAATATATAATAAAAAGTTTTCACTATAACATATGAGATAAATGTCGTATTAAAGCAGTTTCTCATCTCTCTGACAGCCTGTCCTCTGATTGTTATGACTGGGGAAGCCGTCACAGCAGCTTCACTGTGCACACCAATGGAGACGAACAGCACCTGACCGCCACCACTGGAGAGCTCCATCCTTACCCATAAGCCCCTTCTCTTCACTGTACAGCACAAACTCTGCACTTTGGCTCCTATTGGTTAATTATTGTGTTTTTATCATCACTGATGTAAAAGTTTGTGAAGTTACAGGAGAGTTAAAGATAGCAGAATGTCCAGCAGAGTTCCTTCACTGGCCAGAGAGCATACACTTAAGAAAAAAAAACACAGAACAGTTTGTACAGGACATGAAGAAATATCCTAAGACAGGTTCATTCACATACGTTCAGACCAAAAAAAAAGTTGTCCCTCTGGATAAAAGGAAAAAAAAGAGTGCCCATATATTTTACTGGTAGGTCTCTGTTTCATTGTAAACAGTAAGTTACATAGAGGCTTCACCCTGGCTTACTTTTTATGGGATTCTTGGAAGTCTCAGTTTCACTGTTAATAGTAAGTTACAAAGGACTTTGCTGTAGCCTACTGTTCTAGTTTTTCTGGTTAGTATCAGTTCAGTGTCGATAAGAAGTAGCTTCACTCTGGCTTACTGCTCATGTGTTTCAAGGAGGTCTCAGTTTCACTGTTGATAGTAGCTTTCACAGTGGCTTCACCCTGGCTGACTATTCTTTTGTTTGTGGTGGGTCTTTGTTTCTCTGTGCATATAACAGGCTTACTGCTGGTCTGTCTGTGGTGAGTCTCAGTTTTATAGATTAGTGTAAAACTGAGATTGACAAAATGAGGATTATTTTTTCAAATCAAGGAAGAAATCACAAAATATTTCATTCAAATTAATTGAAATTCAGCAGGTAAATAATTTGATTTTTGTCTCTGGTTTTAAAACAAGATTATAAATAATGATGCGTTCAACAAAACATACCAGCAGATGTAGGGCCCTTGAAAAACTGTTTGGCTCTGCCCTTAAATGGCTAAATCTGCCCCGGTATATTGGCCAACCATAAACAAAAAATTTGACATTTTTCTCAAGTTATTGTGACTTTTATCACATTAATTTAAAAGTTTATTCTTGTGGTTTCATGACTTTTGTAACACAAATTCACAACTTTATTCCTGAAATCTCATCTTTTTCCTCAAACTTCTCCCTTTGTCAAAGTATAGCAGGTAATTTTTCATAAACTAAAATATCGGACACATAGAACTGTTGACCTGAACATGGTGTCAAATTAAAATTGAGAGGATCATCAAACCTGAACAGTTAACCCTGAGGGGATCATGAATGTCTGAACCAAACCTCATGAAAGTAAATCCATAAAATAGCATGATGGTGATATTTTTTTATCATCTCTCTGTAGTCAGATAAATCTGAGGATAAAAACTGAAGGAGGACTCTGTGTAGGAGCTCTGCTTCTCCGAAGTTTCACCGATCTGCAGTTTGTCGACGATGTTGTGATGAATGTTTTGAATGTTCCTGTTTCATTTAGGGAGTTTTTCACTCAGAGTTGTGTTCATGTAGCGCTTACTATAAATCCATCCAAACTCTGCAAACAAAAAAGTGTTATTGTGAATCTTAAAACTCTAAGACTCAGCCGTCTAAACAAAAGTTTGTTAAGTATATTTTTGAACTGTATAGATTTTGAATTGAATCGTGGTGACTCTGCACTGTAAAAAATAGAATTCAGAGTGTACTTCATTGTGTCACATGAAAAACAAGCACGTTTGTTGTTTTAACATTGATAAGATGTAAATATCAAAAACCAGACGGATAGAGAAATACCTCTGTGTTGTTTCCATGTACAGCCAAAACATATTGAAATATTTGAACCTTTTTTGTCCAAATTTGACTTATTTTTCTACACATTTATTTTAGTGTGAATTTTTTTTTTGTTTTTCTCTTTATTGTCTTGAATTTTTACTGTGAAATTGTGGATCATACGCGCAAGATTGATGTTAAAGAATAAAATAAACTAATGATTTTGTTGGTAATTTTCAGACTTTAACAGTCTCTGATTTTGAGTTAAATGAAGTGTTTTATTTTACAGTGTCTGTGTTTCAGTGATAATGTTCAGAAAACTCTATATTTCTAACAGACGGAGGTTTTTTAAGATATTTGTACAGCTGCGGTTTCACTCTGTGTTTTTATTATTGTCCTGTGTTTGTGATGTGTACACACAAATCAACACTTCAATAAAAAACTGCTCAAATTTCCTGTTAAAAGAGATGATTCTTTCTTGATTTTTTTTCATCAAAATAAATTAAAGAAACTGATATTTTTTCTTTTAAAAAAACAAAACATTTTTATAAAAGCAATTTTATTGATACATCATAAGCCTGTCATTTAGTAGAAATCAGCTTTTTAAAATGTATTTTAAATGTGGATTCTAATAAATCCTCTCCTGTTTAAATATAAACATCAAATTTGTAGTTTTAAGTATCTCCCAGTAGATGGCGCCATTTACCTATTTTATCACAGCAAACAGCTCCCTTTAACTGATAACAGAAAATATTGATTTTACCATAAAAAACAAAATGACATTAAATGTTGAGCAAATTTATACTTTTCATGCGTGACAGAAATATCAGTTGCGGAATGTACAAGACTGGGGAATAATGTAAATTGAACATGCCTGATAATTAACTGCTGCCTTTAAAAATTGTTGTTTTTCAATAAAGTTTGGTTTGATCACCTCTGCATTCAGGATTTGTTCATGTATGCCTGACAAATAACAGCTGACCTCTAAAGTCTTTAAAAAAGCAGTCCAACTCTTTTATTGGAAACGACAAATGAGCAAACCCAAAAATGTTTATTAAAGCTGTGATGACATGCATTTTCACCCATTTTGACCAATTTCAATCTAACTGTGCAGCATTAGTCTGAACATGCTGCAGTGCTGATATGTAAAAGTTTAGTTTGTGGATCATTATTCTCCCAATGGAACAGAGTGAAAAGATGCTGAAATATCAATATCATGATGCAGATTCACAATGAGTCGAAGCCTAAGCGTTGTCATGTCTGTTTGCAAAAGGAAATCAAACAACCCTTAAATTGACTATTTTTAAATGCGGTTTGGTTTATCAAATTCCTTAGTCACTGCAGGACAAATGAAATCAAATGATCTCAACTGGCAGAGAACTATCTTATATACATGTTTTGCTGACCCTTCTAAGCGAAGATCTATCAGAACTTGTTAAATGATGAACATCCTTGAGCGATAATGAAAGTTGAGAACAACAAAAAGTACAGTAAGGTAAGAATATTCAGATGTAAGGTTTCTGATCAGAATAGAAACAAATAAATGATTTTCAGAAATATTTATTCCTCTTTTCAAATAAATATTTTTAACAGGAACACACATCAACATGGTGCAGCTATTAATATTCATAGAGATCTAAAAGAAACCAAAGAAAAAAGTTGTGCTGCCTTTGAACAAACTTAACAGATTTAATTCAACATGAGGACCGTGAAAAGTCTGAAGCAGGTTTTCTGTCATTTTACTGATTTCATCATTTTGAAAATCTCAGTTTAGTTTTAAGGCTGAAGGGTGGACAATGCTGCTGCTGGAGAGCAGACAAACTCTCTGACTGTTTTTTCACCAACACACTCTGAACCAGCAGCTTATGCAGCTTCTATCCTCGATCCTGAATAATGTGGCATTAAAGAACTTGGTGGGGACAGAGGTGACACAAATATAACTTTTGGAACTGAATTTCTTTTTTTCCCTTTAATATTTTAATTTATTCCATTTCGGATTTTTAATCGTTTAATGTCGTAGATTCATGAGCCAAACCCTCAAAAAACGAAATCAACACATCTAAAAAGCCTTAACTTTTCATACAACAATATGCAAACTACTGAGTAAAAATCAAAACCCCATTGTCCTTAGCATTGTAATAAAACAAACTTAACAAAAACAAAACATAAATTATAGGCCACTGAAAAATCTTTGGTCCAACTTCACTTTTTTAAACCTTTCCTGCCCAGACGTAAAAGTCTTAGAGGTTTGTCCGCCAACCAGGGGTCAATGTTTTTTTTTTTAAAATCCACTGCAGACTGAAGAAAAGAAAAAAAAGAATCAGGAAAAAGAATACAGAGCATAGGAGGTAAAAAAGGGAAGGAAAAACGAAAAAAGAAACAGATGAAAGAAAAAAAAATGTTAAGAAAAATAATCTGTACTTTCTCAAACTGCCATTCAGGCCTTAAAGCCGGAACAATGTACGTTGGCTTACAATAATCAGAATGGCCAGCAGGGGGCGGCCTTCTCTGGTGTTTCTTTGCTTGTTCTATGTTGCTTGTTAATTTTAATTTTTCTGTTTTAGACAGCAGCAGACCAACAATTCCCAGGAGACTGTGGGATTTTAAGAGAGCTACTTTACTCCTTGACCACCTGCTCCTTCATTATGTATGAATCCTTCTCTTCTGTTTGAGGATGTTTCATCGTCAAGATTAAAACATCATCTTCATGAGGATCAGGCTGTTGAAACAAAAAATATCTGACCTGCAGTATTTTTCTACTTAAGCCATCTCTGTAAAAGCTCCTGTTTTAAATACGCCAACATTTACAGCGTGAACTAAAAATAGTCAAATAAACTCCTCCTGCTTCAAATAAACTCATTGATCCGTCTCAACTTCAGTTGTGCTTCATGACCCAAGACTGATGAAAAAATAAATAGCAAAAACAAGATGCACACAACTCATTCATCAACACACACACACACTACAGTCAGTCTCTGACTGAGTTTGAGGTCATTGAAGAGGGAATCAGTTTTTTTTAAATCAGGGCTCTCAGTTTCTGTACAAAGTCAAATGTAAATTAAAGAACTGTTGTTTTTTTAATGTAAATTAGATGATTTTCTGAAACTTCACTTTTTCATAGATATGTCAAATGACCTGTTAAGTGACAGAAACAAGTCATTTCAATAATAGTTGGTTAAAGCTTGGCATCCAGTGTAATGTCTGCGTTAGAATCAATTAAAGAGCAGAAATAAAAAGAACTGCTGGAAACTGCGAGCTTACATTTGCTTGCATGTAAGGGTTAATATCCTCTCACACGAACATAAAGAAACACTTTTACTTGGTAGGGAGCTGTCATAAGCCTGAAACAGCAAACACAAGCAGGTTTTTAGGTTCTGAGGGACAAAACTTTGGAAAACCAACAGAAGAAGAAAAAGAGAGCAGATAGAAAACACAACGAAAATTAAATAGGCAGCAGCAAATAGTCCTTTCTGAGTCCTTAATCAGGACAGAGTCTCTTGTGTCTCGCAGAAGAGCCGTAAAAAGGTCGACTCATCACAGGAGTGTAAATCCAAACAGGATGTAACATTAGTAGGGGGCGGGGGCAGCGTTAACAGGCGACAAGGTGCTTTTCTGACAGGTTTCCTTTTAAAAACTTGTGTTGTTTGTAGTCATGTGATTTTAATCCAGGTGTTTTCAGAACTTTTCCAGGTTTGGACCAAAGAAAAGATCAAAGTTTGTCGACAGGAGGCAGCGGGTTTTAACATTCAAGATTAATCAGACTGAGGAAGAGGAAGGAGGGTGGGGGGATACAGGGAGGAGGGTGAGTCTTCTAGAGTCCATGAGAAAGTTCTTCTTCTGGGCGAGGATTACACTTCTGCAGTTCTCTGTGGGCCGGCTCTGCCTCCTGTTACCTGTTCTCCTCCAGCAGGAGGCGGAAGCTGTGCAGCTGATGTATACTAGTGGACAACCTGAAGGTGAGGAAGAGGAGATGAAACAGGAGCAAAAATAACACAACAAAAATATTGGATTGGGCTTGTAAGTAAAACATCACTCTGTGAGTCAGTTTGTCATTTTGATGCCTTTCATCCGTTTTGTGTTGTTGTTGTATTATGGTTCACAGAGCTGGGAGCGTACCTGCCGAAGCCGTTCATTAAGGCCACAATCTCCTGCCGGGTCAGCTGGAAACCTTTAGAGGGACTGTGTTCTGGAAGGTTCTGGATCTCCTTCTCAGAGAAGAGGATCTTCAAGGCTGTTCCCAGACCCTGGGTCTGCACAAAGAGGACACATGAAAACTGTCAGGTAGTTTGTTTATGACAGAAGGGTTGTCAAAATGTTCAATACTCTGATACATTTAAATGCGGTGTGCTTTACAACAATAGAATCCTTTCTTCTTATCTACCTTTACATGATGTTGGTCTGTGCTCAGAGACTTTTTCAAATACAAGAAAATTACTACGGATTTACATTTCTATAGTCGTACGGCGCTTTAGAATTTTAATAGCATCATAATGTAAAAAAAAAACACTTAAAACTTTAAGACAGTGATATTTCTGGCTGGAGTACGTGTGCTGGAATAATTCCTATTTAAAAGTCTAAACAACCGAGTCCTGTTACCAGGAAAAACATCAAGGAGACCCAAAATACTCAAGAAAACCAAAGTGAATCCAGACTAATCATTTAAACTGGTTTAAAGTTGAATTTTTCTCACCTGCAGTTTGCCCCATAGGCGACATTTACTGCAGCCGACACAGTCCATGATCCTGGAGATGTTCTTGAAATGAAGTCGAAACTCCTCCTAAAAAAAACAAACAAAAAATAAGTAAATTTTTATCAAGACTATTGTATAAGTAATAGAGAAAACGCCCTAAATATAACAGTCCAAAGAACTGTAGATTCTGGATTCTGGAGTCTGGAACTGTTATGATACTTTTACTCCTAATTTCCACCGCATCCGGAAACGGCGGCGAAAAGGATGTCGCCGCTGATCGCCGATAGATGAGGAGAGTCTTTCTCTAGTTGTCTGAAAAGACTCTGAGTCACGGCTCAGCCTAAATCTTACCCAGAAAAAACTAAGGTCACTGTGTTTGGACACCCTGAACAGCCAAATTGCCGCCCTCTCTGGCCTCCGGCTGAAAGAGTTCGCTCTTCTGGGAACAGCTTTGGTGTTTACTTGAAGAACACTTTCTAATTTGGCGTGCAGATCTCTCCTGCTGTTCAGTCCAGTGTCTTGCTGTTACAGCTGATAGCTAAAGTAAAGGTTTTCAACCAATCAATATCATCCACCAATATAGCTTTATACAAATGTGTGATATATAAGAGGCGATCCTGCTTGTCTAGTTATCATAATGGCATATTTCCTGAAAATGCACTCATTATAATATTAGTAATCAGTTTATAATTCATAAATCCATGATATTTATTAACAATCGTGTGCAGCTCAGTGTTGGGCGAGCAGTGTGTATATGAGCTTTTTGGTGTCACCTTTAGCGTTTTGGCCTCCAGTTTGTGTCCAGCGAACATGGACTTCTCATCAAAGTGCATGGGGAAGGTTCTGGAGGATAGAGGTTCAAGTTAGTCTGATACCTGAACACTGCTCAGAATAAAAAACATGATCAATCATTTCTGAGTTTAAAATCACAATGTCTCACTTGATCTCGTTGAAGACCTGCAGCAGCAGCTCCTTCGTGGCGCTGTCCTCCTGTGTGTTTCCTGTGTACAGGTTGACGAAGGCTCGCTCAAAGTATGGCGCCACCTTGTAGAGCGCCCGCAGCTCAATCAGGTACAGGAAGTAGAGGTTCTTCAGTCGCCGGGTGCCCTCACCCTTTGTCTCTGCTGTATCGAAACGCTGACGGAACTCCTGAACATTTGGACCCCAGACTGAGCGACCCCACCCCTCTGAGCAAACAAAACCAAAGCCATTCATCAGCTTCAATTAGATATTTTAGAGGTTATTCACTAATAAAACACTCTGAGTCTCAGTGTTTTAGTCGTTTTTGAAGGTCCCTTTACTGTTTCATTTTTTTTCTGTACCTTTAATATCATGCTTTATTAGGCTTCTGTATTTAAGACTACCAGTGTTAGTTGTGCTGTTTTTATTCTGTGGTTTCTAGAGAAAACACAGGAACAAAAAGGGAAGAAAAAACACCATGTATTTGTCTTGGGCTCCTCAGGGGAAGCATGTATCAGAAAATATAATCAGGCCCAAAAACTGATCCCTGGGGAACACCATATTTAACAGAGGGATATAAATACCAGCTGTTATTCATCGAGACACTGAATTAGCATCTAACTGAATTTATCTGCTAAAAAATAGGGATTATGGCTGTGGATAGATTCTGCTTAAACTGTTTAAATAAGTCCACACAGTCCTCGGCGCTACCTTGATAATTTCTAAGTCTTGATGTTAAATTGACTTTAATAAGAGGAGTATGTCATACCATCCAGCAGGTAGTCTGCACACAGGTGGATGTTGATGCTGCTGTGGAGGCCGGAGATGAGTCTGTAGAAAACTCTCTTCTCCAAACACAGACCTGCAGAGAAAATCGACAGGGACAGGTATCATTTACACAAGGTAACTAGAGAGCCGAACCTGCAGAATATATATGTAAGAGAACAAATAAAACAGGTTCCTACCTTCCAGCCAGTTGTAGAAACCCTCACCTAGAACACAAGAGACACAGCAAGCCAAGATCATAGTTTTTTTTTTTACAACACAACTAGAAATAAAGTCCTGTAAAGATGTTTTAGCTCTACTCACCATCATCATCTCCTGAAAATATAAAAACAGAGAAAGAAGAGCTCTGTTAAAACTGTTTTTATCAAAATGAAGATGATTTAGTTATTTGTTTTATAACTTCAGTCAAATTAATAACAATAACAATTATAATACATTTTATTTATAAGCTCCTTTCTGAGCACTCACGGTCTCTTTACAGATATAAACAGCAGAATGACAGAAACTAACACGAAACTATCGAACAGGGTCAATATCAAGCATGAAATGTTTGATTGTGGTGCCCCCTTGTGGACTAAATATGTATCCCATTATAAACTCTGGTATACAAGATTTGGCCATCTTTAAAAGTCTAACTAGATTCGATCCAGTTTAGCTCATTTTCAGTCTGAATCACGTCATTGTAACTGCTGTCTCATTAAGACCCCTCAAAACACTCAAAACACGGGTTTGTAGATCTTAGCATTCTAGAACCAGTGTTTTAGAAAACATTCCAAAACCTTTGGAACCTAGTACTCTAGAATCCTGCGAATGAACTGCTTTTATATTGACATTTTGTTCCAGTTCTAAGTATAGGGCTGCAGTAATGTCACAATAACCAAACTTTTACTTTTGTGAAAGTGTAAACTGAGCTCTTGTTGATTTTTAGTCACTCACCTCTGCTGGGAGCCAGAGGGTTCAGAGGTCGGTATACTGATCTGGGCCTGTCCACAAAAAAAAAAAAGGAAACTGATTTTTAGTCAAATCAATTCAAAACAGCCAGAAGGATTATATTTAACAAATAATCTCAGCTGTACATTCTCTGATTGACCTTTTTGTTAAATAATATGATGACTTTTTTAAATTCAAAAACAGCTGTTACATCCCAGTCTCTATTACCAACAAACTCCATTTACTAAACAACTTTAGCTCTCTAAAATATGGGCTACGGGTATGCAGATGTCTCAATTTGTCAGGTCTTTTCTCAAGAGAAAAAGACTACTTTGAAAATGTTCGTTGAATTGAGGTCAGATCCATCATTTCTGATGCATTCAGTGAGGTCAGGAAATCTAAATGCTGATTGTCTTTATTGACTCAGAATCAGTCAGATTAGTGTCTCATAGATAGGAACAAATCCAACACTGGGAGGCTGGGTTGGCGTCACGGTGGATTTTGATCCCCCTGCTTTTGCTCTCCATACAGACTGTTTTTCCGGCTGACACCAAAGCCTACTGACACGTGATTATTCAATGTTAGCTTGACCATGAAGGGAGATCAGGACACATGGTTTTTCCAGACGCAGACCAGTATTTGTGTAACACAGGGTGACATTAACAAACTACATGTGGAAAATCAGCGTTTTTTTAATGGAGTTTGGTGGCTATTTAAGAGTGGTGTTGCAGCTGTTTCGGGTTTAATGTTATGTATCATTTCATGCAAACACAACAGAGGACAAACAAGCACAATGACCCCTAAGCCTTTTTTTCTGAAATACTAAAGTTGTATTTAAAACAGGAATATCAAAACCCAATAAATGTATTTTGAATGCAAGCAGAAAAAGAGTGTTGTAATGACACTTGTATGTTGGTTTTCACTGCTGTTAAAAGGTCACATTCATGCACTTTTACTCGTGTTTTTTTAGTGCGTCTCACTTGAAGCAGTTTTCCTCGTAGATGCTGTTCCAGACTCTCCAGGCTGAAGGGCCCTTGTACCCAGTGTAACGCTCTGGATTCAGCAGCAGATCCACATACTCAGCATCTGGAGAGGTTTCATCTGTGTGCACACATATACACACAAAGCAGACTTAGTTGACCTCAGTGTAGATAACCAGGAGAGATCAAAAGGATATAAATGCCTAAATGAAATCACTTGGAAAGTTTCAGGAGGACCTGAGCATTAGATTTCCATTGTTCTGCATCTGTGGTGCCAGGAGGATCCATGAAAATCATTTGCACTAACCCTCTGGGAAGCAGGAACAAAAATAACCCATCCTTGCCTATGGCTTCAGGACAGTCATTTGAAATACGTTGTGGGTGACCAAGCAGAGATAAGACTCACCATCCAGCTCACAGAAGTGGTCCTGTGCGTCGTCATGTCTCGCCCAGTCCGCAAACGCCTCTTTACTCTGGTTACTGAAAACCAGAAATAAAAAAAGAACTTGAAAGAACAGCAGGAGGAAATGTAACAGAAAAAAATGACAGTAAAAAATAAGACAAAATAACACTTTAATTCAGTCAGGACCACTTTGGTCAAAAAGAGTTCATTTTTTTTAGTTATATTTAGCAGTATGGCTCTGTTCTAAGAGCTTCCTCACACTTCCTCTGACGCAGGGAGAGCAAACCTCTTGTGTGTTTCATGCGTGTTTCTAAAAACCCAAAGCAAGGAGAGCAAACCTCTCGCCGCTGCAAGGACTTGATGTCAAACTTAAAGTCACTTTTAGTTTGTAGTTTATCATTTTAATACTTTTATACAACTCAATTTTTACTTTGTGGCTCAAATTAGTTATAAACTTCGATCTAATAAGCTGTAGGAGTTTAGTTTGTGGCAGCTTAAATGACTGTTTACTGTAAATTTACTTGGTTCCTTAAATGTGATACAGAGCTTATAAACCATTTTGAGTTCAAGAGAGTAACCAAAAAAGTTAAGTAGAGACAAGACAAAAAAAAATTATCCATGCTTAAATAACTGGTTAGAATAGGTGATCAGCAGTCTAATATTTCCTTATCAGAGTCTGAGGCTGTGTCAACTTCATATACATTTCCCACGCTGTCTTTAGTTAAGGTCAGTTCTGAATGCTGGGAAAGTACCAGCTCAGGTGTTTGTAAATGTTTGCCATGGTTACTATCAGCCTCTAGAGCTGCTTTGCATTTTGAAAAATAAGCTGGTGGCAGATAAAACAGACAGCAGGAGGGCAGTGGTGTCACCTTAGGGTGCTGTTGATGGCACCCAGTTCTTCGGCCTGTTCACACTCTGTCATGTCCGACATTGTATTCGCCGCTTGGGAGTACTGCAGATAAAAACAGAGACCGCAGGTTAAGAAGAGTAGAGCCATGATATGAAAACAGAATTCTAATTTTGTTTTGACATTCACTTCAAACTTTGTTGTTCCTCCAACAACTTTTTACCCATTTTGTTGTTTCTTTCACAACTTTTTGGAAACATTAGAAGGTTTTCATTAAAAGCATACACAGGGTCCTACTTTTTTTGGAATTTGGATTGTAACTTCACCTTCTCTTAGTAATAGAAATATTTCTTTTTCACATTCAAAGCCTTTATTATATGTTACTCCTGTAGTGGTCCTAGAGTGACCTGTCAGTTTTCATGTCTGTTAGTCTGAATTCAGTGGCTCCTGCTATCTGAGGCTTCCCTGCTGAGGTAGCTCATTTTCATGGTTCCTGGCTGATGGTCAGAAAGTGACTTGACTGAGACGGGCGCAGATGTCATTATGGACCAACAGCAGGCTGAGAGTCTGGCAAAGCAAACATTAAGTCCTCGATCTCTGTGTGGAAACTCTCAGACCAGATAAGAGGACGCTTTACACTGTGTGTGCGTACGTGAAATTTGGTGAATCAGCTATTGAGATGGAAAGTTTTGAAAAAAAAAACAGCAACAGCAACAGTAATGCAAGATCTTTGATGGACTGATGGTTATCACTGATCTGTGGTCAAATTTAGCTAAATCATTTGAACAGAAACAATGTTTACATTTACGAAGTGACATTTACTATCTGATCAGCTGCTATGATCTGGCTGTTTGATGTTGCTGTTTCGATGCCTGTGACTGAGTGAGAATTCATTTCTTTTCAACATTTTCTCTCTTTTTGTGGATCAATCCATCAAATCTTTTAAAGAATGTGTCATACATATCCACATATCCACACTTCCTTTCTTCTTGTTTAATATGAAAAAGACATAATAGCATCTGTTCAAGTAGAATCGAACCAAATAAAAAGGTTCTTATTTCTCACCTTGTTGTAGTTTCCAGACTTGATACCCACAGGGATCTTACTCTGTGAACATAACAAACAAATAAAAATGTTTAAAAACCATAACAGACAGCATTTTCAAAACAGGCTCAAATAATTTCTGATTCATCCATCCATGAACAGTTTCAGAAATCTTGTGGAAATCTTTAAGTAAATCATTGTGTTTCCAGAGGGTTATAGTTTGTTAAACTGGTGTTAAACCAATCAGACACTGAAACCCCAAATGCACATTGCTGTCCATGTAAACACAGCTTTTGTTCACAATTCTTACTGCCCTCCATGTTTCATATTGACAATCTGTGAGTGTCTGACCTCTGGACATGGCTCCACATGGCAGTCTTTGATGGAACAGTGTCCATCATCAGGCCAGAAGGGACAGGGTCGCTTTAAGATCACCTAAAGAGGAAAAAAATCGTTTCTGTGAGGAGTCAGAATATCGATAAATTTCATCAATTTTATGACATAACTGAACTCAGCATTTTGGAACCCAGCATTCCAGGACTGATCATTCTAAAACCTAGTGTCCCAGGAGACAACATTCTAGAACCCAGCATTTTAGAACCTAGTATTCCAGGAGACAACATTCTAGAACCAAACATTTCAGAACCTAGTATTTCAGGAGACAACATTCTAGAACCTAGTATTCCAGAAGACAACATTCTAGAACCATCATTTTAGAACCTAGTATTCCAGGAGACAACATTCTAGAACAATCATTCTAGAACCTAGTATTCCAGGAGACAACATTCTAGAACTAAGCATTTCAGAACCTAGTATTCCAGGAGACAACATTCTAGAACCAAGCATTTTAGAACTTAGTATTCCAGGAGACAACATTCTAGAACCTAGTATTCCAGAAGACAACATTCTAGAACCAAGCATTTCAGAACCTAGTATTCCGGCACCCAGCATTGCAGAGCTGCAGCATTCTTAGTTGTGTAGTGCTGCACCTAGGTTCACCTTTGAAGGGAACAGAAATCAGGATTTGAAAGTGTGATTTCCAAACTACCCTGACAAAGTAACCAGAAATTTTAAAACCAGCTAAAAACACAACAGGATTTTTTCTTTATTTAATTATCTGCTCATCAAATTAAAAAAAATAATTAAGAGCCAGTTGGATTAATCAGTCACAATATTCAGTGAAATCACTTTTCTGCACAGCAACTGTCACACTTCTTGCTGCAAACATATTTCACAATATTTTAGTGGCACTTCCTGCTTTGTAACAGCTAATGGGACTTGATCTGCTGTGTTGTTATTCTGCTTTTTCACTCAACATGACGTCCTCTCCCTATAGAGATAGGTGGATACAAAGTGTTCAGAGAAGCATCTGTACCGACTGGTTTTTGGATAGTAGCATGAGCCATAACACGAGGAAGAGTCCTTTCTTAAGTGCTGTTTACAGTGCTGACTCTATCATCATGACCTTATGTATCAGCAGAACTGGAAGACACAAACTCTGGTGGGAAAAGAAAAAAATGAGGTTTTCTGATTACTTTATTTTCACCCTGATTTTGTATTCCCAAAAATCTCGGTTTTCTATTGCTGTTAGATGAAACTGTGGCTACAGACACCGAGCTCAGTGAACACCGAAAGAGCGTAAATAGAAACAGACGAAGGAAGTAAATGCAAAATGGCAGAGCTGCAGTTCTACACACATCACATACAGGGCCTCCAAAGTCATCAGTCATCCCACACCCAATCTGTCTGACCTCAACAATACAGCCATCACACGCAGGGAACGCACCATAACACTTGACTGCTCATACTTCACACTGTTCCCACCCGGTCGCAGATGGCCTGGAAACACCCTGGTAGTTGTTATGCATATGTGTGTGTATATGTGTGGTGGGGAGAACTACCAAATCTGCAGTGCAAAATGATTGTTGTGATGATCATGGAAATGATCTGCTGCACTTGGTGATCAAGTCGTCAGGGCTCCCCCCACAAACAAGCGGCTGCTGGGGGAGAGTGGATGAGTTGTGATTAGTCTCTTTGCCAAAGAGATCAGGCAAAGCTAAAAAGATGTTTGATGGCTAGTACTATGGCAGGGACCCTTTATGTACTGTTGATGAAGTTAGGTGCTGTTCTGAGTGTTATTTGTGGCTGTAGAGTGGCTTTTTGGTTGAGGTTTGCATGTGGAGAAGTAGACCGCTGTGATTTGCTATCATGCGGTCATTGCTGAAGTTGGTAAAGGAAGAGAGGTCAGCAGTCAGCAACATTTATCTCTCGAGGGGGTGTCTAACTTGGTGTTACAGTAGTTTGACCATAACTTAAATTTACGCAAGAATATCCCTTTAAATAAGTACCAAAGCTCAACTATAGAACAAATTTACAAGTCAACTTATTTTACTGAGGTCAAGAGTGCCATTCAGTGGTCAGGTTACGATGAGAGCACCCTCTCTCTGCTGGATTACATGGCACATTAGGAAAAACATACAAATGCCAACACACATGCCTCCTGATATAAACTTTAGATTTTCCCTTACTTTGTAGTATCTGAAGTAGTCTTTCTCTGTCAGCTTCTTGATTCGAGGGTAAATCTTGAAGTTATTGAAGACATCAATGCTCTCCACGTCACAGAAGCAATCATCCAGGACTCCAGTCAGCTGCAGAAATACAAACAAAAACACACCATTCTTCATTTCAGATTTTTAGACTCATGTTTTCCTCTTTTATTATTTCATCTGTTTTATCAGTACAGCTAACTGCCATCTGCCTGTGTGTCATCCTGTGTGTTTTCACTGGAGCCTCATAGGTCACACAAGACTTGTTTGTCCATGTGATTGACCCTGACATTAAGCTGCATACTCTGAGATGTTACACTGAGGCAGATTTATTTGAACTCAGTGGAGACCAAGCCACAACATTGTTAATCTGAGAACACTGAAGAGTTCAGTAAACACAGGGAGGTATTAAAGGTGGAGCTCCTAACACCAACTATTTGGGGTGAGGAGGTAGTCACCTACCTGAAACTCCTGCTCTGCACACACCTGGTTCAAGTGAATCAAATACAGTCAAATGTCTGCTGTGTATGCAAATTAACCTCATTGTGACTCAGGTGTTTGCATTGTGTTTCTGTTTGCCTCAATGTGAACAGATGTGTTTTGTAAATAATTTAACTAGTGCTGCTGCAGTATTGGATTGTATAAAAGGTAGAGGTTATATGTGTACACTTTCCTCAATGTAGTGTATTGTTAATGTGCACAAACTCATGTAAGCATTTTGTTTAGCATACTTTAACTGATACACCTTTCCTGATACTTCACCCCATTTTTGATATACTTTTAATGAACTGATATTGATTTTTAAAATTCATTTAAATAACATCAAAATGAAGTACTTTTATTAAGTAGAAAAAAACCTCCACAGCAGCACCTGTTAGTGCTGGCATAGAGATGCCGATTCCCTCTTCTAACAGGACAAAGCACCTGCTCACAGCGCCAAAATTCCAACCAAATGGTTGACCATGATATCTCTGCTTGATTAATCCAGCTGGCCTGACCTGAACCCCCATTTTTGTAGAGCAAAGTGAGAAAAACCTGGAACAATAATAGTCATTCACACCAAGCGCAAAAAAACTATTTTCTCGATTAATTTGCATGTATCTGGACACGCAAATGTTGTGTATTTCCTTGCTCAATTCCAACTATTTGCGACGCGCAACTTGTGTCGCCCAAGTAGAATGTGTGTCTAATCGGGTCTTTGCATTGACTATACATGAGGCGATATCAGACTGAAGGCCATTAGCAGATCTCAGCACCTGTCCAGCACCAACACCTTTAATGAATAGTTTGAGGATCATAATGTCGTTGTGCTCAAGGTCAGTATATTTCCCCTGACCCAGTCGAATATGTGTAGGATATTTGTCAGGAGGAAGAGGACAACCAAAAAAGATGACAAACTAAAAACACTGTCCAGCTGAAAGCTGCTCATAGCACTTAACATCTTCTCACAGTGCCAAAACCACCACCAGATATTTTGTTGACCATTACATAGCTGTGATTGAATTGCTAGCCAAGTGGTCTGACCTAAATCTCATTGAGAATATTCGTTAAGTAAAAAGATGGATACACCCAACCCAAAAGTATTTTGCTATCAAAGCAACCTGGGGTTCAATAACCACTCAGCAGAGCTACAGGCTGATAACCACTGCACCACACTGTATTGATGCTACACTCCATGGTAAAAGAACCCAACCATAGACTGTATATAGAATGGACACCGTCTGCCTCCTCGCTGGGTGAAGCCACCGTGAAAACATCACCCTCTGGTAGCGGGCTGCAGTATAGGTCATAAATCCCACTTCCTCCAGCAATCCCTATCCAGCAATTGTGGACAAACTTTACACAGAATATGAATTATAAAGGATTTATAAATGATTGTCACTTGATACAGCCTATGGGCATATTGAGATTGCGTAGCTCACCCAGGGGGGTGCGCTGTTTGAGCAGAGCGCCATCACAGCGACTCTCCCACCGAATGCATACAACGCTACTGTGCAAGAGGTAATATGCGTACAATGCTACTGCACAAGTGTTGGTACAGGAAGTGGAGAAAATCACGGAAAGGCTGAACCAAATTGCCCATAGTATATACAGTCTATGAGCCCAACCCAGTACTGCGCTTCAGAGGTCAGACAATTCTTTAATTCTAAAATCCTTTTTTGATTGGTTTTAGTGAATAAAACTACAATGACATAATTAAAATATTTCACCTTGCATACAATATATATAAAATTTTACCTTAACTTTACCTTTGTGAACTTTTTATGAAACAAAAAATAGTTAAAGATGATATTCTAACTTCATGACTTTCACCTGTATGTGAAGAACTGCCTATAAGTCATCTTTTTATACTTAAAACAAACTGGTGTGGCCAAGCATATGGTGTCAGCTTCATGTCCTAAACAAGCAGTTAGAATTAAAACCTAATGAGGATAACAATATTTTCTCTCTTTTTTTAAGGTATTGAACTTGTTAACTTTTTTCAGTTATAAAGTTTTGTTTTACAGATACACCTGGAGAGTTAAAGTCAGGTACCAAAACACATCTCACACACACACTCACAGAACCAGCTGACCTCTGAGTGCAGCAGTCCCCTCAGCATCAGAAAAAGCAGGAAGAAACAAAATCCTCTCAGCATGCTGTGTCCTCAGGTTGAAATTCTAATTACATTGAATTAAATCTCTTCCTAAACTAATTTGATGCTGTTGAATCAGCAGCTGCTCTGTATGTGGGCTGAGCTGTCAAAACAGACCTCCTGTCCCATGCCTGTCAGGGGCCCCGCCTCCGAATAACAAGTTGTCAAAATAAACCCCGCCCCTCTACAGTTTGTAGTCTGACTTTGCGGTCAGAGACCTCTATGAGGGTCTGACAGCAGCGGCGCGGAAGACTACAATTCCCAAGAGCTAAAGGAAGGCGGGAGCTTCGCCTCAGCCAATCAAATTACACCACGCTTTTCTTTTCGCTAATGGGAATAACATAAACTAGAAACTCATAAATCTCAATCGCATTGGGTAGCATTGTGTAAAACGTGAAAGGTACATTTATATCCTTATTTTTTATTGGTCATACTTTCAAAATTTTACACCGTAAATAAATAAAAACCTGAAAATGTTTCTCCGAAGTGACGAAAGCCACGAACGAGGAAGCAGCAGAGGTATAAAATAGGTGTATATTTTACGTAATTCATAACCTGTTACAGACTAGTTATGTATTATAAGAACGAGTGGTCAATTATCTATTTCGCTTACCAGTCTAGTTTCGTAAACAGAACCAATTTACCAAAGATGAAGGTAAAAAGTTTAAAGGAATAAAAAAGTAAAGCGACAGTCTTCCGTTTTGGGTGTTCTGTTGAGTTATGCTTCCCTGTCTAAAATGCAACCTTATTCTATTTCCTGTTGAATAGCGCACACGAATGTAGAAGTTTAACAGCTTTACGAAACAAAAACTTCTGCGTGAGTGCGTGTGTTTTTTAGATTTTTATCAAAAGGATTAAGAGTAGTGTGAAACTTAGGCGAACATATTCTAAAACTCTTGTCTGGAAAATATTTGAGAAATAAGGAGAAGCATATCTTAGTACACCAATTTCCCTTTTTACTTAAATTCCCTGTAAAATCACTTTCTTTTTTCTAAAACTACTTACATAATTAAGGGTATGGCAAATGTTATCTGTCGTCATTTTGCAGTCAAACATGCTGAACAGTTCAAAGACCAATGTTGTTTTCTAGTCAAACCAGCTATTTCTACAGCAAAGTATAATCACAAATAATGTAATTCTGTTCATACTGACGAGTCAATTTTGCGGTAATAATGGGGTTCTTCTGGTTCACGAAAGGGAGGTTTAGTCACAGGGGTGAAGGCGACTGCCGACAATGTGGCTTTGCGCATGCGTGATACATCTGGACAGGCAGCGGTACTTGCAATAACACCGACACGAACATAAAATCTGTGTTTTACGTTATACGCCCTGTATTGTGTAATCAAAATAGTTAAAATTCAGACTTTTTTAATCCAAAGACTAAAATATTAAGGTGTTGCTGAAAGCTTGTATCACAAATACACAGTGACGTCAAATCAAGACCATAGAAAGTGCTAGAAGATCTTCTGTTGTATCGTAAAACCGTTATAACATTAAGAGTGAAACCCCTGGTACTAACATCTCGACTTTGACTCTTAACCCAGCAGTACGATGCGCTGACTCACATGACAGAAACAGCTCTGGTCCTGGCTGTCTGTGGCTCCGCTCGGATGCTCTCTGTGTTGCGTTTGTGTATTCACTTTATTTTGTTGAAACCAGCCCACAACAAAGTTCCCCAAGAACCAGGCCAGCAGCAAAACAGCGAACGCTTGTAGAGTTACTTTCCACATCCCTCAGTGTGAAGGATTTCCTTCGCTGGGACGATAAAAACAGTGGAGAAACAGCAGGACTTCAGACACCCCAGCACGAAGCTACGACAGCTTCCGGCTAGCTAATGTTAGCATCCGCAGGCTAACAGAGGCTGTAAGAAACAGAGCGGAGGGGCTAATCCTGCAGTCCGGCTAACAGTGACCCTCGCACGGACACTTAGACCTCCAACTCCCACCAAAAAACAAGAATCATTGTTAGGGGATGTACAAAACTGGAGAAATTTGTCTCCACCTCATCTCTCCTGCTTGGAGTTAGGGGGGCAAAATCGTATTTTTCTTTCTTTCGTGTGTTTTATTGGCGGATCGCGAACAGCTTTTAGGTGCGTACCGCCACCTACTGTACAAGAGTCTGTAGTGTCATATCATTAAAAGGGTCTTCACACAGCAGTGTTTCACATTCACTCAAGGGGAAAAATAATGCTCTGTTTTTTGAATAAACTACACAACTATCTCAGCGTTACGGAAGGGGATTATTATTATTATTTTAATTATTATTATTATTATTATTATTATTAAGAAGAAGAACTTTATTGATCCCCGAAGGAAAATTCAATTGTCTGTTGTCTCACGTAATATGTCTATAAAAGTTATCTATTATTTACATAAGAGTTATAAAGCCTGATGGCTGTTGGTACAAAAGATCTTCTGAATCTTTCTGTCTTGCAGCGAAGAGAGAGGAGCCGTCCACCACCATTTGCCCTTTGGTCCATCAAGGTGTTGTAAAGTGGGTGATCCATGTTCTTTAGGATAGACTCCACCTTCCTCAGTGTAAATATCTCCACCACATCCTCCACTGAGTCCAGCTTGAGTCCTACCACAGAGCCAGCCTTTTTCACCAGTTTGTTCAGACGTCTTGCATCTTTGTGTTTGATGCTTCCTCCCCAGCAGACTGCAGCATAGAACAGAACACTGTAGACACCACAGACTGATAAAACATCTGCAGCATCTTACTACAGACGTCTATTTATCGGAATCTTCTCAGGCAAAAGAGGCAGCTCTACCCCTTTCTGTAGATGAAGTCTATATTCTTAGACCAGTCCAACTTATTATCCAGATGTACACCTAGGTATTATTATTGTTATTATTGTAAGGGCCACTAAAAAAGAGGAAAGTTCAGAGTTTTTTTAACTGGCTTTTTTTTTTTAAGAATTATGAGATAAAATAATAATGATAAGATCCCAAGTCATCATAATAAAAATAAAAGTCAAATCCACAAAAAAAAAAAATCTTTTTTATTTTTATATTTTTTAATGAGAATTTTGACTTTACATCTCAATAAATTTGACATTTTTAAAATAATATTACTTTCAATCTTATATTTTCGACATAATTTTTTAAAATAAATGGGATGTTCTATCCTAAGATTTACATTTTTTCCTCATCATTATCATTATCATCTTATTATTTCAACTTTTTATCTCATTAATTTAGATTTCTACCTGTTAATACTGGTTCAGCTTTTGTCACTTTTGAAAAGCTCTTATAGAATCACTTATTTAAACAGGCCTTTGTCTCCCATTGTACAGACTGATTTTTTAATCATGCCATTGTTTGTTACAGTTCTATGATCTCATTTTAATGTTTTCGATTTTATTTGATAATTATCCTGTGAAGCACTTTGTGAATCTTTTTTATAAATGGTGCTTTACTAAACTAATTATACCTTCTTACTTTACTTACTTTTATTTTATAATTTTCACTTTCATCTTATAATATTTACCTTATCCATATTTATTAATTATTCAGATCAGCCGACCTTTTAAGCGCAGTTTTAAATAAAAATGTTTTTTATTTGTATTATAAATGTATCTTTAAAAGCACATTATAACATAAGTTCAAAGATTTTGGTGATTTCAATTTGTGTGCACAGAGGGTTTATCTTGAAGACAAGTTGTAATGAATTGTTGGTATCTCAGTGGGTCAAAGGACCAGCATTACCAGAATAGACATTACTTTAACTTTAAAAATGATTAGAATCTGAGGAAACTTTATTGTGAACTAGGATGAATTGATTTTTTTCTTTTTTTGTATATTTTATTAATATTAAGTTCGTATTGAAAACGACATGGACGAGCAGAAATGGGTCAAATGTGAATTAAACTCGTGTGGTGTGAAGTCCTAACCCTTATCCTGTCAAGGGACATTCGTTTTTTTTTTTAAGTAATTTTTTTAATAACTCCTCTTTCCTTGTTGTTTTATTGTGAAGGAGGAAATTGTCGAGAGAGGCGGAGCATCACCTGACATTGAATCTGTAGCGTCACCCTCCTGAAGTGAAACCAAACATTTTCAGAGGTGCCGCCAAGAATAGACTCTTTGTTTCTAGTTGAAAATATATCTTATTAGTTGGTTACATCTTTTTCAAGAAGCGCAGCAAATACTGGTGAGTAGAAATGAACCTTTGTGCTTCGAGATGCAGCGTTTTTTCAAAAGTTACAGTTCTGTTCAATAACACACACAGGTTCAATAAACAGACGAGACAAGTGACTGAAACACAAGTCTTTACTGGAAGATGGCTGGGAAACAACAACAACACAGGTTTACAACGTGTGTTGGCTCTGAGCTATGGCAATATGTTGGCCAACTATAAACTAACACAACAGCAATTGCATATTTATACCAACAGGTGACAGAATGGCCACTTTACTTCACTTTTTATTTAAAACTATAAGTTTGACTGAACATAAATGTGTTTTGAAAGCAAGGCAGCAAACAAAACTTGGACAGAAGAAAAGGGGACGTGAATGAATATGAAGCTATGATAACCTACATGTGAATGGGGTGGAGCTTTAATGTTGTTGGTGTTTTCATGGTTCCACATACATCTCTCTTGCAAACATGTTTGTTGAGTGATTTGGTATGTGATATAATATGTCATTTGGGAGACAGCCCCATTGAAAGAAGCTTAAAGGGGACATATCAGCACCTACTGAAGCAGAGGCAGGTATTGTTATGTCAACAAATCAATCATCGTCCAGTATGTGTAGACCAGAGCAAGGACAGTCATTCAGGTTTAATCACCAGGTGGAGCTATAACATTAGCTCCTCTTACCTGTGCATGCAAAGGTATCAATGTTAATGTCCACTTAAATGTGCATGCAAAGGTATTGACGTGCAGCCCGTCACCAGAGGGTGCTGTTCTCGGAGGGGCTTCACCCAGCAAGGAGGCAGATGCTGTTCATTTTATATACAGTCTATGGTTGGGTTCCTTTACCATGGAGTCCAGCATCAATACAATTCCCAGGATGCTTTAGGACTTAAATTTAATTTTAAAACCAATTAGAAGTACACTCTGACAAAAAAATGATAATACTTTGATTTTGTTCCCAGTTTGCAGAGATGTCTGCTGCCAGCTGCTTCCTGTCTGAGGATCAGCTTCTGTGTTCCATCTGTCTGGATGTGTTCACTGATCCTGTCAGCACACCCTGCGGACACAACTTCTGCAAAAACTGCATCACTGAACTCTGGAATACAAACAACAGGAGCCAGTGTCCCATGTGTAAAGAACTTTTTACCACAAGACCTGATCTGAAGGTCAACACTTTGCTCTCTTGGATGGTGGCTCAGTTCAGAGACAAAGCTCGGCAGAGAGCGAGCAGCAGCTCAGAGCAACTAGAGTGCAAACCAGGAGAAGTCCTCTGTGATTTCTGCACTGAAACCAAGCAGAAGGCCCTGAAGTCCTGCTTAGACTGTCTGGTCTCCTACTGTCAGACTCACCTGGAGCCTCACCTGACAGCTCCACGACTGAAAAGACATCAGCTGATAGACCCTGTGGAGGACCTGGAGGACAGGATGTGTCCGAATCACAATAAACCTTTGGAGCTGTTCTGTAAAACCGACCAGACATGTGTCTGCATGCTGTGCTCTGTTTTAGACCACAAGACACACGAATTTGTTCCTCTGAAAACAGAATATGAAGAAAAGAAGGCTGAGCTGGGGAAGACAGAGGCTGAAATTCAGCAGATGATCCAGAAGAGACGAGAGAAGATCCAGGAGATCAAACACTCAGTGGACCTCAGTAACAAAAACGCAGACAGAGAGATGGCCGAAGGTGTTCGAGTCTTCAGCGCTCTGAAGAAGTCTGTTGAGAAAGGCCAGGCTGAGCTCATGAACTCCATCAAAGAGAAGCAGAAAAGAACAGAGAAACAGGCCCAAGACTTCATCAAGGAACTGGAGGGAGAAATCTCTGAGCTGATGAAAAGGAGCTCTCAGGTGGAGCAGCTCTCACGCTCCGAAGACCACCTCCATCTTCTCCAGAGAGTACAGTCCATAAACATTTGCAACTCACCACCAACCAGAGACTTGGCAGAGATCTATGTCCGTCCACCTTCATATGAGGGGACTGTGGGAAGAGCTTTGGTCCAGCTGGAAGAGGCACTTTGTAAAGGGATGAGGAAGTTGGTTCAAGTTGAGCTAAAGAGAGTCCAGCAGTATGAAGTGGATGTTACTCTGGATCCTGATACAGTAAATCCCTGGCTGGTCTTGTCTGATGATGGGAAACAAGTAGATCTTGGGCATACTAAGAAATGTCTTCCAGACAACCCGAAGAGATTTTCTGTGCCCTGTGTTTTAGGAAAGCAGAGTTTCTCCTCAGGCAGATTTTACTATGAGGTTCAGGTGAAAGGATTGACTGAGTGGGAATTAGGAGTGGTCAGAGAGTCCATTGACAGGAAGGGAGAGATAGCGCTATGTCCTACAGGTGGTATCTGGTCTATATGGTTGAGAGATGGAGAAGAGTATGCAGCTCTGGATGAGAAGAGAGTCCACCTCTCTCTGAGGTCTTGGCCAGAGAAGGTGGGGGTGTTTGTGGATTATGAGGAGGGTCTGGTCTCTTTTTATGACGTAGATTCTGCAGCTCTGATCTACTCCTTTACTGACTGTTCCTTCACTGAGAAACTCTATCCATATTTCAGTCCCTATTGTGAAATTGGTAAAAACTTGGCCCCTCTGATCATCTTGCCTGTCAGAGTACGATAATCTTTTTCCTTTTTTTCCCTGTTATCTTGACTGATTTAAATAGTTTGTTATGAACAGGTAAAGAGAAAAGGTGAGAAAAAAGAAAAATATATATCCATAAGTACACAAATGCATAAACATACATACACACACACACACACATACACATACATTGTTTTATCTTATTTCGATTTGGAAAGCACTTCACAACCCTGTTTTTGAAAGTGATAAAAAGTGATAAAAAAATAAAGGGTCTTTATGTTATTATTTAGCTTCAGATATTGAAACTTTATTATTTTTTTATAATAATGTGACTTTTTTCTTAAAAGCTTTCATATAAGTATTTTCAATTTTATAATAATAATAATAATAATAATAATAATAATAATTAAAGGTTAACAGCTTAGTGTAGATAAATAGATCCTTGATAATAATTATAATATTAAAGTTTTAGATCAAACTCTTTCAATATTTGGTATAAATGATATAGGAGTTTATCTTTTCATATCAAATTTAACATTTTAAACTTTCCTTGTCCCTCTGACAGAGTTTGTTGTTTTCTGTTATCATCGCATTTACATAGACACAAAGTTCACTGAACTGACTGATATCAGTGGCCAGTGGTCAAAAGTCACTGCACCAGAGAATGTAGAACTGATTCTGCTACAGCAGCAGAACAAAGAGAGACAGACGAAGAGGACACAAACTCCAGAGAGAAGAAACGTGATATAGGAAGAGGAAGCAAAGTTTCACAGCAGCAAAAACTCAGCTGACTGAAGCTGACACTGACAAAGTTTGATCTAACTTTAAGGAAAAACTGAACTAAGTCATTTTCTACGACACTGAGAGAAAAATCATCTTTGTGGAGGAGAATTCAACACAACTCAACCAGAGAAGTCAAAATCTGACAGAGACTGAGGAGGTTTAACAACTGGAAAAAAAAAAAACAACAACAACTGGGAAAACATCAGGAAAACATGAGCAAAGCGGACTACTCCTCTGAGAAAATGGACATTAGCTCCCCAAGAGACAAGTAAGTAAAAAAGACAAAACATCCTCATTAATTTTAAAAAGTTAAAACATTTCTTATCATGTTAATGAGATACACTGGAGGAAAGAACATCAATAAACGGTCAAAAAAAAAATACTTTTAAGGTCAAAATATGGACACAAAAACAACTGACTGATGAAAACAAAGAGCTCCTTCTGTTTATATTGATTAACTAATTCAAAACTGATTTTACTGCAAAATGCTACAGTCACCCTGAAGGTCAATGTCAAAAGAATTCACAGAAAGGGAAAAAAGAGGTTTTATTACAACAATTCAATAAGTGTACGAATATTTCCGAAAACACAAACATATTTCACATGAACACAAAATAAAGTTGAAAAATTGAAAAATATTTTTACATTTCCTGAATATTTTTATTTTCCAAATCACATTTTTGTTTTTAGATTTGCTTTTTATTTAAAACATTTATTTGTTTTTTTTTAAGATGTATTTTGTGTTTTTTGAAATACTTTTAGGTTTAGCTAAGTGTTTTAATGTCTTAATGCCTTCCTCAAATACTTGTGTTTTTGACTTTGACGGACACTATACAAAAAACATTGTAGACACATCCAGACAGACCACTACAAACACAGATACACAAAGATACACAACAATAAACACAGGACTCAATGATTCTGTGTAGTTTTCAAAATAAAACGGTCTTGTTCTATTCTGACAGGTCTTTTACATAATGATCCTCTGTAACTATCAAATTAAAACTTACTTGTTTTTATTTTGAAAGATATTTTGCTTCATGGGCCTCTGTAGTTTTCAAAATAATATGTACTTTTTTTTAGTATCTTCTGATCCTGATGTGGTTGACAAAATAAAAGTTTTCTTTTTTTTTTAAACATCTTCCTGCAGGTGTCATGGAGTCTGGTTTATCTTCTTCATGCTTGGTTTGGGCACGCTGCTTCCCTGGAACTTCTTCATGACTGCTACTGTGGTATGAAACCACTTCCTGTCTGACTGTGTGCTGAAACAGCTTTTATTTAGAAGGACAGAAATATGTTTTCAGGTTAAAATTTGGCAATTTTGAAATAGTGTCTCTGTCCTTTCCAATAAAACTTTTTTACTGACAATAAATCAAATGTATTTTTATTCGTTTATTGATCAGGCATTAATCAGGTATTGATCAGGTATTGATTGAAACATGCTTGTGTCTCAGTACTTCACAAGCCGCCTCAGAGATCCCTCATTGGTGGATCCTTTAGCCAATGAGACAACAACAGATGAGCCTCGCAGCGTCCTGGAGGCCAAATTCAACAACGTGATGACGCTGAGCGCCATGCTGCCGCTGCTTCTCTTCACCTGCCTCAACTCCTTTCTGCACACTCTGTGAGTCCTCCAAGTACCAATGAAGAAGAGTTCACCTCTTCCTGTTTTTTAAAAATACATTTGAGGTGTTTCCAGGACTCTGTCAGGGATCCTCAGGAAACAGGTCCTGCTGTTGAAATTTAAGAAAATAAAAGCCCAAGTTTTAATCATTAAGATTTTCTTCTGGGTGGATAATGAGCTTCCCTGATTGTAGGGTCAAAGGTCAATCTCTTTCTCCTCTTTTTCTCAGGGTGTCTCAGCATCTGCGTGTGGCGGGCAGTCTTCTCATCATCATGTCTGTCTTCATTGTCACTGCTGTCCTGGTAAAGATTCCTCTGGAGCCATTGCCGTTCTTCATTGTTACTATGGTGAAGATCGTCATCATCAACTGTGAGTCTGTCTGCCTAATGCTGCATTCGAGTTACTTCGGAAGTCAGATGTCGGAGCTGAAAATGACGTCACACCTGAGTTACCAGCATTTCAGTTACCAAGTCGAAAAAAAGCTGAATCGGAGGTGGAAACAAGATGGCTACATCTATGAAAGTTATTTTAGCGCTTGCCCTGTGTTTGGACAAGGCAAGTGCTAACATAACTTTTGTAGATGGAGCCATCTTGTTTCAGGCTTTCGATTTTGCTTTTTTCCGACTTGGTAACTGAAATACTGGTAACTCGGGTGTGACGTCATTTTCAGCTCCGACATCTGACTTCAGAGGTAACTCGAATGCAGCATAAGTGTTTATCTTTCATTTAGGGTTTGTTTGTTTGTTTTCCAGCATCAGCTAAAAGCTTTTGAGTTTGTTTTAGTCATAATTTGTTTGTATACTTTTCTCTCATTGCCTGTTTCATTGTTTGTTTATTAGTTCATTTTAATGATTACTTGTTTGATTGTTTGTTTGTTTATTGTTGACAGCGTTTGGGGCAGTGCTTCAGGGTTCTCTGTTTGGGATGGCTGGGACTTTGCCGGCGTCCTACACAACTCCGATCATGAGTGGTCAGGGACTTGCTGGGACCTTTGCGGCCTTTGCCATGATCTGCGCCATCGCAAGTTAGACCAATGATTCATCAATAACTTACTGAAAAAATCAGTAATTTACATTAGATCAAAATTTATTGAAGATTAAAAAAAAACACCAAAACTAAAAAAAAACACAATGTAAAACCATTGCATCTTGTGTCCTTGGCTTCTTTCCTTAATTACTTCCTTCCATCTGTCCTTTACTCCTAGGTGGAACAGAGCTTCAGGATGCAGCCTTCGGTTATTTCATCACCGCCTGCTTTGTAATTTTTCTGTCAATCCTCTCCTACATCCTGCTGCCGAAACTGGTGATTATAACACACAGACACACTGACTCAAAAGCTGGACCCAAACACAGACCGACTTGGTGCTGGACCCAGACTCAGACTGACTCAGAACTTGGAAATGAATCTGAAAACATTAAATAATAAACATTCCTTCTTCTATTTAATTTCTTTTTTTTACATGTTTCAGGAGTTTTACAGGTTTTATCAGGACAAAAACAAGAAACAGACATCAGACAAAGAAACGTCAGTCACCCTGATGGGCAAAGGTAAAAATAAAATCATTAAACTGCTCTGTGTATTCAGAGGTTGAGATTTTGGTCCATCATTGCTGTGATTGAGTTTAATCAGCAGGTAAATATTTTTATAGTCTTTCATTATTCACCTTCTTCTTCCACATCTTTATCCTCAGAGGTTCTTGCTGAGTCGGCAGATCAGAACAAACACCAGAGTGTCTCCATGATGACAATCTTTAAAAAGGTCAGAAACACTCCTCTAAAATAATAATAAAAAAAAGAATTATCTCAGCCCAGCAGTAACAGACTGGATCTACCAATCCAGATCCACCAGTCTGGACAGGATACATACTCAGGGAGGGTTAGCCTCTCAGAGCATCGTAGCATGAAGCACTAGAAAAGCAGTTATTTGTTTTGTTTTATTGAATTGACATCACCAGGTCATTTTCTGTAGTCTGTAGTTTTTGTACTTTTGAAGTATTTAGATTAGGTGGATCCTGTCGTCTGTATTATGTAGTTTCTGTCATCTATAGTTAATTTTATTTCTGTTGTGGGTAGTTTTATTGTTGCTGTAGAATTCATTTTTGCAGTTTTCCAAAGTTTATCTTGCTTCAGTATTTGTAGCTTTGTTTGTTTCTGTAGGATGTAGTAACTTATAGTTTTTATTGTCTGTTGCTTTAAAGGTCCTGTGCAGCTTTTTAGTTTCTGTTGTCTGTATTTTTGTAGATCATATATAGTCTGTAGTTTCTATAGCTTTGTTTTATTTTTGGAAGTTTCTGTTTTAATAGTTGTTGGCACCATTAGTTTTTGATGTTTTGTAGTGTCTGTAGTTGTGTAGCTGCTGTAGTTTTTGCAGATTTGTAGTTTTAGTAATGTTTGTACTTCAGTTGCCTAAGTAGTCTGTAGTTATTGCTATTTTGTACCTTCTGTAGTCTGTAGTAACAGTAGTTGCTAATGTTTTGAACTTAAGTAATTTTTTAAGTTTTAGGTCTGTACTTCTTATTTGTAGTTTTGTAGTCTTCTGTTGCCTGTATTTTTTCCCTTTTCAGTTTGTTGTTTTTGTTTTTTCTGTAGTTTTATCTTTGTATTTTTGTGGTGACTTTTCTACATTTATAGCCATACTTATGTTTTTTTTAGAAAGCAGGACTCTTCTGAGTATTTGTATGCATGTGGTTAAATCTGTATGTTACAATAAATAACTTTGTTGACCTTTGACCCCCAGATCTGGCCGTTGGCTCTGTCAGTGTGTTTCACATTCTCTGTCACTATCGGGACATTTCCCGCCATCACTGCTGACACGAAGTCCACGATCGCCAACGGAGGCTTCTGGGGTGAGTCCACGTGTCGCTTCCTGCTTCTTTTTATTTTGTGGAGGCTTCATGGTCATGCATCACCCGTCTAAGCCCTCCCTATCTCTCTGTGTCTTACTCACACACACAAATACTAAAAAAAATGGAACACACTGATCAGTCCTCACTAACCGTTCAGTTGTTGTGTTGTTATTATTGCGTGTGTGTGTGCTCTGTGTGAAGTCAACATGTGAGTGTTTATCAGCTGATGTCAGAGGAGTTATTGATCATTAACCTGCCAACTCAAACAGTTACATAAACACCGGATGAACACTCAGTACAGATCAATGTGAGGATTTATTGAACGTCATAAATTTAGATGATAAATGATGAATCATGAAACCTTCTCAAGGGTTTAACCTTCAATCAAAAATATGATCATTTTATCTCCTCTGTGTGAGTAAGCCTGATAGAGGATTTCAGCTGCTCAACAGTTCAGAGTCTCCTTTGTCCTGTTTTTGGTGTCATGAGGCTCCAGATTACTTTCAATGGGTGACAAATCAGGACTACAGGCAGACCAGTTCAGCAGCAGGACTCTTCTACTACAGAGCCATGCTGTTGTAATACCTGCAGGATATGATTTGTGATTTGTCTTGCTGAAGTATGAAGGTCTTCACCGAAAAAGTCTTTGTCTGGATGGCAGCATATGTTGCTCCTAAACCTGTAGATATTGTTCCGCATTAATGGAGCCTTTACGGATGTGGAAACTACCCATGACATGGACCCTTATGTTTTTTTTTTTATGTTGTTTTGTTTCTGATTGTCTCTGTTACAGATCAGTACTTCATCCCAGTCAGCTGCTTCCTGCTTTTTAACCTGTGTGACTGGACTGGGCGGAGCTTAACAGCTGTTTGTATGTGGGTGAGTGGAAACAAATGTCCTCTTAGGTCTTTGTCTCCACCTTCTTATTAGTGAATTCTGATCATAACGATGGACATGTTGTTTTGTGTGTTTCAGCCGCAGAGGGACAGTATGTTACTCCATGTGTTGATTTTGGGTCGAATCGTCTTTATCCCTCTCTTCATGCTCTGTAACGTCCAGCCTCGTCTTCAACTGCCTGTCTTCTTCCATCACGATGGCATCTTCATCGTCTTCATGATCCTCTTCGCCTTCAGCAATGGATACCTGGCCAGCCTGTGCATGTGCTATGGCCCCAAGTAAGCACCACACACACACACACACACACACACACACACACACACACACACACACTTAAAGGTGGGGTAGGCAGGATCTGAGGAAGTGCCAGTTTTTGGGAGAAATCCCTCTCTGCTCCAGCAAGCCCCGCCCACAAACATATGCTTCTGCTCGCTCATATCGTTTCAATTAAATACAGATACAATGCAGAGAAACACTTCAGATAAATACAAATGGTAAAAAGCATTGGTGCTACTGTAGATGCCAACAGTCTACCATCAAACACAATGTTTGCAGGACTTCTACAACTAGCATCAAGTGACATAGTCCAGGACCAGAGGTAAACAGTTTAGTGGCGCTACAACACGCAGCAGGTCTCATTTGACAAGAAACACTTCTGTTACAGACACTTGGCTTACTTTGTTAAAGTGGTTTACCTGTCCAGCACAAAGGTTACAGGGTTAGTAAGATCCCGAAGCGTCCCCCAAATGCTGCATTGATGTTGACCCGGCTTTTTTAGCTCTTGTCTGTTCTACCTCCTTTTTAAGCGCTCGTTATTCCGCCAGAGTCTCCAGTATTTATTTGGTTTTCTTGTTTGTGTTGGCAGTCGTGGCCAAAGGACGATTCAGAAAAATTTCTGTACTTTCTGGTTGGTTTCTACAGTCTGATATTGTAGCACGCTAACTTTGTTTGGGCTCGTGAATGTTATTCAAGGATGCGGAGCATGCCTAACAACCAATCAGCACTAAGGAGCAGTGTCCCCCTTACAACCAATCAGGTTGGGGAAGGCGGAGAATGGCTTCGTTTACAGTCTGAAAGAGCGGGCCGCTCAAAAAATTTACATGTTGACTACACAGACATAACAGAACACAGCGATATTGTTATATTACCAAATGTCATCAATAACTAATAGCTATTGACTGATATTAAAAGCTTTTTTGCATATACACCACAAAAAAATTGCTTTTTAATGGATTCCTGCCTACCCCACCTTTGAGGTACACCAAACACACACCTATTTATATCTGATTAGTTCTCATTCAGATTAAAAATGCAAAACACAAGTAACTGGGAGTAACTGGTCAGTTATTCATAAGTAACTGGTTTCATCAGTAAGCACACCCACGGGTTAGTTAGGGAACAGTTTCAAGCTAGAAAGGGGTTAGAAATGCATGAGTCACTTGTTCATTCAGGCGGTGGTGAGTCATGTGCTTGTCACATGAAGTTATGCACAGGTCTTTGGTAAGTCACATAAGTCACTGGTTAGGTACGCTTTAGTCAGTTATGAGTTTTGCTGGAGTCAATGGTCAGTTATGCATCAGATTCTGACCAGTTAAGAATTAGTTGCTGGTTGTTGATTCATTAGTCTTTAGGTAGTTCAGCATTTACCAATGGTCATTTGTGTGTTTGTTACCTGTCATTATACACAAGTCTTTGGTAAGTCACATGGGCCACTAGTGAGTACTGGGTCAGTCATTGAAAAACTGAAAGTCTCTGGTTAGTTTTCTGCATGGCATTGGTCAGACACTGGATATTTCAATGTAAACGCCCTGTCAGGCACTAGTTACTTGTTAGAAATGTATGAATCAGCGGGTTAGTTACTAGTTCATGTCTGGTTAGTCATGGTTTTCTTTCTTGGTAGTTATGTGTTTCCTGTTGGTGAGTTATGCCTTAGTTACTGGTCAGTTGTGCATAAGTCATTAGTTAGTTTAACCTTAATTCCTGGTCATTTATGTATTTGTTACTGGTTATGCCTCAGACAGTGGTTGGTCATTGTCAAAATGCAGAAGATTCTAAGTTAAAATGAACACCCTTTATTTTAAAACACTGAACAGCTGATCACCATCAGTTAGAAATGTAAATAAACTTCACCTGAAGGATTTTCTCCCACAGGAACGTCCTCCCACACGAAGCAGAAACAGCCGGAGCCATCATGGCCTTCTTCCTGTCTCTGGGTTTGGCTGTAGGAGCTGCTTCATCCTTCATCTTCAGAGCACTGGTTTAACTGGAAACCACACCTGGATCACTGGTTTAACTGTATCAATGTTTTAACTTATTTACTGGTTTAACTTGGAACTGCGTATTAAGCTGACATGAACAGAATTTACTGTATAAACACTCAAATGGCACAATATATGTATATTTATAAATCATTTTGACTGAAGTGTGTGGTGGACATTTATTTATTTCAGGTAATGGTAAGAACACCATCAGAACAAATCCTAACACAATAAAGACAAATAAACCCATTACTCTATGATTTTATGGTTCTGCTCTTATAAAGTTTACATTTTCAACAAACTCTGACTTCGTGTCCACACTATTATACAGCAGGTGGGGTGGTCTCATGTGGAATACCTGCTCTGACCCAACATTTAACATTTCTATAACCAGCATAAATGGTACATAAAAATATGGGTGTGTAAAAGCGCTATTTTTCTGTGCTTAGAGACATTGAGGCACAACAGAAAAGGAGCTTTTATTTTCTAAGCTGCTGCAGGTAATAAGGGCTCTTATTTTGGCAGGAGTGTCAAGTATCACAGACAAAAATAAACTTACATGAGTGCATGGTTAAATTTAAGGCATGGGTGCAAGATTGTATTTAAGGCAGACTGACAGATGGGTAGTGTGTTAAATTTAAGGCGGACTGATATGTTTCTGTCCGTGTTTATTTCCACACTACTTTTATTTGGTCTTCTTAAAGTCGTCATGTCTGAAAGCAAACTGGCTTCAGTGGATTTTGAGATCTTTGGGAACGTGCAGGGTAGGTCACAGGACTCCAGTGTGTAACAGTATGTTAGTGTGAAAGGTACACACATTTCAGTGCAGTTTTATCGTTAATGTCCAGTTACATTAAAGATAAAACTACAAAAGTGAACCATTTTGAACTGTTGTTAAAACCATTTTACTATTGTTATTGTTATTCTGTATAGAAACTGACTCTAAAGGGGAGTTTGTCTTTTTCAGGTGTTTGCTTCAGAATGGTGAGTGTTATGTTACATATCTTAATAACACTGACTACATAAGAAAAAATGGAAATGCCAAGCTCTTGACACAAGGAGCACTCAGTCAAAAAGGGAGCAAAAGGAGACAGGTATTATCAGGCTGATCACATAACTTTAAGCTGACTCTGAACATGAAAGTTAGTGACTTTGTTAGGATTTAATGATTAAGTAACACACAGAACATTAACAAAGATAAGGAGGGACATGAGTTCAATGTGTCATAAACAAAAGAGCTTATAACAGTCAGAATTTATAACAACCTTTTAATACAGGTAAAGAGGGTGTCTAATTTAGGAGACCAATTTAAATGAATGAATAATTGATGGATGAATGTTTCTCTGTTGCAGTACACGGAGGATCACGGACAGTCTTTGGGTCTGAGTGGATGGGTGAAGAACACTAGACAAGGGACTGTGGTCGGACAAGTCCAGGGTCCACGAGATCGAGTTAATGACATGTGAGTCCTAACCAACCAATCAGAGAGCACTCAGTTGTTGAACCAACCAATCATAACACTAACCTTTACAAACGAACTAATCAGAACACTTACCTTCCTAAACAGACCAATCAAGGCCTGACTCCTCCTGTGTAACCTGGTCTCACCAGGTCTTGGTTTGATGTGAACCTTGTCTCTGCCTTGCTCACTCAGTGTTCTTCTTTTGTTTTTTGTTTTTTTTGTTCTTTTAGGAAACACTGGCTAAAGAACGTTGGCAGTCCTAGTTCTCGGATTGACCGAGTTGTCTTCTCAAACGAAAGAGACATTCCTAAACTAGAGCTCCGCGGCTTTTCCACCCGCTACTGAGCATGCTCAGTGACATCACAGTTCAACAGCTGTCACTTCTGCAGAAAAACTTCAGCTCTCTGAAAGCAGAGCAGATTCAGTCAGTCAGTTCAATAAGTTGATCCGTTCTGAAATATTTTAAACAGTCACACAGACAAAAATTGACAATAGGCCTTGTAGTAAAGCTCCACCAAAAGCCCATTAGCCTATCCTAACTCTGGCCCATATCAGCTGACAGCTCAGCTGATTATCTTCTAACATCCAATGGTCAATTTTTTTGTTGTTGTTTTTTTTCTATTTAAACATCCTTAGGTTGCCCACTCTTTCTGCTTCCTCAATAAACCACATTGCAACCTGCCTCTACCCCAGCTCCCCCTTTTCCCGCCCTGGGGTCTTTGATGCTGCTCTCCCCACTTTGATTGTCATGTATGCGCATGAAACAGAGGAGAGGTGTGCTATGCCTGCCACAGGCTTTGGCACCCACACATTTGTGTTGGGGGCTATGGCTTTCTCAGAACAAAGCCTCAGAGTCTTTATTGTTGCTCCTCCTGTCTTGGCTGTTCATATGAAATGGAGAGGAGGTGCTGTCCCCACCACAGGCCTTGGCAGAAATACACTCAGATTAATAACCGAGTATGTTCCTTCTCTTCACTGTTTGGTTTATCTTACCTTCATCATCTTGTTATAAAAGCTAGTGTGTGTCTTCAACCTGCTGGACTCCAGCTTTTAAAATAAACAACCTTGTCACATCCCTGTTTTTGTGGCCTCTTTACTGGTTCTTATCTCAGTAAATTGGTTCTAGTCTCAGTCTGGTTCTGGCCTTGGTTATTCTGGTTCCGGTCTCAGTGGTTCTGGTTTTGTGCTTAGTTATTCAGATTCTGGTCTCAATGGTTCTGGTTTCAGTGAGCCTGGTCCTTGTCTCAGTGAGTCTGGTTTTGGTCTAAGTGGGCCTGGTCCTTGTCTCAGTGGGTCTAGTTCTAGCCTCGGTCTGTCTGGTGCTGGATGGATGTTGGATCTGATTCTTTTCCCAGTAAGTCTGGTTCTTGTCTCAATAAGATTGGTTCTTGTCTCTGTCTGGTTCAGATTGAAATGCTTTGTTGCTCACCCTTCCAGTTGGTGAAGCTATGGTGGCCCTTGAGGTTAAAAAAGCTCCTGTGGGACATGTCAAGTCCGATTCCCTGTTAGCCAAGTTTTTTACCATCAACAGCTCCTTTCAATTCAAGTTCTTTTAAGATCAACAACAACTGCTCTCTTCTTCCTCTCAGCAATGCATTTCATACCACCACTCAATGGATGCAAAAACATGCGCTTCATAAAGATGTTTTCTGTGGAAACAGGCCCTCAGCAAGAGACAAGAACAATGAACAGATCAGAGGTTTCTCTTAGAATATATTTATTTTCTTAAGACAATAAATTCACTGACAAGATCACTGACAAACAGACCTATCAGAGGAGGGGGCGGAGCCACTGAGTCTGCAGGTCAGGTGATCTATTAGGAGAGGAGGCGGAGCCACAGTGTGCAGGTCAGGCAGTCCATCTGACAAATGAGCAGAGTCATAGAATCTTCAGTTTAGGTAATTAACTCAAGGGGGGCATGGGGTCTGTAGGTCATACGATCTATCAAAGGAGGGGTTGGAGCCACAGAGTCTGCAGGTAAGGCCACCAAGGGGAGGGGGTAGAGCAACAGGGTCTGCAGGTCAGGTGATCACTCTGATTTAGTTCTCTTAACTGCTCCAGGTAACTTGTCATGCAACCTGAAAAGACACACAAAGTCAGTGGGCTGTATGTGTTTGTGTTTGTGTGTGTGTTTGTGTGTTAGTCTATTATTCTGATGTGAACTCACTTCTGCAGCGTTTCGTCCACTCTGCCCCGGATCACCTCAATGTAATGATCGATCTGTGTCTACACACACACACACACACACACACACACACACACACACACACACACACACACACACACACACACACACACACACACACACACAAAAGAGGTGATAAATTGTACAGAGGGCATGTTTGCCTCTGCTGTGAAAAATAGTCCCAGTCAAAACTTCACCTGTTTTTTAAAAGAGAACCAAACCCATGAAATTCCTCCAACGTCATAAGGAGTGATCAATAAATAGAAATGTAGTCAAATATTACAAAGACACAGGAAGTGTACTGTTTGTGCATGATCAGCTGTTCTGTACCTTCTTCTTCATGTAAATCAGTGGAGTGGTGAAGAAGATGATGTCCGCTGAACAGAAGGAGAAACAGGTCAGAACACAAATTAAGACAGGAATCAAACCTACGACTTTAACCCCTGGGTCATCAACCTTCAACCAACCCACAAGAACCTTGACCTGAAATAACCTAAAAGACCTTTAACCTCCAGCTAAACTACAGGTCTTTTGATCTACAACCAACCTATAAGAAATTCTACCTACAGCTAACCTACAAGATCACCTTTGACCTTACCCACAGGCTCTTTAATATAAAACTTTTTGACCCAAACAAAAAGTTCTTCAACCTATTATTTATCTACGACTTCAACTAACAGGTTTATGGACCACGACCAAAATAATACTTCAAACAGTGGCTTTCTTGAGGACTCACCGAGGATCAGGATGGTCACACCATTAAAGATTGATCCGATATATGTCATCAACCACATGACCCCAGCCAGCTGGAACACATGGAGAAAGTTCAATGACCGTTGGAGAACATTCAGAGAGCATTAGAGAACAGTTGTAGAACATGAGTAGAACATGAGATCAAGAAAACATTCACATACAGTGAGGAAAATATTAGGAGAAACATTCAGAGATCTTAAATTGACCTTCAGGAGGTCATCAGGAGAACAAAAAGGAGCGTTTGAAGAACTCAAATTGAAAATCCAGAGAATGTTCAGGGAACATCAGGATGTTCTGGTGATGTTTAAGAAGAACTTGTTCACTGGCAGGTACTCTGAGGAAGGTGGGTTTTTTAAAGTTTTTTTTAAGGTTATGTGTGTGTACAAAATAAAGGCCTCTTCACTGGTTCAGGACCAGAACAGAGCCGACAACATCCCTGCAACCCTTAAACCCCGTCTAAAGAACTCTGGGCTAATATGAAGACAGACCTTTTGATAACACTTTAACCAGCACCAGTGTTACTCTGACAGAACCAGAACCAGAACTATTTTGATAGAAAAAAATGATCATCTAGAACCAATAATGATCTGATAGAACCAAAGTAACACCCTCAGACAATTAAATTAAATTAAATTAAAAATATTTTAAATTATGTAGTGGAATTAAAACATATTTCTCTCAGTTGCTAAACTAGAACCAATGATCCTTTAGACAGAACCAGAACCTGTGATCCTTTAGACAGAACTAGAACCAGTGACTTTTTCGAGAGAACCAGAAGCAATGATCATTTTAAAAACAGAACACATGATTTGAAGGGGACCAGAACCTATGATTGTACAGAAAGAACCTGAACCATGATTTTTTAAAGAGAGACCAAAATTAATAAATGTATTGACAGAACCAGAGCCAATGGGTCTCATGAAAGAAATGGAACTAATAATTGTACTGAGGGAACCAGGAGAAATGGTTATTGGGAAAGAACCAGAACCAAAAACTGTATGAAAAAAAAAACAAAAGAGAATCAATGATCACGTAAAAAGATCCAAAAACAATGATTGAAGGTACCAGAGCCAATTATCCTCTTGAAAGTGCTGGGACCAATAATCATTTTGTTGGAACAAGAACCAATGAACATTCAAAATTATAACCAATATCACAAGAGGAACAAGAGCCAATGACTGCTTAGAATGAACTCGAATCATTGATCATGTGTCCAAATCTTAAGGACAGTCCGTCCGGTATGCCCCCGCAAGAAGTTCATAACCAAGTTAAATATTTCTTTAACGGGTCATGCTCTTCTTCTATTTCAGATTTGTGAATTTCTCTGTAAAGGAGGAAAAACTGACACTTATTTGGTTAAAGTAAGACAAGTTCTTGGTTGCAAGGTGACAGATGAGGGCCCTTGGCCATGATGGATCGAGATTTAGATTTTTTAGGGCTTCTAATGTCTGTTTAAGTGTGGTGTAGTCACACACCTTCAGGGAGTCCACTAGGTCCTCCACCAGCAGCAGTCTCCTGGTCTGATTGGTGAACCAGTTCAGGTGGACCAGAGACTGATCGGCCAGCTGACGGACGGTCTCTGAGGACAATGAAATGTCCCTGTCCAGCAGAGACCTAAGAGTGCGAGGGGGAGGAAGAGGAGGAGGAAATTACATGAGAATTAAGTTTTGATGTTTTGAATGACAGTCTGATGGATATGAGTCTCTGTTATTCACAAAATCCATCAAACATGTTCGTGTGTGTGTGTGTGTGTGTGTGTGTGTGTGTGTGTGTGTGTGTGTGTGTGTGTGTGTGTGTGTGTGTGTGTGTGTGTGTGTGTTACCTGAATGGATGACCTTCATCTGATTTCTGGATGGCCTGGATCACAGATTTGTAAACCCTGCAGACAGGGTTAAAAAATAAAAAAAAGGAAGTTGATTTTAGGATGATGTCATTTTTTGAGTTTCTCAAGTGCTCTTATTGGCCGGGGAAAGACCAGGTAGAAAGGCCTCTTACCTGAAGGTGATGGTAATGCAGAGACAGGTGAGCAGCAGGTAAGATACAACACTTATGACTGACAGTGTCGCCACAGAGAACAGAACCAGCAGAGACATGCCAAACGCTGCTGCTGACTTCTTTGGTTCTTTCCAGTGAACGAGCTGTATGGCTAACACACACACACACACACACACATATGCACACATGCACAGTTTGTGGTATAAGTAAGCTGTATATTGTAACCAATTTAACTGTATAAACATATCCACTATACGTGTTAAATCTTGAAGCAAATGGGCTACAGCAGCATACAGATGCCACTCTTGTTAGCTGAGAACAGGAAACTGAGACAACACTTCATACAGGCTCAACAAACTTGGACAACAGAAGTTAGAAAATTGTTGCACGATCTGATGAGTCTGACATTAGCTGTGACATTCATATGGTAGACTCAGAATTTGGCATAAACAACGTGGGGGATATTTTTATAAGGCACACTTTTGTCTGAATGCCTCAGTCTACATGATTTTTACAAACAAAACATTATGTACAACAATTATAAAATGTTTTAACATGTTGTCATGGGTCAGCTGATCAGAGAAACTCAGTGCTGCTGTAGAGATTTCAGGTTTACTCTGAGTTAGTGTGCATTCCAGGTGTGCAGTGATCTAGAGAACAATCAGTTTGAGGTTTGTGGTAGTCACATGATCAGCAAGTTTTGAGGTCGGGGGGTTTGGGTTAACAGTCGGGGTGTTAGCAGATTAACCTTCAGCAGCTGTAATCAGCTTAACCAACCAGTCTGAAAAACATTATCAGCTGACTGTAAACTAACAATGCACCTCTGTGTCTGCACACATTTATTAACACGCTAACCACAAAGCATATAAGCCAACAGTGCACCTGTGTCTGCACACAGCTTATTAACATGCTAACCACCTAGCATGCACCTTTACATGTCAACTGACTACGATACTCAAGATACAGTGGGTTAACTGAGTCCTTCACTATGGACTATGACTGATTGATATGTCAGTTGATTGATTGGTTGACCTGAGTCATATTTGCCAGGCCACACCCCCATCAGTGAAAACTAACTCAACTAACCCGTTGTCATGGTATCTCAGGGTCTGAATGTCATGTTAAAAGACTTCCATCCTGCTGTGACATATTTATACTACAAACACTGATCAATCAGCTGCAAGTTCAGGGATCAGCTGATCACTCCTAATTAATAACCAGGGAGCACTAAGTGGTCTCTATGGCAAAAGTCAGAGCAGACAGTGCAGGTCCAGGTGTGAACAGGTGAGTCTTACCTGAGTGTGAGAGCTCTCTGAGTGAGGAAGAGGAGCAGTGGTTTGATGATGAAGCGTCAGAGCTGCTGGTGGAGTCTGCCATCCTCCTCTTCGTCCTCGCTGTTCCTAAGGAGTGTGTGAGCGAGTGAGTGAAAGTGTTTCTGTCTGAGTTTGTGAAAGACTGTGTGCGGACAAAGTCTCTGCTCTCTCACAGCTGCAGCTGCCCAGGGGCAGCCACCTCACTGTGGGCGGGGCTTAAAATAGGGGTTTCAAGGGGGTGTGTCCCAAGATCAGGACCATTTGTTTCCAACCACATCTATCTATCTATCTATCTATCTATCTATCTATCTATCTATCTATCATATTTATTCCCCTGAATATAACTTCTTTTGTGATATGTAAAAACAGCTAAACATGTATTTAAAACAAACCCATGACTTATATGAGTTAAACAGTTATTGATGACAATCAAATATGCATGTAAGTGAGCAATTTCTGGAGTAAACTCAGTTGAATTTGTCAACAGAGTTTTATCTTATTGTTTTTTTTCAATCGCTAACAAGCGCTTACCCATACTTCAGATACTTTTTCTAGGTTATCTTCAGGGTTAGGCCACATGTTATCATCAACATCGCATTTGACATTATCCAAGGCGATGCACCTGGGATAAAACTGCTTGATATGTTGGATCCACCCTTGGCAGTCATCAACTGTGATGTCCCTGCAGCCAGCATCCATGGCTTCAAGGAGGGGCATCTGGTCATGTGGCTGATGGTCATAAACCTTCCACCTCCATGCGGAAAAAAACTCCTCTATGGAATCAGCCATTATCAGCTGAGATATATTGTTTTTGAACTGGTATCATTGCAGAACCAGAGGTTTTTATACTGTATCTAAGGTTTGGAATATTGTTTTTGTTATTGTGGGATGTTGTGTGTTAACATTTGAAAATAATATAAAAACAATCCATAATTTGTTGGGAGGTATAGCTTTTCTGTTAAGAAAATGTAAGCATTGTGGAAATGTGTTCACTGACTGCATATTGTGTGAAAACAACAAGAAGCTGTGCTAATTGTGTTTAGAGTTTTGAAAATGTGCTAGCTGGTTGGACAAACGCTTGTTAGCGACTAAAAATAACTGTAATTGTAGCTCACTGCTGTAAGAATTAACCCCCCACCCACTCAACTCAATTAGGAGCATAACTACACTAAAACCTGTTTGCCTGCAGGGGGCAGCAGCGACTCACTAATGTTCAGCAGGAACATTTTTTCAAGCTCCGTGTTTCCTCCGGAGAGATTTAAAGGTGGTTCCGGAGTCAGATGTTCGCAGCGGTAAGGCGGCTGTGTTTTCTGTGGGAGAGAAGTGAAGATAGTTGGAGCCGGTAACAGTGACAATAATGCAGTGCGGCTGGCCTCTCTTAGGTCCGCTTCAGTGGACTCGTTACGTCAACAAAAAGGTGAACGTAAAGGCGGGAAAAGATGAAGAGCACCGAGGCTGGCTGCTGACCGTGGACCCGGTGTCTGCCAGGTACACACACACACACACACACACACACATTCGGCTCAGTTCGGTTCGGTTAACCGCTGGTTGTCCTTCGTGGTTCTGGACTAAAATGGACTGAACTGAACCGCTCAGTGGAAATGCAGCCTAACTTTAGAGAGTGCAGGTGAAGGGGATGAATCACCCGGTGGACGGAGTGAGATTTAAAGCTCCAGGCTGTTTTCTCCTTCTGTCTCCAAAGATTTAAACACAGGCCGAAAAAAACAAGAACCAGAACCAGAACCATGCTAAAAATTTCCCTCTTTAAACCACAACCACTGTACAAAAAAAAAAAAAAATGAATACAGCTAGAAATAAGTGAATCCAGGTGTTTGATTGTATAGAAATCAATAAAACCAAGTGTTTGATAATCAAGAGATTAATTGTGTGTTTAATTATTTAAATATTAAATAATCTGGCCATTTGATAATAATTTTTTGATTAAACATATATAGATGTGACATGAATTAGTTGGACTCATGGTGCAGCTCTGATCTAAACTGATGTGGATCTGATCTCTGTGTTGCAGTCTGGTCCTGGTGAACTTCAGGGGGGAGAGCGGAGCTTCAGTACAGGTGGTCATGGGTCACGCTGTGGAGGAGGTGCAGGTCCTGCAGGAGGCAGATGAAGAGACCATGCAACGCCTTCAGTCCTCATTCCTCCCCACAAACACACATCGGCTGGACCCCAAGGAGCAGGCAGCCATAAGGGGGCGAGTACGGACCTGGCTGGAGAAGAACCGGGTCCCTGTGGTAGAGGAGGGAGAGGAGCTGAGGGTGGCAGGGGTCCTGACCATCACAGCCCCTTATAGACCTGAAGACTGCTGCAGCTCCAACCAGATCATCCTTGACCGAATCCAGAAACTGATCCAAAACCAACCATGTCTTGCAGGCACTGATCCAGAACAAACAGAATCCTAAAGGAACTGACCAAGAACCAACTGGTTCCTGCAGAAACTGACCCAGAACCAACTGAAATCTGCAGAAACTGAACCAGAATCTGGACCAGATGGTCAATGCCGGACCAAAAGACTTGGAATCTACCTATCTGACTCTTGTGTGGTGTGTTAACCAATCATAATTGGGCAGTAGTTTTGACTGTCAGCTGATCAGCACTTATTTTACTTGGCTCTAACCCCCTCTGTTGTCATTAGCTAGAATAAAACAGAATTTTCAAAATAAAAGTCTGTTTCTCTCAGAGGAAAGATTCAGAGCCGACTCAGCCTTGGGATGGGTTTCAAAAACTCTGATGTTTACACAGACTGTTATTTTGAAATGTAAAACTTAAACAGTAAAGAAATAAGTTGTTTTGACAAGTGTTTTTGTTTGATCAGTTGATCAATCACTGTAATGTACAGTTGAACTTATTTATCAATCAGCTGACTGTTTCAGTTTGTTTATTCTGTACACAAGGTCAGTTTAAATAAAAATTGCAAAGGAAATGGGACAGAATGTCCAAAGTTCTGAAGGGTGTACAACCAATTATTAACTTCAATGTTAAGCAGCGGCAACCTCACGTCTTGGTAAACATGCATGTGTTGCTGAAGGAAACATAATTAAAAGATGAAAAACTTCTTTACAGAAACAATCGGAGACACACAGAGGTGTCAGCTCAGGTTCCATTTTTGATTCTTAGAGGACTGTAGTGGACTTGGTAAAGACAGAACTTGAGAGTTTCTGACTTTAGTGGACTTGTGGACTGCAGAGGACGGAGTTCAGACTGAAAACTCTGTTGATGACTAAACTAAAGTTGAATGTAGCAGACCCAGATGGATTCTGGACCATATAGGACTGTTCTGGACTGAGTTAAGACAGTAGTCAAGGTTTTCAACCTCATTAGACTTTTGTGGACTGAGTAACGACCAAAGACTGGGTTTTGGAACAAACTGGACCATAGTGGACTGAGTGAAGACAGCAGACTGAGTCCCGTTTCCTGGTAGAACTGTTTTATTCCCTTGTTTTTAAAGAAGGTAATCATCATGTTTACAATCAGAGGAACCAGAACCGTCACAGTACCTCTTTGGATCCGGTCTGGTACCTGAAGGTTCCTCAGGGTCCACATAGCTGTGGATAGAAATGACACAGACCACAGAGGGACCCCCCAAAGTCCTGCAGCTGGAGGTCCCTCAGTCAGAGTTTCAAAATAAGAGCACATGATCTGTTTTTGTTCAGTCTGATCAGATCGGAGCGTCCTGATTGGTCGAGCAGGTGTTTGTTTCGGACCACACTGATGTTCCCATCCAATCAGCTGTAGTGTTTGTATTTAGAGCCCCGCCCCCACACAGGTTGAGCAATCAAGCTGTATTTCCATCCGAAAGTCCAGGCTATTGAATCACAAGGCAGGAGGTGTGTCCAGTAGGGGGGCGTGGCTCAGGGACTCTCTCTTATAAGTCTTAGGGGGGAGTTTGGGGACACCATGTCGAGGGGGCACAGGGGGGCCGTCCAGGGGGAGGAGAGGGAGGGGAGGAGAAGGAAGGGGCATCTTCTTGGAGGTAGGGGTTGGGCTAGGATTGACAGTGGAAGGCAGAGGGGATGAGGAGGCCATGGAGGCAGAACCTATGCAGGGGGAGGAGCAGGTGGTGGAGGGGAAGAAGGCCTGAGGCAGCAGGTCACAGCGGGGGCGACCTTGAGGAGGAGGAAGGAGGTGCAGGGGGGAGGCCAGGGGCTCCCGAGGAGGAAGGGAAGGGGGACTGTCTGGGGGAGAAGACGACAAAGATGAGTAGCGAGGGGGGAGGAGCTTACAGGTGGGCTGACGAGGTGGAACTGCAGGGGGGCTGTCCAACTTGGACATCATCTGTTGGGGAAAAAGAGGGGCGTGTGGGAGAGAGAATATCAGATCATCTGGTTCTCTGAGCATTTATACACATTTATATACATTAACTCACTACCACACACTCTGACACACAAGTTCTCTAACATCTTCTTACACATTTCCACGTGTTCCAACTCCGGTTCACCTTTTTACTCTTTCCCATACGTTCTCACAAAATATGCTCACACAGTCATTCACACATTCTCACAGTTAACCTCATGAACTGTCTCACAAAGATTTTCACCTTTGATGGAGAGGACTCAGCAGGAGCTGATTCAGGACGTCTGCGAGGAGGAACAGGAGGAGGAACAGGAACCTCCTCAGAACTACGACTGAAATTCACCATGGACGATACCGAGGAGGACCCTGAGACCAAAAAAACACTGTTAGAACCAACACATATAGAACTTCAAAAACACAGAACCAACAAAAATGGATGTGACAAAAGCAGAACAAACACTGTTTGAACCAAAACAATTAAAATATCGTAGGAACCAACAGAACCAACACATACAAAGAACCAAAACTCATCAACTACCTCCACATGCAGAATCAGCTCACACAGAACCAAAACTGTTAGTACTAACAGACACAAATTCGACACACACAGAACATGATGGAGCAGGTTCACCACACCAGCGGCTGATTGGTTCTTTACATCATCACTTTACACACATTCACCATCTACTGATGGTTACCATGGAAACAGACTCTGGGACGGAAACAAGTGGTGAGATGGTTTTCGAGTAAAAAGGTAAATTTGATGTCATAAACGACACACAGGTGAGTGGCACCTCAATACCCAGTCAGACAGGTGAGTGTGATGTCAGACAGGTGAGTGTGATGTCAGACAGGTGAATGTGATGTCAGATGACAGGAAGTGTTTGGATCATACTAACGTGGGCCGTGAGGGAGAAAACCCACAGAGAAGATACTGTCAGAGTCTGCAGAGAGAGGAGGAGAACACACTGTGAGGAGGATAGTAGAGAGGAAAAAAGGGAGGACGAGGAGAGAAGAGGGAAATGGGGGAGAAGAAAGAGAGGATAAAAAGAAAAGAGAAGAAGTAGAGGAGGAAACAAGGTGGAGAGAAGAGGGAGAGGAGAAGGAAAGAGGAGAAGATGAGAAAATAAAAAAGTGAAGAGAAGAGGAGAGATCAAGGAGAGGAGGAAGGACAGGAATAGAAGTGGGAGCGGTGAGAGGGGAAGGAGGAGAGGAGAAAGAGAGGAGAGGGGAGAGTAAAGAATGGAAAAGAAGAAAGGGAATGAAAAGGAGGAAATGAGAAGACAAAAGAGAGGGCAGGAAAGAAGAGAGGAGGAAAGGCAATATGGAAAGATGCTAGGCTTAGCTAAGCTAGGCTCCAATGAAAATAATGTCATCAACATTTTCCTCTTGATGTTAAAAAACAGATCAATCAGCGATCAGACATTAATGATCGAGTCGGAGTTTATTAGTGAGTCTGGGGGGGAGGGGGGGTTAGTCAGCTGTTAGTGTGTTAGACACACACACACACTGATACACAATCACTCACACACATTCATTAGTGTGTCATTGGTAAAGATGATGTAATTGGACTGTGTGTCTGCATCTGTGATGGATATGACGTCAGTGGGCGGGGCTTACTGGTGTGGAAGGGGCTGCTGGGACCTTGCGGTGAGTCGAACACGCTGCCTACATCAGTGGAGCTGGAGGCGGCAGATGCTGGGGGCGGAGTCAGGGGTGTGCGGGGGGAGTTGGGGGCAGAGGCGGCTCCGCCCTCTGCTTCACTGTCAGGGATCCGACTGTAGCTGATCTTCCTGGGCTCATTCTGCAGAGGTGTTGGATGCCGCATGGTGCCGGGCCTTGCTGAGGAGGGTCGGATCCCCGGAGACTTGAGAGGACAGGTGTACTTCTTCACCTAAACACAGGTCGACAGGTTAGGACTCATTAACCAATCATCAGTCAGGATGTTTAGACAAACAGCCCCCTTGTTACCATGGTGACACTCACAAAGCGAGGTAAGGAGCGGGCGTTTCGAGGTTCGATCTCCAGAGATTTGTTAAACAGGTGATCAGCAAAGTCCTTCTCAGACATGTCCTCCATTGGGTTCAGGTTCTCGAAGAACTTCTGCTCCACAAACACAAATAGAGTCAGCCCCCGACACCACCTGCAGCAAAGTAAACAGGAAGTGATGTCGCAATCAGACTCACCCTGATGTCAGCCTCGCCCCGCAGACAGTAGGGCTGGTTCTGGTACTGTTGGATCTCCCCGGTGATCTCAGCCACCTTCCTCCTCTTGCTGAAGTTGATGAGGTCTTTGCCGTGTCGCCGCAGGAAGTCAGGGTTTCCCTCCTCTGTCTTCAGGATGTTGGTCAGATAGATACCTGAGGGACACGGCAAATTAGGTTTAACCTTTGACCCTGGATCTTAACAGCGGTCTGACCACACAGGGAAGGAGCATACCAAAGAAGGGCACACATGGTGGGTTTATGGATCTGAGTTTAGCCAAATATTTCTTGTAGTGATCCTCGCTGAGCTCATGGGCCTCCTCCAGGATCTTCCTCTGACGGCTCGGGATTTGCTAAAATAAAAACCCAAGGAGAGAAAATCGGATTAATTAGGGTTTATTTTGCTACACTGATGATGAACTTCGCAAAACTAATGAGACATCCATCTCAATTCTGATCATGTGTCATGAACAACTTATGTTTTATATCTTACTGGTGATGAATTATGCCCTATTGATGACGTTTTATACATTTCTGATGATGTGTGTCTCATTTTTTTCATTCAGTTTCTGTTTGCTCTTAAATTCATATTGTTGATTTTTTTTCCACAGAAGTGATGAAAGTGTTTTTTTTTTTATCTGAACAGATTTGACTGTAGTTCTGATGATGAAGAGGTGACAGCAGAGCCTGACCAATCACATGCCTAGTGTCTCACATCAGAACCTGACAATGCCATATTGGTGTTACCTCAAAGGTGTGGTCCAGTCTGTAGACCGGAGAAGAGTTCATGGCGCTGACCACCTCCAGCACACCATTAAAGTTATTCAACTCCTGAAACACCTGAAGAATCTCAATGATCCGAGACACCACTGCCACACGCTCCTCCAGGTTCTCTGTCTCCACGATACACCTGGACACACACACACACAGTAACAGAAACAGACCGAGTAAGAAATATGATTGCTGAATAAAAAAATCATGGCTCTTTCCTGAGATTTCGGAGTGATGTCATACTTTTCAAACCACAGGGTGAGGTTGGTGGTGTGTCTGATCATCCTCAGCAGGTTTGGAGAGTGAAGCTCTTTGTCCTCTTTGGTCCAAACACTGCCGACCAGCTCTGAGGGCTGCACTGCCCTGCAGGTAAACAAAGGTGAGTTATCGGTAAGACATAAGTGTGGGACAGGAGAAACACAGGTAAGATAGGTTATGACAGGCAAGACATAGGTGAGGGACAGCTGAGTGACATGAAAAAACATAGGTAATACACAGGTTACAACAGAAAAAGTGCAGGTGAAACACAGGTGAGAAAAAGGGTTAAGACAGATAAAAAAACAAGCAAAACACAGGTATGGGACAGGCAGGATACAGGTAACAGCAAAGATAACAGGTAAAACAGGTGAGAGACAGAAGAAACACAGGTATCATGCAGTTAATAACAGAAAAAAAACAGGTGAGACAGAAAAACCATGATCAAACAGGGAAATACAAAAAAGGTGAGAGCAAGTAAGGACTAATGCAGACAGGTTACAGATGGGAGTAGACAGGTAAGACACAGGTGAGGATATGTGAAACACAGGTTTAAAAGAAGGTGAAAGACAGTTGGGGGACAGTGGATGGACAGGTATTTCATCTTCATTCTAAGTATGAGTGTCTTCTATTGTTGATGTTCAGATGTTTTACATCTCATAGGTGTGAGACAGGTATTTATCAGAGCTGTAGTGCAGATCTACAGGTATTGTTACCTGTAGAGGTCAGACTCGAGCAGGGTGAGCTGGCGGGCGATCTCAATGGGGTGCAGCGTCATCAGGTCAAACTGGTCGATGTTACCTGGTTTACAGATGTGCCACTCGATGGGAGGAGGAGAGTTCTGGAAGGTGATGCTGTGACTGGGCATGCTCACCTGTACCTGCTTTTTCCTCTGGATGATCTTAGTGATAGACTCCACCCACTTCCTCATCGCTTTACCTGTAACAGGTAACACGACAATTTGACACATTACCTAAAGGCAACAGAAAGCAAAGCATACCAGAAAGTGATGTACAGGTGTGCAGGTGTTTCTTCAGGTGCAGAGAGGTGTTGCGTATGTACTCTTCAGGTGTTTAGACCAGTGTTCGAACAAGAAGTGTAGACAAGTGTTGTACAGGTGTTTTGAAAGGTGAGGTCAAATAATTTAAAAAAGAACAGGTGTGTTTATCCAGGTGCTGAGCAGGTATGTACCTCTGACAGAGGCGATGAAGTCCTCCAGCTGTCTCAGCAGGTGAGTGTCTCTCTCAAAGTCGTAGAAGTGATGCTCCACCCAGTGACGACACACATTCAGCACCCTGCAAGTGGAAGGAGTTTCACAGGTCACATGACACATCCAGAAGTAGATTTTTGTGACATCACACTCAGTCTCACTGCAGTATGGAAGTTCTTTTGTATTCAGAAACCCCTTAAAGAACCTGAAATATGATAAATGTCGATAATAATTTACTAAAATAAAACAGGAGTAGAAAATAAACAGGTCAACAAAATAAATGGTGTTGTAATTCTGGACACATTACACTGAAAATGAGTGTCCAGCAGATGGCGTCTTACCTGAGCTGGACTGGTTGAACAAATTCCTTACGGAACCGTTTGAGTTCAGCGCTGAGAGTCTGCTCCGCCCCCTCCATCTGGTCCACCTCACTGGGCCTCGGCTCAGGGATCTCAAACCTGCAAAGCACCATGAGCACAACTGAGGTCACACCTATTTCCAAAGACTGTGGCGGGATGATTTACTGAACTATCAAACCCACAGAAGCTCTTCCTGCCTAAAAAAATACAGACTCAACTCTTTAGAGGACACCTATGCACTTAAGCTGAGCTGTAATGTGATTGGTCCCTGTGACGTCTAGGTGAGCTCACCTTTCGATGAGCAGGTCCAGCAGCTCCTGAGGTTTGCAGAAGGACCTATAGGTGGTCAGAAATGTTCGGACAAAGTTCGGATCTGAAGGAAACATAAACAGTGGGCAGGTTAATAAATCACAGTCAGTGATTGTACAGACATTTAAACATCTTTTATACATATTTTAGGTATGTTGTCAGTCATAGGGTCAGGAATGTTTTTTTTTTTTGCCAGGTAAGGTGTCAAACCCTTACCCTCAGGTAGGGCTGCAGTTTACTTTGATATATTTAGTTAAATGTTTGTTCCATATCAAAATATAGATTTCAATTAGCAAGTCTGATCAAGTTAAATTATCAAAAGATGTTATTCAGCTTAGCCTTCTGACAGAGGATGAACAATGATCATTGTAATTTGCTTTTCTGGCCACAAGATGGCAGACCAAGTATCAGTGAGAAAAGCCTGTGGGTCTCAGATTATCAGAGTATAATGGTGGAGAAGAGTCAAAAAGATCTAGACAGGTGGTTGGACAGTCAGGAATTAAATAAATATTAGATTGTTGGTAAGGACACTGATACCTGTATCTTGAAAGATTTAATGCCAACCAAGTTCCCCTTTAACTCGCTCACATATAATTGAGGAGACTGTCTCAGAGTTTTCGGCCTACATCCCCTGTGTGATCTATTCTGCCATTGGTGACCCCATTTCTCACCTGACTGACCTTGTATCGTACCTCAGCTACCTCACGCTCTTCATGTGACCCTGTGTCTCACCTGCGTACATGTGGAAGGTGAGTCTCTCGATCAGTTTCAGGACTGTCCCTGCTTTGATGATGGGGATCCCGGACTTGGACTGGACGTTCTCCTCAAACACAATGTTCTCCTCGGAGTCCGGCTCAGCAAACCGGTACAGTTCTGCTCCAGGCAGCCTCATCTGCTCCTCCTTCTCTTCCTGCAGCATGGCTGAGTCCAGCATGCGCTCCAGCGTGCTGCGGTACTGCAGTGAAATCAGCGCCGCCATCCAACCGTTCTTCTCCTCAGCAGACTTGGCGGCAAACACCACGCTGTTCCCGTCCTTCAGGATGATCTCAAAAGCATGGCGGTACTCGCCCTCTTTGTCGTCCTTGTCGTTGATCTGCATCTTGCGCATGAAGAACTTTTCTTTGAGCCGGTACTCTGCAGTAGAGCCAGCTCCGGGCAGCCGTGGTGGGCCATGGTTGGACTTGCAGCAGATCATTAAGCCATCAAACAGGAAAATGTGGCGTTCGTGTTTAGCGCCGACCCGGGTCAGCGTCCCCTCCATGATGAACTCATTGCAGCACTGGCCGATGTCCTTTCCCTCCCAGCCGTCAATGTTCTTCTGGATCTCATTCATCTTCTTGATGGCGAGGTGCTTCCCCTTCATCTGATGGCTGTAGAACCGACACGCGGACTCGCTGAACACCACAGAGGAAGAAGAAGGGTAACAACAAAGAGGATTACTCAGGACTCTCAGTTTAATTAACACTCTCAGTTTAATTAACATGTTAGGGCAGCAGCAGCGGTCTCAGAATCACAGAAACAGTTTGCCAAAGTTTTTCTTAAGATGTCAAGAGTAAATGGAACAAAAAACTGGACCTCCAAACCAAAAAGTCTCAACTCAGTCAGACAGGACTGTGAACTATGTCTGCGACGACTCTGAGTCTGAACAGGGTCTGAGACATGAAGGACTTGGACAAACATGAATCTGACCTCAGCCTGAGGAGAATCAGCTACATTATCCCAACAGATGACAGACAGTCTGATGGACGTCTTACAGAAACTCTTCAGGTCTGAGGAGCCAGGTCTCAGTTTTTAATCAAAGGAGGTTAACAATACAGACACGAGAGTTAGGATGCCTAATGTAAAGTAAGTCTGTGACGATTCACTTACTATGACCGTGTTATCAGAGGACACAGTATTACATTACATCAGAACTAAGACCAATTTAGACAAGTAATAATGGACTAACAATCACTCAACTCTACGAACTGCAGCTCTCCACCACACATGTTGATTGAATTCATTTCCTGTTAACTAACATTAAATTCCTGGTTTTGGCTTTCATGGCAAGCCGTTTTCGTAATGTTTCATTGGGTTGGCTTTCTACAACTTAATCATGACACATCAGGGTGAGTTCTGATTGGACGGCCTGATAGAGGTCTGTACAAACCAGGGAGGCTCCAACAGGAAGTGAGGTCACAAAAGGGAGACTGCCAACCTCAGCTTGGACAAACAGCCAGACTGTCACAGAGAGACAGTGATGTCATCATCATCATTGCTGTGGCACCATCATCACCGTGACATTATCATGATTATCAGTATAAAATTATCATTATCACAGTGAAAGTATCAGCACTGCAACAAAATCTTGGCACTGAAATGTGACAATTCTCACTGACAACATGATCATAGTTTCAACATCATTATTATCATAAATATAAATCACCTCAATCATCCAACACTTTTATCATTACTGAGACATATTTTAATGTGACAATATAAGTATTAGCACCCAAAAATCTGTAATATGTAAAACCATTACAGTAAAAAAATCTGCATCTCAACCTCATCTCTATTATGTTTATCATTTTAACTATGATTTGTTATCATTATGGTACGTACCAATGTTATTATAGAGAAGTTATTATCATTATAACTATGACATTATCATCATCACTGTGAGATTCCCTCACCCTTTGGATATCCTGGTTAGGAGATAGTAGGACATAAGACTTAATAAAATTAGATTCTATAATACATTTCAAAAAGACTGTGTAATCACAGTGTAATGTCAGATTGGAAATGTACAATAAAACTGAGTAAAATATTGTCAACAGACTGTGATAAGAGTGTTGCATCTGATCTTGAACGCGTAATCACAGTGTGTATAGCATAATAAACAGACTGTATCAACAGCTATACTAAATTTGTGATGTATAATCATATAAGATCATACATGTCTAAACAGACTTTGAAAACAGTGTAAAAGAAGAACGGTTATCTTAAGGACATAGTTATAACATTATAAATAGTCTGTAATATCAGTGCTATATCACATTGATGATTCTAAATCACAGTTTTTAACTCTATGAACTGACTGTAACAACAAAGTAATACAAGATTGATATGTGATAATACTGTATATTACATTATTAACAGACTGTGTAACAACAGTCTCATGATTCAAGAACAATGACAGATTGTAACCCAATAAAATTCACTCAGACAAATCTGAGCCAAATTTTTACCTCTCCCATTAACAGGACCTCAATCAAGCTGATGCTCAGATGTCAGATTGCCCCTGAACGCTTAATAAATTGACCTTTGACGTTCAGAGCCAGAAAAAGAGTGTACTGTTCCTTTAAGAGGCAGCTGAAAGCTGCTAATCAGTTTAAACCTAAACCCCTGAAGTATGTGAACACACTCCAGGTTTCACAACAACACACACACACACACACACACACACACACACACACACACACACACACACACACACACACACACACACACACACACACACACACAGCTAGCCTCCATCAGCTCCATCAGCCCCTCCACCCGACCACACACACACTCACACATACACCTAGGTCCTCATATCCACCTGCCAATCATCCAGCTGTCTGCCCGCCTGTCTCCTCTTCCTCTTCTTCTTCTTTTTGGTCTTCGGTGCTCGCAGCGTTCAAAAGTTTTAACTTTATTTTAAGTCGCTGCAGAGCTTTTCCTCTGCAAGCTCTTTTCTTTCTCTCAGAGAACAATAAGCTGCACAGACGCGCCGCCCATATCATGACATCACTTCCCTCCAACAACACAGTTCTAACCACCCCAACACTCCTACCTCCAACCTGTGACCAATCCCCCCACCCCCCACCCCCTTCTATTTATGTCCAGAGGGAAACAGGGAAACAGGGAGGAGTCCAGACTGACCAACGCACACTGAAACACACACACTGAAACACACACAAATACTCACAGCTACACTACCGGTCAAAAGTTTTAGAACACCCCAATTTTTCCAATTTCTTTGATTGAAATTCAAGCAGTTCAAGTCCAATGAACAGCTTGAAAGGGAACAAAGGTAAGTGGTGAACTGCCAGAGGTAAATAAAAAGCGGTAAGGTTAACCAAAACTGAAAAATAATGTACATTTCAGAATTACACAGAAAAGGCCTAAAGCCATTCTGCAGCAATGGAGGTTGAACAAGCCTTGGAAGTTAGTGCTACCAATTCCTACAGTTGTCCCAACTTTTCTTGATCATTTAAAACCCCACCTGTCTGCATCAAAGTAGTGTTGGAACACACTGTGGTACCATACCATTGTTAGCATGGTTTCAAATGGTGAGGAAAAGGCAATTATAGAGAGACAGACCATCATAACACTGATGCAAATGTAGGTCTTTCCTACAGAGATATTGCCAAGAAAATCAAGGTGTCAGTGAGTTCAGTTTCCTTTACCATCAAAGGCACTCAGAAACTGGGGGAAATGCTGACAGGCAGAGGTCTGGCAGACCCAAAGCCACAACAGCATCAGAAGACAAGTTTCTGAGAGTCAACAGCTTGTGTGATAGGCGGCTCATAGGACAACAGCTTCAAGCACAGGTTAATAGTGGTCGCAGTAAGCAAGTCTCAGTTTCAACTGTGAGGAGAAGACTTTGAGTTTCAGGTTTGATGGGTCGACTTGCAGCAAGAAAGCCATTGCTGAGACTTCAGAATAAGAAAATAATGGCTTGCCTGGGCCATGAAACACCACTAATAGACCACTGAAGACTGGAAGAAGGTGTTATGGACTGTCAAACATGGAGGAAGAAGTGTGATGGTCTGGGGCTGTTTTGCTGGATCCAGGGTCAGTGACTTGTACAGAGTAAAAGGACCCCTGAACCAAAACGGCTACCACAGCATTCTGCAGCACCATGCAGTACCCTCTAAGATGCACCTAGTTGGTCAGGGGTTCATCCTACAGCAAGATAATGACCCAAAACATAGCTATGCCAAGCTATGCCAGAACTACCTTGAGAAAAAAGAACAAGATAGTAAGCTTGAAAACATGGAGTGGTCAGCACAGTCACCAGACTTAAACCCCATTGAGCTGGTTTGGGATGAACTGGACAGAAGAGTGAAGGCAAAGCAACCTACAAGTGCTACATATTTATGGAAATTACTGCAGCAGAGTTGGGAAGAACTTTCTGAAGAATATTTGATTTCCATTTTCGAAAGAATGCCACAAGTGTGTTCATCTGCTATATCCACCAAAGGTGGCTACTTTGATGAGTCAAACGTTTAGAATACATTTTCGTTTCTAAATTGATTCTATGATTTTTTTTACTTCAATTGTTTATTTGTTCTATGCATTAATTTCAGAGTACACTGAGGCATTAAACTGCATCATTTTTTAATAATATTCTGGAAAAGTTGGGGTATTCCAAAACTTTTGACCAGTAGTGTACATTGAAGGTGGAGGGAACTCGACTCTGACTGTTTTCTTTTCTGATCACCTGACCAACATCAGCAACTCATATGGCTTTAGGATACTGTTAGCCTAGCTTAGTGTTATCAGTGTAGACAGATGAGGCCTGTTAGTCTGGTTTGTGGTGGACGCTGGCTGCAGGTGTTTCTGTGTGTTCCTGCGTTCCCAGGCTCAGACAGGTAGAGGTGTAGTCAGAGATCTGATTAGTTTTCCAGGTGGGTTCAGCACTGGCTCCCCTCGTGATACTTATAGATTTGTGAGGCTCAGACTGTCCTTTTAACAGGGTGTGTTCATTTCAGACTGTGCATACAGGAGTGTCCGCACAGATATATATACAGGTGTTCATATCGATGTATATGAAGGTGTGTGGAATGGTGAGGTACCTGAGTCTCCTCTTGGCTAGACTCCTGGAGCAGATCCTCTCCATGCTGCTCTGCAGGTTGAGCAGGGCGGTGATGGCCTGTTTCAGACATTCCTTATCCTCCTCTTCTTCACTCTTCTCCTCCAGTTGCTATGGAGGAAAAAAGGGAAAGTGAGAGGAGTATTTAGCAGAAATTTCTGGCATTAGAAAATAAATCAAAGCCAAGAGAGTGATAAAAAAAAAAACTGCAGTTCCCCAAGTGTCCGCTTGAGGCAGTGTCCTGCAGTAAGTCATTCTGTATAGAGCCCTATGTTGTAGCTTTTAGGTTGGACATTTTAACAAACATGCTGACAGCAACAAAAACATGTTTTTAACAGCAATAAACATGTTTATAGCAGAAATTAACATGTACATTGTTGCTATACATTAGTTAATTGATGCTGTAAACACTTTTTTAGTTGCTGTAAACATCTTTATTTATGCTGGGAACATGTTTACAGCAACAAAAATATGTTTACAACATCAATTAACATGTTTACTGCAAGAGTTAACATGTTAACAACTGGTACTAGTTACAATTTGGGTCTTTGTAGCCCATCGGTTCTTTTTTCCCACCATCACTCGACACATCCATCCAGACGAAGTGGGACTGATGGTTTAATATGTATAGTACAGGTGTGATAGAGGTATAATACAGGTGTAGCACAGGTGTTTTGGTCTCACCTTGAGGATCTCAAACAGATGCAGGCAGTGGTACACAGGTGTGAGCAGCAGTCTTGGCAGGACGTATTGGACAGCCTCTTTGAAACCTTCACAGATGGACTGAAGGCACAAACTTTATCTCAGGTATGTCAGGTAAGGCAGGTGGTTGCCTAAACCTAGCTTGCTTACTAATGCAGTCAGAGGTAACTTACTCAGGTGTGTCAGGTAAAATGAAAAACACTGATCTCTCAGAGTGAGGTCACAGGTCAACACAGAGTTAATACCAGGTAACGAAACAGGAAGAAGGAACAACGTCTCACCTGTAGATGAAAAGCAGCACCTGGTTTGGACACCTGACTCAGGAAGTGTTCATGGAAACCAGAGCGCAGGATGTCCTGAGTGTATGTCTCATAGGGGTCAAAAGCCAACTCCTATAAATCAACAAATCAATCAATCAGTCAATCAACTCATAAACCAATTGTCCCAATGAAAGGTTTACACAGAAAGGTAAACACAGAGACAGGTTCAGACCTCAGCCAGGTCCTCAAAGCAGCTCCCCACCAGTGGGTGAGGACTCCCCTCATCTGTCATCTCCACTGTGTCCTCGATCAACCCCAACAACTTCACTGTCACCTCATGGATGTCCACGATACGACTGAAGACACTGTCCACGTCCTGACCAGACAACACCAATCAAAACAGAGCAGACCAATTAAAACTAAGAAGACAGTTTTAATTTATTTACTGATCTCACATCACCAGTCATAAATCCAAGATAGGCCAGAGATCAGCTGGCCATGTGACCGCAGACAGGTTAGAGTGGTACCTACGTGCTGGGAGTAGAGCATGGGGCTGGAGATGAAGGGCTCTCTGAACACCTTGATAAGCAGATTGAGCTGTCTCAGGTATGTTCGTCCGTCTGACATGAAGCTCCTAACCAGCTCATAGTAACTCTGCTCCTCATTGGTTGACGGCTCTTCATCCATCAGGGGAAACCCACTGATGTCCTCCTCATCCTGGTGGAACATGTCCATCAGCACCTAAGGCACAGGTGAGAGCCACACAGGTAAGAAAGGTGATGTAGACAGGCTAAACAGATGAGAATGAAAAAATAGTAATTGTGTTGTTGATGTGAAGTTGTAGGGTAGTAGTTATGGTTGGTAGGGGGTTGTGTAGTTTTTGTTGTGTACCTTGTCAGCACACATGGCCACGGTGATGTCCTGCTGGGAGATCTCATAGTGCCGGATGTTTCTGACATAGTTCCCAGCGAGCTTCAGGATGTCGGCAGAGATATACTCTAGCACAGCAACCATGTACACTGACACCTGGTGGTCGATCTTGTAACCTAGCACCTCCTGACAACAAGGCATCATGGGAAATGCAGTCAGAGTGTGTGTTTGATGTTCCTAATGATAAAGACAATGATGATGAAGACAGGTGTACCTTGAGCAGTGGGTGGATCTTGTCCACAGGCAGAGCCAGTGGGTTCCTCCTCTTCCTCTTCTCGATGGCGGCCTGAGCATCAGCAATAGCCCACTTATCGATCGGGTGAGGAAAACTCTTCTGGACCCGCTCCTGTACCATAGGAAGGGGGACAGACGAAGACCAAGTACTTCAGATTCACCTGGGCTACGTGGCACAAAACCCTGAACAAAGTTGGTCCAAAACCCTGGACCACTGTGGGCTTTAAGACTCAGGTCAGTCAAGTGAAAAGACCTGATTTGGACACATTTTTTTAAGGGGGTCCTATTAGGTATGATGATCTGGTCAGGTCCATAGGTCCAATATGACCTGGTCTAAAGGTCTAATCGGGTCTTTAGCTCAGTTTTAACTTAGTCTATTAATCTTGTCTATCCTAGCCTCATTAGGTCTACAAATCAAACCTGGTCACAGGGTTTATCCTACAGATCTGACCTACAATGTGGCTCCTCATTGCCTGGGCTGATCTGGTCTGTGGACCTGGTCTATATTCTGGTCTTTGGTTCAGGCTTAACCTAAAGCTGGTTCACAGGAGTCTGGTTGATCACACAGCAGGTCTCACTTGTGCACTGCTCTGATTGGATGGATTTCTGTGAGGTGTCCCCTCTCTAATCGCAGCAGTCTCAGCAGTTGCTTATCTAACGTGTGTCTGGTTCTGCTTGCGGTTTCTTCCTCTCAATAAAAAAAGTTTTTCCTTTCCACTGTAAATGTGCGATCATGGTGGATCAGAGTAGGTCTGATCTCACAAGATGGGACTCAGTCTAATCCCATCTTCCTTTTTTGCCTCGGTGTGATCAACTGACTTCACACAGCACCAAACAGAACACAAAACACACACACACCACCTAAGGAGCACAAAGGGTCAGAGGTCAGGTGAGGTCAGGGGTCAGAAGTCAAGGTCAGGTAGGGTCAGAGGTCAGGGGTCATTGTGTAAAACACCTGCAGTGAGGTGTTTTAGCTGCACCTAGTTACCTCACTGCAGTCTCCACCAGCTGAAACAAGAACACAACCAGACCAATCACATTTCAGATTCACAATGATGTCATCACACCTGTCCAGGTGAGCTCAGTGTGTTTTTATTATCAAAACTGCTTCTTGCTTTTTCAGCCTCTGAACTTTCCCCTGTTATCTGCTCCATATTGTACAGAGGTTTATTTTAAAGTTGGAGGCTGTGATGAGATGATTCAACTCATAAAGAGTTGAATCATCTAAATCAGTGTTAAGTGTGTGTGTGTGAGTGTGTGTTACCTCTACGTCCTGCACACTGCGGGGCTGAGCCTGGCACAGCATGCTCAGCAACAGCAGGATCAGCTCCTCAATGTACTGCAGCGCCTCCTGCTGGGACACCAGGTTAGGATGCACCTGGTTCAGTACCTGCAATACACACAAACACACAAACACACACGCTGTTGAATGTGAGCAAAAACACTAAGGGAATACAAAGCTTCATACTAAGCTGATGTTTGCTATTCTCCTGCTGCAACATCTGTGCAAAGGGTCTGAGAGGCACATCTGTGTATCCAGGTATCTACCTGCGCTCACATATTTGCCCATGTATCCTGCTGATAATGACTGTATTCATGTGTTTACCTGTACATTCTGATGTGTGTATTTAGGTTTTTATGCAGTGCTCAGGTTTTTACCTCAATTTATATGAGTACCTGTGTATTCAGAAGGATACATGTGCTTTCTGGTGTTTACCTGTGTATTCAGGTGTTTCCTGCTTCCACATACATGACCAGTCTGATATGAATTCCAAATACCAAGAGGATTTCAATGCAACCTGTGTAATTCCTAGCATGTACTGCTCTCTGCAGGCTGCTGTTAATGTCATCCTTTGCAGTCACCTAGTGGAGAACAGCAGTGGTTACACACCACACATACATACATGTATGTGTCTATTTGCCTATGCCCACCTGTCTGTTTGTCTGTCTGTTAATCTGTATTTTACAGCTCATACAGAGATGACTTCTCACAGGCTACCTCAGGCACCACAGACAGCAACGTGGCACCTGCACAGTCAGCATCAAAACCTCTCCCATCACAGCACACAGGCATTGATGAGCTTCATTAACCAATCAATCCATGACCGCACATTTATGTATCAGAAATCACCGACCTAGGTCCAAATGAAGATGGGTGGTTATAATCAGAGGACTATTTACTCCTCCTTCTGTGTTTTTCAGATGAAATGTGAAAATGTTCACAGCAGAACAAATAAATAAAAAACAGCTGTGATATTTACTGATTTAGACGCCGATTTAGACGCTGCAGAGAATGTATGTGGGGGAATCCTTTCAACATGAAGACCACCCATCTTATTAGACAGCTGCCCCTTTGTTGATGTTAAAACTGAAACACCAGAAATAATTTGAAGTATTCATCAGTTTTTCATCAGTAAACAGTTCTCTGTCTCATTTTAAAAAAGATCAAATCTCCACCACATAAAGCTGCCGCATAAATAATATTCACTTGACTGAGTGAAGTTACAAGCAAGACACAACACAACTGTGTCTGAATTAACCCTGAACTGTGACCCACCGGCCTCTGACTTGCAGCCATGGTGGACCAAATTCATTTTCACCCACTACTACTAGTACTACCACTACTATTACTACTACAACTCTTAAATAGATATGATTATAAAGTGTCCTTAAATATGAGAAAGAACACAACATTTTATAAGCTTTACAGCTCAAATTCCTCTCAGGGTCAGGGCTACTTTTTCCACTAACTACACTGCATGTAACCCTGAGGATAGTGTGTATGTGTATATATAGATATATGTGTGTGTGTGTGTGTGTGTGTGTGTGTGTGTGTTTGTTTGTGTGTGTGTCCTGTCTGCAGCTGAGTTGTGTTTGAACACACTGACCTGCAGGTCTCTGTTTGACCAACAACACACCAACTCTCTCTCTTTCTCTCATTCTCTCTCTCTCACACACACACACACACACACACACACACACACACACACACACACACACACACACACACACACACACACACACACACACACACACACACAGGGTTTACACAGATAACAGAGCAGTGTGTACAGTTAAAAAGCAGACACAGACTCAGGTTTCTGTCTGAATCAGGGATGTTAGCGTTCAGTCGAGTCGGTGATTAAATGTCATGTTTCTCTATACTTATCACATGAATCACCTGGGGCACATGGATCACCTGAATTAACTGGAGCACCTGAATCAGCTGTTTGCCAAATGAAATATTCATATTCTATTGTTATTCTGTTCTCACCCTGAGTCAAACCTCCCTCCCCTAGTTAATGTCTCCTTCTATGATGCTCTACTACCTGGAGGTAAACGATCACAGCTGTCAGGCATCATATCAAAGTGTAGTGTGGTTAGTCAGCGTGTTGATCATGAACATGGAGGCAGAGATGTGTGTAGGGGCAGAGCAGAGACACACACAACAGCTAGGACAGACAAATACGACTTCATTGGCAAACAAAACATTTGAGCCAGGGAATGGACAAGTGTGTCTGAACGCTGATACCAATTATGAGGGAGCAGGTTAGCCAATAGCCGGTACAGATTGTTGAACATGACTGATACTACTGTCAACAACATTTAATCAAAATACAATATTAAATCGATAGTCAGTGGCTGTTTTGATTAAATGTGCTGTTAAAAGGGGAAAGATGTTTTTTTGATAAGATGATCTCAGCCTTGTGAGGGCAGCTAGTGATATGATACCAATTATGTTAAAACGCCATTAACCAGCTCGATTCACCAGCCAACCGGTTAATCAGTCTATTCCTAGTTTCAACACCTGAACAATGAAATATCCTGCAGTCTGTTGGGTGAACAACGGCTCTGTTTATGAGCATTTGTTATTCAATAACAGCCTTCAGTGACTTCAATGTCTGTTGTATTCAATGTCTCTGCTCAGCTGTTTTTATGCATTTCATGGAAATCCACCTCAGTTGTTGGTTAACTTCTCCCACATCTGAAACACCTTGTATCTCATTCCGTCATCCTCCTGGAGTGTCTCGACATCTGATCACAGTACAGTAACTATTTACAATCAGAGCGTATCAATAACTACAGTGAAGGATTAGAGCTCTTTTACTGCTCAGATTTCTCACCGGCTGCAGACCTAACAAATCATTCGGTCCTCAAGAGCTTTTATAAAACGCCCGTTACAACATCAAGACATGGATTTGAATTTTATTATGATTCAGAACGATGACTCACTTTTTAGCCCGGCCATTATTAGCTTGTTAGCACTTGTGCACACTGATGATTGCTACAGCTTCTGTCATGCTCATTCTGTCCTTTGGCTTATCGAACACACACAGTAATACACACTTGCCTCCTCCTGCTCCTCTCCTTGCTCTCCTCTCTCCACCTGACCTGTGGCTGCCTGATTTCATATTTTTATGATCATGAGGAACTATAATCATAATTAAAATCTGGTTAATCGCCCAGCTTTAGTTTATGATTTCTTCCATAGTAATGACAATCAACAGGACCCACTTTTCCCAGCAGCACTGTCGATTTATGTTGCAAACACCAGCATGCATCGCTGTGAGGGGATAGATATCAACACACACACAGTCACAGCTTTTTGTCCTGATTACAGACATGCAGTAGAGTAGCTAGGTTATCAGTTGTCAAACTAACCAGCTGAAGAAGACCAGGTTACCACAAAGTCATTCTGTCTGGGTGTAGTTGGAGCCTCCACACTCTAAGCAGATGATGATGATATACACCTGTAGCTATTATTTCAAAACAATCAGACTGTTATTACACCAAACATGTCATTCATACTCTGAGCCTACAAAGTGCACAGCTGATCACTGTAGCCTCAATCAGGTGTGGTCTCTATCAGGTGTAGTCACATGACCTCAGGTGGCTCAGAGCCATTGTAGCCATCTAGGTGACCCCCTCCAACACATACACACACTCTCTGGCCTAATCCACTCCCTACCACTCACCCTTCACTACCAAGCGTCACTCATAATGAAGTTACACTCGCAGCTGTGGAGTGCGCCTCAATTGAGATGGGAGGGTATAAACAAGACGGGTGGGTATGGGACGCCCTCCTCACTCCACCTGTAAATGGACATATTAATCGCCATAGCAACATAAAGATGCCTCTTGTGCATGGCAGTGTTTCTTTTCTAAGTAAAATCATAAATCCAGCAACTATCATAGTGACAGTGGCTAAATTAAACTTCTGATTGTAAGTGCAGATCAAACCAGATGTCAGCACAGAGTAAGATTTCAGAGTTTCATTTGATCTTTCCAAACCACGTCTTTTGTGATTTTTTTTTTTTTGGTCAGTGAGACAAAGGTGGACACATGCTGTACTTGTATTTGTACGTTGTTTCCTCCTACTCCATTTTTGTCGGCACACTACCTGCAAATCCCGCCGTAAGTGTGCAGTGGTGCAGACTGGTAGTTTGAGGGCTGAACGGTCCACTCGCCCTAACCCACTCTGTGGTTTGGGACGGCTTCAATATGGCAGAACCTCTACGGGGATGCGAGAATGGAGTGGGAGTGTGTAGGGTGAGTGTGTAGGGGGGCTGTTTGGGATTGGGCCCCTCTCTCTCTCTCTTCTCTCTACCCCATGGCTACGCCCCTCTCAAAGTTGAAGTTTGTTATTGAAGAAAATGCACCTCTGGATCAGACAGGTGATGATAACACAGATCTGTGACATCACACTGATAAATACACACAGGTCAGACCGCCTGTCTCTCTCACACACACACACTTCAGGTGTAAGACCTGCAGTAACCAGAACCACTTGATCTTTATCATCATCATCGTCAGCTCAGTCGTCCTCCTCATCCTCCCTGCTGCCTGTCTGAGCATGTTTGTGTCTGAGCGTGTTTGCGTCCTCGTTGTGTGTGTGTCTGTGTCTCAGTGTAGGTTTGTGTACGTGCGTGTACTATACCTTTTCCAGCGCGGGCACGAGCAGGCCTTTCCACTTATGCGCGTTCTCGTCGCAGTAGAAGTCGTACTGCAGCGGTGCCGCCTGCATGTCTGCTGCGGCGCGGCAAGGCACGGCGCGGCGAAGCGGAGCAGCAGAGCGGCGCGGACCGTGAGCGGCTCAGGGGTTTACATGAAGACTGACGGCCCGGTCCCGAGTCCAGCGGGTCCAGCAGGGGAGGCAGACTTGTAGGATCGTCCGGCGGGGGCGGGTGGCTCCTCCAGAACAGCCGCTGTCTCTGCGATCATCCTCGGCCGCTCGGCGTTGTTGCCTGCGGCCAAGAGTTCCGCGGCTAGCTAACGTTAGCTCCCAGCTAACTCTAGCTCTCAGCTAACAGCTCACCGTTAACTGTTGTTCTGCCTACCGGAGTGTTAGCATGCTGACCGTTATCCGGTCCATGCTAACGGTACCGGGACACTGACTCAGCGGGGCTCCTGGGTTAACCCGTTAGCTATCCTGGCCGGTATTAGCCGCCGTTATTGATCTGTGGACAACTTGATGCAGTGTAATCAGCGTACCGTTTAGCAGCTGCTAGTAAGTGCTAGTTAAGATTAATGTTAGCGGACCCTCGGTGGTGGTTACCCGGCTCTCGGTGTGAATCAGCGGGCAGCTCCGTGCTCTCTGCCCCGCTAACAGTTAGCATCCTACCCGGAACGACACTCTTTCCGGCCCCACTGCTCCAGCTCTGTCACCCGGCCTCTCGTTCTCAGCTGCCCTGCCCTGGCCTCCTGACAGGCGGACAGTCACGGAGCTGTCGGCCGCTCACGGTGGACGGCTGTCGGTTGTTGTGACTCCGGTGTGCGGTATCGTAGGCTGTGTACAGACTGGGCATGCGCAATGGGCAGGTTCTGACGTACATGGGCGGGGCCCCCGAGTGGGAGTGCGTGCTCAACACAGACGGTTGCAGAATGACCTCTGCTGACCCCCAGCGGCCACCAGCGACACTGCAGCTGTTGAATACAAACAATTATCGCACCTGTAACACAAGAAAGCTAAGAAACTTTTATCCATCCCACATGATGTCTGTGTCCTCACATTAAATGGATAAATCTGAAGTCAGGCGGAGTTCTTCATTCAACATGTGACACAGACTGTGAGTAAAGCAGCAGCTGTCTGAGATACAGTTTGTCGACAGGTGAGAACACCTGTTCAGTCGAACCATGACACTGGAAACCTGACTGAGAAAACTTGTTAGAAACATACAGCAGCATACTCCTCATACAGCCAGGGTCAAATGGTAATAGATGTCACCACTTTAAATAGTAAACGACACAAATATTGCATCTGTTTGGATAAAACGATTATTACAAAGGTAAAGCCTTTAACTCACCTAGTGGACAAACGTAGGTGGAGTTGTCACTCAAACATTTTCGGATCAATTCCGATGTTTCTGTGATGAATATCATTCTCTTTTTTTCTTTCCTTCCACCTTCCTCTGCGGGTTTTCCTGAAAAATCTAATAATGACTTAAAACAGATTTGAGAGGTGGTTTTATGCTTTTTACTTTTTTAAAAACAGATGAGTTTATATGTCAGCTGTTGATCCTAAACCTGATCAGTGTCAGAAAGTGAGGTAAAGGCTTGTTACAGTGACCCCAGAATCAGACTGCAGGCTGCCCTAAACAGCTTCATCAGAAATTAACAGCAAAAGTAACAGAGCTCCACACCAGAATTACTCACATCAGGACAACTCTGATCAGTGGATCGCCCCATGTGGTGGTATTTCTCTGTCTCTTTCTCTATAGATTCCAGAATGCTAAACTCTGGAATGCTTGGTTCTTAAGTGTTGGGTTCCAGAATGTTTGATTCTAAAAAGCGGGGTTCAGAAGTGTTGGGCTCTACAGTTTTGGGTTCAACAGTGCTAGGTCTTAGAATACTGCCTTCTAGAATGCTGGATCCTGGAATGATTGGTTCTGATTTGCTCAGCTGATGGTGAAAAAATAGTGTTAATGATTGTTTAATCTAAATAATGGTTATAAAAAAGGTAAATACTTGAGATTTACTATAAACTGAATCCTTAGCAGTTAAAATCGGTTCTTCTTTTAGTGATAGTGTGAACTGACTTCCCTTGCACCTGTGGTCCTCACTGTTAGAGTTATGATTATACAGATTGCTGCATATATAAGTAAATGCATTTACCCAAAGAAAAGGAACAATACCAAATAAATACCAGAAAAAGGAGAGTTATGAACTGAATTCAAAAACTCATGTCTTCACACAGAAGTGGTACAGAACAATAATTCCACAGTACAACCCATTAAATATTTCACTTTATTAGATATTTAATCATCATAAATATGAAACAGATATGAATAACCCTGTAAAACACTTTTGAGAGGGGAGAGAGTCAGGCTGATGATGTTCATATAGTTTACATATAGCTGACATCAGCAGACTGAATGGGTACTGTGAATGTCCAGCAGGGGGCAGCATGGGACTCTTGGGTGGACAGGAGCAGCATGATTGGGTTCAGACTGGGCGCGGAGGTAAAGGAGGGGGTATTAGTGGCGAAATAGCTTTTTGGTGATTTCTTGTTTAAAGCAGGGCACACAGGTTTTAAGGTGGTTGGTGCACAGTATCGAAGAGTTGAACAGGGTAACAGGATGGGTTTGATGAAGGTAGGGGGGGAAGGAGGGGTTATGGTTACTTATAAGGTAATCAGGGGATTTGATAGTTACCTGTGGAAACTGCTTTATAAATAAGGTTCATTTAAAATACCTAAAAGTGAACAGGCAGAACAAGGGTTAGATGGTAGGGTATGGGGGGGATTTAGGATATGGGGGGATTATGAGGGTTACCTGAAAGGGTGTTGGGGGATATTGGGGTGTTATGATGTAACCAAAAAGGTAATCAGGGGGTATGGGGGTTAGATGGTAGGGTATGATGGGGAGAGGGGTGAGGGATACCTCAAAGGGTATCGGGGGTTATGACAGATGTGGCGTCCAGCCTGCTGTACTTTCTTCCTCTGCTCCAAAACCAAAAAGAGTCTTTTTTTTCAGAACTCTGACGACTACATTTGATACATAACAAAGCACCAAGCAGCAGCAGCTTTTAGTCGGTAACATACACTTCAGTTTACATACACCTGTCCAAACCTGTGAAGACGACGAGGCAGAGAACATGCTACTCTGATGTTAGTCGGATCAGGTCTAGTGATTGGTGAGAATAAAGGGACTCCAGATGTTCCTCATGTTCTCAGTCTGTGGCTCAGCTCGCAGGCCGATGGCTGAATTCAGATTTAACTCCTACATAACACTGATTTAATTCAATCCAACCTTTTTACAGGTAAAAAACACTCTATATACACACCTGTGTGAGCGCTGAGTGTGTGTCTGATCCAAACCTGCAGCACAAACTGAACCAGCTCAGAGTGCTAAGGTCACTGAGGTCAGTGAGTCTGTGGCTTTAGTTTGAGAGTGAGATAAAAGCGAGTGTTATCTGTATAGTGTAAGTCCAGCACCTCAAAGAACTCTGAAACAACTGAACCATCTCCCTAACCGAGAAGAAGCAGGGCCAAGAGGGCTGGGACTGGATCAGACCCATTCTGACAGAGTCTTACTTATCAGGAATATGAATCTGACTTTGGTTGCAGCTTCTATTTGGTTCTGAATTGTTCTGATTGGTTCTGGCTGGACTCTAAACCTCTTTGGCCCTCACCTTTATTTAGGGGGGAGACAGGATCCCAGGGTTCTCTGATTGGATCAGCTTAAATCGGACAGGATATCACATTTTTCACTGGCTCTAATGAAAACTGTATTGGGTGGTTCTTATTGGATTTGCATGGTCTTAAATGATTGAGTTAGTACTGTCAAGGACTCTGAGTCAAATGATCCCTCTGAAAGGAGATGAGCTGTCCAGATTTTTTCAAACACAGTGAAACATCAACATCAATCAGAGGAGGCTGATCACGAAACAAGATACAACAGGCTCTGAATGGTTCCATTTGTGTTCCTGATTGGTTCTAATAAGTTTGACCACTTCTAATTGGTTTAGTCTGGATTTGATTGGTTTTGATTGGATCTGATTTTTCTAAATAGTTTTGTCTGTGTTGCTATTTGTTTCTGATTTGTCTGGCAGGTTATATCTTGTTCCCATTGGATCTTGATAGTTATGATTGGTTTTAATTGGTTCTGACTAGATTTGAATGTCTCTAAGTAGTTCTTGCTGGTCGGATTGGTTCCGCTCAGCTTCAGGTTTGGATCAGCGGGTTCTGGGAGTTTGTGTGGTTCAAATCAGGTCTGATGTCAGTCTAAGATTCCCTCCTCACTGGTTCAATTTTTATTTTGATGATTCCGTCCAGACATCCTCCTCCTCGCCCCTCAGAGGTCCTAGGACCAGGAGGTGGAGCTAAAACCCCACAATGTCAGAATAATCTGATTTTGGGGGAATGAAATTTAAAGATAAGAACAAGAGAACCTGACTGTTCTCAGCCTGACTCAGACCTATGTTCCTCTGTGTGTGTGTGTGTGTGTGCGTGTGTGTGTGTGTGTGTGTGTGTGTGTGTGTGTGTGTGTGTGTGTGTGTGTGTGTGTGTGTGTGTCACTGTGTGTGAGTGTCTGTGTGCTGTAACACTGATTCTAACATCATAAACAGCCAGCAGGGGGCACTGCTGCAACGTCTGTTTTACAAACACTGTGCTTCAGATTAAAGGTGCGGTTCTTTGAACAGGTTTTACAAACGGCTCTCCCCGGAGGCTGAAGCCCGCCCCAGTCCTTCCAGAGCCAGGTCCAGGCGAACCAGGTGCAGCTCAGGTAACATACACATCTAAGGTTCTTCTGGCTCCTCCCCCTCCATATGATTAACAGCCAATGCTTATACAGATGACTCACGGGCCGTTTTGGACCTCAGCGCTCCGGCCCGGCTCAGGAAGGGAAAAGTGGTCCCAAGGCAGCCGGCGGCCACTGTCAGACCCAAACTAGCCCAGGCGCAGCAGATAGACCAGCCATACCCATGATCCACGTCCACCGGCAGACCGTAGATAAAGGGCGGGTTTCTGGAAAGGTCATAGGTCACGCTGGCTGCATATGTACATAAAGAGATGGTGCAGAAGATGCCTGCAGAGACCAAAACCAGAGATCAGGGACTAGATCAGGAACCAGAATGCAAATCAAAGACTAAAATCTGGATCAGAGACAATGTTCCAGAATGAGTGCATCAACATTAGGTCCCAGATAAGAGCAATTAATGACAGTACAGAAGAAGAGGAGACAAGGAGAAATGGGACACACCCACAAGCTTAGGTGAGTTACCTGCCATGAGGAAGAGCAGGCCTGAGACGTGCTGCGTCAGACTCTCCTCCCAGAAGAAACCCACCGACACAACGATGCTGCCACACAGTAGCACTGCCGCTGCCATGCCCAGGAAGCCCGCCGTGATGCGCCGCAGGTCTATATTAATACACATACAAACACATACATTCATTACACACACATAGAGCTGTCAGTAAGGGGGAGGTAAATACAGAGAGGGTTGTCGTGGTGACAACCTCCTGGTCAGCCCCCACTGTCCTTCAGTACTGTTACATAACACCGTCACTGTGTTTCTATGGCAACCAGTGATAGGGAAAAAAAGGAGACTACAGAGTCCTAAAACTACATCTACCATCAATAATTAATCATCCATATTACACTATGAGTGATCTATCATCTTAATTCTATAACACATGTTTTATCATTTATAACGTATAACCTTTGATCTTTGAGCTAGCATTAAATCCATAATCAATCAGCTTAAATCTATAACATATTATCCATACTCTTCCATCTAAAATCTATAATACATAATCTATTATCTCCTTTCTATAATCTAGAAAATATAATCTATAATTTACCATCTGTGATCTATAACATAGTCAATAATCTTTCATTTGCAATCTATAACATATCATGTGTGATCTGTCACAAATAATCTATGATCCATCATCTCAGTTATCAATCTGTTCTACCAAATATCAGACACTGTTTTGTGTGTGTGTGTGTGTGTGTGTGTGTGTGTGTGTGTGTGTGTGTGTGTGTGTGTGTGTGTGTGTGTGTGTGTGTGTGTGTGTGTGTGTGTGTGTGCGTGTGTGTGTGTGTGTGTGCTCACGCAGCAGGTGCCACTCGTCCTGTTGGATGGTTCTGGTCAGGTTCAGAGGGATGTTCCTTAATCTGATTGGCTGAGAGAAATGATACTTGACCGCTGTACAACGTTCTGCTATACCTGAGGAGACAGACAGGTAAGACAGGTGAGAGACAGGCTGGTGAGATAAAAGCAGCTAAGTGACTCATGGGAACAAACCAGATCCTGATCCTGCAAAGGCATGGCTAAACCAGGCTTTACGAGTAAAATCAGACTAAACCAGACTAAACCAAGCTTAACAGGTTTTAACCAGGCAAAACCAGGATTAACCCTGATTAACCTGTGAGTAACCAGACTAAACCAGGCTTAACTAGGCCTAACCTGATCAAACCAGGCAAAAAAACTTCATAAAACCAGACTAAACCGGGCTTAACAGGACTAAACCAGGCTTAACTTGGCCTAATCTGATCAAACCAGGTAAAAAACCTACATAAAACCAGACTAAACCAGGCTTAACTGGGCTAATCTGTGCTTGACCAGAACAAACCAGGCAAAATCCTGTAAAAACCAGACTAAACCTTGCTCAATAGGGCTAAACCAGGCTTTACTGGGCTAACCAGGCTTTAATAGACTAGATCAAGCAAAGACCAGAATATAACCAGATTTACCCAGAGTAAACCTGCACCAAATCAGGTTAATTCAGACTTTAACCACACTCAATCCAGGACAGAAACAATCTTAACAGAGAAATCTTGTTTATTACACACTGGTATAGAACATGGCTCTCAAAAGGTAAAACCATCCTGCTCCATATTCCCAGTGGTGATGTGTCATGCGCAAAAGATGTGGCTCTGAAAGCCAATGCTTATTAGTGAATCAGAGGAGACAGCTCGTATTGAGTGAGGCTGCTCCCAGTGCTCAGCCCTAGCTCTGCTCACAGCAGAACTTTATTTTGATTGGCCAACATGGCGGCCATGCAGCCAATCACATGTCAGGATACAGGATCACAACTTGCCATCTTGAGGATATTAATACTGTATGATTGAGTTTGGTTCTGGTTCCGTGGATTTGTTTGCAGTTTTTTGTTGGTATGTGCAATGAAGTTTGATAACTTATTAAACAATTGGAGAATGATTTTGTAACAGAATAAATGCAGAAAATTAGGCAATTATATGGCTTCTCATAAAAACACCAACACATAAGGGTTTTCAACACAAAAAACATCATTTCTGGCTACAAAAGATCCTTAATTAAGAGCCATACAGAAGTCAAACGAGCCGACTCTTCTTTGGGAGCAGAGTCAAGAGAACCGGCTCTCTGAAAAGAGACAAATTTCCCATCACTAGTTCCCATTGTTATAAGTGTAATTTTACAGTTTGTTGATTAAGGAAAGTGTGTAAATAATTGGTGTCAGGTTAAATGCAACGGTGCAGTTTGTGTAAATGTATAATTTAAATGTGTCTGCAGTCAGTATGCACAATGTACATGTTCATTGTATATGTACAGTGTTGTAATATACATTGGTTCAGTGCCATGACTTTAGGTAAAGTGTTTATCTTATGAAAAAGGATAGTCTATATGTGCACAGATCAGTGTACAGTGTAAATATGCAATAGCTGAGGTTGCTGTACAAATGTGCCATGGCTAAAATACAGTGTATGTGTGCAATGACTAAATGCATAGTTTATTTTTAACAGCTGAATGAACAGTGTGTATCTGCAGTAGGATAGTGTACAGTGTATATGTGTGAAGGCTGAGAGTTTGTATACATGGAGAGATAATGTGCAGATTACACACATGGAACTTAAATTGCAGTGTGTGTTCTTGGAGTGTGTATGTGCAATTTGAATGTATGTTTATTTTATGTAAGTGCACTGTGCCTGTGAATCTGCAAGTTATATTTTTGTTTAGTGTGTCTGTGCAGTGTGTAGAGATAGGCCCTACATTTTGTTGTGTTGATAGTAGCATGTCTATTCTTTATAGTCAGTGTGTTTTGTGACTGTATGTCTGTGTGTGTGTTGCTTCCTGCACATGCCATAGAGTTCATTAATATATACTCTTTGATACACAGCAATTTTAGGTGCTGTAAATTACTGCAGTATGGTGTGTATTGTTGGTGTGTACTGCCTCTGTGTTTATAAATGCTCCTGATGTTTGTCCAGTATCTACAGGTCAAGGGCTCTGCAGGACCTACAGAGAGCGTGTGTGTAAAAATCAGTGTGTGTTTGAACGAGTGTCACACTGCAGTACAATAGCTTGTGGCTGTTGGGGTTTACAGATGTTGATAAAAGCTCGTAGTTCAATGTAAACACAAACATTATCTGTGTGTGTGTGTGTGTGTGTGTGTGTGTGTGTGTGTGTGTGTGTGTGTGTGTGTGTGTGTGTGTGTGTGTGTGTGTGTGTGTGTATACGTGTCTTTGAGTGTCTCCCTATGTGGGTGTGCGTGTGTCCGTACCGCGGTCGATGAGCTTGTCGATGTCCGGGTCCAGCCCCTTGAAGTAGCACTTCCTCCACAGGCCGGAGTGGGTGGAGAACAGCGGCCTGCCGCATTCGGTCTCCAGGATGCCCATCCCCAGGATGGCCCTCCAGTTCTCCAGCAGCTCCTCCTCCCTGCTGCCCACATGAACCGGCTTCATCAGCGCTACGTCCCGCTGCCTCGCACCGCCACTGCCGGTGTCCACCAGCGGCAGGTGGTAGATGGGCATCTCCCGATTCTTCTGGTCGTTGGAGTCCGGTCCGGTCTGGTCGCAGTTGTCCTTGTGTCTGCGGGTATCGGTCTCGTACCAGTGGTCGGTGGAGATGGCTGTGACCAGAAGCAGCAGCGACAGCACGCTGAGCGCGAGACTCACCGCGGACACCGTCACCGTCACCGGCCGGGCCCGCTCCATGGACGGGACGTGGACCGAGCCGCTCCCGGCAGAGCAAGTCCCGGCCCCGGAGCGGGTCCCAGTCCCGGTCCCGGTGTTGGTTGAGTTTCCGCCGCTGGTTCCGTTACTGCTCATCTTCTGCTGCCATCCTCGCGCCCGTCAGCCGTTCCCCGGTTGCTCCCGAGAGCGCGTTGTCATGCCGACTGACGGTCCGTCAGAGCTGCATAAAGGTGACGGCAGGTAGCGCACCACGCACCGGAAATTTCCGGAAAAACTTTCACAATAAAACGGTTTACCCTTCAGGGCGAGATAGTTGAAATGCAACCCAGCAGAAACGACCCTGACTTCACGGTGGTGACGTCGCCATGTGGTCGTCGGGTACCACGTGACCCAGGTCCTTCACAGCAGTTTGCTTGAATTAAAGATGAACTGGTGACAGAGTGGAAAACTACATTTCCTTAAACAACACTCTTTCAACACCTTTGATCATGTTTCTAAAAAATATTTTAAAAAAGTAACGTAAAACGACTCATCTTCAAAATGAATGTTTTAAAATAACATTTTAAAATTTTGCAAAACAATAATTACAATAAAATCTTAAAAAATTATGCTTTACAATAATATTCAATGTTTTTCAGAAACAAGGTTTCACACCTATATTTTCTCATTTCCCTGAAAAAAAAGGAGCCAACACATCTCTCAAGTCATGTTTGAACATATACAAGGGTTTGACATATTTACATCATTAATGTAATCCAGCCATAATAATAATAATAATAATAATAATAATAATAATAATTATTATTATTATTATTATTATTATTATTATTATTATTATTATTATTATTATTATTATTAGTTTTGTTTGGTCAGATAAGTAAAGCTTAGTAAGCTTGGATTTGATATTGTTACCATAATAATAATAATAATAAAGGCTATCATTTTTATTACTGTTGTTGTTGTTATCGTTATAATTATTATCAACCAAAGAGACCCACATCACCTCATCTGACTTAAACACAGGCACACCTGCCAAGGTGAACCTGTGAATATCTTGTCTTATAGTGTTAGATGTTTTTATTACTCACCTGTACGGCTGCTGTCACAGTTGCCACAACTTTTGGCACTATATTGTTGTTAACATCATACACATGCAGCAAACCGCTGTAGTGTAAACATGACTCCCCACCAGAAACTCTTGCACTGTTCAGCTCTCCGTCTTAATTTGAAATCTGAAACCGGAAGTGCTGCTTTGAATTCATGGCAAGTGATTGGCACGAGAGAGAAAGAGCTGGGTGTGACTCTCTCACAACACACAGAGCACCTACAACAAAAACACTACACACAGTGTGCTGTATCATGGATAACACACACGGCAAGTTTGTTTAGATGCTGTTCAGATCTAGAGCAGTGACGTCACTCATCTGTTGAAGGTGTTTCAGGCTGACTGATGGTGCGTTTAAAGACCCTGCCTGAACCCCCATCTCTGACTGCATTAATGCCCTTGATTCCTTTCCTTCACTTCTCCTCATGACTCCTAACTACTTTAATGTAAACAGTGGCGGCAATAAGGTGTTAAGGAAGGGAAATAAGGAAGTAGGACACATCAGAAGGGACAAGAAGAGTTGGGGGGATAAAAAGGAAAAAGAAAGGAGGAGACGAGGAGACACGGAGTAAAGGTAGATGAGGAGACGAGAAGTGAGTGTTGTTTGTTTATGTGATGCCTTCACAGTCTCGGTTGACAGTTGGACATCACAGAATCAGCTGCTCTGTGATGCCTTCAGGGTCTGCAGGTAGAATCAGCTATCATTATAAGCATGTTCTCCAGATGCCAGATGATGTCATCATGCAGTTCTCTATGTTAATTTTTGTTATTATTTGATGTTCTTCGAATTGTGATTTCTCCAACTGCCTCTGAAAGCCTCTTCATCAGCCGGGCTGTGTGAAGTAAAGAGCGCATCTTCTGGGGGGCCTCAGGATATAGTCAGCTTTTACCTGTGTGTGTGTGTGTGTGTGTGTGTGTGTGTGTGTGTGTGTGTGTGTGTGTGTGTGTGTGTGTGTGTGTGTGTCCTGGTTCAGTTGGACCTGAGGTGTGTCTCTGTCTCCTGCTAAGTGCAGAGCCTATCATCTATGGAGCCAGGCCCCGTCTGTCTCCATCCCTGTCCCTCTGAGTCAGGCTCTCTTCTCTGTGGCGACCTGGTGACTGTGGCCTCATGGGTAATCTCAGGTGTCAGTGTCTCAGTGTCAAAACTCAACGTGATGGCAGAAAAATTGAAAGTTTGTCTGTTAAGTTGATCAATAATTCAGGATGTCCTGCTTCCTGTAACATGACACCCCCAGCTGTCACCATAGAGACAGCCACCTTGACTTTGACATCAGTGATTGGCTGACGTTAGCTCAATTCTGCTGACGGTTCAGAATAATTTAAATCATCAACCCACAAATCATCATCATCATCACATTGTCATCATCATTGTTATCGTCATTGTGACATTGTCTTCATCATCATTATCACTTTATTACCCTGATCATTATCATTACATCATCAGCCTGATCATCACATCATCATCATTATAGCGTCATCATCATCATCATCATCATCATCATCTTCATCATAACATCATCATCACCATTATAACATCATCAGCCTAAATATCATCATCATCATCATCATCCTCATCATTATCAATCTGATCATCATATCATCATCATCATAACATCATCATCACCATTATAACACCATCAGCCTGATTATTATCATCATCATCAGCAGCAGCAGCAGCAGCAGCAGCAGCAGCCTGATCATCATCATCATCATTACATCATCATCTTCATCATCATTACCATCATCATCATTGTCAGCATCATCATCATCATCATCATCATCATCATCATCATCATCATCATCATCATCATCATCGTCCATGTCAACATTATTACAGCATCTGCATTACTATCATCACCACTATCATCATTACCATTATCGTCATCAGCCTGATCATCATTGTTATCATCATTGTCATAATCATCGTCATCATTATCATCATTATCACCATCAGTAGTATCCCAGGGTTCTTTCACCTCGCCCCCTCTACAGGTAAACATAATGATAAAATGTTCATGAGGATGCTCACTGCCTCCTCATCATCAAACTCTGTCCCACTCTCTACCTGAAACACATACTAATGTACATATGTACACACATGCACACACAAACACACACAAACACACAGAGAAACACTGGCGAACACACACTCATGCACACACACATTAATCAATCCTCCTCCCTTCACTGATCAATATATAACAGGTCCATTTCCCACGATCCTCTGATCTGCCCTGATCTGCCTGCCTGTTTGTGTGTGTGTGTGTGTGTGTGTGTGTGTGTGTGTGTGTGTGTGTGTGTGTGTGTGTGTGTGTGTGTGTGTGATTAGCATTGTTACCATCAGGCTGCCCCTCATCAGAAGTTATTGATCAGTGTCCTGAACCTCCATCAGCTTCTATTGACCAACAACATGTACGTGTGTGTGTGCGTGCGTGTGTGTGCGTGTCTCTGTTTATGTGTAGGGGGGTGATTATCATTGGCTGTGTTTTAATTTACACTCAGCAAGAGAGGAGCAGTGTGATTAGTCCAAGGTGAGAACATCTAGGGTGTTTTTATGTGTGTGTGTGTGTGTGTGTGTGTGTGTGTGTGTGTGTGTGTGTGTGTGTGTGTGTGTGTGTGTGTGTGTGTGTGTGTGTGTGTGTGTGTGCCTAGGTGTGGAGCTGAGGATTAGTTAGTAACTGTGTTTTCACCAATGATGACCAGCTGATGTTTCGGACTAACAGCACATAAACTAATTAAAAACTTCTATCTGTCTGTCCTGTGGTTAATCCTCTGAACAAAAACTGAGAAAACAGACTCAGACTGAGAAACAACTGTTTCTACCTGACATACACCTTACTTCAATTAAGTATAGCATTTGAATCTTGTCTTTTAACCTTCAAAGCTCTTCATGGTCAGGCACCATCATACCTTAAAGAGTTTGTCATTGCCTATTACCTGACTAGAACTCTGAGAGTATGCAGGTGTGCTTATTTTACTTAAAATCTCTGAAAAGTCTCAGTAGAGTCACTAAGACACAGTCTTTGCAGGGTGTCCCTGAGCTCCATCATCCTGGAGGTTTCTCTAGTCTCTGGATCGCTGCTACAGACGTCCTGCTGCTGTTGACCTACTGCTTTCTTGCTACTTCAACTAGAAGCATCAGTCTATCCTCAGTCTATACTTGAACCCCATTTTACAAGATTGGGCTCAATCTGAATCTTTCTTAATGATGGGTCCTTGTAAATAGAGTCTGGTCTAGACAAGCATTCTTGTGAAGCGTCTTGGGATAACACTGGCTGTGAACTGGGGCTAAAGATTTATTGACTTTTGTGAAAATATTATCTTTAACTTGAGCTGGTTTCACTCTGAACACCTGTTTTTTGAGTTCAGCAAGAAGACTCAGAGGTCAGGTAATCACAGGTGATTGATGATCTACCTGAGCAGCAGATTGTTATGCAGGAAGAGGCGCATCATCTTCATCCTCCTCATCCTCCTCATTAATCAGTGCAGACAGACTGCAGCAGTCAGCAGGAGGTCCTCTGTGAGTGAGTGTGTGTGTGTGTGTGTGTGTGTGTGTGTGTGTGTGTGTGTGTGTGTGTGTGTGTGTGTGTGTGTGTGTGTGTGTGTGTGTGTGTGTGTGTGTATGTGTGTGTCCACCTGTGAATGCTGATCAGGTGGTCATCATTGAGGTTAACTTCTTGTGTTTTTCTGTCTTTGGAGGGCCACACATACAGGACACTAAAGCCATTACTAAATCCTAACGGGGGCGCTGCAGACATACAATGACATCATCACTTTGGGGTTTCATCCTCTGGAGAGCAAGACAGTCCAAAAACACAACATGATTCAAAAGGAATCATTTTATTTTAAGGTAAACTGAAGGTAAATTTGACCACTAAGAAAATAGATAGATGATATTTGAAGGTGAAGCTGGTCACTTTCAGTATTGATTTGTGTTATTTCAAGGTGGTCTGAAGTGTACCTGGTCAGTTAAAGAATAGATTTGGCCTATTTTAGGGTGGACTGCAGGTGAAGCTGGTCAGTGACAGCATTGATTTGTGCTATTTTAGGATGGACTGGAGTTGAAGCAATCCAATGACAGGTGCTCTCTTTTTCAAAGTCCAGGTGCCCTTTCAGTGAAAAATTGGAAAACCATGACCCAGATGAATGAGAACCTACACAGACATCTTTTTTTTTTTAAGGTGGACTGGAGCTGAAGCTGCTCATTCACAGTAATAATTCTTTCTTTGAACAATGTTAGACTGCAGGTAAAGCTGGTCACTTACAGGTGCTCTTTGTTTTAAGGTGGACTTGAAGTTGGTCACTGACAGTATTGATCGGTGCTGACTCAGCGGCCACCTCGCCCTGCAGGATGATATAAATAGACGGAGTCGATCAGTGAATAATAAACGAGTGGCTGTGGTCAAAGTCAGATCTCTGCAGAGAATTACAGTCTGACTTTGTAAAAATTAAAACATCAGTAAGTTGTTTTTATATTCATTTTGGGTGAGCTTTTTAGTTGAGTGTGAATCCTTCCTGCCCTCTCTTCTTTCCTGTGCTTATTTAAATAAATGTTTGATTTATAATGTTTGATTACATTGAAATAAAGTCTTGCTATGAGGGACAAATACTGATTTATAAAATTATTTTCAGTTGTAGTTTCTCAGAGAAAATGAGTATTTTCTTGACTGACTGAAATATGTATGAACAGATTTGTTTCAGCAGCAGAGTAAGACCTCCCCTCCACCGTCAGCCTTTAAAAAGTCTTTGTTTTTAATGAGGCGTTATATAAAGAGCCCGCGTTGTTGTTATTCCGATCAGCTGGAGGTCGGAGCAGCTTTAATGAGGCCTGCAGCAAAGATCTGCACAGTCTTTGTTCTCCTCTCTGCACAGACTCAGAGAAACACCTGGACTCAGTCTGCATGCTGAGACTTTACCTGCTGAACAGGTGCTCAGTGTTTACATTCAGTCTGTCAGTGTGTGTGCATGATCATCAGAACAAACAGAGAGAATGTGAGCTGTGAGCATAATGTCCAGCTGAAAACACACCAAGAAACACACACACAAAAATGCACCACTCAGCAAATGAAAACATTCACAGCTAACATGCTTAAATACACAAAGAAAACCAGAGTAATTCAATCAACTTTCATTAATACAGCATCCTATGATAACAGATGTTACCTTTATGCCCTAAATCTACATTAATCTACCTGAAACAGACAGAAATCTTGACAAAACCAGAATCTCAGAAAAACCAAAACAGCATGGACTACACACCAGAAGTCTAAGCTTATAAAAGTCCGAACCTATTAAAGTCTGTGAGTATGAGAGTCTGAGTCTTTCACAGTCCAAGTCTATAACAGTCTGAGTCTATAAGACAAGATAAGATAAGCTATTCCTTTAAGAGTAGCCTGAGTCTAAAGCAATATCTAATAACAGTCTGGATTACAGCAGCCTGAGTCTAAAACAGTCTTAGTCTATAACAGTCTGAGTCTATAACACGTTAACTCTAAAGGAGTCTGAGTCCATAGTAGTCTGAGTCTATAACAGTCTGAGGTTACAACGGTCTCGGTCTATAACAGTCTGAGTTTACAACAGTCTAAGTCTGTAACAGTCTGAGGTTACAACGGTCTAAGTCTGTAACTGTCTGAGTCTATAACAGTCTGAGTTTACAACGGTCTCAGTCTATAACAGTCTGAGTTTACAACAGTCTGAGTTTACAACAGTCTGAGTCCATAACAGTCTGAGTCCATAACAGTCTGAGTTTACAACAGTCTTAGTCCATAACAGTCTGAGTTTACAACAGTCTTAGTCTATAACAGTCTGAGTCTATAACAGTCTGAGTTTACAACAGTCTGAGTTTACAACGGTCTCAGTCTATAACAGTCTGAGTTTATAACAGTCTGAGTCTATAAGTGTCTGAGTTTACAACAGTCTGAGTTTACAACAGTCTGAGTCCATAACAGTCTGAGTTTACAACAGTCTGAGTCTATAACAGTCTGAGTTTACTACAGTCTGAGTCCATAACAGTCTGAGTTTACAACAGTCTTAGTCTATAACAGTCTGAGTTTACAACAGTCTAAGTCTGTAACAGTCTGAGTTTACAACAGTCTGAGGTTACAACAGTCTAAGTCTGTAACTGTCTGAGTCTATAAGTGTCTGAGTTTACAACGGTCTCAGTCTATAACAGTCTGAGTTTACAACAGTCTGAGTTTACAACGGTCTCAGTCTATAACAGTCTGAGTTTACAACAGTCTGAGTCTATAACATTCTGAGACTGTAGCAGTCTGGGTTAACAACAGTCTTAGTCTGTAACTGTCTGAGTTTACAACAGTCTGAGTTTACAACGGTCTCAGTCTATAACAGTCTGATTTTATAACAGTCTGAGTCTATAAGTGTCTGAGCTTTTCACTATCCAAACCTATAGCAGTCTGAGTGTCTCAGGCTACAGAGGCTGGTCATGTGACTTTACAACAGTTACTGTCCTTGTCTGTGTCTGCTGCATCACTTTCTACTTGTCCTCAGGTGTAAACCCACGGTCAGATGACCTACGGTGGGTTGGGGGGTGGGGGTGCAGCTATAACCTTTGACTATGGTTATTGAAATCATGATATGCTCAGAGTCGGTGTGTTGTTTCAGGAGCTTAAAACAGTTTAACTCATTATCTGTCGGCAGGAGGTCAGACTGCAGTCATCCCAAAACACTCTGGAGGGGGTCAGCAATTTGTAGAAGAACAGCAGGGGGTGGGGCTTTACTTCTGACCGTCAAGTAGGCGGTGGGTCACTGTCTGTGTTATCTCTGAGTTAATGATGGTGAGCAGCTGAGCAGCCTCCGCTAGAGCGCTCGTTAACGCTCACCAACAACACCCCCAGTTCTCAGTACGCTGCCCTAACGAGCCCAGATCTTGATGTTGGGGGAGAGAAGAACAGCGTGGGTGTTGCCATGGTGACAGGCGCAGCTAAGGATGGACAGAAAGTGGCTACCTCACACTGAATGCTCTCATTATGATCAGAGTTCAGATGTTTGTTCAACAATGCAGCAGTTTAGCACAGTGAGTGTGTGTGTGTGTGTGTGTGTGTGTGTGTGTGTGTGTGTGTGTGTGTGTGTGTGTGTGTGTGTGTGTGTCTTGCAGGAATCCTCCTCCACAGATCTACAACCTTCCTCTGCAGCACACAAACATTTACACAGAGAAGTTTGATTAAAACTAGGTGTAAAGCCTCTCTTAAACCTGTGGTCTGTCTAACATCCAGCAGGGGGTGACACCTCTGGGTGTAAAATCAGTCAGTGAGAAATTGTCTTCCTTCTTAGCTGATTTATTCCCTTAGTAAACATTTTCCACATGATTTTTGGTCTCAGTCTCTAGTTTACAGTCTTCTCTGATACAGCATGATGTTCATTTAGGAGATTCAGTTTGTTTACAGTGTCAGAGATAACATAACAAGCGTACAGGCTAGAAGACTGTGTATTAGTGACTCTAATGGGACACAATGATTGATAGTTCATGACACAGACGGAAAGAGGATGGAGAAGAAGGGAAAGGTGCTCAATCTGCCAGTACCCACGACAGACTTGACCTAAAGCAGCACAACTAAGAGCTGGTCCACACCAGGAATGAGGGTTCTCCTCACTCCTCCAGCACCGTCATTTGTAGCTCCATCTGAACAGTTTGTTTGAACGATAGGAAAGTTTCACCTTTTACCCTTTTGTCCTTTCTCTCCCTTCTGAGGTTTTGTTTACTAAACACATTTTTACTATTCAACTCCTGGCTCAAAGTCTGGTATGAGAACACTGGGACATAAACAGAAGGCTTAGGCCAGATTCAGTTGAGCTGTGAACATGACAGAGAAAATTGATCCCCAGATGCATTATCCAGACATGTTAGTCGGACTTGGAGAAGTTTGCAGTTTTAGTCCGACTAACTTGTTCACGTTTTTTTTCCACGTTTTTGAAGTCCAGTTTCAGTCAGACGAAGACAAAGAGTTGATTTTTTTAACAACATGGAAACATGACGAATGTCCTTTTGGCTGGTTTTGTACTATTTCTAACTTTGACCAAATTCCTAGAATGAGCTCTATAAAGAGACACAGTTACACAGCGAACAAACGGCAAGCATATCCATCTCCACTGGGGGTCATTTTATCCTCATCTGCATGTATCTTTATTTTAATATCACAATAAATGTTGTATTATGGGCTTGTTGTCATGGTTTTAGTGTATTTTGGCACCTTTACATCCTTCATGTGTTGCTGTAGTATGGTTTCAGAGATGAGAGAGAGGTAGAATACAACCAACCAAGACATCTGGGCCTCTATCGAGCCGATCGAGTGGCAGCCGCCATGTCTGACCTCAATCCTATCGGGGGTGTGCATGTGTGTGTATGTAACCTCCATCTAGGTACGGCTCCTCTAACACAGATTAATGCTCCTGATGCTCTCAGAGTCAGCCTGCAGACAAATTGAGCTGAGTGTATCTGATGGTTATTTGCACTGGGACCAGTCACAGTTACTCAGGCTTATAGAAGATGAAACATTGCATACAGAGAGCTGGGGGAGAAGGGGGGAGAAGGCATTGAAGCATCAGATCATCTGACATTAAAGAAACCGATTCACACCATACAGACCAGAGCTGCACCAGGACTGAATGATAATCTGAGTGTGCTGTATGTAACGTACTGCAGCAGGAGCAAGGGCTTCTGGGTAACAGCTGACAGGGAACAGCTTGCACTAACGAGGTCTAAGATCATGGGTTTAAGGAGCTCGGGCTTCATACAAGTAAATCAATCAATCAATCTATCTATCTATCTATCTATCTATCTATCTATCTATCTATCTATCTATCTATCTATCTATCTATCCATCCATCCATCCATCCATCTATCCAAGCCTGGAAACTATGATGTAATATTAATGCGTCCAATCAAGCGGCTGCTGAATAATCTATTCTCCAACCAGGTGCTGCTAATGCTAATAAAGGGGATCTTCTGTAGAGTGTGAGCATGAGCTAAAGATAGCAGAGCAGGGACGTGAGCAGCAGACTGATGGAGATTTCAGACTCTCTGTGTTGGGACTCTGCATCCCTGAAGACCTATGGGCCAAGAAAACCTTCAGATGTTGAAACAGAGGAACGGGAGGAGCCAGACCACCTCCAATACAGAGGATTACCAGAACAGTACTGGATCACAAGTGAGGTTATCTCTGGACGTCTTCATTGAGCAGGTCTACACTGTGCCTCCTGTTCTCGGTAAAACTCCAGCACTGGTTGTTAGATCATAGCTGTCATCATAATTTCCTCCAAACTGTCATGTTGGGTTGAAAAAGTTTTATCTGTTCTCACCCACTCATACCAAGCTGGATTACAGTCAGCAGGCAGAATAGATTGACCCTGGTGTACCTCTCTTATACCATCCTCCTCAACCCACCACCTTGGTACCTGGTACAGCTCATTTCTTTCCTTCCTTTGGGATTTTCCCCTTGTGGGACTAATAAAGGAGAACCTTATCTCTTCTTGTTCCGATCCTGCCTCTCCAACAGGAAACAGTTTGTCACAAGTGGTAACTTCAGATCTGCAAGGTGTGCCTCAAGGCTCTGGGCTCAGTCCTTCTCTTTACTGTTCTCATGCTGCCATCTTGTCAAAACATCATGGACTCAACTCTCAGTGCCATGCTGATGATTGGCAGCTGTATCCCAAAATAAAACCAGTCACCACAGTGATTGGTCCGCTGCCTTTGTGAAACAGAACTTTAAGACTTGGAGAGACTAATGTAGATGGTCGCATAAATGAACCCTCCCGGTTGAACGGTGTTTGCTCCCCACTTTAAGTGAAACTACTTTCAAATTTTGTCTTAATCAATCAATCAATCAATCACAGAATCAAGCCTTTTGTCTTCTGCAGGAAGCCTTTAACACTGTGCAAGAAAATCTGAGGGACCTGAAGTTGGTTTTGAATTCTGAAATCACAAAGGTGATGATGTTCACGAATTCAAAACAGAGGTCACCTTTCTATAAATACCTTGGGTTTGTGATTGATGATTCTCTGTCTTTTAAGCTTCATATTGAGCAGCTTGTAAAGAAGCTTAGGCTGCAGCTGGGCTTTTACTTTAGAAATAAGTCTTGTTTTTCTTTTGCTGCAAAAAAGCGTCTTGTTGCTGCTACTTTTCATGCCTCTGATTGACTATGGTGATGTTTTATATATGCATGCATCTTCTCAAAGCCTTAAATCTTTGGATACTGTTTATCATAGAGCTCAAAGGTTCATAACAAACCTCAAGGCTTTAACATTGTACCCTGTATGCGCAAGTTGAGTGGCCTTCTGTAACTATGCGTAGACTGAACCATTGGCACATCCTGATTTATAAGGCTATACTTGGCCTAATTTCACCATACTTGAGTAACTGTACTCATGTAAAAAGTCCTGGAAGCTACAGCCTTTTGCTATTGCTTTATACTTTTGCTATCTGTCCCCACAGTTTGTCTTGAAATGGATAAAAGAAGTTTCAGATATGCTGCTCCTGCAAACTGGAATCTGCTACAAGAAAACTGTGTCTCGGAGAGCTGGCCTCTTTGAATTTTTTTAAATGTAGATTAAAGGCCCCAGAGGAAGATGAAGCAGGCTGTAAGTGCTTTGACTGAAAATGCTCTGCACCTTTGACTCAGCTAGTTGTTATGCCTGTATCTGTCTGTTATTGTTTTATGTCTGTAACTTTGTAAATGTACTGCTGCCTGTCTGGGCCAGGACACTCTTGCAAATTAGATTTTTAATCTCAGTGAGGTTTTTCTGGTTAAATAAGTTTCATTCAATTTAGTGCAATAGCAAAATGAATGTATAGGTGACCAACTGTTTGCTTCAACATGTTCTGTTGTACATTTGAGCATTTCTATTAAAATAAATTATAAAACAAAGAAGAAAAAGAAATAGAACTTTGGATGAAGACATGGCTGGCTTCTCCATGCCACTGTCCATACACAGTCAGCACCCCTGGACTCCACCATCTCTTTTCAGTTACACCTAAAATCTAAGATGTGTGTCAGACAACCTCAGGGTGAATCGTCCTGCTGAGGAGCTTCTGGACCACCTTAGAGACTTCTACCAAGTCTTAACACGAGGTTTCCCTAGATCTCCAAACTCTGCTTCCCTTTCAGACGACTCCTGAACAAACCAAGCCCCCAAAAGCCTCCATATTTAACCTGATGACTTTTCCCACCTCCAGTGTTCACCAGCAGCTCACCAGAATGACACCGTGACAGGCAGAGACAGCTTGGAGGCTCGGGACATGGACCACTCTTCTCCCATGTTGCCAACCTCTTCTGGAATGAACATAAACATAAAAAAAGACTTAATAATAAAACCCATTGACTACTGCAACTCCTTACTGGCAGGCCTCCCTTCATGCACAATCAGACATCTGCAGATCCTCTAACAGATCCACAAATCTATCTTTAAAAAAAAAAAAGGTTCAGACCAAGCTCTTTAGAGAACCTTTGCGTGATCTGTTGGAGGTGAATCTGTACGGCACTCAGGGGGGTCGCATCAGAGTCTTTTCATTTTCATTCATGTGCTACTTTGTTTATCAGACTGTCAGAAACAATTAATGTCTCTAACAGTCTGACTAAACATGTCCCTAAAGTTCCGCTCTGACTTCCTCATACTGTGCCTGTGTTCAAATGTCACTCTATTGGGCTCTTATTCTGAAAGGATGCCGGTCTAAATGACGTGAAGCAGAAACCACCTTTAGCTCCACTGTTCTTCTTCCTCTTTTTGAGTTGGAGGGTAAAATGTGACTGTGTTAAGAACAGTGGACTGTTCCTTTAAATCCTCCATCTGATGAAACTCCACTGAAACTCTGATGGAGGAAACGTGATTAAGATTCAGCTCATATCAGACTCAGAGGAGAAAAAGACTGAATCCTGACAGAGGATCATTAAATATTTACAAACACAAACTGTCAGTCGGAGATGATTGACAACTCAGTGATCTTTTAAATCCATCAGGGATCAATCAAACTGATCGCAAGGCCGGGAACCAACTCTTCGTGAGTGCATTAAACCACAGGATTCAGAAGATTTAAAGGAACAGCTCTATGTTGTGACTCTGCTGCTGGTAATCGTGACTATGATCACAACTGATAATGTCACTGTCACATGACACCCTCTGACATTACCCTTCAACCGCATTCTTTATACACCTGTAACAGCACCAGTATGAAGCTGCAGTTAAACAAAGTTTGACCTCGACCTGACCTCGACCCTCGCTAACAGCTGTCATCCTGTCAGCCAGCTGAAGGACAACACTTAAACTTCAATGAGTGTCTGCTGCTGTCACTTAATCTGTTTGTCTGCTGTGTAATGTGCAGCGTCCTCTGCAGAAAGACAAGGACACTCTGCAAGATAAACCGTCTCTAAACTGTCAGTCTACTGCAATACTTTTATACTGTCAGTACAGTCTGCTGCATAATCTCTACACTGTCTGTTCAGTCAGAACAGCGGGCCAACTGACAGTCACCTTCTCTTTGTTTTTTTCCCCTGTTTCTGACACACCTGAATGATGTCACTTCCTACTCTGCTGTAATTGGTCAGTCTGTGTTTTCTCTAATCAGCATTCAGAGCTGTCCCATTGTTCCCAGTTTCACAAGTCGAAACAGGCTGAGCTCTGTGTGTGTTTCAGCTGCAGTAGAAGCACTGCACTCTGCAGCTGATGAAGATGAAGAGGATGAAGGTAAAGTGAGGTGCAGCGGTGCAGCAGTGTTTGGATCCTTGGGGACTCTTGGCTGGAAGCTGCTGAGTCAGCAGCTGCTCTGAGTCGACCAATCAGCACCTGCCACACATGCTGTGATGGAGGCTGAGGGAAAGCTAGGAAGAGGAGGAGTGAGAGAAAGAGGAAGGAGAGGTTTAGCTCTAACCTCTAAGCTGAAAAAATAACACCCACGCCCACACACACCTCCTGTGTGTGGTCCAGGTGAGTGTGAGGTGAGTCCAAGAGCTGCTGCAGACCAAACCTCGTTCAGAAAACCAGCGATTTAAAGACTGAATTTTTATTTTCTGGCAGACAGATGAACTCGGACCTGATGAAGCAGATCCATCCTTCGGTCTGAGTCACATCCACCATCTACTGCAGAAAATACAACATCTCACATTAAATACACTTAGAAAAAAACTTCAACTAAAACCAAAATAACTAAACCAGAGTGTCAGGCTCAGTCCATTAGTCTGGAGAAACTCACCTGTCGCAGACCGCCCCATATGTCCTCCTCACTGTTCATACCCTCCCTCACATCAAACTATCAATTTATAAACATTTTCTAAACATCTAAGCCTGTAGCTTAGCTTCTCCCTTGCCAACTCTGACAGTGTGACCGTGTTTGGAGGGCGTGCAGGTGGAGGTGAGGCAAGTCAACATGTGAGCTGTGAGTGTGTGTGTGTGTGTGTGTGTGTGTATGTGTGTGTGTGATGTGATTCAGTCTGAAGCTGCTGTGTTTCCTCCATCAGAGCTCGACCTCAGCTCCCTCTCAATTATTCATGCTGCTCTCACGGGGGGAGGGGTGCACAGTGTGTGTGTGTGTGTGTGTGTGTGTGTGTGTGTGTGTGTGTGTGTGTGTGTGTGTGTGTGTGTGTGTGTGAGCTCCGGAGGTGCTGATGAAAATTTAAAGACTCTGCGTTGGAGCACTTTGAAATATTTGCTAACGGCAAGGAAAGCTCTGGGAGCTTTAAATGGACATCTGACATTTCTGCTCTTTGTCCTCCACTCAGAGCACTGCCATGTTTTTACTTCTACTGTGTCAAAGCCGTGACCTCTGACCGGCCCCTTTTTGAACAATCAGGTTATTTTTTCTAGTCAAAAATTGATTTAAATGATAAAACATTAAGAGTTTAAAGAAAAACACAAATTAAAACCATCTGGATAAGACACTAATGCATGATTACAGCTGCTGCTTTTGACACAGGTGACCACAGTATACCTCTAGACTAACTGGAGGACTGGGTGAAACTTTCTGGCACAGGACTCAGCTTATTTAAATTTTACTTAGAGGACAGATGCTGTTTTGTGTCTGAAGGTAACTTAAAATCTGAGCACATAAGAATTACTCATGGAGTTCCCCAAGGCTCCAAACTAGGGCCTCTTTTGTTTAACAACTACAAGTTCCCACTGGCTCTGATCATAGAAAACTACAAATTCTGTTACCATAGCTACGCAGACGACACACAGTTATATACAACAATGTCAACAGCTTCATAGGTCACAGTTAACAACAACTGATCAAGCCAGAACGCTGGATGTGGTGATGGACCCAGTCCTGAATTTAAAAAAAAAACACACAAGATGATTACAAAGTCAACCTTCTTCCACCTAAAGAATATTTCTAGAAAAAAAGGACTTATGTCCAAGCAGAACCGGGTTTACACATTTGTCGGCTTGTCCATGACACAGTTTTTACAGGTCTCCCTTAAAAACTCAATCATACGCTTCTGCAAGAGTCCCCATCAGTACCAGAAAAGTGGAACCCATCAGTCCTGCTCTGAGGCCTTTTCACTTGCTCCCTGTCTATAAAAGATTACATTTAAAAATCTGCCCATTGTTTCTAAAGTTCTGAATGGTTTAGGTCCAACCAAACATGGAGAAGCAACATTCAGTTTTTATGCTCCAGATCTCTGAACAAACTATCAGAAAATGTCTGGTATGCAGAGACTCTCAGATCTTTTAAATCCAGGTTAAAGACTCACATTTATGAGGTATTTGTTATGAGACTACTTTAAAATCTATTTTAATGTCAATTTTTAATGTCAAAAATACACATTTTTATATTTGTGTGGCTCTTGTGCTTCTATTTCAAAACTGTAACATTTTGACCCTCTCTTTCTTTTTCGGTTTCATGTCCCCCTGTTTTTATTCTTAATGGCTGTTTTAACTATTGTAAGCACTGCTAGTAGGGCTGACTGTGATCAGGTTGACAGGTGTTGGGGGTGTAGAGAGGTCTAATCCAGCTTCAGGCTGTAAAATGGGAAATGTAGTTTAGAGTCTGAGTCTTGGCAAAACGATAAACACCAGCACAGACTGCAGCCTCAGGTGTGTATCTCACCTGTCCGTCTGTGTCTCTCTGTCGGAAGCCTGTGGTCCTCCTCTGGTGTTCAGTCCGCAGCGCCCCAGGTGGTCTCCTTGGTAAAGACGCTGCAGTGTAACAGACTCCTCGTTGTGTGATGTGTTTGTTGTTGTGACCCTCTGCTGCCCTCTGCTGCTGAAAAATACTCAAACAAGGTGCACGAGTCGTGAGAGTAAAAATTTGATTTTTTAAATAATTTTTATGTCAAACATTATTCTATGAGGAAGTCGGGATCTGAGAGATACAAAATATATGTTATTTTGTTTAAATGTAGAATACAGTAACAGAAAATCAGGTGGATAATCACTTTTGACTCTCTCAAATGCTTTTATTTTGAAGGTCCTGGAGCGGCGGTGCTGCAAACGCGTAGAAGAAGAGCTGGACCGTTTGTTGTGGCGGACAGGTCTCTGCTGCGTAGGACTCACCTGGACGGCGTGCGCGACCACAGCCAGGTGAGACAACATTTGATAGAGAAGTTACAGAGTCCGCTCTTACTAAGCTAACCGTGCTAACAGGCGGACTGTGTCAGTCAATCACATTGAGCAGGGGTGTAGCTTCATGCTAACCAATGCTAAATAAACCCACACTGGTCCTGATCCGGGTTTTATCTGGGCCGGGTCTCTGTGGTGTAGTAACCTGGTTTAGTGACACCTAGCCCGGGTTTATCCGGGTTTGATCCGGATCAGAATTTCATGTCAAGGCTTGTGTGTAGACTAATGTTTTGATAGACTTCCGGTTGACCTATTTTCGGACCACGCTGATCATCTGACCTGGACGTTCATCGGCTAATGTCCATAGACTACATACTGTACTATACTATACTATACTATGTCTATGCTGATGTCATCCTGTCTTTAATGGGATCATTTCGGTGCAGCGTGTTCAGTCAAAGTTAAAGAGCCTGTTGTCAGCTATGGTTCTTAGGGGGTATGGAGTTAAATCGGGCTTTGTCTGCAGGTCTGTTTTAAGTGAAGCTGTGAAGTTTGGTTGGTAGATTTAACTACAACTTTGTACTGATTTCCGGATTGTTTTTATTTTTATTACCACAGTTGGACCCAAACGCCTCTAAATCAATTAACTCACCTGTCTCAGGTAATCTGTGTCCATCAGATCAACTGCAAAAAAGCCAATTTTTTTCTTCGATAACACAATGGGCGTGAAAAGAATATTCTGGCGTAAAATGGAGTTAGGGTCAAACACACCGTATCACCGAGAGAGATGAATGTTGCCGACCGCTTGCTTCTCTAGTTATAACAACTTTAGTAATGATCACAGGATAGCAATACACAGCTGTCTTCGTCTCCACACACAAACCACAACCAAAACGCCACTCTATAGCCACAAATGATGCTTAGAACAGCACCTAACTTCATCAACAGTACATAAAACAGTACCCAGCCATAGTACTGGCCACCAAACATCTTTTTAACTTTGCCTGATTTCTGTAGCAAAGAGACTAAACACAACTCACCCACTCTCTTCCAGCAGCTGTTTGTTTGTTGCCAGATCTCAGGCCAGTCCATTACGGACTACAGCGGGGTTACACAGCTCAAGGAAGAACATTTATGATCATTACTTTATAATTACCTTGAAGTAATAATCATCATATTAATCATTTTGCACTGCAGGCGTAGTAGTTCTTCTGCCTTAGTGTCTCAGTCTGATTGCATTTCCATGAAGAAATGATCATAAATGTTCTTCCTTGAGCTGCGTCACCCCACTGTAGTCCGTAATGGACTGGTCGAAGGTCTCGCTACAAATAAGTGGCTGCTGGAAGAGAGTTGGTGAGTTGTGTTTAGTCTCTTTGCTAAAGAAGATGTTTGGTGGCTAGTGCTGTGGCTGGGACCCTATATGTACTGTTGATGAAGTTAGTTTCTGTGTTGAGCATTATTTGTGGTTATACAATGAATTATTGGTTGAGCGCGTGGCTCTCTGTATTGCTATCCTACGGTTGTTACTAAAGTTGGTATAACTAGAGAAGCAAGCGCTCGGCAACAATAATCTCTAAAGGGGGTGTTTAACTCGGTGTTACGGTGTGTTTGGCCCTAAATTAATTTTACACCAGAATATCACTTTTAACAACCTAATTTGACCGTTCTGTTAGTTTTATCAGTTCTAATGATGTCCAGCAAAGTCCACTTGCTTCGTTTGGCCAGCAGCTTCTTGCGTCTGTGATCAGGGGTGTTTGTGTCTCCAACAGGAACGCACGCTTACCTGCCACTGAGGTCAAAGGTGGTCTCCTTCCCCTCTAGCATCATGGCTCTGATCTCTCTGGAAGACCTTGATGGATTGGATGATGAGCAACTGGATGATGACATCACAGACAACCCAGAGCCAATGGAGGATGATGACAACCTACTGAGACACTGGCAGGCTGTCGCCAGCACACATCAGGTGTCTGTACCTGCAGGTGAGGGGGGCTGGGCAAGCACACAATGTGATCAGAATGTGCCGCTGATCTGTAGATCTAGAATCTTCAGCTCAGCTCTGTGAAGGTTAATAACACGGATGGAGTCCTCTGATGAAGACTGAACTAAGCTCTGTGTGTGTGTTCTTGTCAGACATGACTGGCCCCATCCATGAAATGGCCAGAAACAGCCAACAGAGGGAGCAGATTCCCTTCGCTCAAGTGTCCCGCCATGAAAAGGTGAGCGCGTATGTGTTTTTTATGCAGCTGGTGTTTGTTTAGTTTTGCTAGTTGGTTGACAAATGCTGCTGCTGTGTAAATCTGTAACACAGGGAGACAAAAAAAAAAGGTCAGAGCCCCTTAAATTTTCACAGAATGTTCTAAAGCCTGACCCTGGCCTTTGACCCTGAGCTTAGGTGATAAACTGAACAGATGTTGAAGTTCATCAGCAGGTTTCTCTTTCTGAGACATCAAACTCAAACCTGACTGACCTTAAACAGTCCTGATGGTCTGAGAACTGACATCACCAATTTCCTCCTCCCCCTTGTTTCACTCAGATGGGGGAACTGCAGTACGAGGAGCGGGCGTATCCTGCAGGTAACTGGGCATGCGTGACAAGTGGGGAGAAGCTTTATGAGCAGAGCATCTCCATGGGCTTCATGAAGCTGATGAGGTTTATCTGCAAGGATAATTCCAAGGGTAAGACCCCACTGACTCTCACAGACCGCATGGACTAACTCAACCTCCACAGAATCAGACCTCTGCGTGTGTTTTGATCACCTGACCAGCATCGGTAACCTCAGGTGTGTTCATCAGGCAGGTACTTGGGGATGACGGTCCCTGTAGTCAGTCACATCCGGATGATGGAGGACGGAAAAGCATTTGAGAAAGACATCTTGACAGCGTTCTTCCTCCCTGCTGAGTTCCAGTCTGACCCTCCTCTCCCCTCCGACCCCGACATCACCATCGTTCGCCGAGAACCATTCAGGGTCATCACCAGGTGAGCATGACACCATCAGCATAAAGACACTAACACTTAGACACCCTGACTGTCCCTGAACACAATATAAATATTGTTCTGCTCTCTGATTGGGTTACAGGCCCTTCTTTGGCACGACCACGGAAGAAACGGTGTCACGTCAGATCGAGACGCTGTGGGAGATTCTGGGCATGAACGATGACCTGCGCAGAGAGGACTACATGGTGGCGGCGTATGAGAATCCGAGTGTTCCTTGCCGCCGCAATGAGATCTGGTTCATCAGACGCCAGTTGTAGACGCATTCCTATTATGCTCTGCTTCACGTTTAAAATATGAAGCAGAGCATTGGCTGCTTGGTACCTGCTCAGTTACACATCTTCAGCATGAAAAACAGATCATTTACAACAAACCCTGACTTTAAGCTTCGCCTACTGTATTCACTCGCCATAGCAGTCTGTCTTTGCTCCGTCCAATCAGGTGTTTCTGTGGGTGACCAGGTGTGGTTACATTACTGACCCCGTGAAGTCTGCTGGTGTCTGCAGGTGAATGAAGGGAACAGTAAACATTAAGACAGTTTACCTGACAGGAACACCTGAAGACCGTGCAGCAGAGTGAGGTCATCACCCCTCAGCTGTGTGTACTTAACTTTTCTGTCTACCTGTTGATTTAACCTGATAATCTGCAGAGCCACTGTGAGAGAGACTGAGTTGGTTTATTGGTGCTCCACGCTGCATTATTCAGAACAGGCTAATCGAAGAACACCAGAGGATCAGTGCTCAGAGCTGCACCGCTCAAATGCTACAATCTGAGACCCTCTGACCTCTGAACACAGGCATTAACCAACACACTATCACATGACTGGAGTGTTGTTATTCAATGAACCTCAAACAGAACAGCTGGTGATAAACATTGTTGACATTTCCTGCTTTGTAGAAGGGAGTTAGAGATACCAACCCAAGCTGGGTGTTTTTAAGATTGAAATCTGTTGTGTAAATGGTCATATCCTTTCTGCGGGATCACGTGACTCTTGAAGGGAATAAAAGCAGGTGCCCTGCACCTCACTTAGCGCCCAGATTGTGCACCAGCAACTCTCTGATTCACTACAGGCAGCATTTAAAGAGAGCCCTTTATTTCCCTCAGTTCATCAGTCAGACCTATCCGTTATAGATCCTGTTTATCAGAAACAAACCGGACATATCCGTTGTTGAGATCTGTTCTTGTGGACTTTTTCAGACATATGTCAGCTGCAGCCCCATAAGATAAAAACAGGTTTTTAGGTTAAAGCTCAGTGATCTCAGCTCTGATCGGTCAGTGGGTGGTGTTTTTTAGTAGACGATCTAATGTTGCATTCATGACCTCCTCCGAAACATAGACATTATTCTAAGTACTCTATGTTCATGCGGTTTCCAGTCAAAGTCGGCATTAATATCAGCTGAGGTAGAGTCCTTAGAAACACTAAAACACTGTTTGTTTGTTGGTGTAAGATACCACATTAATGTTAATAAGTCCAGGTTTCTATGCTGGCAATAACTAAAAAATTAAACTGTGTGACTTTATTTATTTGGACAAAAAGGCATTGTGTGAATCATAAAAAGTTTTAACTCAGAAACTCAATTTTACTATAAGCCTGACAGCTCATGAATGCAGTATCTGATCCAGAAGCAGGTCAGATTTAATGAGATGAGTCACCTTTTACAGCACTTCAAACCTTAAGTTTGCATCACACCTGTCCTGGAGTGTTCAGGTGTTCCTGATGAATAGGTAAAACAGAAACCTGCAGTGTCTGCTTTAAACCCTCTTCGTGTCTGCTGTAAATATGAAGCTACTTAGCTTAGCTTGGTTAGCTTAGCATGTATAAAGTTGGAGATATGACCAGCCTCAGCAACAAGATGTTGCCCGATAAATCTGTCCTGATGGAGTTTAGGGATCCAAGTTAGTTTTTTTACAAGTGACTTTGTGACTTAGGTTTTCTTATGTAGATTTAATATCAGGTTTGATTGACAGGTGAGGCAGTTTGTCCCGCCCCTGAGTATTTTATTTACAGCATGATTATTTTGATGGTTGGGTGTTATTTCCTTCTTCAAGATGTTTGGTGTAACCACAGTTTAAACAGGTGTGTCAGATGAAGCTGCATGTTTTATTTGTTCACTGTTTTTTGTTAATTTCTTGTGTCAAAAAAGACAAAAATAAATTCTTATTTCAGACAAAGTGTGTGTGTGTTTGTGTTTTTAACACAGGTGTTAAAATTTACAGTAGATATCTCAGGTAACACAAGAAGAGAGCACAGGTGAGGTGGGACCAAAACTTTATTTACAAAAACGCAGCAAGTCGTTCAGACACTTAAACCTCAATAGTTAAAAAAAAAGATCAAACTCTGACCTATAAAAACCAAATAACAGAACAGAAAATAAATGGGTGGGGACTCCGCATCAGATCATCCAGGTGACACTAGATCAGGTCTGCCACTGTGGAGAAAAAAATAAATGAGAGTTAGAAGCAGCCTGAAATCAGATTACAGCCCATGATGAGTTACAGTGTGTGTTTGTGTCTATAATGAGCTGGAACGCCATAAAGTCAGCAGCCCTCTGATTGGCTGCTGCGTGACGTACCATTCATGGGCATCTCATCGATCTGGGTGGAGTAGTATTGCTCGATGTCTCTCAGGATCCTGATGTCATCGTTCTTCACAAAGTTTATGGCCACACCTTTACGTCCGTAACGACCGGATCGGCCAATCCTATAAGGGGTCAGAGGTCACATGGTTAAAAAAAACAACAACAAAAAAAAAACACTTTGCTAAAGCTTATTTTTGTTTTTAAAAATCTCATTAAAGATAGTCTTTGTTTCCTCATCTGCTCTCTTGAACTCAGGGCTTTTGTTTTTCCCTCATGTTGAGCTTTTATTTTTTCATTTTCCTCAAACATTCACCTGTAATGATTCTAACTGACCAGCTGCTTCTGAAGCTTACCTGTTCACACCTGAAGGAGGGACGGACAGAGAGGAAAGCTACTCCAGGTCCGTCAGTGCCTGTGTGTGTGTCTGTGGATGTAACAGAGTGTATACCTGTGTGCGTGAGTGTGTACCTGTGGATGTAGAGCTCTCTGTTGTTGGGCAGGTCGTAGTTGATGATCAGAGACACCTGTGGGACGTCCAGACCTCGAGCCCACACGTCTGTGGAGATCAGCACACGGCTGCAAACACACAGAGACAAAAATCAACCACTAGGACACGAACAGAACACTGACTGATCCACAGGTAACCCGAAGTCTCTAGGTTCTGGTGTGTGTGTGTGTGTGTGTGTTACCTGGCTCCTGATCTGAACTCCTTCATGATGGACTCCCTCTCTTTCTGTGGCATGTCTCCGTGCATTGAGGACACTGTGAAGTTAGCCTCCCTCATCTTCTCTGTCAGCCAGTCCACCTGAGAGAGAGTGTGTTTAGATATAGTGGATTGTGTGCAGTAGGTGTAAGCCGTGTGTGTGTGTGTTTTAGCAGCATGCAGGTTTACCTTCCTCTTGGTGTTACAGAAGATGACGGCCTGTGTGATGGTCAGAGTGTCGTACAGATCACACAGAGTGTCAAACTTCCACTCCTCTCTCTCCACGGCTACAAAGAACTGCTTTATCCCCTCCAGAGTCAACTCATCACTATGAGAGAGAAAGAGAGAGAATAGAGTCAGAGTTTCTTCCATGTTTTAATCGTGCAGCAGTTTTCTTTCTTTTTTTCCTTTTTTTTTTTGGGGGGGGGGGTGTCAGGCCAAAGCTTCTCTGAATGTGCGTCATGAATTCATTGTTTCTCTACTCTGACATTCAAAACAATCAGGATGCAAATCATTGATACAAACAGAATGTGCTGGTTTGTGAATCATTGTCCAAAGTTAAATGAAAATAAAGCCTATACAACATATCAAGTGTTAAGTATGACTAACAGGGTGTCCCTGATTTCCAAAAGGAGTATCAAAGTTCAGAGAACTCTGGTGTTTTTAGATCATGCTTCTATCTTGATTCTTTTTTGCATAGTTTAGTTTGAAACTTATTTGAGGACGCAGAGATGATCTGTGTTCACAGACAATGTTTTTTATAAGTAACTTGTTGGATGCATCGAGAAGGTTGATGAGGCTGTGATGGGTAACACTTTCATATGGCATGAGCAGAACCGTCTCCAGCTCCTCAAATCAAACATAGCAGAAATGTGCACGATAACGCCAATCAAAGTAGAGCTTTCCCTGCTCACTTGTGTAACTTGCCGGATAAGTAAAAATAATGACCAAACGCAGAGCTGAGGCAGCAAAATACATGTCAGCCATGACTTTGAGTCATCTTCTGAAGATGCCATTGTTGAGAAGAAAGGTTGTTGAACGTCAGTTGTGGCAGTGGTTCGGGTATCTCTAAAGTGACGTCGAGCAATTAAACCAATGTGCAAGGTATGTCCGCAGTCGGTGCCCTCAAGAAGCGGCAACACAACAGATCTGTTTCATTATTTGAAGAAGTACTTCTCCAGTGAGTATGTGGAAAACATGAAAATGCAAGCAGAGTCTGCACAGCCTGTCACTGCTAACAACACTAGTAGCATTAGCAGTTGAGCCACAACTAGCGGTGCAGCCACCAGACCAAAGCAGCGATCAATGGTATCATCTATGTTTACATCATCTAATGTTTACATTTTAAGGCGTCTTCATTTTCCCTGGGGGGGGGGGATTTGTTTATTTTGAGTGTTGCATACCTGCAAAAACACTCAGGACTGTAAACTAGTTCACTGTATTCCAAATGGCCCAGTCCTACCTAGGAGTGTACGTGGAAAACAAACTGGACTGGTCTAAGAACTCTGAAGCTGTCTACAAGAAGGGCCTCTGCCGACTCTACTTTCTCAGGAGGCTGAGGTTCTCTAACATCTGCAGGACCAGGCTGAGGATGTTGTAAGTCTGTGGTGTCCAATGTAATCCACTTTGCTGTTGTGTGCTAAGGCAGCAGGCTGAGGGTAGCGGAGGCCAACAGACTGAACAAACTCATCCGCAAGGCCGGTGACATTGTGGGTGTACAAGTGGACTCTCTGACGGTGGTGAGAGGGGAGGATCCTGTCAAAGTTACATGTTATCTTGGACAGAATTCACCACTCACTTTGTAACATCCTGGTTAAACACAGGAGCATGTTTAGTACCAGACTCATTCACCCTAAATGCTTCAGAGAGCGTCACAAGAAGTCTTTTTCGCCTGTGGCCATCAAACTTTATAACTCCTTCCTCTGAGTGTCACACACTCTGACTGTCCCTGGACGTATTTTCACATGGTAACTGTAAGCTTCTCCACAGCATAGAATTACATCCAACTGTGCAATCTGTTTGTAAACTGGTCAAAACACCAATAATCTAAGAGTTAATTAATACATTGATTATTAAGCTACACCATGGAATTCTCTGTAAACTGTATAATACCTGTGAACTATAAACCTGGTTTTGTGTACATTTCCTAATCTTTTTGCATGGACAAAACATTAGGACGTAATAACATAGCATCAAATTTAAAATGAGCAGATATTTTTCAACAGCTGATATGTTGTCTTTGCTCTATTTTCAGTTTAGTATAACTTTGGATGATAAACAAACCATTTTAAGCTCTCGTTTTACACAGCACCCTGACTCTAATGTTGTAAATGTTGTTGTGGTCTTTGTGTTTTGTGTGCTGACCGTTTAACAAGGATGCGGATCGGGTCGGTCATGAACTTGTTGGTCATCTCAAGGATCTCATGTGGCAGCGTGGCGCTGATCAGGACCACCTGAGTGGCAGGAGGAAGGTAACGGTAGACGTCATAGATCTGCTCCTTAAAACCTGAAGACAAACATGAGACAACATAAGCATCAACAACCAACAATGTGAGAGACCGTGTGAGGTTCAAACAGATACAAATTACACTCTGAGAGGTTCTGGGGAATTTAGACTTGATCCTGAAGTTTTCTGATCCTGTCTGAGTTTATCAGTCCAACTCTCACTGAAGTCTCCTCATCACACCAAATCTGCCTGTTTAAACGTCCTGTCTGCCCTCTGATTTCCCAGAGTTCACTGCAGTAAATGTGACATCACAGCTGTGTTCAGGCATCTGTCTCCAATTGTAGCTCTCAGTATATGCTCTGTCTCACCTTTGTTGAGCATCTCGTCTGCCTCATCCAGCACCAGCATCTTGATTGCTCTTGTCCTTAGACTCCTGCGGCGAATCATATCTGCAGAACAGAACAACAAACAGATATCAGCTTCCTATTAGCTGCCTTAGTCAGAGTCTGACCAATCAGTGGGTTGAGATCAATCAGTTAGTTTGTCAGCCAAGTTTTTACATCTTCAGCTGTTGGTTGCTACTCTGGCAGTTCCTCCTGTAAATATGTAGCGCCCCCTGCAGTGAAAATGTTCTCACTCACCGAACACGCGCCCAGGTGTCCCAGCAACCACATGCTGTCCGTAGTCCAGCTTCCTGATGTCTTCGCCCACGTTGGTTCCTCCAATGCAGGCGTGACACTGAACATTCATGTAATCTCCCAGAGCCAGCAGCACCTAAACGCACCAAAGAGAGACAGCTAATCAGAAAACAGGACAGGGAAGCTCACAGGTGATTGGTTGGGTGCGTGTGTGTGGAGGGGCTTACCTTTTGAATCTGTCCTGCCAGCTCTCTGGTGGGAGCAAGGATCAGAGCTTGAGTCTCCCTCACCTGAAACACGGACCAATGAAAACGTTCGATTACTGATGACCCTCAGTCTCAATCACCTCCTTGTTCCTCTGAGTGTTAACCTGCGTGTGGACTCACCTGGATGTCGAGACACTGCAGCACAGATATGCAAAAGGTTGCCGTTTTGCCTGTTCCAGACTGAGACCTGATCAGAGATTAACAGTTAGCGACAGTGAGGATGCTAAGAGTTGTGTATGTGTTACTGAGGGTGCTAAGAAGGTCTTACTGAGCGATGACGTCTCGTCCTTTGATGATCTGCTTGATAGCCCTCTGCTGGATTGCAGATGGCTTCTCAAAACCTGAAACACAAACCCTGTTCAGACAGAGGGAAGGTGGACCCTGAACACATTATCAGCACGTTACATTCAGGTTACCTCCATCCTGCTACTGTGGTCAGTCAGAGCTAGGGTAAAGCTATCTGTGCTCTCTGTCACCCTACTTCACACCTCTCTGTTATACTCCATAATCTGACATCTACAGAGGAGCTGTTGACAGTGAACGCACTGACTGAAACCAAGCACTAACACACAGAACCACTGTTTGTACTTGCAGAGGTCAGGGTTCATTCACTGCTGCTTTTTTCTCTTTGGACCACACCAGACCAGAATTTACTTCTTATTTCTAAAAGGTCTTCACAGTCCTGACTATATTTCTGATCTGTTGTCCCCCGACCATCAAGTGCACAGTCTGAGATTCTCAGACAGGAACCTCCTTGTTGTTTCCACCTCAAACTTTAAATCTAAAGATGACAGAGTATTTGCTAGTAGGGCGCCTCTGTGATGGAACGACCTGCCAGATCTCAGACTAGCTACATCTGTGTAGCCTTCTGGGGAACTGTTTTATTCATGATCCTCCGTCTATTTGATTGTTTGCCTCTTGGTCAAGGTTTTCAACATTACATTCAAATTTTCATTTCTTTTAATCTTCTATCTTGTCTGTCAAACTTGTTGCCACTACTTAGTGTGTTTTTTAAACATTTTAAATCAATAAAAAGTTTTCTTTTACTGTATTTTTCAGATGAAATTTGGTGTTTTTGTAAAGCACTTAGTGACTTGGTTTTCATAAGTGCCATATAAAGAAAGGTCATTATTGTTATTATTAATATTACAGGGGACAGATTTGCTCTTTGTTATTTTTTTCTCACAGAATGGAGATTTTACTCATCTGCAGCTGTGTTTCTCTGAGACTGTAGACAATCTGGTGCAGACCCGATGGGTCTAGGTTTAGTGGTTTTGGATCAGGACTTGTTTCTATAACCCTTGTAGGGACCTCAGGTAGTCTCACCTAGATAGTGTAAACTCCATACGTCTGTGTGTGAGCTCATTCAAAAAAATACAGTTGTCAGCTGGAATTATACTATAGAGTTATTTCAAGTACTAAAACAACAATTAGAAGCATATGTTCAATTATCACAATACAGGTCGGTGTAAACTGCGCACTGAGCTGATGGAGAGTTAGCTGTTAACGGTGATGCTAATAGCTACATTTGATGTTTTACAATATTCAGATATTCAAGAACATTCAGCAAACTCTGTCTGAGTTAAGATGACCCTCACAATAGTAGTGCTTTTATTTTCAATAACTATTTTTTGTTATTTCGCGCTTTCTGACAACATCGCCGTTAGCTTTAGCTCCCTGTGCTATCCCCTAACCCAAACCCCCTCCGGAGGCCGCGCGGATCCCCGGCCTACCGTAGGCGTAGACGCCGCGGAGCAGATCCTCCCGCAGGCCCATGGTGTCGAAGGTGGGGGTGACGTCCACCTCCTCGCTAGTCTCAAACTCCACCTTGGTCATGTCCTCCTCCCTTAGGATCCTCTTCCTGCTCTGTGCCCCGGCCGCGGCCATCGTCCTCTTAGCTGCTCTTTATTCCACAGAAACTCACCGAGACTCCGCTGAACCGTTTCGCTCAGAGCTAACAGCTAACACGGGGAAAGAAAGAGCGCCGCGTGCGTCGCGCCGGTGACGTACAAAGGAGGCGGTGCGGTGTGTGACGTCACATGTTTAGCTTTTTGCAATGGCAAGTTGGCATGGAATATGGTGTACAAACATAACCTCTCCAACAAGGCACTATATCTGGAATAACAAGAATATTCAATATAAAAATAAATCACTGTATCATAAGAAATGGGTTGAAAATGATATTGTTTTAGTTCAACAACTTGTTAATTCTGAAGGACAGTTACTAAGGTATGAGGAATTCCTTGACAAAGTCAGGATGCCAATTACTCCAAAAGAATATTCAGTGATCTTTGATGCCATACCAAGGAGTGTACTGTAAATTGTTACAGGATTAATTATCTCCACAACAGATCTACCAAGTAATTCTGCTTTGCTGCTTGGAGGTATTTGTCAGTAAAAATAAATGTTCTAATAAATTTATCAGGAGCCTCATGCTAACCGTTACGGCTACATTTTTTTAGATATCGATATATGGAGATATTGATTGCAGGAAAAATTGGTTAGTTGGGGATAAGTTTTGCTTGAATAATGAAATAAAAGAGGTTTCATTTCAGCCCTACAGAGATTCAACCTCATTATTGAGTATTCTTGTGTGTTCTGTGGTTTTGATGAAGAAACAGTCTGTTTTATCAGTGCATGTATTCTAAAATATTCTGGAAGGATGTGCAAAATTACATTGATAGGAAAACAGGACAATCAACCCACTTGAAGGACAAATATATCCTTATTTGTTTTGAAGAGAAACAGAAGTAGAAAGATTTTTTAATTTTTTTGTACAGTTACTTCTTTTATTTGGGAAATTTTATATGCATAAGAAAAAAAATGGACTGACTCTAAACCTAGCTTTGACCACTTCCTAAATGAACTGAAGCAATATTGCAATGTTATTAATGGACTTAAGAGCAAGAAGGCTCTGAAAACAGTCAGTTTTGGACAAATATTGTGAGGATCGTTGGCCGTCTGGATGACTTATCTTTTCTCTTACTTCTTACCTGGTATTGTTGTTTATTTGTTTGTTTTTGTTGCTAGTTTTTTTTTTTTTTTTCTCGAGTTTCAGGTTTGATTGGTCAAATTGCAGCAAGAAAGCCATTGCTGAGACTTCAGAATAAGAAAATAAAGGCTTGCCTAGGCCATGAAACACCACTTATGGACTACTGAAGACTGGAAGAAGGTGTTATGGACTGATGAATCAAAATTTGAAATCTTCGGTTCATCAGGCAGGATTTTTGTACGCCGTCAAGTAGGCGAAAAGATGGTTACTCAGTTTGTGGCATCAACCTTCAAACATGGAGGAGGAAGTGTGATGGTCTGGAGCTGTTTTGCTAGATCCAGGGTCAGTGACTTGTATAGAGTGAAAGGCACCTTGAACCAAAACAGCTACCACAGCACTCTGCAGCCCCGTACAGTACCCTCTGAGGTGCAACTAGTTGGTTAGAGGTTCATCTTACAGCAAGATGATGACCCAAAACATAAGTCCAAGCTATGCCAGAACTACCTTGAGAAAAAAGAACGAGATGGTAAGCTTGAAAACATGGAGTGGCCAGCACAGTCTTCAGACTTTAACCCCATCGAGCTGGTTTAGGATGAACTGGACAGAAGAGTGAAGGCAAAGCAGCCTACAAGTGCTACATATTTATGGAAATTACTGCAGCAGAGTTGGGAAGAACTTTCTGAAGAATATTTGATTTCCATTTTAGAAAGAATCCCATGAGTGTGTTCATCTGCTATATCCACCAAAGGTGGCTACTTTGTTGAGTCAGAAGTTTAGAATACATTTTCATTTCTAAATTGATTCTATGATTTCTTTTTTGACTACAATTGTTTATTTGTTCTATGCATTAATTTCAGAGCACAGCGAGACATTAAACTGCATCACTTTCAATAACAGTCAGGAAAAGTTGGGGTATTCCAAAACTTTCACCAGTAGTGTAAACAGGTGAGTTTAGTCTTTGATCCAAAATTAACAGGCAAATTTAAAGCCTGTACATTTGACATGAATAGTAAAATGACTTATGGAGACCCAAACATGTTTATTTCTGTTGTAATGTTAAACATGGGGTTTCATGGGGACTGGCTCACTGCAGGAAACAGCCTCTAGTGGACAGTAGGGGAATTGCAGGTTTAGGGACTTTGCCTGAGGATGACCTACAGAGAGGCTGTGAGGTGTCAGCATTAGTTGTGTCCCCCTTGGGCTCCTGTAGAAATATGGTGGAGAGCAGCTGCTCCCTCTGTGGAAAAAAAGAGCTTGATTTAAAGAAAATACTCAAGTGATTTTTCTGGAGACGTGATGTTTGGTGGTCAAAGAGTTTATTAAATGCTGTGGGTATAGGAATAAGTCCTGCAATGTATCCAGCAGAGTCTGGGGGTCCTACAAGTCCAGCGGGGACAGTCAGAGTCCTCAGGCTGAACCCTGAACAGACCAGGACTAAGAGCAGCAGAGTCCATGTTTGATCCCTGCTCGTCCTCAATTCTCTGGCCAATGAGAGGAGTATTCAAGTGTCCTTCAACATACTACCTGCTCAGTGCACTCTGATACTGCTACTCACAGTAGAAACACATGAATCACAATTGAACTCCTGTTGATTATTGATCACACCTGATCAATAACATACTGATAAGAGCTAACTTTACACTGCTGTGGTCTCTTAAACAGAGTTCAGTGACTGTTTTCTGTAGAATGACCCACATGTAATCTTCACTTTACTTTGAAAAGTCAGATTTAATTCCTGCTTCTACAGACAGGAAGTGATGCAGCATGTTTGTAAATACAGCTGAAATGTATTTGGAGCTCCACTGGACACCGAGTCCACATCCAGCAAAAACACAAACATCCAGGTCATACACACAGGAGTTGCACAGCTGATGCACTCAGGTCCAGGTGAGTAGTGAATGTGTACCGTCCCTTTAAGAAGTCTTTGCGTGACAGACGGCAGAGCTCGTCAGTTTTTGGCACTTTGTTTAAATCAGAAACATAAAAAAAGATACAGAATAAAAAACTGATACATTCATTGGACAGATAATAAACACACACACACAGACACACACACACACACACACACAGGTGAGCGTGTCACCTGAACATCAGAGAGGTGACATCATTATTTGTTTGATCACAGCTCATAAAATATCACCATAATTAACAAAATTAAAGTCTTTTTGAAACAGATTCTTTAACACAGATCCATAAACGTTGGTCATCGACATAATTTAACTTTTCTCAAAATAAAATCAAATTCATGTCCTCGAATTACTGCCTGCTCTATTGTTTTACTGTCTGACAGACATTTTAGTAACCCTCTGTTTACTGTCCGTCTGTTGTTCGTTTACTGTATCTTTTAGTTGCTTACTGTCTATTAACGGTCTGTCTGTTAATAGTCTGTTGCTGTTAACAGTCTGTCTGTTGTTTGTTTGCCGTTTGTTTGTTACAGTCACTTGGTTTTTTGTTAGTCCGTCTTGTAGATCATCTGCTTAAAGTCTGTTGTTGTTTACTGTCTTTTTGTTCTTGTATACCATTTGGTGTTGGTCTAAAGTCTTTCCATTGTTGCTGACTGTCTGTAAACAGTCTGTCTGTTTACAGTCTTTCGAAGTTTGCAGTCTGTCAGTCATTGTCTACTGTCTGTTGTTTGTAATGTGTCTGTTGAAGCTGCTTTGTGTTGTTTAATGACTGTCTTGTGTTTGTCTAGTCTGTTGTGGTTGTTGTGTTGTTTGTTGACAGCGTTCTTGCATCGTTGTCGTTATCCACAGTCTGCTGCTGTTTGTTGCTGTTTACATGAATTTAAAGAGCATAGTAATTCAAATATATTTTGAATAAAAAAATACTGATGTTGCCCAGAGGAGATCCAGGTGTGTGTGTGTGTGTGTGTGTGTGTGTGTGTGTGTGTGTGTGTGTGTGAGTTTGTGTGATAGACACACACAGCCATGTGACAGTTAGTCCTCTTTTGATTGGTGGACGTCCAGGCTGACGACCTGCAGCTCTGTCAGGTTACTGCTGCTCTGCTGACTGATCACCATCTGAAACACACACACACCAGAAATGCCTGTGATAAAGATGCCAAATCATAAGCAATAATTCAATAACTGTGATTGCAAAATCAATTAAATTAATTGTGATCTTGATTCGTTCCATAATTAAAAGGTCCAGATGTGTAGTTTGTGTGTAGTTTTGATGTTTGTTGTGTTACTATTTGTATAGATGTTATTCTGCATAACAGTGTTATAGGTTGTTTTGTAATCCTGTGAGTGTGTGTGTGTGTGTGTGTGTGTGTGTGTGTGTGTGTGTGTGTGTGTGTGTGTGTGTGTGTGTGTGTGTGTGTGTGTGTGTGTGTGTGTACCGGGTGCAGTTGGACGGCCGAGACAGGAATCTGAGCAGCAACTGGAGGCAGTGAGGTGAGGAACACCTGTGGGAGGGAACCTGTAGAGACACTCTCGATCATACAAACAGACTTGAAAAAATATTTTATTGGATCATTGTATTGGGGAAGTGGTGGTGAATGTTACCAAGGTAACAGGGTAGTACCTGGGTCATGAGACTGAGCGTGGCCGGTGGGTGGGAAGGTGTTAAGCACGGTGAGGCTGCCATCACCCAGCGAAGGAGTGGGTGTGGCATACATGACCGTGTGACCACCGGGGTACATCATGTGACCTGTTACTGAGGACGAAGAGGAGGAAGAGGGAGGGATGATGGAGGCTGCAGAGAGAGAGGAGTGAAAACATCATGTAAGCATCATCTAAATCAAACTTCCCTGTGCTACCTTTAAGGACCTTAAACGAGAGCTCTTAATGAGTACAATAAAGAGCAGAGCCTTTTGTTATTAAGCTCTTCTCTTTTGGAGACACAGAGCACACAGTATTAAGAGGCAGAAACCCTGGCTCTCTTGGAGAGGAGCCAAAATTTTTTCATTAAGGTACAGCTGAAAGTAGGTTCTGATAAAGGCTTAGATCAGCTCTAAGTTTAAATGCTATAGGCACAAACTGTTTTGAGCTTACACTGTTAAAGGCTCAGACTATTGTAGGCAAGGACTGTTTTAAGCTTAGACTGTTATAGGCTCAGACTTCTATAAGCACAGACTGTTTTAAGCTTACACTGTTATAGGCTCAGACTACTATAGGAACAGACTGTTTTAAGCTTAGACTGTTATAGGCTCAGACTACTATAGGAACAGACTGTTTTAAGCTTAGACTGTTATAGGCTCAGACTACTATAGGAACAGACTGTTTTAAGCTTAGACTGTTATAGGCTCAGACTTCTATAAGCACAGACTGTTTTAAGCTTAGACTGTTGTAGGCTCAGACTTCTATAGGCACAGACTGTTTTAAGCTTGGACAGGTATAGGCTCAGACTGTTGTTTGAGATAGGTTAGAAGCAACTTTAACATTACCTACCTGCGGACGAGGTTGGGTTGTGGGTGTCCGAGCTGCTCTGATTGGGGGTGTGCTGTGACTGCACCTGGATAGTCTGAAGCTGCTGAGAGACTCCACCTGCTGATGACATCACAGCATCATCATGACATCATCAACAACTAAGACGTACGTCGCTGACTTTCAACCAAGTTTCCATCAAACAGACCTCAAACCAAATACACTGAGAAAATGAGCTGAAGAGTGCTTACAGCTGCTAATACAGACAGCAAAGCTTCAAAACACACACACACACACACACACACACACACACCATACATACACACACACTCACACACACGGCGGTGGGCATGGTCTTGTGCTGACCTGACAGTGACATGGTGGTTGGAAGGCGGAGCAGCGTGGTCGGCTGTGTGGGGGTGGTGTGCAGTGGGGCCACGGGGCCCTGCAGGGTGAGGGGCGGAGCCTGCAGCTGACTGAGGGGGATGGTGTGTGTGCCAGGGGGCAGAGCAGCACCTGTTGACAGGTGAGGAGGGCGGCGAGGCCAGATACAGATTAGCAGCTGACACACAGAACAGCTGGAAGCAGGAAGACGAGTGTGAAACCAGCTGGTCATGTGACATCAGCCTTACGAGATGAAAGAAATGCAGCAGGTGACAGGAAGCTCTGTCTACTTACCCGACATTAAGGTGAGGCTTCCAGGAAGCATGATGCCAGCTGATGTCTTCAGCACTGTGCCGTTGGTGGATGAGGGTGGCTGCCAGGAGGAGGCGCTGGTCTGCACCTGCAGGGCCACTGAAGAGGAGGAGGTGGAAGGGGGCGAGGCCTGAGTGCTGACAGCGAAGCCTGGTTTGATCAGATCCTACAGGATAAAACAGACAGGTTGGTGGGTCTAAAGCACCTGAGGCACCCCCTGCGGATAATTGGTTGTATTTTATGAGGACCATGAGAGGGATGTTACCTTGGCAACCTCAGGGCAGCCATCAGCCTCAGACACTTGGTAGGTGAGATCTGTCTCCTCAAAGCCAGTGGCACTCATCCTCTGGTCGGAGGAGGGGTCCGAGCGAGGGGGTGAGTCGGGGGAGTTGAGGCAGGTCTGGATCAGTGCTTTACCCGTCTCTGACGTTATCATTGGCTGCAGCTTCCTCGTGGCAAACGTGTAAACATGACCCGTCTCACTGGCAACCAATAGCAACACTTGTGTGCCCGTCAGTGTAGACAGTTCATAGGCCTGTGGGGGGAGGAGCCAGAGATGTATAGAGGTCAGACTGAATTGTAATGTGGCACTCAGACAAAGAGTCAAACATGGAGCCAAGTTTCCCCCCTCAAAACTTCACTTTAACTATAATTTCTCTGTTTATATGACCCGGCTTATCACAACTTTTGTATTCTCTCCATATCCATCGCTGCCTGTCTGGCTCCATCACATCACCTGGACTCTCTCAATTGGGTGTCTCCAGTTGTGAAGTGCCTGTTAACCTGTCTCACATGGTTTTATTTCACTGTAGCTTTTTCTTCTAAATCTTAGTTTCACTGCACCAGCATTCTGAGTTTAATTTACACTGTACCTGCCTCCTCTGAGTCTAAGTTTGGTTTTTTTTTTGTATTAAATCCTCATTCACTGTAGTTTCTCTTCCTTTGTTTATGTAACTACTGTCCTCTAAGAATAATTTAAATTTAGTCAATCATATAGTTTCCTGTATTGTTTTCGATAACACAGTATCATGCAAACGTTTGTTTTCTATTATTATAATTTTTTTCTGTAATGTCATACAGAAAAATAACCCTCTGTGGCTCCATAAGATGCCCAAATGTTTGAATGTTTCAGCCAGAGGCCAAACAAGGGTTTCCAAAGACTCCTAAGAGTCAAAATGAAAGAGTTTTCAGTTGTCCTGTACAAAGACTAAAGAGCTATAAGGAGGATGACAGCAGGGTGACGAGTGTGGTCAATTATATTGTGTTTGAACACCGACAGCTCCAGCAGTCAGATGTAGCTCAGCCCAAACTAAAGATTTTACCTGTTTGATCTTGTCTCTGATAGGGTACAGGATTTTAGGATTTTTTTTCAGTTTACACCTAGAGGGCCTATGTCCCCCTCTGGAAACGCCCCTGCTGCTCTCAGGTGTGCTCACCTTCTTCATGATGCCGGTCTTCCTCTTGCTGAAGGTGGTGTACCTCCTAAGTTTGTTGTCTATGAATTCCATCTTTATCTTCACTCTGCCCCGGGTCTTCTTTCCGGGTTTGGCCCCCGGTACCCCAGGGCTGACCCCGCAGTACACCCCGCTGTGGCCCCCGGAGGACCCCGTAGACTGCCGGCCGACCTCCCGCTCGCTCCTCTCCCGCTTCACCCCCCTCCTGTCTCCGCCGGAGCCAGTCGTGTCCTCATCGTCACCCGAGTCAGAGTCCTGGTCGGAGCCGCTGTAGACTACTTCGGTGCTGAACTCCCGTTCCGCGAACTGGCCCTCTTCCATCCCGGAAGCTGGGTTCGGTCCCGGTCCGGTTCTGGTGCTCATCCCGGCCCCGGTCCCCGCCAGCATCCCCCGCTGGTCCGTCCCCCTGGCCGGGCTGTAAACCCTCTCTCTCCCAGAGGCTCGGAGCTCCTGTCAGCGGGGGTAAACAGCCACTCTACCCCGCTCTACGGGTCTCCTGTCCGGGCAGACTGAGTTAGCAGCCCCGTTAGCTGCGCGGCTAACTGAGCTAACCTAGCTTACGGCGGCTACAGTTAGCATTAGTTAGCGGTTACTTTAGCAACAAGTAGAGCCATCAGTCCGTGAAACTCCGTAAAATCACCGGGAGAGGAGGCAGCGCGGCAAGCGGACAGCAGCAAGAGGACCGGGAGATATTTATTCCAAAAATCAGATCCAAGCTGTGCTTTAAAAAGAGGATAAGGTTATAAAGTTAGTGTTTCTGTACAGTAATGAGGAGGCCGGCCCACTCACACACTCTGCTCCACATAAGGACATGACCAGGAGCACCCCAAAATATCCCTCCGCCTCAGGGTGTAGATCTACAAACTGGCAGCAATAAATTCACACCTTTTCTTTAAAATACCGTCCAAACTGTCACACACCTGTCACTAATCTATTCTATACAAATTATGCTTGGACATTTACGGTGCTCTTGGAGTCTGAGCGGAGGGCTACTAAAAGTCGACGTGTTGTTTTGAGCGTGCAGAGGAACTACTTTCTTCCAAATAAAGAAGCACGTTTCCTTTTATGGCGCGGCCGCTCCTTATATGGTCATTTAGAACTTCAGACTGAGGCACTACACGCACGTGCAGAGACGAGAAAAAGAACTACGAAATGATGAAGCAGGCAGAAGAAGAGAGAAAAGAAAAAGGAGAAGAAGAAAATGACGCACAGAGTTCGAGTCTTCGTGATAGTGCGTTCAGGGTCTCTGAGCTCTGTGTGAGCTGAGAGAGTACAGCACACACACACACACACACACACACACACACAGAGAGAGAGAGAGAGAGAGGCCTGGATCAATAACAGTTGAACCCAGGTGTCCTGTTTGACCTCTTGCTGGATGTACATATGTGTCTGTGTACCTGAGTGTAAGTGGCTAATGTGTAACAATGAAATGGCAGCATTGCTGTATAGTAGAAGTGTCCTGCTAGTAAACTGGCCTGCCTACAGTCCGGACATGTCCCCATACAGTCTGTGCTTGTCCCCCATTGAAAACATGTGAAGCACCATCACACAGAAAATGGGACAAAGGAGACCCTGAAATGTTCACCTTCTTTTTGGAAACATGTATATTAGTATAACTGTAAGAGGAGTGACAGAGGGAGGAGGGGATGATTAGGAGAGTTGTGGGGGAGTCAGTGCTGCAACTTCCTCGCTGTAATCCTGTCTGACATTCAGACTGACTGTTGACTCCACAGATTACTTTAGGCTTTTCTGACATGGAACTGAATGACAGGAGAGGACCTGTACCTGTCTCACCTGTCTCTCCCTCTCATCCTCAACCTTCAGATTAACCCCCCCCCACACACACACACACACACATGTCTTTGCCAACCCGAACCCACACATGCCACTGCTATAATCCTGACAGGGAACTGATCACTTGAATGGCATAGCTGCAAAAACAACAGAACATTTTAATTGATGCACTGACTGATGTCCGTTTTAAAGCACAGGATGTAGTGTCCATGAATTCCAAAATGAATGCCACATTTTGATTTATCAGCCCACAGGACAGTTTTCCTATTCCCCTCAGTTAGTCCATCTTAAATGGGCTATGGTGTGTCTGGAGCATTGGTTTGTGGACCTATCTGGTCTCCTTTTTGCATAGTCCAGTTCTAACCTTATTTGTGAGTGCAGGGATGAATGGTGTTCATAGACAAAGGTTTTTTGGAGGTAAGTTAGAGCCCATGCAGTGATTTCCACCACAGATTCCTGTCTGTTTTTAATGTTACATAATGCATGAGTCCTGAAGATCAGGACCATCCAGTATTGGTTTTGGTCCTTGTCCCTTTTGAACAGAGATTTCCCCAAAATCTTTAATGATAGATGATAAATTCCACTCATCATTTCACATTTTGCACTCATGAACATTATTCTGAAACTTCTCCAACAACTTTTTACAACCATAAGGTTGCCATCAAATTAAAATAGCAGATATTTTTCTTCAAACAACATTTTGCAGTCTTATATTTCCAGTTAAATAAGGTTAAAAATTCTTTAAATGATTTAAAAAACATTAAATTCTGTTTTTATTGACACATTTTAAAAATAAAATTGTAGTCCAATGTGTAGAAATAATTAATAAACTGCAAAGTGTTGTTATGTGCAAACATATGATGCTGAGTACCCTCAGGTTAAAGTGCTGCAGTCTGGGGTACAGTGTGCAGTGAACTCTAATTAAGTGCACAGCAAGTGTTAATGACATTAGAAGCAACTCAGCCAATCAAAGGCCTGCTTTGTGCTGTTGTGACCTCTGACCCCTGGCTTGGATCCAGTCCTGTGCTGATCTGTGGGCTGAACCAGGATCAGGAAGTATATTTATCTCAGATTATCTGTCAGCTCTTCCTCTCAGCCTCAGGCTCATTCAACAGCAGCAGTAGCAGCAACATGTCCACCAGCAGCTCCACTGCCGCAGGGGGAGGGGGGGCGCCATGGAGGAACAACAGCTTCATCCTGGGAGGGGGACGGGACCCCCCTCTATCTGACCAGGGGGAGACAATCATCGGAGTGTACCTGCTGCTACTGGGTGAGACCCACACACAAACACTATCCACACACGCAAATCTCGGCTGCAGTCACAATACACAGGGATTAGCGGATCACTGTAGTACTACACTGAAGACTACACAGGTACCGTGTAGTATAAACTGTTTTCAAACTTTTTATTATCCTGTAACCTCATATCTAATGGTTTTAAGTGTGCAGTAATAAAAGTAAGTCTTGCATCGGTGGTAACCACTGGTCTGTAGACATTAAGCTAATGTTTAAGTGTCAAATACTGCAGTTCTTGGAGTGTCCACTAGAGGCTGTCTGCAGAAGTCTCTGAGCCACATTCACACTCATGTTAAAAAGCTCGCAGAAATAGAGCAGAAATAAAAATGTTTACAGCCTGGTTTAAAAATTTGTTTTTGTCTGAATAATTGATTTCTTTCCCGCACACATTGTAGGGGGTATACTTTTTTCCAAATTTTTAAAAAACATTTAGTTCATCCTTTTTTGTGTAATCAGGGATGTGACAGACATGACTGACAGGTGGACACACTGTAGCTGTTTAAAAAGAAGAGGCTGAAGGCCACTTTAACTCTGCATCTCAACCGCTTGTTGGGCCAACCAAACGTTGAATGAAGTCAGAGTTTTTAATATGGTGACCTGTAAATCCTGTTGACCTGCAGATCTGTGTTTGTGTAGACCTGTGTACCAGTTGACCTGTTGATCCAAAGACCAGAAGACCTGCAAACCTGTAGGCCTATGTACCTTGTGTGCCTGTATATCTGACACCCTTTGTGTTATTGTGGTGCTTTTAGGGTGGCTGTCCTGGTTTGGAAACAGCATCGTGCTCTTCGTGTTGTACCGTCAGAGAGCCACGCTGCAGCCCACTGACTACCTGACCTTTAACCTAGCTGTCTCTGATGCCAGCATCTCCGTGTTTGGATATTCAAGAGGAATCATCGAGATCTTTAATGTTTTCCAGGACAGTGGCTTCCTCATCTCCTCCATCTGGACCTGCCAGGTATTCCTGAGACCATACTGTGGACTCACTTAAGACTCACCTGGGACTTCATAATAGATCCACCTGACACTTACCTGAGACTCAAACATGAAATCACCTACAGACACACCTGAGGTTCAACCTGGGACTAACCTTACTTCCAAGACAATTTTTGCAGTCGGTTTGAACTCACCTTAAACACACCTGACACCAGTCTGACTTAACTACCTGAAACTGACATTAAACCAGAAACTTAAACTTGACACTAATTTAAAACTCACCTGACAAAATCCAGAAGCTTCAACACAACTCACCAAAAACTTGAAACCCACCTGAGAATAAATGTAACCCAACCTTGGACACCTGTGCATTATCTCATTGCTAAACTTGAAACCCATCTGATACTCATCTGAAAATTAATCACTTAAAGCTTCCTTGAGACTGACCTTGAACTCATCCAGGGCATGTTTGAATTTTTAACGTGAGACTCACCTATGGCCTACTCCTTGGTCTCACCTGTTGGAGACTCATGCAGTCATGACAGGCTAAGAGAGTAAATTTAGAGATGAGGGAGGTGGAGTCTGACAGTAATACAGCTGTCACCTGTGGTATCTCTGTTGTGCAGGTAGACGGGTTTTTCACTTTGCTGTTCGGTCTGAGCAGCATCAACACTCTGACAGTGATCAGCATTACCCGCTACATCAAAGGATGTCACCCCAACAAAGGTAACCCCGCAACACCTGAGCCTGAACCCTGAGTTACACCTGTTTACCTGGTGAAACCACATCAGTTCACCTAGTGACTGTGCTGTGTTCAGGGTCCAGGCTCAGAACCGGTCTGTTTGTAAACTCTGATGTATTGTCACCTGACAAATGCGTTTCTATCTTAATGTGTCAGCCCATCACATCAGCCGCATCAGTGTATCGTTCTGTTTGCTGATGATCTGGATCACAGCTGGATTCTGGTCTGGGGCCCCCCTGGTGGGATGGGGAAGCTACAAAGGCAGGAAACATTTTTATTTTAACCCCTGCTTGACTGACATTTCTGTGTCCCCTGCCCCCTGCCCCCAGACCTCTGATCTTGTGTTATAAGTGACCTCACACTATTTTCACCTCTGGTCCAAATTTGACCTTCCTCTAATTCTCTGTGAGCCATCACCCCCATTTCTCCCACTGTATCTCTTTTGCTATGACTGTTTAACTTCGGACCCTGTTTTGCCCCCCCGGACCGTGTTGGGACTTTCCTAAATACCTGAACCACGCTGTGTCCACTTTAACCCCAGTTGTGACCAAAATGACCCTTTTTGATTAATGAATTTATCTTATCTGAAAATCCTATGTGTCCCATCTTGTCTAACCCTTCTTTGATCTTCTTGAAACCCAAGGTCATCCTTGATCCTTTATTGACCCCTTTTGATTATAGTTTTTACCACTACTCAATTCCATTTTGACTCATCTTAAACCATTCTACAAAACCCTTTCTTAACCCCCACTTTAACCCATCTTGACCTTTCATTTGTCCCTTTTTGAATATGGCTTTAGCCTCTCTTAAACCCCACTCTGACCTGTTTCGATCACAGTTTTGACCCGTCAAACCCCACTTCAACCCAACCATGACCCATTTCTGACTCATTTTTTTATCCCAGTACCAACTTGTCTTTGACCCTTCTTTTTTGACCCTTTTGACCAATTTTTCTGATCATGGGGTTGACCCCTTTTTAATCCAACTTGGACCAGACTGTGTCCCCGTCTGTCATAGTTTTGATTCCTTTTGTCTCCATCTTCCCTGACACTTCCTTAATCCTGTTTTTACCTTACCTTTAACTCTACCTTCTTTCCTTCATTGACCCCTCTTTGATTATGGTTTTTATCCTTCATGCCACCTCGTTTGGCATTTCTTTGGTCCTTTGTCACAGCTTTGTCTCCTCTTCAAGTTCACTTCTACTAATTTTTGAAACTTCTATGATCTTGTTTGATTATGGTTTTGAACCCATTTTAAAACCTGTTTTCGACCCCTTCTTGTCTGATGACCCTTAGGATTATGGTTTTGATCCTTCTTAAACTCTATTTCCACTCTTTTCAATCTAATGTCCCCTCTTTAACCTCATTTAAACTCACCATTGACCCTTCTTTGAACCCATTCAGCCTCCTCTTTGACTCTACTTTCTGATTTGATCCTACAGATCGGGGTTATGGGACCTGTGAAATAGACTGGGCCAAAGCAAATTACTCAAGCATATACCGGTCGTACATCATCTCCATCTTCATCTTCTGCTTCTTTGTGCCGGTGCTCGTCATGCTTTTCTGCTATGTGTCCATCATCAACACAGTGAAGAGGGGCAATGCACTGTCATCTGAGGGAGATCTGACTGACCGCCAGAGGAAGATCGAGAGGGACGTCACCGTTGTGAGTTTTCATAAGCATAAATCTGAAGAAAAAAAGAAAAACAGGTCTTCTTACAAGAAGGACTGTTGAGAGTCAGACTGAGTTAACCACAGATAGGTGGTCTTGACTAATTCAGACTTTGGCTGACCTGCTTCACAGGACCTGTTCAAACAGGCGATGCTGATACATCAGAAACAGTTAGACCTGCAGGAGGGTTTTTGTCATCAGGCATTAGTCCACTGCCTGCAGTTCTAGAGTCCGGACCTTTGTTGTGGTTTGAAGCAGTTTTGTGGTTTCATAGTGATTTGTTTTCTGTAGGTTTCCATAGTGATCTGCACGGCCTTCATCTTGGCCTGGTCTCCGTACGCCGTGGTGTCCATGTGGTCCGCCTGTGGTTTCCATGTGCCAAACCTCACCAGCATCTTTACCCGCCTGTTCGCCAAGTCCGCCAGTTTCTACAACCCCCTCATCTACTTTGGACTCAGCTCAAAGTTCCGTAAAGACGTTGCCATCCTACTGCCATGCACCCGGGATGCCAAAGACACCGTAAAACTGAAGCGCTTCAAACCTAAGGCTGATGCACAAGGCCGGCCTGCCGGAGGAGGTGGAGCCAGACTCAAAGTCCCTCTGAACCGTACTGAGAGGAAGTACACATCCTTGAATCATCCACACCCTGCCCCCAGCCCAGACTCAGGGATGGGAAGCCCTCCCTGCACACCGCCACCACACAATACAGAGGTGTTCTACATCGACCCACCCCAACACTCTGATGACAGCTCTGAGTATGAATGTGCCAGACTCTGAGGGACTCTAAGGACCTGCAAGAGGACTGACAGTTCATGTAGCAGCCACCAGAGAATGCTAATGTCACCCTGACCTGTGAGCAACAGGTACCAGAAAATTAACTCTAATATTAAAAAAAATACAGACCAGCACTCAGCAGGACAAAAAGTTTGATGAGCTGGTGATCTGCTTTTGACACCTGATCAAGTTAACTAACATCATGTGGAGATCAGGACTCTGTGAACTCTAACAGAGGACTGGTGACTACTTTTACCAAACACTACGAGACTCATGTGAATTGTTGAACTCAGTTGACTGCCTGGATTTGTTTGACTTTTTTTGACTCTGTAGAACATCATTGAACTCTGATAGCATTTCCATAAAGTAATAATCATAAATGTTCTTCCTTGAGCTGCGAAACTCCACTGCACTCAGTGATGGACTCATCAGGGCTCCCCACACAAACAAGGGGCTGCTGGAGGAGAGTGGTTGAGTTGTGTTTAGTCTCTTTGCTAAAGAAATCAGGCAAAGCTAAAAAATATGTTTGGTGGCTAGTGCTATGGCTGGGACCCTTTAGGTAATGTTGATGACGTTAGGTGCTGTTCTGAGCATTATTTGTGGCTTTAGAGTGGCTTTTTGGTTGAGGTTTGCACCTGGAGACATCGACCGCTGTGTATTGCTATCGTGTGGTCATTACTAAAGTTGGTATAACCAGAGAAGCAAGCGATCTCATCTCTCGAGGGGGTGTCTGACTCGGCGTTACGGTGTGTTTGACCCTAAGTTAATTTTACACCGGGATATCCCTTTACTCCTTGACTTGCTTGAATCTTAAGACGACAATTTCAGGTGATTTATTGGACTTTGTTTCCTGCAAAGACTTCTTAAACTTGTTCAACTGTGTGGACTATTTGGATACTGCGGATTGCCTTGACCTGTTGGACTCTGTGGACTTCTTAAGCTTATTGGACTCTGTGGACTGCCTGGACTTGTTTGAGTTTGTGGCTGCCTGGCCTTGTAAGACTTTATGGACTGCATGGACTTGTTGGACTCTGTGGACTACTTGGACTTTCTGGAGTCTTTGGACTGCTGGAACTTTTTGGATACTTTGAATTGCCTGTATAAGTGATTTATAGGACTTCTTAGACTGCAAGGACATGCTTGACCTATCAAACTCAATGAACTCTCCTGACTTGTTGGACTCTGAATATAATTTGGACTTGGTGGACTTCTCAGCCTCTGTGGACTGATGTGCTCCAAAATCTTTGTTTGGACAGTCCCGGACCCTGTTCCTACCTGTGGACTGATCTGAATCCTGATTGGTTACTGAAGGAAACACATGGATCTCATAATTGGACTGTTATCAGAGTTTGTTTCTATATATACAAATTCCAGCCTTCAAATGTCTGTAAAACAAACAAAAAGTTTTGACTAAAATGTGAATTTATATAAAATTTGAAGTAAATAAAATTGTGGTAACAAACACTGTCAGACTCTTCAGATCAATGTGATGGCATTTAAACAGCCAGGAAGCAACAGTTGTCCAGCTTTATCCTCAGATCCCTACATTTTTCCTGTGCCGGATGGGTTTTCCAATCCTGTGTCCAGGAGCAGTCAGGTCTTCCCCTGGATGTGCACTTCAGGTGGAAGCAGAAGGAATACTATTGTGCTTGAGAAGAAAACAGCTGATGGCCCACTACTGAGCTAACATTAAAGGGCAGGGTGATGAGTGGCCTGCAAAAAATGTACAGCAGGTGTGTTGGGAGAAGGAAAGAATGCCTCAAGAAAGTCTCTGATGGAAAGGAAATGAAATAGCTAAAGATATGGGTGTGTTTAAAAAGGAGTTTGCAAAGACTGTAATGTGGCCTTAAAGACCTATTTGGCTGTATGAGAAGCGAACAGTAGATTTTGAGCTGTTGCAAATTCAGAAAACTAATAAGAACAAAGATTTAGTTAATGAATTCTATCACAATGTATCACTGAGTATGAGTTAGAGACCAGGACCAACTGTAACACACTCAGTATTTCAAAGACTCAGGTTGTAGTTTTGACACTGGCTCTGCACATGCTCAGTAGGGTTCTTTCCCTGCCTGAATGGAAACGGTGGGATCATTTTTTGATTAATAACTGTAACAGGTTAACAACTGAGAATATAATTTAATTATTTACTGTGTAGTTGTTGCTATATGTTGTATGATTTATTTTTCAGGGCTTTTTTAGGAAAACTGTAAAATTTGAAAATCATGATTAATCGAATGATAGTCTAAAGTTAAATTGAAATTAATCACATTGACATACTTTTAATCTATCGTAAATGTAACACAAAGGAATATTACGTTTCTAATACTCAAATTTAAAATTAGAGTGGCCAAATATTCCCTCTTAGTGCAACTGCATTATTGTTGTTATTATTATTGCACCACCCATAACAATGTCACTGACAGGTTACTGATCCCTTAACTTTTGCAGCCCTAATATTTTTAATGAGCTTTATATATATTTAAAAAACTAAAACAGATTGTCCTGCTTTTTTTTGATAAATCAATATGACCTCTATGAACTCATTGCCATAATATCTCAATGTATCTGTCTTGTACTGTTTCATATTTGGTTACAGACAGTTGCCTGAAGAATCTTTTTTTGTTGTTTTTTTAAGTTATATTTTATTCAGTTGAATTCATTTGATCTTGGAATAGTTGCTACTGATTTTTCTCTACAACAAAGTTTTGTTTTACTTTGATGAAATACTAAAATAATTTTAAGAATACGTATACATTTTGCTCAAATGTAGTTTGAGTAATGCTTGAGTTATAAAGGAAGATGTGAAAATGTATACAGCTGTCCCACTGTCCCCTTTATTCTGTGATCATAGGGGATCCTGGTCTAGGGAGAGTCAATTGATTATGAAACAAAACAAAAAAATGTACCTGAGTTATATTCATAGACTTAAATCTGTCTTTATGCAGTTATCATCCAAAGTTGGCATGGACTGTTTATTCAATCGTAACTGTGGAGTTTCAGCTGCCGCAAAGACGAGCAGCTGCCGAATGAAGCCGAGAAGCTCCGAGTATTTCCGATAAGACTGTAGAAGCTCCCCCTCCCCCTTTCCTCCTCTCCCTCTCCCTCCCACCACCTCCTCCTCTTCAGCATCCATTCCCGGTCGGAGGATGTGAGGAATAGTCCACTGCTCTGCTCTGTAAGGAGGTGGAGGACCAGCAGAAGAATCCGGATTCGGATAAGCTCCCCCCCCACCTCCCCCTGTCCGCGGTGAGTAATCGATCTGTTGCCGGTTCTGATTACTCCGTGTTGGACGTGCACGAGCCTCCGCCGTGATCGATCCGCGGGCCAAGACGCTCTCGGCAGCCGCTATCATACACCGATCACACACCAATCATACACACCGATCACTCAACATACCGGCGATGACGTCATCGGCGTCCAGACCAACACACAGTCATGCACGCAGATCGATTACCCAGTTGATCGACAGCGGATAGGTTATCAACTTGCACGCACGCACGCACACACAGGAGCAGTCTGGGTATATTAAGTCACGCAGGGATTTCAGTGTGGTAGAGCTGCATGTGTGAGTGCGTGCGTGTTTGTCCTATCAGGGGGTGGGGCTAAGTCAGCGTCATCAGACCACCGGTGTAACCTTACATCATGTCTGCCGAAGGACCCTAAAAAACTTTCACATGCCATGTAATATTTTGTCATGTCATGTGACATGCGATCACGTGTTGGACTCTCTGGTCATATTTCCCATCATCCTATTTCATGATGATGTCATCATTCTCAGTTATCCTTCAGGCTTCAAAAGCAAAACAGCATCATGTCCCAGTAATTATGCATGGATAATATGTATTCCACAGGATCTGCATGGGGCTGGTTGGTTACCAGGGTGATATATGTTGGCAGTGTCAAAAGTTACTGTGAGGACTCTGACTCAGACAATCTGTTGTGTGCGCATGAATATTAAACTGTGTAGTGAATTTAATTTCAATCCAGGAGTGAGCACTGCATGAAATACATAAAGACACCTGTAGAGACAGCAGAAGGGAGCCCAGGTTGATCTGTTCATCCACTCATAAATCCATCTATTAATCCATCCATCTGCACAGGAGTTCATCAAAGCATCTATTCATTTATCCATCCATCCATCCATCCACAAACTGATTCACGCATCCAAACCCCCCTCCATCCATTCATTTTCTGTTCCTCCATCCAATCCATCCATCCACAAATTCATCCATCCATGCATGAATTAATCCATACATCTCTAAATATGCTTATTTTTCCATCAATCCATCTGTGCACTATCCATGCATCCATTTCTCCTTCCATCCATCTATTAATAATAACAATAATAAAGCATCTGATTTCATATAACGCTTTATCAGAGATCCTCAAAGCGCTTTACGTTGGATACATCATTCATTCGCTCACACAGTCACACCCTAGTAGTTTAGTGGTAAACTATCTTTTCAGTCACAGCTGCCCTGGGGTAGACTGACGGAAACATGGCTGCCAGTTTGCACCTATGGCCTCTCCAACCACCACCACACAACAGTCACATTCATACACCAGTGGAGGACACACACTGGGAGCAAGGTGGTGGGTTAAGTGTCTTGCCCGAGGACACAGCAGGCAGACTCAGGATAGGGGGGAATTGAACCGCCAACCTTCCAGTTATTGGAAGATTGCTCTACCTCTTGAGCTACTGCCACCCTATTGTTATTTGTTGTCATCCATTACCCACTCATCCATCATCCATCTAAGTAAATATGCATTCATTCATCTGTCCAACAGACTGCTCATTCATAATTTTCATTTTGTTCAGGTTTCCCTATCAAACAATCACTTGATCTTCTCTCTGCAGTTATTTAGACTAGCAGAAATAATAACAACATCGACAAAGAAACACATGAACAGCAGACTTAGCTGTCAGTTTTTCTTTACACTTTTTATGCTGCTGTATGACTGTCACGTCCCTTCTGCCCCCACAGTGGCCCCACTGTCCACCTGAAAACTGCACCTTGAATTTACAGCCTAACCACCAGTACAACTCAACCCCATGTCTCAGTCTATATTTTGAATATCAAAGAAAGAGAGAATTAGTGGGTTTGAAGTGGAGTTTTACAGTATTAGTTTCTGAGAATGAAAATCTTTCAACATAAAAGTCTGTTACAGTTTAAGTCTTTCAAAATAGAGCTCCCTCTTGACCATGGTCCTCCAGGCCCAAGCCCTCCAGGACCGTATTACGAAATGATAAAAGTTCTTTGGATAAAAAAAAAGTTTCCTTCTAAACAGAAGAAGCATAAAAGCATCCCTTACAATCAAAGTGTCCTTCAAAGTAAAACTGTTCTTCAGAATGAAGCTCCATGTTACACAGAGACAGGAAACAGTGACTGTATCTAAAATTCGTCTGTGCGCTCTCAGTGTCTGGGCACGCTCATGGCATGGGGGCCGGTGGTTACCATGGTTACCACTCAGCAGCTCACTGAGGTGGAGGATAGTAAAGACTAGAGACTTGGAGTGTGGGTGTCAGAGCATCATCATCTATCCTCTGAGGACCAGGACAGTAAATATTATTGGCTGAGTGATGATGTCACCTGGATCAGAGTACTGCAGCACAGTGTGTGTTGTGTGTATGTGTTGTGTGTATGTGTAGTGTGTGCATGCATGTACGTGTGTGTGTGTGTGTGTAACAGGTCATGATGTGCCATAGCCCTCCCCCTCCTTGTTTCCTAGCAACAGTAACATCTTCTGCTCTGTGGGTAGCAGAGCATGATGTAAAGGCCGGGTGTGTTGCCATGGCGATGCCCTCTCAGACTGCTCAGTGTAAGTGCGTGTGCGTGTGCATGCGTGTGGGTCCAGATGTGCTCTGACACACATTTGTGTTTCTGCTGTGTATGTGAGCAACAGCAGAAGAAGGAGAAGAAGAAGAAGAAGAAGGAGTCGGGGGGGTGGGGCTGTGAGCTGAGCTGCAGTCTGATTTGACTCCTCAGAGCAGTACCTGGTGGCAATCAGAGGAACGGAAGCTCAGACAGAAACAGCCTGAGCTTGTTTAAACTTTAAGGGTTAGGGATGACTTACCTCATGAAGCGCTGATTGACTTTATCTGCTCTCTTTGTCAGGTAAGCTCAGGAGAATCATGCCGTTAGTGAAGAGAATCATCGAGCCCCGGTTTCTGTGCCGCGGCACCTTGCCAGATGGAGTCGCCAGTGAGCTGGAGTGTGTGACCAACAGCACGCTGGCGGCTGTCATCAAACAGCTGGGAGGATTAAGTGAGTCAGCATCTGCTCAAATAATCCACACATACACACACCTGATTAACATACCTAATTAAAGGGATATTCTGGCGTAAAAATTAAGTTACAATGTTGTCGATCGCTTGCTTCTCTAGTTATACCAACAGTAGTAACAACTGCAGATAGCAATACACAGCGGTGTGAGGAGTCATAAACAAACCTCAACCAAAACACCACTCTATAGCCACAAATAATGCTCAGAAAAGCATCTAACTTCATCAACAGTACCTAAAGGTTCCCAGCCACCGCTGTGTATTGCTATTGTGCGGTCATTACTAAAGTTGGTGTAACTAGAGAAGCAAGCAGTCAACAACATTCACCTCTCAAGAGGGTGTCTAACTCTGTGTTTTGGTGTGTCTGACCCCAAATTAATTTTACGCCGGAATATCCCTTTAACACACCTGATCCCCTGGACACTTATTTTACACACATCTAATTAATACACCCCTCATCTCACCTGCACACTTGATTAACACACACACACACACACTTGCGTATTCATTCACTTTCCTGTTCTCACCTGTACTTCTGGTCATTCACAAGGAGCATGGACCTGATAGAGGTCAACCTTACCTGTTCCCACCTGCAGGTCGCCATGCTGAGGACATCTTTGGTGAGCTGTTCTCAGAGGCGAACAGTTTCTACCTGAGGATGAGCAGTCTTCAAGAGAGAGTGGACCTGCTGGCTGTCAAGGTGACCCAGCTGGACTCCACTGTGGAGGAAGGTAGGAGGATCAGCGCTGTGTGACATGACTAACATGGTTAAAGGTGTAGAGATGGAGATCCTTGCCTATCCTTAATTCACTTCTAACTCACCTAAGAGTTGATAAGATGTTGAATAATACACCTCCTCCTACTGCAGTCCACTTCCTGTGTGTAGTTACAGGTGTGTATTTGTGGGTCAGTGTCTCTGCAGGACATCAACATGAGGAAGGCCTTCAGGAGCAGTACCATCCAGGACCAGCAAGTGGTGTCCCGGAGCTCCATCCTCAATCCTGTGTTAGAGACGTACCAGCGCTGCGACAAACCTCCACCTCTCAACATTCTCACTCCGTACAGGTGAGTTTGCGTGACCTGTCCCTTTATCTGACTCCAGCCTCAGTCCACTCCTTGTGAAACTTCTCTAAGTTCTTAGTTCCTGAAACTGCCTTGTTTGACAGTCCTCTCAGACTCTGTTAACATTGGTGTGTGTGTGTGTAGGGATGATAAGAAGGACGGTCTGAAGTTCTACACTGACCCATCTTACTTCTTCAGTCTGTGGAGGGAAAAGATGCTACAGGCCACTGAAAACAAACGCAAAGAGAAGAGACGGCAGAAGGTCCACCTTTCATACCTGTTTACCTGTCTTTCATCCTGCCTTTCCGTTTCTCTCTGAGTCTGTGTTTCTTTTGTTCTGTCCACTAGCCTGTCATTCTGTCCATCTGTGTTTATTCTGACCCCCAGTGTCCATCAGTGTGAATAAACCATATTTTGTTTTCTAAGGAGCAGAAACATGTGGAGGAGTCTTCAGGACGGGAAGTTAAGAAGGTCAGTTCTTCCTCTTTAGTTTCACTGGTTGAAGAAATATTCTATCAGATTTGAAGTCTTTGGGTTTCTTTCTTACCTCTTTATCCCAGAGCACGGTCAGTCGGATTTAAACTGGACTAAATTGTGTTTAAGATGCTTTCCCTGAGACCCTGTGAAATGATTCAAAACATTATATTTTTGATTTCTACATCATGCCTCTACTTTCCTTCTCTCTGTGTAGGTTCGTAAAGCTCGTAACAGACGACAGGAGTGGAACCTAATGGCCTACGATAAGGAGCTCCGTCCAGATGCTCGATTTACACCCTCACCTTACCACACCTCTGATGGGTCATTGTCACCTGACAGGTACACACACCTAAACACACTGTCCCAACCCCTTTAGTGTAAAAGCTTTCGTGTTTTGTCAGGTCTGTCCTCAAGCAGAGGGGAAAAAACTTCTCTTGAATGGAGGTCAGATCCATCATTTCTGATACATTCAGGGGAGTCAGGAAATCTAAATGCTGATTGTCTCGGGAGCTGAAATGTCATTGTGGTGGATTGTGTTCCTCCTGCTTTTGGTCTCCATGCACACTGTTTTTCATGCAGACACCAAAGCTCGCTGGCACCTGATTGCTCAATACAATTCAGAATACTTCTCAATATTTCCCATGAGTACAGATTATTTATGTGCATGTGTAAGTGTTAAAGTTTATTAAATTTGCTCCCCTCTATTAGGTCGGGGATGTCAGATGACCCCTCTTTCTCTGCCAGCCCTCATCACCATGAAGCCCAGCATGACAGGAAGGATCATGCAGCTGTGGCAAACAGTGGGACTGGTCAGACCCAGTCCTTGGACCGTGCCCTCAGACCCACTTCAGCATCCTCTGGGGTCTCTGCAACAGCTACTCGACAACACTCACTGGGCCACAACCAGCCTCATCACCACCACCCACCACACAGCGGCCCAGCCAGTCAGGGTGCAGCGCGGACTGCTGCAAAGGAGGCTAAGTAAGCACAGTCTGATGGTATTTATCCACCCATGTCTTCCCGGGTCCTGACTGTTTAATGTCCTTTTTTTAAAGGATGCTTTCGAGTTGTCCTATGGCTTATTTTCAGGATATGGACTTGTTTACTTTATAAACAGGTGCTTCATTTACACACAGAGAGCTGAGCAGACAGGTTGGAGTATGGCAGAGAGATCACACAGGAGCAAATACTGATCTAGAGTCCAACAACGGGCTGTACAAGGGACCTCATTTAACAAATAACTGTCCTGGACTAGCTCACTGTATGTCAAAGACCTGATTTGCTTGATCCCCTTGGGACTGCAGGCCATGTAAAGTAACAGGAACCCCTTAGCTTAATGGAAAGAACTAAAAGTTCCTGGTGAATATGCTCCAATACTCACACACATACAAACAAACATATTCAGACACAGAGGGTTGACATTTGACCTGTTTCTCCTCAGTGACCATCAGATCCCACCCACCCCTCCACCCCCTCCTCCCCTGATGCCATCATCAGGCCAGATGACATTCCCCAACAGCTCTGCCCACACTGCTGCTATGACGACACCCCACCACCCTGCAGCATCCTCTGGTAGCCAAGGTAACAGGCGTGTAATTCCTGTCATGGTGTTCCTGTTGACTGAATGTCAGGTAAAACAAGATCTGTTTTTGTCTCCAGGTGGCGCTACTGTCTCTCATCCTTACAGTCCCACCCCTCCCCCTCCTCCTCCAGCCAACTACATCCCCTCCCCTTCTCGACCTAGAGGCCAACAGCCCCCGCCCACAGCTGCTGTGGCTCCTCCTACAGCCCCGACAACGGATGGCAGGAAGCATCCTGGTGGTCCAAATGTGCCAATGAATGATGCACGCAGTGACCTGCTAGCTGCGATACGCAGAGGTAAGCACTTACCTGTTAGCGTTTGCAACATTAAATATTCAACCTGCTGGTTGGCCTGTGGTCCTGTGGGTCCGGTTTCTGGGGTCGTGGTATCTGAGGTATGGTCTCTGTCCGTCTCAGGGATCCAGCTCAGGAAGGTCCAGGAGCAGCGAGAGCAAGAGGAGGCGAAGAAACAAGAGCCCACAGGAAATGATGTTGCCACCATCCTGTCACGTCGCATTGCTGTGGAGTACAGCGAATCAGAGGAAGAGTCTGAACCTGAGGACCAGGAGTGGTCCGATTAAGGGGGCAGAGCTACATAAAGGCTGGTCATCCTGTCAGACAGGAAAACTCCAACAGGAAGTTAAAGAACACCTGAGGAAAGTTTTAAAGAGAAGACGGTCTGATATATATATATTAGAAAAATCCCTCAGTCTGAGACACACAAATCAATGTCAATTATTTTATCATCATTTATGATAATAGAATTATTAATAAGTCCATCCAACATTATTGTTCTGAGTGATGTATCATTATTAGCGCCACTGCAGCATCAGTAAATAGACCATCATACAGAGCGCTTAGATATCAGATCTAACTGTGTGTTTCAGTAAATCTTAGATTATCTACAGAGGTTACATTAATACAGGTAATTTAGATCTCTGAGGAAATTACTACCAATACATGGATAACAGAAAACATGTCATATCACACAGAAGTATAAAAATTAATGTTAACTTCACTCAACCTGAAGAAAGGGATAAATATTTTGTAATGTGTTACTGAAGCTTTCAAACTGTTCATCAAACACAACCCTAGTGCCATAAAGGTTACGACGCTGTATGAAATGTTGATAAAAACAGAGTTTTATCATCTGTAAATCATATAAGTCTATTTATCTTACAAAAAGTTCAGTTCAGGGACTCTGTCCTGTTTAAGAAGTCATGGTGCTCCAAAAGTTTTTAATAAGTCAGGACCGTAGGCAGGTCAGTTTATCAGCATGACTCTTCTACTACAGAGACATGCTGTTGTCATCCCTGCAGAATGTGGTTTGTCATAGTCTTGCTGAAATATGAAGGTCTTCCCTGAAAAAGTCTTTGTCTGGATGGCAGCATATGTTGTTCCCAAACCTGTATATATTGTTCAGCATTAATGGAGCCTTCACAGATGTGGAAGCTACCCATGGCATAGACTCTAATGATCCCCATACCATCAGGGATGCTGGCTTTGAATTAGGAACTGATAACAAGCCAGATGGACCTTCTGCTCTTTAGAGTGGATGCAAGATCCATGATCTCCAAAAAGAAAGTCATATTTTGACTCTGACCCCTCTATAGATCTGGGAATGCAGCATCAATGATCTCCAAAAAGGATACCATATTTTGACAGTGACTCCTCTATCAGATGGGGGATGCAACATTCATGATTTTTTAAACAAGTTCAGTATTTTGAGTCTTTTCAGTCTATAGAGCAAGAGATGCAGCATCCATGATTTCCAACAGGAATGTAAAATTTTTGTCCTCAGACCACCATACACTTTCTCTTCCCCCAAGTCCATCTTATATGGACTCAGGTCATGGTGTTTCTGGATCATGTTTCTATCTGGTTTCCTCTTTGTACAATAATGTTGGTCACGAAACCTTTCAAATCTGTTTTTAATCAACATTTTACATGATTTTAAAACTTAAGTGGTATTGGGTTTGTATGTAGCAAATATTACATGAAACCTGTTAAATATAATTCAGAAAGGTGATTAAAATGACTGTTTGTTTTCCACAGAGGGATGTGTCAAAGAGCTGATTTATTATTTCATATCATTAATTATGGATTGAACAGCTTATCTCTACAGAGGATGAACTTTTACACCTGTATGACTGCTTGACCTTTCTCTAGCGCCACCTTTAGGACAGGTGCTTAAGCTCTAGTCACAGCAGGTGAACTCTGATTGGATGATGTTTGTAATAAGGTGTGCAGCCTGTAGGGGGGCAGGTGGCGCTGTTTCAGGTGTGTATTAATAAGGTTTGTTTTGGTGGTTAAAGTGTTTATTCTTGTACTTTTATTGTGAAAGCTGTTCTCACATCAGCTCACATTATTTCAATCAGTTTCCATTTTTATTTTAAACTTTACAGTCGGATAAATCTGTTTAAAAATCAGTGAAAATACCATAAGCTGCTTTACTTCATACTGTCTAATTACTTTTTTAAATTTTTTTTATTGTATCACAGTGTTGTATTTTTTATTTTTATTTATTAACTTTTTTACTATAAAACCACAGGGACACCTTATCATTCATTAGTTTATTTACTTATGTTTGTTATTTTAGTAAGTTACTGATGTTCTGATATCTTGCTGACCCGTAAATATTTCTTTAACAGTATTGTGGTTTCAGCCTCTGATTCATCAGTTACCTAGGTAACCAGAAAAACAGTGTCCCATCATGCACTGCTTAACTGACCAGTGGGGGGCGGGGGGTGTTGATCCATTGTTCTTGACTTCATGCTTAAAATAATGATGTCATATATGAAACCAGCTTAACGTATGTGACCTAAACACTAAGCTGATTAAAGGGGCGGGGCTTTTAGTGATCAGTTCTTTATAAATTATTAATTGGTTATTGTTGTGTGCTGTGCGCTCTTCTGTGTTTGCATGTCAGTAAAAATTTCGAATATAAAAAACAAAAGCTGTTAAACCCCCTCCTCCAGAAAAAAAGACATAACGAGCCCTGTTCTTGTTTGTTTGTTTGTTTGTTTGTTGATCAGCTGAATGATAAAGAATTAGGTTTCAGAGTATGTGTGGGTATTTCAGTTGAATGACAGGTTTGAGCTCAGCTTCAGACGTGTTTTGAGCCTGTTAATCTGTTATCAGTAACCCTCTGTATTAAAGGTTTGTACAGTCAAATATGTTTAACTATGAATTATTTTATTTAAATGTTGTGATGAGACACAAAGGTAGGCCCTGAACGGTTCAGTTTTGCTGAAGATATTGATAACATGTGTAAGATGACTTCTCTATTGCTTGGAGTCTCCATGGTAACACAGATTCATCCGAGCTCTAACCCGCCCAGTCTAGCTGGGTGTGAGGGGGGAGCTGACAGGGAGACGCTGCTGCTAATATATCAGGCAATGATTAGATAGGCACTAGACTAGGTGTATTGTGCTGCATCAAAAACAGCATTAACTAGGCTGGATGTCCTGTAAGCCAAGGTGCTGAGACATTGCTGAGGGGCTTTCAGAACTTCCCTAATCCCTGCATTACTCATTGAAATGGGAGAAATGCCTCTGTGGATAATGCGCTTCAAGATAAGGACTACAGTACTGGACAATGATTAGTGGGAGTACTCAAACATCTACTGCTATGTGCCTGTTACAAGAGGTGGAAATAATGAACAGATACAAACCATTTATCTCCAGTGTTAATCAGTGGTCTAAGAAGCAATAGGAATGAGACAGGAGTTGATAGCAGAACACTCTAATTTGTCACAGACACCACCATGGTTAAAAACTGTAACATCGAGTTCTGCTTCCTTCAGAGGGAAGAGAAAAGGGAGTTGAAAAGGTGTGTGGAGGGATATCTTAGGGCAGCCAGGGTGAATAAGATATTAATTTCCACTGATGGATCCAGAGACCCAGTTAGTTGGAGAGCAGGGCTTGGGATTTAGATAGACAGAACAGCCTGAATTGAAATATAGCTTCCAGGTATCAGATGAAACTTCAGTTTTCACCACAGAGTTGATGGCAATCCTTTGGGCTCTAAAGTGGGTGGAGAGGGAAAAGCTGAAGGAGGTTGTCATATCCTCTGACTCTGCAGCAGCACTGGAGGCCTTAAGAGCTGATAAAAGCAAAGCTTGCCTTGATCTGGTGATAGAAATTCAAAACATCATGTGCAGAATTGGGTCAGAACACAAGGTCATATTATGTTGGGTTCCAGTGCATCCTGGAGTTGAGGGCAATGAGAAGGTGGACCTCTTGGCAAAGGAAAGCTTACTCAAAGGAACAGGTATTCACAAGCCCCTGGGGAGAGTGGAACTAAAGGGACTAATTCAGGAGGGTGCTATTGAGGAGTGGCAATCAGGCTGTGAGAGAGAGGGTAAGAGGAGACATCATTTTACAGCCCAACCCAAAGTGAAGACTAGATGCTGTTGTAACATCAAATCTAGTGGAGATGCAGTAAAGCTGTGCAGGCTGAGGCTCGGACACTGTGAGTTAAATCAGTATCTGCTTACAATGGGAACCACCGTGTTATCCAAAGCAGCGCTGCAGTTCCTGCATGAAACTAGTCTTTATAACGAGATCTGATTAAACAAGTGACCAGTAGAGGGCAGTAATACCATTTGTGCCGTCAACTCTGCGAGAAATTAGGAAGGAGAAGAAGAAGAAACTCAGTTTACACATGGAGCTGGTAGACGGCGGGATCGGTCTGTGGAGTTCGGATTGAGCGGTGAGTGCGGAACATTTAAGTCTGTCAGTACACTTTATAAGTTTAGAATTTGATCTGAAGGTATAAAACACAGATTTAATCGTAAATATTTAAAGAGGATACACACAGAATTATGAATACGATCATTTGACACTGAGCTGCTTTCAACACTGCAGTGAGAGGGACTGAACCAGGACCATTAAACAGATGTCAACAAACATCAGCTGACCTGAAGCCCATCACTGACTTACAAAAACTATTGTAGAGTAATCAGTGGTGGTGCATGTGGGTAAATGAGAAGGAAGAAGATTGAGAGCTGAACGATATTATTAACCTGGCAAATATATTACCCTTCTTCACCCATGTTTAACTAAAGCAAACCTTGTTGTTGTTGATTAGAACTTTCAGTCACTTTTATATTATTAGAATTAGAGCATTTAAAGTTAAACCACTGCAAATACAAGGTGTGACCTCTGCTGTTCTAATCATGTTAATAAATGCTCATAATATTCATGAGAAGATACAAGATAAAAGCCTATTCATAAAAAAAGATTAAAACAACAAAACAGGAACTGATTTACTACATCAAAATAAGGGATTTTAAGTTATTTATACAGAGTTATGAAACCTTACAGATGTTTTCTCAGATCTCCAGACTGTCCCAGCAGAAAAATGTTGTCTTGATCTGATATTTTGTCTCATTACCTGTAAACACCCATTGATGTCACACTTATAATTGAACTTTCTCTTTCAGTCTGTGTGAAACAGCAGTTAGAGCGCACAGCTCTTTTTGTAGTCCATCTGTGGTTGTTTGTAGTTTCTACAGCAGATTCACCTGACATCAGTAGCAGTCGGATTCTCCAAACACCAAGGTTGTCCTTCCCAAACTTCTGATATGCATCTGTCCTAAACCCTGTAATATTTACAATTAGGATTAAGGAAAAGAGGATAGGAAAGGACTCGGGGTCAGTTTTATTCTAATAATTACATCACTGCTTTGACAACCCCATGTAGGGCAAAGTTATCATTTAATATAAATTTGAGACTTTTTCAGTCAGCAACAGTGGTGGAGGGTTCCAGAGTGCAGGGTTCTAGACAGGACTGTCTGTTCAGGAGCTAACAGTGAGCTGCTTGTCCTGTAAGAGGAATGTTTGTGTACTAACAATGAATAAACTGTCAGTTTTAATCATATATATATATTTTTTTTGCTTAGACTCACCTGTTCCAAGTGAACTCAGGTGTTTGGGTGGCAGACATGTCCCTGCAGGTGTGCTGTCTCTCGTTCCGTCAGCCATATGCCGGTCTGGTTCTGGATGGGGTGAAGACCGTGGAGAGCCGTTGGCGCCCACTGCTGGCCCCACTGGAGAACCAGACTCTGGCAGTCCACATCGCCCAGCGGGACTGGGAGGGGGAGGAGTGGAAGGCAGTGCTAAGTGGTCCTTTGGGGATGAACCCGAGTCAGATCAATGCTCTGATGGAGTCTGGGGAGAGGTTTGGCCGTGGCGTGGTGGCAGGTGAGACAGCCTCAGGTGGTAATAAAAGCGTATGAGGCACACTTGATTACCTATGCTCATCTCTCTCAGGATTGGTGGATGTGGGAGAGACCTGGCAGTGCCCCATCTCCATGCAAGGGGAGGAGCTTCAGCACCTGGAGTGCTCAGCTGTTTTAATTGGTCTGCAAGAGAAACACCTGACTTACCTATCCAACCCCCGCTGGCTCAAGGAGCCGCTGAGCACACGAGGAGGTCGTGACCTCTGGACTGTGGAGATCCCCAAAGAACTGTTACCATGACAACACTTATCATCACTAAAGACTTTAATGAGTATTCATGTCAGCAGGTAGCATAGACAGCTGACTCACCTATTTGTATCGCTGTGTTTGTAAATAAAGTGTTGATTTATTTTTTTATATGCTCGACTCTGTTTGAATCCAACATCATGTGACTGGGGTCAATCCCAGATGTGATCAGGTGAGTGTCAGGTGACACAGGTGTGCTGGTCTGAGTGACAGGACTCCTCTGCTGCTCAAACAAAACTTTATTTTTTAACAAACAACCGTGAACAGGTTCCAACACAAAAACATCCCCTCACTGTAAACAGGGACTAGCAAAGCGAGCGCCGCTCACTGAAAACAAACAGGGAATTAGCCTGGACAGCGAACACATACGGTAAATGACAGTTAAAGCAGTGTGTCTGTGTTACACATTTGGGGGGATGTAGTGTGTGGCTGTGTGGTGAGTAGGTGGGGCTGGAATATAGCTGACCATGAGGGGGGGATTAGTAGCAGGACAGTAGCCTCTAGGTGTGTGACCTCCACCCTGCAGTGCCCCCCAGTGAGTAGAGGAGGGGAGGCATGGATGGTAGGAGGAGTAGTGGGTAAGGTGGACAGGGTGAGGATGAGCTGGGACAGGTGGGGCTGAGGGCATGTAAGAAGCTGTGGGTGGAGCTTCATAGGGCAGGTGCAGTTGAGGGGGAGGGGGGAATGGTGTTTGGTCTGAATACATGAGAGCTGTTGAGGAGGCGGAGCCTGTAGGGGTGGGGTTGACAGAGGAGGAGCCTTCTGCTGAGGGGGTTGTGCCTAATGGGAGAGGAGAAAAAACTGGATACTAAGATATATAACATATTAAACATATTTATCATAGTAACAATGTAACGTGTCAGTGTGCTAAGGTGTTAAAGATGAGCTCTGTGGGTTTAGGTGTTCAAGGTAAACTCGGGTTAAAGATAAGCTCAGAGTGCTCAGGTGTAAAGGTGTTCAGGTGTGTCTGGTTTAAACAATATGAAAGCTTGCTGTGACTGTACTAACCATTGCTGTGTCCCTCTGTCGGTCCTTCTCCTGCCCTGGAGGATTCTGGGTAAGAGGACATGGGCTGGTGGGTCCCTCTGGTTCCCTCTGTAATAGGGGAGGGGGGCAAGGCAGACCAGAATGAGAACCAGTTAGGATATTAATCTCAGTTGTGTCTGCAGGATTACCGTCACTCATTGACTAAGTTCAAGGACTGAAAAACCATGTGGCAATAAGTGATTAGTCATTGCTTAACTAGCATACAAACTTACTAGAAAGACAATGACTTATCTCGTACGTAAATTTACTGCAGACTCCCTCACTAACACACTTAGAAAAGAGTAAATCTCTGACTGACACACTTAAACCAATCACAGTGACAAACCAACTGGAGAATACTCTCACTTAATAACTTCCTAATTTGCTAACTCACTGTTGAATCTACTCAAGTATTGTACTGGATAACTAACTTACTTACTATACTTAAGTCACTACATTACTAATTAACTAACTTACTGAGGAGCAGGATCTTGGGAAGATGGGGCTGATAGACTAACTCCCTCACTGATAGACTCAGTAATTGAAAATTCTGACGATAATCAAACTTACTTACTCACTGATAGAAGAACTCACTGATAAACTAATCCACTTAATGATGTATCAATGCACTGATTATCTAATAATCTTTCTTAATAACTTTAATTTACTGATGAAGCAATGGACTGACTAATTTACCCTTTAACTCACTTATAAACTTATAAACTCATACATTCACCAACACACAGATAAACTTAACCCAGCTATAAACTAGTCCTCTCTGCTAACTTACTCAACCCCTCCCTGATTAACTCCATCAAAGACTAACTTACAATAACAGCAGACGAAGCTGTAGGTTATTAAATGGGTGAATCCATCTATACACTGTGTGCACAATTATTAGGCAAGTTGTATTTTTGAGGATAAATTTTATTTTTGAACTGCAGAGCTCTCGGTCAATCCAGTAGGTTTTGGGAGTTGATTTTAAGTCCATCTTCAACCCGAAAAGGTCCAGCGAGCTCATCTTTAATAATACCAGCCCATACCAGTACCCCGCCTCCACCTTGCTGGTGTCTGATTCAAAGTGGAGCTCTGTGCCCATTACTGATCCAGCCATGGGCCCATCCATCTGGTCCGTCAAGAGTCACTCTCATCCCATCAGTCCATAAAACCTTTGAAAAATGAGCACTGAACACCTTGTACTTCTGGGCACTCCAGGTAGGTTGCAGTTCTGGAATATGACAGCACCGGAGGATAAGCGGTTCCTGGTACCTTTACGTTTGAGTCTCCTCAAATCTTTGGCAGTTAATTTGCGTCTTTTTTTCTTAACACATTTCTTGCGACCCTGTTGACTATTTGCATCAAAATGTTTGATGGTTCTGTGATCACGCCCAAATATCTAAGCAATTTCAAGAGTGCTGCATCCATGAAAGACTCTGACATCTGAAAGACTTTTTACAATTTTTGACTTTTCAGAGTCACTTAAATCTCTTTTTTGGCCCATTTTACCTGAGGAAAAGAAGCTGCCTAATAATTATGCACACCTTGATATAGGGTTTTGATCTCCTTAGACCCCAGCCTCCCTCATTATACTAATACACATTACCTGATATGCTTATATCCAATAAACATTCAAGTTTATACAGCTTGGAGTTGGAAAATATGCATAAAAATGATGATATGATCAAAATACTCACTTGCCTAATAATTGTGCACACAGTGTATATATAACTCACCTCTCTTTGTTACCAGGTTGTGTAATTGCTGACTATTTATCAGTGACAGAAGGTTACAGCTGCTGGTCAAACATCATCCAATCAGAGGGGACTGATTTCTTACCGTGGAGGGTTGTGTCCTGGCTCGGGTAGGGGGTGTAGTACTGGTATAGGTAGGGGGTCTCAGATGAAGATGGAGTGTACACCTGCTGCTGCCAACAGCTCTGATGATACCACTGTTAATGAGGTCAGAAGTCAGCTTATCCAACACCTGTCTACACCTGAACAACCTTCCCCAAACTAACATTAAAAAAAAAACTGAACTCCCAAGTTCATTAACGTGTCTGTAATCACATCTAGGATGAAGTCATACCTGTATATCTGTTTTCACAGCATACAGGTTCATTCAAACCTGAGACTGTCTACACCCGAGACTGTTAGCATCTGAGACTGTTAACCACCAAGACTGCCTACACCTGAGGCTCAAATTACTCATTGAGAGGGCAACTAGACTTGTTTAAGCTTCTTGCAACCTTGCAGAAGTTTGGCCTTTATTTAAAAAGGCTTCTTTGGTTCTGAACTGGAGAAGCCTTTTGGAAGAGAGGGGAAATGTCTTCAATGACCTTAAACAAGCCCAGTTGCTCTTTACACGAAGAATTTGATTACTATGACCTGGATGAATGAGAACCTACACAGACATTTACACCCGAGACTGTTCACATCTGAGACTGTTCACACTGGCTACAGTGACACGTTTTTTCTTACTGTTTCAGAACAAACATTTAAAGATATCACATTCAGGTATTCTCACCTGGATTCCTAGGTTGAAGTAATATTGTAGGACCCTGCAATCTGAAAACACACACACCCACAGTAACATTGGTATTAACAGGAAGCTGCAGCTAATAATGTTTTTTTTTTGTCTTGTTGACCTCTGACCTCTGGGTAAATCACTGCCATTGGGGTCGTAGGAGTAAGGGGGCGGAGCCACATTGCTGCAGAGAGGCTCACCCAGCTCATTGACCAACCAGGGAGAGGCTGGGATTGTCATGGCAGCTGACAGCAAAATACAAAACATTACATAATTATTAAACTACTCTTTAATGCTCCTTATTGTTAAAGTGTGTGTTTGTACCTGTGCGTGTCTGGGTGTGTGCTGTTGGCAGGTGAGCAGCGGGTGCATGTGATGATGGAGAGGAGGGGGAGGAGGAGGAAGAGGAGGGGGAGGAGCAAATCACAGGTAATGGCTTCACCACCTGTGACCATTAATAACAGTTACCAATAACTGATAATAATCAATACACAATATACAATGAATCATACAAATTAAGAGAAAAAACACCAACATGCAATAATAGACATTTAACAATATCAAATAAAAATAAGCAGTAGGGATTATATTGATCAATTATGTATCAGAGTTGATGATGAAAATAATTACATAATAACAATTACAAACATAAATCACAATAAACAAACAAAAATACATAATTAACAATTACAATACAGTAATAGTCCATTGAATAACTTTTTGCTGAATCCTTTTTTTTTTTTTTTTTTTTTTAAATAAAGGTATGACTTTTGTCATGGTATCATCACATGACCTACCTGCTGTGAGTAGCTGAAGTTTATCTCAGCTCTCTGTGGGGAGTCTGCCGTACCTCCTTCCTGTTTAGCCTTCCACAATAAAACAATCAGTGCAGTTGATCAGGTGACACTGTTAGTGTGGCTTATCAAACACATGCTCATGTGAACACTGACCACAGAGAGCGGACCCGAGACTGACCTCATCATGACTCCATCTTTTAAAACCTCTGATATGTTTCTAAGGTGAGGGCTCAAGTGCGTTACCTGGTTGGGGGAGGGCTCAGCAGCAGTGTACACCTCTGAGGTCTGATAACCTTGATCTGAAACACACATATCTAGTCAGTCAGCATGCTGTGTGTGTGTAAGTGTGTGCAGTGTGTGTGTGCGTCTTACCCTGAGACATATAGACGTACTCCTCTGTGAACTCTGCTAGAATCAAACACAGGTAAAGAAGTGTTTCAGTTCAAGAAGGTTCAACTAAAGGTGTTTCAGTATCACAAAAGGTATACAGTGGACAGGACAATAAGCTAAGTTTACACTTCCTACAATACTTCCACAATAAAAGTTCACAGCAACCTAAGGGTTAGGTCAATCACTTAGAGCTCTTTCTGCAATAAGCATGACGCCACCTGATGGTGCCTTAAAGACCCACTCCGATGAAAATCACGTTTTTCTTGTTGTCCATAAGTTCAAATGACATTGTTTTGATGCTAGAGGACATATCAGGAGAAAACCACGTGCAAAATTACATTTCTGAGTATTTCTGCTTTCAAATCGCTGTAAATTTCTAGCAGACCCAAACGGCAGGTCCGTCCCCAACAGGATTTTCTCTGTTACAAGTCTGAACTTCGCTCGTGGCACCCCGCTCTGCAGGCCAGATCCCAAGAAGTAGAGAGAATGGTGGCGGAACAAGTGTGTGCGATGGCGGATTGCAATGCTCGTAAGAAAGCTAACTATGATCTCAGCTTTCAATAGGCTCCGAAAGACTTAAGTGTTTGAGAGCTGAATAGCTTCTATATAACCTAACCTGCCACTTTTGCTGCACCAGCAAAGTCAGGCTACAAGCTAGCATGAAGAGGAGGGTGAAGAGCTGTGCCGTCTTCACCCATGACTCAGAGGTGAATTGCTAAGGAGCTACCGGAGCCCTGCAGTATAAAAGCCTCTGAAAACGACACAGATAGTGTGATTTTGGCTAAAAACTTCATAATCACAATTTAAAGACCACATAGAACACTTTATATAGAAAAAGAAAAAAACAAAACAAAAACAATTGGAGTGGGACTTCAAAATAATCTGTTTTCATGTTCTCAGTGAGCATTTTTTTTGTAGGAATAATATAACTTCCTTTCTGTCCTCACCCTGGTCCTCAACAGTGCTAGCTTCCTCCTGCTCCTCCTCTGAAGAGCAGACAGGGGTGTTTCCTGGGGGTGGTGCAGGGGGGAGCGGCCCTGAGGCTCTCTGAATCCGATAGGAGGAGCTAGGTGGAGGAGGAGGGGCTCCAATGGTGGGAGGCGGAGCTACAGCAGGGCCCTGAGGAAGGAAAGGGGCCGTTACTTTTGTGCCACCAATCAGTGTCTTGCCCAACTCTCCAAGTCTGCCTTGAAGTTATAATCATCATAGTAATCATTTTGCACTGCAGACACAGTAGTTCTTCTGCCTCAGCGTCTCAGTCTGATTGCATTTCCATGAAGTAATAATCGTAAATGTTCTTCCTTGAGCTGCAAAACTCCGCTGCACTCGATGATGGACTCATCCATCATGTAGTTTAGTTTACTCACTGTCAGAGGGGGGAAGACCGCTTCACCCTCGTCATCCAGCTGGTAGTACGCCATGGCTGGGTCCAGATCAGAGGGCTCCTGCGTCCCCTCAGTGTGGAACCCAAACTGGCAGTCTTTATTCAGAGCAGCAAACTGGCGGCGGCTACGACTGACACCAGAACAGACAAAGACCAACAAAGACATAAAGGCCAAAGTCATACTGCATCCAAATATAACATCTGAACCAGGTGTAAGCTCTGTCAGGTATCATGTTGTAAATATTTTATGGTGATACTTATGAAAAACTCATCAAAAAGAAGCCACTTTCCTTACTCTAACAGTTGCCATGGTAGCCTTGTGTCATGTGATTGCGTTAGTCTAGCTTCAGTTAGCTGTATGATAGACAGGGTGTGTGTGTTTACCGGGACCTGAAGGTATAGTTCTCGTAGTCGTGGCAATACCTCCTGCCAGGGTGGTAATAGGTCAGCTGTGGACCAATCAGGTGACGGTTCAGAAAGCGTGCGGAGCTTCTGACCAGAACCCATTGTACAGGTAGGCACACACACACACACACACACACACACACACACACACACACACACACACACACACACACACACACACAGTCATGTGTCCATTACAAATACAGTCTAATACAGTAATTTGTCCATAAAGCACATCTATATTGTCACTACTCTTGGTGCTCTGTCTCACCTGGATGCACCGTAACGAGGAGGTCTGGCTGGAGGGTGGTGGTGATGATGGTGTTGGTGGTGAGGGGGTGCATAGGGGTCGTAGGTCATGGCTCCAGGTGACGGGGGAGGGGGGGGGCGAGGGTGGCCTGTAGGCTGGAAGCGAGGTGGCAAAGGGGAGGGGGCGGGGCCTCCATATGAGGATGGTGGAGGCATCAACAGCTCCATCCCCTTCACTCCACTGCTGCCACGAGACTTTCTGAAGTAACGTTGGCGCTGGTGGCGCTGACCACGAGAGTCACAGTCTGACAAGGAGACAGAGAGATTTGTTATTGATTTACTTGAGGGGAGGCGGGGGGAAACCTGGCATACTTCCTTTGGCAGGACCACAGCATTAACACTAATCATGTCTGAGTAATATCAGACAATAAAACTTAAGGCAGCAGGTAGATCTGATCCAGGAGTGATCATACCCTGATCTCCCTTCCTGGAGGGGGCTGCAATGTTCCAGGCTGGAACTGGATTAACTGGTTTTAGGTCTGTCAGAGGGACCAGGTGTCTGTCAGAGACGGAGGGACACAGATTCAGTTTTTATATGAATAAAACCAACAAGGGATTAAAGTCAGCATCATGTTCAGAAAACTGGGTCTGTGGGTGAGTATCACCAAATGTGTCTGCACATCTGTGTGTTTGTATGTGTGTCTGTTTGTGTGTCACTGAGTGTGTGAATTACTTCTCTCCCAGCTCCTCGATGAAGACAGTTACAGCCGATGAGTGAGTTCCTACTTCCTGAATGAAGGCATTGAAGTATTTCCCTTTTGGCTCCAATCGAACCTGAAACACACACAGAGTGAAACCTCATCCCTGTTCTGGTTTACAGACTCAGGTCTGTCCTCTACAATCTTTTTCTGTGTTCACTCTGTGTCTCATAGTTGTTGTCTCCATATCCTTTCTTACCCCTGTGTCTCCCTGATATCCTCTCTATTTTTGGCTCCGTGTACTTCTGTCTCTTTTATGCTACCTGTCCTCCATGTCTTCAACCATGATGTTGTGGTGTTTCTGGTGTCCCTCTCTGTGGTCCATTTATTCTTTGTTTAAAGCTTGTTTTTGTCTCCCTTATGTCCTCCCCACGTCTTCATGTGTCCCCAACTATTGCCATTCTGTGTCTCTGTTATGTCCTCCCTGTTACCTTTCTTTTTTCCCCATTGTGCTGACTCTCTGTCCTGATTTGTCCCTAATGTTTCCCCTTTCGGTTCTGATTTTGTCCCTGTTGCGTCACCTCTGTCCTGATTTTGTTCCCAACGTGTCCCCTCCCTGCACTGTCTTTGTCCACATTGTGTCCCCACTCTGTATTGTCTTTGTCCCCATTATGTCCCTATATGTCCTGATTATGTACCCATTGTGTCCCTCCACTGTCCTGATTTTCTCCCCAATGTGTCCCTATCTGTCCTGATTTTGTCCTCAAAGTGTTCCCTCTTTGTACTGTCTTTGTACCTCGTGCCCCCTCTCCATGCTCAAATTGTCCCCAACTTGTCCCCTCTCTGTCCTGACTTGGTCCCTGCTGTTGCTTGTTTTTATACCACCTTTGTCACTCTCCTGGTTTCTTTTTGTGTCCTGTCTGTCTTTCCAATGTGTCCCTTGTTTCCTGTCCTATATCGACTTGAGAATCATTTATTTATAAGATATTTTGTATGTGTGTCCTTTTGAAGTTCTTGTGTTTATCTTTTTGTTTATGTGTCCAGCTGTCCGTGTCCCATCTCTGTCTTAAGAAGTCTACCTGTCCCTCTCTGATGTCTGACCGCTGGTTTTATTCATGCTAGATTATTATTGTTTGATGCTCTCAGTGTTTTAAACATTTTGGTTACCTGACATTTGTCTCCCAGGAAGTATTGCCTCCCTGCAAACACCATGTAGTCTGTCTTCTGCATCTCTGTCCCAAACACACACACACACACACTTCATAAAACAAACTGATGAGTATCGCTGTGCTAATCCCTGATGAGACAGGGGTCACGTTACAGACTGATCAATAATCGGAAATCTGATTTAGATGTGTTTGGTCACATGATTTTCCTATCAGTCACATGTGTCAAACTCTTGAACTCCTCAGACACCTCTTAAAACAACTGAAAACACCTGACACCTGTTCTGTTAGAACCTGTGGTCAATGACTGTGTATACATGTGTGTCTAAGTGTGTTACCTTTGCAGGTGTCTTGCCAAACATCAAACTCCACATTTCTGTACACCTCCCAATCCAGAGACTTCATCACTTTATATGGAAGAGACAGCCTGGAAGGGGGTGGGGCTTCTGCAGGAGACTGACCAATAAAAAGAGCCACCAGTCAGACACCATGATTAGTTATTACTGTTATGAGAGCCAGCAAGGCAGAGCCCTCCTAGTATCTATATCTTCATCTAATTTATCAGTCTCAGTAAAATCACACACACTCTGACGTCTCTCACCTTCACCTCGTCTGCAACAGCTCGGAGTTTATCCTCTGAAGCTCCGCCCTCCTCAGACTCCTCCCTGTGACACAAATCAAAAACATCTCAACACCTGAGACTGTCATTCATAGAAAGACCCCCCCGCCAAATATCCTAGATCTATCTGTCCCTCTACTTCAGGTTCACATTGTCCAACATGCATCTGTCTTTCCGCGATGTCCATCAGTCCCTCCTACAATGATCTTTTAGGAGGCGACATTGTCCCCCTGATCAGTCACAAACTGTCTTTCAGTATGTCCTTCATTCCAAAATCCTGAATTTATCAGTCCCCCAACCTGACAACCACCCCTAGTCCTCTTCACTTTTGTCTGTCCATCCTGTTGTTTAGTCTCTCCATTGTCTGTTGTCTTACTCATGTCCTTAAATTTCTTTGTCTAAAATCGGTCTATCCCATATTCCCAACAGTGTGTGTGTCCATATGTTTGTCTACCTGTGTCCTCGGTCCTCAAGCCCATCGTAGCCAATGTCTACATCACTACAGACTGATGGACTGTTTCTATAGCGACGTCCTCCAACCCTGAAGGCCTCCATGGCCTGACAGAGCTCTGCCTCCTCCAACCCAAACACCTGAGAGTACAGCAGTTCGTACAGCAGCGCTGCACACACACATACACGAACACTGTCTTTATTTGTAATTAAGAGTTACATGTTGTACTGCTCCTTTAAATCAGTTGCTTTGATCAACCAACCAGTGTTCAGTTCTTACACTGACAGAAAGCGGCGGAGGAAGGGTAACTCCTCGGGTAAACGACGTCATAGTTACCATTGATGGAGCAACACAGCGTCACCTATGTAACAAATAAGAATGTTGAATGATAGCTGTGTTTATTTTTAATGTATCTGAAACTTAACAGATTGAATTTATTGTTTCTTTTTTCCACTAAATGACCCAGCTATTTTGGGATTTTTATTTTAGAGCTTTGATAATGATGTGGAAAGTCATGAATTTATAAAACAGCTATACATTTACTCTAGGTTATCAAACAGTTACATCTTCATACTAGTGTGTACCTGCTCCCAGGTATAATACAGGTAAGAAACACCTGAACACACACCTTGTCCAGGAAGTCTTCCTCTGAGATCACAGTGGCTGGTTTCCCAGGGTAGCGGTAGATCAGGAAACAGCGTCTAAACACAGTGAAAGCTGGTTAAAACATGCTTACTGGTAAAACTAGTTTCCTCTGACAAATAATGACCAAAGCTTCAGGACAGGTGAGACTCACCTGTACAGCTGAGACAAAGCCTTGATCTCCACCTGACCCACTGTCTCCTGAAACACACATGAATACGCTGTATTTAACGCACACCGACACACTCTCAAACAATCTGTTAAACACAGTTACACCTGTCCACAGGTAACAAAGAGCTCAGCCAATTAAAGGACTGAGGGGTCAAAGGTCACATCAGCTCACCTTTGGGTCCTCCAGACGCTCCAGATACTTCTCAAAGGAACCTTCAACAAACTAAACACAGCACAGCTGTTAGGAGTGGGCCACTACAGACAGCGCTACTTGAACTCATAGAAGTGCAATCAGACCGAGACGCTAAGGCAGAAGAACTGCCGCGTCTGCAGTGCAAATGATTAATATGGTGATTATTACTTCAAGGAAATGATAAAGTAATGATCATAAATGTTCTCAACTTATATTTTGACGCTAACACCATGGACTTTGTTTTTTCAATATTAAGAGCTAATCTATATCCTATGACCTATTCATTAATGAGCTTTACTTCTTTGTTTAATACCTCATTCAACTCTTCTGCCGTGCTTGCTGAAGCATAAACTATGGAGTCATCAGCATACATTACTATTTTGGCAGAGTTCAAAACCAACGGCAAATCATTTGTAAAAATAGAAAATAAAAGTGGTCCCTGGCAGCGCCCTTGCGGCACCCCACATCCCACAGCTCTCATTTCAGAAAAACTGCCATTGAAGTGAACTTACTATTTCCTTTTTGTCAGATAACTTTTCATTCGTCTGTTTGCAGAATCTTTAAATGCACAATATCTCAGCTTATTCAATAAATGGGAATGATCCAGTATGTCAAATGCTGCGCTAAGGTCTAATAATATAGCACCTAGCAATTTTTGCATCTCTTTATCTCTCAACCGGTCATCCATCATCTGAGTTAAAGCTGTAGTAGTTGAGTGCTTTTTTTTATATGCATGTTAAAACACAGTATTTAGTTTATTGTTATGAAAGTATCCTGTTGTTTGTTCATATGCAATTTTCTCCATAATTTTACCTAGAGCAGGTGGTGAGCATATTGGTCTACTATTTTTTTCCTGGGAATATTACTTCATTAACTGGTTTGTCAGTTGAATAGTCAGTGTTTAGTGACTCACAGGTTCGAAGCTGCTTCTGTTGGCTCTCATGAAGTTTGCACAGTCCTGACGGATCCTCTGATGGTAGTTCTGCGAGAAATATAACTACACACACACACACACACACACACACACACACACACAGAATTGGGGTTAACATGAGCATTTTTACAGATTATTTACTGAACTTAACAGAGGTCCCGTCCCTGACAGGTTAAACAGCTAACAATCCTTTCCTATCTCTGCCCCCAACTGGGTCTTTTAAAAGTGGTTCAGTTTTATGAACACAAAGATTAAAAACACAGCCTATGTAAAATAAAAAAAAACTCACACAAAAAACACACACAAAAACAAAACACATAAAACACAAATGTTTTAACCAACAAACAAACAAGCAAACAGACAAATTCACTAAACTAAGCTTTACTAGACCAGGCCTGGAGACAGGTAGATAGACTAATACAGAATGAGGAGAAAAAGACTGAGATAAACATAAACCATCTCAACCAGTCTGACCTAGTGACCCCTGCTGGTCAGTTGCCATGGGTATCAGAAGTAAGACCCATGGTACCACCTTCATCTGGATTTTTTTTAAAATAGTCATTAAGTTTTAGTTGTACCTTTAGGTTAGGGTGACCATATTCTGAATCCCCAAAAAAGCGTGCAAAATTTGGAGGGTTTTTCGGGTCAGGTCCAGTGTTTTTTACGCACTTCTAACTCAGTTAAACACATATTCTGAGTTACCAAAAAGAAAAAGAAAAACTTAACCAGTCCTCTTGGAGATACTGAAAATTACCTACAATAAGTTGCGTTTATAAACAATATAGATTCGTTTATCTAAAGCATGAATAAATACACGTTCCGGGGTTTAGCGTGGAACTCCGCCCCTCAGAGTGTGTTTCCAAATGAACCATTGAACGTGTATGGTAAATACAATAGTCTGTGATGCGAAGATACACACTACACAAACTCAAAACTATGGAAGCCCGTTTCCATTCAAACCCCCGAACATGTGAAAGGTTCTTATAAACTCCCACTGGACAGTCCAGACAGCCCCCCAAAAGAGGACATGTCAGGGTAAAAAAGGACGTATGGTCACCCTACCTGAGGTGGCACAGTGTCTGACCCCCCCACCTTCCCACCCCTCCTCCTCCTCCCAGCTGTTAGCCATCCTGTTAGCCCGGCTCACGTGCTCTGACACCGCTCGGAACAGACTGGATGCGTCCCGGGCCACCATCTTCCGGTAGAGTCCCAGGCTGCTCAGGTACTCGTCCATGTTGACGAAGTACTTCTTTAGACTCTTCTGCATCCTGGAGTCGGTAAATAACGAACAACACTACTGGACACACACACCGCTTCAGACAGCGCGAGCCGCGAACGACAGGTGGCTTTAATCAGTGCGCGAGGAGCGACGGCCTGGACACGTTCAGGGACCCCAGGAGTGTCAGAAACCACACGATACACCACTTTAATCCTTAAAGTGCGAGCTTAAAGAAGTGAGCGAAACTAAGAGACCCTGCTGTCATATCCTCACCTGATGGCTGAGTTTAAAAACTTTTTAAAACCTTCATTAATGACCCTCTGAACTCCAACTGTCAGGACAAAGGTAGTTCCAGGGTCAGGTTTCTCACTGTGTCATTAGCTCTCCTTTCCCCAACACTCTGTAAACATTGGTGAACCCAGAAGGCCTGTTTTTAAGTAGGCAGGTGCATTTATGAAAAAAAACAAACACCTAACCCTAAAAAAATTCAAACAAAAGGTTTCCAGCTGTTTTTTTTTATAGTAGAAGATGTTCTAGTATTAGTATCAGATGTCCCACTACCAAGTGTGGCATGGCACTGTGGTGATAGTATTTTCTCATTTACATAGTGATAAAAAGAGATATCCAAAGTCCCCCCTTCAGTTTTCAGTTGTGGAAATCTATGCAAATTAGTGCATATTTAATGAGATATTACCTCATTTACATATTCAAACATAACATTTGACAAAAAATGTAATACAAAAAGTATTTGTCTTAATTTAAGTTATAAACTTGGGAAGTTTCATAGTGATATCTGTTTGTTACAAATTTTACCCTATCTACCTGGGGTGTCTCCCTAGGCTTCCAACCCATCATGGATGCCATGAGCAGATTTCAGCGGCTCAACAGTTCAGGGTTTTTCTTTTTAAATTTGTTTCATGATGCTCTACAATAATTGACAAGTCAGGACTGCAGACAGGACTCTTCTACTACCGAGCCATGCTGTTGTAATACCTGCATGTGGTTTGTCATTGTCTTGCTAAAGTATGAAGGTCTTCCCTGAAAAAGCCACTGTCTGGATGGCAGAATATGTTTCTCCTAAACCTGTATTGTTCAGCATTGAGCCTTCACAGATGTTGCAGTTACCCGTCATGACATGGATACTGATGAGCCCTATAGAGATGTTGGTTTTGAACTGGGGACTAAGAGCTGAACTGGGTCCTCAGACTTTGATCTCAGAATTTTGAGACTAAAGTCTGAATGGTTTTTAAATACTGAGATTAACAGAATTCTGAGAAAAAAGTCAGAGTTAAAAATTAAAATTCCGACCTTATTTTATTTATTTATTACAATGGAGTATTAGGTCCACATTGGGACTTTGAGACACTTTGAGAATAAAGTCATAAACTTACCAGAATGAATAGATTTACGAGAATAAAGTCATAAAATCAATAAAGTCATAAAGCTGCTTTTGTAAAGGGGTGAAATGGCTGGAACTGGTCGGCTGCAGGTTTATCGTAGGGTGTTTGTGGTTTCTTAAGAAACAATCCAAGTACGTCTGGTTCTACCTGTGGGAAAGATGCCTTTTCTTGCATATTCTTATTAAAGTCCTGATACTTATGACAATGCGATGCTTAAGTGCCAAAGGATTAAGTATCTCCTTGTTTGTGAAACCTTTACCAAAGAACAATTCCCTGAAATGCTCCATGACCCTCATTTTGACAGCTCTCCTCTAAAACAATAGATTGTAATATTGTGACTTTATTCACATGAAATTATGGCTTTATTGTGTTAAATTCACGACGTTTATGAAAAAATGTTTCTCTCAATGTGGCCCTAATACTTTGGAGTCTTAATTCTCTTTGCTGAAGTCGCTGAATGATAATATTAACTCCTAAACTTGACCAGCAGGTGGCGATGAAGCTCAGACTGAGTCAGAGACACAACACAAGAAGAAGAAATGATGCATTAGTGTGCATGCGCATCTTGTCAACCTGTAGTCCCTGTGAGGTCAACATGTTCGTTCCCGGTTCCGTGTGCCCGGTCTGAGGTCCAAATGTTGAGGCTGATCGTCCGAAGGCTCCGGCCTGTCAACGGGCTGCCGGGCCTCCTCTCCGCCGGCTCGCAGCGCTCCCTGAGCGGCTCTGCTCCAGAGATGCCCGCTGCCCAGGTGCGCAGACTCTTCCTGGACTTCTTCCAGGACAAACACGGTCACCGGCTGGTCCCGTCCTCCCCGGTCCGACCACGAGGAGACCCGAGCCTGCTGTTTGTCAACGCGGGCATGAACCAGGTTAGTCTGAACTCGTCCGAACACTGAGGGCTGGTTGCTGACAGAGACCCGGAGGCTGCATGTCTAATATAATCCTGTAATAATAATAATGATGATAATAATAATAATGATGATGATGACAGCGTGTGTGACTGTTAGACTGCAGACTGTTTATGTGCACAGTCTTTATATCTCCGTATTTTACAGTTCTTTGCACAGACACACGTTGAGCTCAGGGTCCTCTTCACTCCTTACATCAGTTTTAAAGTTGAGGCAATGTAAACACAGTACACTGAATTAGTTTTTAATTAGTGTCCCATATGACACATGATCATTATTCATTTCAGTCAGACTTTGAAGCGGACAGAAGTTTTGCGACTTGTATGATTGTTGAACTAACATAATACAAAACAAGCCTCATTTCACATGGTTATGTTTCACACAGTAATAGTCACTGACAGAAAAAGAAACAAACATAAATCATGTTTCTAAAATTTTTAACACAGTGTTTCTTACATACTTGTTCCCACATAGTCGGGCTTCAGTCAGGAGCACAGCGGGTCACAGTCTGTCTGTGCTGATGCTGCTGGTCTGCAGCACGGGCAACTTTACCTGTCAGGAAAATCTCTGCGTGCTCAGGAAAAGTTCTCCACTATCATGTCTGTAGCTGTTGTGATTTTCTTATCAAAATGAGCTCAGGGAGACCTGGTGCATGTCTGCAGCTCGCTGCTGAGTCCACATTGAGACAGGCTTTGAACTTAAAACACTGCCCTGATAGCTAAGTAACATGAGACCATACATTCCTGAGTCTGCTAGACCTCACAAGGTTTCTGGTTCTGGTTCCAGTTCAAGCCTATCCTCCTGGGCACAGCAGACCCTCGCAGTGAGATGGCGTCATACCGCCGTGTTGTTAACAGTCAGAAGTGCGTGCGGGCAGGTGGGAAACACAATGACCTAGAAGACGTAGGTGGAGACGTGTACCACCACACCTTCTTCGAGATGCTTGGGAACTGGTCCTTTGGAGATTACTTTAAGGTGAGGAGGGGGTGGGGCACCTGTGCACTGTGTGAAAGGACAGGATGTTGAATTATTGTGTGTATGTATGTCTGTGTGCAGGAGGAGGCATGCTGTATGGCGTGGAGTCTCCTCACCCAGCATTATGGGATACCTGCAGACAGACTGTATGTGTCTTATTTTGGAGGGGACTCTGGATCAGGACTTCCTACTGATGAAGAGACCCGACAGATCTGGTTGGACCTGGGGTAGGTCTTTCTACTGCTGTGATCCACGTCTGGATCAGACAAGTTCTGTGTCAGACTCAGAGGTGGTCCAGGGTTGGTCTGGACCGTCTGATGGTCTAACATTCTGATGGCGTGCTTTTCCTCAGGGTTCCTCCTGCTCGCCTCCTACCGTTTGGTCTGAAGGAGAACTTTTGGGAAATGGGGGACTCAGGCCCTTGTGGCCCCTGCACTGAGATTCATTACGACCATGTAGGGGGACGGGACGCATCAGGACTGGTAAATGCTGACAATCCTGAGGTGGTGGAGATCTGGAACCTGGTCTTTATGCAGTACAACAGGTACATACTCCCACCTGGATGCATACCTGAGATATATAACTGGTCAGACCATTTAATGTGTGTGTGTGTGTGTGTGTGTGTGTGTGTGTGTGTGTGTGTGTGTGTGTGTGTGTGTGTGTGTGTGTGTGTGTGTGTGTGTGTGTGTGTGTGTGTGTGTGCGCGCCAGGGAGCTGGACCACAGTCTGAGGCTCCTCCCCCAGTTCAGTGTGGACACTGGGATGGGACTAGAGCGACTGGTCAGCGTACTGCAGAGAAAGAGATCCAACTATGATACTGACCTGTTCACACCACTGCTCCACCAGATCCACCAGGTACACACCAAAACCACCTTCACCAGATCCATCAGGGACATACTAACACCAGGTACAATTAGGAAGAAGGTACATGACAAATTTAGGTAAACTTTGAACAAGGCAATTTGAAAAACAGATTTACTTCACATCAAATCCAAAACCAGGTACACCAAATCATATATAGTATAACTCAAAATAAGTGTACCAAAACAACAGGGTTCATCAAATCCAATAGGTCCCACATATCCACCATGTACCAGAGCCTCAAAGGTAAACTTCAAAACCAGGTACATTATACAACCAGACACAACAAAACCTTGGCGGTGTATTCTGCCAACGGATACCCCTGCCCAGCCAACGAGATCCCAACACAGAAATTGAAGTCATGGATTAATATTAACGTTTAATTTTCATTTTTATCAAAACGGCCTATAAAATATAATTTGTGCAATTTCAGACTCTGAAGCTTGCAATCGTGTCATTACTTTCAAAATGTATCTCTCCACTCCTCTGCGATGAGCGGGGCTCTCTGCTGACTCCTCTCTCTATTTCACATTATACACGCGTACTGACGTGCTACACCGCGGAGTTCAGAGGCGCGGCATGTCAGCACCATTGAGTCTGGTATACTATATCACACCCTGCCAGTTTTGCATAGGATGGTTTTGACAACCCAGGATTCTGGCTCCTTTCTATCGTGTTTGCAGCCAACAAAACTATTTAAAAAAATGGTCATGGAGCACCAAACCATCCCCACACGTAGTAATGTGGATGCTGCATATTCTCTTGTGGATGCTAGCTTAAGCATCTCTCCCAGCTCCAAAACTAGCACTGGTTCATCTCCCGCTACCCCGTATGACGCCCCCCGCCAAAGTGAAAGCGCTAGGGGAAACACTGCTTGGTGTAAATAATAAGCCAAGTTCACTTGAGCCACTTCACAAACAGTTAAACATCTTTCAGGTTCATCAAATCCACCAGACACTTTACAACCATGTGCTTAGCGTCCACCTGGTACATCAATTCCACCAGGCTCATGAGATCCACAGGGCTTACCTGTCAACTAGGCACACCAATAACCATATATAAAACATCCACAAAGTGTATGAAATCCACAAGGGGTATGGAGATCCACCAGATATTCATTTACTGTACTAACCAGAATGCTATGAAAATCAACTTGACACCTGGTCCTCAGGTTGTGCTTAGAAGTATCAAGTGTTGCTGGGACTTACAGCCTCTTGTTGTCATGGCAATGTGTCTTCAGCGGTCTGGGGTGGAGCCCTATGGTGGAAGGACAGGCGTGGATGATAAGGGAAAAGTGGACACTGCCTACCGGGTGGTAGCGGATCACATTCGGACGCTATCAGTCTGCATTGCCGATGGAGTTCATCCAGGCATGTCAGGAGCAGAGTGAGTCATCGACCAATCAGCTGTCAACAGGCAGCTGGTGACCAATCAGCTGACAGTGTTCTGTTTTTTATATCTAATGTTTATGTTTATTAAGTTGATACACTGCAGTGTGTTTATAACTGCAGTTTCTTCTAATGTTGTTCATTTGTGTGTTTATGCTTTGTGTATTTTGTTGTTTATATTGTGTATAAATGATGTGCTTGTGTGTGTTAGGTTGGTTCTGAGGAGGATCTTACGCCGGGCAGTCCGGTTCTGCGTGGAGGTTCTTCAGGCTCCTCAGGGAACCCTGGCGAGTCTGGTTCCAACCGTCACACAAATGCTGGTAAACCACATTTCCCTTGATCCTCCTGACTAGACCTAAATCCAACTAGACAGAATACCAGGAAAAGACTAAAACGTGTTCTTTCACTTTGCTGATAATGATGAATAAAGATGAATTTACTGGTCAATTGATTAATTGATGATCTGTTTGGTTGTTTGTCTTTCTGTGCGACAGGGTGATGTGTATCCCGAGCTGCACAGGGAGGCAGACAGGGTGAGTGTTAAAAAGATCAGAGATTAACCTTTCAGTTGAGGTGTTCCGTAGGGCTCTGCACTAAGACTCCACATTTTCATATTTCAGATTTATTAACTGATGTCAGATTGCCACCTCAGGACTTCAGACGGACCAAATCAGAGTTTAGAGAGTTGATATCACATAATAATCTATCTACATATTCAGACATTAAACATAAATCAGCTATGTTTACATGACCTCTGTGACTTCAGATCGTTGGATGTGATTTAGAAATTCTGATCTCTGGTTCAGTCAGTGAATAGACAGGTGTACAACGTCATCAGCAGGTGTTTATTGGCTGCTGTTGTCTTTCAGATCATGGATGTCATCAACGAGAATGAAGCTCAGTTTCTGTCATCTCTGCGTCAGGGCAGCAGGCTGATCCATCGCACCATCAAGCGAATGGACTGCAAAAATGGCCTCTTTCCCGGTTAGTTCCTCCCTTAACCCTTTCACAGTGAACTCTATAGGTATCACCAGAACACCCACAGAGTTGTTTTTTTATCATTTCAGTTGCAAGTTTGGATGTTAAAGATGGAAATAAGAACAGGTGGTGTTTGATACAAGAACACAGAAACATCTTCTAACAAAGCTTAAATCTGTAAATGTTTAGTCTGAGTTCAGTTCAGCTTTTCAGCTCATTACACAAAAAAACCCAAACTAAACCTGCCAGTGTCTGTAATGACCATCAAACAGGAAGTAGTAGTTTGAAGAGCTTAAACTATTGTGAGTTACTAAATGTGGCACACGACAGTGTGCCAGTTAGCAATGTTAAACGTTAAAAAGCCTTAGTCAGTAGGTGCGGCTTGGTCGGTTGTTCTGCCACACCCACAATTTTTCAGAAATTCAGCACCAAAACTGTGTTTTACTTTGAAAGACATGCCTCACTGGACTTTAGTATCATGCCAAAATCTACAAAAAAGTCTCCTTGACCCATGTCATAAAATCAACAGGAAGTCTGCAATTGTTAATACATACAACACACTTCAAACTAATACTACTTAACAATCAGCTTAAACCTGTGTGTGTGTGTGTGTGTGTGTGTGTGTGTGTTTTTGTGTGTGTGTGTGCACGCGCGTGCGTGCGCGTGCGCTTGAATCAGCCTCAGTGGCCTGGTCTCTGCATAGGGACCTGGGTTTTCCTTTAGACCTGGTTGATCTGATGTTGGAGGAGAAAGGTGTTCAGGTGGACCATCAGAAGCTGGACCAGCTGATTGCAGAGAACCACAAGGTGGCGCTTTATTTTTTGACATGTTTTTACTAAGAAACACAGTTTGAATGTGAACTACAACTTCTATGATGCCCTTGGTTTTCCTTGACTTTTTTAATATATGCATTAGCTGTTGTTGAAAACTAATGATGGTACAGCCACATCAGATAATCCCAGAACTAAATGCATCTGTCTGAAATCCAAGATCTATGAAGACTTTTTTTGAAGGGGCTGTTTTTGAAGGGGCTGTCTGAAAGTGAATATAAGTTTATGTAATGTTGAGCACTTTTATTTTGAAGGGGCAGACTGTGCTGTCTTTATAAGAAAGGTGAAGCTGACTGTATGTTACACAGTTTTTTTTTTGCATCATTAAATACGCAGAAAAAAATTGTTCATAGTTTATTGTGTTCAAGTCTTTGTGTTAATGATACCGTCTTTTCCAGGCGAGGTCTGAACAGCAGTCAGGTGTGCAGCCTCAGGTGATGTTGGATGTCCTGAGTCTGGCAGAGCTACAGTGTTTGGGAGTCCCTTTCAGTGACGACAGTCTGAAGTATGAGTACAGGCTCCAGGACGGCAGATATGGTACAGACTTAGTTTTATTGTTTGCCTGCTTTCTCTGAATTCTAATTTATCCAAACCGATGTAAAACAAGAGGAGGGATTCACTCTGAGCCTGAACCTGAAGTTAATGGCATAGTTAAGGTCATTTCTACTTCGAAAACTAAACTCCTGAAATAATGAAAATGAGTGTTTGTCGAGAAGTTTGAACTTTTTTCCCTGCTGTGAGGAGATTTTCTGGTTAGATACAAAATGAAAATAAAAGATTCGCTGTGGATTGGTGCAGTGTCAGCGGTACTCTTCAGTGTTGCACTGGACTGTTTTGACGAGAGTTGAGCAGGGAGGCAAAGCTTTTAAGTTAGCAGTCAGTCCACGATCCAAGGTTCGATGGATGGGTGGGTGGATAAAGTGCGTGTCTCACCTGTCTATGTGTGTTAATGTCAGACAGGTAATTCTTCTTCTCCTACATCACTTTCTCTTGACCAGAGTTCCCAGCATGCCGTACGGAAGTCCTGGCTCTGTATGATGGTCTAAATCTGGTGTCAGAGGTCACTGAGGGTCAGCGCTGTGGTGTCATCCTCAAACAAACCTGCTTCTACTCTGAACAAGGGGGGCAGTCACATGACCAGGGCTACTTCACCCGGGATGGCCTGCAGGTCAGCTGACCTGTAGAGGGGCAGTGCATCATGGGAAATTTTTCTGCTGCATGTAAAGATAAGATCTGAATCCAAGTGTACCTACTGTCTGTTAGGATGTCCTGTACCCTGTCGAGGCGGTGGTCCTGGCTGGAGGGTATGTGGTCCACCAGGTGACTGCAGCAGACAGCCTGAAGGTTGGAGACCATGTGCATTTATACCTGGACCAGGTGAGGAGAGACCGTCAGAGCTGATCTGAGGGAACTCCATGTTTTAAAGATGGTCTTAGTAACTTAAACAGTCATCTGCATAGAAACAGAGAATTGAATGAAAAAAATGTTGGTCCCAGTACAGAGTCCTGAGGGACACCTGTACAGGTAAAATCTGAGCTGTTTCCTCTAAAAACCTGTACAGTTCCAGGACAGGGGAAGTGGGACAGGTGTGAATGTGTTCTCATGTTTCTCCTGTCCCTCAGGCGCACAGACTAGCCTGCATGGTGAAGCACACAGCAACCCACGTCCTGAACTTCGCTCTCAGACAGGTTTTGGGTCCGTCAGTCCATCAGAGAGGCTCTCACGTGTCCGCTGACCGACTCCGCTTCGACTTTAGTGTCAAGGTGTGAGCCACCTCACCTGTTGCTGTTTTACAAATAAGACAGGAAGTGCTCACCTGTTGGTTTCTAAGTCACATGATGAGTTCCACTGTCTGTGATTGGTCCTCAGGGTTCACTGAGTGTTGAGCAGCTGCAGCAGGTAGAGAGGTGTGTCAGTGACATCATCACAGCCAATCAGGTGGTCTACTGCCAGGAGGTCCCCTTGCAGGCTGCCAGGAGCATCAACGGGTTAAGGACAGTGGACGAGGTAAAATCATACCTGTCTGTCTTACCTGTCTCTCTGTTTGTACGTATATTAACTGTTTTCTCTCTTTATCTGTCTCAGGTGTATCCTGACCCCGTACGGGTGGTGTCTGTGGGCTTACCTGTCCCTGAACTGTTGGGGAACCAGTCAGACAGTGAGATGTCTGTGGAGCTCTGCTGCGGAACGTAAGTGATTTGGGAACACACCTGTTCACCTTTCTAACATCACCTGAAGTCAAACTCAGACTGACAGCATGATGTAATGTCACATTGTTTTAAGTGTGACCACCAGGGGGCCACACCCATTTCTTGTTACAGATTTAGCATATGATAAGAAATTATGTGTGTGTGTGTGTTCAGTCACCTGCTGCAGACTGGGGACATTGAGGACCTTCTTATTGTCTCTGAGAGACAGATGGTCAAAGGAATCAGCCGGATCATCGCCATGACTGGACGGGATGCAACAAGGGTCAGTAACACACACAGCACTGATGTCTGCAGGGCCTTTTATAACAGATGTAACACCTGTCTCTCTGGTCGGGTCTTGCCTGTAGGCTCGGGAGGCAGGTCAGGTGTTGGCTCAGGATGTGGACTCTCTAGCAGCCAGACTATCTGACCACGCCCCCTCCAGCATTGACTCTGCCCACTGCCTCACCAAGGAGGTTGGAGTTTTGTCTGATGTAAGTAGTCTGTCTACCCATGGTCCATTGCAGCCTCAATTGCAGCCAAAGTTCTTATGTACCTGTAAATGTGTGCAGTAATTTCCTCAGTTCTGTCTGTCAGGTTGTAGTTTAACCCCCAATTTTCACCGCATCCGGAACGGCTCCGATCCCAAACGGCAGCGATATTTTACTGTCCGCCAATTCCCACCGGATCCGATGGTGAGGCGAATTTCGTGGCAGATTACAGACAGTGGTTATCGCGAGAACTAACAAGAACCCGTTGATTCACGTGCAATCGCTCGATAATGAGTTGTCTCTATAAAGACAGCCACGGAGGCTAACCATGAAAGCAGCAGATTGTGTCCTTCCAGAGGAGGAAATCCTCCTCTAGACTTCTAAAATCAGCATCTGCTTATCCATGGTGTCATTGGGGTGAAATGCTGTCTGAAAACCTTTGACTTGTTCGTCCCCGCCTGTTGGCATGGTGTGAAATACGATCCGCCTGAAACACGGAGTGTTTTATTTTGAAAAGAAGCCACATATTTTATTTTGTGTCTGTGACTGACTTCCTTTCCAGCACGGATTAATCTGTGCTGAATTTATCCAACATGCTCTGGTGTCCGGAAAAAATTGAACTCTTACGATTGGTGGATACGGCCTTTTTCGTAGGCGTACCGGATGCGGTGAAAATTGGGGGTAAATCTCTGACCCTGGGCTTCGCCTGACAGGCTGGAGATCTATGCCTGACCCTGAGTTCCGTCTTGCAGGCTGTAGATAACACCCCCATCCCTCAGTGGCAGCGCAGAGAGCTCCAAGCTCAACTCAAAGCTCTGCAGAGGACCAGCAACACCTGGGCCAGGAAGCTAGAGACCAGAGAAGTACAAACACACGCTTAGGAAACACACTGATACAGTAATAAAGGCTGGTGTTTTTCTGAATGCTTTTCCCATCATGCTTTGCTCAGGCTGCAGTTAAAGCTCAGGCCTTGCAGGAGAAGAACGGCAGGAAGGATCTGCTGGTGGATTTTGTGGAGACGGACTCGCTGTCGGTAAGACCAGGGACCCCTCAACCCCTCTTTAACAGATCAACAAAGCATACATTTCCCATAATCCACCACTGACCACAGCTTCTCTCACCTGTCTTTGTTAGGTATTGATGAAAACTGTGAATCAGCTAAGCGCAGTGGCGCCTCGCAGTCATGTGATGCTGCTTGCTCATCAGAAGCATTCTGGGAAAGTTCTTTGTGCCTGTCAGGTTCCAAAGGTAACCATGACTCACTTGTCAGTGAACCACAGAGGAGGGCGCCATGTTTGACGGTTCTGATGGCTGTGCTCTCTCTCTGCAGGACTCCTCCTTTCTCCCGGCCTCCGATTGGGCAGTGGCGGTGTGTCATCATCTAGGGGGGAGTGCTGGAGGCTCTGCACTAGTCGCTAAGGGAACTGGGAGCAGCAGTGACATCACTGAGGCTCTGAGGTGGGCGGAGCAATTTGCTCGCCAGGCAGTTCAATGATAATGTCATGAGTGACATCATTGTGACGTCACAGCGCCCTTGCTCGGTGCCAAGGCATCTGCACCCTGAGGAACTGTCAGACAAAAGTTTGGGGGCGGGACATGTGAACTTTGGACGCTGAAGTTTGGGTGACCAATTTTTAGTGGGCGGGGCTCTACTTTGCAGTTGGCGGCCAATCAGAGGCTTTGTGATGAGGCTGTTTGTGAGCTTCATCGAGGTGTTAATACTGAGCAAGCAGACTCTGGCTATAAACTATGTAAAAAACATAAAACACCTATTTCAGGGGGACGTAAGCCCCGCCCACAGCTCCTCTCATTGGAGGAGAGTCAAAGGTGAAAGTTTCTTATTTAAACTGCAGAGATTTTATAAATGTAATTATTTGTTTAAATAAATGAAGCAATGAACCTTCACACTTATTGTTGATCGATTAATTATCTTTATTGAAGAAGAGAACTTTATTTAGCACTTTAAACAAAAACCCGTTTAACCATTTCAGACACTTTACTGATAAAAACACACAAACTTAACTCCATCCATCACAACAAATAAATCCCTACAAGTCCAAGTCTCCACAGCCAGGACCAGAATCTAGACCAGGACCAAGATCTGGTGGTGTTGCCTCCTCAGAGCAGAGAAAAGTTCAGCCACTGCAGGAGAAAAGAGCTTCATGTCAGGTTCTAGAATCAAGCACACCAAGACCTGGCATTCCAGAGCACCCCTCCACTGTTGCCACACTTCAAAGATTTCAATCACCAAAGCTGTTTTTTTGTTTTAAAAGCTAAATCACAAAATTAGATTTATTTGTGTGTTTTGGACTTGAATCTGACTGAAAAGGTTTAGAAAGGGGCACAATAAAACCCAGAAACAAAGAAGAGAGCAGGACACTTCTTATTGGTTAATGTCAAAGATATCCTGTCCTTATAAGGTGATATACTCTTACTGCTGTGGTTGGTATTATTGGTGTCCTCAGAGCAAGCTGCACTCTCATCCTAGATTTCTCCAGCACACCTATATCTCACAGTCTGACCCCCTGAACACATTTAAACAACTGACAGATTATTCAGACTCTTTATGTTTGTGTCTTAATGTTTTTACCTCTAAGAAGTTGAGCTTAACTCTTCCTGACTGATCCTTTTCCATCGTGTTAAACGTGTCTGTGGAGAGAGAACAGTTATATTACCACACCTTCATCATTATCATCCTCTTCCTCAGAGTAAGGACCATGTGGACTCACCGAACATGGTCTCCAGACGAATCAAACAGCCCACAAAGTTATCAAAGTCCACGGTGAGATCAGGTTCACTGTACCGTGCGACCAGCACCTGGTGGAGAGCATTATTCAGACTGAACCCTAAAACACACACACACAGACAATCTCATGTTAGAAACCACACTGTAAACTTAAATAACCCACAAACTTAGATAATAAACTCAATTTAATGTTGTTTTTTTTTGTCATACCAGCCTCTTCCAGAGCACACCTCATCTCCACGGAACTCATTGTCCCTGTATTATCCACGTCCTTCTCCCGGTAAATATTCTGTATCACAGAGATAAAACATCAACATGCAGACCCCGCTCTCTCCTTCAGTTTATGTCTATAGAGGTCCTGAAGGACCAATCAGTGCTGGACTCAGAATCAGGGTTTGATCTGGATCTCGGACTCACCAGGTACTTATCGATCTTGGTCCACAGCACCTTGAACTCCACCAGACCCAGTTTACCGCTGCCATCTTTCTGTGGTGGGGTTCAGGACTGGATTTCCAACAACATGCGTACATGCTAACATTGTAAAACCTTACACAGACTGGTCAGACACACTGAGAGTCCACAGACCCCTGTACCTGTTGTTACTGACACTGATCAGCTCTCCAGTGTTACACAGTTGAAAACTGAGGTGTTTTCCCTGCCATGCTGGTTCCATCTCTTCTATGCCCTCATTGGCAGTAAGGCACACCTGGCCTTGGGCATGTAAGAACCCCAGTTTTTGTTGTGTTGTTAATTTGAGCTTCTACTGTGGCGTGGTGTCTTCATACAGTCTGAGTTGGTGTTTGTTGAGTGCTTTGGTTGTCTGTCTAATAACAAATCCCTTAGTCTCTGATTGTTGGAGGTGTTTTTATTTATCAGTTTGTCTCTGAAACATCAATAGAAACAAACTGATCTACCTCTCTGCGCTGACCACCCTTGTCTCGAAGGTGTTATTATCTGTGGTGGAAGGATACATCCAGCAGGTTGACCATGTTGCGACAGGTTGTGAGGCTGAAGCCACTGGTCTTGATGTCAGATCCTGACAGAGACACAGAGTCAGTTTAGAGCCAGTCAGATGAAAAGAACAGTCAGAGAGGCTGAGTCTCTCAGATGTTCCTGAGTGATAAAATGAGCTCAAACAGAAGTTAGTGTTATGTGACTCTTACGTTTGGTCACCACTTTGTTGAGGATCCTTTTCAGCTCAAAGGCAGAGATCTCACTGTCCTGCAAAGACAAAGTTTATATCACTAATGACAAGGAAGGGGGTGACAGCTCAGCTGATAACCTTCTCCAAATCAAATCTATTATTAAAATGTTTGGTCTCTTCAAATATCTTCAGCTTTCCTCTTCTTCCTGCTTCCTTTACAAACCACTTTTCAACACCCCTCCTCCCCAGCTCCTCCTTTTGATGCTAAGTCTAAATTTACCAGTGTCATATGGATTGTCTCTGGTGCTTCTCTGTTCTGTACCCTGGGGTCTTTGTTGCTGCTCTCCCTGCCTTTGCTTTTCATGAATGCAAATGAGAGATGGGGAAGGTGTGCTCTCCTTGCCTCAGACTTAGGCCTTCAACATCTGCACGTGCATGTGCAGAGAGGTCTCTGAAGAGAGTTGGGGGATATTTGCTGTTGCTCTCCCTGCCTTGGTTTTAAGAATGCTCATGGACCAGTGGACGTGTGCTCTCCCTGCCTCAGGCTTTAGTGTTATGCATGTGCACATCGAGGGTAGGGAATTTACCTAAAGAGTCCTGAGAGCTCTGCTGCTACTGCTTTTCCTGACTTGGTTTCAATGAGCTTGAACTGGAAGGGGAGTGTTCTCTCTTTGCCCCATGCTACCACATATGTAGCTAGTTATACAACCAAATATGACTCATTTTAGCAAAATAATTGACCATCTGAAAATCAGATTACACTTTTTGATGAGCTGATAACAGGCTTTTTACCTCCATTAACTGAGAACAGCAGACTCCTAAAATGGTCTTTTGGTTTGATAATAGTTTTTAAATTCAGCAGTGACTGATTCAGCAGTCTCAGGTATCCCCTGTCTAACTCCTCTCCTGCTTTCAGGTCAGTGTGACTGTAAATAAAGCACCATTTCCCAAATGAAAACCATGCTGTATTGCAGAAGACTGTAAACTAGAAACTGAGACCATAAACTCATCAGCTGAGAAAGAGGAACATTTTCTCATACTGCTTCACAATCAGACTGCTGAGGTCACCTCCTACTGGGCATTAAAGAGAATGATATAAGATGTATGATACAGATATGAAATGAAATGTAGTGTATGACTGTAAAAAATCGCTCACTCCTCCTGCCAGCTGAGAGAACAGCCCTCTGAAGCGATCGTCCACATCATCCTCCTCGATCTCAATCTGAAACACAAAGTCACCCCTCCACGTTAGCTCACAGACATGACGATGAACAATAAAAATGTTATATTTATAATTGGTGTTTGTCAGCAACATCAGCTTCATGTTGTCCTCTTACCTTCTCCACTTTGGACTCGATGGGGTCGTCCAGCTCTCTGTAAGAAAATGCCAAATGTGTCAGGAAGCACATGTCCAGTTTAAAGGTTCGGATCAGACCGTCAGACCTCCTGAGAGGGAATGACTGACTACCTAACCAAGTCTAACCCTTCCACTTATTATCTAAGAGGTGTTTTAACCCCAGACTCACTGGAAGTCGGCTTGTTTCTCTGAGAAGACCCTCACACAGAAGTCTCCGTTCTTGTTCGGTTCAAAGGTGGAAGGAAGGATCAGGTACTCTCCAGGCGGCAGACAGAAACGGCTGCTGACCTCTCTCAGGTTAATAAAGGTCTCGGAGCGAGCTTTGGAGGCATGACGCAGAAAGAAGTTCCTGTTCAGGTGGACGTTCCTCTGACCGCAGTACTAACAGGGACAGGTAGAGACAGCAAAGGTGAGGTCTGACTGAATCAAACATATAAAATGAATGAAATGATTAACGTCACAGTATGGAGTCAGCCTGGTCCTCCTCGTACCTCATCAGGAACCTGAAACACAATAAGAAAAAGAGAATTTAGAGAGGACATTTAAAGGATCATTTCAGGCTTATTTTCATCTTCTTGTGCTCTGAGGGGTTAAACTCTTCTCTGCTGTGACTGCAGAGAGTGACGAATCAGCTGTTACTGTCTGATAAAAACCCTCTGTAAAGCCAGGATTCTTTCTGTGACGCTGTCAGGCTCTGAGAATACCCAAAAGCCAGCAGGGTTCGCCATCAGAGCTTTCAAAACAGTTTCTGATCCTTCTGCTGCTGAGTTTCAGAGTCCAGAGCAGTCCAGACTCTGAGGTTTTGTCTGAGGGGGGAAACAAAATCCTCACGTCTTGTCCTCACCTCATAGATGGCGAATCCCACCGTGTGCATGTCCTCGCCCATTTTCCTCATGCGTCTGCGGTTCTTCTGGATCAGACCGACCACTAAGCTGCAGCCAGACTCCCCATCATCTGGGTCATCGTCCTCCTCCTCAAGCTTGATCTTAAACTGAGGATTGGTCCAGAAGGTGTCTGGCAAGAGAAAACACAAGGTTACAAACTTAATCTAAATCAGAGGAGGTCCCGCCCCTGCCGCTCTCTTCCTGACCAGTCTGGAGAACTTACTGGGGTAGTTCCTGCAGCCCCCTGCTGTGGATCCTCGTCTCCAGGTGCCGTCAAACTTGGACAGAGCCCACTTGGAGATGGACTCGTCAGACAGGGCGTCGGGTGTCAGGTTACAGATCTCCAGCCGCGAGTAATGACGCAGGAAGTCAGAGAAGGACATCCTGCAAGACAGAGCAGAGGGTTTACTGACCACACTAGACCAGATGATGGAGACATGAGGGGATGAAGAGGAAGTGAAGTTTACCAGAACTCTCCGTCCTCTGAGCGGTGACTCAGACGCTCTCGGTCCTCATCACTGACGTAACGCCACTGCATGGAACTGCAAAGAGAGTGAGCAGCTGCAGGTTAGTCAACAGGTAGAGGAGTTCAAGGCACATTTTGAGAGTTTTGATGCTCCCTGCAGGTCCTTTTTTAGTCTTTATCTGCAAAAAATGTTCTCCTCTCAACAAAAATATCTGAGGGAAAACTTTCAGCACAGCTCAGTAAAGGCATGAAGGAACTAGAAATTCAATATTTGTATTTGTTGGGCTAAATCTAATGGGCGGGGCTTCAGAGTATCTCAGTGACTAAAAAAACACAGAGGTAAATATGTAGTGCACTCAGTTACCAGCAGGGGGCAGCAGTGCTGACATTCATCTGTCTGTTAATTATAGTTTGTCCCTGCAGAGCTTTAGAGGATCGACCCTCTCTGACTCCACCCTTCTAAGGCCTACAGCAGGGAGGGGCCAGGTGTCAAAACCACCTAACAGTAGCTGACAGTGTGAACATAACACCTGCTCAGGTAACCCAGCCTCTTATGTTACCACAGGAGACACCAGTTTGTCCCTAAGGCTTGCAGCATGGTATAGACTGTGTAACCCTCACATGAGTCCTTTTCAAAAACACCTGCAGCCTCCTCTCTCTCTCTCTCTCTACCTGTGTTCACCTGAGCTGATGGGGTTACCTACTCATCACTCCAGGCTCCGGTCCACTCCACCTGACCCCAAGGGTTCCTGATCCGGATCAGCTTCTCCATGCCTCCCCGGTACTCCACCTGAAGCCAATCACAAGCAAAGCAAACCAATGAGTCTCACCTGATTGGATGACCTGTATCCCTTTCATGTTCCAACGTTCACTCGCAGAGGGGAAACAAGGGGAAGGGGTCTGCTCGGTCAGTACAGCTCAAATTTTTTCATTTTTTTTAAAGAGGGGTAGAGGTCTGTCTGGGTGTGTCCTCTCACCTCAGCTGCTCCTGTCACAGAGTAGGCATGACCCTTAACCAACTTCTGATGGGTCACTGCCTCTGAGTCTGCTGAGCTTGTGATCTGTCAAAACAACAAAGAAAGATGAATATTTCATATAAATACGTCCAAAACTTTCTAAGAACTTAAGGGGCCCCATTTCATCCCACGATCTAGTCAGTCTGAGCCTAGAACAGTCTGTTCTGCCCCTTGTGGTCTCAGAAAGCTTACATCTATGGAGCAGCCCATCAGGGAGCCTCTGCCTTGGGCTTTCTTGATGATGTGGAACAGGTGAGGATCTGGATTCTTTAGATCGTGGGCTTCAGCAATCCCTCCTGTGAAATCCTCAAAACCCTCAGTAGTGGATCCTCCAGAAAGAGCTTCATAACTCCCGTTCAACCTGCAGACACATGGTAAATCAACACTGTTGTCATGGAAACAGCACACCTAATAACTGCTGAGGAAGAACCCCAGATTTGACTAAGATCACCTGTGCAAGAAATCTTTAGATCTCTGCATGTTATTTGAATGTGCAGGTAGGTGGGCAGGGCTTCTCGTATAAATAATGTGGAGAATGCAGGACAACATGTTGGGACAAACACCTGAACTTATCTCTCCTGTTAGTCAGCCTAACACAGCTGATCTCAGGCTGCAGAGACAGGGTCACTGGTAATTCTGGGAGGTCATACTGGGACCATGACAGAGCTGTCTGATGATGTTTTGTATTTCAATTTTTATTAGATAACATCCACATTATCTAAAAATTACATCAACGTCTAATCAGAGTCCTCAGAGTAGTTGAAGTCCGGTGTCCAGACTCAGTCGGCAGCACCTACTTGGCATAGGCTTTCTCCAGCAGGGCGCTCCAGAACTCCCTCCCCTCCGCCGAGTGTACGAACAGCAGCTCTCCATCTTTAGCAGGCAGACGGTCATCGATCACCACGTCCACCCACTCACCGAACTGCCAGAACTACAGACAAAGACAGACAGAAAGGTAACTACAGTGGATATAAAAAGGCTACACAGCCCTGTTCAACTGCCAGGTTTTAGTGATGTAAGAAAATGACAGAAGGATAAATATTTTCACAACTTTTTCCACCTTTAATGTGACCTATAACCTGTACATTGCAATTGAAAAACAAACTGAAACCTTTAAGGTGAAAAATAAAAAACAGAAAAGTTAAAATAACCTGTTTGCATAAATATGCACACCCTTTAAGTGATACTTTGTTGCAGCACCTTTGGCTTTTATTACAGCTCTCAGTATCTTTGGGTAGGAGTCTATCAGCGTGGCACATCTTGATGTGGAAATATTTGCCCACTCTTCTTTGAAAAACTACTCCAAATCCGACAGATTGCGAGGGCATCTCCTATGCACAGCCCTCTTCAGATCACCCCACAAATGTTCGATGGGATTCAGGTCTGGACTCTGGCTGGGCCATTCCAGAGTCTCAATCTTATTCCGGTGAAGCCATTCTTTTGTTGATTTAGATGTGTGTTTTGGGTCATTGTTGTGCAGAAAGATGAAGTTCCTCTTCATCTTCAGCTTTCTAGCAGAAGGCCCAAGGTTTTGTACCAACACTGACTGGTATTTGGAACTGTTCATAATTCCCTCCACCCTGACTAAGGCACCAGTTTCAGCTAAAGAAAAACAGCCCCAAAGCATGATGCTGCCACCACCATGCTTCACTGTGGGTATGGTGTTCTTTTGGTGATGAGCAGTGTTGATTTTGCGCCAAATATACCTTTTGCAATGATTCCAAAAAAATTCAACTTTGGTTTCATCAGAGCATTACACATTTTCCCACATGCGTTTGGGAGATTTCAGATGTCTTTTTGCAAAATTAAGCCAGGCTTTGATGCTTTTCTTTGTAAGATAAGGCTTCTGTCTTGCCACCCTACCCCATGGCCCAGACATATGAAGACAGCGGGAGATTGTTGTCACATGTACTACACAGCCAGTACTACCTGCAGCTTGTTCAGTGTTGCTGTCGGCCTCTTGGTAGCCTCCCTGACCAGTTTTCTTCTCGTCTTATCATCAATTTTGGACGGATGTCCTGTTCTTGATAATGTCACCGTTGAGCCATATTTTCTCCACTTGATGATGACGGTCTTTACTGTGTTCCATGGTATATTTAATTCCTTGGAAATTCTTTTGTGGCCCTCACCTGACTGATATTTTTGAATAATGAGATCCCTCTGATGCTTTGGAAGCTCTCTGCTGACCATGGCTTGTGCTGGAAGATGTGTCTACAAAAATGTCAGGAAAAGCTACTAGAACAGCTGAACTTTATTTGGGGTTGATCAGAGGCACTTTTATTGGTGACAGGTGTGTGCTGACTCCAATTTAACTTGAGTTTGAATGTTATTGGTTAAATCTGACCACAGCCACATCCCCAGTTATTAAAGGGTGTGCACACTTATGCAACCACATGATCACAGTTGTTTATTTTTACTTCACCTCCCTGAAAGGTTTCAGTTTGTTTTTCAGTTGTGTTGTACAGGTTTTAGGTCACATTAAAGGCGGAAGAAGTTGTGAAATTATTTATCTCGATTTAATTTTTTTACATGACAAAAAGCTGGCAGTTGAACAGGGGTGTGTAGACTTTTTATATCCACTGTAGCTGCAAACTTGGAACTTATTACTCCTGTTTCATCAGTCCCACTTCAGGGTCTGTTGAAAAACTTGATCCCTAATGAACATACTGAACTTGTCAATCTATCAGCTGTTTGTCTTACTAGTATTTATGGAAGGATTTGCACTCTTGGTGTCTTGTTGACCTATTGCATTAGTAAAACCTTTAGAATTATTTACTCTGTGATCTCTCAGTGGAGTGAACCTTTTTATAAAACTATTTACTGCCACAAGGAAAAAAAGACACTGTTGATCAAATCAGCTGCCCCCGGAAAACAGATCTGAAGGATTTTTATGTGTTACTAGTACTGGAAACTGAGTTGGTTTTGATACCTTACTAAATGCTTGTTTACTCACCTCATTACAGATATTTGTAAACCAGGTAATTCAAAGGCTATTTGTGTACAGTGTGCCCCAGTACATTCGTAGATAACAGTTCTGATACTGGCATCGGTTCTTGTTCTACTTATCTACTTATGGTACTAGTACTGTTACTGGTACTTGGTTTTAGTGTACCTCAAAGTGGAAGATGCCGGCGTACTCTCCGTCTCTGAAGCTCTGGTCATGTGGAACAACCCGAGCCAGAACTTCTTTATTCAAAGTGAGCGAGGCGATGGCAGCGAGCAGCCAGCAGTCACCTAGACAACAAACAGGAAGTGGGCGGGGTTAACTATTTGTATCTCACTTTAGAAAAAAAATTTGGAAGATCAAGAGATTCAGAACATGATAACGTTCATGTTTTGTACTCAGCAGCAGATGCTCAGATGTCAGAGTGTCCTTAAACACATCATCAGAGTATGTCACTCCAAAACCTGCGGGGTTCATAAACCTGTGTACAGGTGATAAACGGGGGATGGACAAATGATGCACAGATAATGTACAGGTGATGTGCACATCAACTGCTGTTCCCCTGTCCATCATCTCTACATCACCTGTTTATCGCCTGCGCATCATTTATCAATCACCTGAACTTCACCTGTTCAATACCCGTACTTCAGCAGAGAACAGTAAATTCAGATTTAGATCCAGGCAACTTTATTAATCCCCGAAGGGCAATTCACTTCACAGTAACCCGCCTTGTTGTTAAACGATCAAGGAACGGACAAATACCAAACAGTCACAGAAGCATATGGCCCAAACATTCCCCTGTCAGCACCACAAATCAGCAATCAATAAATAAATAGATAATAAATACATGTGCAATACATTCACAGTGAAGTGACTAAAATGAAATTTAAAAAATGATGCGATAAAAGGAGTAAAATAAGAACTAAAATCCTGAGACCCCAATTTCAGCACCCCAAAATCCAACACAGGCCACCAATCCGCTTCTTCTCAGCGTTTAGCAGCCTGATCGCTGAGTGGATAAAAGAGTTGGAGTACCTATTTGTTCTACTTGGGGGGGGGGGGGGCATAGTAGCGCCCAGAGGGCATAAGACAAAAGTCTGAGAAAAGGATGTGTCCAGGCTGGTTCATGATTCCTTTGGCTTTCTGGACCACTTGTTTCTCCCAGAGAGAGCTAAAATCCATCAACTGTATTCCAGTGATTTTGGAGCAGACGTTTACAATCTAGTTCAGGCTGTTCCTGTCCTTTACCGATAATCCGTGAAACCAGCAGATAAAAGAGAATGTTAAAAGACTTTCAATAAAAGAATGATAAAAAAACAAGACAGGATGCCCTCAGAAACACTAAAAGATCTCAGTTTCCACAACAAGTGAATCCTTTTTTGACCTTTTTAACTACTGCTTCTGTGTTCTGAACGAACTTAAGGCTAGAGTCAAATATAGTTCCAAGATACTTGTAAGAGTCAACAATCTGTACATCTTCACCATGGTTGATGCTAGCCTCAAGTGAAGGCCCCCGGTCAGTTCGTCTGAAGTCAGTTATTATTTCCTTAGGTTTTTTGGACATTGAGATCAAGGAAGCTGTCATCACACCATTTAACATCATCCAAGAATAATAAACCCAAGAACACATGATGTACTGATGATGCACAAGTGAAAAAATAGGTGATGCATGAGCAATCTACAGAATATTTATAGGTGATGGACAGGTGATGTAAAGGTAACGTACAGGTTACAATAGGTCGCGAACATGTACTTTTAGGAGCTGATGTACCAGTGATGTACAGGTGAGGTTAAGGTTGAGCACACATGATGGACAGGTCATATACAAGTGGGGTACAGGCGATGTAGATGTGACTAGCAGAGATCAAACAGCTGCAGCTTCTTTAACAACCAGCTGATCTCAAACCTGCTGCTCTGCGCTCTGATTGGCTGTATTCGAGGTGTTTCCCCTGGTTACTATAGAACTTGTCTCCTACTGAACCATAAACACTCTGCGGTTCCCTCCTGATCTCCTGATGACATTGAAGCGAGCCACCACCCACCCGCCTGTCAGCGTGTTTACGGTTACTGTTGACAAGACAACACACGCCAAAGAGTCACACCTGATTGTAACTTCACACACACACACAGACATATGTACACACAGAGCAGTGTCGAACTCACCTCTACTATCAAACACACACACACACACACACACACACACACACACACACACACACACACACACACACACACACACACACACACACACACACACACACACACACACACACACACCAACTCTGGAATTTTCCAGCTCAGGTGTGTGTGAGGTGTTTCACAGTCAGTGAAGACGCTTCTGTGTTACTGACTCTCTCTCAGTCACAGAGTGAGGTGTTAGCATTTGAAGCTAACACTGCTAACTGCACTGAACTACCAATTATAATCCTATTATATCTGACAGCCATTAGAGCTCCTCCAGCCCCTGACCTGAACTGCTGATCTTCTGTGTTGACATGAAGAGAGTTTGCTCTGCAGACTGATCCTGATTTGACTCACAAATAAGTTTCTTTTGATTTTTTTTTTTTTTGCATCAGAGCAGCAGATCAGTTTGGAGTCACATTGAGCTGACTTCAGAGGAAGGGCTCTGATAAGGACTGAAGCTCAGTCTTTATTCAACCGAAATACTGCGGCGGCAAAAAATGTATTTTTTTTTTGGAAATCATGGACGCTGCAGCCTCCTTTCTAAAGAGGTGACGGACCATCTGGCTTGTTCTCAGCTCCCAGTCCAAAGCCAGCATCCCTGATAGTATAGGGATCATCAGTGTCCACATCACGAGTAGCTGCTGCGTCTGTGAAGGCTCCATTAATGCTGAACAATATATACAGATTTAGGAGCAACATATGTTGTCATTCAGACAAAGGCTTTTTTAGGGAAACCTTCATATTTCAGCAACACTTTGACAAACCACATTCTGCAGGGATTACAACATCATGGCTCTGTAGTAAAAGAGTCCAGCTAATAAACTGGCCTGCCTCCAGTCCTGACTTGTCACCCATGTCACAAATTTTCTGGTCTTCAAAAGATTTCAACAAAATGCCTGGACCTTGATAATGGAGGACAGAGCTCAGAGCTGCAGGCTGCTGTCCATCAAACCCTCTCTCTGGTTTTACGGCCTGGATTAAAGCCTGTAAGTGATAGTCTGGTTCTCTCTTTCTTTTGTCGCTTTGTTCTCTGTATATGTAAATGAGTAATAAAGTTATTTGAATCCGGTTAGCGGCACTCAATGAAGACAGAAACAGGTTGATCTGGTCTGACGAGCTGCAGACATAATAAACTCTGACTTTACACTTCAGATGGTGTTACTAGGCTCTGCACTGAGGGCTCAGGTTTTTAACCCTGCTTTATAAATAAAAGATTACTCAATGTGTCTCATACAGACACTGTACTAATGGGTGTGAACAACAAACTGATCTCCAGTTGGAGTAATTTGCTGCAGGACATTGTGTCCATACAATTAAACATCATAACATAGTATTGTTTTTAAGTACTGCTAAAGTTTTTCCTGCAAACTTCTGCTGCTTTACTCTCGATCATAAGCAGTACTGAGTTTCTTAAAGATTGTCTAAATAAAAAGTTAATATAAAGCAGGAAATAAGTTTTATCTTCACTGACTGTAGCTCATGTTTTAAAGCTCCAATCATTTTAGTACCAACAGGAGTCATTCTGATGTCCAGCGCTGGCGTTTACCTTTTATCATGTTAAACATGAGCTGAATTTAAAGCTTTTTAACTCTTTCATAATGGACAGTTAATAATGACACTCTGGTAGATCCAGAGATGTGCAGAAACAGATCAAATATATTAGATTTATAAAGAAGTGTCAAACCTGCTGTTAAACTTCTGTGATTCACTCTGAGTGGAGGTGAAGAAACCAGGAAGCTGCCGCAGAGAAAATTCTCTGAATTGTGACATATTTTTACTTTCTGGTTGACCTGCCTCATGTCTTTGCACAAAGCTGAACACAGACATTTTAGAGTTCGGCTGTTGGACAGGTTTTCAAGAGACAAGGATGACAGTTGAAATATTAATGCAGACTGTTGCAAGGAGTGTCATTTATACTAATGGTTCCAAAAGTGGGGGTTGGGAGAGGAGCCATTAAGTGTTTTTTTCCCCCAAAAAAACTCCTTGATTGATTGACTGACTTAAGTTTGTCCAACTCTTAGGTCTCTGGCAGGATCATTGTAAGGATCCTGGTCTGAAAAGTTTGTGAACATCAGATTTTTTCCATTATGGGTGCATGACGTTTGGAGCTGATGAACTGCCAAGGTTCAGGTCAGTAAAATAAATCTGAACAGCGTCTGCATAGGGAGTGAGCAGCAACAGCTCTGGGACACTCAGACTGAACTCAGCAGGTTACCATGATGATAGATGTTTTTTTAAACCTCACTAAAAAAGACAAAATAGGAACATGTAACTGAAGAGGCTGACAGTGTGTCCATACTCACCCAGAGCACCCTGACAGATGTCTGTCCTCGAGGCTCCAGAGACAATGAACTCAGGGTTATCGGTCAGCTCCTGCACAAGACACACAAAAACATGTCACAGTTTTTTTTTACATTTTCAGAGACGTTTTCGACAGTCTGTGAGCTGATCCTAGAAACAGATCTCAGTTTTATAGTTTTCACTTTATTAGTAGTGAACTCTACAGGCTGTACAGACTATACGATCACTGAATTTCACAGTCTGATCTGTCCGAGTCCCCGTCACCTCTGTGGTGTAAATGTGTCCCGGTTTGAATAAATCTTAAATGAATTTGAATCTTAAATATCCTGATAAATGTTTCATAAATGCATGAATTGAACTCTAAAGTGTCAGACCCCTGAGCTCCACCTGTTCAGGCTCTCTGGGTGATGGACTGCAGGTATTAATGGAGCAGCTCCACCCAGCTCAAACACACCTGAGAGGGGGAGTGACCCACTTCACCACAGCCTCCATTGTGAGTTACAGCTGGGTGAGGTGTTAGCAAATACAGTGAGTGAGGAAACATTCACAGAGACACGCTAGACAAGTTGTCCATGTCCATGGTCTGATCGCTGCAGGTCCCTGTCCAAGTGTCTGTGATCAGCTGATCAGATCCTAACACACACCTGATCACCTGATGGTGAAATCAGGCTGAACTGATCCCTCTTATCTGCAGCTCCATCAGCCTGAAGAGTGACATGTTTCTGATGTGCAGGGAGCGAGACTGGCTGAACATCAAACAAACCAAACCTCATGGGAAAAACACTCATTTTAACAGTCTCAAATTAATACAAGTCTCCCTCAGAGACTCTGACACCCTCAGTCAGTAGTCTTTACCTGGACTCTGCGCACTGTGTACATGCATATATGCATACTATGTTACTATTTTGTGTTGTATATAGTGTACATACTTATATATTAACTCTTTACTTTTACTTATTTTACTTTTTTAATCTATTTATCTCTCTGTTTTTACTTATTTTACCTATTATTTATCTCATCTTTTTACTGTATTTGCACTGAAGTACTGTGACAAAAAGCAATTTCCCCCTGGGAATCTTTAAAGTATTTCTGATTCTGATTCTGAAAAACTAAATATCCAGCTGCATTTACACCAAAACTAACAGGAAACTAACAGTCCCAGGAAATGATTTCCTAAAATCCACCATGGCCTGGAAGCCAGTGAAGATTATTCAAATAAAGCTAAGGACTAAGAGAGGGCTAGTCTGAAAACACCCTTTGGTATGTCATAATTCATTATTCATAGTTCAGTTGTGTACACAGTTAAAACTATTAAAACAATAGCAGGTCATGTTAGAGATACTCAGTCAGATCTGTGCTCCTCCCTTCTTTGTGTGTGTTTTTTTAATGACATTGTGTTTCTATATTGATGTTATTTTGTTGTTGCTGTGCTGCTGCTGATATCATTACTAAAAACAAACAAAAACAGGTCATCGTCACCTTTCACTCTTTATCTGTATTCGTGGCAATATTTTCCAAATCTGGACCATGGTCCCTTCTACTGAAACACTCCTCAAAACACCACAGCTAAATTATTAGAGTTTGAGCTGCATCTCAATCAGGTTTCAGCCAATCAGGGAGCTTGACTTTCAGAGTAAATTAAAACTGAAGGTGCATTCAGGGTCTGCAGAAAAAAACGTTTATTTACAGGGGGGGAAAAGTCACCTGGTGGATCAAAAGTTTTTAAAAGTTTTAAACAACAGTCTCTGTACATGTACCCTCACCCCCAGGTATCAAAGGGACACTCACCGTGGGTCTCTGCCAGGTGACCCCCCGGACCTTGTAGGAGCGGGGACCCAGCTCATTGAAGCCGAGGGAGGACCCCGAGGCCGGAAAGGTATCGTCCTGGAAGAGACGGCCGGACTCAAAGCAGCGCTGCCTCAGACTCTCGTAGTCCTGGTTCAGGTACTTCACCGCCCGGCTGTTGGTACCGATGCCCTGCGCCTTGTCCCGGTTGTGCTGCACGGCGGCCGCGATGCCTGCCATGGTGCTGGGTCTTGAAGCTTGAAGAGGACGGTCTGGAGGGTCTGGTGAGTCCTGAAAAGTTTGTGAAGCTGCGGAAAGAGTCGAGGTCTGCAGGTGAGTGATGCCAGGAAGGGAGTGTTCACTTTGATGGAAATAAAATATTCCGAGTTAAGCTGCAAGGAGTGACAAGAAGGACTTCCGCTTAGGACCCTCACAATAAGATCTATCAGATCTGCTTATTTCAATAGAAAATGTTTTAATAGACCCGAGGGAAGATTTTTTTTCAGTATCATATCCCCTCATCATTTCTGAATTGTTGTTGTCTGTGAAATATTTGAAACTCATTACAATGTTTTTGCTTTTGTGGTCATGAATTGTTTGAGCTTCATGATGTGAGGTGTTTACAGAGACACGGAGGAATTTGAACTCAAAATAAAGAATCTAGACACAAAATAAAACTAAATATAAGGTGCATGGTGCAAATTTCCCCACTTTTTTATGAATACATATTTAGGTAATAGGTGATAAATATAGGTTTATCTTGGGAGGTAAAATATATTTTCTCCATACAAGAAATTAATAAATAAAGTTATGCTACAGCTAATTTTGTGGGGGGAAAAACAAGAAAGATTGAAAAGGAACAAGAGAAAATAAGAGACGACACTTTTTCTGGTATGGTTTTCTCTGTCCAGGAGCGTCACAAATATGCTTTTATTTTGAAGGCTACTTTTCGGTCTTTTTGCGTAAACTCTCTGAACATGACTGAGGAGGAGACTTCCTGTTGGCTGAGACCTAAACCCTCATCAGAAAGTTTCATTCTTTTGGACTTCATCACTCCCTCCACCCTCCTGTGTGTGTGTGTGTGTGTGTGTGTGTGTGTGTGTGTGTGTGTGTGTGTGTGTGTGTGTGTGTGTGTGTTTTAGAGGTAAACTTTATTTAAAAAGCTTTAAGTCACAGTTCAGCCTGAGGGATTTCTCTCTGCACACCACACCCTAACCTCAGAAATAAACAGACTGAGCTTTTATTGTGAAATCTTCCTGTGGGGCAGCAGACGGTCGTGTGCAGGATAAAGTTTGACATTTCTGACGGAGATAAGACTCTTTGTTGATGAGGGTGATGATGTTTGGAGCGGCTGAATCTAAGTAAACAGATTTTATCTCCCAGAGGAGTCAGACTGATCTAGATTTACTGAACTCTGAGGTTTTCTTTCACTCTCTGTCACTGAAATAATGAGTCTGATCCGAACAAAACACTTAAAATTCTACAACTCTTGTTTTTGATGATTGTTTTCTCTCTCTAAATCTTACCCTGAGATGGTGAGGAGTGATCAGAGTTCTGCAGAGGGAGGAAAAACAGAGGATTCATCATTTCCCAGAGGCACCAGCAGAGGGAGCTCATGATCAGACCTAGAGGCTGAAACAGCTGGAACCACTAGAGTCCCAAAACTGACAGACCCTGATCCCTGACCCCTTATTTCAAAGGCACAGAGAGAGGATGGAGAAGGAGGGAAAGGTGCTCAGTGTGCCAGTACCTCCGGTAGTCTACGAGGGGGATCTCTGCTCTGTTATTTATCTCAGAGTCTGATCATTATATAACAAAAATGTATATAAACACCTTATAGATGAATAAAAATCTCAGCTACTGTGTTTAGCTGCTCATTAAAGAGCTGAGTCAGCAGCTCTGTTGGTTTTTCAGGAGGAGAGGTGCTCACTGTTTACTGAGTAAACTTCCTCAACCCTGCAGCTCACCCAGGGAGGAAACCAATGCTGAATTCATGAGCTGAATTTATTCCCTTCAAACTGAGTGACGAGGAGCTGTGTGCATCAGGGACAGTGAAGAGGCCATCTGGCTGAAAGAGATAGTTCAAAACAACAGTCTTGGTTGGACCTTCAGCTTACATAATTAAGAGATTCACACAAACCTTTGGCTTATTGGCATAGACTGTGTAGAGAATGGACAGCGTCTGCCTCCTCGCTGGGTGAAGCCACTCCAAGAACAGCACCCTCTGTTGATGAGCTGCAGTATAGGTTATAAATCCCGCCTCCCCCAGCAAAGCTTATGAGGCTGTGGACAAACTAGAAATTTATTACACAGAACATAAATTTTTTCCCCCCCTGCTTGTGATGTTGACATATAGTTAAAGTAAGGCTGGTTTGTGCTCAAGTCCTCTTTTTTTCTGTGAAGCTCCACTTTTAAAAGTTATTAGGGAGTTCATGTTTTCTATGATTGACACTTAATACAGCCTATGGGCGTACGAAGTTTGTGTAGCTCACCCGGGGGATACGCTGTTGGAGCTGAGCGTCATCACAGTCACTCTTGGTGACTCTCACGCCGGATGCGCACAACGCTACTGCGCAATGCTGGTTTGAGGAAATGAAGAAAAATCACGGAAATACCGAGAGCTTTTTGGCTTCAAATCCGTATACAGGCGGGAGGCGGAACCAAGTTGTCCATATACAGTCTTTGCTTATTATCAGTATGTTTGAAAAACAAGGAACAGAGTTGTTTATCACGTTACCACCTATCTGAATCATTCCTGTCTTGACCAGGTCTGCAATACTAGATTTAACACCCTTTGCCTATAAGGAGTATAAGATCTCAACCAAAGCAGACACATTTGAGACAACCTCCTTACAAACCAATTATCGATCATAAAGAAAGACATAAACACATGTTTACTCTTTGTTGTTTGCAGTTTCTATGAGTTACAACCTCTTTTAACTTAAAGTAATTCACAGAGGGTCAGGAACATGAGAGGAGACACACAGCTGAAGCCTGTGATGCCACTTCCTGTGTAGGCAGGAGGAATAGTTTCCATCATCTGTGTGTGTGTGTTTGGAACAATGGAGTTCTCAGAGAGAGAGAGAGAGAGAGAGAGAGAGAGAGAGAGAGAGAGAGAGAGAGAGAGAGAGAGAGAGAGAGAATGAAAATGTGAATGTATGCCATAAAATAAGAAAAAAGCTGCTCAAAATGACCTGAACAGCTGCTCCTGTGTTTTTACCTGCAACATTAAAATCACACTATTTGTTCATTTTATATTTAATATTATCATTATTATTGTTGTTGTTGTTGTTATATTACTGTTTCATATTATTTCCCATTATTGTCGTTATTTATTGTGTTGTAATGCTTTGGCAGTATTGTAATAACAGTCATGCCGATAAAGCTTATTGAAATTGAACTGAATTGAGAGAGAAACAGAGAGATTGAGAGTCCACAGAGTCCAACCACAAACAGGGTTACACCACAGGCTGATGATGTGACTCAGACATGATAAATGTCAGTCATTATGAAAAGTCTCTTTTACAACTCTGAGAAAACTTTAATTAAACCCCCAATGTGTCAGTCTCTTTATCAACTAAACCAATTAATCATCTACAGTACTTATTATTATTCAAAGATTCAGAGAATCTGGAGAAATCTCTGTACATAAGGGACAAGGACCAAAACCAATACTGGACGGTCCTGGTTTTCAGGCCCTCAGGCAGCACTGCATTAATAACAGACAGGACTCTGTAGTGGAAGTCACCACATGGACTCAAAACCACTTCCAAAAACCACTGTCTATGAGCACAGTTCATTACTGCATTCACGAATTATATTCAAACTGAACCATGCAAAAAGGAAGCCAGATAGAAACACGTTCTAGGAAATCAGCATCCTCCTCTCTAAAGAGTAAATGGACCACCTAGCTTCTTATCAGCTCCCAGTTCAGAGCCAGTTTCCTGGATAGTATAGGGATCATCAGTGGGTAGTTTCCACATCTGTGAAGGCTCCATTAATGCTGAGTGGAAAACTGTGACTGGATGAATCAAAATCTAACATTCCTCAAAAACCATGGATACGCCTGCCTTTCATTTTTTTTATTTGATGTGTCGTCTTTAAACCATTTTCAACCAAATTTGTGCTTTAGGTGATTTATACACCATTGATATAAGTTTTTTTGGCACTTCACACAGCTTCCAATCTCTAAATGTTTGGTTTCTGATATTTTACATGGCTCACCTGATTGAAATCAAACCTCTTTGTTTTAATTCTCCTGTCAGGGTTTCCTGTGTATCTACAGCTTCGTCCGATGAACTCAGGAACATCACTGATGATGTGTCCCAGTTGCATCTCATGATGTATCTTCAATCATTCGAATCTGGCTTAGCCAGTGACACCCAGGAACAGGCTGGGCGACGACCAGGAACAGGCTGGTGACGATTGGAGAGACAATTGACAGCCCGGAAAGACGGCAACCGGGGCAGGAAGGGGTAGCATCCCAACTTGTTTCTCCCGTGAGGGAGAACCCTACCAAGCTACAGAACGACCTACTGAGAAATACCCCCAGGGGAACCCGAGAGGGGGGGAGGATGAGTTCCCCAACAGGACGGACACAACGTTGACGACTTTGGCAAACGGCTTATCGACGACGACAATCGCAAGATGCAAATGTGGCAAGGTTTGCAAGAACGCGCTCGGCCTAAAAATCCATCAAGGCCGAATGAAATGCTTGGTCCAGGAGAGTGCAACACAGCGCACAGGACGTAGTCCTGGTGAGACGACGGAGGAGCCCGGCCGGGAGACACCCCACAGAGCCCAGAACCTCCAAGTGCCTAGCTCTCCAGCTCATAGCAGAGTAGTTCAACAGCGTCGTATCAAGTGGCCTCCAGCAAACCAACACAAAGTGTGGCACCAGTTCGATGAGGATGTCACCACAATCATCGAATCAACAGCAAAGGGGGATGTTGACAGACGGCTTCAGACCATGACCACCATCATTGTCACCTATGGAACGGAGAGGTACGGTGTGGAAGAGTGCAAATCCACCAGACCCAACTACACCTTGAACCGTAGAGCAGAAATGATCCATCAACTGCGGCAGGAGCTCCGGTCCCTGGCAAGACAGTACAAGGCAGCAACTGAGGAGGAGAAACCACCACTGGCAGAGCTCAGAAACACCATCAGGAAGAAACTCACAACCCTGCGCAGAGCTGAATGGCACAGGAGACGCAGGAGAGAGAGAGCCAGGAAGCGAACTGCTTTCATAGCGGATCCATTTGGATTCACCAAACAGCTTTTGGGGCAGAAGCGCAGTGGGCGTCTAGCCTGCTCCAAGGAGGAGGTAGACCACTACCTGGAAAGCAACCTGAGCGACCCTGACAGAGAGCAAGCCCTAGGGCCCCTCAGTGCCTTATTGGACATACCATCTCCCACTGTCGACTTCAAAACCTGCGAGCCCACCTGGAAGGAAATCCAGGAGGTGGTCGCTGCTGCCAGAGCCAGATCAGCTCCAGGACCCAGTGGCGTTCCTTACAAGGTGTACAAGCGCTGCCCTGGGCTCCTTAGAATCCTCTGGAAGATCCTGCGTGTGATCTGGCGCAGAGGAGCTGTGGCGGATCAGTGGAGGCAGGCGGAGGGTGTCTGGATACCCAAGGAAGAGAATTCCACCAAGCTGGAGCAATTCAGAACCATCTCGCTTCTCAGCGTCGAGGGGAAGATTTTCTTCAGCATCCTCTCCAGAAGGTTGACAGACTTTCTCCTAAAGAATGCCTACATTGACACCTCTGTCCAGAAAGGTGGTATCCCCGGTGTGCCAGGATGCCTAGAACACACTGGAGTTGTCACCCAGCTGATCAGGGAGGCGCGGGAGGGCAAGGGAGACCTCGTCGTGCTCTGGCTGGACCTGGCCAATGCCTTCGGCTCCATACCCCACAAGCTCGTTGAGACTACCCTAGACCGTCACCATGTACCCAGGAAGATCAAGGACCTCATCCTGAATTACTACGGGAACTTCAGGCTCAGAGTCACTTCTGGGAGCACAACATCTGACTGGCACAGGCTCGAAAAGGGCATTATAACTGGGTGCACCATCTCGGTTGGCCTCTTTGCCCTGGCCATGAATATGGTAGTCAAGGCAGCTGAAAGGGAGTGCAGAGGTCCTCTGTCCAAGTCTGGCATTCGACAACCACCCATCAGAGCCTTTATGGACGATCTCACCGTCACCACAACATCTGTGCCTGGTGGAAGATGGATACTCCAGGGCCTGGAAAAGCTCATATCCTGGGCAAGAATGAGCTTCAAACCAACTAAATCCAGGTCGATGGTGTTGAAGAAGGGAAAAGTGGCAGACAAGTTTCGCTTCCTCGTGGATGGCACGGCAATCCCATCTATCACCGAGAAACCAGTCAAGAGCCTGGGCAAGATTTTTGACTGTAGTCTCAGGGATTCTGCATCAATCCAGATCACCATCAAGGAGCTTGAGACGTGGCTATCGGCAGTAGACAAGTCTGGCTTACCCGGCAGGTTTAAGGCGTGGATTTACCAGCATGGCGTCTTACCCCGAGTACTCTGGCCTCTGTTGGTGTACGAGGTGCCCCTGTCGACTGTAGAGACTCTGGAGAGGAAGATCAGCGGATACCTCCGTAGATGGATGGGCTTCCCACGCAGCCTATCCAGTGCAGCACTGTATGGAAAGACCAACAAACTCCAGCTCCCTTTCAGTAGCCTTGAGGAGGAGTTCAGGGTCTCTCGCACAAGAGAGGCTTTGCTCTATCGGGACTCCAAGGACACCAAGGTAGCATCAGCTGGCATCGTGGTGCGAACCGGCAGGAAGTGGAGGGCTCAAGATGGTCTGGAGGTAGCCGAGTCTCGGCTGAGACACAGGGCTCTGGTGGGCTCGGTGGCAACGGGTCGAGCTGGGCTGGGAGTGTTCCCTCAACCGCGCTACGAGAAGGCACATGGCATGGACAAACGACAGCTAGTCCTGAGGGAGGTGCGGATAGGGGTCGAGGAGGAACGGACCAGCAGGATGGTGGGCATGCAGCAGCAGGGAGCATGGACAAGGTGGGAGGGTGCGCTGGAGAGGAAGGTGACCTGGTCTGAGATCTGGCAGGCAGAACCGCAGCGCATAGGGTTCATGGTTCGTGCTGTCTACGATGTCCTGCCCAGCCCAGCCAATCTCCATCTCTGGGGTCTGGGCGACTCTCCAGCCTGTGCCCTGTGCTCCAGGAAAGGCTCTCTGGAGCACATCCTAAGCAGCTGTTCGATAGCCCTTGGGGAGGGTCGTTACCGCTGGCGGCACGACCAGGTGCTGAAGTCTGTTGCTGTAACTATCTCCAAAGCTGTGGCCAAAAACAACAGCCGCAAGCAACAACCTGGCAACAGGAACATCGCCTTTGTTAGGGCTGGAGAGCAGCCACAGTCACAGCCCAAACCAGCAGCTGGCCTCCTCACCTCAGCGGTGGACTGGGATCTCAGAGTTGACCTTGGCAAGCAGCTCAAGTTTCCAGACCAGATCACAACAACTTCCCTGAGGCCAGACATCGTGCTATCATCAGTCTCTTCAAAGCAGGTGCTCCTGTTAGAGCTGACAGTTCCCTGGGAGGATCGCATAGAGGAGGCAAACGAGCGGAAGCGGTCAAAGTACCAGGAGCTGGTCGAGCAATGCCAAAGAGGAGGGTGGAAGGCACGGTGTGAACCCATTGAAGTGGGGTGCAGGGGCTTTGCTGGCCGCTCACTGTGCAAGGTTTATTCGCTACTTGGCATCACCGGGGCTGCAAAAAGGTCAGCCATCAAGTCCACCATGGAGGCGGCAGAGAGAGCCTCCAGGTGGCTGTGGATCAGGAGGAGCGAACTGTGGGCCATTGCTACTGGGACACAAGCCAGGGTCTGATCAACCCTAGGCTGGGTCACCTGAGGGAGGACGTATGATGTTGAAAGACCCGAAACGTCCGATGAACTCAGGAACATCACTGATGATGTGTCCCAGTTGCATCTCATGATGTATCTTCAATCTACAACTCAAGTCATTTTGGGATAAAGGTGGTCAGTTGGTGTGGTCACTGATCCCTGAATATTAGACTGTAAGTTTATTCCAGGTGTCAAGTGAACCTGAGTGACCTGAAGAAGAAGAAAGGTCACTGTCTCACCTGTTCAGGTGAGACAACAGCTCTGGCTGTGATCACACTGATAATTTAACCAGCTTATTTTGTTAACAGGAAGTGCTTTGTATCTGCATCAAGTTTTGTTTATTTAGCACAGATTAAAAACAGTGCAGGGAGGGAACGAAGCCGATAGGCTTATACAAAGTTCCACTTCCGAGTTGCAGTCAGCTAGAACAGTGAGTCAGTGTGTTAGTGTTTGATATCAACCAAGTGATAAAGGGAGTCTGGTTAATAACTACGTGAGTTCAGAAGTGTACAGGTGTGCAGACTCTGATATTAAAATCATGTTAAAACATATTACAAAGGGATATCTGTTAGGATCCAACTACAGTCAGCATTGTGTGAGCTCCATCACTCCATAGGGACCTGTCTGCTGTGCAGCTGCTTCAACAACAAGCATCAGTCCCACCTCTGTCCCTTTTTCTCTTTCCTCTTTCCTCTCATGACCCAATGCAGTCCGAGCAGATGGCTGTTTTACACAAGTCTGCTTGAGATTTCTGCATGTTAAAGAAAGTGTTTCCTCTCCACTGTAACTTACAAAATGCTGCAAAGTGTTTCACTCATGTGGTTGAAGATGGGATGGGAGTAGGTTTGATCTTACAAGATGGGGTCAGTCTGATCCCATCTTTACATTGAATCCCGTAAACCATTTATTTTGTTAAGCGCCTTGAGATAACACTTGTTAAGGATTGGTGCTTCATAAATAAATAGATAAATATGGATTGATTGATGTTTATTTCTGTTGTAAAAACAAACTTTTTGAATGGGTGTGTATGTGATTTCTGGCGCTTCTGCAGGCAGCCTCCAGTGGACACTCAGGGAACTGCACTTTTTATCACTTCTGCATCATTTAAAGATACATACTGATCACACATTATCACCGCCAGCTGGCCTGACATGCTTATATGAGTGTTTAACTGTTTCTGCATTGTCACATGGAAAGAAAATATACACCAACACCTCTGATAGGGATGGGATCTGTTTATGATAACGTCTTGATTCATAAATGAACAGCATTTTAATATCTTTTTATTCATGTATCTGGTCTTCTGACCAATCAAAGCGCTTCTAAATTACATGCCACATTCACCTATTCACACTACATTCATATACTGACAGTAAAAGTAAAGCTCTTTCGCTTCTTGCTGATCCAATTCATGCTTCTGGGTATAATCACCAGGGGGCAGAGTGAGCCACATTTCTAACATTTTGATGTATGCTTCTGTGTGACATCTGTATGAAACTTAAAGTCCTACTTCGACCTTTTTTTTTTACCATTTGAAGTGTGTTTAAAGGTCTTTAAATTGTGACAGTGACATTTTTAGCCAAAGTCACGTTACCTGTGCCAGTTTCAAGGGCTCTCTTCTGCAGAGCTCCAGTAGCTCATTAGCCTCTGAGTCATGGACAGAGACAGTGCTGCTCAGTGCCCTCCTCTTCACACTAGCTTGCAACCTAACATCGCTGGTGCAACAGAAGTGGAAAATAATAGGCTATAGGAGCTATTCAGCTCACAGACACTTATGTCTTGGGGGGCATGATGAAAGCTTATATCATAATTAGCTTTCTTACGAGCATTGCAATCCGCTACTGCACACACTTGTTCCACCATTGTCCTCTCTATTTCTCGGAGTCTGGCCTACAGAGCAGGGCGGCGGGGGTGGAGCTTGGATTTGTGATGTAGAAAACCTCACTGTGTCTGAACCTGCTGTTTGGGTCTGTGAGAGGTTGACAGTGATTTGAGTGCAGAAATACTCAGAAATGTTTTGTACTTTTTTCTCCTGATGTGTCCTCTGGCATCAAAAAATGTCATATAAACATGTGGACAACAAAAAAACAACAACATGATTTTAATCGTAGTGGGTGCTGCCGCCTACCAACACACACGTCCGAGCCCCCTCAGTTAAACCCTGTAGACATGGCCCTGCTGTTAGGGCGGTGTAACAGAGCTGAAGGTTTCTGTCTGAGTCACTCCTGCTTACATTCTAACTTTTTTACTTTAAGACTTGTAACTGAGTCAAGTCTTAAGTCGACACCCTGAGGACTGTCCTCAGGGACCGGAGCCTCTCAGTCCGTTAGTTTTATTCCACCTTTTTTGTTTTAAATTTTATCACTGATTTGATCGTTTCCTGCTTTCAAACTCGAGAGAGAGAAAGAGAGAGAGAGATAATCTGAGGGAGGAAAAGGCTCCTCCTCTGGTTTTCGGGGCGGAGGTCTGGTCCGGACTCTGTCGGTCTCCCATAGAAGAAAAGTTAGTCTGAAGTTTCTGCATCTGGAGTCTCTTTAACTTTTCTTCCTCTTCTTTTTCGTCCTCTTCCTCCTCCTCGGCTCCATCATGTCTGGTGTGGCCTCCACTCTGGCCAAGAAGCGCGCACTGGCAGCGGGCTTCGGGACCAACGCCAATGCGACGCGGTACCTGAATCAAGACTTTGCCACTCTGCGCGCTCAGTGCCGCGCCTCCGGCAAACTCTTCTGCGATCCCATGTTCCCCGCCGCTCCGGAGGCGCTGGGCTTTAAAGAGCTGGGTCGCAACTCCTTCAAAGTCCGCGGGGTGACCTGGAAGAGGCCCACGGTAAGAATTGGACCCGACCGGGATTTGAGTTTAAAGATACTTGGGCTCTGCATGGGAAGAAGCACAGTTTGCAGGAGTGGGTGTGGTTGGGAGGGCGGGCCGCTGTTTGGAGTGACGGGGGTGGAGGGGAGGGGGTATTTTGGCAGAATACCTGCAGGCAACTCATAACTGAGGGAGTCCTGCTGATGGAAAAACACTCTGCGGGAGTTATGAAAGAGAGGGAACTGTTTAAACAGAGAGAAAGAGACAGAGATAGTTACAGCAAAATACAGAGATCACGACTGAGCAGATATGAGACATCAAAACAACATTCAGACAGAGATAGTGCAAGGTGAATGAAAAGGTAATGACATAAAACAGAGATATTCCACATGAAGATTATAATCCAATTTGAGTGCACTGATCATGTAGATGTTACTAATGTATTACAGCAATAATGCAAACCAACAAATCATCTACAGAAAGAGTGCAAAAACGGAAATCTCAAAGATAATGATAACAGGAAACAGACGCAATAAATGAAAATAAATAAAAAATACTGTGATCATTATGACATTATAAAGAGTTCATGCAAAGATGTTATAGAGATAATAATGACACGAAACAGAGAAAATGCTACAATTATGTTTAGATAATAGTAACTTTAAACAGAAAGAATTGATAAAGATGCTATGTTACAGATAGAAATGACACGAAACAATCAGAACGTCCATTAGTGTAACATTAATAACAACTTCATAGAGCATTACATTATAGACACTGGAGTTATTGCAATAACAATAAATAATCATTAAATTATATACCGATAATACATAGAGATATTGATATAATACAGATTAATGCACTGATGTTATGAAGATGACTATTGGACATTATACAGAGATAATGTCACAATGATATAGATATAATGAGGAAAGAGTTTGAGATAATGTCTCAGTGTTATAGAGGTAAGGTTTCAATGGTACTGAGATATGGAAAACATCACACAGAGAAATGTATAGGATAATGAAGACTTTAAAGAGAGTAGTGTATCCATGTTATAGTGACAATATAGTCATAATAAAGACATGTTTCTATGTTATAGAGCTGAAGAAGACCTCAAAATAATGCATCAATTTTATAGCTAATGAAAACTTTGTAAATGTTTTAATTTCATATTTATGGAGCTTATACAGACTGAAAGGTTAATAGATATAGTTCATCTTTAAAAGTGAGATTATGAGATGTTTAGAGATTTTCAGAGATTACCAGAGATAGTGTTGGTGTTTAGATAAAAGATGATTTAACGGACGATTATACTCAGGAGTGGCATGTCACAGTCTGTTAGAGATAATGAGGATATAATGTATACCAGATATATCTCTGACACCATTTGTCAGTCAGGATGAACTATGTTTAGTTACAGCTGACACACTTAAACAGAAACATCCTAACAGAGCCCACAGGTTCAGTATTATAACCAAACATACTATGTCTGTGTTACTGTGATGATTTTATTCAACAGGGTCTGAAGTTTCTTAAAAGCTATCAGGAACATCTGAACATGACTCAGAGATCCTACATTCCACCCACATGACTCACTGCCAACCCAAAAACTTAGCTGCTTCCTGGTTTAACAGCCACAGGGAGGAAACACTACACAGTCCTATTACACACACACACACACACACACACACACACACACACACACACACACAGCTGTGTCAATGTTCAGAGGAAGAGCAGGGAGTGACGCCTGGAACTGATTTTATCATTAAATAAAAAAGTAACCTTTGAGTTTTTACAGTATGCAGCTGCCCACAGACTTTATAAAGTTATAATGAACACACAGTGACTAAGCTCAGGTACAGGTGTATGTAATCTACGAATCAGGATCAGCTCAGGTGTTATCTCCTTAAACTGTTCCAGGTGTTTTAAGTGACTGAATGAAAAGGTTTACATCAAATATTATAAGAGATTAGCCGTGACACCTCATTTCCTCTTATGTCTGTTCGCGGTATGTGCAGATCTGTAAAGAAACACATGGTGCATTTAGTGGTCAACATGAGGAAGAGCATTTCTCTTTGGCTCATTCAGTCTGAATACTGATAAATCTGACTGAATGAAAGATTTAGGCTCAACTCACCGCGTGGAAACAAGGGATCAGTGTTTCTAGCTAATCAGATCAAATCTAAGGATAGGGTGGCACTACAGATTTAATTTTCACTTTAACACCTTGTCTCTTTTTCCTTCAGGAACTGGTCTCTAGCCCTGAGTTTGTTGTGGGTGGAGCCACCAGGACTGACATCTGTCAGGGAGCTCTGGGTAAGTTTTCCTGATGGTCTCTGAATGTACCATTCCCCCAACACTTACAACATGTACATTTTCGCCTGCCAAGCTTTTAAAAGATGTTTCCGTGAGGACCACTACCGTTAAAGAAAACTAGTTATTTTCATGCAGCAAGTTCTGTTTGGGATGATGTGGCTCTATTCTGACAACTCTCTGCCCCTCCACTTGTGTACGTGGAATGCCAAAGCCTGAGGCGGGGAGAGCACATCTACCCTCTGTTTTATGTGCATACATGTTGCTCTCCCAAGGCAGGACAGGCGCCAGCAAAGACCCCTGGGCTCTGTTTTTAGAGCTCCCTGCTCTGTCCTGTGCATATGAAGAGATCACACCTTCCCTTTATTACATGTGAAAAGCAATGGTAGGAAGAGCAGCAGCGAAGACACTAAGAATTAGTGTTGGGTGGTATGACGGTATGAGAGAGAGAGAGGGAGGGAGGGAGAGAGAGAGAGAGAGAGAGAGAGAGAGAGAGAGAGAGAGCAGATGCCTGCTGTATCTCTCTAAGTCAGTTTGTAGTTGTCTGTGCTCGCTAACAGGAAAGCCGGAGTGCATCAGTTTGGGTGCGTTTCTGTATATTCACCAGCGTGTCGTGCGGAGTTTGCTCATTCCGTTTGATTGGTCAGGTTTGGGTGCCCTCCCTATTATCACCAGCGTGTGCAGCAGACTGTTTGGCATAGTTTCTACAAAGAAGAACAGAGCTTGGCAGAGTCTTTCGCCAAAGGTGCGCCATACGATAAAAAAAATCGCCAGACTGGGCAGGCATTTTGTTTGCATTTGTATACAAACTGGGTTTAAAAATAAAAGGAAAATGAACAAATGCAACAGTATGGTTATTTTTAAGCCATTAATTGAATTCACAGGAGGGAAAAAACATTACCGTGATATGAAATTACTCATACCGTGATTTAAGATTTTTTTCATACCGTCCAACACGACCAAGAATCTGTTTTGGGAGCTCCTTGCATGTCCATGTTGCATGCTTAAGTTTGAGGCACAAAAAAACAAACAAACAAAAAAATCATGGCAGGGAGAGCAGCAGCAAAGACCCTCCTGAGTACAGAACAGAGAAACATCAGAGTCAATCCATGTAACAGTGGTAAAACCAGACAAAGCGTAAAAAGGAGGAGCAGGGGCGGGTTGCATGGTAGTTTGCAGAAGAAGCAGGAAGGACAGGCAGTCTGAAGACCTTTAAATAGAACAAATATTTTCACATTTTACTATCTGATGGTAGAAAGTAACCAGCAGAGCTGTTGGCTGATATGAGCTGGTGTTAAGACCAGCTGATGTACTGTGGGCAGAGCTTGACTTTGTGGCCTGCCTAAAGTAACACCTTGCTCGATGTTATTATTTTAAAATATCTAAAAGACACCCCTGTTTCATTCTGCGTCTGGCTTTATGCTGATATTTTACTTCAGATTGTTTTGAGTTAAAAAAAAACAAGAGATAAATGAAAAAAACATCTGCATACAGAAAATAATAGGACTGAGAATGTACACGGCAGTTTAATTGGGAAACTTAAAGATACTTATACACACCCCATTACTGTCTTATATGAACTCCAACTGGATCATCAGTTCATTCAGAGCGAAGTGTTTTTTCTGGGTCATTTTTACTATGCTTAACTGATTGGATGTGTTCATGTAAACACAACTGTTGCCTGACTGTCCCTGAGTGTACCACAGACATATAAATAGTCAGAAGCAGCTGATCATGAGCAGACAGACAGGTTTGGATCAACATTCAAACATGCAGCAGCTTTAAGCACAGATGAGGTGAAGTCTGCTGATTTATTCTGGTTATACTTTATCGATACCTGCAGCATGTTCAGCACTAATGTTTTGTGAAAATTTAAATCCTGGGGCTGCTGTCCATCTCCTCTAGTGGAAATTTGTAGACCTTTGTTTCGTGTTTGTCTTCATAGGCCACCATACAGACAGGGGTAGGCACACAAACATGTAGGCAGGTAGCTAAGCACTCTGCTGAGTATTCTGCCTGAACTTGTTTGAGGTCAGAGGTCAGAAGTCCTCAGAGAGCAGCTGTTTGGACAGAAAAAACTTAAGCTTTACTCATGAATATATAATAGATGGATGAACTGATAGGTTCACTGACAGACTGGAGGTCCCTTTAAGAAGATCTGTGTTCTAATAAATGCATATAATGTTACAGAGTTTTTATAACAGGAGGCAGTGAGATGGTGACGGGTTTTTCAGGTTCTCTGAAGGGCAATTAGGAGCTCAGAACAAAAATGGGGAGCGAGCAAGTTGTAGCTTCTAGCCTCAGGTGTTTTTTTGTAAGGGCATCATTTTAAGTCTGTGACTACAAAACTGTGTAAAAGGTAACACCCCCAAGCTGTGTCCAACTTTCAGAGCTGAAATTAGGGTTTTTGTAAATGCCAGAATAAGATACATGCTAAACTACTCTCGAAGTGTAAAGGGGAATTTAAGTATTAGGGCTCCAATAACTTTTAAAATGGAAAAATTTTGAAGCCCCACCCCCCCATCATTGACGACACATTATTAATCACAACCTGTGTAAACTCCCTCCTGCACCCTTTGGTGTTATTGCAGACACAATCTGCAAATCACACAGGAACAAATACGACCAGGAACTGCCCATTAACAAAGAAATCCACTCAAAGTGACTCAGCGTTTCTGAGATGTGGGCGGCCCGACGTTGGTTGAAGTGAAGCCGAGGGCCAGATATGACACGTCAGAATTCCCTGTGTTTGTTTTTGTCTCTGTGTTATTTTTACTAGCTGCAGCCTTTGATTAGCCTGGCACTCCTTTTACAGAACTTGCAATGTGAAGCTGGCAGTGTCAACTGACTCATTTGTGAATTGTAACATATGTGACTGCAGCTTTTAGCCTGTTTTTGTAAAGTTTTTCCAGCCGATCTGCAATTCACTTCATGCTTTCAGCTTCTGGCATGTCCACACATTTTTACACATTTTCACACATTACCACAGAAATGCATTTTTCTCATTAATAAATGCAGACAGTGGTTACAGTCTGAAAGTGTTTTTTTCTGAACATACTGTATATGAGCACATCAGCTACATGATTTTCAGTCACTCATGTGTGAAAATTTACATCCTGAACTGCATGTTGGTAGGTCTTCAGACTAATCATCCTCTGGATTTAGGAATTACTTTTTGAAATCCAAACTATCAATCAGTCAATCAATCAATCAATCAATCAATCAATCAATCAATCAATCAATCAATCAATCAATCAAATTTTATTTATGTAGCTCCAATTCACAACATTCGTCATCCCAAGATGCTTTCCAAAGAAAAAGAGCAGGTCTGGACAACACTCATTGTTTGATGAATTATCAAGACCCGACCTAAGACGGTATTTGGCCCATCTCATCTAACACGAGAAACAGTGGCAAGAAAAAGAAAAAACTTCCTTTCAACAGGCAGAAACCTTGGGTAGGACCAGACTCATGTTAGACAGAAGAAGAAAGAGAATAAGTAAGGGAGAGGGAGGGAGAGAGAGTAGAGAACGAGGGTGAGAGAGAGAGACAGGGGACAGCAGCAACATTAAAACAACACCAACAACAACAACAGCTCATGTAATAGTGAAGCAGAATGAATTCAGTTTACAAGGTTAGGATATAAGTAATTATGGACTATGTTAAATTAATTTAATGTAACCGTCTGTAGCATCTGTCCAGAGCAACCTCGGAAACTGGGGGGCTATGAAATGGGAGAAAATGACTTCAATGTACAGGATAATGAAGTAACTAATTATGGACTATGTTAAATTAATTTAAGGTGATTAAAGTTAAAACTCAATGGCAGTTTACTCTAGTGTTATTTTATTGATGTCAGTTAGGCTGACGTACGTGTCTGCAGCAACAGTCCAGAGGAGTCCAAGAGATGGAGGAGCTCAGGGCCTGAGGTGGACAATCAAAGATGATGCAGCTGGGGTCAGGCAGTTCCAGAAACATAAGACTGACACAGTTAGTCACAGTTTGTTGTTGAACTAAATTATTTTAAACTCAAAATTTTAATTTTTAACTCAACAACATTTTCAGCTTTAAAATTTGGTTAATTGTATTTGTTATTACTCGGCTGGTGCTTGTGTTTCCTTTTTTTCCGCACATTTTTCTGCTGTAGCAGAGAGGCGTTCCTGCATGTATCATAAACACTCACAGTCTGAGTTTGCAGACTTCTCCTCCTGCTTTGTTTGAGCTTGTCTGACCGTGTACTGTAGGCATGATCCATAGTGCTAGTGTGAGGTTTTAACTCTCTGCAGCTAACAGTGTTTTCTGTCTCTTTAACTCTAACAATGGGGCCTCTTTAGAGGGGTTTGAGGCAGTGGAGCCAGAACTTTGTGTAACTCTGTCAGTAATGAGGAGTTTCGGGAGGTTTAAAGAAGCAGCTGGTCCCTATTCAGACTTTATTTAGTCATAAACAGTGTGCAGTACAGACGCTCAGCTATAAGTCTGCTTGAGGGGTTACAGACGCGTTCAGCATCAGTGTTTAGGTGGTGTTTAACAGCAGGAACTTAACCCGAGTGCAAGGAACTCTATGTATTGATATCAGGAACCAGGGTCTAAACGTAGTCAAAGAATAACTGAACTGTTCCTTGAAAAGTTCCTCTTGAGAGGCTTCGGAGAGTGGAGCCTGACGACAATGTCATTAACATCGTAAAAAGATCATTGAAAAGTTGGATGTGATAACCCATCTGTTCCTTAAAAAGTTCTTTTTCCTGTGTTTTTACTTTCTCAAGGAAATTTTTTGGGGAAGAGCTGAACAGAGAGAGGGGCAGAAAGGTAGATATTAGGGGTGCAATGGTACACAAAGTTCAGTACCTAAATATAGTACAGCAAGACTTAAAGGAGCTTTGAAATGGGCTGTATTGACCAAGTAACTACCCTGGACGAGCTCTCTCTGTGCCATTGGCCTGATTTTCATAGTCTTCACTTGACAGGAACCATTGAGCTTCTTGAAGGAAAGTTCCTGGAACTGAAAATGAGCTCTGTGATGAAGCAGGAAGAAGATTTGTCACAGCAACAGATGTTGATGTTGTTACAGTGTGAGGGGGAAGGGAACTGTTGTAAATAAGTGTCAGGAGATAAACTATGAACTGATTTACTCAAAATAAGAACGCTATTTACACAGAATAAGAAGAATAAGAAAGGTGGTAATATTTAGCCTAACATTGACCTGATGATTAAAATAAGTTACTCCTCTGGGCTCAGATTAAACTCTGATTTAGTAAAAGTTAGTCCGTTTCTGTTAAAGATGTTTTAGTCATGTTTGATCCTCTGTTCACAGCAGAGTGTTTTACACTATTTACCTAATGTGAACCAGCTGAAAACATGGACCTGCTCTTATAAGAGGGCGCTGCCACGCTGCACTCTGATTGGCCCAGCAGAAAGGAGACAGGAAGAGGTCTGCCAGCTATTGTTGGAGGGCGAGAGACAAACACACATTAAAGAGAGAGAGGGGGGTGAAGATATGTACTGTCAGCTAACAAGGACACACCCTGACACACACACACACACACACACACACACACACACACACACACACACACACACACACACACACACACACACTAACACAAACAGACTCACAGAGAGATACACACTTAAACAGAGTTGTGTTGTGGTGATGACTCACACTCATGCCGTGCCTTATTTGTAAACCACTGTAGCTCTCTGACTCTCATGTTGCGTAACAGGGAGACAGTTTTTACTTCAAACCCCACAAACTTTTTCATCAAATTAACTACAAACTACACTTTGTAAAAACTATCTCCGCTTTCACTGAAACGTCAAAGCCGACGATTTTGGGCTGAGGAATTTGCCTCAGAGTAAGACCTCTGTCTGATTAGAGCTGCTGTGAATATTTGTGGTCAGACTGCCTTCAGGCTGTAATTCTCCTCATGTGTTTAATCCTCTCTTTCTTCATCAGGAACAGAAACCACATCAGAGTCCCTTGACAACAACGCCTGCATTATTTACAATCAAAATTCTGTAACTTTATTTGAACATAATGCTGCTGTAGTGTTTAATGTTTCTGCAGCTTCAGTCAATCGTAAATATTTGAAATCCTTTACTTTCAAATCCTGGGACGTATCTTTTTACAAATTTTAGGGTCTAACTGACAAACAGGTCCAAAAACAGTGACTGAGTCTGCAGGTGATTTATTTCCCTCCTGCAGCAGGTAAACTGTTTGCAACGTAATACTTGATAAGTCAAAGTGAGTCTCTCAAAGTTGTAGTTTTAGTCCATGACAGACTTTTGTGTTTTATTATGTATGTCTGTGCATAAAGAGGCTCGAGTGGGAGGGTCTTTGTTTAAAAACAGTTGCTAACTTGCTGTGAATTTGAGGCTGTGCGCGAGCAGACTGTGGCTGTCAGAGCTTCTCAGTTCCTTGTTCTGTACTTTGATATAATTAAATCAGGAGACATAAGGTCCATTCAGACTTGGTTTTAATTCTCTAAAAACAGTTAGTGTGGTGAAGTAAGGGACAGTTTCAATTTTAAGCTCAGGTATCGTAAAAGAAGTCTGTGTCAATAAAACTCAGAGTATACAGATACAATAATCATTATTAATAAAAAAACAGAGGAATTATTTAATATAAGTCTGTATGAGCTCTGGGACACTAACATGAAAGGCTGTTCTCAGTTTGTCAGACAGCACAAACAGACAGATAATAAATAGATAAATAAATAGATGAATAATCAGACCCTGCAGCCTACAGGGGGCAGCACTGAGCCCCTCCCAGCATCACTAAGCGTTCTCCTGTATGTTCATCTGTCCAGGTGACTGCTGGCTGTTGGCCGCCATTGCCTCTCTAACCCTGAACGAGTATGTGATGGCCCGAGTTGTTCCCATGGACCAGGGCTTTGGAGACGACTATGCAGGGATCTTCCACTTCCAGGTAACACTCACCTGATGTGATCTTACCTCTTACCTGACATCAGAGTGCTGCTACTGTTACTGTACAGATAAATTAAATGTGAACTTGCTGTGTGTGGAGGTCAGATGGACAAAAAGATGGTCAAACAGGTCTGAGCAGACACATGTCAGGGTGAATAAAATAACTTTATTCAGACAGTATCGTTAAACACAGTAAGGTCAATGTGATCTGAAAAGGACCAAACATTGAACTCTAGGGGAATCCAGACCTGATAGATGGTTAATGAAACTTGGTTTGTGCCCTTATTTTAGTGTTAGTAAGTAAAAAACTGAATAAAGTTTTACATATATATGATTTAGGATTGTGATCTTCTAATGGAGCTGAGACAGTTCAGCAGCTCAGATGTATATTATGCTTGTTAGCAGTAAATTGTTTATTTCCTTATGTTAACACCTGTAAAAGTCAGCAAACAGCAAAGGTACAAAATAACCAGATATATATTCTGTCTTACTTAAATATCTACGTTTCAGACCATTTAAAATTTTTATCCTAGACATTTTTCTATATTGAGGAAAAACCTCACGTTTTTAGGTCAAGCTTTTTTAAGTGCAGACACGCTCTGCTCGGCCCACCTGTTAGGGAGTTTTTCAGATTCTCTCTGAATGAATCTCACGTTTTGTAGTTCAGGTTAACTCTAACAGAGACTCAAAGAAAGCAGCAGAGTCCTCATTTAAACTGCTAAGAAGGTGCTCTGCATGCAGCTTCAAGTTTCAACCTGTCCTGACTGCAGATGTGATCTGAGCTGAACTGTGGTTGAGACAGTAATGAAGCAGGCTGAAACTACAACTGAATCTAAGCACCATTATCAACACAGAAACTGTTTAAAAGACAGTACAAACTTGTAGTAGCGCAGATAAGTGACATAATCGTTCAGCTGGTGATCCAAGCATGAAAATTGGCATAAGCGTTCTTCATGGGTCACTTTACTAGAAAGTGTCCCAGCCATTTGAAATTTCAACATAGCCGCCACCTAGGTGGAACAATAAGTGGTGTCCTTGTTGAGTTGGTGATGTAGGCATGAAAATTTGTATGAACAGTCTTCATGAATCACTCAACAAGAAAATGCCCCAAGTTGCTTGAAATTTTAAGATGGCAGCCATCTCATTAAAATAGATAAATTATATAAGTTGGTGATATAAACATGAAAATTAATAAGACCATTCCCCATGAGTAACTTAATAAGAAAATGCCCCTAGCTTCCTGAAATTTCAAGATGGTGACCATTTTAAAGATGTCTTTTTAATATTTCGTGTTTCTCTTTTTAATTGAAACATATGTTTATTGAGGAGCCTCTAAAGGGATATGGAGAAAAAAAACACAAACATGTGTGCGCATGCGAAAGAGGTGCGTTGTTCTCCTGTTGAAAACACGAGGTATCCTCTTCTTCCATGCCTTCAGTGGCTGTGATGTCGTGTCAGCTTTCCATGCAAAATCAAAGATGTCTGCGTGGAAAACATGGAAGGTGTGTGATGAAGTCTTAAACATTTGAGACTTGTGCTGCTGGAAGAGCACATGTGCAGCTTAGGAGGCTGGATATATGTGGAGACAGGCACCGAAGCAAAAGCCAGAAATGCTAAGCCCATCTGACTGGGTATTGATAAAAGAAGATGAGAGTTGTTGGAAGTTGACCAAATGACGGTGCACCGAGGAATGTACTGGACGATGCAAGTGCTTAAAATATGGACTCACTTGCCTATGAAGTTGCCCCTGTTTGAAGCCATGTGTGCATTCTTTTTTCCAGGACTACTTCCCCTTGTTTACATTCCTTTTGTCGGAAAGAAAAAAGTTACAAAAAAGGTACAAAAAAAACCCAACACATTTTCAAAAAGTTAAAAAATTAAAAAAAACTCCCTTGTGACTGTTACCTTGTTGTGGAAAGGAAGCTCGCATACTTCCATGAACCCTAAGAGTTATGCCATTGGGAGGCAACTGCTGGCAGGTTTTTACCAAATCGGACAGGTCAAGGGCAAGATGTTGGACAAAACCTAGTCGAGCATTTTCTTGTAAAGTGACTTATGGAGAACACTCTTCCCAATTTCCATGTTTATATCACCAACTTTACAAGATATTACTGCTGTAATGAGATGGCGGGCATCTTTTAAATGGTCACCACCTTGAAATTTCAAGCAGCTTGGGGCAGTTTCTTGTTAAGTAACTTATGAAGACTGTACATACCAATTTCCATGGCTATATCACCAATTTAACAAGTACATAACCTACTTGTCCACTTAGATGGACAATCTCATCTCGAAATTTCAAATGGCTGGGACACTTTTTTCTAGTAAAATAAAGAGAGAGGATATTTATGTCAATTTTCATGCTTGTATCACCAACTGAATGATTCCATCACAGCTCCTACTGCCTGAACTGAGTCCAAGAAAAGGTGTTTTATCCTCAAAAAGTCTTTCAGGAAATTCGTGAAAAAACAGCGACCATCACTGTAAACTAGCTCTGGTCCACTCTGGTCTTGAGGTCCTGAAGGAAACACAAACATTGACAGGCTGTGAACTAAGGGCTTACCTAATACCTATATCATACAGTATATCATTGTGTGTCCTCTGTCTCTGTCCGTCTGTAGTTTTGGCAGTTTGGTGAGTGGGTGGACGTGGTGATCGATGACCGTCTGCCCGTAAAAGACGGAGAGCTGATGTTTGTGCACTCGGCGGAGGGGAGGGAGTTCTGGAGCGCTCTGCTGGAGAAAGCCTACGCCAAGTAAAAAAATAGCCGGGATTTAACCTGACAACCTTTGCTAAAGGTGTTTCTGAGAACCTGAGAGTCAGGGCACATGTGTTCACAGGGACTGTCTTAAACTACCTGTTTTTCCTGTCACAGAGTGAACGGCTGCTATGAAGCTCTCTCTGGAGGATCCACCACTGAGGGTTTTGAGGATTTCACCGGAGGCATCGCAGAGAACTTTGACCTCCGCAAACCGCCGTCCAACCTGTTCTACATCCTCAAGAAGGCTCTGGAGGCGGGAGCTCTACTGGGCTGCTCCATTGATGTGAGTGCAGACAGAAAACACTTCTTTATATCAAAACAGTTCATTATGTTTGTTTCTATAGACCTGATCAGCTCTGTATGAAAACTGAGCCCCTGTTTCCACTCTCTAGATCACCAGCGCTGCAGACTCAGAGGCTGTGACGCGTCAGAAGCTGGTGAAAGGCCACGCCTACTCGCTGACGGGCGCCGTGGAGGTGACTTTTCTGTTGATGAAATGAGACCTTTATGACGTAAAATGAAGGTAGGTAGGGTAAAAAGCTTCTTATTTCAATTGTGTTCAGGTAAATTATCGTGGACGGCAGGAGAAACTGGTGAGGATGAGGAACCCTTGGGGTCAAGTGGAGTGGACTGGGGCCTGGAGCGACGGGTAACAACAATCACAACACTGACACATTCCATTACACACCAGGGACTATACACACCAGGATGATATGATATGACATGATGTGATATGATAAGAGTTAGAGAGCTAGAACATTTTCTAAATTCTGGTTAAACTGTTAATCAGGACATGAAGACTGGAGCGTACAGTGTATTAAGATGTTGTTACCATGCTGTCCCAGATCTTCAGAGTGGGATTACGTACAGGGGGATTGTCCACATGCCAACGCAGAGGACGGAGAGTTCTGGTAAGAATAAAACTCACACTGAATGCGATAACTACACTTTCTTCTTAAACCTTAGATCTAGCTGCAGAGTGAGCGCTCTACTTTTTCCCATCTCTGCAGGATGTCCTACAACGAATTTCTGCGGCACTACTCTCGCGTCGAGGTTTGCACTCTGACTCCTGACGCCATTGATGATGACTCTATCAAACACTGGAGCGTCAGCAAGTTTGACGGCACCTGGAGGAGAGGGTCCACTGCCGGAGGCTGCAGGAACCATCCATGTAAGCAGTAATGAGGGTGGACCCTCACCTGAGTGTACCCACCTGCAAGCAAGTTCTGGATGTTTAGTGTCCCTGATGTAAACAGGAGCTGTTGTTTTTTCTTTGTCTCGCACAGACACATTCTGGACAAACCCTCAGTTTGTGATCAGGCTGGAGGAGGAGGATGATGACCCTGATGATGGGGAGGTGGGCTGCAGCTTCGTGGTAGGTCTGATCCAGAAAAACCGAAGAAAGCTCCGGAAACAAGGCGAGGACATGCACACAGTGGGCTTCGCCATCTATGAGGTGAGACTGAGGATAGACAGTAAAAAGCATCAACTGAAACACAGTCTGCTGTCAGACTAACACTGTTCCTCTCTTCTCTTTACAGCTCCCACAACAGGTGAGCTGTGATCTCTGATGACCCCAGTTTAAAGGCTAAAAACACACACCTTTCTTCACCTCTAACAGAGACACAGTAAAAGCTCTCAGCTGAGTTCAGACAGAGATGTACCTAAAGTAAAACAAGAAACAAAACAGCTAGTATGTTTACATGAACTTCTGTGATTTGGGATTGTGTCGTCAAAGTCACTCTGGCTAATTCTCCTCGTTCACTGGTCAGCAAAATCATTAAATCATCTACTGACAGTTTGTCAAACACTGGTCTCTGTTCAGGGACTTTTCTGTCCCAGCTTTGATCATTCGATCATTGTGGCCTCCTTTAGAAATGCAACTGCACATCAAAACAAAGCAGACTGCAGGCACTGTGATTGATCTACTGGGTGGAAGACGTGTCCATTGACACTCCCTGCACTGCAGTGGCGGCTGCTGGTCTTTCAAGGAGGGGAAGCTCATTTTTCTGGCCTACATCATAATTGTATTTGTTCATTAGTATGTAACAGAACAGAGTCGCCAAACACAACGGCAGTCGTTTTTAACAAAGACAAAAGTCGCTGAGGATTGGTAAAGTCTCTGGAGCAGTTAAGAACAACGGAATGAATGACTTGGAAAATGCTCTGGTAGATGTTTTATTCTTCAAGATCGCTGATTCGCTTGTTTAGCTGTCAATCAAAAAAGGATTTCGCCTCAGACAGCTCATCCAATCATGAATGCAGAAGCTTGGAGTCCGGGAGAAAGTCGGGACCGCCCTCTCGCCATAGAACTCCAGTGAAGCTGGGCTTCCGATGGGCGGGACAAAGCCCAGCATTTATCCAATGAGCGTCTAGTTTTGCTGCTGGAACAACCCACTTTAAGCTTCCACATTGAAGTCAGCAGAAGCCCAGCGTCCGACTGTTTGAAGCGCTGAGGCGCTGCGAGGATGAATGAGAACGAAGTTTAGACCTGTGATTATCAGCTTCTTATCACAGTGTCTGAACAAAAGTTGAAGGCTTTCTAGTGCGTATTTAGTTAATGAAATGTACACACAGCCGTACGTATTTCACCACTTGGGGGTGACATTTTAAGGGAAGCCGAGCTTCCCTTGCAGTCTTAGAGCAATCGCCACTGCTGCACTGATTCAGCAGCTGTTAGTCTGTGTCTGCAGAGCTGCAGGCTGCAAATTCAAGACCCCATTTTTATGACTGTGTTATGTCTAAAACACTTGATATTCAGACAGTTTAACAGGCTGCAGTTTGATGGTCATATTTTGACTAACGCCTCTCAAAGCTCAGATGTCAGAGGGTCCCTGAAAGCACCATCAGAGAGACTTGTCAAACGCTCTCAAACACATCTTTGACAAAAACCACAGGCTGGTACTTCCTGTTTCCTGTCTCTGGTTTCTACAGAAGTGAACAGAAAATCTGAGTCTGTTTCAATCAAACAGACCCATGAATGCATTTACATGTAAATGTTCATTAATGCATATTGTCCCATTTAAAAAAGAAAAAATCCTAAATCCTAAACCCTAAACTGTCAGTCCTGGCTGAGATCAGCACCTTTCAGCAAAGTGGAAGACATACAACATACAGTTTAAGTATCATCACCTCCTGTTGCTATAAAGGGTCAGAGTATCTGCAGCCTGATGCATCTTCCTCCAACAACTTCAGTGTGTTTTAAAATCTCTGACAGAGAGACACTTGCTCAGATTGAACCATCCTGAAGGAACTCTATCTCTCTTCGTGAATTTACAGACTCAGTCTGAGGACTGGAAGGAAGTAAGAGTCATGTGACTCAGTCAAAGAGCAAAGACTGTAGCGTTTAGGATTTTTCATATTAATAACATCACATGCATGCAAATATAAAACATCACCACAGTCAGTCATGGGCATTAAAGTCTTAGCAACAACAACAGCAACAACAGTAAGTCTTTCTCTGCAGCTACAGAAAACTGCAGGAAGTCCAACTGCAGTTTCAGTTTCTTAACAAGGAGCTGGATATGAATCGGTAGAATCAGTGTATCATTTATAGATAAAAAGAGGAACACACAACTGTAGTCACGTCACACTGAGACGTAGCAGCAGACAGCAACTTTAGCAGCTTTGTGTCTGAGTCAGTAAACATAATGAGTTTGGTTTTATCAGGATTTTTGATCAGTTCCAATTCACAAAAAGTATGTCTGGATTAAAACTGAAGCACTTGTTAAATAACAAAGCTGATACTGTATTGAAACGAGCATTACATAACATGAAACCACTCGATTATGTTTACTTATTTGTGAAACAGTCATTTTTTATTATTTTTAATTTTTTTTATATATATATTAAAAAAACATGGCCTATAGAGTCAAAGCTTTAACAAGTCACTATGTTTGAATTCATTTTTCATCCAGATTTCCTATTTTCTAAATCTATTATTATTATTATTATTATTATTATTATTATTTATATGTTTAAGCATTGCCATGGTATGTCCCACTCAGTTCCACGGGCAGAGACAGGTGCACCTGGATAAGAACTTCTTCCTGACCCATGCTCAGACAGCGAGGTCAGAGACCTTCATCAACCTGAGAGAGGTCAGCACACGCTTTAAGCTGCCGCCCGGCGAATACCTGATCGTCCCATCCACCTTTGAACCGCACCTCAACGGAGACTTCTGCATCCGCGTCTTCTCAGAGAAGCAGTCAGAGACACAGTAAGACACTCACTGTGTGTACCTATGCGTGTGTGTGTGTTTGTTTGTGTATATTTTAGTCCTCAGTCTGAACACAAACCGTCTGTGTGACTCTGAAAGGACGCTTTGAGAGGTTTCTGTTTACTGAGGGGCGGGGCTTAAAGCATGTGTAGGTGTGTTTTTGCATCTGTGTGTGTGTGTGTGTGTGTGTGTGTGTGTGTGTGTGTGTGTGTGTGTGTGTGCTCTTTAACACACTCTTTTTTGTGTGTCCTGTCAGACCCTGTGACGACCCGGTGAGCGCTGAGTTGGAGGACGTGAGTACAACTTCAGTTTTCCACTTCAGACTACAGAAATGTCATGTGGGCACAATAAGACAGAACCCTTAGTGTGCCCACATGATATCTCTGTAGTCTGGTCAGTTTCAGATAACCATATGATGCAGGTTTTATATTTTAGGTCAAACACACTCCTATCAGGGATTAAAGGTGAATTAATGTAACAAAAATAGAGTTCTGTGTCTCAGGGTAAGGCTTGAGAAACTTAAGTATAAATCAGTAAAGGAACACCTCACACCTGCAATCACTTCACAGGCACATGAGCAGGTTCCTGTTCTTTGTCAGAGACTGTGTGAGTCTGATTTTTGTCTCTGTGCTGTGTTCAGGAGACAGTGGCTGATGAGGATGTGGACGCATCATTCAGAGGACTCTTCAGCAAACTGGCCGGAGATGTGAGTTTTCTTTTTTTAACATGTCTCTTAGGCCTCCGTTATGTATTCACATCATTGTTTTAAAATAAAATCTCATCCATACAAAACCGTGTAATTGTGGTATTGACTGCAGTTATAAGCATGCCTGACCTGGAGTTGGTTGAATTTGGAAAAAAATTATCTACTAGTTATCGCAGCCAATAACGTTTGGGAATTTAAAACCCTTGTCATCTATGTCCACATGCAAACTTAAAACTGGAGTTCTCCAAAATCTTCACTTTGGCCGAAGTTTTCTAAAAGCACCGTTTTCAATTATGTAATCCTGCGGTTTTGTGTGGATGGCCAGCCCAAACGTATAAAAATATATTTGTTCAAGCAAATACCCGTCCACGTGTGGACAAGGCCCTGAAAACTTGAGTGACGCCGCCCATCTGAGCTCAGGTAACAGGTGTGATGTATTTCTTGTCCCTTTCAGGACATGGAGATCTCTGCAGTCGAGCTCAGGACCATCATGAACAAGATCGTTGCCAAACGTAATTCAGAGCTGATTGTTTACCTGTTTACTTGATCACCTGTTTACCTGCTCAGTTGTAGCTGTAACTGCTGTGTGTGTTTACAGGTACAGACATAAAGACTGACGGCTTCAGCATGGAGACCTGCAGGATTATGGTCAACCTGATGGATGTATCCTTCACCCACCTGTAATTAAAGCGAAGAGTTAATGCAAATCTATGGTACAGCAATATGATAATATGAGGTGATAAAATATGAAATGATATGATATCATAAGAAAAGTTACCGTATGATATGATAAAATATGATTGGAAATTAAACAAATTGTCACGATGCCATTAATGATATGTGATAGAAAATGATTGAATGCAGGTAACAATAGATATTGTGCTATAGTATTGAGTGTGATACATTTGGTTTGTTAGGTCAAGTTAGAATAAGAAAACAGATCATGAGACAGTCATGAAGAAGGCGTGGTGCAGGACTTGTGACTATGAAGGACACAGTTTGTGGTGATTTTCCTCCAAACTAATAAAAACATGTTACCCTCCAACAGAGAATATCTCAGATTGGCATGTTTTTAGTCCAGGAAGTCCTGCTGTCTTTGGATTTATAAGAAACCTTTTTAGAAAATATTCACTGATTTCTCTTTGAGCTGATTGTGTCAGAAAACTCGAAGTCAAAGTAGCTTTAGTTTAAAAAACTACCGTTCCTCAAGTGCCCACCAGATGCTGTGTCCTGCAGTCAGTCCCCATAAACCCCCATGTTAAAATGTCCTTTATACATTAAACCTGCTTTAGTTTTTGGTCTTTAACACACTCAGCAGGACAGTGGGAACGGAAAACTTGGCCTTGGAGAGTTTGCCACTTTGTGGAAGAAGGTGCAGAGATACCTGGTGAGACCTGTGACCTTTGACATTTGCACCTTGATGCGTCTGAATCTGTCCGACACAGACCAACAGCTGCTTTGTGTTTCTATCTGTTAACAGTCAATCTATAAGAAGAACGACACTGACAACTCGGGCACAATGAGCACTCCAGAGATGAGGATCGCCTTCAAAGACGCAGGTACACTCTAATTCTTCTTCTACTGTAGAGAAACACACTAAAGTGCACATCTGCTGATCCATCTTGGTAGAGATGATGATGTTTTTGTTTTGATGACCGTTAAACTTAAAAAAAAAAAAAATTTGAATGTCTGCACACAGCTCATTCATTTTAGAGCTTCTTTCTCTGTACCTGATTTAGAATTTCAAAAACAGGACTTTAAGCAGCAGTTTGGCTCTGTTCTGTATGGTGGCCCTGAAGGTCATGTGTGCAAAAAATTCACTGAAGGCCTAAAATATTTAATTCAACAACCTTATCACAAGACATAAAGTTTGGATTAAACTCAGGCTGTGTGTGGGACCTGTCTTTATATAAACTCCTGTTTAACAAAAACACTCTTAGAGTGAACAGAGTTTGATGTCTGTTCTGCTAACAGTTAACTCCATCTAATTCCTCTTCTTCTCTGTCAGATGGAGTTATATATGTTTTTGCAGATGATTGACTCCTCATGTTTAAACTCTCTCTCTCTCCCTCTCCCTCTATCTCTATCTGTGTGAGTCACGGTATTTCCTCTGACTCATGAAGGAGGATCCTCTATTTGTCTAACTGAGAGGAGGAAACACTGACTGTTTCCATAGACTGTATATACTATGGACAACTTGGTTCCGCCTTCTGTCATTGTACAAATTTGAAGCCAAATTGCTCTCGGTATTTCCGGGATTTTCTCCACTTCCTAGAACCAGCACTTGCACAGTAGCCTTGTACACATTCAGTGGGAGAGTTGCAGAGAGTCGCTTTGATGACGCTTGGCTCAAACAGCGTATCCCCGGGTGAGCTACGCAATCTTCGTATGCCCATAGGCTGTGTCAAGTGTCAATCATAGTAAACATGACTGTAACTGTAACTACATGTCAACATCGCAAGCAGGGGGGAGAAAAATTTATATTCTTTGTAAAAAAATTCTAAAAGTTGTCCACAACACCATAGGGATTGCTGGAGGAGGCAGGATTTATGACCTATACTGCACCCAGTCACTAGAGGGTGCTGTTCTCGCGGTGGCTTCCCCCAGCGAGGGGGCAGATGGTGTCCATTCTATACACAGTCTATAACCGTGTCTCCCTGACTGACCTGAACTCCCTTCAAAGCTCAACAGGAAGTCACCCTTTTGACTTTCAAAATAAAAGTTTAACCCCTCTCTGTCTCTCTTACCTTGGTATGTTATTCACCCCTTTCTCTCTCTCTGTTTGTTTTTTCTGTCAGACCGAGGCTGACGGTATGTTTCCTTCTATGCTTTGACTCCTTTAAATCTCCACTGAAAACTGTTGAATCAGCAGCTTTTACTGATCTTACCCTGATTTCTATTTTTTTAAGTGTGAATTATTTTCTGTATCAGGGCCTTGTTCAAACTCTCAGTTTAAATATTTTCTTCTTTTGTCAGACACGTTTTGAAACTATATAACACAAAGGTGCTTTATGATAAAATATCACCAATAAAGATGACAATGATTATAAAATGATAATAATGTTAATAACTGTGATAATAATAATAATAATAATAATAATAATAATAATAATAATAATAATAATAATAATAATAATTATTATTATTATTATTATTATTATTATTATTATTTATAATAATGTTATGCCTTTCATGATTATATGATTATGACTGCATTTATTTTAATTATAATTAGTATTACTGGTTATCTGTATTATCATCATGATTATGATTATTGTTGGGTTCCATTTTTATTCTAAATTTCCATAATTTATATATTAACTGTGATAACTTTCATCAGCAATGGCTGGATTTATATCTAATTATCTTGTGTCAATACAATAGGAAGCATATGCTTTATTAGCATTGCTAGCGACATGAAGCATGTTAATTTAGTGTTAGACTGCTATCAGTGTTAAAAAGTAGTGTACTCAATAATGTAAAGCTCTTACAGCAGTATTAACCAATTAAGCTCAGTTAGCATCTTTATTAATGTTTCATTAGTGTTGCAGGCATCTTAGCAGAGTTAGCTTGGTTGATAGCATAAACCTTGCTTTATTCGCACTGTTGTTTAGAGTTTGTTTCGTCAGTGGTATCAGATTATTTAGCTTCATAAGCATTGTTAGCTTGGTTTGTATTGTGTAGGTCATTTTGTGTTTGTATAAAATCTGCAGCAAAGTTCTGATGTTTGGACTCATGTTTTTTTTTTTTTTTTTTGCAGCTTCATGATTGTTTTGTTTCTGTCTTTTTCAGTTTTTTTATTAGGTCTTTTTGTGTTTCTGTCTCACTGTCTATGGTTAAATTGTGTCCACAGAGTTATCACAGTATGTTTCAGGTTGTTGAGGTAGTTGTGTTTGATTTAATTCTACAGTGTTAATAAAAATAAAAATATTAGATTAAATATTTGTAGCAGAGAGAAAAAAAAGCTAACTATCAATTAACCTCTGTGGATATCATGTAGCCTGAACTCAGTGTTGAATAGCTTAGCTTCTGTTTAGTTCAGTTTGATGATGATGATAGTGTTAGCATGCTAACAGTCTGACTTTTATCCCCCTTGCAGGTTTCACCCTGAATAACACTATCTACCAGCTACTGGTGGCAAGATATGCTGACCCTGACATGACCATCGACTTTGATAACTTTGTGGGCTGCCTGATGAGGCTGGAGATGATGTTCAGTGAGTCCTCATCATTCATACTGTACATCTAAACAGTCTAAATGCTAGGAGCTAGCACCTTCTCTGCCAGTGTTAAACTAAATCTTATTAGAAAATGGCGTCAGCATTTAGCTTAACCCTTACTGACTCTGGTCTGTTTCTGAGACTAAAGAACTAAATATCAAAACACTGTCTCGGCCTCATATGCAACATTTGATCTGTCTTCCTTCTCAGACATCTTTAAGAAGCTTGATCCTCAAGAGAGCGGTTCCATCAAGCTGGACTTCCCCCAGGTGAGCACAAATGAACACCTTTGGAGTCATGGTGAAGACTCTTTGCCTTCAGGTGTCAAAAAACTTTTTTTCCCTCTCTTTTTCCTGCAGTGGTTAAACTTCTCCATGATCTGAGCCACCGCCCCGTGATATCACACAAAGCACCAGTGTTACTGCAGGACACCATATTTCCCGTTTACAGCTTTTCCTCCTGTCTGCTAACGTTTTCTATGTGAGGCTTCTGTTGTACCCACACTACCTGACTGACAGTCTGTGTAAAGTCAATAAACCTATCCTCAAACCGTCTACAGGAGGAGGTGTGCTCTGTCCCTCTGGCTGAAAGGCCCATACATGTACAAAGGGAGGTTAGCTCGGCCTAGGTTAGCATTGACACCGGGAGCAGTCTTGACAGTGAGCTCCATCTAAAACAAAAACTAAAAAACTAAATCGGCACAATCTATGGCAATTTAACTGTTAGTCTGAAAAACAGGGTAATAAGGATTTAAGATAAACTTAGCCTAGCATAAAGCTAATAAACAGGAAATCAATTTTTACAACACAAGAAAGGGCCCATTAGATGGAGATGACAGGCTTCAGTGTGTGTTATAGGAAACCCTTTTACACGATGTGAGGTGTTTCTACTGATGAAATAAAAGAAACCCTGTACCACATTTAAACAAACTATTAAAGAACAGTTTGGTATCAAATTCAAGGGTTTGAAATCTTTAAAACACTTCTAGACACCTCAGAACCAAGCATCTTCGGACACAACATTCCAGAACCCAGTATTCCAGAACTGAGCATTCTGGAAACAAACATTCTAGAGACCACCATTCGAGAACCTAGAAATCAACATTCTGGAATGAATGATTCCAAAACAAATCCTTCCAGAACCCAACTCACCAGAATCCAGTATTATAGAACCCATTGTTTAATATTATGAACACACCATTTTAAAACCAAACCTTCCAAGACTTAGCAATCTGGAACACGTAATTCTAGGATCGATTACTTGATAACCAAACTATTCAGAACTCAGTATTCCAGGACCCATCATTCAAGAGCCCAACATTCCAGAACCCAGCATTCTCAAACCTAGCATGCTGGAAGCCTTATTTGCTGTTTCTTTGCCAAAATAGTTATGTTCCTTTTTTAAAATTGATTACTTATATCATGACATCTCCAATCAGACCTTCCTTATGGGAGTAAATCTGAGCAATCAAAGCTGTTCGGATGTGTGAAGCTCTTAAAGATCTGCTGTGACTTCTTTAAGAAGTCTTTCACAACAGCCTGCAGTGTCATTCTAGATTACTCCAAAACACCTTCACCTCAGAGATTTTCAATTTCAATTTCAATTTCTTATTAAGAGGATAAGCCCCTTGAGATGAATCATCTCGTTTTCGAGGGGGGCCTCAGAATAAATCAACAGAAATGGTCAGATACAGTAGAGCAGAAAAGAATTCAATCATAAATAAATACATAAAACAAAACAGAACAGAACACGACCATACACATACACTCACTCATTCACACTCGACTGTTTAATACAAAATAAGAAATGTCTAAACAGTATGCAAAGAGAGAAAGGCTAAATACATAAGCTGCAATCAACTACGCTCACATATGCATGTAAATATATATACATAAAAATACAAACGCATACACTTATACATTCATATACAGTACACATACATATGTATTCAAACATACATGCATATACACATGTCTATACATACAAATACAAATGTATAGACACCCACATACAGTATATGCATATTATAAATATAGTGAACATTGTAAATATTGTACAAGAGTATTTTTATATAGAGGTACCGAGGTTAAAGAACAAGTTGATAAGGGAAGATTGTTCCAGTCAGACAGTGCTCTGAATTTAAATGGGAGCTTTCCAACTTCTTTTTTTACTCTGGGGACAACAAAAAAGGTTTGATCCGTGTGGCATAACTAAAATGAATGCATTTAAAGATAAATAAAAGCCAATAAAGTTGTCGTTGGAAGGAAAGAGTGCCCCAAGTTTACCACTCGTCATTAGAACTTTAAAACAAGAAAAAATAGTAATAACAATAATATCACCTCTGGAAATCAGTCCATGGCTCTCAGAGGGTGCAGGACCTCTGCCACACACAGAGTGGGTGGCATGTATTAGTCCAGAGGGTGGCGCTGTTTTGCTGCTCAGAGGTGACAAAGACAATGACGTAATTGTCATTTTAAGGGTGACACTGATTGGCCCTATTGATGTGTGGAGAGGGGGTCGGTGGTCCGGGCACAGTGACGTGTTGTCATAGTAATATCAATCATATAAATGTGTGAATGATATCTCCAAGCAGACCACAGATGAGAGCAGACAGCTGCTGTTTAGCTCTTTCCTGTGGTTTGTGGTTCGAGTCTCACACAGTGTTAACTGGAGCTGTTTGGTCTCTTTAACGCCGTGGTGACGATGATGATGATGAAGTCCCGCCTCTCCCTCCGGGAGGGGCTCGCTGCTGCAGCAGAGCATCAACAGCAGCAGCATCCGGTCCTCCTGCGCACACAGACTACTACATCAGAGTACTGCAGAGTAATATTAGAGTACTACAACAGATTACTTCTTCAGCACACCGTAAAACGAGGAACGGAGCGCGAACAGGTGAGTGTGCATGCAGGTGTGACAGGTGGAAGCAGTCTAGTCTCCGCTCTGCTTTATTGTGTGTGTGTGTGTGTGTGTGTGTGTGTGTGTGTGTGTGTGTGTGTGTGTGTGTGTGTGTGTGTGTGTGTGTGTAAGTAATGAGGGGCGTTTTCTTTGAGTTTAAGCTCTTTCCAGTTTTCAGATTGATTCAGCAGAAAGTCATCGATTTAAGCCTTCCTGATTATTAACCAATCAGAGGAGATCTCGTGTAGCGTCACAGACTAATTCCTCTGAGTACATTAAACTATTATCTCGGAGTTATTTACCAATAGCTTTAGCAAATAAATATGTTTCTTTGCAGATGAAAATGTTTGAAAATTTTGTGAAAATTTATTGTAAATATTTCTCTCATGAACGATGAATCAGCTGTTATGAACGTAATAAAACAAATATTAAGGATGAAACCTCAGCAAGAAGATGGATGGATTCTCTTTCTGTTGTTTGTTTTGCTCAGCTCCGTTAAAGTTAAAACTCATTTATTATTCAAGTCTTCTTCCTGTTTGATTCACTCTCTCTCTCTGATGATGGAGGGTGACTTTCAGTCTTTTTGGCTTTAAACCAAACTTCAGCAGAAAGAGACTTTTAAAGGTATTTTGATTTAATAATGTTGAAAACTGCCTTTGCCTTCTTGTAAAACCCCAAAATGACAAACAATTTGCTATCCTTTTACTATTATACAAAGCTGTTAAACATTGTAGAACCCATCATTACATAGCCCAGCATTCTAGAACTCAGCATTCTGGAACCCCACATTTAAGAACTAGTGATTCCAGAACCCAACATTCTTAATCTCTACGTTATGGATTCCAACATTTCAGAACCTACAATCTAATTACTCAACATTTTAGAACCTCACATTGAAGAACCAGTGATTCCAGAACACAACATTCTCAATCCCTACATCATAGATTCCGACATCTCAGAACCTACAATCCAATTACTCAACATTCTAGAATCCTGTGTGCCAGAAACACAACACTCTAGAACCCAGCATCTTTGAAACCAATATTCCACAGCCCAGCATCCAAGAAGCCAATAATCTTCAACCCAACATTCATCATTTAGCAAGTATTTTACAGGCTGTGTTTGCCACTCTTATCACTTTTCCTTCCCATTTGACATCCAGGTGTCTGTACCATGCTATCATGTTGAAAGACAATGTCTTGTAAAACATTTCAAGAATTATTTCAAGGCTCACCCCCAAATCCTTTAATTTCCCGAGTAGGTGTATCCTCTGCATGGCTGTGTTTTTCTATAAATGTGATGTAACTATCAATTTAAGTTCCTAAATATTTCAAACATCCAACTGTTTCTACCAGCTGTCCCATGATGTCCCATGTTTATTTCCAAAACTCTTGTTTACACCACATAGGAGGGAAGTTACATGATTAAAAAACTTGAAGGCGTCAAGACGATGTTTAGCGCTTAGATAGAGTTTCTTTATTTTACATCGAAGAATTTTTATATCCAAATCTGGAGACTAAAGAGTTATAATCACTATGAAATTTAATTAAAAAACAACAACAGAAACACTGCAAAGATTTGTAGAGAGATTTATTTTGATGATAATCACTCTCCATGTAAAAGCTGAACTGGAATGAAACCAGTCAGTGATGATGGGAGTCTCTGATCCCAGTCTGATCCCAGTCTAATCCCAGGCTGGTATTTTGGAGAAGCTCCAGACTCATAGAAAGTTGGGTCAGCAGTCCTGAGCCCTCTAATGGTCCCCTGTATAGACTGTCAGGCCATCAGACCATCAGGATGTACATCAATATTCACTCCAAGGATTCGTCTACACAGTATGGATTTCTCCCACAGCCTAATGCAGCATTAAGATATACACCAGTCTCTGTACAGATCTGATACCACAGCCAACATGGTCTGTTTACAGTCTACAGTTTTAATATTGCGTTATTTGTATTCTGGCTGATTGAGTTCAATGTATTTGGTTCCTCATATTTTGTCTCCTGGGGTCTCTGGTTTCTGGGAATTTGGTACAATGTTTTGGTTCATTTGTTCTTAGTATGTGGTTCTTTTCAATTTTGGTTCCTTGTGTTTTTGGTTTCTTTTGTTTTGCTCCTGATGTTTTGGCCATTAGTTTTGCTTGTGTAGTTCTAGTTTGATACATTTTGGTTCCTGATGTTTTGGTGTCTTCTTACCTAGGTTAGTTGTGTTTTTGGTTCTCAATGTTTGGTTCCTTGTACCATCAGTTTCTTGTATTATGATGTTTGAGTTCCTGATGTTAAGGTTCTCTAAGGTTATTTTATTGGTCACTGATGTCTCTGTTCCTTCTATTTTGATTACCTGTAATTTTGGTGCCTTGTTTTTTTGTATTTCGACTTTTTCCTACTTTAATTTTGTTTTGCTTGGTTTTGGCAGCTGATACTTTGTTTTTTTGTATTTTTGGTTCCTGGTGTTTTGGTACTTTTTTATTTGTCCCTGATGTATTGGTTTCTTGTGTTTTTGGATACCTAATGTTATGATACTTGTGTTTTTCCTTATTTTCATTTTTATGTTTATTGCTGTATGTTATTTTTTTCATTGCCGTATTGGTTCTTGCTTTTTCTCCTTGATATTGTTTAGATCTAGATCATTTGGTTCCTGATGTTGTTGGTCCTTGAGGTTTTTTGGTTCCTGAGTTGTTTTGGTTTGAGATTCTGTTGTGGTTCTTGATGTGAATAGTTCAAGATGTTCTGGGCTCCTGATATTTTGGTCCCTGATGTTTTATCATCACTGGAATTTTTGTTGTTGTTCTTTTGGTTCCTGGTAATTATTTTTCACAAAGTTTTAGGCTCCTGATTCTTTGGTTTCTCATTGTGGCACAGGATGTTTGGGGGCGTGTCTGTGCAGATCCAGAAGGAACGGCTCAAGGCTGAGGGTCTGGGCTCAAACCAGCAGGCTGTTAGATATCTGAACCAAGACTATGGGGCGCTAAAGGAGGATTGTCTGCAGAACCAGACCCTGTTTGAGGACCCCATGTTCCCTGCAGAACCTACCTCTCTGGGCTTCAAGGAACTTGCTCCATTTACCGCCAAGACCAGAGGGGTGGAATGGAAAAGACCGATGGTAAGAACTGCCATGGGACAGGACTAAAGCTATTTTAAAAGACTGAGGCTAAAGCTAGCATGGGGCATTTCTTGGACTTAAGGACATGGGGGGCTAAACGTGGACCCCCCCATCCCAGCTCACTGAAAGAAGATGAAGTCACAGAGCATGAATATGTCCATATTAGCCACAAAAAGACTGCTTGACTTGTAGTGAGGATCATTCTTCTTTACATAGAGAGAGATGGATGGAGGTTGGAATTAGAACACTTGAATTAAAAAGTTCCACAAGTAACATTAACTTTATAACAGTAATTATGGGATTACAGGATGTCTTCAGCAGTGATCCAGAGGAACTTACAGTGTGATTGAGCTCAGAGACTCCTAGAAAACCCTGTGAATTAGTAACTCTAATGGGGCATGGTGATTCAAAGTTAATATTCATTAGTTAACTATCAATAGTTGATACAGACAGAAAGAGGATGGAGAAGGAGGTAAAGGTGCTCAATGTGCCAGTACCCCTGGAGGTGGAAACCTATAGCAGCATAATTAAGAGCTGGTTCAGGCCTGAACCTATTATTATGTCATTTTTAACCATAGGTTGCGTATACTTTGGACAACTTGAACTTTCCTTGAAATGGAGCTGTACAGAAAAAAAGAAGACTTGTCTGCAGGAGGCGGGATTTATGACCTATACACTGCAGCCCGTCACCAGAGTGTGCTGTTCTCGGGGTGGCTTCACCCAGCAAGGAGACAGACGGCGTCCATTCTAGTCTATGTTTTTAACCAATTAGATATCTCCCATGATCCCTCACAGGTTCATTCATCATTAATTACACCCTGTTACTCTGGCAGGATGAGGATGAGGCTGACATCTGACACAATCAGGTCTCACTGACTGTATCTCAGCAGGCTACTGTGATTTATCATGTGATATACTGTAATCTACTGTGATGTGAAACAGATGCTCATTTCTGATTGGCTGTTCCAGGAGCTGACAGAGAACCCCCAGTTCATTGTTGGCGGAGCCACAAGGACAGACATCTGTCAGGGAGTGTTGGGTGAGTCCTCTGGGTGGTCATGTGACCTCACGCTTAGTTTATGTTAGTAACAGGATGACTAAGTTGGGACTTCCCTACTTACAGTCACCATGGAGACCTGTGAATGTGCACATCAGAAACTAAACAGAGTGAGTAAAACAGGAGAGACAGAGGACTCTTAACATCTAAAACTGTCTAAAATCAATTTAAACAACATGAGAAAGCAACTAAACAACACCTGGAAACTCCTTGAAAGTCCTGGAAACACAGGTTGAGGAAACAGATAGCATGTGGTGGCTCTTACATAATCGTGCCTCAGCCTGTTAGATTAATAGTTGACATCAGACCTTGTTGTATCTGCTGGGTGATTAACCACAGCTTCCTGTTTACCTGTTTCTATTGGCTGATTTGACCAAAACAGCTGAATTTCTATCAACTCTTTGAGGTTTCTGTTAGTCGGACAGTCTGAAAGAGCTCTGGAGAGACTAAACCCAGGGCAGCATGCTCCAGAGGACCACACTCAGACCAAGGTTGGTGGTGTTCAGGGTCCTGTCCTCTCTGTCAGAAAAACTACTACTGTAAATTCATAGGAGGAAACAGCTCCTGCTGTTTGATAAGCAACCCTGGATCAGCTGCTGCCTGATGACTGACAGACCACAGCTCCCAGCATGCATTGGGGAAGACTCTTGCAGTCTGAGTGGGATGTTTCAGCTCTAACAATCACACACACAGCAGCAGGGTGGAGTCCTCCCTCTTTCTGTGTAACTCTCTAAACAGGACTACACAGGAATGATCAGTATGCCCTCCCTCTCTTAGTGACCAAAGCCCAAAGTCTTTCCTGCAGCTTTAGCATCACTTGGTGGATAAATGGTACCATTACATGCAGATCAAAACCTTCAAAATGTTCAGAGTTTAATCTTACCCTGTCTTTATACTAAAAAGATTACGGTTTTGATGAATCATCTTGGGATAAAACTTTTGTTTATATACAAAGATAAATTAATTTGTTGATATGATAGAAAGATCCATTATCAGCCACCTCAAAATTCAATACTTTGTGTGGGTATGATCAGTGAAATGTAGAATAAAACTGTGATACTTTAGCATTTTTTTCTGTTGACCCAACTTTGAATGTAGTGAAATGTTTTGATGCACTGCCTTGGGCTCTTTCTGGAGATATGAGTGTGTAAACATCCCCACAGAAAGTGATATCACGCTGAGTAAAACATTAGTGGTTTAGCATTAGGAGTAGTGATAAGTCTGAGTGGTGCCTGAAGGCAGCACTCTGCTTTTACTCCTCTCCTCTGTGATGATGTTTATTGATCAGAGAGTGGAGAACTGATGCACCACACTCCATTAGCAGCTAAAAGTGAGCTAACAGCTAATCTTGTTGATGTTAGCAGCTAGCTTAGCATAAGCATGTCCCTGCAGACCATCAGAGAGGAATGAAGTCAGCTGATGGTCACTATAAGGAGCTGCTGCTGCACTAATGCTTCCTGTTACTCCATTAAACAGAGGCAACATTTAAAAAGCTGACAGAGCTGACAGAAACCCTGGATTTGCGGTTCATATCTGCCAAAGTCTGAAGTTGTATGTGCTCACCAGCCTCTGATTTATCTGCATGCATGAAAACAACAAACACCCCTAGAGCTTCTAATTGTTCTAAGAGCTCTCTGCCCTTCCACCAGCATATGTGGAATGCCAGTGTGATCTACAGTTGAGACGAAGCGCTAGTAGTTAGTGTTCACAGGGTGACCTCTTTTACCTGGATATGTCCTCTTTTTGGGGGCTGGGGGAGTTTATAAAATCCTTCAAATGTCCAGTGTGTTGTATGGAAGTTTTGAGTTTGTGTAGCGACCCGAAAAACCCTCAAAATTTTGCACGGGACTACACCCTGCATAGTAGTGTCTTCTTTTTGGGGATTCAGAATATGGTCACCCCACCTGTTCATCAGAGAAATCCTCAGGTCCTCAAGTCAGGTCATCAAACTGGGACCAGATTAACCTTAGGAAGCTGAAGGCAGGTTCATACAGACACAGTTCATTGGGTGGGTAAACCAGGCTGTTGGGCTTCCAGGTGTTCAGTGCTGACTGTCTGCTTCCCTGTGGTCATGTTCCAGGTGACTGCTGGCTGCTTGCTGCGATTGGCTCTCTGACTCTGAATGAGCGTCTGCTGCACCGTGTTGTTCCTCACGGCCAGAGCTTCAACCGGGAATACGCCGGAATCTTTCACTTTCAGGTGAGACTCTATCTGCTCTGGCACCAAGCCCACTCACCTGACCGTGATTTAGTTAAATCAAACCTTCCCGTTTCCAGACAACAGTGTTCATTATGTTCACTACAAAGTCAGCTGATCACCTGTGTTCAACATGCTTGGTTCTGATTGGCTCATGCTCAGTCAGCATCCTTATCTTCAGGTTTTCAGACACACTGATGTTTTTTGTACAGACATGTTGCAGTGGCGGACTGACTTGTTAAAGTGGAGACTCTGTCTGTCTCTGTCTCTGTCTGTAGTTTTGGCAGTTTGGTGAGTGGGTGGACGTGGTGATCGATGACCGTTTGCCCGTTAAAGATGGAGAGCTGATGTTTGTCCACTCAGCTGAAGGCAGCGAGTTCTGGAGCGCTCTGCTGGAGAAGGCCTATGCCAAGTAAGAGAGACCTGAAGAGAACTCAAACCAGCACACTCTGTAATAACAGATTTCTACTTTGAAGTCTTAAATCATGCAGAAAAGAGACATAAATGGTATGAAGCCAGCATGGGTTAAAATCTAAGTTTCTGTGCTGATCAGAAGTTGGTGGATGCTTTTTTACTGTGTGCATTTTGTGTGTCTTTGTGTGTTCATTCTGTGTGTTTTTGCCTGCAGGCTGAATGGCTCATACGAGGCTCTGTCCGGCGGCAGTACCACTGAGGGTTTTGAGGATTTTACGGGCGGTGTGGCAGAGATGTACGAGTTGAAGAAAGCCCCCAGAGACCTTCATCGAATCATCAGCAAAGCTCTGGAGAGAGGATCACTGCTGGGCTGCTCTATAGATGTCAGTGATACACACACACACACACACACACACACACACACACACACACACACACACACACACACACACACACACTCACACACACATACACACCCTTAGCCTTATTGTGATGGGAGCACCGGGTGCCTTTCATTAGCGAAACATAACAGGTGTACCCTGCATGAGGGACTAGAGATAGGCAGGAACTGATTTAGTTGCTGTTTTATGAACTGGTTCTATAATTAATGTGGACTGCTACAGGAAGCCAGTGGAGAGAAATGAACAACAGAATGATGTGCTGTTTTGGGACGGATGAAAACCAGACAGGCTGCTGCATTCTGGACTTTGCACTCAGGGAGGCCTGCCAGTTAGGAGTTGCAGAAGTCAATGTGTGATATTACAGGAGCCTTTACCAGGAGCTGTATGGTGTGCTCTGTCAGGTCGGGTCTGATCCTCCTGATGTTATAGAGGGTTAATCAGCATGACCAAGCAACCAAGGTGACATGAACCTTAAAGGTTAGTTGTTCACCAATCATGGCACCCAGGTTTAGGGCAGACTTTACGGGTATAGGTTAATTTCATCCAAGCTGGATCCTGATCTGTGGTTGCATGAAAAGACTGGCTGGAATGATAAGGAGCTCAGTTTTGGACAGGTTGAGCTGTAGGCGGTGGTTCTTCATCCATTTACAAATATAATAGAGGATATATTAGAGGCATGATGAACTTTGAACTGAGACAGTTGTGTCACGTGGAGAGAATGAAGCAAATCTGAGCTCATGATGGAAAAGTCTAAAATACAAAGTAATTTAAGGTTATAAAAACGTTTAAAAAGTTCTGGTTCAGGAAATGATGAATTCAGTGAACTGTGAACTGTAACTGTATCAGAAACAGTGTCAGTCTGACTGTAGTCACTGTCTGTCTTCAGATCACCAGTGCCTTTGACATGGAGGCCGTCACCTTCAAGAAGCTGGTCAAAGGACATGCCTACTCTGTGACAGGACTCAAACAGGTGAGTTCACCTGACACCTCCTCCTGAAACTCCTGACAAGGACTTTATCTCTGTGAGGGACTCTGAAGGTGTGTCCTCTCTGCAGGTGGACTACCGTGGGCGTCGGGAGCGTCTTATCCGGATCAGGAACCCATGGGGTCAGGTGGAGTGGACCGGCGCCTGGAGTGACAAGTCAGTGTTTAGTTTGATCTGTTTGTATCAGACACATCTGCAGCTAAACACACTCATGTCAGCTGTGTGTATGTATGTATGTGTGTGTGTGTGTGTGCATGTGTGCTTCAGCTCCTCAGAGTGGAATGCCATCGACTCTGCAGAAAAAGACGAGATGCTGTGTAAGATGGAGGACGGAGAGTTCTGGTATGTATCTAAATGAATAAGTGAAGGTTATAGGCTGTATATGCTGCCTATGGTGAAGGTCTGACAGCAGGATCTTAGAGTCTGTTATAAATCCACATGCATCAAGTCCAAATCACTGGGAGGAAAAATGAATATCCTTCTATAACCAGCAGAGGGTACTGGCTTACTGACTGTTTAAGGTCTGTCCTTTCTGTTACCAAACTCTGCTGATGTTGTAAAAAGTCCAATACACTGTCCTATCACTGAATGATATTTAATACGAGTGTGTGTTTGTCTATCAGAAGACACTTGGGTTAAGGCTGCTCACCTAACCGCATTGTTCCTCCTGTTCTTTCAAAATAAAGCACAGGTGTTTTCTGAATTAATGATAAGGTAAGCTAGGTGTAAAACAGTAAAAAATCCACCACTGGTGACAGTTCAGCTTGAGCTGAAGCTGCATTAGTGAGTTAGTGAACCAGCATCAGAAATCTTAGTCTGAGTGGTGTGTATCACTGCATCTAGAAAAATGAGCATTCAGTCTACAGGACAGCTAAACGTGTTTGTGTGTGTGTGTGTTATAAACAGGATGTCCTTCCAGGAATTCCTCCGTGAGTTCTCCAGGTTAGAGATCTGTAATCTGACCGCGGATGCCCTCGCTCAGGACTCCACCTCTTTCTGGACCACTACCATGTTTCAGGGTGGCTGGAGGAGAGGGAGCACAGCGGGGGGCTGCAGAAACCACCCTAGTGAGGAAGGGGGGTGGGGGGTTATTTACTGCACTTTACTTTTCTCAAGTTTGACCCCTTGTTTGCGCGTCTGTCTTTGAACATTTATCATCATTCACAGAGTCACCTGCAGATACTCTCAGCGTGTCTCTCTCATTATTACTCCATGTCCCATGATGCTTTGCAGACACATTCTGGATCAACCCTCAGTACAAGATCTGTCTGCTGGAGGAGGACGATGACCCGGAAGATGATGAGGCTACCTGCAGCTTCCTGGTGGCTCTGATGCAAAAAGACCGCCGCCGCTACCGAAAACACGGCCAGGACATGCACACCATCGGCTTCGCCATCTATGAGGTAAGAGATCAAAGGTCACAAAATTATGTTGTCTCAGTGTTCTGGACTGACTCTTTTCCCTCTGTCTTTCTGTTCACAGATCCCAGAGGAGGTGAGTCCCTCAGCTGTGGAAACATAAACAAACAAGCAAACAAAGACCGATAAATCTTGAAATGAATCACTTTGTGTCCTCTGTGTGGCGCTCAGTACCACGGCTGTCCCAGTGTCCACATGAAGAAGGACTTCTTCCTCCGTCACTCGTCCTGTGCTCGCTCAGAATCTTTCATCAACCTGCGAGAAGTGAGCACCAGGCTCCGCCTCCCACCAGGAGAGTATCTGGTTGTCCCATCGACTTTTGAACCCTCGAAGGAGGCTGACTTTGTCCTGAGAGTGTTTACCGAGAAACAGTCAGAGAGCACGTGAGTCAGTCAGCAAAATGTTCAATCAAGTTTTTGATTTTACTTATTAAGTTTTTAGACAGAGACAGAAACAGACAGAGACAGACAGACAGTATCAGAAAAATTATACTGCATCTGACTAGCAGCCAGCTGAGAAGAACAACGGAGAGTGTGGTCTTCAAAATGCTTTACCTGCCAGGAGCCAGCAGCTTACAACAAAAGCAGCACCCTCTGACTGAGGAATTCAGATTTATACACATCCTTTATGCTGTCAATAAACAGACACCCCCACCAACTAACATATCATCTCACAAGTGGCATGACATTACAACAGTATCTAAATATGGTAAGGGTTGCAGCTGTGGTCTGTGATGGGAGAGCAAAGAGAGCTTAGTTCATCATCAGGTTCCTGCTAATAAGTCTAATGTAACACTGCTGGGAAAACAACCTGTGAGTGAAATTGTAGCAGTCATTTAGTTGCATGGAAAAGCATCAGTCCCAACTCCAAGGCCACACTTCTGCTTTCTCATGCTCATTAAAAAGAAACAGATATAATCCTGCAAGCATTCACACCAAGTGATTTTCAGTAAACGATGATTAACATACATATATAATGATAAAATACACGTGATAGCATACACATACAATTTTTTTAGACAGAAACAGACAGAGACAGAGAGAGAGAGATGGACAGACCGAGAGGTTTATCCTAGATTTATACTCAGATGTCAGAAATGATACATCATCTGTCTTAAGGTTAAATAAGTTATGTTTGTCTGTGTGCAGGGAGATGGATGATGAAGTGGTGGCAAACCTTGAAGAAGAGGTAAAGATGAATTCCTCTTTAAACTTATATATCAGTGTTAAACTTTTTTTTTGTCAAATTTGATAAACACTATAATAACACTTTTATCATTTTAAGAGGAGTCTAACTTCCTCTCCTTCCTGACATGAATCATGAAGCAGCTTGAAACAAAAACACAGATCAGTCTAAAGTATAGAAAATTAATTGTCCTTTAAAGTGTTCAAAACAGTTTACAATTATTTTCAGATCATTTCATTTCATTTTATTTTCCTGATCTTTAACTTTGGTGTGATAATAATTGTTTTAACATTAAAATTTTATAACAGATAAATCACTGAAAGAGGAAATGTTGATGACATTCAGCTGTATATGTAAACTTCAATAAGTGACACTCTGAAAGCTTGGCAGCAATGCAGGAGGGTTCCAAGATGCTGGGCTCTAGAAACCTGGATTCTAAAATGCTGAATTTTTAAATGCCAGGTTCGAGAATGAAATTAAAGTTTCCTTTAGGATCTGTCAAAATGTTGTAATCTAGAATTCTTGTTTTGAAAACGCTGTGTTCTGAAATTCAGGGTTTAGGATTTTAATGTGCTGTTCCACCACATCAAAATCTCAAATGCTGGGTTCTAAAATGCTTGGTCCAAGGGTCCTGGATTCCACCAAGTTCATCTGTTAGATTTTTGAGCTCTTGAATTCTAGGTTCTTGCTTGCTTGGTTTAAGAGTGTTGTACTTCTCGCAGAAGTCTGAGTTCTAGATATTGGTGTGTTCTAGAACCCCTTGGTAGGCATGCTAGGTTTTGAAGGTTCTGATTTGTGGAATATTGTGTTCTAGAATTCTGAATTCTGTAAACCCAGATTCTAGAAAACGCCCTCATCTAGAATTTTGAATTTTAAAATGCCGGATTCTAAAAACCATGTTCTCAAATGTTGAAAGCATAAATGCTGGACCCAAGAATCCTCAGTTCTGGAATAATATACCCTTAAACTACTGGGTTATTTCTTCCTTGATTCTGGGATGCTTAGTTTCTCAATCCTGTATTTTACAATCTTGGATTCCAGAATATTAGCTCTGAAATCTAATGCTCCAGAATAAGGGTCTTGAAAATCTTGGCTTTGAAATCTTGAGTTATAACATCCTGGGTCCTGGAATGCTGGGGTTTGAGAATATTTGGATCTAGAATACTGGGTTCTAGAACACAAGGTTCTGAAAAGCTGGGTTCTAGAATCTTGGGTTCTATGATGCTTGGTCTGCAGTTTTTCCACCCTCATCTCTGGTTTTATTCAAATATTTACTCAAATATTAAATATGAATGAGGATATCCTGATATGTTTTTCTCTTCCTATCTTTTAGTCATTCGACATTATAGTCATTAGATTGACCTTTGACCTCTTCATTCTTCTTCTATGCAGGAGGAGATTTCAGAGAGCGACGTGGATGACTCATTCAGGGCCATGTTCACCCAGCTGTCTGGAGATGTGAGTTCATTGAGTTGAACAGAGAGGAAAAGTAAACTGAATGTTTTTAAGAGTCAGTGAACTCAACATGGTTATTAGAGCTCAATCATGTTTCATTAATAATCACAAAAAAACTAAAAGAGTCCATTTTAGTTTATAAATCCTGATATTTGTCCTCCTCTATGATCAGGACATGGAGATCTCAGTCAGGGAGCTGAGGACCATTTTGAACCGGGTCGTGTCCAAACGTGAGTCCTCCTGTTTCTCTTTATTTACATGAAACATAAAAAACAACGCTGCAGAGAGCCAGTGACTGATCAGGAGGTCTTCTTCTTCTTCTGTGGTGTTTAACAGATAGAGACCTGCAGACTGACGGATTCAGTACGGAGTCCTGCAGAGCCATGATAAGCCTCATGGATGTATCCTCTCTCATACTGGTTCCAAAGGTCTCTCTGTAGTGTCTGTTTGTCTTCTTCTCTGATTTGAATAAAAGCGCGTCCACCTTGACCTAAACTCAGAAAGATGGCAGCGCTCGGCTTGGCCTGCTGGAGTTTCAGGTTCTCTGGAACAAGATCAGAAAGTGGCTGGTAAGTCTGAATCCTTTTATTGTTTATTTACCTATCATAGAAATATCTGCAGGGTTTGGAGATTTTTTACTGAGCCAAGTCTCAAACATGTATGTGTAGGGAATCTTCAGGGAGTTTGACCTGGATAAATCAGGCTGTATGAGCTCCTATGAGATGCGTCTGGCCCTGGAGAATGGAGGTATTAGTGTTTCTGATTATAGTTTCTAAGTGTTGGTGTATGATGATGATATTCAACATTTATATAATTATAATGGATCAGACTGACCTGAGGTCTCTGTGCAGGCTTCAAACTCAACAACAGGCTGTATCAGATGCTGGTCGCTCGGTATGCTGACAACGAGATCATCGACTTCGACAACTTCACCTGCTGCCTGGTCAAACTAGAGGTCATGTTCAGTAAGTATACTTCTCAAACGGATCCTCACTCATGTGTTTGTCAGTTTGGGCTGGTCAGTTCAGAGAACAGCTATTTTGTAGTTAAAAATACTCTTCCTCTTGAATAAAAAGCAGTAAAGTTACTGAAACGTGTTCTCCTGTTTTTCTCTCAGAGACATTTCAGGATCTGGACAGAGACGGGTCAGGAAAAGCAGAGATGAGCATTGGAGAGGTATGAAACGATTTTACCCTTCAAACAAAGACGGATGTTCAGGCTGGATTAATTAAAGGGAGACCTATGATGCTAATTCCCACATTTCTGTTCAAATTTAGAGTCAGAGTAAACCTTGGGGAAACTCTGTAACTAGACAGATGTTGACTCACTTCTTAGATGTATTTTTTGGGGTCTGAACAGCTCATTTGTAAACCTTTGCAAGACATGACCTCACCTCACATCAGGGTTTGCAGACCAATCAGGACACAGTGCTTAAGGACACGCCCACCAAGAAGCTCATTTGAATTTCCCACTCATTAATTTACATTTAATATAATTTACAGTATTCTGCATAAAATATCCCTCTGAGTATTATGCTTTGATTCAACAGAAAGTTGTTACAATGTGATTTCTAAGAGTTCAGTCCAACATTTAGTGTAGTTTGAGTAAAAGTACATATGTGTTGGTGTAAAAATATTCTTAAACAAAGTTATCTTGGTGTTTTCATGACATTTTTTTTTCTGAGAAGTCAGCAGAAAAAAAAAATACTCAATTTGAAAGTCTAGCTTAGACAGAATAAAATCTCTGTAGATGTTTACACTCACTTTGAGGGCTGTCAAACACTGTGTTTTAAATTAAGCGAACTTTCTTCTCCTTCTTATCCTCCTCAGTGGCTTCTTGTGACCATGTGTGGTTGAAGAATAGGAACAGAGGAAGAGGAATGTGACCTTCAGTCAAAGTGCCTCCAACAGACCCTCAGCAGAACCCAAACCCAGCTACAGGCAGGAATACAAGAATACTGCAGGAATACTGCACTGATGCTGCAGTAACACTGTAATGCTGTGCTCATTAAACCAGTCTTCCTCATCCTCAGAGTGATGAAGGATCACTGCTGTCAGAAACAAAGCATAAAATAAAAATCAGAAAATGCTTCTGGATAATAAAGGTTGAATATCTGACTCTGTAAATCAGACCAGAATCTAAAATGAATCAGTACTCAGAGTTTCCTCGAATAAGGCCAATTCAGTCTGAATTTTGGATTAAAGCGAAAACTTTAAGTTTGTTTCGTTTAAATACGACTGAGAATCAGAAATACGTCCAAAGACTGAATAAAACAGAGTAATTCACCTTTAAAGGGTTAATTTAGGCTGTTTGTTTCTGTCAGCACTGCATCTTCATATAAGTACAGTACGACATATCCATAGTACTGCATCAATACAACAGCAATACTGCATTAATACTACAGTACTGCAGCACTAATGCCTGATGCACTGACACCTCCTCTGCTGCTCTATTTATCCAGCCTGTTGCAGATAAAGGGCTCTACAGCCCCAACACAATGGCCTCTATATCTACCCATCTATCTACTCTATTTATTTTTTATTTATTTATTTTTTATTAATGAGACTGAGATGCTCCCTGTCACACCTCCAACTGTCAGCCTGACCTTTACCCCCTAGGAGCTGAAGGACAGTGAAGGCACCATCAGGTTGGGGCGTTCAGGGTCAGCTCAGTCAAAGTGACACCAATGTAGCATAAATTCAGCCTCATGTGACCAAATAAAGAAACTGACAAAAGACTGAGTCTGGTTTTTGAATGTGAGGAGGATCTTTATACTGACAGCAGAAGACACAGGCAGCGGTCTGCACGAGCTCTGAGGACACATATTAGATGTTATCTTGTGCATAGAAATGATCTTGTTTCAACAAGTCATTATTTGAAGAAATAAGTTATTTCCTCACTTTCCTATCTTATGCACCACAGAGATCAATTATTCCAAAAATATCCTTGTGTCTTTCCCTCGTTATCTTGTTGGGACAGGTCATGATCCTAACTTGCCCGTGTTATTTTGTTAACCAAGTTTATTTTCTTGTTCGTAAGCCAATATCTGTGAATAAGACACTTTTCTGAGTTTCTGTTGTGTGGTCAAATTATCTCTAAGGGTTAAAGTTATTATCTTGTGCAACGGCAACTTGACCCTTAATATTAACAGTCCCCAAATTATCTCCTGCAATACTTGGCAAGAACTTTTTTGTCTCTTGCACACAAAAATATGTTCTCATAAACTAGTAATATTTGGTGGAAAAAAGGTACTACCAGGTGCACAAGTGTTATTTATTTGTTCTGGAAGTGATCTGGTGGGAACATGTCTTGTGCACATTAAGATTATCCTTTAAAATCATTAAATTTTAAATTTCAACCCTTCTCTGTAAAAGTTGTTATTCTGGGAGGGGTGGAGTCATCAAACAGTCAAAAAGGAAATAATGATGAATATTTATTTTACAGTCTGACATTTAATCTCTTTGATAGAAACTGGCTTCAACTTAACATCACGTGACCAGCAGTCCATTAACAGGATGTTATTTTTCTTACAACTGTGTAATATCAGAGTCTGAAATCAACCTCCACGTGTCATAAGAGTTAATATATGTAGACCGAGTCCCAGTCAGCTGCCTGTCCTCCTGGCTCCAGTTCAGGATTGTCCTTTAGCTCCAGTCCAACCAAACCCCATTCACAATTGTCTGATTTTAACCCAAGCCCAGCCTGGAGGTCTGTCCTAGTAAGTCTCGGTTCTTTGGCCCCAGTCAGTCCTGGCTCTGGGGCTCCCGAGTCTCTCTCGACTCCAGTGGGCCCAGCAGGAAAGCTTGTGCTTCCAGCAGCGTAGTGTCAGTGGCAGCTCCCAGGAAGCGGGAGGTGAGCTCCATGTCTTGTAGCCGCAGACGGACCCTGGTGCCCCGCTGCAGCCTCTCTCCGTCAGCCGGCCTCTGGCACACACAGTGGAACTTTCCTCCGAAGTCGATGTACAGGTCGTCCTGGACCACGTGGAATATTCTCCCGATAACCACCTTATCTTTGGGAGGACCCATCTGCATCAGCGGGGACCGGCGGAGCAGCGAGGCGAAGCTCTCTTTCTGGACCGGGGAGGAGGCGCTGCTCCCGGCCGCGGAGCTCTCAGCCTCCCGCCGGAGTTCGGACTGGAGGTCGAAGGCGGCAGCGAAGCCGGACTTAGGTCTCTCAGGGGCGGGCTGGTCACTACTGGAGGCTCCGCTGGAGTCAGAGCAGAAAGAGCTCTGGATGAACTTGGAGGGGGTTACCCGGACCCCACACCTGAGCCTGTACACAACCTTACACAAGGTCGCCATGTTTCTGCTGTAAGACCAGGGAAGAAGAATCTTCTTCTTCTTGGGTTTTGGCAGACTAGATGCATCCGAGGCGTATTGCTGCCCTCTGCTGTTTCCATGCGATGTCTGTTACATCTTAATCATATCCTTTTTGTGTATTCCAGTGGACTGTAGATACTGCAGCAGCTCCCTCATGTTGTTTCAATCCTCCCTCACACCCCATTTTGTTAATTCTATTTATTTTTGGAAGCAATCGTATTCTTTTTTCTTTATTTTAGCTGCCGACAGGTGACGCTAGGTGTCGGGGTGACGCAGTGACGTCCTGTCCAGATGATACGTGAAAAGAAGTGCGCTTGCGCAGTAGCACCTCAGTCAGCCAGAAGAATCAAACATGGATGTGTTTGTTAGCTCTCCGAGTTTCAGGTTCTCTAACTTTGAATTTCCTGTCGGATCTGTGGTCCGAGACGTTTTGAACAGGTTCACAGAAACACAGGTGAGTGTTTACGCCCGACCGAGGGAACATATTTTACAACGTTCAGGTCCGAGAGTCGTTTGTGCTAACACCGGCTAACAAACACAAACAGGCTAACTGCGTCAGCTCAACAACTAACTGACTGATAAACGTTCATAGACAAATTAATAGTGAATAATTGTTAATAGTTTATTCAATTAGTGTAAATTCTTTGTGTAAATTAAACTTATTTAATCAGATGTTAGCATTGTTTAATATAACCTCAGTTTGTCTTTTTATTCGCGTTAAATGTTTTTCCCGGTGTTCTGTTAAAGTTTACTCCCCTGTTAAATTATGTCTCTGAGCTATTCGGACACAGATTTCCGCACCTGTGTTTAAACTTGATTGTATTAAAATCAGACTTTTTCTGAAGTCCTGTGGCGCGGTTACAGGTGAGAAGAAAGATAAGAAGACACGGGGATAAATATCCCTATGCTTATCCTAGCCAAACACTGACATCACTGGAGGTCCCTGTATAATACTTTTCCATATGAACAATACTTAAGGCTCATTCACAACAGAGCAGCTCTGAATCTAAACAGCTGAGTCTGAGTTTAAAGTCTGAGATCAGCACCATGAACCCACTGCTGTCATAGAGACTCTGTCTGTGTCTGTGTGTGTCCAGGGACTTCCTTCCTCAGAGGACTTCTACGTGGTCAGAAATGGTCGTCTGTCAAACATGGAGGATCCCCTGCAGCCTGGCGCTGTCTATCGCCTGGAGCCCCGCCTCTGTGGAGGGAAGGGAGGTGAGTTACAGGAAACAGCCCAAAATAAAGGATGTAAATTCAGTTACCACTCTATCAGTGTGGGTGTTAAAGTCTCTGTTACTGTGTTTTTAGGGTTTGGCTCCATGCTGCGAGCTCTGGGTGCTCAGATCGAGAAGACGACCAATCGTGAAGCCTGTAGGGACCTGAGTGGACGGCGACTACGAGACGTTAACCACGAGAAAGAGTAAGAGATTCATAGGTTATCTCTCTTTCTCTGGTTGTCATCTGTCCTCACAATTATTGTTCAGACTCAATGATCATATTTTTGTGATCTTGGGAGGCCCTAATCTTAATCCTAATTATAATCTGATTAATCACGCACCTCTGCGTCCACACCTCTTTGTTAACATGCAGGAGGGTTCTGGATTTACTGGAGTTCCACATCCTCCTGCCTGCTATGTGTCTCTGCTCCACCCTCCATCACAGCCCCTACAGCTATTTTCGTTCTTCTATCCTGACAGTCCTATAGCGTATATCAAATAAGTCTTTGTCTCCTGTGGTGCAAATAATCATAGATACTTTCCTCTGTGGTGTCAGGATGGCAGAGTGGCTGAAAAAACAGGCGGAGCGCGAGGCAGAGAAGGAGCAGCGTCGCCTGGAGCGCCTGCAGAGGAAACTGGCTGAACCCAAATACAACTTCACCGACCCAGAGTACCAGCAGCAGTGTCACGACCTGTCAGAGCGACTCGAGGACTCGGTCATCAAAGGTCAGCAGGGGAGGAGAGGGATGGGGTAATATTATGTCTGTCAGACTGGCTTTGCCTCTTCTCTCTGTAAAGATAAAATCTCTTTGTTAAACTTTAAACAATGTATTTCTGCTGCTTCTATTCCCTCTTTCCTGTGAGGTTAAAGTCTTCCTTTGTAACCCTTTAATTATAAGTAAAGAACCAGACTTTGTTCTTGAAACTGGTTTCAGGTCTGCAGGCGTCGTCGAGCGGTCAGGTGAAAGCAGGCGATGTTTCAGCGGTTAAGAGGCCGAGTTCAGATCTGAGTGAACAACCACAGAAGAAGAAGAAGATGAAAACGACAACAACAACAGGTGCATCCTGTTTCTGGTGAGTCAGCTGGTGGTTCTGTCCCCCCACACAGATTTAGGACGGACTAATAAAGTCCTTCTTTTTAATTTTTTTTTCAAAACACCCAAAGAAACCCAGAGATCGGTGTTTATGCTGAATGAATAAAAAAAACTTGATCAACTACAGGACCAGCTCACCTGTTTGGGTCCAGAGAGCACAGTGTTCTGTTTCTGTTAATCTGATGTTTGACCTGTCGTCATGGTAACAGGACTGGTGTGGATGAGTTGGTGAGCTCAGAGGAAGACGAAGATGAAGATGAAGAAGATGAGCAATCCCCATCCACGTCCTCCTCTGACTGTGGAGCTGCTGCTGTTACCGTGGTAACGCATAGGGAGGAGGAGCCTGAGCAGAGCAGCAGGTAGAGACCAGACCACCTCAGACAAGATCCACAGAGTCCAGACTCACCTCAAGACCAGGAACCCTTTATTTACTCTGGTTCCTTTACTCTTTATTTACTCTGTCTTCCAGTTCCTCTGAGTGCAGCTCCACTTCAGCTGATCAGTCCCCCAAACCGTCAGAGGCCCCGGGACCGTCAGAGGCCCCAGGACCATCAGATGCCCCGGGAACGGGACCGTCGGAAGCCCCAGGACCGTCAGAGGCCCCGGGACCGTCAGAGGCCCCAGGACCATCAGAGGCCCCGGGACCGTCAGAGGATCAGAGCCCCGCAGAAGTCTGTAAACCTGCAGAGGAGTCCAACAGCAGGTCACCTCAGCAGGTAATGTGTTTATGTGTGGAGTCAAAGTGCTTACAGCTTTAAAAGACTGAGCATGCTCAGTAGAGAGTCTGCAGGTTTCTCCGTAGACTTTATTCAGTTAAACTGTCTGAGCATCTGAGCCGAGAATTTGATAAGCTGAAAACATGAAGATCCGCTCTGTTCTGTGTTTTTAGGAGCAGCAGGCTGTGTCCCAGATGGACTCGTCCTCTGTGTCTCAGGTGGACCTGTCCGGGGTGACCTCGGTCTCTGAGCTGGAGGCTCTGGGTCTGGACATCCTAAAGGGGGAGCTGATGAGCAGAGGTCTGAAATGTGGGGGGACGCTGACAGAGCGGGCTGCGCGGCTCTTCTCCGTCAGAGGGCTGAACCCGGACCAGATTGACCCTGCGCTGCTCGCAAAACCCAGCAAGACTAAGAAGAAGTGAGGTCAGAGGACTCTGACAGGAAGACGTGTCAGATTTAAGGAGCAGTCTGTGTTTTTAAAAACTTCTTTCCTGCTATTAAAAGCGCTGTGATGGGGCTAAGTTTGTCCTCACAGCAGACTCTTTTTCTGCTCCTCTGTCTGACTGAAGGTCCACTTGGAAGATTGTCAGAGCTGAGAGACTGGATCAAGATGATTGAAAGTATATGTGGACTTTTAGTTAAGCTTTGGTCAATATTTTACAAGATTTCATTTATTTCTCTGGTTTCTGTCTGCAGATGTTTAACGAGTAAGCAGGATTTTAGATGTACTGTTTGATTTCTGTTAAGTTTGATAACATTTTGTGAAACCAGGAGATTTTCTGATGTATAAAAAGAAACATTTAACAGAAGCTGATGTAAGAATTTTCTTTGATTCGATTTTTTTATTAAAATATCTGAAACATAAAACTATTTCATTCAGATTCATCACTAAAACAGTTAAGTTGTTTCCATATTATGCAACATTCAGGAAATTGCAGCGGTATGTTCTGAGTGTTAAATGTTTGCAGATTTCCTGTTTCATGGTGAAGGTTTCAGGAGTCTACAGATTTACTAAAGCAATTCAAAGTGTCTGAATGACAACAGTGAAATAATCACTCAGGTCACCTGATGAGATACACCTGTACCATCACACACAGGTGTGACTGAACTTTTCTATTGCCTGTATTTCTGCAGACACAAGACTTTAAAGTCCCACTCCGATCGTTTTTTTTTTTAAGACTACTTAATGTGTTTTTAGTGGTCTTTAAATTGTGATTATGAGGTTTTTAGCCAAAATCACGTTACCGGTGTCATTCTCAACGGCTTTTCTTCTGCAGAGCTGCAGTAGCTCATTTAGCGATTTGCTTCTGAGTCATGGGCGGGGGCAGCGCTGCTCTGCACACTCCTCTTCACGCTAGCTTGCAGCATTTCATGATGTAGTAGCAGAAGCAGGTAACGTAGGAGCTATTCAGCTCTCGGACACTAATGTCTTCAGGGACACGATGAAAGCTAATATCATAATTAGCTTTCTTACGAGCATTGCAACCAGTACGGTACACAATTGTTCTGCGATTGTCCTCTCTATTTCTCCAAGTCTGTCCTGCATAGCAGGGCTCTGGGGTTGCAGCTTGGATTTGAAACATTTGAAACCTCACTGTACCTAAGCCTGTCTTTTGGGTCTGTCAGAGAGTCCCAGCAATTTGAATGCAGAAATACGCAGAGAAGCAATTTTGCGCTTTTTTTTTCTCATGGTATGTCCTGTAGCATCAGAAAAATGCCATATGTACATGTAAAAAAACAAGGAAAACACGATTTTCATCGGAGTGGGTCTTTAATCACTTTGGCAGCAGCTGAGTTTGTACTCTTTGAATTAAAGTCTTCAGAGCTACGCTCAGCAGTAGAGATATCAGAGTCAGCCCTTTGACTTCTGATTCTGAAAATATGAATTCAATTATCTGACTGATTTTTGATCCAAACTAAGAAAAATAAATAATCAGAAATGCATTTAAACATCCAACAGAAAGTCTGAGTGCCAGCAGTTTGTCAGCTTCCTGTGACTACAACAGGAGGCCACGTCCCATAATCCTCTGCTGCTGGCTGTCAGAAACCAGGATCCCAGGTAGTGAGTTGAGGAGTGTCCACCTCCTCAAAGCAGACGATGACATCGCCTGGTCTGAAGTCTCCATGGTCAACAGCTGACAGGCCGCACTCCATCCCCGTTTTTACAGTCTGCACGTCGTCTTTATGGTGCTTCAACGCCGCCAGAGAACCTGAGGAGGACAGGACAGAGGACATTGATGAGAAACTGAGGAAGACAGACAAGAAACGGTTAAGAGTAACTGAGGAGGGCAGATACAGAATGAGAACCTCAACAAAGACAATCATGAGGAGGATAGAGGGAGTTCGTAAGAGAAACTACAGGAACCAAAGGGGGACTGGCAAAACCAAGAAAACTTGAGGAGGACTGACAGAAAATATACTTGAGATTTTTTTGGTGGACCTGAGGAAGAAGGGGAAACCTGAGGAGGTTAACCACCAACACCTGTGGGACCCACCGACTGCTTAGGTCAGGTCCAGATATGACTCACCCTCCCAAATGATGTCTCGTTCTCGGATCAGTCTGAACTTAAGTCTCTGGTCCAGCTGACCCTTCTGGACCCTACAGCCCGCCACTGGGATTTTCTTCTTTCCCACGGTGACATCAAACATGGCGAGCACTGTCGCTTCACCTGAGAGAGGGAAATCAGAGCTGTTTTTTCCCGGCTGGCATCAAGGTCCTCAATCACACCACATGTTTAAAGATTAGTTTTTAGTTTGGATCCAGAGAGCTCCTGTTCCTCACCGATGATGTTCTCAGAGACGTCGGGAGGCAACTTGCTGCTTAGCTCTTCCTTCAGCTCGTCGACCATTTTGTAGATGATGTTGTGAAGTTTCAGTGGGACGCCTCGCTGTTCCGCCAACTGCACGATTGACTTGCTTGCCTTCACGTTAAAACCGTAAATCGACCCTGAAGAAGACAGATTAAGAAACCCAACCAGTGAAAACACTCTTGCCGCCTGTGTTCAAAGAACAGACCATAAAGAACCTCTCCTGGTCCAGAAACAAACCCCTCTCTGTGACCTCTGACCCTTCTCCTGTATGGGAGCCTGCAGGTTGTTTGTTTACCTCTAAAGGTGTCAGCCATGTTGACGTCGTTTTCTGAAACATCTCCGATGCCAAAGTGCAGCACATGGAGCTGACACTGCTCCTCAGCATCGTAACTGTCCAGGATGTTTAAAATGGCCTCCACTGAACCGTCCACGTCACCTGAGGACAGAGGCCAAGAGTCAAATGTAAGGTCAAGAAGAGTTCAGTGTAAACAGCTGATACCTGTCTTGTAAACACGCCATTGCTGACCTCTTCAGGTGTGACTACAGTGTGTCAGCAGCCTATCAGGGTGTCTACATTACCTTTGATGACGAGTGGCAGTTGGGGCTCGGAGCTCTGCATCTTCTCACTGTCTCTCATGGCGTACTTTAACTTGTTGGCCTGGTAGATGGCTGCCTTCCTCTTCCTCCAGCCTAGGGAGCTAAGCTTCTCCCTCTCCTTCTTGTATTCGTCCAGGTGAAGCTTCTGTTTCTGCTCGATGGCGCTTTGCTCCTCCCGCAGCTTCTCCTGCTCCTCCTCATACGTCCTCCAATCGACCACCTCCCTCGCCCTCTGCTGCTCAGCGCACACATACATATACAGGTTTATAGACAGAGGCTATAGATATAACAGTCATGTAAATGATCTCCACAGATTATTCATTAAATTCATTAATGATAGTGGCAGATATCACTCCATCCTACATTCTTCAGAATCTAAATCTAAACAGTACGTTTCATATATCATATTTATTCAGACATATACCATCTCTTTATATACAGATAAAACATGTACGCATGCAGAGACAAGGTCTTACATATGACCTGCATTATACAGGAAGACAGGTGCGCTGGTCTTACCTCTGACTCCACCTCCAGCAGGAGCTCTCCCGCAGATGGCAAATCCTTCCAGCCAACCACCTCCACCGCCACACTAGGCCCCGCCTCCTTCAACGTCTGCCCATTCTCATCAAACAGGAAGCGGACTTTAGCCCAACTCTTTCCTGCCACCAGAACACAACCTCGCTTCAATGTCCCCCGCTGAATGATGACAGTCGACAGTGGACTGAGGAACAGGTGGTGAAGATCAGAGAGCCAAAGTTACAGAACCAGAACCAGAGCCATTAAAAAGTCTGGGATCCAGAGGTGCATATCCAGAACCATTCAGAATTTATTGAAAGAAGTTAATAATAATAATGATAAATAATAATGCATCAGATTTTATAGCACTTTTTCTTAGTGACCTAAAAGCGCTTTACATTGGATACATCATTCATTCACTCATACACTCACACCTTGGTGGTGGTAAACTACAGTAGTAGTCACAGCTGCCCTGTGGCAGACTGACAACCCCCTCCGACCACCAACAATCATCACTCACAATCATACACCAGAGGAGGACACACACCGGGAGCAAGGTGGGTTGTGTGTCTTGCCCAAGGACACAACAGACAGACAAGGGAATCGAACAGCCAAGTTAGAACTATCTAGAATTTTGGGATCCAGAGACACTAAACAAGAACCAAATGTCACTTAGGGGTCTAGAGACACTCACTCGATTACAGCGTATTCAGAGAACCGTCTAAAATTTGAGGAACCAAAGACACTAAATAAACCAGAACTATCCAGAACCCAAGTATCTAGAGTGAAAGACCCAAAACCATCTTGAAACTGAGGCTCAAGAGCAACTTAATCAAGAAGACCAAGAACTTAAGACTTAAGATACACCAAACCAGAACCACTGCGAACTACAGGATCAGGAAACACTAAACACTGGAACCATATTAAATCATGAGTCATAGTACCCACCCTTTGCCTTTATCTGTGCGGCTCTCGATGATGAGTCCCTCCACTAGACCACTTGGCTCTGCCTTCACCTCCATAACTTCTGCCAGTGCCACAGTGGCCTCAGCCAGAGCCATCAGGTTGTCGCCCTGGCAATGACAACAACGATGATATCAGTATTAAAATGATCAGTGAGTGAGTGAATAAGTGGGTGGATTGGTGAATGAGTAAGCTAGTCGATGAGTAAATGAGTAAGCAAGTTAGTTAGCTAGTAAGTAGGTTTATAAAATAGTGAGTTCGTAAGTGAGTCAGTTATTATGGAGTTGGCTAGTTAGCTACTGAGCCAGTAAGTTTGTCAGTCGGCCAGTTAGTCAGTAGGTTTTTAGTTAGTATTTAAGTTCGTGAGTTAGTTTATAAACAAGTGAGCGGGTTAGTGATAGAGTTAGATAGTTGGTTGGTTAGTAGATAAGTAAGTTAGTTGGATAGTTAGTCAAATAAGTAAGTTAGTTTGTAGGTTTGTTATGCGGTCGCAGAACAAAAAAGTGAGTGAAACAGTGATTTAGTTAGAAAGTTAGTGATTTAAGTCAATGAGCTATTTAATTGGTTAGTAAGCCCAGCTAGTCAGTCAGTAGGTGAGTAAGCAACTAAGTGTGAAGGAAAGTGAGTGGTTAATGAGTTGGTCGATAAGTTTGTAGTTAATAATCGTGTTTAAGAGTAATCGGGTGAATGGCTGAGTTAATAAATGAGAGAGTTAGCCAATTAGTTAGTTGTTGAGTGAATTAGTAAGTCATCGAGTTAACTGGCTGGCAAGTCAGTTTGTTTGTAAGTCAATTAGTTAGTTAGTTTCAGCCAGTAAGTTAGTAAGTTAGTGGGTTGGTTTAAAGGTGGGTTACCTTCAAAGCAGAGACATGGATGGCCTGGACATCTCCTCCAAACTCCTCACAGACAACGTCATAAGCGAGCAGCTCCTGTTTTACTCTCTGAGGGTCGGCCTGAGGTTTGTCACACTTATTCACCGCCACAATTATCGGCACTGAAATGTCATGCACACGCACACACACACACAATAGCAACGGAAAAACACACATCAGGTGGGGCTGCAACAAAGCAGAGTGAAAACACTGGAGGAAGCAGAACGACTCTGTTCTCAGTTCTGACTAACAAGTGGAGTTTACCTTTAGCATTCTTGGCATGCTGGATGGATTCCACAGTTTGGTTCATTACGCCATCATCAGCTGCCACCACCAGAATCACAATGTCGGTGGCGTTGGCTCCACGGGCCCTCATGGAAGAAAAGGCAGCGTGACCTGGAGTGTCCAGGAAGGTGATTTTTTCACCTGTAGGAAGCTTGACTGGAGAAGGAAAAAACCCACAGGTGGATTTGATTGGATGGTATAAAATTGTGGTTAGGTAATCAGTTGAGTTTACTCAGGCGTGAAGTGATCAGGTAAGCCTGCTCAGGTGTGCTGCTGTTACCCAGAAACGCTCCAATGTGTTGTGTGATCCCTCCGTGCTCAGTCGAGACGATTTGGCTCTTCCTCAGACTGTCCAGCAGTGTGGTCTTACCATGATCAACATGACCCATAATGGTGACCACAGGGGGGCGGGGCCTCAGGTTGGCTGGATCAGCTGGCGGCCTGACAAGACAGAGGTCAAACATGCATCTGATATCTGACACCATGCAGCATCCTCAGTAATGTCACAGTAGGATGTGTTACCTGCGGTGTGTGTCCCGGTTGGGTCTCTCTCTGGTCTCGTACAGTTTGGCTGATCTGAACTTCATCCCGGATCGAGTCAGCACCTCTTTGACCCATCGCTCCTCCAGGACCGTGTCTGGCTCCAGAGAGTCTATGTCCATGGATGTGTTCAGCAGAGCCTCCAACACATGATCTTAAACAGTCATAAATTACATGTGTATAACTATTTTCTGATTAGTCAAATATTTAAGCAGGTCTGTGATGGGTACTGTAAAAGCATCATATCTGATAATAAAGCAACAGATTCAGACTAAAAGAATTCACAATGGGTGTTTTTAATCATTTCATCGGAAGGTTTTGATGATTGATAGTCATCGTGAAACAGCTTCAGTCTCATGCTGCTGCTGGTACAGACCTTAACTAGTTTAAACAGTACCCATTTAACACTATATGTTAGTTGGAATAGAACACATTCAGCTTGCAGCCTGATAGAGTATGGTGTTCCTCAAGGCAGCATACTGGGTCCTCTGCTATTGCTTAACTTGCATTTGATATAAAGAGGCTCTGTCTATTTTAAATAATAGGAAGGGCAAGCACAAAAAAACTAGTTGTATCGCATTTGATTAAAAAAAAAAAATCTAATTCACTGTAAGTAGGTCTTTGAGTCAATAGGTCTTAGATTCTCTGTTGTTGAAATTATAGTCACTAAAAGCACATCTGAAATTCACTGTGTCAAATTCTCAGATTCATTGTAACTACTTCTCAGATAATTGTATCTACTTCTTAAGATTCACTCAATCTAAGTCTGGGGTTTGCTGTATTAGTTTCAGATTGACAGTATTTAAGTCTTTGAGTCACTGTATCCAGGACTAAGGTTCACTGTGTCTACCTTTTAGATTCACTGTATTTAGATCTGGGGTTTACTGTATCTAAGTTTTCAATTCACAGTATCAAGGTCTTAGATAACCTTTATCAGAGCCTCAAATGAACTGTTCATGAGTAGAATCGACCATAACTAAGTATTAAATGCACTGTAACTGGGTTTTATGTATCCTATTACTGGACCTGAAATGCACTTTGTCCAGGAATTAAATTTACTGTATCTACTTCATGAGTACCTTTACCTAGATTTCACAATAACTTTTTCAGATTCACTGTGAACAGCAGTATTTGTACAAGGGAGTATCTGTTTTGTAGAAGCTTTTCTTGTTTCAACAGTTTGTATGACATGAATGTACCAAAGTCTTTGTTCATGGCCTCAGCGAGCACAGCCGCCGTCATCCCAGGTCTGATCTCCACTTCTTGTTTGTTTGCTTTGGCTTTAACTGGCTTGTCCCGATGCCAGTTCTTCTGATTTTTGACCTGCACACACATCAACCAACTGATTTTATTCCTAATAAAAACACAGTGAAAGCAGCAGGAGGGAACCTTAAAAAACATCATAAACATGTAAAATCCTGTTTTTTATTGGACTGAAAAAAGCTGAAATTTTGTATTTAAAAAACTTATAAAGTAGATGAAGTTTTAGCTTAGTTATTGTAGAATGTGCAATGAGTATTTTTTATTTTGTTTGGTTAAAGGGCACCTGTCGTTTCTGATCTCAATTTCCTCAGTAACATATTCAGACTTACCTGTTTGGAGGCAAATCTCCTATTCAATGGACAGGTGAGTAAGGGGGCGGAGCTTCGAGAAGGACAGTGGAGGCGCAGAGCGAGGACATTACTGAGCAGAAAGGAGTCAGCGTGGACCAGCCGCCAGGCCCCTCGCGCCACTGTTGACATCACACTCATACCTGCAGAGATGGAAGGACAGGTGAGCCTCTTCTTTCACTCTGAGAGAGAGGAGAGTAGGGAGGGGAGAGCAGGGAGAGGATCAGGAGGAGGCAGGTGGAGAGAGGAGAGCAAGGGGAAGAGCAGGAGGAGGCAGGTGGGTGTATCTGTGTCTGTCTGAAAAGCAGAGGGACAGACTGAGCATGGGGAGAGAGGCTGAGCCGAATTGTAAAACTTGAGAGGATGAATATGAAACGGCACTTCACATTTGTTCTCGATGCTGACATAGATAAAATTATAAAATTAGTTAGAAAATCCAGTTCGGTTTTGCGTCCATCCATCCACATACACAGGAGAATGTACTGACCAGCTGTTTCAATAAATGTAATGGGTAAGGAGAATAAACGTAACAGAGAGAAAAAGGATCATTTACAACAGCTTAGCCAAATGTATGAGTTTGATTTATCAATACAGAAACATTAAATTAATGTGATTGACCTTACATAGACAGCAAGCATGAGGTGAAAGCAAACTAGGGAAAAGCAGCCACACTGAAGAGAATAAACTGATAAATTAAAAAAATAAAGGGTGTCTGGTGGTTTATTTAACCACCGAATTTATTTTAAGCAAAACACATTTCAGAAACATTACTTCAACGTAGTGGTCACAAGCGTCAATACTTGTCAGCGCCAAAATGCTTCATAACTTAATGCAGTTTGGCGAAGAGACTGAGAGCGGATCAGCGGCAGAAAACTCAAGTCACGTACTTTCAGCTTCTGACGGCTCAGACCGACCAGAAACATCAAAACACGGGCAGGTAGCCCGAAGTTCGCTTCACATTTGTACTCACCTGACAATGTTGTGTTTGTCCTTTCAGCTCATCCTGAATTAAGTCTGACTGATAAATTTCACCGTGAGGTAAACCTCCGACAGGGAGCCGCCATGACAGTTGGTTGACAGGACAGAGTTAGCCGCCAGCTGTCAGCGCCCCCTGTCAGTCTGGAATGGAACTGCGACAACGGAGCGGAAATTATACGGCATCCATCACTGCAATAAACCCAAATCACTGTATGGAGGCCCTGAAGGTCAGCTAAACAAAATTAATGACGGAAAAAAAAAACAAAAACATGAAAGGTTTACACAGTTATAAAAAACATTGAAATATTTTACAAAACAGATATTTTGTAACAAATATTTTACAAAACAAAAACAAACAAACAAACAAAAAACCAATTTGATTTGTGTATTGCTCCATGTTTATATTTTTGTGTCAAAAAAACCCAAACATTTTTATTAGAAAAATGTATGGTTTCCTTAAGTATTTTAAACATTCTTGCATTCTGCAGCATGACATTTTTTTCTTTTTTTCATACTTATTTCTATCCTATTCTGACATTCTTAAATTATTCAGTCTGACTTTCTAATGTTTTATCATTAAGTATTTTATTCACCCATTCTCAAGCATTTTTTCATAGTATGTGTAAATTGATTATTTAGATTATTAGTGATTGATTGAAAGTTTGATTGATTGATTAATATTTTTGGCATTTCGGGGTTTCGTAAAATAATCTTGTGGTTTATGGTATTTTTCATTTTATGGATGTTTAGAGTGTTTTCTTTTTTTTTTTTGTGGATTGTTTTGGTATTACATCTTTTTTGTTTTTGCAGTTTGTGGCATGTTTTTTTTTTTCTCCAAGGCCACCATACTCCAGCTACTAACTTTATAAATTTGAATTTTAAACAAAGTGAAACCGCTCAGTGAAATGACTCAGTACATAAATAAAATGAAATATCTCACAGTAAGTATAAAAATTGCAAAAACAACTGAATTTGGTCCTAACCACGTTTAATGTGTTCTGTATACTGACAAATGTCACACAACAGATATTTTCACTTTCATTCTTTTATTGTAAAACATTTATCATTACATTTTTTACATGATAAACTTCTCTTAAATTACACTGTAAACTTTTTATTTTGATGAACATAAATTCACCAACCATAAATAAAAAATATCCAACCAGATTTTTTGGCAAAGTGGACCCAAAAATCTTGAAAACAGATCTGAGTTTTCTTTTTGTTTGACTAAATCAGCAGCAGGAAAAACATCTGACCACAAACACACAGGACACTCCAAAACTCCAAAACACAAAACATGGATCAAAATCATAAAGAAGTTAATTAGGACAGTTGGACTAATCTGGGATTTACATGCATACAGACCCTGACGAAAAAGAAACCAACCTGGAGATTGTTTCATCGATTGTATCATCGTGACTGTTTGTTCTGTAAACATCATAATGTGACGATAACGTTTATGGGTTTATTTGGGAGGAATTTCAGAGGATTGAAGTGAGTCTTTATCTGCAGAAACAACACTCTCACAGTTTCACAAACTAAGTTCATTTTACAAAACTAATCTGCTTAAAACTACAAGCACCAAACAGCACACAATGATTCATCTCTTTGTGGAAGAATATATGTTTTGAACTTTTTAAACTTTTTGATGTAGTCTACAAATAAAAATGCACTGATAACTCAGACTTTGTGTTGCAGTCAAGGACCTGTGTCCACTGAGGGGTTTTATCACTCTGGAGCAGCACCAAAAGACCATGCACTAACAGAAAAAGGCATTTTTAAAGCAAAAATTAACATGTTCACAGCTGGTTCAGAAAAAAATTTGGTCCGAGTAGCTCCCACGGCACAGATGGTATGGGGAATTAATTTGTTTGTTACATGTTCGTTTAGAAGATTTTCAGGTTACAAGATCAGTGGACCAGAGGCACAGCTGACTCGATATTCTAAATATTGAACTACTGGTTTGGTTCATTGAAGGATGTCTGACGTCAAAGCTGGGGATGACGCCACCCTCAAGTTGAATGCAGGACAGTCAAAGTTCAGCTGAGAGTGCAGCAACAACACACAAAAAAAGGCTGACACTGAGCTGCATATAGTTTGAACTGGAAACTAGCACAACCAGTGCAAAAGAACTGAAGACATCAGTCAACACTGCCTCTTTAAGTGTGTCCAGGGACAGATTAGAGTCTCACCTGTAAAACTGTGGATGTTAAAACATTTTCTCTGTGATGTTTGTTCACATAAAATATAAAAAAGTCAAAACTACAGGGGACCAATGAAGTACCCTGTGGAACTCCATGAGACCAAAACAGTGTTCTATAATCTTGTTTTTCTGTCCATTGGTTTTAAACAAAGTCTTCTGCTTGGAACAAAATCTCATTTTGTGCTGCTGTGACAGATGCAGAAGGCTGCAAAAAAAAAAGATTATTTTTCCTTGAATTTATATCGTTTCGCTGTTAACACTTTAAAAACTCACAAAGTTTTAAAACTGCATATCATACTTAACAAGCCCACAATATTGAAATCATGAAATCAAAGGACTTTCTTTTTCAAACCAAAACTAAAGAAAAAAAATTCCACTTATAAAATAAAAAAAGTTGAAGTGCAGAAAAACAAAACAGAAAAGTCTAGATGATTGACACCTTTACCTGCAGAAAACAAGAGTGCAGACAGGTGAACACTGAGGAAATGTTGGTTTTTACATCAACATCACTTTTGTGCTATAATTCAATATGATAATAATCAACTCCTCAAACTCTCTCTGTGATATAAAACATTTTGATTTCACCGTTTTCTTTTTCTCAAGCATGATGTCCTTACAGGGGAATTACACGTCTCATTTTCATCCAACCTTCAAACCAGCCATTTACAGAATAAAACTGTAGAACTGACCTGAGATAACCTCTGTAAACAAAGATCTGTGACAGTGACCCCTCACTAGACAATGTCCACCAACAGAGACCAGTTTGAGCAACGTTTATCTGAAAATAGTCTCTAAGTGTCAATAATTCAAGAATATCCTAGAAAAATGTCGTGATTTTCATTATTCCTGAAAGAATAACTATTAGCAGGCTAAACTAGACATATTTGAACACCTGAATACTTCAGATATATTTAATTAATCACACAAATAACTCACTCCATCTGTAAGCCATACCACACCTGTGTGAGGAGAGGAGGGGTTTCCTTCATGCCATTTCAGTCTGTTTCCACTGAACATGTTTGAGGTTTAACTCCACTGTGAGGATTTGTTACCAGATAATTTAATATCCTCACTCACTGTCCTCCAGATGAGCCCTTTAATCAACTTTATTTCATTTAATTTTTTACCTAAATTAACTTAAATTGTGAATGAAGTTAATGTTTTTGTTCGCGCATTAATGATTGACAGGGTTGAATTTTCCGTTAGCTGTGCTACGTCTGATTAAAAACTATAACACTTCTCATAAGTGATGTTCTGAATCTGAGTGATGTTCTGACGAGGTGGATTCTGAGGATAAGGTTGCCATAATTCATACTTGTTGGTTTGTATTTCCCTTTAAATCCTGTTCAGACATGTAAAAACGAATGTTCTGTTTCTTCAAGTTTAATTTTTACAGCTGACAAAAAGAAAAACACAACACCTTTATCACATCTTATCTCTAACACCTATTATCTACCTTAAATACTATGTTCTATTATTTAGACTTTATTTTGAGGTAGAAATCTTCTTCTTTTCTTTAATAAACTATTGTCTCTCTATTTTCAGGTCTTTATTTTGGGATCATATAAAGATCCATCTTTAATTTCTTAACTTGAGTAAGTCCTCAGTGCAGCGCAGAGAAACCACTTCATTGTGAAGAGACAGTACAAGATACAAAAACACCACCACAGTCTTCACATCAGTAAAAAGCCCTAAATGATCACGTGTCCTAGCACCACCGTTATAAAGTTTTATCAAATGTTTGGTCAGAGTTTGAGAGAAAGGCACATACTGACAGACGGGAAGGATGCTACATGAAGAAACAGCTACAAGCGCTTTAAAGAGGTTCAAACTCAAGATTAAAAATCTGCACATTAATACCAAACACCTGAAATATCAAGTTCACTTTCACATGGATACAGCTGAGAGTACAAGAGGAGGGACATCACCACAGGTAGAGGCCGACCCTGCAGGGAGAGGGCAGGGCTTCTGCAGCAGAAACCTCAGCAGCAGGTAACAGAGCTCAGGTCAGCAGGTTAAAACCCTCTCAGTCTGTCTTTACTGACTCCTGTTGGTGTGTTTTCAGGTAAAGGGGCAGAAACAGCAGCAGAGGAGTGCAGCATCACAGGAAGAGGAGGTGGACTCAGGTGGACTGGACAGATTTCTGGAGGTCTCACTGACATTTCCACACAAATAAACTGTAAAGAGAAACAGACAGACAGAGATCACCTTCACTGACTCAGTTTGAAACCTTTCCTCTGAACCAGTCTGATAAATCAGGACTTGCTCTCACCTGCAGTCACTGCCTCCAGCGCTGATGACGTATTTATCATCACAGGAGAAGCGAATGTTGGTCACGTGGGCCGAGTGACCGAAGTATCGTTTGTGTTTGGCCTGTGGAGAGATGACAGAGGTGAGGAGGTGTCCTTGTCTGCTCACAGGAGTCACTGTCAGATAAACAATCACTCACAAATTTCTCTGGACATGGGAAGTCAAAGAGCTTGATGAGGCCGAAGTCATCTCCGGTCACCAGGTTGAGTCCGGCGTGTGAAACACAAGCACAGTTCACATCGGCCTTTTCAGTGTTGCGAGGCCAAACGCCGAGAACCTCGTCACCCAGGATGCTGGAACCAGAACATATCAAGACACTCGATATGGAGGGTACCCATGTTTTCAAGAAGTTCCCTCATCCCTGGTCCCAAAGATTCAGCTATTAAAGACTAACATTTAGCACCCTAAATCTACAGCTGGCTCTCTGGGGCGCACACTGTGTTCTGCAGGGTGACCAGCTGATTTAGAAAGATTAGCAGTCAGGTCTTTGTGATCTGCAGTTAACCTTTAGAGGTCTACAGTGTATACCATGAGCGACACTTTTATTATGGATTCACAGTTCTGCTGTACAACCCCATGGCTCTGTTCCTCATGGTCAGTTTTTAAGGATCTTTGTAAAAGTCCAGAGAAACTTCAGCTAGTTTCTTAGAATCTACAATAAGGAAACTCTGGATATGATACAAAAACAATGCAACTTGATAAAACACAGTGAAGTATGACACAGCAAACATTATCATGTGATACAATCTGATATTAGATGAGATTTTGAAAACTAAGAACAGCAATAAAAATTAATGACATGAAAACCTGAATGACTAAACAACACAATACAATCAATGGTATACATTATAATATATGATATGTAATACATAATGACACAATAAATGATGTATGAACCAGTATTACAAAAAAGGTAACAACATATATTTTATTTTAATGATAAAAATGACTTAATAAAATATAAAACAGTATGATCAAATTTTTTATGATATACCATTTGTATCTGATACTCTTTTTAACATAAATGACATGATATGAAATGTTTAAATACCATGCTGTATGATAAGACAAAATATGATACGATGATATCTGAAATAAAATATGATGAGAGTATGAGATGACATGACACTCTGATAACGATATATTACCAATGACTTAATATGATCGAAGGTGATATAAGATATGATTTGTTTAAATGTTGTATGATAAGACAAAACATTTTTGATATAATATAAAAAGATTTTACACAAACTCCTTTGATAGGATATGATATGTATGATATGGTAAATATAATTGATGATATGATATAATATATGATATAATGTGGTATGGCAGAGTATGAGATTATATGAAATTTGATACGTTTTAATTTGATATGCGATGACATACCATATGGTTTGATTTGATATTATATGATAAAAAATATTATAATATCTCATAATATAAGCAGATAATAATCTAAATGATACGCTCAAATTCTTGATCCAACACATCCCAGTACAATATGATCAGTGGCAGACTCTGACACACAGAAAATTCAGGCGACTGCTTTGGGTCTCTTAACAGCAGAGGCCCCATTACATGCCCAAATGCCACCTACCTGGTCCAGGTAGCCCAGGTGATCCTCTCTAACACAGCTGGCTCTGTGACCATCTTCCCAGACGGGACTTCATGCGCCTGCCGAGTGTAGGTGCTTGTGGACACCTGGATGGACATTAGGAGAGTTTTAGGAGAGTTGAGAAGGGTATAAACACGACTCCTCGGACTGATTTAACCTGGTATATTTCTGTCTCCACACAGACGGGGAGTCCAGAACTTGATTTTACCTGGATGTGTTTGCTGTCTGCAGAGAAGTCGATCTGGATGACAAAACCCGGGATATCCTTACAGTAACCAATCCTGTTCAGGGACGGTCCCAGAGAGAGGTCGTAGAAATCCACTGCACTCTCTAATGAACCCACAGCCAGGAACCTGTTGTCTGGACTGAACCTGAACCCCCAGAAACCCCCAAAAGGTTCAATGTTTAGTGTTTGACTTGGTTACTGTCCTCTGTGTGTCCTGATGTCTGTCAGAAACTGAGACGGTACCGGATGTCCTGGATGGCCACACTACGGTCTCTCTTCTTGCCCCAGACAGTGAGCGAGTTCACCAGCAGGACGATGAACTCTCCGTTCTCCATCCCGATGGAAACCATCTCTCCATTTGGACTGTAGGAGGTGCACTTGGCAGGATGACCCAAACTCACCTTGTTTAGGAGTTTCTGACACAGAAAATAGAAAACACCTGAAGTGAGTAGACAGTTACAGTGCTGAACCCCCATGCTTGCTCCTCAGACCTGTACCTTATCAGCCAGGTCCCAGATCCTAATGGTCCCATCATCACTGGCAGAGATGAAAACATCTTTGAAAGGATGCGGGGCCAAACCCCAGATCCCTCCCTGAGTGTGTCCGTTGATCATGGTGTTAGAGGCAGCATTCTTCTCCCCGACCTCGATGATCTCTCCATCTTTGGTTCCTACCAGGATTTTACCCTGGACCATCAGGGACCAGAGAGAGAAGAGTGTCAGAAAGTGGTTCAACCTGATGTGAAAATAGTGTTTGATTAAGAGCACAGCTCAAACTGTTTGTGGTACTTGTTGGAACCACTAAATCATGGACAGATTAGGGAACATGACCTCTCAAACTGCAGCGGTTGTTGCAGAAAGAAAGTGCTGACAGCATCATTGTGTTCATGCTGTGTCAGGGATTACGCAATTTCATCTGTCCTCTACCTTCCCTCTGCAGACGGACCGCACGTTCTCCACCGGCTGCCCCGTCTCCAGCTGAAATGCCCTGCAGCGCTTCATCTCCTGATCCCACAGCTTCACAGCCCCGCCCTCTTTGGTCCTGTCATACACACAAACATCACAGTTTATTATCACTAATCTGATTTCATGCATACTTCTGAAATTTCCTCCATCATATCACAAGACATTCAGAAAGTCTTAGTTTAGTTTAGTGGCATCCCATGGCCTTTATAACAAGTTGGAGAAGAGAGAATTAGGAGATAGGGGTGATAAACGTGATGCTCTTTTTCCTTTTCTCTCTCTTTAGTTCCTTGCATCTCTGGAGGAAGGGACTAAGATGCATGTGAGGGACACACGGATGCATCTTTTGAGAACTGAAACCTTGCCCCGATCCCTCCTAAATGTGCCGTCACACCCAACCCTGCACTTTAACAGTGAGTCCATCATGTTTCTGGAGTTTGAGTGGATGCTCATGTGTTGCCAGATGGGGTTTGGTGATCCTGTCCAGACTCATTCATATCATCCTGATCATCAAACTTATACTGACTCTGAGCAGAGTTTCTTATTGAGTACTCACGGTCGTTCCTTCCCCCCGGTGACAATGAGTCCATCCCTCAGGGTGGTGTACATGGTGAAGATCGGCCCACTGTGAGCCTTTCCCACCACTCGAATCAGGAAGTGTTCCCTCCATACGTACACGTCTCCATTTATAGCACCAGTGAATGTTAGATTGTTCTGGGAGGGAAGACAGTCCAAAAAAAAAAGAAAAAATGAACCGAAAATACAGACAATTTCATCGTGAATCAGATTCAGAGATATGAGACTGCACTGTTTCTCTTACAGCACCAAAAGCGACAGACAGCATGGTCTGCATACGACCCTCCTCCACCGAGCCGATCACTCCTTTCTTATACATGAGTGATCCCCCAACCAGAGTCCAGAACTTGATGTGTTTGATCCCCACCGACACAAACTGTGTGTCAGAGTCCGGTCTGAACTCCACCACGAAGATCCGCTCAGCATGGCCACCTTTACTTGTTACCTTGGTACCTGGTAAACAGGTATATGAGGCTGTTACTGCACTGGGACACCAGATTTGACCCTAGAGACTAAAACTACCCCTGCTCCTAAATAAATCTCATTCTTTAAATCACTCTCAAAAAAGTCAGAAAACATGAAAGTGAGGTTGTTACCTTCTTGCCACCTCCACACTGTGATGGTGTGATCAGGCTCCACCCCTACGGACAGCAGCAGCTTTCCTGTGGCACTGAAGTTGACGTAGCCGACACCTTTGGCGTGGGAACAGCGGAGGATGGACAGCGTCTGCTTGGTCATAGCATCCCACACATGGATGGATGGAGCAAGGCCTGAGATAAGTGTATCAGACACACAGTAGCCACAGGACTGAGGAACCACACAACCAAGGCATCAAGTGACCAAGGAGCAAAGGATGCAAGGAACCAAAAGGCCTAAGAACTTCGAAGTTTGAGTAGTTCAGGAACTGTACACTGACTTTGCACCAAAAGGTCTTTCTACAAGGCCTGGAGAATCTAGAGGGGACCAGAGCGGTAGCAGGCTCAAGTTAGTTTCTGGGACATTATTTTACCCTCAACATGTCCTTGGTTGGTACATGGGTTTTTAATTGATCTGCAATACTTCTGGGTAATTTTATTTGGTGCAGTTAAAGGTCCCAGTAGGTTCAAAGATCCGTAGTAATTTTAGCTGGTTGGTACATCTCCTGCTAGACAAGGTTTAAATTGCAAAATAAATCATCAAAAACTTAGCGTCTGTAGAGTCTTCGCAGCCTCTGTTTCTAACTTCATCATCAACAGGGATCTGAGTGGGTTGTTAAGATATTACGGAATTGCTCTGATTGGCTGCTTGAATGCTGTGTGGGTAGGGAGGGTGCAGAGGTAGAAAAACACAGAGCTTGGTGAGCGCTCCAGGAGAATCCATGCTAGCATACTGTACAAATAACCAAGTCCTTGACCCTGAATAAGAGGAGGAAAACTGTTGGAGATTTGAAGCCATGGTTACCACAGCATGTCTCTGGTTGATATGCTGGAGTTTAAATGTTATTCCAACTTTCTTAAGTAGTTGTATATGTCCAGCCCTTCTTGTAGTGTAAGTGGTAAGGTTACCAGAAACAGTTAAACAGTCACTGTTTCCTTTGGTCATCCTGTGCGGGGACAGAACATGGACACTTGTTATTCCCTTTCTTCTACCTACATCAGAGAAGTTGGCATGTCTGACTCTAACCTTTGACATCACGACTTTACAGCAAAACCACAGTAACCTAGTGGCAAGGCAGAATCACCCACAGAATGGTGATAGTTTTGCATGCAGGCCTACGCAAATCACTCCTGTTGTTACATCACCACAGGAGGTTGAATCGATCTTTTTATAGAAGCTAGTTTTCTAGTAGATGGATTGCAGAAAAGAATGCAAGGGGTCTGTCCACTCTGGGTTCCTAAGCTAGAGAATGCAAGGAAAACCTAATTTTCAACATGTTGGGCCCTGAGAATAATTCATCATTGAGGTCTATCCTGTAGAGATCATTAGTGTTATCTTGCTAAAATCTGTCTGGAAGGTTCACTGCTCTGGGTCAGAGTACCGGACTGTTAATTCCACAACATCAGGGCTCTGACAGGCTGGAAAATGTCACTGCAGTTTGATAAATAGTCATACCTGGTGTTCATGCCCTGATATCTATGAAACCAAACAACACATCCACGGCTAATTTTTCCAAGAACTGTGGGAAGATCTGTCTCTAAACCACAAACACGACACGCACCAAACAGTAACATCCAGGCTAGCTCAGCTAGATGCACATGCTGACAACAGGCGCTAATAAAGGGCTGTATACAGCTCCATTGTGCTGAAGTCTGACTGCACAGATATGGACCAAAATGAAAATATTGTTTAGGGCTATTCATTCATACTACTGACTGTCTATGAGAAATGGATGCAAGACATAACTGTCCTGAACCTGCATTGTCTAGCAGGAGGTGTCCAAATCATTCTGACAGTCTGCACAAATAGACATTCTACCTCAGCAAACATTTTAAAGGCAAGTTCATAACCTCAGTCTCTAGTTTATTGTCTTCTTCAATGCAGCATGATGCTCCCTGACTAATTATAGTCAGACTCAGGGTTCTCAAACTACATTTCAGACATCAAACAAGCATAGCAGTAGCCTCTGTAGCTGAAAAATTAAACCAACGCAAAAGTGCAAAATATGCAGTTCTCTGAATGTCCACTAGAGGCTGTCCTCTAAGGTGAATCAGACCCAATAGAGTCTCATGTTAAAATACTAAACTTCACATACAGCGAAGTGGTGAGACCAAAGGGGCTGAACCAGACCCAAATACATGAAAAACGGTAAGAATGTTAAAATTCAGGGGTTAGCGCTTAAACATTCCAAGTTGTATGCTGGTGTATGTGACGATTTATTGTTGTGTTTACAATATCGGCATATTTCTGTGACATCCAGGAGCTTTTCCACCAAACAAAGAAGTCACTTTTAGAGTGTCTGATAGATCAAAAATAAATGTGATCTGTGAGAATTTGTGGATTTACTTGAATAAAACAATGTTGTCTATGTTGTTAGTTGACAACCTCAGACAAAGGCTGCCATCTTTGTGCTGCTTTAAATTCCTACTCCTAAAAATCAGTCCAGAAAACGGATCTTTTTAAAATGTCCTAGATTTGGGTCAATATGATATGATGAAGTTTCTGAGGAGAGTCTGTGCCGTTTTCACTGAATATCATGACAAGTCTTTAAAATTTGAATTTGTAACGACAGGGTGTAATATTTTATACATTTTGAACTGTGAAAGCAGGAGTAAAAAAATCAGGTGAAAAAACTTGCGGAAGCTCACAGACTTAGAGGACACAGAAATGTGTCTGTAAAGGTGACATGGTTAAAAGACTTTAGAGATGTCGGAGAACATAAAGGAGAATAAACAGTGATTTCATATGGATCCATGTCAATGCAGAAATGCTCTCTGACAGACAGCACAGGGGGCGGAGCTAAACACAGACGGTTCTGGAACTTCTCTGCTGGTACTCACCTGACGCCTCCGCCTCTACGCTCCGAGAGCCAACGTCACCAACAAGGTTAAACTCTGAGCTCGCCACATGAACACACACACCATGAGTTAGTTAGAGTTAGTGAGGGTGGGTCAGAGATGAGTGACAGCTGAAGGGCTTACCTGGCAGGTCGCTGATGTCACCTGGTGATGAGGTGAGGCGGTGACAATGAGGAAGCAGCGAGAAAGAAAAGAGGTGTAGCGGGCAAAAAGCAAAAAGCAGCCGGTCATGGATGAGAAGAACACGGCGATCAAACACTCTGCAGCCTAAAATCTGAACATCATCTTCAGTCTGGAGAGCGGGGAAAAGGAGCTAAATCACTAATCCTCCAGTCAGAGCTGACTCTGTGAGGATGACAGTCTGTGGTGACTGTTCAAGTTTATTTTGAACCCTTTCTTCCTAGAGCACGTCTCTGCGTTTGAACTATTCCTCCTCGCAGACCTTACTGTCAAACTTTAAGGTGTTGCAGTGAATTTAAATCCCTCTTGAGTCCTCCCTGCTGTCACAGTGAAGTGAGCGTGAAGCTTGCATAAATATTCAGCTGCTTTTAAACTGGATTTAGACTATCCGAAGAGGACTCATCTCTGAAACTCACCGATCTGGCCCGTGGCGATGATGTTTTGGTATTTTGGGTGCTGATTGACAGTAAGACACAGGATGTCATCGGTATGTTCAAGGTAGAAACTCTGAGTTCCTGTCAGGACAGGAAGCAGGAGCTGTGATGTAATTAGCAGCATTTAATGTAGTAGAAGAAGAAGAAGAAAAAGCTTGACGTGCTACCAACCTGCTGACAGGTTCTGGATGACCACAGCGGCGGCCGTGTGGAAGATGATGTCAGCGCCGTCGTTGAGGTAATGCAGGTTGTTGCGACAGTCGAAGCCTCTGTAGCCGAAGACGTGTTCCAACATGAGCTCCTGAACACAACATGAGGTATGGTCAGCTGAGAGCAGTGGGGTCATGTGACCCGACAGTCAGCTGACCTGCTCACACTCACCTCTACCACCTTCTTCTTCTTGGTCACATTGTTCCTTAGCAGCTTATCAGGCAGCGGAGCAGCTCGGCTGACAGGAGGCCTGGCAGAGAGGCATTCAGGGGCAGCAGGGAAACAAAGTGTTTGTTTTATTGTGTGTCATTACAGCAGGACAGTCCACAAAATTAAAAACTGACTGCGTCCCGGTAGAGAGGCTGCAGTTTTTGAAGGACCTGGCTTTGAAGTGTTAGGGTTAGGGTAAACATATTTGTTTTACTTCATTTACAAAATAAAATTTCAGTTTGGGGTGTTACCTGTCCTCCACAGGAAGTTCTTTGTGCTGCAGGTGAGGTCTGGTTCCTGTCATGTTCCTGATGCTAGCAGAGTAAATCTTAGTGATGTAGTCCACAGCCTTCTCCCGGGCCACGTCACTGTCATATCCTGAAAATAAAACAGCAACTAGTCTGTCTAAACTGTCCTCCTTGACTTAAACTGGACTAAAGACGAAGACAACCTGTAGCTTCTCAACTCTTTTATTCTGAAAATCTCTGAGGGGAGACTTTCACAATAAAAGCCCCTGTGTGTACCTCCATCCTCCTCAGTATCGTCATCTGATTCCTCACTGTCCACAGCTTTGCTCTCTTTGTGACCCAGAGGCTCTCTGGTCCAGATCATCAGCGCCGTGTCGGCTCCGCCCACCGACAACAGGAGGGAATCATCATTGGACCAGCGCACGTTTGTCACATTGGTGCTGTGACCAACGTACTTCTTAAATTTTGCAAATTGACCCTGAGGAACAGAGAGAGGAAGAGGAGATGGTCTTTTTCAGATTTGATTTTAATCACATCAAGCTCTCTCTGACTCAGGTTCCCACAACATCCTGGTTAACATTCAGCAGCGTTCATGCAGTCTCACCCGTGATGGGAAGCTGAAGAGTTTGAGGAAGCCAAAGTCATCTCCAGTGGCCAGCAGTTTACGATCTTTGGTTAGGGAGGCAGAGTTAACAAAGCTGAGCGCCGGCCAGATTCCCTCACAGGTCGGACCCAGAACAGATGTCCAGCTCGCCCAGTCCAGCTTCTCAAACTACAAAAAATGGACATACAAATGTGAGTGCACAAACGTGTTTGTGTGGGCATGCAAACTGTCTACTGATTTAAAGGCAGTTCAATCTGGACCACTACAGTCATTACTTTAATGATATAAATTGAATTTAGAGGTATGGCTCTGTTCGAAGACCCTGGGCCTTATTTCTTAAGCCTAAAACACACAGGATCTGTGTTGTGCACGTTCAGTCAGCGTCACATGTTAGGCAGCAAATAGGTTCCCATTCTAATCAATGCTGCAAATTACACAGGAAGCGTCTCTGTTCCGTCTCATAAAAGTGTCAAACACTGCACTGCTAAAGATACGCACCAAGTCTATTTTCACTACTCTACTGTATGCTTCCAACACACATCAATTTACACAGAGAAGATCGTCCTGGACAGGATGTCAAGCTTGGAGACCGCAAATGTCATCCTGTATATTCCAAAATAAACACCACATGCAGATTCTTGACTGTTTATCAGTTTCTGTAGATGAGAAATACTTCCTGGTTATGGATTTATCAGTAACATTGAACAAACCGATGGTCAATCCCTGATCCATGTGGACTTTTAGCTGCTAAGTCTGTCTTAAGGTAATAGCACAGAACTAAGGAACATAGTTTACTTTAGTAAACAAGAGTAAACCTGCAAAAACCAAAACTTTAAAATCATGTTGCTTTTTCACATACAGTAAAAGCCAACAATCACGGAACACATCAAGTGACCACAAAGAGGAAAAGCAACCTGTTGTGAGTTTGTTGTTTTCTCCATACTGAGCACAGCTGACCGGGGCTGCATTATGCTGCTGCCACGCTTCAAACACACATCCTGTGGGTGATGAAGAGCGCTGCTCAACAGAGTAGAGATACCATGCTGACGGAATGCACTCAACACGGATCCTGTTTGTTTTAGGCTTTAGAGCATCCTGCCCTTCTACCAGCAGATGAGAAATGCCGATACTTTTCACTTTTTGATGGTTGAATGGTATGGATTCGACTAATGCATTGTGACTCTAACTTGACATTGTGGCCTGCCTGAACTAGCACCACGCCCATTCAAATCAGACTCAGACTGACCTCGGCCACGCTGATGTTCTGTTTCCGTCCACGCGGAGCCTCAAAGAAAAGCTGCTCTTTGGCTCCAGTGTTAACCTGCAGCAGTTTACCTGAATGCAAACAGACATAAACAGTGAAACTGATACATACAATATATTATCGATATAATTGATATAACTTCATAATGTTTCCATCATGACTGTGGAGTCACATGGCCACTGTGAGGATGTAAACACCTCTCTGCTGGCGTGTCTAAAATGTTCTAACCTGGCAGACAGTTAGCGTGTTAGCCTAGCAGTGGTCCACCTGTATTTACCTCTGGAGTCCCAGTCGATGTGTGTGATGTAGCTGCCAGCCCCCTTACAGATTCCCACTCTCTTACTGGTCAGGACATTGTAGATGTCCACGAAGGAGTCATGTGACGCTACAGCCAGGTACTTTCCTGCATCTGAAACACACACCTGTAACATCACCAACCAACCAACCAGCAAATCATTTTCAGGCTGTGTAACACCTGTGTGGTGCCTACAGGTACCTTGTGAGAAGCGGATGTCAGAGATGAGCTCCCTGCGGTGGTGGAAGGTCACCATGTCCTCCAGCGTGTCGGCGTTCACCACCAGGAAGCTGCCGTCGTTTAAACCCACAGCCAGAGCTTTACCGTCAGGTGAGAAGGCACAGCACCGCCCCCCTGACAGATGCACACAAGTACACAGTCACATGACAGGTTAACTCATTCACATCTACACATTAACATAGTGTTGTTTGAGGGCTCACCTTTCTTGAGCTTTCGTACAGCGACCATGCGGTGGTTGTTGGAGAGCTCCCAGATCCTCAGAGTTTTGTCATCGCTGACGGTCGCACAGACAGGAAGTAAAGGGTGAGCCGCCAAACCCCACACCTCGCCCTCCATGTGACCCTGAACACAGCAGACACACTTGAACACTATATGAGGTTGTCTATTTGTTGAAGTTGCTTAAATAGACATGCAAAGAGTTGAGAGTTCTTCTTCGTGTGTTACACACTGTAAAACGTGGTGTTACAGTGTGTTTGACCCTTAATTTTATGCCGGAATAACCCTTTAAGACCCTGGTTCCTGCTTTAAAACTACACAAGGTGCTTTTGTTTGCCATTAAATAACCAAGAATACTAGAAGCTATAAACCACAAATACACACACTGAAAGTTATGATTATAACCCACAAACCTAACTGGCTTCATTTGATGTTCCTTTCTACCCATACCGGGTGGTACTTTTCAGTTTTGAGGTTGATCTTTTCAGGAAAATATCTTGTCCACATTAAAAGTTGGTGATTAGTTTACAGACAGAGAGCTGAGCAGAAAAAATGGCAGACAGGTAGAGACACCAAAAAGAGATCCCACATGAGCAGAAACTTTTTGTTCTTTTTATCAACTCAAAGTTCTTCAGAAACTCAAATAAAGAGCTAAGAGAGTGACTTTATCCCCAAATGACTGTCCTGAACTAGCTCTCTTTATGTTAATGGACTGCAAAATCTGTATGAAATTTCAGATCATGGTGGAAACACAGAGAACAGACCACTAGAACCATTTAATAAGTTCCTGGTACTTTTAGGTCAAAAAGCACCAATAGAATTCCTCTAATTTCTGGGGAAAGTTCTGGTGTTGAAAGGCAGCTTGTGTGTGTCTTTGTAGGTATGCGAGTCTGACCTGAACCAGTAGCGTCATGGGTCCACTCTTGTCAATCTCCAAGATTTCTCCATTCTTGGTTCCCAGCAGGATGTGACCGTGACCCAGAGTGATGGCTCTGATGGACGGGTTGTCCTCCAGCAGCAGACCTGGTTGATAGACACACCGGAGAGGCGTTTACTTTTCTGTGAGAATCTTCCTCTGGATTTTTTTACACAAAAGTTATTTCTCTTGAAAAGGATATTAAAGTAAATCTGATAAATAAAAGAGGTTTGACACCTTTGGACGAAGTAGACAGGGCAGCCCTCTTGATGGCATACGTCTTCAAACATCTCTCAAACATGTCGTCCCACAGCTCCACAATGCCATCCTTCCCCCCCGTCACAAAGCCCTGGACAGTGAACACAACACAAGTTTAGAACTGTGTTTACTTTTTTGATCTGGAGCTTCAAACTATCTTTTTGAGTATTTTGATTGTATTAGTAGTGAAGTTTAGTTACACAGCTCCTATCACCACATCATACAGAAGGATCTCCTTTTTCTTTTTAATTCTGTCTTATCTTACCCTATCTTATCCTAAATCCTAACAGCCACAGGTGATGATCCAGGTGTGTTCCAGGTGTTACCTTGTCTAGAGAGCACATGGCGAACACAGGTCCATCGTGTGCTTTGACCGTCTTGATGAGCGTTGTGTCCCTCCAGATGTAAACATCTCCGTTAGTCGCTCCAGAGAAAACCAGGTCCTCTGAGCGACCGTAACAAGCCGACATCATCGTCTCCTGCTTCCCCAGGTTCCCAAATATTCCCCGTTTGAAAGTCAGACCGCCCCCTGGTGGAGGGAGAAGGAAATATTAAAAAAAATCTTTTTGGTTCTGGTGTTTCTTGGTTGGCGTCAGTCACCTAAGGATGAGGGTGAGGCGTTACCTGAGTGCTGCCAGAACTTGATGTGTTTTATGCCCACGGTCACCAGTTTGTCCATCCTGAACGGGTTACTCCTGATCACAAAGATTTTATCTTTGTGACCCCTGCAGGACCCAGAGGTTCAAGGTCAGAGTCTGGAGCTTTTACATGTTCATATTACCATCATAAAGTCATGATCAAACTGAATTTTAAACCTATTTAATTAATGACACTTCTTACTCTTCTATCAGGTAAAGCTAAGTTCAGGTGTGTTTACCTGGCCTTGGCTAGTCGCTCTCCTTTCTTCCAGTCCCAGATGACAATGGAGTGAAATTCATCAATTCCCACTGAGACCAAACTTTTCCCATCAGCTGAGAGAAAAAGACAAAGATCCAGAAAGACAAGCTTGATGTAAATAAACTGACATGACATGTAAGATTCCCTTTCTTACCAGTACTTGTGTGTTTGGGTGCTTGGGCGAACTGAGCAAGTAAATAATCTTATTTGCGTTCAGTGTAAAAGTAACATCTGGGCCGTGCAGGGCCGAGGGTATCAGGAGACAGCAGTAAGCATATCTCTGAATTCTCTGATTGGTTATAAAGTCTTAAAATAACTGTATAAACAAAAAAAAAGACAGATGTTTTATTATGAGTGGGAGCACGGCTGTGTATCACCAGTCAGTGGAAAGCACCTCACAATACCCTTTTTCTCATCTGTCTCATTGATGCTCCTGAATTTGAGGAAAGCAATGCACCGCCAACTGGGTGTGATCCTTGGCACATGTTCCCTTGTTATTAACACAGTGTGTGGGGTGGAAAATAACACTGACACTTAGTGTACCTGTGAACTCCAGCGCACACACTCCTCTGCTGTGGTGTCCTTTCAGCAGAGATAGACACTTCAGAGTCTGGATGTCCCACACATGGACAGCAGGGTCTCTGCCCACCTTGAGACACAGACAGCCAATCAGAAACCTCTTAAGGCAGTGTTATGAAGTGTTGCTGTGTTCCCATTGGCTGTGCATACCTGTGCAGATGCAGCGTAGTCTTTGAGCGGGTGGACAGTGAGGCTGAGGATGTCGTCATCATGGCCGAGGTAAAACCTCTGACTGTGCTGCAGGCGGTTGTAGACAACTGCGACGGCGGCCACATGGTACACCACCTCCCCCGTCTGACTGTAGAAAAGGTTGTTCCGACAATCAAATCCTCGATACCTGTAGGAAACAGGAAGCAGGACCGCCACAATAAAAGTCAAGTATAGAGACACAGAGAATTAGAATTCATCCGGCTGTGTTAAGAACAGACTGAATGATTTTTACCCGTGAACAAACTGCAGACGAAGTCCCTCCTCTGGAGCTTTCTGCCTCTTCAGGGAACCAATCAGCTTCTTTCTCAGCTGAGGCAGGTCCTCCTTGTAAACCTGCATACAGAGACAGGTTATTCAGTTGGAAATATGGACAGGTATTGAGATCTCATGACTCATTTGTTTTCAGGTTACCTGACGTTCATAGCTGGTCTGAGCCTCTTGTTCGATGTCCGAGTCGAGCTCTGGGACGTCGGACAAATCCGAGTCTGACTCTCCGCTGTTGGAATCAGCGTAACCCTCTAGTACCAAACAGAGGACCAATATTTATGAGACACCCTTTTTCCATTTCACTGTAAGTTCCTTCCAAAAATAAAGGAAACCTATTACACTGATTTTCACCTTTCTCATAGTCTTTTCCCTTTCTTTCTGTCAATCTGAGACTCCTGCAGAGTAGCTTAGCATGACTAGCAGCTCTACAAACTCCATTTATTAGTCCGTGAAAACCCTAATTTTGGTACCATTCAACAACTGCCTGAAAAGTTTCGTTTTGGCTGCTCTTACACTGATGAAGAGTTAGCCACAGCTGGGGTGTTACTTTTTACACAGCTGTGAACAGCCTGAAATGTACCAAATGTAACAATAAAAACATTGGGGTAGCTTCTAAAGGCTGATCTGTCAAACTTTTGAGACTGATTGATCAGTTCTTTATGTGTTAAACTCTAGTAGTTATTTGTATTTTTACCTTGGAGGAGGGGCTCCAGGACACCATTCATGACGCCCTCTGGTAGGAACCTCCACTGGAACACGGCGTGGTCAGCCCCTCCCGTGCTGACAACCCACTGCAGGTCATTGGACCAGCGAACATTTGTCACATGGGCGGAGTGGCCGATGTACTTCTTGAATTTGGCTCCTGTTTAAAGAAGAAGATTAAATCAGTAACACAGCTGAAATGTTTGTCCTTCCCTGTTCTTGAAGGAGTCTAAATGTTTGAAAGACTGACCCTTTTTCAAGCAGGGAAACCTGAAGAGTTTGACAAGGCCGAGGTCATCGCCGGTCACCAGCACAGCGCTGCTGTAGTTGGCGTCCACAGAGTTCATATTGGTGACATTGGTGTATTTTGGCCAAATACCATTCACCTCTGCCCCAACCACACCCGTCCAGGTCATCCAATGGATCCCTTTGGCCTCCTCTTTAGGAACCAGCTTCCCTGCTGAAGGAAACAGGTGGTAAAAAAGAAAAGTCAGGGGGGCAGGAGGTCAGAAAAAACAAATTCAAAGACAGTGAAGTGCCTAAAGATGAGTCTGAAGTCAGTTGGTTCTTCAGGACTAGTGGCATATTCAGTCCAGACAGGAAAGCCCTAAGTCCTGAGTCTACAAAGTCAAGTTTCCAGTACAGAAAAGTGAGACCCAATTTAAGACGTCTAGACATTTGCATCCCAAATCCACTCCTAAATCTGTATCGGCAAGTCCTATTTGCAGTCCAGGTCTAGACAACTGAGTACCTTCTCAGTTCCAGGTTAGAAAGGTGAGTTGGAGTAGTGTAGTCAGTCTATACAAAAAAATCCAGGTACTACTGCTAATCTGGGCGAGTGAATCCAAAATCCTAAAAATAGTCCAGTACATCCAAAACATTTTTCTAGTCTGGACTTGTGGGTCTAAAATCAAGTCCTTGTCTGAATGGGTAAGTCTCAATTTGAGTCCAAGATCCACTTGGTAAATGTCTCACACAAATCCCTCGTCTGAAAAGTGGAGTTGTTAGTCACCAGTCCAGACACACAAGTTTCAAGACAAGTGCTATGATCAGTCTAGATGATTAAGGCGTAGAAATATGGGTAAGCCTTAACTCAAGCCCAAAACAAGACCCAAACACAGAAGTGGACTTAAATTAAAGTTTTGGTCTGGACAAATCAGTCCAGATTTAAGTCCAAAGCCTGAGTGGGTGAGTCTTGAGCAACCAAGGATACATATGTCCTAAACAAAATTCCAGTCTAGATAGGCAGGGCTCTTCTTATGCCCTAGTTGAGAGGTAAAGGCCTCTGTCTAGACGACACAAAGCCTAGTCAGGTAAGTCAGGTCCACAGACAGGTCCAATCACTTCAGGGTACCACCATCAACACTGTTTGTTTTGCAGAGTTCTAGGCCCTCAAACCGAGACAGTACCTGGCATCCTGTAGAAGAGTCGCTCTCCAGCCCCATCGTTAGTCTGCAGAAAGCGACTGTCCACGGACCAGTCCAGGTGGGTAATGAAGGATGTGGAGCGGCTACACTCGCCCACCTTCTTGTAGCGCTGAGCAACGGCATAGAGATCAACCAGTCCATCGTTGGATCCCACCGCCAGGAAGGAACCATCAGGTGAAAACTTAAGCTCATGGATCACCTCCTTCCTGTCTTTGATGTGCACAACTTCTGTCATGTCCCTGCAGGAAAAAGACATATCTGGGGTCAGGTAGTGAAGGTGGTACCAAAGGTCTGAAACTTTAGAAACTTTTCATTATAAAGTACCAAAATGATCTGCGAAGTTCCCCAGGGCACAATCCTTGATCCTCTGCTATTCCAACATTTACCAAACATTGAGACTCATTAAAGTTTTCTAAAATTTTCTCTCCCTGGTTTTGTTGGTTTGAAGTTTACGCCTGAAAAGTGAACCCTGACATGCATTAAAAAAAACTTTACAGATGTAGCCCGCCTACGAGCGAACTTACAACCTTTTTGTTCAAAGTGATAAAGTAAGCACAGTAAGCAGTGTGTATCCTGAGCTGACCTGACTCGCAACACGGTGAAGGACCCATCCTTCATGCCTAGAGCGAGCTGAGAGCCGTCGTTATTGAAGGAGACACTGCGGACTGATTCCTCCATGTTACAGCGAGCCAGCAGAGTGTGGTCAGGAAGACTCCACAACCTGACAGACAAAAACAGAGACAGAGAGGCTGATATACTAAAAGGAGGTTTAGCCGATCCGCATCCTGGCTGTGTAGGTGTTTGTGAGTCAGACCCACCTGACTGAGCGGTCGTCACTTCCAGTGACAGCGACCGGCTGTTTGGGGTGCAGGTCGAGCGCCCAAAGCTCACCCTCGCTGTGACCTTGCATCAGCAGAACCGGTTTGTCCCGATCTCGGACCATGACCTCAAAGATCTCACTGTCCTGAGTCCCCGCCAGGATCCGGTCTGCCTTCCAGCATACACTGCGGATTGATAGACCTGAAACACAGAGCAAGAATTAAGACCTGACAGAGTAAAAGTTTGAGTCTGAAGGTTTTCTTTGACGGGAGATTAATATAGTCCCATAGCCAAAAAAAACAAGCTGCATCCTCCTGTCTCGAGAAATGAAGCGAATGCTGAAAACTGCAGTAACCCAAGTTACCGAGCAATCAAAGCAGAAACCCCTTAAACACTGAGCTAAAACGCCATATTTGGAGAAAAAAATTAATACATTTACAGCCTGATTGATAAAAAACACAGTTTTTGTCTAAGTTGCTCTGGACTCACCCACATACCCACTTTACAGGGAGTGAAACTTGTTGACCATTTGTAAGGAGGCTAAAGGCCTACCTTTGTATCCCTGCTCTGCCTCTCTCAAGTCAATCTTGGTGATGGGTTTGAAGTCCACGTCCCACAATCGGATGCAGCCGTCTCGTCCTCCTGTGGCGAAGCCCTCCTCACAGGAGTGCATGCTGAAGATCCCCGCCTAAAAAAACAGAAACCATTTTAACATCAGTGCTGCTGCTCCTGGCTGGAAAATCTAAGATCAAATGACTCTGTTCTGTTGGTGTTGGTCAAGACCCAAATATAAAGACCCTTTAAATCTGAATCTGCTCACCTGTGAGTATGTCTGTTTCTGTGTGTAACCTCAACTGTAAGTATAACTTTAAATTACCCCGTGTGCAGCCTGCACGGTCCGGATCAGAGTGATCCCCTTCCACACATAGACGTCTCCATTCAGAGCTCCAGAGTATGTCAGCTCTTCTTTGGCTGCAGAAACACACAGGATGGTCTGCAGATCGCCTGTCTTCCCAAAAATCCCTCGCTTAGGAGTCAAAGCGTTCCCACAGAGAGTCCAGAACTACACACAGCACACATGTATTTACTGCCATGCCAGATATCTTTATTATGACAATCAGAGCATCAGTCGGAGTCTCACCTTGATGTGTTTGACTCCACAACTGACCAGGCGGTTGGACTGGAATGGATCCCAGGCCACGTCAAAGATCTACAGCAGAAAAACAGTCAGCTGTGTTTTGTTCTAAAATCTCTTTAGCACCAGAGAAACCGGATGCCTCTGAGGAAACTGAAGTCAGATTGAAAGACGTCATACTCTGTCTGAGTGTCCAGTTGCCGTGGCGAGGACTCGTCCTCTCCTCCAATCCCAAACACACAGTGTGTTCTTGGCGTCCAGACCAACTGATGCTAACCTCTACACAAAAACACAAACATGCCAGGGTCATAAACTATCTATTTTAATTTGTCCAGAGACCCTGCACCCCCCACATTCAGACTATAGGGTTAACTAATTTGGAGACTTCTGCTTGAGGTGAGTAGGTCAGGATGAGAGTATTTTAAGTATTTTCATACATAGGGGTTCCCCAAGGCAGCATCCTGAGGCCCTCCAGCTTTTAGGTTAGTGTAATCTTATTCTTAGGTGTGTTTATGATTTTACATAAATGTTGTAGATCACCGTCTAGATTGACTTTGATCATAAAGCTACAAAAACAGCTCAAGATGTTATCCTAGAATCCTCCAGCACATGACAATGGGACTTTCTATTGGAAAGTGAAACATAAAGAAAATAAACTTTAGTTATAACTAAATACCCAGATAACAAAATAGATATTTAAAGACTTTCAGGCCAAAGTTTAAGCTGGATGTTGGTCGTGAACTTCATTTGCATTCATAAGTCCAACATATTTTGTGCAGCACAATACGGTCCATGATAAAATAAGTGCACATGATCCACAGAGTGTAGAGTTTCTGACCCCAAACTGTTTTCAATGACTTCTTGGCTTGAATTTACTCTTAACAGGTTTATTGTCACAGGTAACAGCCAGAAGCATCATCATTAAGGGGGCGCGGTCTGACCTGTCCATCAGAGTCGAAGGCCAAACAGGCAACTCCATGAGTGTGGACGTCCCTCAGGATGGAGACAGTCTGCATAGCGTATGTGTCCCAGATGCAAATGTATGGGTCTTTACCCACCTGACCTGTCGCCACCTGGATCTTATCTGGATGCATCGCCAGACTGAGAAAGAGAGGAGGGAGGAAGAGAGGGACACATTTAGATATCAGACTGTATGCGTTCTCTTGCTGGTGCCCCCTACAGACTTTAGAAATGTTACATCAACACTTTGTCATGGTCAGGTTCATTCATACTGATAAAAAAAAACATCAGTCCTATCAGACAAATTAGAAAGTCCAGAGCGCATCCTATCTGTAATGATATCATCACCTGGACTCCCTCTCAGCTGGTTTTATCCCTTCTCCACCTCCATGAACTGTGTTCTCACTTTCCTGCTGCTTCCAGCTACTTGAGAACGACACAGTCCTAGCTTGATGACCTGTAAGCTCAGTTAAGGACCAGGGTTTTTTTAATAGACACCAAATACGAGCAGTATGTATCAGTTGTGAGGTGCCTGAATCTGTCTCCACTGAGTCACATTTTCATGCATCTCCCTCTGCTGAGTCTCAGTTGCACAATATCTGACTTTACCAGATTACTTTCCTCATGTGTCTCCACTGTGTCTCATTTCACTGTATCTGTCTCCGGTGATTTTAGGTTTTACTGTTACAGATTTGAATGTGATGTAAAGACAATACAAACGCTAAAAGGATGCTGTAATAATACCAACATGATGCAGATTTTTAAAAAGTCCAGATCCTGCATGATGAGAAACAAGTTTAAATGCTCCTTTCTAAGTGGGATTTGATATGGGGATTCCTGACACAATGTTTAAGTGTGGGAGAATAATTTTTTCCAGTTTTCTTTAGGTCTTTGCCTCCGTTGTTAGAAAAGCTGAAAAGACACAAAAAAAATACAGAAAAGACACCAAATAATGCCGTCAGGGACAAAACAGTGTCCACTGTACAGACTGAGCTAGCAGTGCCCTGGAGTACATGAATGTTAACACTGAAGGTTTTCAGACACAGTGTCCCAAAGATTTAGTGCTCAGGTTTATTTCTTTCAAATCACACGAATCACTTATGATGTACACTCTCATCCTTTCCCTGATTTGCATCACATTGTGCCTATTTGCATCTTGGCTTTGACGTTGTATGTGATCATATTATCACACAAATATTGCTGTGGAGATTGTCTTGATACAGATAATAGTGTTGGGGTCAGTAAAGTTTAAAGGGTTTATCTTCTGGAGATCATGGAGCGTCCAAAGGTCTCAACAATGATGTACGCATGTGTCAAATTGAAGCTGGTGCAGGTCTCTATTGGGGAACTTGTTTGCTAGACGTGATTGGATGTCAGAGGACTATTTAATTTCTTTTTTTTTTTTTGTGAGTGCAGAACTGGGAAACAGTCAGCTGTTTCATCAGCTCATCTTCATTGTCAGCATTTCTCCCACCAGCTGTCAGCTCCTATCAGGCCATGGGGCTCAGACGCCTCTCGCTCAATTCACTCTCTCCTCGCATCTAAGACACATGTGTGCCGCCTGGTGCCCAGTCTAAGCTTTTAATGGAGCATTTGATTTTTTTTTTTTTTTTAACGAAGCAGGACAATTTCACAATAAATTAAATGGCCTGACAGTCTGAGTGTCCCATGTATGGAGGCCAAAATCCTCATTACAGCAGTCATGACCCTTTTGCTGCCTGTCTTCCTCTGCTCTCTACTCCCCAAATTTCCTGTCTCTCTGTCAATTCAAGGTAAAAATGCTCAAAGACATAAATGACATGAATAAATATCTTTTAAAAAATAGTGAATGAAACCTAAAATATTTAACCAAAGATTTTTTATTTGTGTTTTATTTTAGTTGATTTCAAACTTCAGTTTAAATATATCTATATATTTAAATACACGCAGTATACACATACTTTGTGACATGTTTTTCTTCGGGGTCTTTGCTGCTGCTCTCCCTGCCTCCACCCCAGCTCCTCCTTCTTATACTGTGTCTGTTTATAGAAGTTTATAGGAGTTTAATCAGCTCTTTCACTCACCTGATGATATCATCATTGTGTCCCAGGTAGAACTTCTGGGTGTGCTCTCTGGTGTTGTAGACCACCCCCACCCCGGCCACAAAGTACACCACCTCCTTTCCTGCAGTGTAGTACAGGTTATTCCGACACTGGTGGCCTCTGTAGCCATGGATCCACTCCAGCCTGAGCTGGCAGCGAGGTGCTGTCTTATCCGACATTGCGCCCTAAAATTGGAAACTCAACACCAAGATCCTCTGTAGATAGAATCAATGTCCTCTGGAGTTAAACAAGAAAGTCTGAGGAGGTCTGGGTGTGTTAGTGATGAACCATCCACTACCAGAAATATCTGAAAAACAGATGAGTTCCTGTCCATCCAAATCTGCTGCTGCTCCTAACGCAGATTGCTCGAGTGCATTATTGTAGTCTCTTTAACCGTGAAACTCCCAAATACACTTCCCATAATTCCCACTGCAGCCTCACTCTCTAATGTTACTAAAGTTTCACAAACTCAGCAGAAGTCAAACACATCTAGAGTGTGAATATAACACACTGACCTTCTCAGGTTGGGTCTGTGCACAGGTATCAGCACACTGGGAGGATCAAACTTTAACCTCTTTAATGAGCGGACCGCCCCTTTAATTCTGCAGGTTTCACCTTTAAAGAGGACTGTTGGAGGATAATCTCAGGGTTTACACCTGCATTTGTCACAGGGTGCAAATGTAAAGGTGTGCTAAGGTGTTTCTTTCTGGGCTTCAACTTCAATTTAATGATTATTTTAGAGGCTCACACACATTAAGTGCCTCTGTTTTCTTAAAGCAGTCATTGTAAGTGAGGATGTTCAACCTCTGAAGCCATCAGGCTGAAAATTAATTTGATATTAAGTTTAAAAAGAAAAGCTCTAAACATTAAAAAAACTCTTTTTGTTGGGTGACAACAATGAAGAAGGTTTCTAGAATGCTGGATGCAAGACTGCTGGGTTCTAGAGTGTTTTATAGTGTCTTATAGAGACAGTTGCTGAGATGAAGGTTTCAGACACAGGCTGAAATGTTTTTAGAGATATCAATAAGAGATTTTAAAAGTGTAAAGCTACTGCAAAGCTATGAGAAGACATATATATAGCCTTAAAAATGAGCATAAGACCTCCTCAGCAGGTGTAGTCTCTTCCAAGTGCCATTTCGTTGGATAATTCTATGCTAATTTCATAATAATTTCAAGATAAGCTAATGCTGCAGCAGAGCTTATAAAGGTCCTTTCAGATGACAGCTACGGTAACCTTCAGGGACATTTTTCATAAATGTGACGTTCTGGTTGCAACTCTCTCAGCGTTTTGCGAATAAATAACCCAAGCTGGAGAATTGCCGAAATTTCCTTTAAGGTTGAAGAAATTGAATGAAATTCCAGAAAGGTCTGAGTGTTTTCTGAGAAGGTCACTGCGAAACAACCATCAGTTCAGAGCACATGTCTGTCAGACAGTGGGGATATTAGTATGAGTTATCAGTGAGAAGAACCCAGGCTGTCCTCCTGATAGATGCTCCGGCAGCAGGACCGTCAGTGTTCAAACCGGCAGTTCGTGTTCATTTGGGATAATTTGACAAATAAAGCGTCTGAAGGCTGAAATTACACTAAATCCTCCGTTGATTCCAGCCACCGTCTGTTCGCTGTTTCCAGTTAAAACCCGGAGATTACAGCGCCGATTTATCACCGCCAGTCCGCATCCAAACCCCGGAGAAAACCCGCATCCCCACCTCCAGACATCGTCCACCGCTGCTCCCGCAGGCCGGCGAAGAGGTGCGTAGACCCGGCCGAGACCCGCAGCAGCCTCCCGGTTCAAAAACAGCCATCAAAAACGCAAAAATCATTAAGGAAAGTCGGGATATTAACGGGAATCCCAGGGATCACCGAGAGCTTCAAGTTGAAATGAACAACCAACGTTTCCTTCAAGGATTTTCAAAATAAAAGATTCTAACTAGTAGCAGCGTAATTTCTTCAACGAATAACGTAACAAAAAAGAAAAAAAACTTCAAAAACACAATTTACAGAGATCCCAAGGTATGTTCCAAAATGGACATGCTTGAAGAACCATTTTACCTTAAAATAAAAACCGTAGGGAAAAAAAGATCCATGTATACCTGTGTTTGGCAATAAGGAACAGCTTTTATAAAATAGGCCGATATTTCCTTCTTCAACGGCCAGCTAGAGACTAAACTCGCGTTTAGCAGGTGTGTTTTAGCTTAATGTTATTTTATTATTTGGTTTCGTATAATGATAAAATTATTGTCGTTTCGAGCCATAAAACTAAGTATTTTATTGTGAAGGCCACCGCAGTCGATTTCGGTTTGCCTCGCGCTCAGCTCCGCGAGCTTCCCGCCTCTGTTGAGCGGCGGGTCAGGTGCGGTTTCAACGCAGGTCCGCTCGGAGCGCAGCAGGCTTCATGAATCCGCGTCCAGGATATCTCCGTGCCTGATGGGAGATGTAGTGCATTAGCTGAGAGAGAATAAAGGCTCAGTAAACCTTTGCAGGTGTTCAGAGTTAACCAGCTGATTAGAGCTCTTTCAGAACTGAAATTACCAACAAGATGGCCTTGACCTACTGAGAAATAGACGGCTATTAGATGTCTAGTTTTTCTTTAGACCTAATTTCAACCATCTAGATTCTGTGTACTTTTAGACGAAATTTAAACGTTGCACTTTAACCCATTATTCGATAACTATTTATCTCCAAAAGCAACTGTGAGTTGCATAACTGATCTCCAAGTACTTAACCAAAATAATTATGATAGCTGTTGAGCAATATACAGTGTAGTATAGATGTATCCTAGATTTAGACTTTATCTAATCTTGGTCTAAATTAAGACATCTAGAAAACTTTAATGTTTAGACCTGTGGTAGCCTGACTGTGATGAGCAGAATGCTGTAAGTCGCAAGTGTTACTACGTGAATGGGTTACTCCGGGCCGTTTGCATATTGAGGTGCCGGTTGTATCAGGGGGCGATAGAAGTTACGCACTATGGCTTTAACACAGAATGGTGTCATGTCAACTACATCCCTGCACACATTAATGGTCCTCTGTTGGATCTAGATTTGGATAACATACTTTTACAGAAGTTGGGGTCATGTCTTACTTTTCACCCCTTAGTTTACAGTAAGTACTCAGTGCAATTAAGTAAATTCTAAAGTCCATCACTTCTACTTCAACTTAAATGATTTTTTTAACTACTTTAAGGAGAAAGGAGAAGAATCAGAGATTAATAATCTTCAAACTACAATCAATCAGATTCTGTTTGATTTCACTTCCTTCTATGAACCACTTAATAGCCTGTATCAAAAAATACAATTCTAAAAAATATTTTTTTGTTGACTCATTTCAAGACATTAATCTGTATAGACACAAGAACAAGCTGACCTTTTTTATTTAATTTTACAATTTATTTTGAAAATATGTAAACATTTTTAATGCATTTTGTCTTTTCCTGAGAAGATGAAACTAAGTCCAAAGCACCAGTCTTAGATCATTAGCAAGTAAAAATATGAGCAAAGCGACTTTTTTCTCTTTACAACTGTAGTATCTAAACTAATAGTAAAAATGGACAGAATCTTTAAATAAGTCGGTCTATAAATCCTACATGAAAATGTGGATGTTTATGAGTAATCATTGTGATATATGTTACAATTTCAAAGTTTTGTGAATCTACGACCAATACGCCATTTACATGATTGAAATAAGATTTATGAGTCACGGCTGTTGAGATGAACAGGGTCATGATGGTGAAAGGTGGACATGGACTTTTGGATTCAACATGATGGCAGTGAACACATTAACAGGCAGGCAGATTCAGTCGTGTGCCCCAAATTCATGAAATCCTAAAAACTGACCCATTCTCAAAAGCATACACAAGACAACATTTTCAAGTTTCACTTAAGTTCCCTGCTTTTGTTTGAGCATTGTGAGGAATTACTCTTAAAAACAGGAAGGGTGACATGAGGCAGTGAACTGGAACGGCAAACTGAAGAGCTGATGCTAAAAAAAATAAACGGACTTAACTTGAGGTCAACAACAGCTTTTTAAAAGACATACAGTGTACATATCAGAGAAGTGAGTTTGGCCCCTTGTGTGTACACAGGTGGAGTGTTTTACTGATGAAATAGAAAAATAAATAGCAGTATCCAAATATTCACATGGAAATATGACTGCAAATAAAAAGAGGTCTGTGAAAGAAGTGATTCCATCTGAAGCACCAAAAAATTGCGCTGTAACAGTCAGTGTGAGGTTACATCTTCTCATAGGTCAGTTCATGTCCGCAGGTGGTGCAGGTTTTCTTGTAGAGATCCTCCTCAGGATCCACCACCTCCTCTGGTCCATACTGATGTTGGTGAACGCTGGCGTCTTTGGTCCACGTGCTGCTTCTTACCGCCCTGCGCAGCTCTAAAACACAAATACAAGGAGATAAAGCCTGATCGAGCCACAAGTTGGTGTTAATAAAAAAAATGTTCCAATTGGAAACCCACCTTTGACCTTCTTGTTGAAGCGTTTTTGTTTTTGGACCTCTCTGTTCTCCTCCCTGGTCTCTCTGGCCTCCTCCAGAGCCTCCTCTGAACCCCACACCTCCATACATCTCTTCTCTACCTGCACACATAAAAAGCTTGCTTGGATTCCATGATGGATGATGCAGATAATGAATTTGTGAAATTTCACAGCTCAAAGAGCCACATCTTAAGATGTTCTCAAAGTAACAAAACAACACTCAGGATCCATCATACAGTACAAACATTGATACCTGCCAAACTGGGCGGGGTTTTAAACTATCAGCCCTGAACTAACCACTCTTTTCTTAAAAAATAGTCATGTGTTCATAGCTCCCTTTTCCCCCCAACACTACCTGAAGTTTGAGATAGAGCTTCATGTCTCCCCAGTGTGGGTTATGAGGGTTTTTCTTCAATATGAACCTGAGCGGAGGCTCTCTCTTGTCCAGATCGCAGTCCTTCAGCAGGTACTGCTGCTTGGCTTCTGTTCTAGAGATCAGCTTATGTTTCTCCTCATTATCTCTGATGGAGAAAAATGAAAGAATAATTGATAAATTATCAGACTGTTTTTCAATGAGCGACTATCAAAATTAATAACAACATATCCAAGACCTGAGGAGAAAGGTAAAGCAATTTAACAGGGCCCCTCTTCTCAAAAAGTATCATTTGAAATTTTCATTTTTTCCTACTAGTGATAGTGGTGGTTTAAATTTAAAGGGATATTCCGGCGTGATATTACTTTAGGGTCAAACACACTGTTACACCGAATTAGACCCCTCCGTAATGGACTGGCCTGAGGTCTTGCTACAAACAAGCGGCTGCTGGAAGAGAGTGGGTGAGTTGTGTTTAGTCTCTTTGTTAAAGAAATTAGGCAAAGTTAAAAAGATGTTTGGTGGCTAGCACTGTGGCTGGGACCCTGTACTGTTGATGAAGTTAGGTGCTGTTCTGAGCATTATTTGTGGCCATAGAGTGGCGTTTTGGTTGAGGTTTGTGTTTGACTCCTCAGACTGCTGTGTATTGCTATCCTTCGGTCGTTACTAAAGTTGGTATAACTAGAGAAGCAAGCGGTCAGCAACATTCATCTCTCGAGGGGGTGTCTAACTCAGTGTTTGACCCTAACTTATTTTACACCGGAATATCCCTTTAAAGTTTAAGTTTGTAATTACAGTAGTCGATTACAAACTTAAACTTTGATGTTACACTGTAATATCAAACTATTCACTCCATGTGCGTGGAGTATATAACTATTTTATTGTCTAACCAATGCAAAAGTGTGAAAGTCCACCCTCGTGATTCTGTCAAAGGTTTCTCTAATCCTAATCCACAGTTTTCAACAGATTTTGGGTGACCTGATTGCTGAACTCTAGTTTTTCTTTTCCTTATTTCATATTCAAGAATTCATCTTATTTGACAGCTACATTTCAGTCAGATTTCTTCTTTACAGCTGGGGACCAAAAAAAAAAAAAAAAAAAAAAACACTTTACTGTCTTGGACGTGGTCAACTATGATGTTGTGAAAAACCTTACCTGCACTTATCGCAGACACACAGGTCAAAGCTGTTACTGAGGTATGAGTCCATAAAGGGTTTTTCACACTCATCACAAACCAGGTAGTCTGGTTCAATGACTGGAGCTACAGAGAGAGAAATTGCACATTCATTAAATAATACATTCACTCCTGCAAAGAGCTCATTAACACACCATTAACTCACCTGGCTGATGCACTATCTTCCTGCTCCTCTGCTCTTCCTCTCCGTCCTCCTCCTCCTCGATGAAGAAGCCGGCGCCGGAGTCGATGGTTTTGGACACTTTGGCTGAGGTTGCTCCCTCTACAGCGGACAAAGGCCGGCTCGCTAGTCTGGCTTGCCGGAGCATCAGCGCCCGCTGCCGGTTCCGCTCGATCTTGGCCCGCATCGCTGCAGACAGCTCGGGTTTCGGACTCTGTTCTGGGTCGGGCCCAGCAGCATCCCGACCCCCTGTCTCTGATGGATCCATGTTGTTGTCTCAACACTGATCAACACGTCAAGTGGAGTGAGTCCGTACATCAGTCTACATCTGCTTATGCACTCACAACGGAGCGTTGGACTAATGTTATAACATCAACAGTTACATGCTTCCGGGTTCTTCTTCTTCTTCTTTATTTCCAGCAGAGTAGACATCGCAGGGCGTATTACTGCCCTCCACTGGTCTCTTGTTTTATCAGGTTTCGTTAGTCCATGCAGTAACTTCAGCACTGCTTAGGACAGCACTTGATGGTTCTCGTTATGGCCAAATAAAGAAAAGACAGAAAACACCTCCACTCTTAGCTCTGACATTTTAAGAAATAAGCATCTTCTTTCTTTGGATAACCAATGCATTCTAGAGACACATTGTTTCTGGCTGTCCATGTTGACATAGCCCTGTGTCATGCTTTCCTATTGTAAACAGAGATTGATTAAACCCACAGAGTCCGAGCCTCAGCCTGCTCATCTGATGTTACAACAGCATCTATTCTTTACTTTGGGTTGGACTGTAAAATGATGTCTCCTCTTATCCTCTCTCTCCCAGCCTGATTGCCACTCCCTAAAAGTACCCTCCTGAATTAGTCCCTTTAGTTCCACTCTCCTCAGGGGCTTGTGAATACCTATTCCTTTGAGCAAGCTTTCCTTTGCCAAGAGGTCCACCTTCTGGTTGCCCTCAACCCCAGGATGCACTGGAACCCAACAGAATGTGACCTCGTGTCCTGACCCAATTCTGCGCATGATGTTTTGAATTTCTATCACCAGATCAAGGCGAGCTTTGCTTTTACCAGCTCTTCACCAAGATTTTTAAACATGTCCCAGTTTAGAGGGTATTTCCTCTTATTATGAAAGCAGTTAACTATCATTTGAAAATATCTTGCAGGTTTATGGTAAAGAATAAGTTATGCTTAATTGGAGGAGCAGTTGGTTTGAGTACCAGGTGGATCAAATACAGCTGAGGTTTACCTATCAGGCTCTCAAGAAGTCTCTGCTCTGTCATTATTGGTGAGTTTTAGTGTGATATTTTAGCACAAACTTGCAAATGGCCTATCAGTGTCACTGTAAAAACCACATGTCAAATCTAACTGTATGTGAAAGTAGATAGTCAACTAGCTTATGCACCAGCTACACATTATTCCTTACCAGCAGCCCCCTGATGCTCAAATATGGTAACTCTGGTGGCAGAAAATGGGAGTGAATGTGTGTGGTGAGTGGCCAGTTTATAAGCACCATAATTAACTACAGGCCTCTTGTGACTCCATCTCGCACATGAAGGTTGAGGACCACCCCTTTGATTAATATCAGCGAGAAACAGTGAGATAATCTGGAGTAATTACAAATCAGGGGTACTGCGGCAGAATGAGTTGAAGTAAGAGGGACTCTTGGACTGAACGTGTAAAGTAGTGGAAGAAAGTGGAAGTCGATGCAGAAGACAGGAAAACTGTTAAGAGGTTGACTCTTAGCAGTGGTAGCGGATGCAATGGCAAAAAACAAAAAACAAAAATACAGCTGTTTGGTATAATTTACAAATTTCTTTGGTGTATTATGGTTGTTGGCTCCTTAAATCTTTATGCTGAGTTTTACTGGTAATACTGCAGGCCGAGTTGATTTTTACCTTAGGACAGATACAGAGTTTTGTAAACTGTGATGAAGAGCAAAACTTTCCGCCAAGACAGGTGAGTCTGTCCTTTATTATCGGCTGGCATCCAGTGAATCCCTGTTGCATCACACTGATCCTGGCAGCGTGCCATGCATGCTGCAGCCGTAATAGGCTTGTGTCAAAGTAAAGCAGATCACATCCTGATACATGACTCTGCAAATCTAAAAGGTGGTGTGAGGCAGCTTCAGAGGTGAAGGGGGTCCACTTTTGAAGTGATTTGTTAAGAAAGAGATGTCTAACAAAAATTATCTTAAATGCTCGTGTTATTTATTTTAAATAATACCAATCATTCAGAATTTTCCTTTGAGGCTGCTCTAAATGTTCAATTGTTGAATTATATATATTCTAAATTCCAAAGCCAGAACAACTGAATCAAAAAACACGACACACATGGGTTTGGAAAATATGACCCAACTCTTGGAATTAATTAGGTGCAGAAACTTTGGGTCAGTGTCTTGCCCAAGAATACATCCGCAAGCTACTGCAGGAGCTGGGATCAAATGGTAACCTTCTGATTGAGAGGTGACCCACTCTACCACTGAGCCACAGTGGTGCCATAATACCATTAGACATTTCAGAGTATCTGGAGGACTCTCAGTAAAAAGGGACATGGTCAAAAACAGTACTGGGTGGCCTGGATGGTGATCTTTGAGCCGTCAAGTGGCACGACACTAGAAACTGTGGTGGAAATCACTGCATGGCCTCAAAGTTACCCCCAAAACCACTCCCTGTGAAAACAGTTGGTCACTGTATCCACAAATGAGGGTTAAAACCGTTCCATGCGAAGACAAAACTGTGAATTAACATGATCCACTATTTACACCAAAGAATTGACATAAGCTTTTTCAGGGAAGGCCTTGCATACAAAGCCAAACCACATTCATTCCAGCAGCACGGCTTTGTAGTAGAGATGTCCTCAGTCTTGACCTGTCACACATTGAAAACCACTTGGGGTCACATGATGAAGGTGACCCCAAATGAACTTTTAAATAATCAAATCAATTTTTATTTATTTTTATTTTGTGTCCAAACTATTTTAACGTCCCAGTTGAGTGCAGCTACAGATAAAAACAGCCTCTCTTTGAAAGCAGCCTTCGTCAAAGTACCTGTCTCTGATCAACAGCTCTCCCAGAAAGCCTGCTTGGATCACTGGAAAAACCTTCACCTGGATCATTGGTCTTGATATACATAGAAAGTGGGGTGTCTGTAGTCTGCCGGATGAACCAGGTCTACCTCAGACCATGAAACAGCAACAGTGAAAATTTCGGTTTTCATTTATTTGATCATATAACCATTTACACAGAGTGGAATGATATATGTTTTTACAGTATAATACACAATTCAAGTAGCACGTGAATATGATTCCATACTTGCATAACGTACGAGGGAAATACAAAAAGCATTTTACCATTTGCCGTGGTAATCAAACGGGTCGAGGGTGAATTTTTATCAACATTTCTAAATGCACTCACTCATGCACACATTTCTCACATTCACAGGATCCATCACAGAGAGAGATTGAGAAATGACACTGAATAGACAGGCTATTCCTGGTGTCTGAGATTAGAAGAAATGTAGTGGCTTGTAATCTATGTGTTGACTATGAATACATACAGGAATTTATATACAGTTTACAAATCATTTTACACAAAAACGCACAATAACACACCTTTTTAACATTGGAAGATGGAGAACAGTTAGGGTCAATCCAATTTTAGACAGTTATATTATTCTTTTTTCCAAGAACACAAAATATTCCAATTTATGGGAATTTAATACATAAAAAATATTGAGTTAAAATCCCATAGTGACACAAAATATGATTTTGAACCCTTAGATGAGTTTTGAATTAATACTTGGATGACTATTTTAAAAATAATCTCTGAAAAACAAAACAAAAGAAACAAACAGACAAAAAGAAAAAAAAAGATAATTTTGAAAAAGCAATATGAATGTTTATTCATACCTGAGTAAAAATGCGTCTTCTTTGGAGCAATTGTCGTGTGTAAAAACGATGAAAAACCTTAAAGCCTGTTTGCTGTTTTATAGCACTTTTCCCATGAACTAAAACAGGTGAATCATTTTTGAAAAAGAAAACATTGTTGGGAGAGGATATTTCCACTTTTATGCTCGGTATAGGGAGCAGGCTACTGCGGGAAATGAATGAGTGAAGAACTTGTGCGCTATAGCTTGTTTGAGGGCAGTCATGCACTTCAGCAGGCATCAGGTGGTTGAACTGATAAAGACCAGCTGGAGAGTCAGCTTGTATGTCGGCCTAAATGAGCCACCACAATATCTGCCTTGCGTCTAAAAACAGGTTTCCTTTTTCTTTTAATAAGTACAGTTTGATTTTGCTCATAAAAGAAAAAATAAAGCACCTCAAAATAAAAAATCGTAGTTCTGAAAAATGAAAATGTAGTAACAGAAATAGAAACAGATTTTTTCATAATAGACTTCTTCATTGTCTTTTTCCTCGGTTCTGTAATCCCTTTCAGGCTCTTCTGTAAATGCGCTTTGATGAGTTGATGAAAACACACACTTTTCTTCCATTTTGAAAGACAGTATGTTAAATCTGAAGCTTTCCACCACAGCGAGACTTTAGTAAAACAGTTGCCCGGTTATGTGTTATAATTGTTTTTCAAATGTTCAAATTAGATTTGAGAACAAAAGCAAAAGTACTCAATTTATCATTTCATTTTCAATTTTCTCTTTCGGCCCTTAGGGCTAAGACTACATGGGTTTTTTTTTTTAATTCTAACCAGTGGCCTCACTTGTTCTTCTTTCGTACCTCAAACATGCACATTGCAAATCTTGAAAAAAATAACCATTGGAAGATACTTGTGTCATTCTGATGAAAAAGCAGTCATTAACAGTGCAGAAACTGATTGATCTGTAGGCTGTAGATCTGTGAAGAACTGACATGAACAGATCATCGGCACTGAGCATCATATTGGCCAAAGTCCCTGAGGTGATTCAAAACTGCTGTAGTCTGAGCCCCATGTCTGTCAGTATATCATACAGTACATTGTGTGTTTTACATCAACACATTACAAAAATAATAAAAACTAATTAAAAAAACAACTCTTGATTCTTGTTGATACCGTTGATTGAGCACTGTTTTCATGAATTCAGAAGAGGAAAACGAGTAAAACACAATGAAGACTGCTAGTTCCAAGTCCACCACTTGTTGTCCAGACTGCAACACTTACTGTGAAATGTGTCAGTGACTCACATTTCAATGCACAGTTTTGATGGTATAAGTCTGGATATCAAAGTAGTTTCTCCGTAAAGTGGTTAATTTAAAGGCAAATACATCTGAAAAGTCATGCTCACAGGCTTGTTAGATAGTTACTGTGATCTACACCAGATATAAGCTCAAGTACTGAGCATGACATCAGCTTTGCCAATTCAATTTTGGTTTGCTATATCGTAGTACACTCTATCATTACTATTTTTCTCTACTAGAGACCTTCGTAAAGGGGAAATAAAGTCTGCATTTTTACCAAATATCTCCTCAAATGCAATGTATTTTATCTCTCAAGTTATCATAGAATATAACCCATCAGCTATTATCTGACGATGGTGACACACAACTTCACCAGCAGGGATCTTCTTTTCTGTGTGCTGGTCAGTTTACAGTCAGACAAGTAACTTGAGAGGTAAATACTGAGCCGGAGTGGAACGATTATGCTGATGCTGTGTTCAAATACAGAATCAGTTTAGGTATTTTTTAAATATAAATGTAAAGCAAATTAATTCCGGTGGTGAGATGAACGCTGTTAAACTCTAAATGTATATAAAGCAGCTATGACACTTAAGTGCCACCCTTGTCCTTTCTCATCGGTTCCCATGAAGTACAGAATCTCTCCTAAAACACAAAATATAAAGTCTCTTTGAGCCCCCATGTTCCACTTAAACCCCGGCATGATGAGTGGAGATACTTCTGATACAGCCACACAGTCCTTTCAGTGAAAAATAACAAAACAAAACAAACAAAACATCAATCTCTGTTGATTTTCATTTGAAAATTTTCCTCCTTTTACCATGTCCTGTCCATGACTGCTTGCAGCATTTCCAACCAGTAGCTTCTGCTGAATGTAGTCACATGGTACAAAGATAGAAGAGTCCCTCCAGTTGGGTGGCATGGAGTCTGTTAAATGACATATAGGCTTGCAAGCCAGTGCTGCACAGTTGTGAGTTGCTGGTTTGAATTTGCAGCATTGATACAAGTCAATGCCTCTGTCTAACCAGCATCCACTATATGTGGATATGTGTGTGCATGCATGTGTGTGTGCATGTGTGTGTAATTTGTTTATGAGTTTTCTTTATTCTTGACTTCATAGTGAGTGTTGAGGTACATATGTGCATCTGCTGTGTATGCATGTGAGACAGGTAAGAGATGGATTTTGTCCCTGCAAGCGTGTTTTTCCTCTCTTACGGTAAATCCTGATACTTGAGCACGTCACTGCTTCATTTCTGAGTTCAGGAAATCAAGAAGCAGGGCTTTCTCTCAGACAGTGACGGGGCAAACAATGATTTTATCCTCCAGCATGACACTGACCACGAGGAAGACAAAGTAGAGCAGGAACATGAGAAGGCCCAGAAATTTGCTCATTCTCCACTTGCATGCAGCGATTGACATGATGACGAAGAGCAGCATGAGGAAGAGGAGGACGATGGCACAGAAAAGGCCATTGCTGCTCACTTCTACGGGCTTGAAGTCATTGATGATGTTGTAGAGGAGCCAGGGGAATGGCAGACTGAAGAAAGACAAGGGGTCAGGTTATCTCTGAGCTGTAATCCTAAACCAACACTTTAAAAGTTTTTATTTCCACTCATGAACATGGATGTCACCATAGACATAATATACGTAGATGCCTCAAAGCCTGACGCTGCCTACTGGAGCTGTAGTGCGGCCGCCATCCTGGATGGATTCCCCATGTGCCTCCAGTGCATTACGATATATGGGAATGCCCAACCATATTAATAATAACTCTCTGAATCTCTGCCTGATTTTTACACTGTTTGGTTTGTTACAACGGCAGGGATGTAGCCATAATGCAGGACAATGTCACACATTAAAAATAACCAAAATAATTTTTCAATCTTATTTCTGAAATGTTATCCTATGCGGTCGGGTTTCAATACTGCATCGGGTTTTTCAACCAAGGAGTGCAAAGATACAGGCATAGTTGTTCATTCTCCATTGACTCTGTTTGGCTCTTGAGCGAACCTGGAGTGAGGAGACCCATCCAATATGGCGGCGACGCTGGATTACACTCCAGCACGTAATGAGGTATCTACGTATATAATGTCTATGGATGTTACACTGTGTTCCCTTTGTGTGCTGGACTTACCCAACTGTGATGTCAAAGATGTTGGAGCCCACCGAGCTGGACACAGCCATGTCACCGAGGCCTTTTCTTGCCACAATCACACTGGTGATCAGGTCAGGGATGGAGGTGCCCGCTGCTAATATGGTCAGACCCATTATCTCCTCTGTTATCCAGAAAGTTTCTCCTACCTGGAAGGAAGGAGGACATTCTTAACATTGTGGCTGTGTAGGTCAACAATGAGCACAGTTTGTAGATCACTCTGATAATAAAGAGTTTTGTAGCCTTCTGAAGGCATGCCTTTATAAATCAACTACTAAAACAGGAAGCAGTAGGTTCGGACTGCAAAGGTTGTATTGAGTAATAACAGATAAAACAAGTTACAAAAGAAAAAGTAAGAGGACATAAAATCTAAATCATGGCTCATGATGGTGTCAACTAAATTTTTTCAGAGTGAGCTCCTTTTTTTAAGAGTTGATAACAATTCAGAGTTGATAAAATACGATCATACTTGATATTGGGCTGTTATCCTGAAAATCACTACGGTTATATTCAATCATTAACTTAGTAGCTAGCCACTTTGAGCTGACTGGACTATGGCTAAGCATGCTTAAACATTTCTCAGCACTTTTACTACTTTGTGTTTTTTAAAAATGTTTTCAACAGACACATAACCTTTCATCTGTCTGTGTGTTTATCATCATTATGAGTCTGTTAACAGTGCTCCATATCAGCACTCATGAAGTTAACTTCTGTCCAATCAGACAACTTGTTGAGATTTACCTGATGTATAAGGTTTAACCATCCACCTCTCTACACACAGCACTGTGCACCTATGGGAACTATAAAAGTAGATGCCCCTCCCAAATAACCTTGTACACATGACCTCATGCTTTATTTGCACTGCTAAAATGCAGCTTTGCAGGTTGATCTGGCTGTGGATCAGGGAAGATTAGCTGGGATTAGCTACAGTGGTCACACATTCAACACCCTGACTGATGTACTCTCATAAGAAAGGCTTTAAAAATAGAACAGACACTAGACCAAGAAGGTAGCCAGCATGTTTGTGTCTGATGGACTGTAATGATGCAGGCAGTACCTGGTGAGCCCACCACACCATCAGGTAGGAGAAGAAAGCAATCCAACAAATAGCGCCAACGAAAGTGATGGGGAAGAACTTTGCTGAGGTCTGCGAAACAGAATAAAAGACAAGGCTCAGACAAACCTAAACAGAAAGGCAATGGTGAATCTGGTTCTATTCAGATGATATTGATGCACATCTTGATTAGATCGTTTATTTTAGTATCCAGAAAAACTGTGAATGATTTTAATTAGACAGTGACCATTTACAATTCAACTAATACCCTGCCAATCGGGAGTAGAGTTGGTCTATAAGCAGGTAATTAGCAGCCTTCATACGTAGATTTCTGGGTATATATTACATTTTCATAAACTAGATAATTTTCATTAAATTCTCTACAGAAAGCCAGAACCTGCTGCTTTAGGGTGGTACATTTCTACTGGAACTACATGCAGAAAACAACACTCCTCCTTATTTGTCTGCATTTATATACAAATCTCTGTTTGTGGGAAACACATAGTGAGTACGGGACTTTGTAATGTTAAGATTTTAAGGTAGGAAAATAAATGTATTGCTTATTTTGTTTATATTGCACATTTCTTGCTCTATTGTAAAAATTTTTGCGGGTAACAGCAGGAGATATGGCTCAAGCCTCCTCTAAAAGCTGCTGTTCAAGTTTTCTAATTTCAAACTGCAGCCCCACTCTCAGACATAAATTTGTCTTTTCTTTGTGTGTGCCTGTTTATGCTTGTGTGTCTGTGTGTGTGCGCAAGTTTTTACCTCTCTTCTGACGTCAGGAAGTGAAAGCCACAGTGGTAAAACTATGGGCAGGATGATGAGGTAGGTTATCCGTTTCCTCCAGGTGTCAGGCCAGGCTAGGCTCAGAGGCTGGTCCTCATCCTCCTCTTCATCACCACCCTGAAGAGGAGTTATTATAAATTTAGTGAACTTACACACACACCAACTAATTTTGTTGTTTTTATTGCACAAAGGAGCCATACCCCATCTCCTCCCACAACACCGTTCATAGGTGGTGTGACTTCCACGGCGACGTTGGAACTGTTAGGAATGTTTTTATCAGCTAGAGGAAGGAAAGGAAAAAGAGAAAGAAAGAGGGTTAAAAACAGTTAAAAAGACATACTGTCAAAGACAGAATAAGTATGAAATATAATTTGTTGCACAAATGACATTAATAGAAGTATGAAACTTAGTACAATTTGCTTTTCTTGGAGGTTGTGTCTGCGAGAGGGCCCCTATGTTGGGAAACAAAATATTGTTAATCAATGGCCCCTGGCAGGATGATCCAGACAGGAAATAAGTAAATCATTTGCAAGTCTTTCTGCGCCCTCTCACTGGGACAAGTTACAAATTAATTGACAAATCAGTCAGTCAAGGGACAAATGGAATGACAAGTGGTGGCTCATTACCGGTCTAAGAAACTGGCATATCACATATAAATCTGATTAGAAATAATCCACAAATAATCACAGAGTAAACAATACTCAACAAAATGTCATATTATCATCATATTTTGAGAACTTAATCGGTAGAGCTGTGTGTGCATCTAAATTATTATTTTACCACAAAGTTATTTAGGTTTGTTTGATTTAATTATTGTCCGATCCCTTAAGAATCTAATTGTTGGACAAATTTTATTGTTTTGTTTATCAGAGGCTGCAGCCACACATGAATAATCATTTAAATCGTTGGCCTCATTTGGCATAAATATAACCAAAAGACTTTCATATGGTCCCACACACAAAGGTTACTCACCTACACCGTTGGCGGCATCATCTTTACATTTCTGCTTGGCCATTTTATGAAGGATTGATGCCTTTTCTTTAAAACGTCCTGAAAAACAAAAGAGTTAAATATGTGATGATTGTGTAATCTTCAAGCAACTGTGGGGGGTTTCCCCTTTAAAAGATGTATAACTATTGACGGATGAAAGAACTACTGCAGTGAAAATAAAAGAAGAGGATAAGCTGTGAATTCTGCACCTTTAACTCCATTTGTGCCACAGTGTTGTAAAGAAGACCCTAAATCTGTGATTATTAGGACTTGTGGATCTTTAACAATAGCAGAGATTTTCCTCAAACATTTTAGACAGTGTTTTATTTTTGCTCTACAAACCTTCATCACTGAGAGGGTCCAGTGTGTGTATCATGAGCTGGAAGATGCTGTTTCTCATCAGTGAGTTGTGAAGAGAGGCACAGCTGCCTTCCCTTTGCAACCGGGGTTTGGCCTAAAAAACAAACAGTTAACTCAAAATATGAAAATGGGTGCATTTAATATATACGTATGCATATCAATCAAACATTTGGAGCATTAACTCTAATCAAAAATGACATGTCTCACAAGTCGTCTTACATGTCGTCCCCTAAGCATTTGTATAACCTGGCTGTAAGTGTGCTTTTTCTATCAGGATTTGCTTTCCCTAAACTTGTGCGGCTCGTCTAAAAGAGTTTCAAACCCCCACAAACTCACCGTGAGCTTATTCTCATCATCTGGTGGGTTAACCTGAAAAAACACACAGAGAAAGATGACATTTATATATTTACAACCTCTTTCTTTATAAACATGTGATGTGGACACACAATCTAATACATATGCACTATAAGTAATCTACAATAATACGATGTTATTTGGCAATGTCATCATTGATCTTAAACTTAATTCATCGCATTGTTTTGAACTGAGTGGGTATTAATTTAATTCAATATTGTCAGAATAGAAGAGTCTGAAGTTTCTCTCAGCCAGATAACTGAGCAGTTTGACAGGTACCAAGCTTTTGAAAGCAAATTCTTTAGAAGATTTTCTTTTCTCCTCTATTATAAATTTTTTTTTACCAATAATTACTAATCAGCATAAGACGTAATTAAAAGAATAAAATGTGTTTTTAGTCCCTTGCATGTGATGTATAAATGAAAAGGACCTGTCTCAATTTTTAGTCTTTGCAGACACCATTTAAGAACATGTAATGGACAATTTCATTAAAAAAAAATGATACACACTGCCTCTTTGCTGTGTTTTTGTGTTATTGTGTGTCTGAAAGAAAGGGAGAGCGAGACAGAGAGAGAAAGAAGAGAGAGCTTTGGCCGTCTCCTCAGTCTTTCCTCCTTAGGAGGACTTTGGTCTTGTTCCAATGTGAAGACTAGGATCCTACACACACACAGGAAAGACTAGCTAATCTCAAACCCAGCCATTTCCTCAGAGGACATATACAGCACAGAAGTGTCACCACATGAGAGCACATGGACACAAACAACACACCGTGTCCACTGGCTGGAACAGGTAGAGACTGTGTTGGTGGTTTGTGTAGATACAGAGGAGGTAAGTGTCAGCACGGAGGAGGAGTCCATGTGTGAGCAAAGTATTAAAAGAAGTTCTTAAGAAAACAGATGAGCGTATGAACATGAAACTTTTTTTTTTTTTTTTTTACTGATGCCACCAGTAATAGAAGTTCACATCAGGCTAACAGGAGTGATCATCCTATCATGTGCTCCAAAGTAACACTGAGGTTGCTGGTAACTGCAGCCTTTGATGTTAAGGTGTCAGGAATCAGATGTAAACTTGCTGTGCAAAAATAGAGTGGTTGAAGCTAACTCCCTGTGGTAATGTGACACTAACACGTTTTTAGTGAAATAAGTTTTTGGGAGAGTTGGAAGAGTTGAGAGTTCTGCAGAATCAAGAAAAATGTAATCATAACGTAACTTCAACTTTTATTCAGTCCATTCTCACTGCATGTCTCTTATACAACTGCATGTAACACAAAATTAACTTCATGTTTTATTGCAGTTAAGCCTCTCATGATTTAATTATTGTTTAGAGGAATGTGTATGTGAAAAGGCTCTGGTAGAATTCTGTACAACTTAACTAAATAAAATAAAATAAACATGGCCTACCTATTGAACCTACCCAAACATTTATCTTTGTACTCCCCAGTTCATTATTGTAGACTGGGTGCGATAAAGTTGTGCCAAAACTAACCATAATAGGCAGGTCCGAGATTATATATATAAAAGATGGTTCTTCAGGGTTACATTTGTCTCATACCCGACGTAGAGTCCAGGCGTTAACTGTTGTTTCCCCATACCTTTGTTTCTATGGTAACACCAGAGGATATGACTAATACATGGACAACCCATTCCCTCGCCATCACTGAACACATCCTTAACAACTCAGGTAAGAAAAACAATGACACTACAGTCACAGCTCTGCAACAGGAGATAGGTTATTTCCTTGTCTGCGGCTTCTAATGGCAGGCTAGCAGGATGTCAAGTCAATAACAGTGAAAAAGAGTTACCAAAATTTGACAGTTGGCAAACAACATTTACCAGCTAATCATATGCCATATTGTCTTTAATACTCCAATGAACAAATGACCGGTAACATTAGAAAGCGACCTCTATAGAAACCTTAGGTTAGAGTTGAACAGGGGGCAGTGTACTTCCTGCATAATGTGTGTTTCAGGAGGATGCAGCACTCTTTCATGGCTCAACCACCTGACAATCACTCGCAGAAAACAAAACACATTCCCTTATTTCTAAAATCATATGTTTGCCGTAGTGTATAATTTTGGACACTGGCTAATAAGCGCGTTAGTTTGAATGACGGATATCCAGCAGCACCAGAACTACTTTAATTGTCCCATTTACAGGAAGTAAATGACATCTGCAGCAGCCAATCAGAATGTGCCGGAACCATGGTAAAAAGATTTCCAAAAGATGTAAAGCTCTCTCTCTACTGACTGGGTGCAGTGTTGATCTCAAACCTTGCCTCCCTCGTGTTAACAGACAGAACATGGATCATGATATAAAGTAACTATACAATAAAAAACTATCACTGTAACTGCTGATAAATGCTTCTGCAGTGTTCTGTACTGCATTAGCAGAGTTGAGTAGGAATGGCAAAGGACAACATCATGAACACTAAAACAAGAGTCACTCTGCTTTAAATCATCACCATACTCTGCTCTGCTGTGGACTGTTGACTGGTCCTCTGTGAGAAGGTCTAATGTCAGTCCCACAACTCCACTAGCCAGGTCATTTTTGCCATATCTTGGCTGCACTACTATATCATGAATGGCTTCGTATTTCTTTGGGCAAATGAGGGCAGATGGCCTAATTAGTCAAGAGTTAAAACCCGTAGATAATTCTCCTATAGGTACAGTAAGAGTCTTGTGTCTGGAGACAAAGTGTCAGACTGGTCGAAATGATAGCTCTGGTACATTTTAATTGATACCATTATACTTGAAAATGTTATCTCAGACGATTACAGAAGAACTTTTTTTCTTTGAGTACAAATTTCCCTCAAAGACAGCAACAGTCACAAGAGAGGTGGAGGGTTTTATTGTTGACACGTTCTCATGATCGTTGCTGCAGAGTTTGAGCAGATAATCCCTTTAGCATGCATCTGACAAGACACCTGTTGCTGCTGTTGTGAAAACCACAACAAGGCTAAAGCAAGGCTTCTTGTTTTGTTTATTTGGGGTCTCATTGCCATAAATCAGTCAAGTGTTTGTCAGATATACATGTTTTCTTTCATTCATCATACCAGTTATGTCAGTATAATCAGTTTGAACATGATATATATAGAAGTCCAAACTAGTTTTTTTTTCTTTTTCTGGATGCCTCATGGTATTTCATGTGGCATTATGAAACTTATTCTTCATAGAACTGAAATAAAAAGATTAGTACTGAATTCAAAAATTACATCAAAGAAAATGAAGACACAGGGGTCACCTGTGAGAACTGTACTATCCATGTGATGGCTGAGCAGCATGGCTTCTAATAGCAGTGGCCAGCTTGGCATTAGTTCATGTTGGTTAGTGCTCACATGGCCCCACAAAAGACACCTTTGACCTTCTGTAGAATCTGCTGAGACAGACTGGGATCAAATGACTGTCCTGCCTGCCAAAAACTAAGTTTTGACAATTCTGATAAAGTTTTACCAAGTCACTACAAAATGTTAGACACACCCTCAACCTTTGACACTGATGAAACCTTTTAAAACTCTTTTAAGACATCAACCCTTTTTTTTTGTTTTTTTGAGTTGAAAACCTGAGCCTCTTTCAACTGTGTACTTAGACATAGTCAGGTTTTGTAACATGTTCGTGGTAGCATGACTTCACCGTAACTACTAATCTTTGCCCTCATTTCACTCGGCTCTCATCTCCGCTCTGCTTCACGTGTAAGGTTCTTTCAGTCCCCTGCCGGCGCTGCATCCTCTCACCAATCAGCAGAAATCAAACTCAGATCAGTTCCAGACAGTTTGGTAAGTTATACTCCAAACTAAGACATTCTGGTACACACCCTGCAACCACTAAATCGATGCTCTATAATGTACTTAAGTGAACTGTGACTGCTTAAAATAGCCAGACATTCAGTGTGAACCATCAAGTCTGGCCTTAACTTGTTGTTTGCCATTTTACAAAACAGAGGATGACCTTTTTGATCATGTCATTTCAGATCATCTCATTCACAACATTTGTGTGACATTTCTTTACAGAGTCAGTTCTATGTTTGATGCTTTCTTGCAGTTATGAAGCTTTAGATGTTTACTGTACCTGCACCACACACGTATTCATTTTGTCATAATATAGCTCATGACAAGCCCTTTCTTACAATTAAAGCAAATATCTTAAGAATAATTTACAATCTGACAGCAAAATCTTTAACATTTCAGGAAAATAATAAACCATGATAATAAATAAGCGTCACTCCTGGGATTCACGGTATTCTCTAAGGTTGACCATTGCTGTTCATGTTGGGATATATGATGTATTCAGATGCAGATGGGTTTCATCTCTTTTAACTAGTCCAGAGGTCTGTCAAAGCCAAAAACACTGGGAAATTCCCTAAAAACCTAAAATTCTTTTTTCACACCAAACTTTCTCTTCATCTCAATAATAATCACCACTGAGGTACAATCACACCACCTTCACAGTGTGTGTGTCTCCCTCTGCAGTGTCCACCTGACTCTCCGAGCTGTGGGACTTAGCCAGGATTAATCAGCAGAGATCACCACTTTTAGACTGGTAATTTTCAAGCCTGCGTGTGAAGTCCTGCAGCAACCTTCACAGGTCACCATGTAGTCCAACAATTCACTGTCTCTGTCTCATCTGTCTGTAAAAATACCAGCTCTCACTAATGATCCTTATTGAACAACTCATGATGAACAGACTTCCTAAAAGACTACCTCTATAACTGATGTTGTTTCACTGAACTGTTGCAGTGTTTCTTAACCTCAAATTGTGTCAAATCATGACAGTGATTTTGAGTTTTACAGAGACACTGACAGTGGGCTTATATGAACAGAAACAATTGTAAAATCAATTTTGTGCTGACCTCAGAAACATCACAAAAGAGACTCTTGAATTAAAAAAAAAACTGTGTCAACATTTCTCCTGTTATTTGTTGGTTAAGTGCATTCAAAAGACAATCTGTATCTGCACGTTGGTTTCCACATTAAAGGGCAATTATTAAATATGATTTGTACTAAATGACAAACAATAATATCGTTATTATAAAATCTTCCTGAAGACAAATGCTAATGTCAAGAAAGTTGGTGAAGTCATTCATGAGGTTAGACATGAACAACGTGATATTAATGCCTGCAAGGAGAATTTAGACATTTTGTAAGAGCTCTGCAGAGACTGGATGACAGTGTACTTGGCTGTATGTTTGCTGTCGTCACTGCAGGTAAGCAGTTGATCAGGGGATCAGAGAGGATTGTCGTCTTTAGTGCCATCGGCGAGCAAACCAACAGATCTTCTCTTTTTTCCTCTTTTGACATACATGCTATATGCATCAAATGCCCAGTGAAAACATCCCAAGACCACCCCAAAAATGCACAAATTAAATGCCCACCCTGTCATGAGCATGGCTGCAGGCTAAGAAAAGAGAAATCAGTCTTTCTCTCCCAGTGATCTGCTGATTGCTGCTCCCCCAGGGAGCATCTGACTATTATTAGCGGCCCTAATGGGCTTGAGGAGCATTAACCCTAGGGATTATTTGGCAGCTACCGACACATGAGGGCAAGACCGGTGGACATCAAGTGCTGGGCAGTAGAAAGAGAAAAGCTGTTCCTGGGTTGAGATGAGGCAGCCTGATATACAGCTGATTCCCAGAAGGGCAAGTATGTCAACAGAGTTTCTGCAACAACACTGAAACTGCTCAGCTCCCAGAAATACAGTATAGGGACAGAGTTTAGAATAAAAAGAACATGAGGCACACAAAAGTGCACGACACAGTTGGGTTTGTGTGAATGTGGACCTGGGGGAAAAGATACGTTTTATGTCAATAAGGGGTTCTTGTTTGGACTAGAGCAATTTTAAAAAGTTAAATACAGTTTTTGTTGGTCTGAGAAAAAATTAAAAATCTAACAAAGTATAACATTTGTAAAAAGAAAAACATTTGATAAAAATTAACAAGGCAAAATTTAGATAACCAAATATTTTTCTTTCTTTTTTTTTTTTTTGGATCGTATGCAGAGAATTAATGTATTTTACCCAATTGTACTGAGTGAAAGGACAGTCCTTTTTTAGAGCAGTATTTTCTTGTTTACAGCTGCCTAAGCATGAAAGGGGTGGGGTTTTAAAGCAGAGACAACCACACTGAAAGCAGGTGATAATGAGCTCATCTGTTACCTAAAACGTGAGAATCTCAACTGGCCCGAGTCTCAGTTATAAAAATAGTGAGATGATTGAAACTATTTAAGGAAATAATTTTTTCAAGTATCATTAAATGAAGACAAGAAAGTTAACCAGATGAAATTCATGTCACTAGATCTGTTACTATTCAAGCACTGTATACGCCCCTGAAGACCTGGTGATGGGTGATGTCACTATAGGGTAGAGGCAAGCTGCTCTAAGATCAGCCCACAGTAGTTTTAGCATATGTCACCTGAGAGCCGTATGAGATTACAACATCAGAGAGCAACAGATCTGACTCCAACTGCACACACAGAACATAAAAAACAGACAGAGGGATAAGTGTAAATGTTTATGTGTGCTCAACCTTAAACCCTGTTCAATCATGTGCCCATCATTTCTGTATGTGATCTATTTTTAAACACAGCAAGAGCATCACAATGGGTCCTCCAAGCTCATTTCAAAATGACAGTCCCCTAACATGGTTTCTCTAAAAACGTGAGGAAATGGGTTTGGTGGATGGGAGTTGATTGTTGAATGTGTTGCCATTAGGCCAACATCCTCTTAGTGTGACTGCAGAAGAGCCTTGCAGAAAACCAATGTTGCAGCCCTTAAATGATGCTGACATATTACTAATTCCCAGAACAGTTAACATCTTCCAACGTCTCATACTGGTGATTTCTTCACATTTTGACTGAATGTACAGAGAATAAGGAGGTTTGTGTAATCTATGTGAGAGTCAATTACCATCACAATCAGATGAAAAATAGAGGACAAACAACACTCAGAGCTACAAAGATCCTCCAGAGTCAAGAGGGCTCTCTCTGAATGTCAGGTCAATGACAGGAGCACTGAGGTTAAGGAGGTATATATAATTAACGTTTCTGGACCAAAGTGGCCCACGTTGATCTGCTACTCCTGGCCCACGGTTATCTTAATGGTGCAGAACAGTGTGTATTGGGGGTTCTCCATTTTATAATTTTCCGGTATATTTAAGGCATTTTAATGATCGCCAGCACAATTTCAAGCTCCTTATGTTGAGCTATGAGTACTTTGAAATCAAATTTGGTAATATTGTAACTAAGTAGCAGTTATTAGCCGATGAGCTACTCCTTGTTGCACTTGGTGAAAATAGCATCTTAACAGGATGAAACAAAGACAAACAAGCTCAGTCAATAATTTGACAACCTTGTCAGATTATGGTCTGGACTTGGTTGCTAAAAGTAGGGACTAACGACAAGGCCCATCCCTTGACTTATTCAGCGCCAGGAGGCCATAGTATTGCTCTGTGTCTGGCACTGTCCTAGCTACACAGGTGGCAAATTAAGACAAGTCTTATATCCTTCCAGAGGAGAATTCAGCAGGGTTTGGCTGCCTTACAGAGCTCTGTCTGTTCATCACTCTGTTTTAACACCCTATCTGACTTTTTTCACTTTCAGAAAAGGGGCCATATTGTTTTCAGGAAGCCTTGACAGGTTCACCTAAAGATGTCCTGATTTTAGCATAGACACAATGGCTAAACAGCTATCCAGTCAAGCCGGCCTAAAACATATGCCAAAAGTTGAAAAATGGCCAAGCCTGGCAAACTTGCAATTTGACCATGGCACATCAGTAAAAGAGCTGGATTGTTAATTTAGATTTGAAATATGGGATTGTGTTCCAAGTGGTCAATCATTAAATGAAATATGAGTGGATGGGTGGATGAACTAAAAGTTGGTAAGATTGTTGGGCAGATATTTACATGAATGGATGGATGTTTGGTTGGTTGGTTAGATAAATAGCTCAATTGATGGATAATTGTATTGATAGATAAACGAGTGGATGGACTGATTGACAGATGTATGAATGAACAGATGGATGGATGAACAAAATCGGGCTCACCCTTGGTGCACTCTCCAGCTCGTCCACTTGGTTGCCTCCGAGCAACCTCTTGATGAGAAGTTCAACCTTGGAGTTAAACTTCATGAATGTCACATAGCATGTGTAGCATAGCAGCAGGCTGATACTTTCTCCCAATGAAATTTCATTATCCAGAAAGAAATAGATGAGCATGAGCAAGCCAATGATATAGAAGGAGACGTCTCTGAACAGAGGCCACCAGGTGAGGTTCAGCACCTCTTTGGAGAATAGGGCGCACATCCCAATCACAAACAGGATATTGAAGACAGCAGAACCCACAATGGTACCAATACCTACATTACTGTGGGAGACGAAGACTCCTATGACGGAAGTGAAGAGTTCAGGGGCTGAGCCACCTGCTGCCATGAAGGTGGCTCCGGCTACATCATCAGAGATTTCCAGCTTCTCTGTGATGACCGTGAGTGCAGGAACAAAGAACTCATCACAGACAATAGCTAAGGCTATGAACATATACAACATGCCAAACATATGGAGCGCCACAAAGCCCTGGCGTCTTTCCTCCACAGTGAAGAGGTCCGTTGGATAGTCCCCATGATTCATCTCAATATCAGTTGATTTCATTGCTACTGGTGTGTCCTGAATTGAATCTGAAAGGTTGTGGTACTGTAAAAGTGTTCTTTGGGGTACTCCTGCCTCTGCTGAGCCCTCATCAGCTGACTCCAGATCCTTGGTCACCGTTGTGACCAGCGACAAGGCACTCCATGAACAGACTGTACAGACCACCGCCAAACTGATGACCAAGCCCAGAATCCGTCCAGGCCGCAGCTTTCTTCTGATGCTCTGGTATTGATGCCTGGTGCAGCTACTGCGATGCCCCAGAAGAGGTTCAGAGCTGGAGGGAGCCATCGTGCCTCGACTTCTTATGGGTAGCGTGAAATCCATGGTGTTTGGCGCAGGTTGGTAGGCAGAGTGGGTGAATCCCCCCCGAGCTGGGTTGGTGGATCTGTTGGCTACAAGGGCGGGGGTTCGACAGGCCGCGTCGGTTTACCGATTTGTTTGCATGCTGTTCCCCAATCTAAACACGATGGAAGCCTCCCAGTCTGATTCCAGGATCCAGCCCATTCAAAGGCTTCCTCATATTACTCTCTGCAACACAAGAAAAAAGGGATAGAAGTGTTATTGTAGAGAGGGCAAAAACATTGATGGGGCTGCACTTCATTTGTGATACCCCCCCACTGACAGGCCTTGTTAGCTGTAGAAAGTAATGATGAGTTCTTTAAGTGTAAAAATGTGCCAAAGTCTAGCTGAGAACGATGTGAGTCTCTCTTTGCTATCTGCCAACAGGAAGGTTTTCTGCATCACTGTTACCAAATGATAGCCAAAGTTTGCTGGTGATGAATTGATGTTTGGTCTCTGTTTAAAGAATTAAGAAAGGTACAGTCTAGACTTGCCTTTTTTCTTCAGTGTCTTGAGATAGCTTTTGATCCTATTGGTCGCTCTGGAAGCGGGTAGTTTAATTTGGTAAAAAGAGGCTAGGCCTAAAATTAGTTTGTCTGCCTATGCTTGTTCGGTCACCACTTAATTCATGACTGTTTAAAACGTCTGGAGAGTGGAAATTATTGTATTTAAATGATGGTTGGAAGAAATGCTACTAATATCACGACTACAACTAAATAAAAAAATAGTTGATTCATTGGAGTAAAATTGGTATACACTCAAAGATTACTCAAGAATTTCAACTTCCTGATGCTTTCTGACTCATCAAATACCTGCCAAAGAAAAGCTTATTCAAACAACAGCAAGTGTTTGCCCTATTTCTGATATTTTTGTTTTTTCTAAAATGTAAGAAAACCTTGAATAAACTTTCTGCAGTGATGTAAACCTTCAGAGAGGCTATTCTAACTTAGTTTCTAAACTTAGTAAAACTGCAGCTAATTTTTTAAAATGCTCCCAGAAGTTATGAAAGCTTTTGACCTGTGGTATGTTGATCAGATATGGGATTACATCGTCACAAAATTTCACAAAGAAAATTAATGATTATTATTATTTCACCACTTTTACTCAAAAGTGTTTTTTTTATATAAATAGCAATTGCTTGTTGGTTATCTTTATAACATAAAGATTAATTATTCAGAAAATAATCCAATTTGATTTTTTTGTGCAATAATCTCTCACATGTTCATGCAAATCTATAAATACCAATCAGCCAAAATGCTGTAGCCTTCTTGACATTGTGCTGAGAACCTGCAGTGACATCTCTCCTTTAAGTGAAGCAAGGACATTAGTGAAAGCTCATTAGGAAGCTATTTAATCCCTGAGAAGATATACTTAGATTAGCTTCAGGCCCTGCACACTGATGCCTCTGCACAATGTCAAATAGTAGACACCAACCGAATCATAAGTGAGTTTTACCAACAACAACAACAAATAAAACATGATTATTACAAACAGTGCCGATAAAACTGCACTGGGAGTGACAGCAATCTTGAAACATCATCTCACAAGTCCTCAACAATCCCTCGCAATCTGCTTTAGATCAACACATAATAAATGTATTATAATTATTCTGTAAAGAACTGAAAAACTAGTTTGCCTCATGCATGAAAACCCTTAAAACCAGACTGGACTGTACCAGGACAATACTGCAAAGACACACCACAGCTACACAAAAAGTCCACCAATATTTCTTTTTTCCTCATACCACACTTGGAAATCTCCCGTTGAGCAGGAAGGACTCCAGCAGACAGCAGGTCCAGAGCCTCCGAGTGAATATTCCAGTAAACGGAATCCCAACAGACAAGGGTCCAGCAGGCTAAAGGTCCCAACAATAAATCCTCAGTGAGATTTTCCTCTCTCAGCCGAAGTGGAGCTTCAAGACACCAGGACAGGAGCCGAGGACACGGGGCTCCTCCCTTCTTCTCAAGGTTCCTCCCCCCTTTGACACTGCCTACCTCCTAGTCACCCTGTCCACCTTTCCCCTTCTTGGCTTTTCTACCTCCATGTCCAAGAACAAGGATCAGTGCTATCTATCTCTGTCCATCATCCTTTCCTTCCTGACAGCCCCTCCTTCACACCTGACCCCTCCCTCATATAGTGATATGCATTATTTCACTTCACCCCAACACGTGGGCAAATGGGTTGTTACTCAAGGAGCTTACAGGTTGATGGGAAGGAGGCTGTGTCATCAGATCATGGTGCTGTTCATTAAGCCCCTGAAAAGTATCCTTAATACACCATGAGACCCACAGCAGCAGCAGCGGCAGCAGAAGAGATGCTGCAGGATATTTCTGTTTCAGAGAATTTTACAACTTTGTGTGTTAGAATGCCTGATAGTTTAGAATGGGGAAGGCTTATGAAACACTTGCTGAATAAGCTTCTGCGTGTCTTAATTTTGTCCCAAGTTGAACTGTTAGAGTGATTTTCTCTGTTATTTTGCAAACGGCAACTGATTGGTGAAAAAAAAAAAAACCCCCAAAAAAACCTAAAAGGTTAGTTTTAACTTTGTCATTCAAGTTTTGCAATCAGTCATTAGAAGTGACATCACCACATTCATTTTGCGCATGCCTGTAATTGGCTTTTAGTGCAACAGCTGCTCCAGGAGACAATCCTGCATCCATCACTTGCAGCAAAAGCACCTGCAGTCACCTGCTGATGTGGCTCTTGTTTAGTAGTTGACACAAGCCTTAAAAATTCAGTCACAGCTTATCAGGTAATAAACAGACCTCCTCAAACAGGCCATGCAATCAATTTTCCACTCAAATAGAATTTCCACTGAGTGGTGTGTCTGAGTGTTTTCTGTATTTGCACACAAAGGCAAGGCTTTGAGAACCGGAAGGTAAATTCAAGTGATGTGACTGCACAGCCCTTAGCAGGTGCCAGTGAAAGAGTGGTCAAGAAATACTGAGGGAGGGATATGTGATTGGAGAAGTGCAGCATTCAAGAAGTGAAAGACATGGTTGTCAAGAGTGAAGTGAGCATCAGCTACGTAACCGAGCTGGGATTAAATCCAACCAGACCTACCCATCACTTCTCACCTCCCCCTGCTCTTATCCAATTAAACAGGAGCATACTTAATGGAGTGGGTCGCTAACTTTCCCTTGCAAGCAAAATGTTGTTCTCAGTAGCTTACAGTTGGTCTGTTTCTCTGCCGATCAGGACCATTTCAAAGCTCCTTTACTCTCAAAGAGCAGGAGCAAGCTCAGTCAAAAGTTCTGCACAGGGGTTAAGATGATACAGGATCCCCTTTTTGCCATATGTTCACTTGAAGTCAAGATGACGAACAACTTACACACACACAGTGCAAAAGAAAAGTAATTCAGTAAAAGGTGTTACGTCTTTTTTTTGTATATACATTGACAGTTCAATATAAACCAGTTATCTGCTGTGAAATAATTAGGCAATGCTGCAGTGAAGGTGACACTGAAGAGGTGTTAGACCCGTAACCAGTAAGGGTTCTGTATTTGGGCCATAGCTGCTATATTAGGGGCTTTGTACGGTTCTGAAGAGGCTAAAGTTGTTACATAACAATTCAAGCCAACCTAACCCTCCTTGAAGGTATGCCAAGGTACACTGTCTTCAGAACTTGAAATAAAAATAAGTCTATTGACATGAAGAGCCTTTCATAACTTTGATTACGAAAAAAGCAGATTTAGTTTATGCGCCCCTTCTTTAAATTTGAATAGAGCTTGTAAGAGTCAACTTTATAACAGCTGGGGTTCCTGTTAAAAGGTGAAGTCAACGTAACAACTAACAAACTTTTTGCAAAGCCTCAGCCACGAGAGATGCAGAGACACACATGATTTTGAAGCAGACGGTAATTTGCATGGTCCATTATATCATTACATGTTTGTACTGCTTGGTGAGAGGAGGCTTTTCACAGGTTAGGTAGTGAAATCAGGTAGGGCGCTAGATGCCTGTTCCTCTGTGAAGCCAGGTTTAGCAGCAGCTTAGCGGCTAAAGCCTGTGCCTGAAATAACTGCTAAGTTGGACCCTCTGTCTGTGAGAAGGCTAGGCTCAGGTGATTCATGAGCTGTACTCCATAGATCTAAATGAATGAATTGAAAAAAAAAAGGATTAGTTTAGTGATCTCAAAGGTTAAACACTAGCTTAGCTCCGCCCTCAATGTAAACCACTAACAAACGAATCAATACTTTACTTCTACTTAACTAGAAGTTTGTTTAATCTCATACTAAGAGAAATAAGCTCATCTAAACTGCACATCTCTCTCTGTCTCTGTCTCTCTCCCTTTATTTATACATATATATATATATATATATATATATATATATATATATATATATATATATATATATATATATATATATATATATATATATATATATATATATATATATATATATAATATATGTATAAAGGGAGAGAGACGTTCCCCAGTTGGTACTCACTGTACCACAAGTATTACAACAGCTTTATTTGTTTCAAAAACTTTATCTTCGCACAATCATGAATCACTCCCACATATTAACGTTTTAGAAAATCCTAGCCTGAGCTTTGCAATAAAAAGTTTGTAACCTAAAAAGTTGTTGTTTTGCTAGGAAGAGATTAAATTTAAGAGAAAAAAAATATGGCCCTTAATTATCTTGCAGAGCAAATACATTTGTCTTGTCCTGCTGGGAACCTTATTCTTAGACTCCAGTGCCTTAAAAATGGTCAGAATTAGAGATGCTGAGTCATATTTGAATTTTTCAGATGACAAAGGGAGCCACATGCAGCCCAGAAATTTCTTTTCACAGTCTTAATCTATTTAGCTACTGTGGAGGTAGACAAATCTCAGATACAGAAAGTCATCCAACACAATTCACAGTCCTCTTTATCATTAATGTTTGGTATCATAAAAAAATGCCACAATAGCAACAACACAGCTGAAATTAGACACCCATGAGAGTGAGTATTTTTATACTCCTGTGTTTATATCCCAGGTATTTTTATAAGGTGCATGAAACTGTAGCACAGGATTCTAGGTACAAGACAAAGTTTCAAAGGGAAAACTTGTGAGGTTATGTTATTGGTTGTCTAATAAACCACAAGCTAAGGCAATAGTTAGTTGTGTTGTATTCTATAATCAGTTCTTACACAGCTGTAACCTCTTAGTTACTCAAAATGACAAACGTCCCCACATTTGAGTTTAAAAGCGAAACAAAGTCAGTGAAGTGAATTTGAATTTGTGATGTATTTGAATCCTCAGACCATGGGATTGGAGCGATTATTACCCTGTCTGATTTTTTCTAGCAGCTGAAGCCACATTTCAGTTCGTCTGGTTGGTGGCTGTCAGTGATAGAGATCATTATATCACCTGTCAAAAAGGCCGCTCTGCCTTAGTCCGTACAGCCGTGTAAGCAAGGGGCTTTGGACTTTACAGACAACTTTTCATAATCTTTGGGAAATCCTCTGATCCTGAATGGCAGAGTGGAATTAGGCCTGACCCCTTCAGCACACAAAAGGAGCTCAGTCCATAGAGTCCAGGCATGTTGGGAGAAAGAAACAACTTGCCTTTAACAGTAAATTAATGATTACTTGGTAAATCTGTCTGTGTCTGTTTATTCTGTACGTTTATTCTGACAATAATACTGAATACAATTTAATCCTATCTTCAACTGTTGGCTTGATTAATTGACATAAACTTTTCTATTTAAAGTTTGTTTTCCGCTGACATCTAAATATTAATATCATTATTAAGTTTTTTGCACAGCTCCATGTCAGCTGTGTTGGGACTAAAGATTAGAGACAAAAGAAACACAGCTCTCTCTAGTGGCTCAAGTGTGACAAGACTTATTTTTAGTTTTAAAAATAGCAAGAGATCAGGAGCTTTTCTAAAGCTGTCATCTTGATCTTCCCTCTTGATGATCCCTTCTCATGCAGATGCGGTTTACAGAAAACTAGCTGGACCTGTATCTGAGTCTCTGGAACCAAATTCATTTTGTAGATTTGGGTGTAAAAATACTTTACCATGCTAATTTTAAAACAGCAAGTAATGTATACTCATAGTGCAAATCTGTGCTCAAAATGTACTTTATATCTGTCACAGTGAACTGCAGTCAGTACAAATGGGTCACTCAGCTAATTTGAACGGTCCCATCAACACCTAAATATTGTTGCACAAAACAGGAGAACAAATGAGATACTTAGGCAATACTTTATTTAGATGAGTCATCGTCACATTCACACATATCAAATTGTCCTAACTAGAGGATGACTTTAATGCATGAACACGGAAGATGGCTGATTCAGAGCAAATATTGTGATTGTGACAGAACATTGGGAACTGTCAGCATTAAATAATGAAGTATGCACACAGGGCTTTAAATACACTTGACTGCACACTGACTGAATGACTGATTATTTTATTTGCATGTCTGGTTGTTTACATGAACCATTCCAGTAGCAGCTTCATTTCTATGATATGCACTTAATCTCCTCAGTTGAAGGCCAATGGTAGAAAAAATATCGCTGTACAACTTGGAGGATTATAATGTATTTCATGAAAGCCCTGATGGCCAGGATTCAATTTAATTGAAACGGCTCTTGGGGAATAAAAGAAAAATCTTTGGCACGGGAGAACTCTGAGGAGATGTTCTGAATCAGCTGTAATTTATGAAGACAAACCAAGAAATGAGCTCCAGTTATGTAAAAAAGTTGCACACCAGCAGTGACTTTAATGCAAGGAATACAGCACTTGATTTCTTTCTTTACTTTTTAAATGAAATGCCTTCCCTAACCCGTGCAATAACTCTCTACATACATCAACACTTGGCCTTCTTGCCGTACTTGTCCACCACCTCTGGCACGACGCTCTCGTCCTCCTTCACATCCTCCAGCACGGTCTTACCGACCAGTTCGTAGATGTCCTCAGCCGGGACGCCCATGGGTTCAGCCACCTTCACTGTCAGCATTGCCTCAGTCAGAGTGGTTCCTTTGGGGATGTTGGTCTTGGCCACCACTGACTTACCCAGCTGGAAAAGAAAAAATAGGGTGAAATTTAATACACATTATACTTATATTTCTGTGCATTTTCTCAGGGGAGGAGGTATCTAACCTTATCATGACAGGGCTTCTCACACGGTAACATCCGTTTGAGACCAGTCCCCAGCGACCTCTCTACCAGCCGGATGGCATGAACCAGGTCAGTAAGCTCCGAGGGCACCAGGGAGGCTTCGTGATCACTCCCTTTCCACGTCTTGTCCAGTGTAATGTGACGCTCCACAATCTTGGCTCCTAGAGCGACAGCTGCAACTGAGATATTGATCCCAGACTCATGGCCGGAGTATCCAATGGGAATATCTGGAAATTCCTTCTGATATTCCTGCATGTGACAAGTGGCCAAAGCAAGTGTAAGTGCTCTAGGAATAATACAGTCCTTAAGAAATTAAATATTTGCTATCTTGCCAAAATGAACCTCATAAAACTTATGCTGCAGTAATCCTCAGTCAAATTTACAGCACAACCAAGCTGTCAGTTTCCTTAGCTCAGCATACAGACCGGAAACAGGGGATACACTTAGCTTGACTTTATCTAATTGTGATGAAACCACCAATCAGCACCTCACTAAATCTTAAACTTGACTTATAATGTAACTGTGTGAAAATGTTGTCGAACAATATGCTGTCTCAAGGATATTTTAAGGATAAAATGATGCTTTCTTTTGAATATCTACATATTTAATAGTTGACTTCAAAACATTTCTTAATTTTCATAAAATTGTTCTTGGAAATGAACCTAATAAAGTGCACCTGAAGGCACCATGAAGAGTTTTTAACTAGATGAGAGTCAGCCTGAAACTGCTGCTGGTGTCTTAAATGACCTTCAAAAGCGAAAAAAAGAGCACTGGGTTTCAGACCAGATGATTGACAGCAAGCTTAAGAAACAGCCGCTTTGAACTTGTCCAGGACAAGTACTCGCAGTGAGTGATACATTTCACTGTTGAAAGACAACAGAATGAGTTATGTGTCTGAAGACAGTGTTTTCACATGCACAGGGCAAGCAACAAGAATGTCCAAAATAGCTTGAAACCACAGGTTTCTCACAGCAGGTTTAAGACCAGCACAGAGGTTAGAAAAAAGAGGGAAACAGCAAGCCTAGAGATGTCCAAACACAGGAAAATCTGTATACCAGTACATTTAAAGCTCATTATGTACACATTCTTCTTAGACTGATCTATTTATGAAAGTTTAATTTATAAAACAGTCAGCTTGGTTGAAAATACTTAAAGACAAGAGAGTGTTTGATCTGTGAAACTATTACACAGACACTGAAATAGAATATTTACCCAAATTTCTCACTAATCTTTTGGTCAAGTTTCACTTTGTGGGATTAATCCAGACTTAAAAACCGACACATAGAACAGGATTTGATACAGTTGTGGACTGGCGAGTTTATTTTGGCACTCCCTGTGGACAAGAATGTCCACAGGGAGTGCCAAAATAGCTTGAAACCACAGGTTACTCAAAGCAGGTTTAAGACTAACACAGAGGCATATAGAACAGGATTTGATTCAGTTGTGAACTTAGGAGTTTTGGTCCAGTGTAGTTATTTAGACAAAGTAATGTGTCATCTCTTTCTGTTTAATCTCATGTCTGGAAGTGTCTGAAATTGAGTCTTTTGTATCTCATGTCTTGAAAGACAAGCTATGAATCCTTTAAAAGAGAAACACAGTCTGCAAACATATAGATTGGCTGCTGTCATCTTCTCACCGCTATCACTCTGAGGTTGACATCTTCAGCTTCCAAAGGGTAGGCACTGGTGCACTGCAGGATGGCAAAGTTCTCATTGTGTTTCTTAACCGTTTTGTAGACTTGCCGCATTGTCTCCATAGACTGCATTCCGCTGGATACCACCATGGGTCGTCCTGAGACAGAACAGGTAAACATCATGTCTAACAGAGCTGTCCAATTCAACACCAGTAGACCAACATCCAAGATCACTTTTTCCCATTTATAGTTTTTCCCGATTAGCGTTACTGAACACTCTAGATTTTCCTGTAAGGTTTTGTGACCCAGCATATATGCTTTTATGTTACTCTCTAGACCTTATGCTCTTCCAATGCTCATTCATGCAACAAAACATGCATCTGATGGTTTTAAACATTGTACCTTTCTTTGCAGTCTTCTCCAAATAGGGGAAGTTGTTGGTGTCCCCAGAGCCCACTTTGAAGAAAGGCACATTGAGCTCATGAAGGAACTCCACTGCCATCTAAATACAGAAGAAGTTAAGGCTCTGTATATTAAATAAAATTTCAATGTTAAATTGTCATTAAACCTTAAATTTAAGTCTTTTTCTTACCTCATCCATCCCTGATGCTGTAAAGAAGATTCCCACCTCCTCTGCATATTTCTGCAGTTCCCTGTACTGCTCATGGTTGAACTCTAGGTGGCGCTTATGTTCGCCATAAGTTTTTCCCCAAGAGTTTTTAGAGGTGTATGGGCGCTCCAGGGCTCTCTTGTTAAATTTGAACTCTAATTCACTCTTTTGAAATTTGGCACAGTCCGCACCGCAGTCCTGTGAAAGGTGGATATGAGGAAAATTGAAAGAAAGGTTAAGCTTTGGTAACATAACAAAACTTTTTTTATTATTAACCTTCGGGATCCTTTAGATTCACATCATAAAGTATTTAAAAAAGCTCCTAATACTCCTGTTTACCCACAGTGAGGTTTCTGAAAGCTGGTTTTGAATTTGTTATAAGAGAGAAAATATTCAATGTGTAAAACAAAAAATTATCTCACAGGTTTTTTAATCACTTAGTGTTTTAATTGTTGTTCTTTTTTTCTACTCCATGACCTGAACATGCAAAAGGGTGAGATTTCCATGAGCATGTTAACCTCAACACATCTTTTCAATAATAATTATAATATATTTTATTTATAATGCGCTTTAATAAGGTGCTCAAAGACGCCTTACAAAGAAAAAGAAGAAAATAAAATAAGAAAAAAACACAATTTAAAATACAGATATTTTTGAGAAATAAAACCAACGATGTAAAGGGTTATATTATCTATCTATCTATCTATCTATCTATCTATCTATCTATCTATCTATCTATCTATCTATCTATATATATATATATATCAGTATATTGTTTCTTTTCACCTAAAGAAAAAATAAAATAAATAAAAAAAATTCTAGGCGTAAATGACCAAAACGTGGCACAGTAAACGACAAAAGAGTCTTCCAAAAGAATAAAGCCTAACTGAGTATGAGATATTTAATACTTAACACAGACTTAATTAGGAAAGGTTGGCTACAAGTCTAACCTGTTTACAGTGGCCAGCAAGACGTCAGAGACAAACCAAATACCATTCATAAATCTACACTTTTACAACATGTCTGTATATCTTATTACAAGAACCCAGACCAACTTACTAAGGCTTTAAGGCCTAAAATCTACAAACTCTAAACCTAAGATTGATTCCAGAAATACAGCCGAAAGAGACACGCGCTAAGTTTTTATTCCTCTCTATGAAATGATTCATATATAATGGGTGGTGGAGACACAAATATTAATTCAGCACTTTTTAAAACCGAGTTCTGACTGCATTCACTTCTTGCTGCGTTCAGACTGGTCTGAATAAGGATTAATGAAACGTATGTCGTCCACATTTAAGAGAACTCAATAAATGTTCATTTCCTTACCTTTGCCACCTTGATCATCTTCTTGGCTGTCTCTAAGTCTCCCTGATGATTTTGTCCAATTTCAGCAATGATGAAGCACGGATGGTTCCCTCCGATCATCCTGCCGGGACACAGCTCAAACTTTAGAGGCATTTTGTTCGTTAATACGGAAATATTCAATCAAAGAAAGTTAAAGTTGGTTTGCTCTGAGAAATGGACGGGTGGAGTGCGGCGAGTTGTGCCCAAGAAAGCCGACCGGATCAGTTACTGTGATGCACACTCAACCTGACGAGGACTTCCGCATTGACTGACGTAAGAACCGGATGTTGCAAAAAAAAAAAAAATAAATAAAAGCATAAACTCATTCCTTTAAATATGGTTTAAATGTGCTAGAAGATGTAGAAACACTCAGAAAATAACTTTCTAATACACCATTGATTGGCAATGATGTGCTAGCTTTTTTCCAGCCGTAACGGTCCACAAAACATGCCTCTAAAGGGTAAGTGCCCATGAGTAAACTATGAGCTTTTATTTTGAGGAGAAACACCTAAATGGTTTCTGTTGCCACAGACATTGACAAAACGAGAGAAACAGGGCCAGTACGAACAAAATCAGCAAAGGTTAACTGAATGCATATTACATTCCAGTAGTTGTGGTGTAAGTGTCTTATGTTAATGGCAGGTTGTGCCCAGGTTGTGCATGAGTATGTGTGAGTGGGGTTGAAGTGAATGTAGTTCAGGGGTTGGTGCTTTAGGGGGCAGGATGTGTGTGTTGGGTGTGGGCAGGATTTCAGAGCACTGTCAGTTGGGTGGTGGTTTCTGCAGGTGCTGTCTACATATTCCTTTATTAGGCTGCTAACCCCTCTGTATGTTTCCTTGCTGTAGATGGATACCCATGTGATTCTGCTTTTCTCAGATTATGATCGTCCAATGTAAACAGTAGCAGCTGACAGAACATCAACTATGAGATGCAGAGAAGATTGGCATTAAACATCAGGAAGTCTTAACTCTTTCTACAAACAAACAAACAAACAAACAAACAAACAAACAAACAAACAAACAAACAAGAGAGGAATACAGAAAAATGATGGGGACAACAGGCAGGAAGCTCCTATGCAAAGACTATGCAAACAAGGTTTTCTGGGTTTAAATGGCAAAATAAGGAGAAACAAGACTGTCAAGCATTGAGGGAATATCTAAGGTAGAAACTGTGGATGTGTTTGTGCCCCCTATAGTTTTATTCCTTCTCTGTCCTTACTTGCACAAGTAGGCCAAGTTGGATTATGCTGATCCTATACAGTATCAATGATAGATTGATAGAAAAATCAATGGAGAAGCTGACTGGAAAGAAGATTGAATAAAGTTATCTCTCTGAATATTTTCAGATGAAGGTTCTTTGAAAAGTAAGACAGAGATGTAGTGGGTGAATAGGGCAAGATACAGTTTCAGAATGAAGATAACGTGGAACGAAACAGGAGGATTGTCTTTGTCCGACCATAAAACACAAAAGGTTCAGTAACAGGGAAGTGAAATGATTTCAAATGGTTTGACTTTATCATCGATGAACAACTTATTATTGTGGTTTCTGAGCTTAGAAGAGTATTTGTGTGCAAAGATAAATGGCTGGAATTTTAAGTGGATGAATGCATCTCAATTCAAAAAGTCAAATTTAATGAGAAATCTCTCTTCGCTTTTGAGCTTTTCTTGCCGTAATCTTGTCTAGGTTGCTACAATCATCCTCAAGTCTAAAACGGTAGGTGGTTTTGTAGAGTGCAAATATATTGTGTACACAGTTATATAAATTTCAACACAGGATGCTATCTCTTTGATGTTTAAACATTTATTTATCAGTAACCTGGAATGACTTCGGGCCTTGACAGAACAAACATTAGCTCACATAGTTGTAAAATAAGTCTCAAAAAATCATAATAAAGCAGGCGTCAAAACGTGGGGGAATATGGCAATAACCCCAGATTTATTAGGAAGCTGTGTTTTACTTGTGGTTCATCCAACACCCATGAAAATAGTAAAAATAATTCTTAACAGCAAAAGAGATACCAAGTAAAACCTGATCACACATAATATATCAAATAAACCATGTTAAAAGATGAGCTACAGTAACCAGATCCCTGAATGGACTCTTTCAGTACGTTTACACATACAGTAGAGTCAAAATACATTAAGAGCCCGATTAGGCAATTTAACTGGACTACTGTCCTTGTCTCAGTTAACATGCACTGGACAAAAATCAAATCATTGACAGAAGCATCTCTGCATCTTCAGCTTGTTGCCAATGGGTTGTTTCTTAGGTTAACCCATAACGTATCAAAACAATCGACAGAAAATGTTAGCAAAAGGCGAACAGGTGAAACGAAGAGAACTTTTACAACTCTGTACCATGAGCACGATACAAAACTGTGATTTTTTATGTCCTTTTTTCATCAGTCCAGGTTATGTTCACTACCAGGCTTTCCAGCAAGGCATTTATGCACTTCAACTTCCAGCTCAGAGCCCAGCGTGTGGACATCGGAGCATGGGCAGAACACTGAGACCAGTTTCAGCCTGATTGAATTGAGTTGTATGAAGAGAAAATCAAACCCCAACCGCATAATCCAGGTATGTTAGTCTGACCATGATTATTTCCATTAAGCACCATTTCAGTTAAATAATAAATTAGTTTGATTGAGTTACATGTTAACGTACTGCTTGAGTTGCCAGCAGGTTAGACTTGTTGGTGAGCATTATCGGTGCCACGAATCTGAAATAGAGGCACGGCCCACAAATTCCAGCAAACAGAGAGCTGGTTTTTCTGGAATTTCTACTAAAAGCTTCCAAAGAACTACAGAGGATGGGCTCCCTCTCCTGCCTTGTTCTGAAAGTAGCTATACCTGATAGTATGTTGGTCATACTGGTCATAAAAGAGAACAATAAAAAGTTGAGTGCTGTAAAGTCATGCAGGCTTTGATATCATGGGACAAACACAGGCACAGTGCAGGCACGAGTTCCACAAAACCCTAGCAAAATGACCCTGAAAAGATAACAAAATTAAGCCTTGTCCTCATCCACATAACCATTTCAGTCCTCTGACTGTCTAGACTAACAGTAGGTGTATTCCTCTGTCCCTCCCTCATCACTCAATACTTGTCTTTTCTTACCTGGCACATTATGTTCTAGGCTACAGTTGAGTGGAGGATCCTAGTGACGACACAACAGAAAGCAAATTTTATGGTATTAATTCAACCAATCACAAGCTTCTATTTAAACCAACCCAGCTCAGGACTTGAACTTCTCCTCCCCTCGCTGGATGTGTATGCCGGCTCTGCCCTTCTCTCTTCCTCATTGTCTTCCACACTGCCTGCTGGCTGGCACATGCCCATCCTCCATTACTGAATACAGCTGAATCAAAGAGAGTAATTAAAAGACTAAAGCTCTTAGGAAAAAAAAAACTCTGCTGAGGACTATTTTGGGTGAGAATCTACAAAGCATCTGTGTTGTGCATACATCCACAAGTAAGTCACATGGCCTCATTTTCGCTCTCTACTCTCTTGTAAATATCATCTCAACATTTATGTTGCTCTTTTCCTTCTCTCTCTCATTATCTCTGCTTTATGCTGTCTGTTCTGTGTCATTGTCTTCCCTTCTCTGTGTGTTTCTTTTGATCCCACTGGCTGCTGGTGCTGATGTCAGAAATCACAGCGTGCTGATATACATTCAGCTCAAGCTGAGAGAAAAGGGGAGGCGGCAAACTGTCTGAACTTCTTTGTGGCCCATTGTGATCATAACATAACTCTGCACTATTAATAAGTTAAACCATCATTTAATTCTTAACTTTCTAACCCGAGCCTCATATCAAAAACAGGCCAACAATAAGACCACAAAGAACAAGGAAATTGACCTACATTGGTCCACTGACTGTTACTGGTATTTGGTACACTACAGATATCAGTCTCTTCTTCTTTAGACAATACTTCATTGTTGAGTGCACAATGGGAGAGATCATCACATTACAAGTTTTTAGGTCACAAGCCAGCAAGTAACACCCCCACACACTTTCTGACTGCACTAGAATCCATGTTATCCTCAGAGAGAAGAGCAAAACCACATTGACATTCAAAGAGGGCGGCTGCCTCTGATCAACTCAAACATGTTTGCTTTAGTAGTGAACACAAACGGTTCCCATACATGTACTGCAGTGTTTAATACAGAGTCAGGCATAACGGAAACACTTTATAATGCATTATAAGCACATTAACAAAGTCTTATGAATGCATCTATCATACTTTATAACAACTTTAATGAGTAATATAAATATTTATAACAGCTTTTGGCACCATTTACAAAGTGATATAGTGAACATAATACCTTACAAAGGGATGGTTCATAATGCATTATACTCTGACTTGATGAGCAGGTTTTTGGACTGTGGGAGAAAGCTGGAGTGAACATGCCATCTTCACACAGAGAGGCAACGCCACCATGCAAACCATTTTCTACTGATAACATATGATAGCAACAAATGCATGTGCTACAGCACTCGTTGCATTGTCTAATCAGTAAGGCTTTTGTCTAGACAGCTATATTTTGACTATAATGAACACAAGCTGGTAATATGACCCCTCTCAGATCAGTGTGTGTGTATGTGTGTTTTAATAAGTTTATATATTTGTTTAATTCCAAAGTCTTAATGATCTGAAATATCAACATTACTAAACCTGACCATTTTATTTTAATGCAGTGTAATCTGAGCTATCAATATGGAGTTGTTGTAGCAGTTAAGAATTAATGATATATCACTGAACTGAATACATGTAGCACCTTTTGTTTGCTCAGTTTTGCCCTTATTTAATGTGTGACTTCATTATAAGACCTGTGGGATTCGTAACTAAATAATAAGACCTCATCGGTTAATGCTGGTAACAGATCAAGCTGTTGATCCTCTGATTCTTCTGTTTGCCATATGCACAGAGGACATTAAGCAATAAAATTGTGCAAGAAAGCAATGAGATAGCTTTTTGTCTATCTGTCAATATTTGGTATGCAAATTGAAAAACGTCCAACCAATGTAACCAGGACACGAGGACAAGGATCACACAGATCACACAGCTACCCTAATTTGAAGGTGGTTGTGACCATAATTAGATGATTACAGTCCTTACAGGGAAACAAGTCAAGCAGGTATACATGAAAAGAAAGCTTAGGTGACAGACTTAGAGAAGTTATACTGACTACAACAAAAGATTGCTGTTGAGTACAATGGTAAGCAGCTCAGGAAGAAACGTGCTGCAGGGAGGTCAAAGAAAACTGGTTGAGGGTAAATGAGTTGACTGCAATGATGGAATGAGTTCAGATCAGGGTGACACGATTTAGTATATGAGGGGATATCTACCAAACGTTAATGCTGGTAATTGATTAATTTTAGAGGTCTCTGTACATAAGTCAGTGCTTTTCATTATTTTCAACACTTACAGGGAAATGATGGCAGTCTTCTTTGAACATTTTTAGTACCAAAAGGCCACGATCATACATTAGTGAGTCACCAGACAGCTGCATGTGTTTTGAAAAGGAGGATTATCAGTTCTTCCTTGAGTCAACCTAAGACTGTTACATGAGTCAGTTGGGTTTGATCAGTGTACCGAAGCTACTCGAACATTTCGTAAAATCCTCCAGCTGTCACGTCTCTCATGCTAACCGCTTATTCTCACCTTGCAAAATTATCCCATTTGCTTTAAAATGTTGAAGCATGTAGGCATCACTACTGTATCACTGCCATCGCTGACACAGCTCTCGTACCATTGTCCTAGTTTTTACGCACCTTGCCAATCTGTTGCAACTTGTCTTGTCTATGAGATTAGAGAGTCATCTTCGTGAGGAAGCTTCAGGATTATGATTATAATGCTAATAAGGGACACCACAGTTTGTTTTTCGTATAAGTCAGTTTGTAATTTCAACATTAAATCTTTGTATGCGGATGATGTCAAACTCTTACTGTATGGATAAGTTCCATAGACTGTATACATTAATACTATGATTATTAATGTACTAATGCTATTCTATATACAGTCTATGATAAATTCTTTTAGGCTGCATTTTGTACATACAGTAACTCCTATGAGTGTAAAGACAATAGAAAATATGCAGGTTTAACACAGCAATTAAATGACGTATAAACACAGCTGCCCAACCCAATGCCTTTTATAATGACTGACTATTATTGCATTGCCCCAGGCTCCACAGGTTCAACATTTATATAGGCATTTTGGTGTTAAGAGGCGGACTGTGGTTAACTAAGTTAGTAGTAGTAGTCTGTCATCTTGTAATCCAAAGGTTGGGCAGATGATAGACACAGAGGCAAATACACGCTGTTTATATACCACTTAGAATCACAAAGTTTTCCTGTTCGCTTCGCTGAATACAAAGGCATCAACCCTTTTTTTTTTGCCACAGCCAAGAAAAAAACTAAAATGAAATAAAATAAAATCTAAACTATTCAAATGAACAACAAAAAGAAAAACAATGTCAGTCATACTGATCAGACCAGGAAGTGGCCACTTTTTAACTTTTTAAGATTTGGTTATAAAAAGTAAATGCCCTCTGTTAAGACCAATTCTCCTCTGTCATGTGACCTGAGTGTGACCTTTGGTTTGTCGAGATGAGCACTGGAGCACATTCACCATCTATCCAGGAATATGTCAGCATTTGTTTCATATAAAACAAAACGTTTTCTGCTGTGGCTTTGTGGTGTGTTTGTATGCCACAGCATCTGGACATTTAGAAGGCTCAAGTGAGTGACTTCTGTAGATGAGTGTTTTAATGCATCTTTCTCTTGCTTGGTTTTTGAGGAGGTTCATTTACTGAGAGAGTGAAGAAGTGAGACAAGGAGGGAAACCATGGATGAGGAAACTCAGGTATGACTTTGTGACTTGTGTTGTGCCACATGAGGGAATTCATAGTTATTTTACATCTTGAGCCAGAATGTCTAAATTAACTAATGTGGGTTTGTGTGCGTCTGTGTGTGTTGGTAATATCTTTGTTTGGTGAAGTGTTGCAAAAAGTTGAAAGTGTGTGTGGCAACATGCAACAGAGCGGACTACTCTAAGCTGGCTCCTATCATGTTTGGGATCAAGTCCCACCCTGATGAGTTTGAACTTGAAGTCGTGGTGCTCGGCTCTCATCTCATTGATGACTACGGGTAAGACTACTCAACCAGATCTTCCTACAAAGCTTGTTTGGCCACTGTCATCTGCAACAGACCCCAAAGATGACAGCATTTTACTGCTGTTATTGCTTTGATAATTTTTATTTTCCCGTCTTTCTCCTCTGCAGAAACACATATCGTATGATCGAGCAAGATGAGTTTGACATCACATCTAAGATTCACAGCATTGTCAGAGGAGAGGACGAGGCAGCCATGGTGGAGAGTGTCGGTTTGGCACTTGTGAAACTCCCTGATATCTTACAGAGGCTGCGCCCTGATGTTTTGATCATCCATGGTGACCGTTTTGACACACTGGCAGTGGCCACCGCTGCGGCTCTTATGAACATTAGGATACTTCATGTGGAGGGAGGAGAGGTGAGGAAAGAAAATTGGGACAGAGACCCAAATCTGACTTTTTATAGTTTTACAAACTGTGTCATACCTTTTCTGACCTTAACCTTAAAATCTCACAACATGCAACAAGATATTAAAACAGGACACAACACAACCTTAATCAAGTAATTGACACAGACCTACAAAACTTATCTTCACACTGGTAGTTGAAGTTCTTGATTTGATCTCTGACTGTACGACCTTCTGGCATCTAAAAACTTCCATCCCTTGCTCTTCACTCCAGGTTAGTGGCACAATTGATGACTCAATCCGTCATGCCATCAGTAAATTGGCCCATTATCACGCCTGCTGCACGCGCACTGCAGAGCAGCATCTCATCGCCATGTGTGAGGACCACTCTCGCATCCTGCTGGCCGGTTGTCCTTCATATGACAAACTGCTGTCCACTCATCGGCGAGATGACTACATGGATGTGATCAGGAGCTGGCTGGGTATGTGAGGACAAACTCATGTGACATGTACAGTGTATGATGTGAGACTGTAGAGTTGTCTATATCTTGATTGTGGGATTTTCATTCATATTGCAGGTGACAAGGTGCAGGACCATGATTACATAGTGGCTTTGCAGCACCCGGTTACCACTGACATCCAGCACTCTATCAAGATTTACGGTCTGATGCTGGATGCTCTGATCTCCTTCAACAAAAAGACCCTGATCCTTTTCCCTAACGTTGATGCTGGTGAGTTCCACATACTGACCATCAATTTCACTAAATAATAAACAAATTTGACCCCGTGTGCGTTTATGTAAACAGGAAGTAAGGAAATGGTGCGTGTGTTGAGAAAGAAGGGCATCGAGCAGCACCCCAACTTCAGAGCAGTGAAGCACATTCCCTTTAAGGAGTTCATCCAGTTGGTGTGTCATGCTGGCTGCATGATTGGAAACAGCAGCTGTGGAGTACGAGAGGCCGGAGCCTTTGGCACACCTGTCGTTAACGTGGGATCACGACAAACGGGCAGAGAAACAGGTAGGTGTGAGTTAAAAAGCAACTGTAAGATGCCTCGGCAATAGTTTGAACCTTTACTTTTTCACCCTCAAAGCAGAAGATGGTAAAGATCATTGTGGTGAAGGCTTGGTGCAGCTCTCCGAACTTTGTTTTTAGAACTCTTAATAATTAAAGAAGTTTGCAAACTACGTGTAACCAAGGCTCAATTTTGAGAATAACACACCGTGGATGCACTCATGAGAACAAATGTCTTTATTAAATACATTTTATTGAAGCAGAGATCAGCCAAGAGGGCAGTCTTTTGATCTGTCATCTATTGTGAATGATTGTTGCTCTGAGAGAAAAGAAAATTCTTAAGTGTCGTGAACATTTTGTTCATTTTAAAAATGGATGTAGACTTTGGAAGTGAACCAAGCATCAGGTCACTGAATGAATGAACCTCTTATGACACCTGTCACTTCACCAGGTGAAAATGTTCTTCACGTCAGAGATGCTGACACACAAGACAAGATCTGCCACGCCCTACAGCTACAGTTTGGAAAGAGATACCCCTGGTAAAACCTGTTTTTTAATTATTGAAAACTATGCTTCAGAATGCAAAGCTACAATGGTGCTGTGAAAGAACATTGTGTCACTGTTTAACATAGTTATGTGTTTTTGAAAAGGGGTTGAATAAGGTAAACAAAGGCGTCTTCATGTCTTTCATCAGCTCTAAAGTTTACGGTGACGGCAACGCGGTGCCTCGTATTCTCAAGTTTTTGTGCTCCATTGACCTGAATGAGCCCCTCCAGAAGACTTTCCGTTTTCCCCCTGTGAGAGACTCCATCACCCAGGACATCGACCACATCCTGGAGACACAGGCGGCTCTTGTGGTTGACCTGGGAAGGACCAACCTCACAGTGGCTATCATCTGCCAAAGGGTAAACTGCATGGACTGTTATCGAGCTGTCTGTCTTGATAGTAGGATTGCAACTAATGACTTTTTTTTTACCATTACCATTTAACATTAGCTCTTATTTAGCTATCAGGGTCTGACTAAACCAATCAACAGATACAGTCTTTATTATTTCATCTTGAGTTGTAGCTGTCTAATTTAATTACAATAGAATTATGTTTCTATATTCAGTCTAATTCATCTTTAATTCTTAGAAACATGAAGATAAAATTATTCTAAAAGTGTTCTTTCCATCTTCTTCTATGCCTTCCTTTCCTTCGTCTCTGTTTAGGGTAAGATCATCAAGAGGTACAACGAGGCCAACCCACAGACACTAAAGGCCAGGATGCAGCTCTTATTAAAGATGTGTGTAAATGCCTCACAGGATGCCATCGGCCTCAACTGTAGATTAATTGGTGTTGGTAAGACTAAACAGATATTATCACTCAGTTAAATTGACAAAGTGTACTGAAACCCAATTCTCTAAAATCCTTTGCTATCCTGTGGGACTATTAAAGGAACATCTTATCTTATCTTATCTTATCTTATCTTAGGAGTGTCCACAGGTGGCCGTGTAAATCCCCAGGAGGGTGTGGTCCTTCACTCCACAAAGCTGATCCAGGAGTGGTCCTCTGTGGACCTGAGGACACCCATCTCTGACGCCTTGCACCTTCCTGTCTGGGTCGACAATGACGGCAACTGTGCTGCTCTGGCAGAGAGGAAGTTTGGTCACGGGAAGGGAGTGGAGAACTTTGTCACCGTCATCACAGGAACAGGTGGGAACACCAATGATTTAATAGGGAGTTGATTTATCAATAAATGTGCTCATCACAGGAATAAAAGCAAAACAGCAGGTGTTTTGTTGAGGTGACATTTCCACATCGAAATCAACCAGGATCATACCTTCCTTAGTTTTCCAGTGGGAGCCTTGAATCATGAGATTGTGGTTATAAATTGTCTTTTTTGGAAGAAATGATTGAGTGAATATTTTGTGTGCATGCAGGTATTGGAGGAGGGGTTATCCAACAGAATGAACTGGTCCACGGCAGTACTTTCTGTGCTGCAGAGCTGGGTCATGTTATAGTTTCAATGGACGGCCCCGAGTGTTCATGTGGCAGCAGAGGGTGCATAGAGACTTATTCATCATGCATGGCTCTGCAGAAAGAAGCTGAAAGACTACAGGAAGGTGAGACTTTCCCCCATTCTTAATGAGGAGTGCCCCTCCACCTAAGATCTCCAGGAGTCTACAAGATGTTTGATGTTTATTTTACAATCTCAAAACCCTGGTGGTGAGCAGGTGCTTCAGAGTAAACTGTATATCCTCATGATTTTCTTTTGTTCACTCATAGGAATCTTAAAGAATCTCTAACTTGTGGTTAATTTAAAGGGATATTCTGGCATAAAATTAATTTAGGGTCAAACACACCGTAGCACTGAGTTAGACACCGCCTCCAGAGATGAATGTTGCTGCTTCTCTGGTTATACTAACTTAAGTAACGACCACTCGATAGCAATACACAGCCGTCTGAGGAGCCATAAACAAACCTCAACCAAAAAGCCACTCTATTGCCACAAATAATGCTCAGAACAGCACCTAACTTCATCAACTGTACATGTAGGGTCCTAACCACAGCACTAGCCACCAAACATCTTTCTAGCTTTGCCTGATTTCTTTAGCAAAGAGACTAAACACAACTCACCTACTCTCCTCCAGCAGCTGCTTGTTTGTAGCTAGACTTTGGGCCAGTTCATTACGGACTGCTGCAGGGTGACACAGCTCAAGGAAGAACATTTCCGATCATTTCTTTATGGAAATGCAATCAGACCGAGATGCTAAGGCAGAAGAACTACCGTGTCTGCAGTGCAAAATGATTAATATGATGATGATGAAGAAGTGATCATAAATGTTCTTCCTTGAGCTGTGTCATGCCCGCAGCAGTCCGTAATGGACTGGCCCGAGGTCTCGCTACAAACAAGCGGCTGCTGGAAGAGAGTAGGTGAGTTGTGTTTAGTCTCTTTGCTAAAGAAATCAGGCAAAGTTAAAAAGATGTTTGGTGGCTATTGCTGTGGCTGGTGCCCTGCATGTACTGTCGATGAAGTTAGGTGCTGTTCTGAGCATTATTTGTGGCTGTTTTGGTTGAGGTTTGTGTGTGGCTCCTCAGACGGCTGTGTATTGCTATCGAGTGGTCGTTACTTAAGTTAGTATAACCAGAGAAGCAGCAACATTCATCTCTGGAGGGGGTGTCTAACTCTGTGTTACGGTGTGTTTGACCCTAACTTAATTTTATGCCGGAATATCCCTTTAAGTGTTTTTAGAATTTTCAGTGAATTTTGTTAAAATCCAGGAGGATGCAGAAAACTCAGTGAAGGAGCCACATTTTAGTTACATTAACTGGTGCTTAATAAACGTCACAGAGGGCTTTATACCGTCAGTCATCATTTATATGTTTTCATCTGCCTGTCCTCCAGAGGAGCAGCTTAAGGTGGAGGGGACGGATGAGTCAGTTACTGCTTTACATCTCATCAACGCAGCCAAACAAGGGAACTCCAGAGCTAAGGCTGTTCTCAATAAGGGTACGAGCACAAAGGAAAGACACACACATGCAAATTGTTGTTTGTTCCACTCCCACTGTAGACAAATCTGACAAACCTCCGGGAGTTAACAAGCTGCCATTACCACTCAAAACACCCACTCCATGACAGTCTATGTAACTTTACTTTCACTTATAAATAGATAATAAATGTCTAAGTGAAAGCAAAGTAAATAGTGTGGGATAATAAAATCAGCTGCTGACTGATTATTGTAACTAACTAACATCTTTCTCTCTACAGCGTCCACAGCTCTGGGTATGGGCATCATTAACATCATCCACTTAATGAACCCCTCTCTGGTGATTCTGTCAGGGGTCTTGGGCTCTTACTACCAGGCTCCAGTGCAGAGCATCATCTCTGAAAAAGCCCTCGCCTCTGCGCAGAAGGTCAAAGTTGTGGCATCACTCTTGGAGGAGCCTGCTTTACTCGGAGCAGCTAGCATGGTGTTAGACTACGCAACCAGGAGGATATATTAAAAGACATAAGCACTTCTTCAGTGAGACCGTTGACTGTATAAAGAATATATGAAGTCTGAGGGTGAGACTGCTGCCAACAAATGACCTCAAACCTGAAACTACTACTGTCCAGTGAGATACAAGAGCATATCTGAGGGATACTTTGTAAATGTATTATTGGAAGGCCTCACTGCACTTTTTTAAGTCATATGGTTTGTCCCTTCTCTATTTAAATCCTTTTCGTTTTTTATTTGTATTTTATCTAAAAATATACTTTTATTCCCACTTTTGTAAAAGACTTTCAGTGTTGGAGCTGGAAAAGAAAATGTGTTACATTTCTTGTCTTCTCATAAACACCATTATTGTGGTGCTGAGGAGAAACAAGTTTATTTTTTGATGGTTGTGGTTTTAACTTATCTGCCTCTTGACAACATGCAGCCAAATAGTTTAAAAGCAAGATTTCTTTTTGCTTTAAGAGATATTTTGTTTACATGTTTCATATGGGCAACTATCCAGTACTGTATGAATAACAACCAAAATATTAAATTTACATTTTCTTTGTTACTGTCTCTATTTGTATTTGTATCTACACAATGCTGCTTATATGTTGAAGCTACATCAAATACTGAAGAATTTCCACACGGATGTAAACTGAACCATTTCAGCTAGGACATGCTGTACTTTGATAAGGTAAACAAATTGTGTGGACCATAGGCTGTCATTGTGCAATTTAAAAGATAATTAGAGCAAAAGTATCCATTGAAGAGACATTTGCATTGGACTTTTCCTGATTCAACTTCTATCAAATTTCCCCTCCGGGATGAATAAAGTTATTTAATCTTTATGTTCAAAGGCAGAACAGCAGGATTGGTTTGTGGGTGATCTGAGAGGTTCTGAAATACTGCTGTCACAAAGTCTCACACAACAGAAGTCACTCTCTCAGTTGGTCAGCCTGAACTCGGTTTACAGCTTCTTTTTTGCTCTCCACTTCACACATACGTTTCTTCCTTTTCTCTTTTAGTCCACTGCACTCTCATCCACAAGATTTCCTTTCTGGCTGACAACAGCATGTCATACTTGCTGTCAAATCCATTCAATTGCGCAGTTATATTTACTATTCTCTCTGAGGTGTGCAGACCCAAACTACTCATCAGTGCACTGCAATTAACACTTTTGCATCTCCAAATAGAGCTAAAACAAGGTGGTTCTCCGAAAGCAAAGTGCTGAAACATTCCTAAAAGTAATGAACCAAATGTTGTAAAAATGAATGACAGGACAAGAGTTTTCTTTCAGGTTTTACTTATATTGAAATCAAATGGACAATGAATACGGATGGTCAAGCAACAGCTGGCTAACATCTATTTCTCTTTATAACCAGAACTTTCTAGTTGAAGTGACATAAACTTTTTGTTTACTGTATATATATTGCCTTCTGTATATGTACAAAGGTACACGCAAAGAGTACATACACACACTCAGCTGAGGTTTGAAACACACAGAGATGGGTCACATTTACTGTAATAACTGGACTTCAGTTCCTGACTGGAGAAGGGGGAGGCTTTTCAAAAGGAAATGCATAGATTGGAAAGTTTCACACAATATGCCACACGTGGGGTCAACACACACAGTATGTACACACACTGAATTTGGAGTTTTGTCTTTGAGTTTGGTCCTTAAAAAAAACAACAAAAAGAAAAGCTCTGAATAGAATTCTTTTTATGAGGATGACAGAATATGAGGTGATGTGTTGGAGGGTAAAATACGAACAATTACACATCAAACAAACCTGGTAGACTGGAGTAAGATTCATTAGATTTACAGCGTTATGGGAGTGATATTGTTTGAGGGCCGAGTAATCAGGTTGTAGTGTAGTTAGAGGCTCGAACAATCAGCCCTTCCCTTTTAGTGTCCCAACTCGCCATCCTCACTAAAGTATCACACAACTCCACAGACCTCGAGACCTAAGGTTGATCTACTAGGCATGATCTCTGTATGTTCGTCAAGGGAAGAGGAATTAAAAAGGTTTGGATGGTCTGTGGAAAAAGTGCAAACGGGAGAAAATGGTGAGCTGGTTCTTAAAGGATAATCTCTACAGCCGTGCCCAGAGGAGACAGATGAGGGCAGGATTTCCTTCCACAGGGCTGAGCATGGCAAACAGATACGGACAGAAAGGTTTTAATTCCCCTCGTCTTCACAATACAGATGCTGGGATTTCGGTAGTTGGGTTGGTGTATGATGAGAATGATATGGAATGATGCCCTGATCAGCCTCAGCTGCCTAGCGGACCAGTGGGGACTGCTTCAGGGAGATGAGGACGGATCGCATGCGGGATACGTCTTTAGCCTGCTTGCTGGACTTGGGGTTGAAATCGCAGAGCCGAGCCACCCGTTCCCACTCAGTGCCAGGGTTGTTTTCATCCAGATCTGAAATCATGGCCTCTTCAGCTGCCCTGCAAGCAACAAGGAAGAGGAGAAGACAGGAGGTGGAATAGAGAACAATCAGTAGAGGAAGAGGAACAGTAAAACCAAATGCACATACAGGCCCAGGGAAGTCCTCTGCTGGAAACCAACACATGCCAAGTTCTGGTTACAAATTTAGCCTGCAGTGCAGGTTACATTTAAAGATTCTTTGCTCATGAATTAATCAACAGATACGCCTTTTTTTGTTTTGGTAGGACTGTGTAGTTTCAGCAGAGTCCATCCCAGGGACAGTCCAATGACCACAGTGAACATCCATCTGTCTTTACATCAACAACGCGCAACAACAGTTTCATCATCCTAAAGCATGCCCCCATTTCTGCTAACTTGTTACCAGACAGTAAACCTGTTTGTCGACCCTGGACAACAGTGAAGGATGGGACAAATATACAGAACAAACAAACAAAGCAGAACTGAGTCACTGGAGCACTTTTGCTTGGTTAAAACTGCAGTTCTTTGCAGAACTGGGGAGGGGACTTTGCCCACACCATTGTACTTCAACTTGCCTTGTGGCTGCATATCTACAATGTTCTCTTGACTTTCAAAGACTCAAGCATAGAGATGAGCACATTTCTACACTTGTCCTTGATTCAAAAGGAACAATAACGGCAAGTTCGGTTTTCTCTTTTTAACCAAGCCCAAAAGAACTTGAAGCACTGCTGGGCCTAAGCCATGCACTGTGCTGCAGCTGAGAAGCAGGCTGTTTGGAATAGTGGCAAAAAAAAAAGAGTTTACCTTGAATTAATATGTAATAATTAGTTAATAGACCAATTGATGTCTTCCTAGTGAAGGCTGTGAGTTTAAAAAAGCAGCTATCAAACCCTAAAACAGACAAACTACAGGAGTTACGACAACGGCAAGAAACACAAAAAAAGTTTTAAAAAAAGAGACGAAAAATCTTAAAACTAAAAAACAAATCAGTGCAACTATCACAAGACACTCTGAGATGGAAGCCACATCTCAGGGCTACACAAAAGTAAACCCTCACCACACCCCTCCCACGATCATTGTCATATTTCCACCACCAGGGTTCCTCCCTATAAGGATATTTTCATTTTCCCCACCCAACCCACAACACAAACTTAGCCACTAACTAGGACTGAGAACACAGAGCAAAATGGGGATGAGACGCAAAGAAATATTTACAATCACAACCAACTACATTCAAACAAAGGAACTAAAAACGACCACAACATCACAGAAGGGACATCAAACCAGAACTCAAGCTAGGCAGAGGATTGAACTGTTGGAATAGCACACTAGCTATCTGTGCAAAGCTACTTTATCTAGAAAACACACACACACACACACGCACGAACACACACATACACATACAGACACTCACAAAACTGAATCCCCTGTCAGAAATATAAAGATATTTGGGGGTTCTGGGATTTTGTATTTTTACTTAACTGGTCTAGGCGGTAGCAAGGATGGTTAATGTGTGTGCTTTAAGGTGCATAGGAAAAGAAAACAGGGAGAAACAGTTTCACAAGTCAGAATTTAGAAGAGAGAGATAGAGAAGGGAGGGTACAAAATGAAAGACAACAAAAATGACCTCAATGCAGATGTTGAAAGCCAGCATGCAGAAGCAACATTTGTTTTCTTCAAACAGTTCTACAAAAAAAGACCAGCGTGCAGCCTCTGATTTGGTGAGTGAAGAATATATTCTTCTGGGGACGGTGGTACATAGTTCATTTCTATCAGTTATAAACATTTATCATTTTGACCGGAGATCTGTCATAAGATGAAGGTGTTACTTATTTCCCTGTATTCACAAACAATACGGCTCCCACTGTCTCCAGAGAAGAGATAATTCTCTTGTCACATTTGGTTGGTGTTTGTGTGGGAAGTGTTTGCACATCATTCGGTCCTGGACTATGTTTTAAATGTGACCCCTGCCGGTCCTGTAACAGACTTATACTGATGAGTTAAATGGGAAGAAGATGGCGTGAATCTGTGTTATTCTGGACCAGCACAGCAGTGCCTGAAGATCAAACACTAGTGTGGTATTAGCTCAATCCACAACAGTGAAACAAGATGCTGAATTAGAAGCGGGTTTAGCAGCTCAAGGAAGAACATTTATGATCATTACTTTATCATTTCCTTTGAGTAATAATCATCATATTAATCATTTTGCACTGCAGACGCAGTAGTTCTTCTGCCTTAGCATCTCGGTCTGATTGCATTTCCATGAAGTAATGATCATAAATGTTCTTCCTTGAGCTGCTAAACCCCGCTGCAGTCAGTGATGGGACTCTTCAGGGCTCACCCTGCAAACAGGCGGCTGCTGGAAGAGAGTAGGTGAGTTAAAGTTAAAAAGATGTTTGGTGGCTAGTGCTATGGCTTTGACCCTATATGTACTGTTGATGAAGTTAGGTGCTGCTCTGAGTATTATATGTGGCTATGGAGTGGTGTTTTGGTTGAGCATGTGGCTCTCTGTATTGCTATTGTGTGGTTGTTACTAAAGTTGGTATAACCAGAGAAGCAAGCGGTCGGCAACATTAATCTCTTGATGGGGCGTCTAACTTGGTGTTACAGTGTGTTTGACCCTAACTTAATTTTACGCCGGAATATCCCTTTTAAAGAAAATGTGCAGTTTCAAATGCATACATAATAATTTTTAAAAAATGAATCAAAAACTGTTCTTACTTCTCTATTCCTCAAAACAAAACTATTGAAAGGGGGAGGGGGCTTGGGTGCACCACAATGCAGGCTGATAGTGTTCCAATGTAATTTGAAGACCAAACCAAAGGCTGCACGTCTGAGGCTATAACTGGATAGCTAGCTGGGCAAATTAGCATGTTATTCTGTAAGAGAGCAGTAACTACAGAGCAGCTGATATTCTATCAAAAGCATGAAACAGTTCAGTTTGAAGCAGTTGTGTAACCATGACATGACTTGTAGTGTTAGCAATACTGAATATTGTGATGTTTGTATCCCTGAAGCCCGTCAGGACATCTGAGCTTCAGCTGGAGGTGATGTATATTTGGTGAGATGTATAACACTGAAACATCGATAGTGTCAGAGGGTATACGACATGGCTTTCAATTATGAAAAGTCTGTACCTCCTAACTTGAGGAGAAAATTAACACTGTTTGTCAGACCTTCGGCGATTATGTTTCGGCAACTGCAAATCTCAGCTCAGTTTCAAATGCGCGCAACTGGCCCTGAACCTCCAAAAACATGTCTGGAGAAGTCAGGGTGACAACTGTGGAGGACTCACTTAAAAGAGGATCAGAAGGAGGATCTACTACCAAGAGCAAAGTACCCCTTTCAGATAGTGTAGTAAAATCAGACATTACTTCTTAGGAAGTCTCGATGATACTTGCGCAATCACTGAATGTCACAACACACAAATGCTTCAAACATTTCAAGCTTCCTACTCCTGAGCAAAAAATCTGTGGGTTATCTGAGGCAAGATCATATTTTAAGAGACAACACTTTCTGTGAGTTCATATCATTATTAATATCAGCACATGTTAAATGCTCCAGATGTGTATCATGTATTTGCAGAGTGACCTACAGAAGTGAAATGATTGAACAGTACGGGGTTAAAATGACGATGGATAATGAACAAAATCACAGCCAAAAATAAATAATACATTTTAATATGAGGTGGCAGTATTTGTGTGTGCAGTGGCATGCAGTCATTCTGTTAACTGGAATATTCTGACGAGCATCAACTCACAAATGACATGCAGAGATGAGGGGAAAGTTATTACAGCGGTTTTCATTTGATTAAGAAAAATAAGCTCTACGACAAAAATCCATGTCAAGAATGAAAAGTTCAAACTGAACCCATGGAAACAAAATCTGGGAAGTTAACGAACGCCTACATTTATGAGATGGATATGATGTCGGTGTTTAAGTGCTGAGAGGTTGATGATGATGATGGAGAAAAGAAATGTACGAAAAATGACGAGGGAGGATGTTAGTTGGAGCAACATACACATAACCAATGAGCTCAGAGAAGGGCTGCTTGTAGAAGTCTTCATCCAGCACCCTGGACAAACATCCGCCCAAGCGACAGAGCAGCGAGAAGGCGGGAAGAGAGAGAGAGAGAGAGAGAGCGGTAAAAAGGAAAGGAGGATGGGAAACACAAGCATTATAGGTTACCACACATTTATGATGTTAAGACATATAATCAAAGGCTCGGAAGGACTTGTCAGCGTGTTTTTAAGTCTCTTGAGAGTCTCACCTCATTGTGTGAACGAAATCCTGTATCACAAGGCTCAAGTGATCTGTCCAACAGCATCAGCTCTTTACATTCGAAATACAAACTCAGATTAGAGAATAAAGAAGATTTTGCCGTAATTAACTAGGGATCAAGTCTGGAGACCTGCCGTTTTACTCAAGTGTTCAATGATATCCGTAAGGTTGATAGATTTATTGATTAGCTGATAAGGAGACATCCATTATTATGAAAAATAACTTATAGTTGAAGCACTAACTCTTGCATAGTCCTTGTACAATTTTTACCACAATTATTTTGTGCACTTCAGACCTTTTTAAAACCTGACTAACACAATTTTAGATGCCAAAAGCATTGAGAAAACCTCTTTGAAAGATGCCAGGTCTCTGGAAATCACTGTATTCACCACATCTTGAAGCTGTACATGCTGTGCATCTGTGATTGAATAATAGTTGCAAGGCTCAGGCGCACTGCTTTGTGCTCTGACTGCAAAAGCTCAACAAACATCTGGTTAATGTTAGGCCCATGGATTGGCAGTGAGAGCATGTTACTCAGATTTAGCTGCTCTGTACCTTAGACTTTCGAAATAAGTGTGTCAATAATGGTCAAGCAGGAGAAAAATTCCCTGATTGTGTAGTAAGTTAAGATTTGAATGCTAAAATATTTACAGTGCATGGACTTGTAACCATGCACTGACCAACACTCCTGTTTCTTATGATATAAATGGTACCAGACGATAAGAGGCACAGGCACAATAAGCATCTGCCTATTCCTCAAATTTTATAGCACATAATACTTCTGCTTCTCTGACTCATTCGATTCCTCCCCCTTATGTCCCTGTGAGGCTGGATGACTCCTCAGTGTATCCGTTATTCTTAAACATCAAAGTTTTAACACCAGTTTGAGGAAAAGCTGAATACATGAGGAGATTTAAAACAAAAGGCATTGACTTATTGGCTACCCTGAAAGCAGCTGAGCTAATTGGACCCAAACCTTTGGCCAAGGCATTTCATTCAGATTATTTCAACTGCTTCAATAGTCTGTTTTGACAAGGCTAAGCTACAGCTTAATCGTTTTCCCACTAAACTTTAAAGTACGATTTCCAAATTTAATACAGTAAGCAAATTTGCAATAGACTAAATGCAATTTAGGACTTTAATTTCCTTGTTTTTTAATCTAAGACACTTCTTGAGGAGCTTGGGGAACTTTCTCTTGGTGCCAGATCATTTGTGTGTCAGTTATTTTTCTGCATCGAGAAAAGATCATACATCACTGTGCTACTCTTTTCCACCAAACACAGAGCTGTCAGAGGAGTGAAAAGCTGTAGTTGCATGTAGTTTATTATTGATAGGGCTGCAGGGCCACATTACAATGCAGGAGACACTCAGATGGAAACTATGCCAGCCTGACTCTGTAGGATTGTGATTATAGGAATAAATCTAGAACTCCATAAAGCTGAACAGCAAGACAGATCAAAATATTAATCATAAAAGGAACCATAGAGCAAAGCACATTTGTACTTGTTGCAGAAGTTCAATGGCCAAGTTTCTGTCTAAGCACCAGATGCTTGAATACTTGTATGTGAGTTGTCGTTATCTTAGGTTATCTTTTTAAGTATCTCAGGTTGCCCCTTGAGAGAGGCTTGATCTCCCATTGCTGTAAAGTTATCTCATTACTTGAAGGTTCTTTTGGACACCAGCACATTGTCTGAAATCTGGAGGTTGAGGTGGATCTATTTCTTCTTCTGCAGCTAAACCTTGGTATCTGGTTACATGCCCTGTGGCTCAATCCCCGAAGGCTACTCTTATTTTGGGACTGTCTCCATATCATCAGTTTAGCTTTTTTGTGTTGGGTAACAACCGTAGATGTCTTTTTTTTAACTAATATTTTTGGTGGCAATGTTATCCCCTCTTCGCTTCCTTTATTCCTCATCTCTACCCCTCAATAGAAGCCAGTACCTGTTGTTGGTTTTGGTTTTCTCCAGCTGCTCGTTCTGCCTTGAGTGCCACTCCTCCAGCTCCACCTTAGCTTTCTCTTTCCACTCTGACTCCTGCTTGCGAGAGTTATCATCTGGGAAAGGAGATGAGTGATAAAGAATTAAAGAGATGTATGGAAGTGTCAACGACATGGAACTTTTTCACTAATGAACAGGGTAGGAATCACTGGAGGGGAATTAGTTGTTAGGGAATAACAGCTAGTTTTATCTCTAGCACTTGAAATGTATCCTATTGCTGATTTTATTTGTCTGACTGACCTAAGAACTGATCTGTGGAAGGAGAATATACTCTTGTCTGTGCTTACCTAGCAACTCCAGCCTCTCTCTCTGCTCCTCTCTCCACTTGCGTAGACTTTCAGGTTCCGCCTGCAGCCGATCTGCATTAGAAATAGCGGCATAGGCATCTGATGGACCGTTGCTTTCCTAAAACAAAAAGTGTCGTTGACATGTTGTGAAAACTTTTGACTTAATCTGACTCACACAAACTATAGTTTATTTAGCAAGTGCATTTAGAATCAGCAAGTGAACTCAGTGTTGTTGTCCTGAATCGAATATGTATATTTAGAAAATCTGTTTGAAGCTAAATGTCTGTTGAGACACTGTAGTAAAATCAAGTTTGGCTCACTGTGAGTTTTATCAGCTTAGCTTCTTCCAATGTCAGAAAGAAGTCCTGACTGTGCAGAATACTGACTGATGTTGCAATGAGCACAGGAAAAGGAAGTTGGAGTGGATGTAAGAGTCAGATATTAAAACCACTGCAGTTAGCACTAAAATCACACTGCTACAGTGCCAAGAGCTGTGTGTATTTCTTCACCTATCTGACTTCTTCTTTAGAGATGTGCTATGTTCTGCTAATGGCCAGTCAGCACCAGTCAGTGGATTGATAGCCAATCCGTGGAACTGCTCTTATAGAGAATTTTGTCATAAATTATAGAAATTAAGAATAAGAATAACTTTATTGATCCCCAAGGAGAAATTCAATTGTCTGTTATCTCACATAACATGTCTATAAAAGTTATCTATTATTTAAATAAGAGTTATAAAGTCTGATGGCTGTTGGTACAAAAAGATCTTCTGAATCTTTCTGTCCTACAGCGAAGAGAGGAGCCGTCCACCACCACTGGCCCTTTGGTCCATCAAGGTGTTGTGAAGTGGGTGATCCATGTTCTTCAGAAATTAATTTAAATTAGAGCCAAAATATGAAAATATGACCGAAGTTAAGGCAAACCCAACATTGCTTGAGGACGGGGACAGCACTGACAGAGGTCAAGGAAGAAACGTGATCACATGACAATGCTTTCCTCGCTCCTTAGAGTGTAGTGTGTTGGCTGGGATCACAAATGGATTTTTAAAAATTCCTCTAATTAACTTATAAAACACAGAAAAACAAGCTCAAAGACTTGAGATGTAGGTGAAAATGTATTACCCCATGAAGATCTCCATTGACAGTGCCGTCTGCAAAGACATAAGGGAAAATTATGAGCTGTACTTTATCAGATCAAAACCAAACAATCAAATTCAGGTCATTTTTCTAAAGGCAGGACCTTAACTCAATGTTTTCTCTTTACATACAAACACATGATACAACATGATATGTCAGCACTTGGGACCAGCTGCATATATTCAAACATTATGAATATCCAGCTTCAAGGAAACGCGACAGTCGTGATCAAAGGTCATTTTGCTTTATCGGATTCCTCCTCCTGCGACTGTAAGGTTTTCAGGAAAATAACATGTCGTGATGCCTGTAGGTAACATGACTGCAGCCTGAATGACAAGCTCTGTAAAAATGCAGCTTATGCTACCAGACAGCCTCATTCATTTATAACAAAGGAGCTAAAACCCTGTCCTATCTGTATTCTTTGATCGTTTCTTCCTCGTGCTTCCTGGTCACGCGTGTCAATATTAGATAACGTTTAAAACAGGTAGACGTTAACGTCAGATACTGGAAGCTAATCTGCTAACCCAGCTAACGTTAGCAGGATGACTGAATGGGCATCATTTCCTATGTCTTTAACGAAACAGATCGTACATTTTAAAAGGCAGTTTCATTGAAAAGCATTCCATTCTCTCACTTTAAAAAGACAACATTAATACTGTAGCGGGTAAAAGTGTCTTGGCTGAACCACAGCGGTCTCTCACCGTTCGTGTCCCCCAGCGATGAAGGCACCTCTCCGCCGTCCAGGATGCTGAAACCTTCGTCGTTTTCGATCCCCGCGATTTCACTCTCCTGCTGGGCCAAGAAAGCGGCAGCGGGGTCCTCTTCTGAGCCGACACCATTACCGGCAGAGGGGGCGTTGAGCATGTCAAAGTCGTCCATATTGTTTTAATTTGTAAATGGATAAATATCAGAAACCGTTAGCAGGTGTAGCGGCTGACCAAAACCGATTAGCTCAACGGGAAGAAGGACAACCTCCCCCAAATAGGAAAGCTTCACCCTCGGTAAACGGAGAATCATCCAATCACCGACAAGAGTTTTTGACGGACACTTCCCAGATCCAATCGCAGTATAGCTGCCTCAAGCTTTGACGAATCAAATCTTCAAACCCTCACGAATGCAGGTCCCATGACCCACTACGTGCTGTGCTGTCAAGAGCTGAGGCAAATCCGCAGTCTGTGATAAGGAGAAACTGGATGTCTGGAGATTTTCGTGATATTAGGGCTGTATTGTACTAATACTAATGATAAAACCAACCTTGTTTCTAACCTAATGATCTGTTAAAATAATAAGGGATCAGATTTTTATAGCGCCTTTTTATCAGTGACTTTAAAGCGCTTTACATTAGATACATCATTCATTCATTCATTCATTCATTCATTCACACACACACACAGTCACACCCTGGAGGTGGTGAACAACCTTAGTAGTCAGAGCTGCCCTGGGACAGACTGACGGAAACGACCTCCGATCACCACCACACAACACTCTCATTCATATACCACTTACTGCGGGTGTATATATTAGAGTATAATAACCCAGTACCTCAAAGTTAAGGAAGAATAAGAGAGAATAGGGAGTGTTAGTTGGGATAAAGGGGGCTTTACCAAGTGTAAAACTGCACATGCACATTTTTAAACATTTCACCTATCTTTTTTTCCAGCAGATAATCCTCAGCAGGGCTCTATGTGTGTTTTTTTTCTCTTCAATTTTGCCTCATCAGGTCTTGAGAACTCATTGTTCCATGTGATTCACCTCCATGTCAAACACAAGCTATCTCTCTTCACTCTGCTATAAAGCAGGCGAATCACCGGGGTAACATTTGTTGTGTCCCAAGTATAATGTCATGGTAAATTAATTATTAACAAAGGGCTCAGGTGACAATGATAAATGACTCACTGGACTCAAGGAACGCAGCATGGAGGAAATATTCACTTTGAACTCCCAGTGCTTGGAAATGCAAATCACCTCGCACAAGTAAATGTTTTCCCATCCGCACCTTATAACCAGAATATTAGAGACATTTCAAGGACGTGTATGCTATGTACAAAGGGCTATGAACTTCTCTGTATTTCAACTCACTATTTCTGGGTGTACATGAAACTTAAAATTGCTGAACACCAAAGAGAAAGGACAAAAAAAAAAAACTGTCAACATGTTTCTACAGATCATCCATATAATCTTTTGTTGAATAAATAACACTCATCCATGGGTATATTTAAAACCGTTGAATTTATTTGGACACACACCAAATTAAAAATTATTCCATTTCAAATGAACATAAAGCATGTACAGAGTAGCACAGACATATAAATAAAGGCGATATTTTCAGATAAAATATCTCAAGGCGGAAAAAAACTTCAGATGTCAGTTTTAAATGTGACAGATTTGTAATCATGAGATGTAAAAAACAAACAAACAAACAAACCAAAACTTTACCTGAAATCAGGTAAAAGATTCAGCCCCGGGTCCTTGTCATAGGGTAGCAGCCATGATTATTTCTTCAAATATATAGTCCAGTTGAGTGTTTTTACTCATTTTATTTAACTTTAAATAAACGGCTTCATAAACAAAAGCTCCTTTTTCTAACGGCACTTGTTTTCTCCCACAACCCTTAAATAATCATATGAATGACAATGGAAATGTTACATAAAAGGAAACTTTTATCCCAACACTGACTTTAAAATTTAAAACAAAAACATGTCAAAAAATTTGACAAAACAGAAAAAAAAATGGCATAATGCTGCACGAGAATGTTTGAGGAATATTTTGGTCACATATGAACCAAGCTTTCGGTATGACAGACTTTCATGTGACAAACAACAAAGAGGAAACTCTTTCAACAAGTTATTTTGGCTTTAAAGTGACTTTGCAGCTTGTGTAAAAACAAGCTTGATTTCACTTTGATAACATAGAAAAGAAAAATGGTGGGACATCCGACCCCTGCATTGGACCCACTCTGCAAAGGAGGTATAGCAGAGGTATAGATTATTTTAAAAAATATATTAAAATTATTGTTTGTCACTTAAACCTTTAAGGAGTATACCCTAGATAAGCTTCTGTATCTACCTGGGCAGTACTACTTTCAGTTTCGCAGCCTTGTATGTAGCAATCTCTAGCAAAAAGGACGTTATATCTTTTAATATGTCCTCCTGGTTGCGTAGTCTAACACCATGCTAGCTGCTCCGAGTAAAGCAGGCTCCTCTAAATGTGATACAGCAACCTTGATGTTCTGAGCGGAGATGAGGGCTTTCTCTGATATGATGCTCTGCACTGGAGCCTGGTAGTACGAGGCCAAGACCCCCGACAGAATCACCAGAGAGGGGTTCATCATGTGGAGGATGTTCACGATACCTGTACCCAGAGCTGTGGAGGCTGTAGGGGGTAAGAAGGAGACAAGTAGAAATTAAATTTCGGCTACTTTTATAACAACCTATATCACCTCACAGCCACTTCTGATCCATAGTTACATATCTCCATGATTCCTTTGCCTCGCTCTGATGCATACTACATTTCTGGCTTTTTGAAATAGTTTTTAACAGATTTTCCCTGTCACTGTGTGTGTCTTTAGTGCTCTTACCCTTATTAAGAACAGCTTCGGCTCTGGAGTTTCCCAGTTTGGCTGCATTGATGAGGTGTGCAGCAGTAATCGGCTCAGCCAGCTTCATATCCATCCCCTCCACCTTAAGCAGCTCCTCTGAAGGAAATAAGAGACAAAAACATGTAAATAACAGATGATGGTGTGAAGCCCAGTGAGATCTGTGAAGAGAAGCCATATTGGATCGTCAAAAATCCATGACTAGGTTTTGCCTAAATTTTTCTTTCTTTTTTTTTTTTTTTTTTAAATTATTTTTACCAAAGCTGGGGACACATCTGCTCATCTGTACACCATCCATAGACCTTTATGAATATAACGTGTTTGGATGAAATCTTTTCCTGGACTTGGATCTTGGGGACCCTTGCTATTGTGGTAGTAGGAGGGGCGGACTGCCTGACTTTCAACAGGTTTAAATGTTATGTTAACATCTGTTGATTTTGATTATTAGTGATGGACTGTCATCGAAGTTAGCATCTTTTTAAACAGACTAACTGAGCAGATGAACTGTACCCACTTTTGCTCTTGACAAAGTAACTTTATACAGTCGAGAAATACTTCAAGTAAAAGAACAACGGTTTCAAGTAGGTTGGTTCAGAAAAAACATCAGTGTTTAGTGTTAAGTTGGCTAATGGGCAAAAATTAACTTCTGAGTTCCTTAACTCAATCAATTTAATAAAGACACAATCCTTGAGATAATGTGGAAGTTTAACACTGAACCAAAGGCAGAACCTCTGCAGATGACAAAAATGATAAACATCTCACCATCGTGCAGCCTTTTGGCCTCTTTTTGCAGAGCCATGCCAGATGCGTAAGCCTCCACACACCCTCTGCCTCCACATGAACAGTCTGGACCGTCCAGTGAAACCACAATGTGACCCAGCTCTGCAGCACAGAAGGTACTGCCATGAACCAGCTCATTCTGATGAATGATGCCTCCTCCAACACCTGCATGCAAAGAAACAAATCATTAGAGCAACTTGTTAATTGGCTCTGACTCTACAGCTGCTGGTTTCTTTTTTTTACCACATAAGATAGTGATAAATGCTTTGTCCAAATGTACTTGGACACAAGAACTCACAGAACCAAGACTAAATAAATATCTTGAAAGGCCAACATGCGCAAAAGAAACAAACAAAAAAGGTCACTTGTTATTTTCCCAGAGTTAGCCTTCATAGTTTGCCAATTTTAAAAGCTTTGTGGAGACACAAACATCTGAAACTCGACAGTGTGTCATAATGTGGCTATCTTGTTATCTTGGGTTGACTAAATATAGCACAGGTCTGATGTTGAAAGCAAGCCAGTGACACCCTTTTCTTTCACGAAATACCTGCTTACGTCTCTCCCGTGAAAAATGTATGAATACCTCTTTGACAAATGACTAGATGACTTCATGACTGAAATTCCTCACCTGTTCCTGTGATGATGGTGACAAAGTTCTCCACTCCCTTCCCATGACCAAACTTCCTCTCTGCCAGAGCAGCACAGTTGCCGTCATTGTCAACCCAGACAGGAAGGTGCAAGGCGTCAGAGATGGGTGTCCTTAGGTCCACAGAGGACCACTCCTGGATTAGCTTTGTGGAGTGAAGGACCACACCCTCCTGGGGATTTACGCGGCCACCTGTGGACACTCCTGAGAAGCAGAGGGAGAGTTTTTAAATCACAGTTGGCGGATTCATGTAAATTTGACAGAGGGTGTGCTTTTTCTTACCAACACCGAGCAATCTACAGTTGAGGCAGACAGCGTCCCGTGTTGCATCTGCACATATTTTTAATAAAAGTTGCATCCTGGTTTCGTAGGTCTTTGGATTTGGCTGGACGTACTTCTTGATGACCTTACCCTGCAGAGAAAAAGAGGTAGCAGGGTGAGAGGGGGAAAGAAAACAGCTTATTGACTGCTGGAGCATGGAGGTCATATTAGACTAAAACACACTTAAAATACACTCTAGATACTATGACATACAATACAGTCCTGAATTACATTGTTAAGAGGCTAATGTGGAAGCTTGTTTCTGGCGGCTTTAACATATTTTTTAAAGTTTAACTGTTTTAATTTAACCCCATAGTACAACTAAAGGTTGATTGCAGAAATCGTTAAAAAAGGGAACAGTCTATACAGTTTACCCTCTGGCAGATGATAGCCACTCTGAGGTTGGTCCCTCCTAGGTCAATAGCCAGAGCCGCTTGTGTCTCCAGGATATGGTCGATGTCCTGGGAGATGGAGTCTCTCACAGGGGGAAAACAGAAAGTCTTCTGGAGGGGCTCATTCAGGTCAATGGAGCGCAACAACTTTAGAATACGAGGCACCGCGTTGCCGTCACCGTAGATTTTAGAGCTGATGGAATACAGAATTACACAAAAAAAAGCCTCATTATTATTATTTTTTTCATTATCATTTTTTTTTCTAGTATTTTAAAGTCGTGCTGTCCTGTTATCTTTTGTTAGATTGTTCTTGTATTGCCCTTTTCTTTTTTGTTTTATGTCGTCATTGCTACCATGTGGTTATTTTTCTTTCCCTCTTTCCTGAATTGTGAGCATTGTATAGTTATTTGTTTACTTTTTGTATACAAGTAAATGTCTACAACATATACAACATTTGCCACATGTGTACCTGCAATGTACGATATTAAAAAATCCAATAAAATATTAATCATAAAAAAACAATGTCACAGTACTGTTCATATCGTGTGTTAATTTGAAAAAGTTTGAGAATCCTCAATCTTTCTGAGCAGTCAGTCAAAATGACAAGTAAAAAGTGGGATCTGGTTTTAGAATTGTGATTATAAAACACAGTTGAGGTTTAGACTTGTGAAAATTAAAGTGGAGATACAAAATTGGGTCTTTTTCTAAATGGACCTCAAAATAAATAACTGGTCAGCCAGGAAAAGCTGGAACAACTGTTCTGTTAAAAACCAAAAGAGACAAACCTGTCTCTCCCACTTTGTCCCACTCACACTTCATGTTTGCCTGGTGAGTCAGTGGGCTTTCGAAAGTATTTGAGGGGAGTAACTTACACTTTGGACACTACTTGCTGTTATTTCACCAGATAATAACACCGAGCATTTTTTCCTTTATTCCAGTTAAAATGCTTTCGAAAAGGTTTTTCTTTTTTTGTAAATGAAAAAGGTCTACAGTTGAAACACTGGAGGATTGAAACACACAAAGCAGCACACAGGTCATACCAGGGGTATCGCTTTCCAAACTGAAGCTCCAGAGCATGGTAGACCTTGTTCTGAGAGTCTGCATCTCTGACATGTAACACATTTTCACCTAAAAGAAGAGGACATTTCAAGAGTATGATTGGTAAAGATGGAAAACCTGGACTAATCCATGACACCAAATAATCTTTGCTCTAACATATGATTAACTGATCAACAACAATCAATGGAAAACAGAAATGAAGATGCTCCTATTGTAGTCAAAACAACAAAGTTCTTTTCCTCTTTTTTCCAGAATTATTTGTTATTCTCATGAACTGAATATCTTAAACTGTTATCCTGCTTTACTGTTGGACTGGTATTTGAACATATTCAAGAAGGAGGGTTCATGACAATGTTTCAGCGCCATCTATGGGTCACAAACCAGGTCTTACATGCCATCAAATATTCAGACTGAAACGCTGTTTCATCAGAATCTGACAGCTGAGAAAGGCTGGTCTGTATGATTTCTTACATCCTTATGATAATAATCAAGAAAATGATATAATAATAAATAAGAATCTAAATAATAATAATTCCTTCCTGGTTTAAGGTTTTTTTTTTAAATCTATCTTTTTCTTTAAATGAAAACAACAACGATGTCTGCTGTCATTATAATCCAGTAGTCGAGCTTACACTCAGACTTTCCAGTGTCTTCAATTCTCACTTTGCAATACCCAAAGAAGCTCTTGATCAAGAACGTTGAATAACTTCAACAAAGCTTCGCTTTACTCCTTCAATATTTATTTTGGCTGAACCAGGAACATGGGTGTGGGAGCAGGTTCTAATCTTCATGTTTGCGGTCACACCTACCTGTTTCTCTGCCTGTTTGACGTGAGCCCAGGTTGATGACAGGTGTGCCAAAGGCGCCAGCCTCTCGTACTCCACAGCTGCTGTTTCCAATCATGCAGCCAGCATGACACACCAACTGGATGAACTGCTCAAAGGGAATGTGCTTCACTGCTCGGAAGTTAGGGTGCTGCTCGATGCCCTTCTTTCTCATCACACGCACCATTTCCTTGCTTCCTGTTAACATAAACGCACACAGGGATAAATGTGTTTATAATTTAGTGACACTGAAGGGAAACTTAATTAACTGAAAGGTCAGTATGTGGAACTCACCAGCATCAATGTTAGGGAAAAGGATCAGGGTCTTTTTGTTGAAGGAGATCAGAGCATCCAGCATCAGACCGTAAATCTTGATAGAGTGCTGGATGTCAGTGGTAACCGGGTGCTGCAAAGCCACTATGTAATCATGGTCCTGCACCTTGTCACCTGAAACATGAATGAACAACATCACAATCAAGATACAGACAACTTTACAGTCTCACATCATACACTGTACATGTCACATGAGTTTGTCTTCACATACCCAGCCAGCTCCTGATCACATCCATGTAGTCATCTCGCCGATGAGTGGACAGCAGTTTGTCATATGAAGGACAACCGGCCAGCAGGATGCGAGAGTGGTCCTCACACATGGCGATGAGATGCTGCTCTGCACTGTGTGTGCAGCAGGCGTGATAATGGGCCAATTTACTGATGGCATGACGGATTGAGTCATCAATTGTGCCACTAACCTGGAAAAGACACAAAAGCAAAAAGGATACTGTCACTTTTCATTTTTTGACATGAGCCTCAAAGTTTCTGCACACACAGATCAGATTGAACACCCTGACTCAACAAGTGGGGAAATAAGTGAAGCATCGGTTTTGAACTTTTGATCTCTGCCTCCTCACTGAATGGGCTGAATGATTAATTGAATTTGCGATTACATCGCAATATAATAATAAAAGGCGATTTTCTAACCGCAACGGCTGCGATTTGGACTGGTTGTGTGATCTGGTCACATGACATGCGAGCGGGCAGAGCAAAGCAGAGCAGGCAGGGAGATGAGTGAACGCTGGGCACTGTTGCACTATGGGCTAATGCTCGACTGAAGCTGACACTGCAGAAAGTTTCGTACCAAAGAGGGGTAGCATGGCAGTTGTGTGAATTTATTTTGACTAAAAGAAGATGCTGCTGCACAACGTGTGCAGAACCTGCCGTGCTACTGTTGCTACATCAGGAGGTAACACTACTAACCTTTATCGGCACTTAAAAAAACACAACAAAGTCATGTACGATAGTTGAACGGCTTAAACACCAGCGACCAGAGCTTCAACTTTAAACTACATCTGCATAACGACGGAAAATGTATCAATACAGTGATGGCAGCACAGCTGAATGAAAAGTCCAGACTTCAGTGTTTTGGGCACCAATAACATCACGTAAATTTGTATTATAATTTATATGAGGACCTTCAAATAATAATTGCATATTCAATCGCAACCGCAATATTGAGGGAAAAAAAATCGCGATTAGATCATTTACCAAAATGGTTCAGCCCTACTCCTCACCTCTCCTCCTTCCAGGTGAAGTATCCTAATGTTCATGAGAGCTGCAGCAGTAGCTAGAGCCAGTGCATCAAATCGGTCACCGTGTACAACCAGGATGTCCGGGCGCAGCCTCTGTAGGACATCAGGCAGCTTCACAAGTGCCAAACCGACACTCTCCACCATGGCTGCCTCGTCCTCTCCTCTCACGATGGTGTGGAGTTTGGATGTGATGTCAAAGTCATCCTGCTCGATCATACGGAAAGTGTTTCTGCGGAGGAGAAAGAAGGAAAGAAACAAAGTACAGAGGGAGAGTTTAATTGATGGAGTTTTACTGTCAAAACCAGATGTATTGATAACTGTAACAAGCTTATTTCAAAGATGCTGTCATTCTGCTGGTCTTACCCGTAATCATCGATGAGATGAGAGCCGAGCACCACGACTTCCAGTTCAAACTCATCAGGGTGGGACTTGATCCCAAACATGATAGGAGCCAGCTTAGAGTAGTCCGCTCTGTTGCATGTTGCCACACACACCCTCAACTTTCTCCGACACTTCACCAAATAAAGATATTACCAACACACACAGAAAGACAGAAAGTTGATTAGATTTGTTTTACCTCAGACCATTCCTCTCTACAAACTCTCCACAGCTGTTTTCTTTCATTACAGATATGATCTAAATATTAAGTCGATGCTCTAAATCAAGTTTCATCTCCAGATGCAGCTCCTACCCGATTTTGCTCGTCCATGTTTTTCCTTTCCATCTTGTCTCTGCTCCTTTGTGTTTTCAGATAGTAGAGCTCCTAGAAAACAAAATGGAAGAAGAAAAAAAAAAAAAGGGGTGAGGGCCTGTGACGTGTTTGTTGGGCTTTATGTTATCCTTTAATTTCAGGACAAACCTACCACAGTTTATACTCACTTGGGCCTTCCAAATATTCAGATGCTGTTGCATGAAAACACAACAAAGCTACACTAAAGATGTTTTGTATTTACATTTAACAAAACATGCTAACCCGACAGATTTTCTATAGGTGAAAAAAAAAAACATGCTGCAGTGCTTTGCATAGCGGGGCAGAGGTAGGTCACACTCACACCTGGGACACCTCTGTCACATGACAGAAGGAAAGTGCTCTTAGACGATAAGGAACTGAGTAGTTGTTGGTTTGTTTGGTTTAGCCAGAGAGAAGAGATTAAAAACAGCTTTAATGGTGTCAAGATAGATTAGAAGTGAAAACGGAAGTCAACATGTCACCATCAGATCTAACAGACAAAGTTTTACCAGCTCACATCGCTTTTATTTTGACTTTAAAATGAAGAAAAAATCCCATCTCCGATCTGTAGTCAGCTGTTAATGACTTTTGTGTTGACACATAATACAAAAGGTTTGGCTCCAGAGGGAAGAGTGTAGAGAAACTGTCTTTACTGGGTGTTTATCAGCTGTCCAGATGCTGCTGCTGCTGCTGCAGGAGGACTGTCTTCACAGGAACTTCACACTAACGTACATCTCCTGTTGCACCACGATAAGTCTTGAAACCAGCTTCCTTTAACTCTAATACATGTCCGCAATCTGTCGTTTCTGTTTCAGGTAGAATCTAAGTACACGTAAGTATTGCAGTTTTTTGTTTTACAATTTTTAAATTGATTTTTTTGTTTAAAAATTGATTTTTTTTTCCTTTTCAAATTTAAGAATAAATCTTAATGGGGGGGAAATACGGTTCCTGGAATAGTCAGTAGACAATCATAATCATTCAACTGTTTCACTGGTGTAAAAAAAATGCAGACTAAAAATCGAGAAAATTGACAATATCGTAGAATCGCAATTTAAGTTGAATCGGCATCCAAAAAAATCGTGGAAGAATCTAATCGGGAAGAAAAGCATATCATCCCAGCCCTAAAGTACTGGTACTACTACAGGAACAATACTGTCCTTTCTCATTGCTCCTCTGAGCAGCTGCAGTCTTTACTTGTCTTTCGATGATGCAGTAGTTATCATACTGTGGATTTACAAATATTATCATTACCTCGTGAGATTTTTTTTTTTTTCGTCCCAATATTTCAATGCATTTTTTCCAAATACTTGACAGCAGCATTTCTTAACACTACTGGATAAACAGGTGTGTGTGTGGTAACAGTAACATCAGAAAATGCTGCGCTCTCATCAGGACTGAAGACCCTGAAGGCTCCAGCAACATCGCTGCAGTCGAAAGATAGTCTACAAGAAACGAAAACTTGCCCTCCACTGTGTCAGACACGTGCCGACACCTTTTCAATGGAGGCTCAAGTAAATGAGAACACACCACAAACACACACACACACACACACACACCTGTGTTTAATTTGGAGAAATCCTAGTGTGTGCATGTGTGTGTACTGTAAATATAAAAGCCGATGTTGCAGGTCAGGAGGACGTCAGATTCCACAGCGGATTGAGTGTTAGGAATTTACAACCCCCTGAGGTCAGATTAGTCTACTGAGTGAGATTTCTCTGTTTCACTCCTTTGCTCTCCGGGAAAAGGAACGAAGGGTCATTGACATGAAAATGAACAACAAACAAAGACATTTTTGAAAAAGAGAGTTCCCACTTTGGCACTGAGGACAAATTCTTCACATTCATCATGTGGTAATTGATCTGAAACTAGGATCCAAATCATGCCCGCTTTCAAATCTAAAGAGAAATTCCACTTGTTCACACTTTTATTCCAGACCCAAACTAAATGAAGGGAGCGGGGTGTGTGCTGCTCTGAAAGACAGGAAAATTCCCTCGGAAAATATTCAGCCCCTTGTTAACAGGAGGACCGTAGAGCGTCATGTGGATTCAGCTGCTTTAAGAATGCTGCCATATTCATGAGATCAGAACACAGCCCAACTTCATTCAAAGACACAAATCAGGACTCCTGTCAGCATCTACAGCCTGGTCTTGAATATTCACACCAGTATTACAATGATGGTCATGTCAAGAACAGCTCAGGCCTGAGTCTGAGTGTCATGATGATGCTGTGTAACAGTAAGACACAGGGTGAACCAGATCTACAAGGCTAACAAGTATGTCCACCTATACTACAAAGGGTGACATAAGAGGCTAAACAAGGACAACTCATACTAACTCCACGAAATTGATTCTCACAAGTATCATGATTTTTTGTTTTACAATTTCATAATTTACAACCGAATCGGGGAGGAAAGCATATCGTCCCAGTCCAAATGTTTATAATGTCTTCCTGTTTACTTCCTCACATTAACGTCCAAAGACAAAAGGGTGCAAACTGTGGAGAACATTTCGCCCATTCAAAACTCACTGAGGCATACACATACAAGAGAAAATCTCCCTCCAGCTGAATCATCTAAGTTAGTCCAACATGCTGCAATTTCAGTTGGACTACCCGGTTTAAGTTGGACTGACACGATGAAGCAAATATTTCACATTTAAAAATGCTATTATGTGATGTAATTACAAACATACTGTTTCAGCTGTTAGAGAAGAACAAAAGGTCCAAAATGGCAAAAAAAAAAATTGTATCATGATGCCAATAACGTGGCTGTTTTTTTTGCAGAGTGGCATGCAGCCTCCAAACCACACATCCTGTGTTTGCTTAAAAACACAGTGACAAAGTTTTTCAGACTCAGCGTGCTATATTCAGTGTCTTTACTGGTATAAATAAACATGTGTTTTCTTTGAGGGAATGACCTCTCTATATAAGACTTACGTGATGTTCGTGCTTTGCAGACGCACCTTTGCTCTTTAAGGAAATGTCATGTGATTTCATGGCCTTCTACAAAAGTTCAGTTTCTTTTTTTACCCAGGGGATACTGCAGTGAACAGATTTGTTTTTTTGCCAAACACGTTAAACTGAAACTCGTATTAGCTCTCCGCTCTGTGTTACTCCTTGATTAACTGAACAAATTGAAAATCAAACACCCATAAAACCCAAGCTGAGCCCGCATGGCTTTATTTTTTGAAGTTATTTGTAGGTCAGACGGCAGAGAAAGACCAGAGGTCAGGTTCAACACTGCCAAACTTCAGTCTTAACTCTTTAACTGTTTGTTCACATCACTCAGTTGGTCACAATGATTGGAAAAACAGTGAGAATACGACTTTTACCAAGAACAAGGTCCTAATAGGAATCAGCGGGTTAATAATGCTGATTTTAGTCCACAGTCTCATCTCTACATTTCACTGATAATTCATTAAGAAACACCTCATGATCACAGCAGTCCACAATAACATGCACAGATGCTGCCTGCCACTCTGTACCACAAGTTTTGGTCTCAGTTTCGCTTTGAGAGCTTAGGGCCAATGAGAGTAAAGCAACGTGTCTTTATTTGTAAATGTTCACCTCATCGACAGTTTTACTTCATTCGCTGATACGTTTATCATCAAACGGAAATGATCTCAGGGATTATGAAAGCGTTTCTCAACTTTCCCTCATGTTAATGTTGACTTAAACGCTTTTGAGGATATATAATCAAAACACTGAATTAACAGTTCCTTGGTGAAACTGATAAACTGAGTGTGTCCCCAAAGAGGCGGCTTTTGCCTTTCAGTTTCAGCTCTGTTGAATCAAGTTTTTTCACAAAAATCCTGAGGTTCATCATCTCCGTCAACAGCACTTTAGTTTTGCTCACCCTGAAATCAAAGGACTCAGAGATGAGGTGTTGTCAGATTACGACAGTAGCTCAGCGTCTCTTTCTCAAACTCTTATTTGTCAACTTCGATTCAAAAGCTTCAGGCCTGAATCCTCGCTGCTTTAACCTGATTTCCATTCAGCACAGTGTGACTTCAAGCATCACAAGACAGCATCAGCAGCCAGTGTGATGGTACAGGGGGGTGGGGACGCATGCAGAAAGCAGAGGGAGGGATGACACAGCAACGTAAGGAAACAAGGCAATCTATGCAGACATAATCAAACTGAGGGGCTGATGATGAAGAGTGAGAGAGACAGGAGTGGAGGACATGAAGATGAAAGATGAAAACACAGAAGAAGAAGGAGGAGGAGGAGGAAAAGACAGAGAGAGACCATCTGACTCACATGAGGGTTAACGAAGAAAGAACCCGGATGCTTTTCCATCCCACGTTTTCTGCAGATTCTCCACTAAAATCACCCTCTTCTGTTAATGTTTTCCTCTTTTCTAAGGAATCCCTTTATCCTTTTATCGCTCTCTTGAGCTCGGCTGCTACTGGAAATGTAGGCACGGCATGCGCGAGCCAGCAAGCAGCGAGAGGAGAGAAAGGAAGCAAGGGAGGAAGGGTGACATACACATAGAGCCGGGGGGAGGGGCTGTGAAGGAGACGGGGCCGGGTGGTTTGGATTCGAGCTTGTGATTGGCTGAATATTTCCCATTTAAAAAAAAAAAAAAAAAAGGAAGAGGGGGCTATTTCGTCATGAGGGTTCCAACTTAAAGTGTCACTTCATTCCTGGATCCCGGGGCTGAACTCCACCCTCAGCTTCATTTTGAAATGACTTAAATGTTCCAGAGTAAAGTGTGTGAAGCTTAAGTTTTACACTTGCACTAAATGAAAGGCTTCACCATTACTCAGAAAGTCCCACTAAAACATCACATTATTCAGATCTGCAGCCCACTGAATACAGTTAATGACAGATTGAGCACTTTTTAGACCATTAAATTGTAATTTATACACATTTTTTTATTGTGGTATCAGAGAGGGGCTTCGTATTTATAAATACTCAGATGTCTACAACACTTTTTGGTGTTCACAGGAAACACCAACATGCAGAATTAACCAGCACTTTGCTCCCAAACTTAAATTAACTTTTATTTTATTATTATTTTCTTTTTTAACAGTGAATCTACTCCTAATAACAGAACATTTCCCACAGGAATGACACACACAACTTTTCAACTGCAAAAGTCCTCAGTGAACGAACTCCACTCTCTGTATGTACCACCGTGTGGGGGTCTTCCTGCCACTTCCCTCAGCTGGAATAACCTGTTGCTGCTCAGGTGTCCAGCTGGTTTCCTCCCCCCACTTGACTCGCTGCTGTCAGTTTGTTCAGGTTTATGTTATCACTGCAAAGTCAGCCTTAAAACGGTTATTCTTCGCTTATTTGTCTTTAATAAACTCAGCTTTCTATCAGCCTCTCCCAGCCCATCTTTAGACATGGGTGTAACAATGAAAAATGCTAAAAAAAATCCAGTGGGTCCAGTCTAAAAACACCAAAAATATGGATGTTAAGCAAGACAGAGTTCTATTTTGGGAGGGGTTTGGCGAGAAAAGATGTCATAGATAAGTCATAAGTATTTTTTTGTCGATCTGAACTTTGTTGAACGAAAAGATAGTCATGGTTATACCAAAAAACTGTTTCGTTAATCATCCCAGGAACAATCAGCCTCTGTCCAGACCTCTACACTCCCACAAACCAACACAGATAAGCACAAACAGAGTCACAGTTGAACATTGGCCTCAACTTTACCAACAGACCACCATCTGCAAACCTTTATCTGATTGGTAGGAACTGTCTGAGCCCCTGACTGCTTTAAATAGCTTACCTAGATCAGACACAGCTGAGGTCGGAGGTCATGTAATAACAGGGCAATAAAATCGATGCAACCAACTGCAGTTTGCCAGGTTTCTCGTTCATTCTGTTTATTTAGGGGGTTCAGGGACCTAAAGGCTTCTAGTTTCCTCTTTAACCAAAGTAGTTCAAGGTGAGCAGGATTTTATCTTCCAGAATCTTAATTCCTGGAAAACTGAAAATAAACAATTAAAAAGTAGATTAAGGGAATGATGATATCTTTATGGACACATGGCGGCCCCTTATAGATTACTTTCCTAAAGGTCTACGTGAAACTATCCGGAGGAGAAACGGTGGTTTAGGAGGTCCCAGACTAAGCTGACTGGTGATAAAAAAATACTTTTTGACAAGGACATACACTACAGGCCAAAAGTTTGGAAGCAAGGCCATTACAGGCCGAAAAGTTGGGAGTAACTTCAAGTTTTTGTTCACAATGCTTTTTAAAAAAAAATCCAGCATGAGTTTTACGTATTTTGGGATGTATTTACTCCATGATCAGATGTTGCTTTCATGGAAATGCACCATTTTACTCCATTTACCTTTAGATATACATTGATGTTAACAGACCATTGCTAAATATATGTCAGCAAAAGATAATAAGGGCTTAGTTTTAGAGTTGAAAACATTGACAAGAGTCACAACTTCAGTGCAAAAGCAAAAAAACAAATCACAGTTGGATTATTCACTTCAACTTTTTGGCTTTTGAGAGTCTGCATACAAAAATCCTGATAAATCTCAACTGCGTTCAAACTACCACAAAAATGGCTAGAAAGAAGCAACTGAGTAAAGAAACAAAAGTACAGATTTGTACATTGAGGAAAGAAGGATACACAGAAAGAGAAATTGCAAAACGCCTAAAGGTGTTTAACAAAGGAGCCCACTACACTCTGAAGAGACTAGAGGAACCTGGAAGTTATGATGACAGAAAAAGACCTGGATGAAAGAGAGTTACTACAAAAGCAGAGGATAAACATAGCATTGTCACCAGTAAGAGAGATCGGCGAAAGACAACACCACAAATAAGGGAGGAAATCAACATGACAAGGTCGAAACCAAGATCTCTGACAACCGTGAAATGATGTTTGAGAAAGGCTGGTCTGAAGGGTTGTGTATCTGCAAAAAAACACTACTTCGTCCACAGAACAAGAAAAAGAGATTTAAGTGGGCAAAAGCTCACAAAAATTGGACTTACGATGACTAGAAACAAGTTTGCACTGTTTGGTTCAAAATGCAGAGTCTATGTCCGCAGACAAACTTTTCTGGTCCAAGTTTTATCAGTCGGTCTTCCTGTCAGCGTGAGGAGCAGTAGCCTACAGTATACCTACAGTATATTTGTATTTTTTATAACTTCATAAAAAATGTTTTAAAAATCGGCCGATTAATCAGTAATATGACCCCCCCTAATAATCGGTATCGGCATCAGCCCCAAAAAATCCATATCGGTCGGGCCCTAATTAAGACCTTAGCATCTTTAATACTGAGGGCTGCTGCTCTGTCTAAATGGATAACTTTCAGCTGGAAATCTACAGTCATGATAATTCTGCTGATGTAGGACGATTTACATTCACATCTCTCAAGATCTCAACTTGCTGCATTACAGTTTAAGAAATTTTGCAATTTTAATGGCCGATAATTATTGGAAGATATTTTAAAGACAAAATTCACATTTCATCGTGTTGCACATTTAAGTGACGAGGAACTGCTTCTGTCTTTATCTGATGGCAATTGTACAAAAGCAGGTCATCTTAACCTGTCTTCTCTGGGGCATGTTCACCTCAGTCAAACAGGTAACAATGCAAAATACAGATACATACTGTAGCACAATCCTATGACAGTCACATGTCAGGAGACATGAGACCATTGTGTAATGTTCAGAGTGTATACCTGTGTTCAAAGTAAGGATATGGCAATGCTGGCAACACCCTAGCATACCACCTGCATTAAAACAATGCGGACATCCTGGTTTGCAAAGGTTAAGTATACCATGTCAGACTAAACCAAACACAGACAGATCCCACAGTCTGTTCACAGTCACTTCACTATGATGAAACCACCGGCCTATTTTAACTTTAAACTTTAATTTTTACTTTAAAAGTAAAGTGTGGGTTTGCTTTAAAATCAAAGCCATACAATTTAATCACAATAAACCTGTTCACCAGGATAACTGACTCTTAAGTAGTTTAGATTAACAACCCAATGAAATCATAGTTCCTAAATCAAAAATCCTTATGTAAACACAGAATGATGTCTAATTTTTCTTCTCTTGTATTTCATTGTTGAACCTTAAACTGGTATATGTGCCTTACTGATACTTTGCAGACATGGCTTTCAGATTATACAACGAGAGGTATCAGGATAGCGCCCGTCTATTAATGAAATGCTGCCATCTAATGCCTCTAACAAGGAGGAAAACACCGTCCACCAACACTGGTGTCCAATGGCGCCACCCTCCGAGCGGCTGCACTGCCCCTCACAGCTCCGAGTTTAGCTCTGTAAAGTTATGCTAGGATCTGCGAGCCTGCGAGTATTCAGGAGAGGAATAGCGCCATGTGTACAACCATTATAGAAACACCAACGCGCGACACAACAAGCAGAGTATTCTAAAAGGTATCAGGAATTCTCCTCAAGTACAGGCTGAGCTCACGGTGCGCAACGTTAACTGTTAAAGTTGGCTAACGTTAGCCGGGAAGGGTACCTCACCTCACAGTTGGCTCAAGTTTTCAGTCCATGTTTTAATACCGTTTAACTGATCCGTCAAAAGGTATAGATTATTACCTCGAGTTATCAAGTGGAACTGTCCTCATGTCACGCTGAAAACATGTAAGGCTCACAGAGACTTTTCTCTCTTCTGCTGTCGGTTACCTGTGTGTACAATCCACCGCTTTAAGGCATCAGGACAACCAACGTAGCGTGCTCGTTTCGTCAAGTTTACGGAAATGACTGTACGGCTGCGAGACCAAGACCGGAAATGTAACCTTCAGAATAAAACCCCCAAAGTAACAAAAGTTTTTTTTTTTTTTTAAGAAATTTGCTAAAAATCTACTAAAATAATTAAACTTTTATGAGTGTATTTTCTCACTAGCCCCACTCTTCCAAACAGCCTTTTTTAAAGCACGACAATACATTTGGAGTCATCAACATGTTGTTATATATACTATAGCGACATATATACTATATTTAGCTCCTTATCAAAGATATCTAACCACTGTCAAGCATAACTGAAGCCGCCTACAATGCTTATGTTGCCTTTAGTCTAAGATGCAAAAAATGTGTTGCCCCACTATATTTTTATTTTACAGACTTGCTTTTATGTGATGCTGTCTTTTATCTTTTTTTTTTCTTTAATCTCTTTTACCTCTATCTTATTTTGACTTACTATCCTTTTAGCCTTTGTTTTACTTATAATCTTTTTATTTTACCTTTTAGGTCCTTAATTGATTTTATTGTCTTTTCCTGCTCATTTTTATCATTCCATTTTATCATTAATATTACCATCATTATTATTTTATTATGATTTTATTATCATTATTAATATCCTCTTTTATACTTACTATCCTGTTACCTGCTTTCTGCTCCCCTTTTCTATTTCATTTCTTCTTCTTACCTATTTTATGTTTTTATTTTGGTCCTCATGGTCTCATTTTATGTTGTAGGGTTCTTGTATTGCCTTGGTTTCCTATGAAAAATTAAATTGGCCTTCAATTCGGAGGCCTTGTTTTTAACTGAGCTTTCAAAAGGAATCACTTTAATTCATACAGTATTGACATGTTTACATTAACAGTAAAGATCCAAACGCAAAATTTTTAACACATGGGAAAATCCCCTCAATGGGCCATTTGAGATGACTTTTTTGTATTAAAATTAGCCCTTATTCCAGTTTTTCTAAAGTAACGATTAAGAATTCAAACTTTCTCGAGCAAAGCAGTTTCTTTTTTGTAGCCTACTTTACTTTAGCTATTTACTTTAAAAAAATATGGTACGCTGCACACTTTGTACCTCAAAAGTACTGAAAAAGTCTCAATGTGCAATTTTTTAATTGCACAATTTGTATCTATTTATCTAGCTTTCTATTTATTGATGAATTATTATTATTATTATTATAAATACATAACTAAATAAATGTATTATTATTATTATTATTATTATTATTATTATTTTATTAAAGACACCACTCTCGTTCCACCAGCTATGTACAGAGTTTGTCAAGCCTTTATATTGTAGATCCTGGGCGGAAGTGATACAGCTGTATTTTATACAGCCTTGTGTCATCACGCTGCGGCACACCTTCAAAACCTGCCGACCCTGCTTTAGTGTGTTAGTAAGTCGGGAATTCATAAATATCATACCTGCTGAGCAGGTTGTGCAGGTTGTGCTTGCCAAGACCAAAAACATTTTAGTATTTGTGAAAGCAGGCCAGCCCACAGGTGACACTTGACCTTAGAGTAGATCAATTACAGCATCCATTCATATTAGGCTAAAGGCTACAGAGCCATCAACAGTAGTAACCTAAAATTATCTTTCACAGTCACTCCACAGCTGTAGCGGAAGTAACAGTGTTTTATCTGAGCTGCAACCCCCATAACAGGCTGCTATTTTATAACTGTGCTGCATTGCAGGGCTATTTCCCCCACAACCATGGCTGTGGTTGCATAAGAACTAATGGCATGATGATAGTTTAGAGGAAACCCTGAGAGGCAGAAGTGGGTGGAGGAGGCCTGGGTGGGCTTTGCCACAAGACAAAAAGAAAAAGTTAGAAAAAAGTTAGTGGAAGCACTGAGGGTTGAAATGGAGAGTGAAGCAGAAAGAAAGCAAGAGCAGGGTAGATAGCAGTGTGCTGACAGATTGATCGTTGGGAGGCTAACCAGAGTTTGGGGAGGAGGGGAGTGAGTCACAGGGAGGAGGAATGTGTGTGTATGTGTGTGTGTAGCGCAGTAGGACGTGCACAGGGACTGAAATGCACTTGTTTTATCCCCCCCTCACCCCCACCCCCACCCCCACTCCTCTCCTCCTTCCACTCAGCTCTGAGATTTCACAAAAGCACTTTTATATCACACTGTGTCTTGTTTTGGTTTGTATGTCTATGTGAGTGTCCAGGGGGAAATGCAGGGAAACAGTGGAGCGTGGCGGGGTCTGGCACTTTGAGTAGCTGCTTTTAACAGTGATGTTGTACTGCAGGGCTGGCTGCTGTCTCAGCAACATGACAGACCGGCTTTCATTCATTCAAACTGAGGTTTTCTTATGCAAAATGTCATGTATTATCCATGGGAGTTTTCCTCCTGCACATGAACCCTATTTACTGTGTTTCACTGCTGCGGGTCTCTGTCAAGGTCCAAGACTGACCATTTCTCCTTTCTATCCGTTGTGGATAATCAGTTCATCACAGAGGTATTTGTGCACACATAACCTGGGTTCCTTGTAAAGGCGATATGATTCGAATTTGTTTCAGCAGCATAAGCTCCAATGAGGAGTTTTTTTTTTTACTACTATTTTTTATTTATTTATCAAATTCATATTACTGCCTTTTCATGACATCCAAAGCAAACAAGACCAAAAGTGACATGACTGATGGTCTGTAACTCATAGCTTCCAATGCCTGAAACAGGTGCGAGGGGATAGGCGTCAGCTAAGAAATTGAAGAAAAGGCTCAATTTTTACAATTTCTACAAAAAAAAAGTTCAATAAATGATATGTTGTTCTGTCCAGAGTCAGCAGGATGAGATTTTTTTTGGTCAAAAGTTTCTACTCAAACATTTAGAGACACAAACTGAAGGAGCAGAGCCCCATATATAAAATGACACTATCTTATGATACTGAGCACATAGTAGCACCTATGAGTTACGGTAAAATGTATCAGTTATAATGATCACTACCGGGTAGACTGCAAGGGAGATGAAGTGCAGCTTTTTTAAGGTTATTACCTGCTTGATGCCACAGATTTGTAAGCTTTTGTTGCTGTGGGCATAGAGAGCAGGACAAAATCTGTGCACTGATGGTTGAATTTTCCCATTTAGTTGTTTACCATTTCTCAAAAGTACTACATCCGCCTGACTTTATTCGCTTATCTGTCTTGGTTCATGATTCTACTTGAAAATTGGTGTTTATTAAAACGTGCACGTTGCAGTCTAAGCTTTCCCATCCAGTATGTGTTGAATAAGTTTCTGCTAGGACAGAAAAAAGTGAAGGCACTGAAAACTTGAAACAGTGTTGAAGTGGGTGTATCCTACTGCACTCATTTCGGCTGATTTATGAAACAACATGCGGTTAAAGCTGCATTAAATCATCAAATTAAAATTGAGCAATATATGTTGTAAAAGTGAGAGTGATTTGTGACATGACCGTGAAGGCACAGGCTCTCAGGTCAGAGTGGTATTTACACAACACTCACCAGGAGGCCGGGAGGCAAACCTGTTTCCCACATCCAAAGCATACACTTAAGCATTGAGCTATATGTATGACTGAGCAGTAAAATGTGTATTGTAAAATGTATTTTGTGTTTCGCAAAATGTGTTTTTGAAATGTTTTTGTGTTTTGAGAAATGTTTTTGTGTTTTGGGAAATGTTTTTGTGTTTTCGAAATGTTTTCGTGTTTTGAGAAATGTTCTTGTGTTTTGGGAAATGTTTTTGTGTTTTCGAAATGTTTTTGTGTTTTGAGAAATGTTTTTGTGTTTTGGGAAATGTTTTTGTGTTTTCAAAATGTTTTTGTGTTTTCAAAATGTTTTCGTGTTTTGAGAAATGTTGTGTTTTCTAAATGTTGTTGTATTTTGCGAAATGTTGTTGTGTTTTCAAAATGTCGTTGTGTTTTCAAAATTGTTTTTGTGTTTTGCGAAATGTTTTTTTTGTTTTGCACTTCAGGGCCACCGTAAATCTCTGAAAAAACCAAACCATCAAAAAACATCAAGACAACACCTGCAGTAAGAAGCAGACTCATCAAATGATCATCCACAGTTTTACTGACAGTTTACATTAGTCATTAAAAATGAAGACAGATTCTGACTATTGTATAGAGTTAAATGTATAAAGATAATTAAAGTGAGTGATTGTGGGTCAACCCTTTATATAAAATCATGGTTTTGGGGTTTATTTTTCAGTCAACGACATTAGTTACCTGAAAATCTCCCTCATATTAAAACAGTTGGTGTTGTAGCTGAACCAGACTAGATTTGTGGGTGCAGAGAGAGCAGATAGCAAAAGGTTTTCCTGCCTGAACAAATACACGACAGCAAACAAATGCAGCAGATAAACCATTCCCCTTCCAAAAACAGAGATTATCAGCTGTTCGCTCACTGCAGAGCTTTATCTGCTCTCTATTTGATGTTCTGCCCTTTCCTCTTTCCTTTAGTCACCTCTCCATAACACTGGTCCTTTTGCATAATTGATAAGCAGATAACAAGAGCACGAATCACTGCGAGGAAATGCCAATACAAGAAGACACTGAAGTCTCTTTTTTGCTTTTTTTCCAAGGAGGATTGGTGGTTTTATTTCCTCTTCTGTGTCTTGTGTCTGAGAGACTCAGTGTTTACATCCTGTACTGTCACAGCTGTAAATGATGCTGCAGAAAAAGATGCATCAACCTCAAATTACACCATATTCATTATCACAGTTTATCCTAAAATGGAAAAAAAAACTGCCAGCTTATTGCTACCATCTGATACTTGAAGGATGCATGTTTTAGTTTCACACTGAGACACTGGCAAAGATTGGGCTGTGACTGTTTATCAGATAAAATCTAAAAGTTTCATGATCCCACAGGGGAACCGTTTCTGAAAGTTGCGCCATGCTAAAGACAGTGAGATTCATGCTACACAGCAATCTTCTTTGCCTCACTTGGCCGCAGTATTCGGGTGGGGTATTTGGGTGTCAATTTAAAGAACTGTTTCACTCATAGCTGCAGCCATCATAACACTCATAAAGCTTAAGTGCTGCTCCCTTGTTCTTTTGTT